TCGAGAAGGAGAAGGAGAAGCAGAGGGAAGAGAAGGAGAAGCAAAGAGAAGAGAAGGAGAAGAAGAAGGAAGAGGAGGAAAAGAAGAGGGAGAAGCAGAAGGAGGAGGAGGACAAGAAGAAGGAAAAGGAGAAGGAGGAGAAAGAAAAGAAGAAGGAGAAGGAGAGAGAAGAGAAGGAAAAGAAGAAGGAAAAAGAAAGAGAGGAGAAGGACAAGAAGAAGCAGCAAAAGAAGGCTGAGAAGAAGGCAAAGTTTGACAAGTTTGTCGACAAGAAAAAGGCTAAGCTTGACGACAAGAAGGATGCCCTTGAAGACAAGAAGGACGCTCTCTTGGACAAGACGAAAGAGTTGAAGGGAGAATTGTTGGAGAAGTTGAAGAAGTCCAAGTCCAAGTCGGAGGAGAAGGATTCTGAGCCTAAGGAAGACAAGCCGGAGCCTAAGCCGGAGCAAAAGGTCGAAAAGAACGATAACTAAGCCGCGCTCTTGTTCCCGCGTGGCTATATAGTTGAAGTAAATTAGCTTGAATGTCTAGTGATTTGTAGTTATAGCTTGAAAACCCTACATGGAGGTCTTAAATTGACCGCATAAGTTGCCGGAAGATGCAAACGGCACTAATTTCGATTGAGTCGCTTTGAACCTTGAATTGTTTGTATGTGACTTCAAGCTTTTGGTCTGGTAGGTACGGCTGATTTGCTCTGTATGGTCTTAATAACATTTCAGACAAAAATTATTTGGTCGGGCAAATCGTATAATTCATCTCATGACCAATTTCTAGCCGTTTCAAAAATTACAATGAATAGTTAAGTCTGAGGGCCAATATACTTACTCAAGTTATGGTTTATGTTTGCTATGCTAAAAGCTTGGGAGGTGTTGTTATACCAACATGGCATCTTATTTGAATGTTAAAGAATTTGAAGTTTTCATTATTGTATGTTTGTGATATTTCGGTGTCACTGTGTGAGAACATGAGCCAAAGTAATGAACACTTCGAAATCGAACTTCCTCTTGCAGCTCACTGATTGTCGTTTCACTTTCAGCTTATCTGTAATCTTATCACAAATGAGGTCTCTTTTAAATGCTCTTCGTCCTTTATCCTCGTCTTCACAGATATACATGGAAATACAGTGGTCTCTCTATTATCATTGGAAGGTGATGCTAATTACTAAGATGAAGGCAACGATTATGAGTAGACGGATATGTGATGGTGACAGAGTGGGATAAATAGACTTAAATGGTTTACATCAATAGAAACATGTAAGCATCTACGACCATGTAAGCATCTACGACCATCTAAGTATCTATTACCATATAAACTGTATCACCATGTAAGCATTTATTACCATGTAAGCATTTATTACCATGTAAGCATTTATTACCATGTAAGCATTTATTACCATGTAACCATCCATTACCATTACAATCGATTCTTGAATATCTCGATAACAGGCTTGAGAAGAATGCGACCAATAAATAAATTTTAGTATACACTAACTGTACTGACTATCTTGATTAGGATTTTAAATCATTTGGCAGGCTCGGCACAGACCAACATGACAACGATACAAGATGAAACGACACAGGTAAAACGAGAGAGACAAGCCGCATCTTGAAGCCCCATCTTGAAGCCCCATCTTGAAGCCCCATCTTTATCACTCTTATCTGCATAGCAACACAAAACAGGCGACTAAGGACTCTTTCGTAATTTATATTAAACTTAATTAGAAGTTTATAGTTTCTTAACTTGTTAACGAAAAGTCAACTTGTGAAATAGTCTACTCAACCTCACCGCTGCGCGGCTCGGCATACATCAATTAACAAACTTTGATTCAAACTAATACACCAAGAAATAAACTGCACGGGGCTAGCTTACTTACAAAGCCAACAAAGCACCAGCAGCCAAAGCAACGGCACCAGCAGCAAATTGCTTGTTGGCGGCACCTGCGTAGGTGGAAACATTAGCAGAAGCAGATGGGCTGGCAGCTGGGCAGTCAGTCACTTCTGGACCACAAGAGGTGATGGTAACCAAGGTGGAGGAAACGTCAGTCTCAGTGACGTTGGCAGCAGAGACAGAGGCGGCAACAGCGGCAGCGACAACAACAGTGGAGAATTGCATTATAAGATTATGAGCGAAAGACTGGGAAAATAAGAGTAGTGAGTACTGGAGAAGGAAAAAAACCAAACAAGTGCGCACTGCGGGCCGCTTTATATATGTGTCGGGACGGGGCCGCAACTGATAACCTCTGGTTATTTTCTTCTCTTGCGTTTGCGCGCGCGCGCCTAAGATAAACAGGCGGGCGCCAGCCGAGCCCAAACGGGAAGGCCCACTGCCGAAAAAGTCTGTTCCTGCGGAGAGACGCAGCCGCAGCCCGCCCCGATTGTCTTTCTTTCTTTTTTTTTCTGTTTTTTTTTTTTTTTTTTTTTTTTTTTTTTGGTTTGTTTTATGTTCTTGCTTCTCCGTGCTGGAATGTTCACCCCAGTCCCTGCACGTTTGGGCATGTTTCATGGCCACTGTGATTGGTTGTAGCATGTGAAGCGAAGTTTCGCAATGTCTTGGGAGGCATGGCGATGCGGGAGGTTCTGATGCCGCTTCATGGCCGTGCGATGTAAGGCGACAAACACTGCCGTGACGGCAACTTTTGTCCTTTGCTGTTTTGCTTTTGGCCCGTTTTCCTGGCCCTCTCTTGCACTTGCTCTATTGTTCCATTGTTGGCGAGACGGCGCACGTGCAGGTCCAGCCATCGCACGAGAAGATGCAGACACATGTCTGACTGCAGTCTTGCTATCAGGTGGAGCCAGACCAGGATTCGGCCAAAAATAGAAGCGGCAAGCGTCAGGCTCGTGGAAGCTCATGATGTTCATTGAGGCCGGAAAGTAGGCTGTCGTGTCGTTGCCGGAGTGTTTGGTCAACATTCAGTTTCTGCAGACGCATGGTGCCGTGCACCTGTCTTAACTGAACTGTGAGTCGCAGATTTTCGTTTTCTACAATCCACACTTTCAGCCGTTTTCCTTGTTTCTACTGATTCTACTGGTTCTACTGATTCTACTGATTCTACTGATTCTACTGATTCTACTGATTCTACTGATTCTACTGATTCTTTCTTGACTCTTCTTTCTTCTCTTCTCTTCCCGATTGGAGGGGGCGCAGACGCAGGCGTTATCTCTGATAACATTCCATGATGGCCCCATCCGTAAGCAGATTGCCCATTCGGGAACTCTAATGACGCTTCATTTCCGTCATACGACTCGGCATCGGCGCCATTTTAGGCCGTTTGTCGTAGGTTCACATCGTCTCGAATTTTCACCATCGTCTAGAATCCATCACCTATTTGACCATCGTCTCGAATTTAGGCTCTGGTAATGATATCGCACTTTTCATGACGTTTCTGGACCACAGATGGCTTTATAGCTTGTCGACTCGATTGAAGGCATCACCATGGAATTCCGTACGTCTCCACTTGCCCATTATGAAGTATGTTTCAGGCTGGCCATAGTGCATTCTCCATATCTGCATTACTACTGTATCTTATCTGGTATGAGATGTAAGTCCTTGTTCAGTATGCCGATGCAACTAGGTGAGTCATCTCTCGAGCTTAAAATAGCAGGGCTGAAAGGCTCCAAGTCCCAGCAACGGGGCTGTATGCATTGAAAAGCTGCTCATTTGGTCCGAATATGGAAATGAATCGAAACCACAAGAAAGAGCCAGCTAAACATTGTAGTCCATTCCAGAAGCTGACTCTTGTTCGAGTGAAGTTGCTATTTTTACCTTCATTCGATCTATACGGCACATTTCGAGCTTCTATCTGCTCGGCATTGGTTTGGACTACCAACCAGTTCATAATACATTGACATCTATCAGGTATAGAAGCACACTTGTCGCTCAAAGTACTGGTGGTGGATTCTTCACTTGATCCGCTTTCATCTGTTGTGTTATGGCATTTTTACTATATACTCACGCCTTAGCTGAAGTTGGCCCTTGAATTGACATTTTTCCGTGTATACCAGCTCACGAAATCCTTTATGGCCATACGCACACGGCGATTGTCTTTATTAGGAAGTGCCACGGTGATGGCACTAATAAGCTTGTGCACCTCCTTCTCACTCACGTTGGCAAGACCAGAAACAGCCTGTTGCAACCATGTTATGGCCTGTGTCTTATCTGGCGCCACACTCAAAATCTTCACCAAAAGATCATTGGCATCCGGATCATTGTAGAACTTGTAAATGAGACCTTCCAACACCATTTGCACCAAGCGCTGCCCGTGTGCTTCTGCAACAAGAAAGCTCTGGACATGCTGCTGCACCAGTTGGGTATCGCCTTCGAAGAAAGACACTGGTGGATATTCGGACCCCCATGCCACAAGATCCACGAAAAAATGCACCACGGCCATCAATGGATTACGCTCTTCACTGGTGGAAAGAGCAAGTTCTGCCGCAGCAAGAATCGACGTGAGAAGCTCGCCGTTATGTGTAACTTTCTCCGGGAAATACATGAGCAAGTCGCTGGCCATGTTGAAGTAATCTTCAATGACGTCGGGCATTCCGCGAAGATCCTCAGACTTGGCCACATTGAAAAACACACTGCTCTGCTGAACTCCCAAATGGAACACCACGTCGTGGGTTTCGGCCCCGCTGACCTCATCGCCAAACTCTCTGATGGCCACACCAGAAACCCAGAGATAACAGCCAAAACAGGTGGTGCGGAATCCGTCGTGAAGAAGTTGTGCTATTTGAGGAAGCAAAGCGGTGAGATATGTGGAGCAACTCTGGATTGCGTTTTTAAGCACTTTGACAAACCGCTCTGAGACTTTCAAAACCGTACCGAATTTGCCAAGAACACGGGTTATTAACGGCCACACAGTATGGCCGAAATACTCTGCCGCAGGGTATGTTGTAGCGTCAAAGTTCAGACAGCGCACGATCCTGAAGAAGATGCTAAGAATTTCTGCCTCGTCATGCAATGCAGACACAGTATTGTCGTCATTCTTGTCGCCCGAATCGCACAATTCGGCCAATCTATGCACGGAGGGATCCAAAAATGTTTGGGTGGCCGCAAGCTGATCTGACGCAGGAAGTTCCTTCACCACATGAGCCAAACCGTCCACCAAGTCATATGTAGATTTCACTTCGATGTGGCCGCGTACCTGCTGGTAGAGCACATACAACTGGTCCAAATAGCCTGTTAGAAGCTCGGCGCAGTCTTGGCAGAAGTACATAAGAGCCTGGCATGCGGCGTTACACACGTCTCGGTCAGCATCGCTGGTTTCAAAGCCCTTGATGATGTACTGGAGTTGCACTTGCAAAAACTTTGGGTTGCGGGCAGTCCATTCGGAGTACCGACCCAACACTAGTGTAGTGGCGTATCTTATTTTTGGGTGTTCGGGCAATTGCACGAGCAGCTGCATGATGGTAGGCAAAATGGTGTTCTCTCGAGGCGAAACTTCCTTGGCCATGACACGCATGCTGAACAAGGGCGCTTCAACAAGCGGCCATGGGGCACCAGGCTGTGCAAGCAATTGCTGGAGTTGTTCAAATGGAACACGAAGAGCTTTTTGGGCTCCGGCAACAGCACAGCAGTCTTTGAGCACATCGCCCATTTCGTAGCGGAAGTCTTTGAACTTGTCGTGCTCTTCCTTGTCGGAAAACAGTGGCTGCTGGTCAGCGCCAACTGGATAGCAGAGGTGTTTGATGATCACCAGAATCAACTGCAAGTAAATGGGCGAAAATTCGCTGCGGGCGTCTTCAAACTTGGGCAAAGTCAACATCTGTTTGAGCAAGTACCAAAAGTAGAAGGTGTACTTGACCACGTCCAAGTCTTCGTCGTATCGGCAGCACTCCAACAAAATCTGCACGAGCGGCTTGAAATGCGCTGGGTTTTTCGCTATCAAGACATGCCACGACTCTCCGGCATCCACATAAAGCTTGGTAAGCATGCTGAACACCTCTGGATCCGCTAACTTGTCCGGCTGGTTGGCGTAGAAACTGTGCACTTCCAATAACTGCTGGTAGATGGCATCTATGAGCTGGTAGTTGTCCATGTCCCCAGTCTCACGCAAGATCGTACTGAGACACTCGCATGCTTTTTCAAAAGTGTCCTCTTGTACCAACAGCTTGAACACAAGCTGAGCTAGCGTGTCGACACCCAAAACTTTGTCAATGGGACATTCCTTGAGCCAGCTGTTGAGACAGTCCAAAAGAAGCTCGGGCGCACAAGCCTGCTGCTCGTACAAGGTTTTCAAGAGCAGTAGCACGCGCTCGACGTTATCAGTGATGAGAACGGCCGTGCGGGCGTTGAACTCGTCGTCTGTCAATGCAGTTTTGTTGGACTCGGTCAATTCCTCGGGCAAGATCTTCAAGAACTCAAGCAACGCCGGTACAGAGCCCGCTTCCGACAAGCACGTGGTGATCTCGTCCATGGCATTGTCCCACTGCAAGTACTGCAAGGCCAACTGGCAAAGCGTCAAGGACAACTGGGTTCGAATCAACTTGTCCTTGGATGCATAGGTGCGGAGAAGGTCAAGCACCGAGTCCTTCAACTGCACGTACGACGACTCGGGCAACTGCAGCAAGTCGTAAGTTGCCTTGGATCTGAGCGTTTGCGCCGCAAACATGCGGTACTCTAGCGGCTCTTGTAAATCGGAGAGAATCTGAACAACCAGCCATGCGTCAGGCAACTTTTGGAACAGCTCCAAAAACTCGGTCGCCTGCTTCTTCTCGTGCTGCGCCGCAGTGGGCGAGTACATGGCGGCAAGCGCTTGTTTGATGTGGTCCATGCTGAGGGAAGAGGTGACCAAAGGTTGGCGCTGGGGCCACACCGATTTTGTTCACGATGCTATGTGCATGGCACGACCACGAAGCAAGTGTTTTGGGGCGGCAAGAACACGTCAGGTACGTGGATGACGGTTGCTGGGTAGACGTCTAGAGAGGGTTATTTTTTTTCTGTTTAAGCAATTTTTTTATGGTTTGTTACTGGAGGAATCGTGGTGGTGTGTCCCATTAAGATTCTCATGTCGTGATACAAGACGCGCGGCGCCGAAAAAAATCAAAGCTCATCAGTTCTTCCCATGGCTAGACCAGTTGTTATTTCCGGGCCTTCGGGCACTGGTAAGTCCACTCTTTTGAAAAAGCTCTTTGCTGAGTTCCCCGACAAGTTTGGCTTTTCTGTTTCCAACACCACCAGAACCCCTAGAGCCGGCGAAGTTGATGGTGTGGACTACCACTTCACCAAGGTGGAGGATTTCAAGAAGATGATTGACGAGAAGAAGTTCATCGAGTGGGCCCAGTTCTCGGGAAACTACTACGGCACGTCCATCAAGGCCGTTGAAGACGTGGTCAAGTCCAACAAAATCTGTCTCTTGGACATTGATATGCAAGGTGTCAAGTCGGTCAAGGCTTCGACCATTGACGCCAGATACTTGTTTGTGGCGCCTCCTTCGATCGAGACTTTGAAGGAGAGATTGACTGGAAGAGGCACCGAGACTGAGGATTCCATTGCCAAGAGAATCGCCGCTGCCACTGGAGAGATGGAGTACGCTGCTACTGGCGCCCACGATTTGGTCATTGTCAACGACGACTTGGACAAGGCCTACGAGCAATTCAAGAACTTTATTTTGGCCGAGTAGACGCCGAATGCACGTGGATTGCCAATGAGACACCAATCCTGTAGGCCGATGAGATAGGAAGTAAGGTGCATGTATGGCCCAATTAGCACTTGTCAGTAATACAATGAGAGATTCATCTGCGCCAGCATACAACGAGAGATTCATCTGCGCCAGCATACAATGAAACGTGATTCAAATGTCGGCCGTCCCTAGCGACCAAATACGCTCTTGATTGACGATTTCAAGTGAACAATGATGGCAGATCAGGTTGCTTCGCGTAGGCAATTTTAACAGAGGTTACATAGGAACAGACGTTGGCGAACAGAGATGATGGCAAAAGAGTTGAAATCTCCACCTTCTACTTCTTCTGACCACAGCCACAACTTACATGTGTCACATGCCAAATGATGATTCAGTACCAAGTCTGGTGGCCTGCAGACAACCGTCGGTCATCCAGGCACATTTGTCGCCCAAGGTAACTTCCGCCTGCTTCTTGAAGCTTGATGTCATTTTCCGCTGGATCTCATTTTCCGCTTGTCTCGCTTGCTTTTCCGTCTGGGCCTGGTTGCGTGATACCAGGGCATATAACCTGTACCCAGAATGTGCGAGGCTAAAACCGAGCGCACCAAAAGTTCAGAAAGACTGGCTTGATCGCGCCAAGAACGGCAGGCATCTAGCAACGTGACAAGACCTAGGCTAAGATGAGCATGACCGATTTTGTATTCTTCTTATTCTTTTTCTTTTCTTTTTTTTTTTGTTCTCCTTTTCCCGCCACCTTCTTCCTCTGGTATTTGCCGTTCGCTTTGCGGCCTTTTCCTTTTTTTCCTGGTGTAGACAGGTTGCGCGGCTCTGAAAAGCTTGTCTTTTGTTCTATTCTTTTTCCACTCTTCCTGTCGCACCATACTAGTCTCCAACTTTCCCCTGTTTGTTTTTGCCCGAGGCTGTTGGGCTAACATCGCCAGCTTTTCTTCCCATGGGCGACAAGACTAAAAAGAAATCCTCCGTGTTGGGCCGTCTCTTTGGCTCGCACACGGATCTGGAAACCAAAGCCACAAACAACCAGACCCCAAATGGCCAGGCTGCTGAAAACGGGCTAACAGCCCCTGCTTCAAGCATCCAGGGGTCAACCCTGGCGGCAAATGTGCAAGAGAGTGTTGTGGCTGCAAACTCTGCTGCCGGCGCGGCAACGACCCCAGCCAACACCTCCTCCAGCACGAAAAACCCACTGGTGCCTGTTGCCACTGTGCCAGTGCGGACAACGCTGCTTACAGACGACGACGTGCTCTATCCCCTTCCGCACGAGCACCTGCGCACAAACTCGCCTTTTGCAACCGTGCCCCTTCCGCTAGGCACGGCTGTATCTCCGCAACAGTCGGCGCTGTCTGTGGACTCGCACGTGGCAGCCAACGGCGCACTCGAGGCGCCCGTCTCGCGGGCCTCACCCGTGTCGCGGCTGCCCTCGCTCAACAGCTCGTCGCGCCGCCCGGCCTCGCCCTCGCCTGCGTCTATTGCTGCGGCTGGAGCATTGGCTGCGCCTGCGTCTGCCAAGAATAAACTGAACCCTGTCTCTAGAGCGCTGTCGGTCAAAAAGGGAACTATTTCGCCCTCTGTGTCCGCGTCGCATATTCCGGCTCTTGCCACGCCCAAGCCTCGCTTCAAGATGTTTGAGGATGGCTCGCACGAACACAACTTGCGTGCTGCTCGTCGCCAGGAGAAATTGAGTAGCATGTTGAAAGACTTGTTGGGTGCCAAGAAACTCCGTGGTGAGGCCAAGTCCGCAGTGCCTAACATCTTGCTGTCTGTTTCTGATACGAAGGGCAAGGACAAGGATAAACCCCCTACGTTGTTTGCCGGCTTGGTGACACAAGTCAAGAACAACACCTCGCCTTATGACACTCTGGGGGCAGAATTGTTGAACCCTATGAGTCAGCAGGACAGCCGCAGTTTTGCCGAGAAATACGGCCACTGTCAAGAGGTTATCGGCCGCGGTGCTTTCGGCGTGGTGCGTATTTCCCACAAGAAATCGCCCCCAGGCTCTAGTACCCACGATGAAATGCTATATGCGGTGAAAGAGTTCAAGCGGCGGCCCAATGAGTCGGAGAAGAAGTACTCACGCCGTCTAACGTCGGAATTCTGTATTTCATCGTCGCTTAAACATCCAAACATCATAGATACGCTAGACTTGTTGAAAGACGCCAAAGGTGACTACTGTGAGGTGATGGAATTCTGCTCTGGTGGCGACTTGTACACATTGATTATCACTGCCGGCCAGTTGAATTACGCAGAGGCTGATTGCTTCTTTAAGCAACTTATACGTGGTGTCAACTACATGCATGACATGGGTGTAGCGCACCGTGACTTGAAGCCGGAAAACTTGCTATTGACTCAGCAAGGTGTGTTGAAAATCACAGATTTCGGCAACGGCGAATGTTTCCGCATGGCGTGGGAGAAAGATATACAGTTGAGTGAAGGTGTATGTGGTTCGAGCCCCTACATTGCGCCTGAGGAGTTTGTTCAGAGGGAGTTTGATCCACGTTGCGTTGATATTTGGGCATGCGGTGTCATCTACATGGCAATGCGGACGGGTAGACAGCTATGGAAGTTGGCTGATGCGCTGAAGGACGAGTTTTTCCAGGAGTACTTGTGGAAGCGGAAGGACGCAGCTGGATACGATCCAATCGAGTCGTTGAAACGCGCGCGGTGCCGCAATGTGATTTACTCTATTCTCGATCCAAATCCCGAGCGCAGAATCAACGGCAAGCAGATCTTGAACAGTGAATGGGGCAGAGAAATCAAGGTCTGTGCAGCGGTGGAGAACGAGGCTGTTGGGGTATGTCTTTCGTTGAATGGCACACCTGAAGTCAAGCAGCAGGAGAAGATTCCTGCAACGGCTTAAAGTGGTGCCTTGAGCCAAGCCGCGAAATGTTGAGGTGGAATGACATGATCGCACGGCTGACAAACCAAACCAAACCATATTCTACAATGCATTACTATTTATCATTCGACTTGTCATAAATTCATGTTACCTTCACGTTTGCTGTATAACTTGTTTCTTCTGTCTTTCCTCTCCAACTTTAAGAAATGTGCATTTATTTTCTGTGCCGAAGCATTTCGTGTTGCAGTGTGCATGTGTAGAAGGGCACGCAAATGTATTTTCGCACGATTCAGCGCGTACTTTCTTCCTTTTTCGTATTATTGTTTTTACCGTCAAGCTATGGTTGAACTCTCAGACTTTCAAAGACAAGAAAAAGTCGGCGAAGGTATGTTTTGAATCGTGGGTGTTTGGTGGATTTCCGATCTTCAGATTCCCTTGACTTGTGCTTTTTTTTCCCCCTTTCTTTCTCGTGCCTATGCTAACATATATAGGAACTTATGGTGTTGTCTATAAAGCCTTAGACACCCGTCACAACAATCGAGTAGTGGCGCTCAAGAAAATCAGATTGGAGCTGGAAGATGAGGGCGTTCCTTCCACGGCCATCAGAGAAATCTCTCTCTTGAAAGAAATGAGAGACGACAACATCGTCCGGCTATACGACATCATTCACTCCGATTCCCACAAACTTTACCTTGTGTTTGAGTTTTTGGACTTGGACTTGAAAAAATACATGGAGTCCATCCCCAAGGGCGCAGGGTTAGAGCCGTCCATGGTCAAGCGGTTCATGATTCAGTTGGTTAAGGGAATCAAGCACTGCCATTCTCATCGCGTCTTGCACCGTGACTTGAAACCGCAGAACTTGTTGATCGACAAGGAGGGAAACCTCAAGTTGGCCGATTTCGGTTTGGCAAGGGCCTTTGGTGTCCCTTTGCGTGCATACACCCACGAGGTTGTAACTTTGTGGTACAGAGCACCAGAGATCTTGTTGGGCGGTAAACAATACTCTACAGGCGTCGACATGTGGTCTGTGGGGTGTATTTTCGCTGAGATGTGCAACAGGAAACCGTTGTTTCCCGGCGACTCGGAAATTGATGAGATTTTCCGTATTTTTAGAATCTTGGGTACACCAAACGAGGAAACGTGGCCTGACGTGTCGTACTTGCCGGACTACAAGCTCACATGGCCCAAATGGCAAAAGTCTCCGTTGGCGAAGCATGTGCCTTCGTTGGACAAGGACGGCGTTGACTTGATGGAACAAATGTTGACCTACGACCCAAGCAACAGAATCAGTGCTAAAAGAGCATTGATTCATCCGTACTTCCAGGAGGATAATGATGACACTTACGACAGCTACTCTCGCTCGATAAGTATGAGCTAACTTTGCATTGTCTGGTTTTGCAGGACGCTTTATTTCATTTCTGACACGTTTATTGGTAATATGACGAATTTTGCAATTGTTTGTGCGTGAATATTATGGCAATTGCAAGGAAAATGACAAGATACACTAGAGGATTTACTGTAGTACCTGTCTGATCTTTTTTTATTCCCATTTCTCCGTTTTCGAATGTCGATCCAATAGTTTGTTTCTGTGATTTTTTTCCCATTCCTTTTTCCGTCATGTAGCCTGTCATTTCCTCTGTTCCTGCTTCTGTTTCCTGTGTTCCGTTTGTATGCACATTCAAACCGTATTCCATTAGCAGAGTATCGATATTTTCGGATAAATTCTGAATTTGATGCAAGTTGTCGTCTTGCCCGCAAGACTTTAATTCTTCCAACGATAAAAAGAGATCGTGGATTTCCCTTTTCATGTCATGCATTCTGTCTCTGAGAGACTCATTATTTGTGGTGAGCTTTCTTAGAATAACAGTGTCATGGTGGTTTTGCCCTTCGAGTTTATTCAACTTGGCTTCAATGAGTCTGAAGTTCAGATGTATCGACAAGTGATGAAAGTTGAGCTCTTCTAGCACATGCTGAAGATTGAAAGTCCCATCTTCCAAAGACCAGACGCTGGACGCATTTTCAAAGCAGTAACCGTTTTCCATAAGCGATGATGCCTCATCCACATCAGATTCGTAATCTCTTGTTGTAGATAAAGGGTCTTCCAAGTATGGAGACTCTAGCAACGTAACATGCCCATCTTCGATTGTGCTTTTATATAGTAGTTTGTTTTCATTATCCTGATAGACCAGGTTATTGTCGGCGAAGTTCCCGTAGACTGTCTTTTGCTCCAAATCCACCACTTTGATTTCTGAAAGCACAAGAAGTAGAATGTTCAAAAAGTGGTCTTTGGTGCAAGCCTGAGTCAATTCAGGAGATAGAGTTTGCACTTTCCGTTTTATGATGCTGTCTTTGGTGAGAAACCCTGGAGTCAACGCAAGCTGGATTTCTATTCCTTCAAGAAGATTCTCGATATCGTTCCCATGCGGGTTAAGAGTCATGTAAGCCCATGCTCTGTCGAAAATGGATTCTTGATGTGAGCGGGCCATTGAAGAAGCGACTAAGCCGTTTTCCATTAAGCAGACCAAAGTGTTAAAAGATAACTGCCCAATACTAAAACAAACCACAGATGTAATGATGGCAGACTGTTTTGGTGACTACTCTTTTGGGTATAGTAATGAATGCGTGTGTGCAGTGCCAGTCCAACAAGTATAGTTTGGGCTGAAAACTAACATGGATGTACCTATTTCGTATTCCCTTACTGGTTCGTTTTCGACGTTTTGCTCCTCTTCTGCATCTTCTTTGTTGGCTTTTTTACTTCTCAGAAGTATGTGTCTTTAGCCAGATGTGCCTTGCTGGTTATCTTTTCGCGAAAGATTGTCGGAATTCACTATTTTTGTCTTTGGCAGATGGAAAAGTGGGCCACGATGAGAAGTAGAAGAAAAGTAAAAGAAAAGTACAACTCGAACGAATGGAATCAAAATAGCTACATCACACTGTTATTATATATACCAATCTTCATAGTATACGAAGACGGAACATGCGTAGAATCTTGCAGTATTTTCATCAGCATATTATAGATCCTCTCAAGCCCCTTCTGAAGTGTCTTTTAGACGCTATTTTCCATGTCTTTTAGATGCTATTTTCCATGTCTTTTAGGTCATGCTGCAAGCATTGCATCTGCTCGAGTATACTATCATTGCTAGAGCTATCCCAATCTCACCCAGCTGATGTGTACTAATAGAAAATCTCGTGCATAGTAAAGAAAACCAGCGCGGCCCAAATACAACTCTTCATCATGAGCGGAAACCAGCGCCAATACTCAGACTCGTGGAGGCATAGAGGGCGGGGAAACAGAGCACGGAACGATCTGTATAGCCGTTACCACCGGCCTCGGGACCACAGAGAATACAGAGAATACCGAGAACACGAATACCGCGACGAGTATCGAGAGCACAAAGACCCTCGAGATTTCAGGCCAAGAGAGAGAGATCATAGAGAGAGGGAAAGGGAACCTAGAGAGAGGGAACCTAGAGACCGGGAAAGAGAGAGAGATCCTCGAGATCGAGAGAGGGACAGAGATATCAGAGACAGGGACAGAGAGCCCAGAGACAGGGACAGAGAGCCCAGAGACAGGGAAAGAGAGCCCAGAGACCGCGATAGAGATATCAAAGATAGAGAGAGAGATCTCAGAGACAAGGAGCACAAAGATCGAGAAAGAGACAGACCGTCTGCCCGCCCCAAAGGCGCATCACGTCATCCAAGCAACAGCGAGAGCAGTTCTCGGACCAGTCCATGGGTGGCCATCATGCGCCTTGGCGACGGCAAATCGGCGGCTCGTGTCAATGCGGCGGCCAACGAGCTCCACACAATGAACCAGAAACTCAGCGAGCTTCAGGCCGAGCGGATGAAGTTGGCCAGCTCTTTGGCCACGCTAGAAGTATACGCCCAGCGTGATGCTCTCAGCGTGTCTGTGTCTGCAGAGAAACTAGATGAGTTTGTGTACATGTGAGCAACAGTTTGGTCGGTGGATGTGTCAGAGCCGTTGCCAACCGTTGATCCATGTATCTACTCTACAGGAGAAACTATTCCCAGATTGAGCAAACAATGTCCCTTTCGACAGAAGTCATAAGCCTGCCAATCTGCAACTTCAGAAATTCAGGAGAACTGGAATCCAGTGTCACCTTCCCGTTTTCTTACGTGAACCGGCTTTCTACCAGTATCCTGCATTTCTTGCGCGAACTCTGAAGTATCTTATACCCACTTCTTTCTCCTCCAATGTCAGTGCTCCAGTTGATTTCAGAGGTTTCGGACTCTAAGGCCGCCCAAGTGCTTCTTTATGCCGCTTTGATTACTGGCGTTTACAAAATCACCACTTTCTCGTTGGCCCTTGCCGCGTTGCTCGCCGACGCGTTTGTTCTTCCTCCAACGAACTTTGCCAAGTACGGTGCCAAGTCAGGAAAATGGGCCGTGGTCACGGGCGCATCTGATGGAATTGGAAAGGAATACGCTTTGCAATTGGCTGCCAAAGGCTTAAATGTCGTGTTGGTGTCGCGGACATTGGCCAAGTTGGAAAGCCTTGCCAGCGAGATTGAAGAAAAACACAAGGTGCAGACGGCCATTGTGGCCTTTGACGCTTCCGAGGACAAGGAGGAAAACTACCGTCAGCTCAGAGAAACCATTGCCGACTTGGCTGTGACTGTTTTGGTCAACAATGTTGGCCAATCGCACTCGATTCCTGTGCCATTCTTGGAAACTGACCCTAAGGAGTTGACGGACATTGTCACCATCAACAACCTAGTCACGTTGAAAATCACTCAGACAGTGGTGCCAGTCATTTCAAAGACCGTGAAATCCGACAGGAAAGCACGCGGCTTGGTTTTGACCATGGGCTCTTTTGGTGGCTTGTTGCCTACCCCTTACTTGGCCACCTACTCTGGATCGAAGGCGTTCTTGCAACAGTGGTCTGCTGCTTTGGCTGGTGAGTTGAAGCCGGAAGGAATTGATGTCGAGCTTGTCATTTCGTACCTTGTGACTTCAGCCATGTCCAAGATCAGAAGAACGAGTGCTACAATTCCAAACGCCAAGCAGTTTGTGCGTGCCACTTTGAAAAGCGTGGGTAAACGTGTGGGTGCCCAAGATCGTTACGCTACTTCAACCCCATACTGGTCTCATGCGTTGATGCATTTTTTCATTGAAAACACTGTGGGTGTCTATTCGAGTGTGGCCAACAAGCTTAACTTCGACATGCACAAGAGCATTCGCGTGAGAGCATTGAAGAAGGCTGCGAGAGCAAAGAAGGAGTAATTTTGGGTACAAGCGAGAGACGGTCAACAGGATAAGGCTTACTGGCAATCCGGTCTTGATTTGGATCAATGTTCAGTTTGGTCTCAGGCTCTAAGTGTACGTTCGTCTTTAGTTACGTCTCAATGTCTGAATTTCTTTTCAAGATGTAGCCATGGATGGTACTTGATAGTTTTTCATCCTGTCCTTGGATTTCGCGATAGTCATCATTTAGGGTCTGTTATTCTTCATTCTAGTGCTATTCCTATTGGTATATTCTATCTTTACTCTTCATTCTTCGCCCTTTCCATTTTACACTTGTTCATTTGGTTTCTGTAATCTTCCGGTTTCCCAGGATTATCAGGATTATCAGGCTCCTCATAGTTTCTCTGGTACTTCACGGTTCCTCATTCTTGATTGTTGGTCTTTGACATCATTTACAATCTACTTACCGCTCTCTCCGTTCGTCATCACAGTCATACCAAATTTTCTGGTCATTCGTCACATTCGTGTCATACAAGTCGTCATGCCAGTGTCTCACTCTACGGAAATGCGCGAGTAGGGCCACTGTCTGCACACCCTTGTATCGAATCTTCTAGAAAGGCCTCGAAACTCCCTCCATACTCCCACAAGATATAATACCTACTGGTTTGCTCTTTGCGCGTCCGGACCCCATACCACTTTTTTTCTTTGTTCGATCTTAGTTCGTTCACCATAGATTGTTTCCACATTCACAATGGTTAGAGAGACAAAACTTTACGACTTGTTGGGGGTGTCTCCCTCGGCAAACGAAACGGAAATCAAAAAGGCATACAGAAAGATGGCACTTAAATACCATCCAGACAAGCCCACGGGAGACACGGAAAAGTTTAAGGAGATTTCTGAAGCCTTTGACATTTTGTCCAATGCCGACAAGAGACAGGTCTACGACGACTACGGCTTGGAAGCTGCTAGAGGCAATGCTCCTGCCGGAGGAGCAGGCGGTAATCCGTTCGCTGGAGCGGGCGGTGCCGGTGGTGGTGGCCACACATTCAACTTTGGCGGCGGCGGCGGCGGCCACCACTTCTCGCAGGCTGACGCTTTCAACATTTTCTCGCAGATGGGCGGTTTCGGCATGGACGACAATGGCTTCAGTTTCGGAGGCGGCGGCTATGGCGGCGGCCACGGCTTTGGCGGCGGCCATGACTTTGGCGGAGGAATGCCAGGCGGCTTTGGCGGCCGTTCGGCTCGTCGGCCTGAACCAGATACCGTGTCGATGCCTTTGCCTGTATCATTAGAAGACTTGTACAGCGGCGCCACGAAAAAGATGAAGTTGAACAGAAAAGGTCCTGATGGATCCAAGGAATCCAAGATTTTGGAGGTGAAAATCAAGCCCGGTTGGAAGGCTGGTACCAAGATCAACTTTGCCAATGAGGGAGACTACCAGCAAGAATGCCAGGCCAGACAAACAGTGCAATTTGTCATTGAGGAGAGACCTCACGCTGTCTTCAAGAGAGACGGAAACGATGTCATTGCTACGGTGCGGTTGACGTTCAAAGAGGCGTTGTTGGGCTTCGATCATGAAATAACCACCTTGAGCGGCAGAAAAATCAACATCTCTAGATCTACACCAGTGCAGCCCACATCCACGAACAGGTATCCTGGATTGGGTATGCCAATTTCCAAAGAACCCGGTCGCCATGGTGACTTAATTGTCAACTACAAGATTGACTTCCCTGTTCACTTGACACCACAGCAGAAGGAAGCTATCAAAAGCGCTTTCTAGGCTGGTCCAGTGAATTCTGTTTGCATTTGCTTGCGCATATCCAGACCAACGAAGCAAGCTTCGTGTACATAAATCTAATAGACAAGTTCATCAAAAAAACATTTCCCGAGTTTGTAGGTGTTTTGTTATTCCAATTTACGACTTACGGAGCTACGTTTCAAGTTCAAACGTTTCGATTTATCTGTTCCACCTATGTAGTCATGAGTAAACCTGTGGGAAGATTTCTCTCAATGCTAACTGTTCAACTACAGCCTATTACGAGCCGACCGATCAAAGACGGGGAGATTCTTTCTGGCTCTCAAATGTTTACCAGTAGTACAATTCACGAATACCTTCCATAGATATCCATGGATAAGCCGCAGCGTGAGATTATAGGCGGCACATACAATGAATTCTAATAGTTTTTCAGGCGGACAAGTTGTGAATAGTAAAGAACTGATTGTTTGAGTATTTCGGTGTGTGTTTCGACCAGCTTGATTCACGCAAAATAAAAGTTTTTTAGATATTTGGCCGAAGGACAGAGATGATCTATATGAGAAAAAGTTGCATCACTTCTCAATAATGAAGCGATCTTTGAAAACGTGTAGTTTCCAATCAGAATATGATGAATATATGCGAAGATACATCGACATATTTAAGATGTAGTAATTATACATTCGACATTTAATCGAACAGGTACAAAATACTAGTTCAGTCAAGGATATGGTTCACATTGGCCAGTTTAATTTTTTTCTCGGAAATCGTAGTATCGAATATTCTTCCTATGAGGGCGTTATCGTAAATTGGCACAGAAACCATGCGCGCAAATTCAGAAGTGAAAGCGACTCTTCTTTAGCGGAAAGCATACTGGCCAAAGACAAGCCTGAAACACATCGCCAATTGTGCTGACATTATCATTGTGCTGACCTTCGTTACTCTGCATCATCATTTTCTTGGTTGTCGATCTGGTATTTTCTGTTTGTTTGTCTGCTGACTGAGACTTCCTACTTTCCCACTCATTCTTCATGTCTGTTATTCTTGCTTCTGCTGGCTACGACCACACCATTCGGTTCTGGGACGCGCTTACAGGCGTGTGTTCCCGCACCATCCAGCACACAGACTCGCAGGTCAACCGCCTTGAAATCACCTCGGACAAGCGGTATTTGGCCGCAGCCGGCAACTTGTATGTGCGGCTATACGACATTCGCCAGGCTGGCAGCAGCACGGGCACGGGCAACAACTCGAATGCGGCAGTGACGTTCGAGGGCCACAGCGGGAACGTGACGCTGCTTGCGTTTCAAATCGAAAACAAGTGGATGGTCACTTCGCTGGAAGATGGCACGGTCAAAGTGTGGGACGTGCGGTCGCCGTCGGTGCAACGGAACTACAAGCACTACTGTCCTGTGAACGAGGTGGTGATCCATCCGAACCAGGGAGAGTTGATCAGCTGCGACCACGATGGAAACATTCGCATCTGGGACTTGGGCGAAAACCAATGCACACACCACTTAATTCCCGAAGACGACGTACCGATCAACGCTCTTTCCGTTGCTAGTGACGGCAGCATGTTGGTTGCGGGCAACAACAAGGGCAACTGCTACGTCTGGACAATGCAAAACCACAAAGACATTACGCTGTTGACTCCAGCAACCAAGTTCCGCTCGCATGCCAAGTACATCACGCGTGTGTTGTTGCTGACGGACATGAAGCACTTGGCCACGTGCCTGGCCGACCACACGGCTCGCATCTGGCTGACGGAACAGAACTTTGCCTTGGAAACAACGTTGCAGGGCCACCAACGCTGGGTGTGGGATTGTGCATTCAGTGCTGACAGCGCATACTTGGTCACAGCCTGTCTGGACCACTATGTGCGGCTCTGGGACTTGTCCAACAGCGAAACGGTGCGCCATTACAATGGCCACCACAAGGGAGCTGTCTGTGTGGCTTTGAACGATGTGTAGGTGATTGGATGGATGGATGAGATGATGAGATGATGAGATGATGACCGGAAGCCAGCTTAAGCCTAGAGCATAGATATACCGGCTGATACATCCGGAAGTGGGCGATGGAAAGTGTTGGTCAAGGTTAGAGCTTGGGCACCGGAGTCTTTGACTAGTTTTTGCTACGGGTCCTCAACAAAAGAAGAAATCCTACAACCGAGCACAATTACGTTTCCCTTCATTCAACCTCATCTCCCAAGCAGCATCAAGAAGCTATTTGTGGAAACACCACTTACGGTCTACTTAGAATTCGTTCAAATTCTGATGCACTTGACACTGATTCTTCACTGTACAACCATTACAAGCCGTCTTCTGCTACATAATGACTGATGGAATTGTCAAGCTCACATGTGTTCAGGTGAATCTTCGTTGTCCTTGAGCCAATTGCCCTTTCGTTTCGTCCAATTCCGAAAATACTCCTTGCAGCTTGTCCTTGTTGCATCCAGAGCCACACTTGCGCATTTAGTAAAATCAGTGCGGCGGATTGTGCTGATTTGTCATCAACCGAAATGTGTCGCACTATATCTGGCGCCAATTCGCACTATCGCCCTTCCGAACTGCACAATTACTGTTCGCACCGCATAAGGATTTCCCCAGCTTTTCCAATCATATACCATGTCTCTTCCTGCCACACAAAAGGCGGCTTTTGCGCCTCAATTGTCTGAATCCGTCGATGGAATTGTCTATGGCGACATAGAGACGCCTAAAATCGAATCGCCCGACGACGTGATTGTGAAGAACAAGTACGCAGGTGTCAACTTCATTGAATCTTACTTCCGCAAAGGAATCTACCCGGCCCAGTTCCCATACGTGTTCGGCCGCGAGGCTGCTGGCCATGTTGTTGCTGTCGGTGCCAACGTGACCCGGTTCCAGCCCGGAGACGTTGTAGCGTATCTCTCGCCCAGATCGTTTGCCCAGTACACAAAGTTCTCCCAGAACCACGTGCAAGTCCGGCGCTTGGCCAGCGACGTTCTGGACGCTCAGTTGCGCTTGTGGGGAAGCTTGTTAGTGCAGGGCTTGACCGCCATCACTTTCGCTCACGAGGCGTACAAGGTTAAAAAAGGCGACTTCATCTTGGTATGGGCTGCAGCTGGTGGCGTCGGGCAGATCCTCACGCTGTATGCGGCTCATTTGGGCGCACATGTGATTGCTGTGGCGTCCACTGACGAGAAATTGGCCATCGCCCGCAGCTTGGGTGCCAGCTACGCGATCAAGCTGGACGAGGACGTGGCCAAACGTGTCTTAGAAATCACAGGCGGCGTTGGAGTAGCTGCCTCTTTTGATGGTATTGGAAAAGACACGTTCGAGGCTTCTATGGCTTCACTTGCTAGAAAGGGAAGCATGGTCAGCTATGGTAATGCCAGTGGTGTTGTGCCGCCAGTTTCGATCAACAGATTGTCTGCCAAGAACATCAAGCTTTTACGTCCACAGGTTTTCGGCTATGTGACCACTCCAGAGGAATGGGAACACTACACCAACATTTTGCAGGAGGCCTTGGACAAGAATGTCATTGATGTGAAAACCACAGTCTATCCTTTGGAAGAGTACCGTGAAGCTGCGGCGGCTTTGGAAGGACGCAAGACTACAGGAAAATTGGTGTTGGCTATTCCAGAATAGTTCGAATGGAATGAAGAAGAATGGAGTCTGTTTAGCAGTATTGCTTATGCGATGAACTATACTCGGAGACAACGAATAGTAAAACAGACTAATGCTGAGTATATCTTGTAGTGTATGAGATATGATACCTTCTTTTTTATGCCTGAAATTCAAAGCCAATAGTATTAGTTACTTTGTTACTGAAGCCTTGGACCGACATGTGAGCTTCAGTGATTAACTTTCTTCAGTGATTAACTTTATGCGTTTTGAAACTCTGCTTGAGAATGAAGCAAAGAGTATAAGCTATATCAGTGTATAAGAAAGGAGTCAATAAAAAATAAGGTAATCGGTTTGGGGGTAAGAACGTTCCGATAACATCGTAAGTTCAACTTTCATCATTGTACATGTAATGCCTAAGTATAATGTAGAGGCATGAAAAAGTATAGATATAAGTTCGAGATATGAAATCAACCTAATTGCTTTTCTTTTCTCTTTTTCAAACTGATGAATGCTGTTTTCCTTTTGCTTTCTTCACTTTGCCTTATAATAAAGTTTTATTTCCTTTTCCGACATGAGTACTCTAAAAACCTCAATAATCATTGATAGCTACAACCAAAAAGATGGATATGACTCCATAGAACAAATACCCAAAAAATCCTCACTTCTTTTAGAGAAAAGCTCACTTTTACTAGTCTTCCTTGATGTACTTGATTGTGATGACAAAATTTCTAGAACATAAAATAACATTTATAACCCACAAAATCTACTTACAGAACCATTCGAGCCAAAACAAATATCTGTCTCATACACAAGCCACTCTACTATCGTCATCAGTAAATGCCACTATAGTGGTCGGTATATATTATGCTAGTTTTAATGCTATATGATGATATCATGAGGCCCACTCGCGCACACCGTAGCCTTCCAACAAGCGGACAAACTTCTCGCCATCGAGATTGCTGCTCGTGTCTGCGCTTGTGGTCTGGTCATAGTCAGTGGCGGTGTCACCATGGAAGTCGTCGTAGAGGTAGCCCCCCAACTCGAAAAACCAGGCCAAGTACTCATCTACCCAGCAGCGCACAAGCCACCACGAGCCAAAGCTGGGGGCGCCGCACAAGCTCATCTCCCGAAGACAAGTGGTGAGGAAATTGGAGCAGACGAGAGAAAAAAGCCAAGGGTTTGTGCCTGGGAATCGCGCAGGAAGCTCAAACAAAAACGCTGCATACTTGCCGAGCACACGATCACCAATTTCACCATCGAAAAGGTCAGGAAGTCTGGTTTCAAGCACATCCATGATACTCTCTGGATTGTCAAGAGCACATGGAAGCTCGCGAAGGACAATGTCATTCATGTCCAAGCGCAACCAGTCCTGGAGCATGGCACGGCGCTCAGACTCTTTGGCCAAGATGCGAGCTGCCGAAACACCAGTTTCAATGCACCGCACAAGCCGACGAAGAAGCAGGACAAATTGACGGGCTAGCGAGAGCTTCATGGCAGTGAAAGCTGCAGGAAATTTGCTCTGGAGCACCGTGGCCAAGTTGTCTGTGTAGTCAGCTGCAAGACGTCGCAACGGGCGAAGAACCTCTGCCGGCACATGCTGCAGGTGTAAGCGAGCAACCATCTTGGCCATGGCACGGTAAGTAGCCAAGTCACAGTCACGTACCCATGCAGCAGCCGGTTCCGACACTAGGAGCCTTGTGACGGGCGCGGTCAAGATTGTAGGAAACAGGCGGAAAAGGGCAAACATGCGGTCCACATCCATGTAGCGCATCAGGTCAAAGAGAGAGGAGCAGTGCACCCGGTACAACAGATGCAAAGTATCTGCCACGTCGCAGTCAACATCGGCCAGTTTGGCCAAGTATGGGTATATAGTGGGCAACGTCAATGGGGCAGCGATCTGAGTAGCGACAGCATGGTCGAGAGCGGCGAAGAGTCCAGGCACATACCGGAGACGGGTTGGAAGCGCTTCGGGCACAGGCGCCGAGCTGACCGGGGTGCCCAACATGGCACGTGGGCTTGCGGCCACCGAGGGAGATGCGTGCAGCAGGGGCGAATCAGCCAATGGCGAAAAGCGGGGGGAAGCAGCCAAATGGGGCGATGCAGCCAACCCATGGGGTGTAGGTGCAAAGCCATGCAGAGAGCCAGGCAAGCAATGCAGGGAGGCGACAGAGCCGTGAGGCAGGTTGGCGGAGCCGTGAGGCAGATTGGCGGAAGTGCGTTCATCCACCAAGCGAACGCCACAGTAGTGGTATTTCGATTTGCCACGGACGCCCAAACGGCGGATTGTCAAGTTTGGGTAGGCTACTCGGACAAGGCGGCCAAAAAGCGCCGGGGCGAGTGGGTGCAAGGCGAGGTCTGCGCAGCGCTGGACGTAGCGCGCGTATACTCTGGTGCGCGGCACCACGGCGGCGGGCGCGTGCTCGCAAGAGCGCTGGATCCAGACCAAGCCAAAAACGTGGGGCGCTCTGTCATGTTTGGAGTCGTGCGGAGAGGAAATGGCTGCCAAAAATGGGTCGTTGGTGTGGCCCGCAGCGGCCAACTTGATTTTGTGGGCCAATTGGGCAAGCGACCATGGGGCAGCGTCTGTGGCTAGGCGGGTCAAGGCGCGCTCAAAGTCGTCCTCGGGGGCAGGCGAAAAACGGTCGCGCGCGAAATGCCCGTCGGGCACTTCGGAATGCGGCGCGGGAAAACCCCCGTCAGGGGGCGGTGCCAAAGGGTGTTCGGGCGGCAAACTTTGTTCGGGCGGCAAACTGTGCTCGGGCTGCAAACTGTGCTCGGGCTGCAAATTGTGATGCGGAGCCGGCAAACGCAGGGGCGCCAAGGGGCCCGAGGGGAAGGCGTCTGAACCGAAATGCTGGAGGTGGAACGAATCGGGGACATGGGGGTCAAGCGGAGTCGTGAGCGGCTGGGGCGATCCGTTCAGCGACGAATGCAGAGGAATGCAAGGGGAGGCCATAAAGAGAAGAGAGAAGGCAGATGAGAAACGAGATCAGAGGCGAGATCAGAGGCGAGATCAAGAGCTCGGAGAAGTGCAGAGAAGAGACAGTATCAGTAATCAGAGAGAAAGCAGGACAGTATCGGAGGCAGCCAGAAACAGTATCAGAGGTAGCCAGAAACAGTAATCAAAAACAGAAATTGCAAGCAATCAGATGAACCAGACTGCTTGGGCCAGGGATGACAATTCAATTGGAACACAGACGGCCGGCGTATCCAGATGGAGAGGAGATGAGTGCAAAAAGGGGATGACGATGACGATAGAAAAAGAAGCGATGCGAGAGATGCCAGGTGATGCAGATGCAGTGGATGCAGAGGCGCCCGAAGGACAATGCTGGAGAATGTGATAGGATGGTGGATCAGACGGAGTGTGTGGAAACAGAAAAAAAGCCCTGCGAAGAGCTGGGCCAAGACACCACAGACGATTATTAGGGCGGGAAAGTCGCACTATCGTCGAGGGCGGTGATGGAGGAGAAACTGGGCGGCCGGGGCGGGACTGCACACGCGCCGTTTAGGGCTATGGGCCTACACGAGATTATTGTATTGGCGGGATTATTTTGTGGCTGGCGGTACACGATGACATTATTTTTTCAATGTGGGGGTGTCTCAGTGGCGACGCTTCGTGTCAGGCTGACATTTGGGGGAGAAATCGGCAGAATGGGCTTCGAGGTGCTGACGCATTGTTGCGGCGACAATTGTCTTGGATATTGTTTAGTCTATTGTATCTGAATCTTGATGTTGTTGGTGATGGTGGGCAGTGCTGGTTGCTTCGTCTTCTCCTCTTGGTGCCATTAACTAGATGTTGATTTTTCTTGTCGTGGTTTTTTTCTGTGGGCCACTTGCCTGGTTTAGGATTCTACCAATGACATCTTGCAACTAGCAAAAGCCGAGACCCTATTCCGAAATAACAGTGGTCACAGTAATGTAAGATTAGGCAATTGCGTGTTTGCAGACAACTTTTCGGAATTGTTTTCGTTTTTCCACCCGGCCTCCACTCATGGTATTGGTGTCAAATGGGAATTCCGCTCAACATATCTACAATGGCATTGTTGGCCAACCGCGGTTAGCACACAGACTTTGCTGGGAACCGAATAAGCCAGGAAAAGACCAAAGAGATCAATGAATCAAATAAAGTAAAATTGCACCTAGCTGATGCCAGATGGTGAACATGTCTCCAATGGTACCAGCTTTTCACGTTCTTCCGTTTGCCCAATGGTGAAACGAATACGGAATGGAACATTCACGTGTTGAATTAAACATAGTTATCGAAAATTGATGGACCTAGTATTCCCTTCTAAAAATTCTACATCGACAGTGTTTCTCCATCTGGTGGTTTTCTTCTGATCTTTGGCTGAATGATATTCAGTAACATCCTAGGCAATATGGTGACCTATGCCTGGCGTAAGGTGAAGTCATAGCTATGTTTCTACTTAATTCAGTCTAGTGCATTTTATTGATTTTCAATTACTACTCAAGCTGATGGATAATGCAAGAGCCAGAGAACATCGCATCCACCTGTTCGGTCATGCAAAAGTCTGCTCTTCCAAACGTTTACATTTGGAAACGTAGTTCGTTTGCCGAGTCTACATACATTGATTATCGATTCATAAACACTTATTTGTTACGTCACTTGTAGCTCTCTAATTATACAAGAGCTGCGTTAGACTATAACTCTTCATCATTTACTCTTTTCCTTAATGGTGCTTTAGCTTAAAAAGAATTTTACGCCATTGTAGTTGATACACTAATTCTTACCTCTTGGTAATACTACTAATACTTACCTCTTGGTACTTTAGACTACTTTCTAAGAACAGAAATGCTTCCGAATTCTATGGCAATCCACACTTTTAACCAATTCGGTAATCTAGACTAGACTGAGGATCAAAAACTTTCCGAAACGAAAAAATCGGAAACACGACAATAATATCTTCTAGATAGTAGCCTAATATGGCTGAAGGCCATTCACGGCATGCATACTGCATACTGGGCAAATGCCCATCGGGTGAAATGACTCTTGTACTGGTTCAAAACAAAACCAAACGCTGTAATGAAAATCAAATCACCAAATCTACCAACAGTATAGGGACATTTTGTATCAACACTTGGAATAGCCAAAAAAGAAAATCATAGCCCATCACGGCATCGGGCATGTATGCAGACCGTGGGGTCTTCTCGCACAAGAAAAAAAAGATGGCATCGCTCAACCACAAGATGGCCATTTTAAACTCCAACCCTGAGGTGCTTTTGCGGAAGCGGAAAGATGCCGACAGAAAGAGAATCCAGAAGCAAGAGGCTTTGAGAGAAGCTAACGAGAAAAAAACCAGAAAAAGCTTGGTTGCAAGAGACAAGTTTCTCAGAGCAGAAAAGTTGGTGATCAGAAGCCAGGCCAATGCCGTGGAAGCGAAAAGATTGAACAACATTCTCAAGCACGAAGCAAGACAGGCGGTGTCGGCCCGCAAGGAGATCACCCCGAAGCTCGTGTTTGTTATCCGCACAGAAAACTTGAACAGAAATGTGACCATTCCTCAAAAGGCTGAAGCCGTGTTCAAAGTGTTGCGCTTGCCCGAACCGAACATGGGTGTTTTCGTCAAGTTGACGCAAACCGTGGTTCCCGCATTGAAGCTTGTGGCTCCGTATATTGTGGTGGGCACCCCATCTTTGGCTTCTGTGCGTGATCTTTTCCACAAGAGAGCTTGCATCGTGTCGACCGACGAGGAGGGCAACGAAACCGAGGTGAAATTGAACAACAACCAGCTTGTTGAAGACAAATTCGGAGACGACTTGGGCTACATCTGTATTGAGGACGTGGTGCACGAGCTTGTGTCGTTGGGGGAGAACTTCAAAACGGTTTCTCGCTGGATTGCTCCATTTAAATTGACTCCACCGGTCCTGGGATGGGGTCCGTTGGCCGCATTGAACAAAATCAGATACGAGAACGAGCACAAGAAGCCCATTTCTTTGGCAGGCCATGTGCAGTTGGAGGAGATTGACATTGACAAGTTCATAGAGGAGCAGAACTAGCATTTGGGTAGTAATGGAACCAGTAAGAAAGAAATACGCTTTCTTTGTGTAGTCCACGGATAGGTCTTTTGTTTAACATGGTTGTATGAACTTCAGTCATGGGCTGTTGGCAATGGAAGAGAGGGTTGAGAAGTATACTTCTGCAACTTGCACAGATACGTGTAATTCAAATGGCATTTACACTTTACGAACTTTGTATCTACTGCCCACAGAAGTATCATACCATAGAATACGTCGCTTTATTATTAGTGTATCAATACACAGTTACAAGCACTCTAAAGACCAGCCGAAAAAAAGCAAAAGTAACTAAGTAGGTCAATACCTAGAAGGATCATGTGCGTTGTTTTGTTATCATTAGAGAAATACGAATTGACATGTTGCACATTTCAGTAAAACACTCGAATATTATAGCAAGAAGGACAACCTATTCCCTTCTTTGAAACACTGGTTAGAACAATATTCAATGTAGTTTCTTACGACACTTAAACTGAGAATCTCCAGAAATTGAAGCTTTTTTAACAAAGAAGTCTCACCAATACAGAAATCGTCGAGCCATGAGATATGAACTTCAGGAGACTCCATCAGAATAAAATCGGCCAACGTCGAGAAATTCCATACACTGTAAGTTCACCACAACGAAGAAAAACGGCTCAAATGCATCGTTCCTAATCTATATTCATCGAGTTACCACGTATTCGCTTTGTGAACACAGGTATTACTTTTATGTGCTTGAACAGAATATATTGAACAAAGTAAACAATTTCATTTACGTTCGAGCTGCATTCAGAAGAGCAGAATCCCTAAGACAGAGTCAAAAAAAAAAACTAAACATTTTTTGCTAGTTTCGGCCTTCTTCCCCAAGTTGGCTCATTTCTTACATTTATCCATACATTGTTAATCGCGTTCCCATCAATCGCGCATTTCTTCTTCATCTCATGTTTAGCGTCTACAATCAGATATCGACACCTCAAGACCATGTATACAAGTTGGTGCAGCTTCCGCCTTCCTTGCTTGAGCTTATGAAAAGTTCATCATCTGAAAGCCTTGAGTTCAAGGCGCCATCCTCGGCCAAAAACCACTTGGTTATATGCTCAGACTCCGAAACTTACACAGTGCGCCAGATGAACCACTCCAACACGGTTTTGCTTCTCAATGATATGGCACCGAACCCGCTAGAAAAGCGTCTTGACCATTTGGTGCCGTCTGAGGCCGCAGATCGGATTTTACTCGGTGTGGGGCTGTCGTCTTATGAATATGAACTTACACCAACAGAAGGATATATCGACACGCTGGATGTGCCTATGTACGATGGAACGGCAGTGCCGAAGTCAGCTAAGACCGTTGAGACTGTTCTTGCGGATCTGCCAATCGCTAGAGAAAAGTTCCGCCACCAGTGGCATCGGATATTGGGATGCGAAATAGAAGGAGTAGCCGTCCTTCTTTCGCCGCAGTTTGTTACTGATGCTCTCTACACGCTAATTTCTGTCCTTGTGGCCGAGAGACAGACTGCCTTTGATGTTCTGGACGTGGCACCACGCGTGCAAGAGGAAAACCCGAAAATCACATCTGCTGTTGTCAATACGCTAGCAGAAAGATTCTTCCGGCGGCTGAATTCTGTGTACGAGCTTGATGAGACGGAAATCGCAACCTGGTTTGGAATCGAAACGCTCAAAAAGACTCTGAGCCCTGTTTCGGACAATGAGTTACTACTCGAGTGGAAGTCTAGTCTTCCGCCTTTTTTCACCGCTCCTTTGGACTTGGCGCTTCTTCGAGGATTCTATTGCCGCCCGGTAACAGGAAAGGTACGTTATTTGGCACGAAACTCACTTTCACCGGAGATCCATGCTCGAATCAAAGAAATGTTCCAAATGGTACGCGAATGGGATTACGACGAGTTTCTACCATTTGTCGCAGAGTTCATTCCACCGTCAAAGAAGGCGGACTCTGTTTTGCTCAAATATACCCGGAAGAGACGGGTAGGCAAGAAGGTGCTTGTGGGACCCAGATAATGATACAGACACACGGAAACAACAAGAGCTGCAGACAAGATACGGAAAAAAAAAAAAAAAAGAAAGACAAAGTAACGATTAAAGGCAACTGACAGCTGACAGACACATGACTGAATGATCTAGTATTGGCTGGTATCGAGCAACTAATTGGTATTGGCCGGTAGTGATTGGCATTAATCGTCACGTGTGGCTACACTGTGCGCTTCTAAAATTTCAGAATGCAGAAAGGTACAGAAGAATGTTGCAAGACAAAAATAAAGGATCCAACTTTTACCGGAAACTAAGCGAAAACCAGTACAGAATCTCGCATTGATGTAGACTGCATGTGTGGTGCAGTCTGGTTTTCGTGTTGAAATGCGACTCGGCCGACTCAGCTTTCTCTTTTATGGATAACACGTCTTTTCTCATTTCGCTTGTGGTACGTTTCTTATGTGTTTTTTTGCTCTTGCGCAATTGCAGCTTTAGATTCTTCTAACACCCCTAGAGCGGCGGCTGTGCCGGAACTTCGACGGATCTCGTCTTTTTCCCCATTGACACTTTGAAAACCCGTCTACAGGCCAAAGGCGACTTTTTCGCTAACGGTGGCTGGCATGGAATTTACAAAGGCTTAGGTTCGTGCGTGGTGGCTCTGGCCCCCTCGGCGTCCTTGTTTTTCATCACATACGACAGCCTTAAGGCTTACACCAAAGACAAAATGCCTGCGGCTTTCAGCCACATGACCAGTGCGTCTGCGGGCGAGATAGCAGCATGTTTGGTTCGTGTACCTGCGGAGGTCGTGAAGCAGCGCACTCAAGCGGGCGTTTTGGGCCCGAAAACGTCGTCATGGGCCAACTTGCAGTATTTGCTTCAGAACAAGTCTGGCGAAGGTGTCTTGCGTGGGCTCTATCGAGGATGGAACACGACTATCATGCGGGAGATTCCGTTCACGATGATCCAGTTCCCGTTGTATGAGCAGCTCAAGAAAACGTGGTCTGCGTACGACAAGACAGAAATCTCCCTCTTGAAGGGCGCGATTTGCGGCTCTATCGCCGGTGGAATTGCTGCTGCAGCTACGACTCCCTTAGATGTTGTGAAGACACGCATCATGCTTCACAAAGAACGCATTGGTGTTGTGCCGTTGGTGCGGCAGATTTTACACGAAGAGGGACCTCTGGTGTTCTTGAACGGAATTGGCCCTAGAACGGCTTGGATTAGCGCAGGAGGCGCCATATTCTTGGGCTGTTATGAGCTTGTGCATACCAACTTAGAGACATATGCGGCAAAAGAACGTTTGCATGAATAATAGAAATGGACCAGGAGTATGAATAGACTATGACGCACAATACAGGTTATGATATAGGCCTTCTAGATGAAGAAAGGATCTTGAGTACTAAGGGCATGGTAGATAATTTCGTTAATTAGACAGACGACGAAATTGATGCTTAGAATGGCTGAAGTTACCAAAGGCTCCGTCTGTTCCCCAAAATATAATTTATTGAGGAAGAGACTGACATTCGCAAAGGTGCTCAATGTTTAGCAGATAAATAGACCATACAGCAGAAGATAATTTATATCCATAAATTAGAGTATAAGGCTATCCCAAGATTAATTTAAGGCTCAGCAGCACACACAGAAAAAGCGTAGCCTCCTTAGTCCATTTGAAATGTATGACTTCTTTTTGAGCAATCATGCTTCTTAGTTCCTCAAATCAATACCGAAACATTAGGTTTGTCAGTAGAATTTAGAATTACAGAATTGAAATGAGACTTTCCTTACGAGAATATTAAGATACTCCAAAACAGGGTCTAGATTATTCCGAGAGTTTTTACGGATTTAAATACTAATTCTTTTATTGGAAAAGTTTCTGAGCTCTTTGTACGCCATGATATATTTTTACGAGAGATACAAATTTAGCGACGTATTTTACAATCAGTTTCCAAAGCGAGATGGATGATCTAGATCTATCTATATCTAAGCTTCGCGCACAAGATTATTCAGCAAGATAGCCAAAAGAAACTGCGACTCACAATCACACGCAGCCACACCAAAAAAGAAACCAAAGGAAAACTCCACAATAGCAAAATGAGAGAGTAGAATAAAAAACAAAAGATAAAAAGGTTTTCGACAAAGCAAAGGCGAATATCCAAATTTTGTAGGCGGGCGCAATTCCGCTCAATGTTTCTTTTCTCCGATCGGGCCGTTTCTTCGGACAACGGAGCCGTGAGAATTTGGGGTAATGGTATGCACACGACTTGCGCGGCAAACCATCACCAATTTAAATCACCTCTATAAGTCGAAGGGAAAAAAAAACACTACACTACTGTTGTCTTTTCTTCAATGTTTTTCAGACCGGTTAGAGGCGTTCTGAGAATAGTGCGCCATGCCCGGATAAGCGCAAGGCCGCTTGCAACTTCTGTTCCCGAGGGCATATCCATTTCGCTCAAAAACTCAACCAGAGATGATTCCAAGTACGGAACCAGACCAATCTATTTGGACGTCCAGGCAACCACGCCGACCGACCCACGGGTCTTGGATAAGATGTTGCAGTTCTACACTGGCTTATACGGAAACCCCCACTCTTCGACGCACGCGTACGGATGGGAAACAGAAAAAGAGGTGGAAAAAGCCCGTGGATATGTGGCCGATGTGATTGGCGCCGATCCCAAGGAGATCATCTTCACCTCAGGCGCCACCGAATCAAACAACATGGCCATCAAGGGTATTCCTCGGTTTTACAAGAAGACCAAGAAACACATCATCACAACACAAACAGAACACAAGTGTGTTTTGGACTCGGCCAGACACATGCAAGACGAAGGATTCGACGTGACGTATTTGCCCGTCTCCTCTGAAGGGTTGATCAGCTTGGACGATTTGCGCAATGCCATCCGCAAAGACACTGTGCTTGTTTCTGTCATGGCGGTGAACAATGAAATTGGTGTGATCCAGCCGTTGAAGGAAATCGGCCAGATCTGCCGGGAAAACAAGATTTTTTTCCACACCGATGCAGCCCAAGCGGTGGGTAAAATCCCCATTGATGTCAATGAAATGAACATCGACATGTTGTCCATTTCCTCTCACAAAATTTATGGTCCTAAAGGTATTGGTGCTGCTTACGTGAGAAGACGCCCAAGAGTCCGGTTGGATCCAATCATCACTGGAGGCGGCCAAGAGCGTGGTTTGCGTTCGGGTACTTTGGCTCCAGCCTTGGTGGCCGGTTTTGGCGAGGCTTCTCGTATCATCAAGAAAGAAATGCCTTACGACTCGGCTTACATCACCAAGCTCTCGAAAAAATTGAAAGAAGGCTTGTTGTCTATTCCTGAAACGCAGCTCAACGGTGTTGTGTCCGACTCATCCAAGCAGTATGCTGGTTGTGTTAATATCTCCTTTGCCTACATTGAAGGTGAATCGCTTTTGATGGCTTTGAAAGATATCGCCTTGTCCTCGGGTTCTGCCTGTACATCGGCTTCCTTAGAGCCATCCTACGTCTTACATGCTTTGGGTGCAGATGACGCTTTGGCGCATTCTTCGATCCGTTTCGGTATTGGCCGTTTTACCACAGAAGCCGAGATCGACTATGTGATCCAGGCCATCCACGAGCGCGTGGAGTTTTTACGTAAAATGTCCCCATTGTGGGAGATGGTGCAGGAGGGTATCGACTTGAATTCCATCGAGTGGAGCGGACACTAGCTTATTTATTGGTGCATGGGAGTTTGTTTTGGTGTCGTTTGTTTATAGTAATTGATTGGGTGGCAGAACTGAAGTAGAATACCATTGAACTTCGAGTCGTAGTTCAGGGCATATGGAAGCATAATTTTGAGTTTGTCATCTTGTAAAGAGCCTCTGAATGAAGCATGATATCTTGGTTCAGTGTCGATTCATCTGGTCAAACAAAGTTTTAAGCAAAGAGGTTAATAGGGTCAAAACCTACAAATCTATATATTTCGTTCATTTAACTAGGCAGCCTATACTCTTTGATTGCAACAGCTGATCCATCAACGAAAAATTCATGTTACTGAATACACTTTTGTCTACCTTCAACTTCGTTTCATCCTTTCAACCAATTTACTAATAGGCTTTTTTTTTCGCAGCTTGTCTCACCTGGCCATAGTATGCGAGAATGCGACTTGACTGTGACTAATACGTCGCATTTTTAGAAGCGACAACGGCAATGCAAAATGTCCTGATTGGCTACGACTAGACCTCTCAATACTGTCTGTTCTTAGTCGATGGAATCAACGTTCAGCCCTACTTTTCACTTTCAACATTTTTGGCCCTGTTCCGTCCAGCATATGTCCCGGACCGGAGACTCTTCCACGTGATCGGCCCGCTACCGGCCTCGTTTTCCACATAAAATCACCGTTTCGCCAAATCTGCAAACCAAAATGTCTTCTACCACTAAAACTATCACACTTCTTCCGGGCGACCACGTGGGTGGCGAAATCGTCGACCAGGCCGTGCAGATCCTCAAAGTCATCGAAGAGTACACTCCCTTCCAGAAAATCAAGTTTGAATTCAAAAGCCACTTGATTGGCGGCGCTGCCATTGACGCCACGGGCTCGCCTTTGCCCGACGAGTCGTTGGAGGCTGCTAAAAAATCGGATGCTGTTTTGCTTGGAGCCGTTGGCGGGCCCAAATGGGGCACGGGTGCTGTCAGACCCGAACAAGGATTGTTGAAAATCAGAAAAGAACTTGGACTCTATGCCAACTTGCGTCCTTGCAACTTTGCGTCGGACTCCCTTTTGGAGCTTTCTCCATTGAAGGCAGAAGTGGTCAAGGGCACCAACTTCACTGTTGTGCGTGAGTTGGTGGGCGGAATCTATTTTGGAGAGAGGCTGGAACAAGAAGAGTCCGCAGACAAAGACGTGGCATGGGACACGGAAAAATACAGCGTGGCGGAGGTCACTCGTATCACAAGAATGGCTGCTTTCATGGCTTTGCAACACAATCCTCCTTTGCCCATTTGGTCCTTGGATAAAGCCAACGTTTTGGCCTCTTCCAGATTGTGGAGAAGAACAGTCGACAAGGTCATGTCGGAAGAGTTCCCTCAATTGACTGTTAACCACCAGTTGATTGACTCTGCGGCCATGATCTTGGTCCAGAGCCCTACCAAGTTGAACGGTATTGTCATCACATCCAACATGTTCGGAGATATCATCAGTGATGAAGCTTCGGTGATCCCAGGCTCTTTGGGTCTTTTGCCTTCTGCGTCTTTGGCTTCTTTGCCGGACACAAACTCTGCTTTCGGTTTGTACGAGCCATGCCACGGTTCTGCTCCTGACTTGCCTCCTAACAAGGTCAACCCAGTGGCTACTATTTTGTCTGCGGCCATGATGTTGAGATTGTCTTTGGACTGCGTCAAAGAAGCAGAAGCGTTGGAAAAAGCTGTTGGTGTAGTGTTGGATTCTGGTGTCAGAACAGCCGACTTGAAGGGCTCCAGTTCCACCCAGGAGGTGGGTCTGGCCATTGCTGAAGCTCTCAAAAAGATCTTGCAAGAGTCTGCTTAAACAGAGTCGCTGGTCCACATCTACTTATAGCTCTCAATGTATACCTTCTGTTGGTCAAAAGAACAAGCAGATGTAGGAGATATATAGAGAGGTATCCTCATAGTACGTGTAAACTCAAAAGTGCAAGAAGTTTTGGAGTCAATGAAGGGATCTGCTTATTATCCGGATAGAAAAAGTTCAAGAGCTCTTTTATGAAGATATTGAAATTTAAAGATATTGATATGTCTCCACACGACATTAGGTCACGTATCTTTTTCTGGTTAAAAGATTTCGGTGAGAATTGTAGCCATATAACTGTCTCTTTGTGATTAGAGTACAATATGCTGTAATCAATCCATTTGCTATCTTAAGAGACCGAAATATGTGTTATTCGTTCCTTTGAAGGTGAAATATTTGTTCAGCTAAGATACGTTTGACACTGTTCAAACAGTACAAATATGATTTTTTAGATGGATATGCTACTATAACTCATGCGTAGAAGTACCATGTTTGGATGGTGAAGAAACATGAAAAGGCCACAAGACTGTGCTTCACTTGACTTTTCACACCAATGATAAATCAAATTGGAAAATGTAAGAGGAAATGATGTGACATTAACCCGCTTGCAATAACTGTTTTTGACACAGGAGTAGAAATATAAAAGATTTGTATGCACTGATACGAATGCGTGGAAGATGTTCATGCACCAGTACCTTAATTTAATCTTGCAGACGGAACAAAACTTCTAGTGGTATTTCCAATGTACAAATCAAATCTACACACATATCTTCGTGCATGACTAATTATTATTCAACCTCGAATGAGGCTGCTTCTACAAATACAGCTGCTTCTACAAATTCTGTGGGCGAAATCCGTTTATTTATACTAAACTAGCCAGCTAGACGCACAAGACGAAAGCCGCCCATTTTTTTGGGTTTTAAGAACAAAGTCAAAGTGTTCGCTGGTTTCCAGCTCAGGCAATGACACAATTGTAGAAGTACCAGCCCTTAGGAGTGTGTACGTTTATCCCACCGTGGTCCTTGTCGGCAGTAGAAGTTTTGTTCTTGGATTGAGAAGTAGTTTGAGCGGCCATTGTTGAATGTTTGATTTTTGGATGAGGGAGAAAAGAAGAGAATTCCTGGCCTTTTTATATTTTTTTGCCAGCTTCTGGATTTCTATTGACCTTGCCTATTGGGGCGCTCTGACACTTGCATGAACTTTCTGTTTCGCACAACGAATTCGGCACCGACAATCAGATCATGAAGGATTAATGCTAAATGCAATTGCCAGAATAGAAGTGGATTTTCAAACTTGAAACAAAGCTATTGCTGATAAGAGGATCTTGGCAAAAATAAAATTCTGAGTTGCATGGTGAATTTGAGTTTTTATGGAAAAACGTACAGAATGTGGGTCAACCGATATAACTAATTCTGCGAAATGTTTCAGTATTAAGAGATAAGGTGGTTCTAAAGAATGACCACCTTAGTGGTTAAGCAGATGAATTGTGGTATCAGCGTTGAAGATATTCTCAGGGATTGAGTAGTTCCTCATTATGATAAAGGGCATTGGGTGGTTTGAGCATTCTGGGCTTCATTGCTACTAGCTATTAATGTATTAGTGGGAACTTAGTTTGGCGTGTATTGAGCATAGATAAAAAGGATAAAAAAATACAAGGCGACACTGCTACGGACCTTCAGTTCCATTACGTCAAATTGGCCAAGGCTCAACGAATAATAATTCAAGCTCGTACTTAATGGATTAGCGTATGTGAAAACTCGCTCAACGGAAAAATGTTCCTGGAATTACAATGACCAAGTATAGTGTTATAACTGCTTTTATATTCTACATGAGCATGTCTCGTATGTCATTGAAAAAAATTATTATATCACTATCGTACTCGTACATGATAATTCCCACTGAATAACTTCCTTTAAATTGGCTTATAACTCCAAGTTGCCGTTTAGGATATCTGAAAGGAAAGCAACAGACTCCAAACGCAAACCGAGACTCAGAGTTTCTTCCTTAACAGGTTGATGGAGTTCGTTTTGCAAAGTTCGCTCACTTGAAAGCGATCTCGAAAGGTTGTGTTTTTTCGCTCCTCCGTCTTGCTCAATAAAGTAGCTCACCGTGTGGATAAAGTCACTTGAAGAGAAAAATTCCTCGTCAGAAGTGCTATGGTTCTCCACCTGTAAAGATTCCGCAAGCAGAATGTTTGGGTTTGAGGACAGCAATTGGCGTCTTTGGCCAAGAGCATTCTCTTTACCGTTACTAGCATGGGGAACAATTTTAGTGCTTCCGCTTGACGAAATCAGGCTCTCTGACTCACGGTCGCCAAAGTTCAAGGACCCATCCAGCAATGTTTCCGATCCAGGGCTGAGGTCGCCATCAATTGGATCGAGTTTGGTTGATAAGGTCATTGATATAGAGCGGTCAAGATTCACCCCGTCCAAGTCAAAGTCTTGGTCAAGTTGAGACTCAAACTGCTGGACAATCTGTTCTGGAGTCAACGATTGCACGGACTCTTCTCTCTCCATTTCTCGCAATACCGGAAGATGGTGGATTCGAATACTATCCTGGTGACTATCACCCGTATAATGATCACCGGATGTTGTAGTTCCCGTAGAAGTATCAAACTGGTATGCCTGCGCCCGCATGTACAGAGGAGCCACATCAATGACGTCTTCTGTGTCCATGTGTGCTTCTTCCTTCATGGCACGGATTTCCGCTTCAAGGTTGGAAGAGTTTTCTCTTGCCAAAGAAACCCAGTTGCTCGTACCATCAGATGAAAAAATGCTGTTCGGTATAGCATCGTACATTTTGTAGCGATCATGAACCTCAGGCAGAACACCTATTGCCGTGATATTATCGAGAGCATTGGCAATTTCTTGGCTTGAAGCGACTCTTTTGGCTGTTGGTTCTTCTTTTTTAGGAGAAAGCTTTATGACAAGAGCGTCACTTGCTCTAACCTTGCCAACATCCAACATGCTGGGCTTTGGCATGACAAACTCAACTACTTCGTTTTCGTCCTCAACGATTTTCTTTTCGCCGTCTTCACCTTGGTTAACCACAACAGCTGCATCATCCAATGGACTGTACACTGTGGTGTCAACACTTCCAGGTTGTTTCAATGTCTCTTCTTCGATTGTACTTTGATGCAGTGTGTTTTCTTCTAGTGGAGCTGCAGGGAATTTGAATTGTGCATTCACGTCCAAAGATTCTGAATAGTTTGAAGAAGACGTTGTTCCTTGCGAAACGTTTCTCGCATCATTCTGATCTGGAGTCTTTAGTGTTGTATCACTCGTAACTGCTTTTGTATCCGGCGATGTTTCCGCCCTCTTAGCAATTTTTACTTGAGACTCTGCATTGCCCGGTAATTGAATTGCTGGTGTCGCTGGTACGGAACTTGCTATTGACGCATCTCGAAGCAGAGGATCTGGCTTGTATAGTTTTTTGTAAACCTTTGATTTACCTCTGGGTATAGGTGTATCAGCGATATACCTCTCTTTTTCACTTCTCGTCTTCTGTGCCTTGATGGGCTGCTCTTTGTTTTTGAATATTCCTAAAAGTTTAAAGAGACCTGATTTCCGTCTTTCCGATTTGCCACTTCTTCTTACCTCGGTCTTTGGAGTATTGCCGTGAGTAATCTTTGGAGAGTTTGAACTTTTGATCTCATGTTCAATCTTTGGAGTGGTGTGAGTTATGTCATTATTTTCCTCCTCAACTTTACCAGTGTCGTTCTCTTCATTTTTACGGCAAAAGGTGTCTATGAAAAATTCAAGACAGCTCCAGTTTCCGTCCGTCAATATCGTAGAAAAGTAACTCGAATGGAACATTGCATCTATTGCCTTTGAGACAATTTCTTTGAGAGAAACTTTCAAGTCATCCAATGCAACAATCTCTTCAATTTTCAAATTCTCTTGACGGTCCTGGCCCAATAAATTAACAGTGTGCTCGTTAAGCAGCGTAACTGACACTGCAAAGAAAATCAGATTGTTTTGTCTCATTAGTGCCGTCAAATCGCTCTCTTCCATGTTTAGAAGTAGAACAATGGGAGATTTAGATACTTCCTTCTCATACACTAAGATCTCATGAGCACAGAAATATCTTTGGAGATCACCTTCTTCGTGCTTGAAAAGATGGAATGGTGTCGATTTGCATAGCACCTGTGCTTTGCTCACGAGGTCCATTATCCTATTGCATATATCAAGAGAATCTTTTCCCAGCGGTATTTCGTAAACTTGTAGGAACAGGATTTCAGTAGCATCTCTATTTTTGAAATGATTTCCATTTAGGGTGGTGAACGAAACACAATGACCGTTTGCACTCTCAAAGCGTCTCACTTCTAAGTCATTAATTTGACACCAATACTTGACGCGGAGTTTGGGGAAAGTGGAAAGCTTCGGAAGTGGCTTTTGGTTGACCAAAGAGTTCATGAGAATATCGGGAAGAATGTTTGTGATTTCGCTGCTAGAAGGTTCTAGGATCTCAAGGAAAAGCACATGGTCGGAAAATATGATGGCAACTTCTAATCCCAAAGAATCGGATGTACGTTTCACATTCAAAAAATTGAAAATGCCAACAACCTTTCTCGAAAGCCAGCCATATTGTAACTCAGTAGGCCATTCGGTGGCTAACTCGGTGAGAATCTTGCCTGAAGGCGTGAAAACTCTAGTCTTTGGGCTTGGCTGGGTTTCATTATAACCAAAGGAATCGATCACTTGCATTGCTGCAGCATAGTAGTTGTCGATGTCGTCATCTTCTTTCTTAGCACATGAATCTTCAAAACCAGAATCTTCAAAATTCTGCGCTTTGGCTTTCTCCTCCTTGACTGTTTCGTACAATCTCTTGATTATAAGCTTCAAACGCGGAAGTTCAAGAATGGACTCTGCGATAGACGTTTTGATGCTGCGAGGAGTCATGTGGTGGGCATTGATGGTCTCTGACTCAAAAGCATACGCATAGTTGTGACTGACGAACTTCTCGAAGCGCGAGTTAAAATTGGCAAGGTTTGCTTCGTGACGAACAAATGCCTTGTAGAAGAAGCGAAGAAAAGAGCCCAAGACCTTGAATATTTCCACATAGCCGTACTTGCTTGCCCTGTTCAACAGATCGTGGACTATGCAATTGACTCTGGTGATTTCGTCGATTGTAGGGGGGAAGGCCAGGTTCACCTTCATCATTCCAGATGAAGAAGAAGACGAAAGAACACTGACACGAAGAGGAATGATGAAATTTTGTAGCAAGTCGACAAGGTCCGTAGTATAATTTGCCTGCACTGTAAGCAACTCTTCGATGACTCTCTGGACGTTTTCGTTGTGGCCCAAGACAGGTTTCGTTGGGTTCTCTGGGGTTTTATACTCAATGTCCATCGCCTGAGGAGAATACTCTAGCAAGGGGTCGAAAAGCTGCTCCAATTGCTCTCCGAGATGCATGACAAGCTTGTTGTTTTCCGCTGCCGTCGTGGAGTCTTCTGGATCGGACGGATTGGCATACACCACATCCACCATAAGCGACGGAATGGTTTGGTCTTGTATGAGGCCCAAGGAAAGAAGCTTTTCGCCCAAGTCTCTGGCAGGTAAATCTATACTTTCCATCGACGCCGCCAAGGCCCCCGCATTGGTTTCGTCCCAGTGCTGCGTCACTTGCACAAGCCCTTTATTGTTCCAGAGCTGATTGTAGTTCTTCAAATTGGACACGGCCAACGCCCGGCGAACATTGGAGCGCCGCATGTTCTCGGGAAGATTCTCGCAGGCGGGCCAAAAGCGAGATGACGAGTCGAGAATGAGGTTTTCGTAAACATTGCACCCGTACTTGGACACGGAAAGCGTACATAGTTTGTCTGTGGATGGATTTTTGTACACGACAGTCAAAACGGGCCCGAAAAGCGACTCGTCGGCGCCAACGAAAAACGCAGCGTTTTCAAACACAGAGCGCCAGTAATCAATGGTTTTCGCTGCATACTCGCCGGATTCTGGCGTATCGAAACAGGAAGAAAGTGGGCGGAGCTTTATGTGGCCCGAGGCCAGCAGCTGGGTGAAATGTCGTTTGTCGTGCTCACGTGAGGCATACCGGCGGTAAATGTCCATTGTGGATTTGCTGAAGAAACGAAAGTATGGTGGTGATGGGTGTTTTTACGTTGCAGACATGTGTAGATGTGTCTACCCAAAAGAGCAAAGAGGTAAACATGCGAGAGTCGCATGCACGCCAAAAAGTTCGCTCGTAAATAGGCTGAAAAAGAAAATTAAGAAATGACAAAGGTCAAGTGACTGCAATGTGCCAGATAGGCTGGCTTTGTTTGTTGTTGGCGTGCCATGGAAATCTCTATTTCTTTCCCTATTCGGTCTCTGTGTTTTTTGTTCGTCTTGTCTTCTGTCCCATGTTGTCTTTTATTGATCTCGCGGCCGATAATAAGATGCAATGCGGCCGAAAATCTCAATCACATCTTGCGCTAAGATGGATGACATAACGCACTGTGAAATTTTTTTGCTTTCGGTTTCTGTCTGTTAGAGCCACTTTGTTTGCGCCACTTTGTTTGAGCTGCTTTGTTTGAGCTAGTTTTTTTCTCACTTATTGTCCTCTTTCCCAGTCAATTTTTCAGTTGTCTCGTTCAGTAGCAAAAAGAAAGCCCGATGCGGGGCTCGAACCCGCAACCTTTTGATTGACCTTATGAAGATTAAGAGTCAAATGCTCTACCGATTGAGCTAACCAGGCTTGTTGAAAACCTAACGGCTGCGGTATATATATCAAGCTCCTTCTATTCAATTTTTGTAGTCTGTACAACCAGTGACTTACAAGAGATATAGAAGTGTGCTCACTTCGCTTTGTGTCAAGGACTCGTATCAATCTATACTCATACCAAATTACCGAACCTTGATTTAGTTACTTAGTGCTACATCATCATTCTCAAACAAACTTCTGAGTGAAAAGGTTCTTTATACTAATCAGGCGATAGCCACTCGGAGTAATTTGCCGTAAAATCAACGACAAACACTGCAATACTAAATAAGTTCAAGATGGTATACTTCTCATATGTCTTTCACATCTTCGCTAATCTAAAGGAACGGCATTTGATGTTAGAATCTTTTTTTGATTGATGGGTTGCTTCCTGCTTCATAGTACTTTCCTAAAAGTTTGCTTAGTGTATCGGTCATCTGTAATTATATCAGGTAATGTTCTCGCATGGTCTGTCATCAATCGGTATCAGGTAATTTTTTGTATGGTCTGCCATTGCATTCGTCAATTACGTAGTCTTGGCTTCCTTTACCAACTGCCAAATTGCGGTGCCAGCTCAACTTAGCGTCACTGTACGTGGGTCAGTCGGAACACCATCTGAACCAACGCCGTTTTCGGCCATTTTGTTCCGGAAGTACGTGAGTCTGGCTTCGTCAAACGACAATTGCTGTGCCTCCATCAAAGCCTGGATTTCCTCTCGGGCGTTCTCGTCTAAAGACCTCGGGTCCTGCGCCCTGATGTTGGCTTCAATGTCGAAATTGTCACTCGTTAATCCATTTTCCAAGTCTGCCTGAAAGCCTCTGCGCCAAGAACGTGAATTGCGCCAGCTTGAGTATCGGTCAATCAAGGGCCGGCGGAAGTAAAAAGCCACTGCTAATATGGCTAGTATGAAAATCGAGAGAAGAAGCATCTTGGAGGAGACAGTTCCGTGATCGCCTGCATGTGTGAAATGGGCCAGGTAATTAATAACCATTTTGAGTTTGCGGACATATTGAGCTTCGGGATATATGCTCTAGGAAGATATTATTCGGAATATATGGGACATGGTATTTTATGAGAGATGAGACCAGATGAGAAATGGACCAGTTTGAGGCTAGTTAAATCTACTTTAACGAGATGCGGTATAGTTTTTCAGTGCATTATTACTGATTGTGACTAATTAATTCTCTAATATCCGAGAGGTGACACCAAGTATATTTTTCATCATGTACTTGAGAAAAGTCCACAAGTAGTGTGGTCAGTTCTTTATTGGAAGGCTACTTAACAGTGTTTATATTGGCGTCATCTTTCATTTGGTCTGATGAAGTCTCAAGCTGTCATATCTGTATTAAACTTTGAATTATAAATCGTACGTTCCTGAATCTGCTCTGTTCAGTAATCATAAAAGAATGAAGTTTCATACTTCATAATACCATTTACTTACTGTCTTCCAGAAACCTCGGCTACTACAATATCTGAATGGCTGAGCCTCATAAACAGAATTGTCCATGTCTTTTTGTTTGGTTTTTTTCCGTCTGCCCTATTATGTGGATTTTATTAACGGTAACTTGTTGTAGCAACATACTTATGATTACCCTTTTTCGAGCAGTTGATACGAATACATACTTACACAAGAACTTCGAATAAGCTTTTCAATGTGGTTCAAATCATTCTTTTCAAATTTCAATTAGATCGTCACCTACCAGTCACTTACAATATAGATCCGCAGTCTTATGCATCTGAAACACAACTGCTTAAGAACAGACTATTCTCATCTATCGCTACATCAGTTTCCAAAGCAAAAAGCTCCTATATTTAACAGCTATGGCACTTCACGGTGCTTTTCTAATTCATCTCTGCCTCTGGCGCTTGAGCGGCTTCTTCAACCGGCTGGCCTTCTGGATCGGCGTCTGTCATTTGTGTTTCTTCCACAGCAGGAGAGATCGACAGACTTTCAGCATTCACTTGAGTCTCCTGAACAGGCTCGCTAGCAATGGTCTCCGGCTGAGTCTCAGGTTGCGCCTCTGCCTGACTTCCATTGTGATTACTCGTCTGGTTTGGTTTTCTCGCATACGAAATGTGCAAGTCCCGTCCTCCATAGTTGTAACCGTGCAAGTTTTGAATGGCCAGGGTTGCAAGCTCTGCGCTTTCAAATTCCACCACAGCATTACCGCTAGGTCTGCCCTTGGCATTGTACTGGATTTCTGCCCGTACAACGCGGCCAATGGTCTCAAACAACTCGAACAAGTCTGTCTGGGAAGTGATGTATGGCAAGTTTGCCGCATAGATTGCTGGGCCCACTTCGCCGTTTCCGACAACACCTTCGGTCAAGTCGGAGTTTTTCAGCACGGGCTTTGGAGCCTGGTCACGGCCTGGACGAATGTCAATGGCACGTCCTTCCATCTGGTAACCTTGGAATTTTTCCACAGCTGCAGCCGCTTCGTCTGGGGTTTCAAACACAACAGTACCAAACCCACGGGACTTGCCCCATTTGTTGGTCATGACATCGGCGCGGACAACAGAACCAACCGAACGCATCAAGTCTTTCAAAGTTTGCCAAGTGACAGAGAACGGCAAGTTGCCAACGAAGACTTCGGTGCCCGGAGCAGGCTCACGTTCTCTTTTCTGCCTCCGTTCCTCGCGTTCGGCGTCTCTTCTGTCTCTTCCGTCTCTGTCTCTCGCGTCTCTGTCTCTTCTTTCTCTGCCTTCTCTGTCTCTGCCTTCTCTGTCTCTGCCTTCTCTGTCTCTACCCTCTCTGGTTCTTTTTTCTCTTGTTTCTCTGCCTTCTCTCTCTGCACCTTCTCTGTCTCTGCGCTTTTCTTGCGGTGGTGGGTAGTCCTGGCGAACAAAAATCTCTCTTCCGCCGTGCTGTGTTCTGTCATACTTGGAGATGGCTCCCATGACATCGTCTTTGCTCTCGAACTCCACCGTGGCCATTCCCCGCGATCTGCCACGGTTGGTCACAATGTCCGCCCGCACAACACGGAACTCTTTGCCAAACATCGACTCGATGTCCTGCGCCGTGGTCTCGAACGGAATATTGCCCACGAAAATCGACCGCTCGTAGTTTCTTTCGCTGCGGCCGTCTTCACCCGCTGTGGATGCCTGGGATGGCGCCAATTCCCGCTTGCGTCCGCCGCGGGCCCGTGGCGCCTCGTAATCTCTTCTGCCGGGCGATCTTGACCGGTTGTCGGGCGATCTGGAGCGCTCCTATAGATTAGCATGTGTTATTGAAGTCGGTGGATGTGCACGGTTGAGAGGACTCGAAATGTGTGGGTTGTTGTTCTCTGCAATATTAAGCCACCACTCTCTGGCCTGGACTTGTCTTTGATTGTTTTGAGTCTGGCTGGCTGCACCTGGATCCGCCGTTCCCCTTCTTGCTCGTAATGCCATTCCCTGGTTTTTTGTTTGTTCCTTTCTTTCGTCTCGCTCATCTAGTTCTTACCCGCTTTTGTCTGATCGTGTTTTCTGATACTGTCTTCTATACTTCACCCAGTATCCCACATTGACCGTTTCATTTTCTGCTTTCGTGTCCTTGCCTGCAACCGGCTTCCGTTCTCCTGAAAAAATAACATACCCTAGAATAGTCGTCGATGTCAATGTCCTCCATGATACTGTTAAATGTATGTGGGCAACTTTTTCTCATCTCGACGTTCGCACGTGAGCGTTAGGTCGAAAGACTGGAACAGAAAATACAACAAGAGGAATTTCATCTGATACCTCCAGAATACACGTTATGCTTATCGGACGAGCCTACTCATATAGACAATGGAGCAAGTTTTTTTTCTCCTAAGCACTGAAGCTGCTTGGCACGAATGAAGAGGCCAACCTCTTATTATGATGGTGTAGTCAATACAGTGTAAGTATGAGTCAAAGTCTGTGAAAATGGAGTCTCTTACTTTTTATTTTCTGGTTTGTTTCTTCTTCTTGTCTGTAATTTGTGTTTGGCTAATAATCAACGTATATTGGCTGAAAATTCACCTGTGCGAAACCAAATAGGAATCACTGGTGTATCTTGAAAAATAATACGATTTGCAATATGTACATTTTTAATCGCGATGCTCCTACTTTTCACCGTCTTGTCTCTTTTTTATTAAACTATTTCGGGTCAGTGGAAGCAGGTAGAATCTCCTCTTGGCACAAATACGAAAGTCTCAGCCTCAAAGCCTATCTTTTCATTCATGTAAAAGAGAAATTGATCGAACAAATACAGTTCAGCGAATATAATTTGGATTTTCGAGGTTTTCCACTGGTAGAGATTTGAATGTATGTGTAGATTAATGATGAGCTGGTCAAGGATCCGGTTTTTTGTAAAATGCAGACAATACAGTGAGCTATGGATATCAGGTGTCGCTTATTAGCCAATTTCTCACCGCAATAATATTTGAGCTACGTTCTTTTGTTCGCTTATGTGATCGTCTTCTCTAAAAAAATACATCGTTTTCATTGCCTTGTTCTATTGTACAGCGACGCTCTAGCGTCAGGTTTTGCCGTGGTTATCATCATTGAACTGTTCTTAGCCCCATTGATTCGCTTTTTTTTCTGCTCAGAGAAACATCGCCAGTAGCCAATTTTGCCACTTTCTTGCCCCTTTGTTGATCTTGTTGGTTTACTTTTCTGGAAAGGGCAACACAAGCCGGCGCTCAACCTCGGTTTCTTTGTTGACCTCTTCTTCTCCGTCAAATTTAAGACGTACAGTGCCGTCCTTTTTCGAGCCCACAACCACAGCAGGATAAAACGTTGTGGTTTCCGGGTACCGCGCCAAAACCTTGGTTCCGTATGGATAGGATAGTAGGCCCGCAACCTCGGCTTTGGTGGGAATAAGAAGAAGCTCCTTGTAGTTTGCCTTGAATGTCTGGCCCGGGTTGTTATTCTCGTCTGGTTCCGGGTCACGAACCTCGAATTTCGTGCCGTCGCCCAAGATCTTGGTGACTTCACACTGGATCCACTCCTCAAAGTGTCTGTTTCTAAGCTTATACGCCACTTCAGATCCAACCATCACTGGCTCCAGAGGATCGTACTTCGAGACCCAATAGATCCGCCCATACTTCGGGCTGCCTTTTTTCCCATGCGTCTTGCCGATTTTGCCGCCCGACTGTGCTTTCGAATTTCTGGGCAAACTGGCCGTTTGGCTTGATTGTTGAAGCTGCTGCTGCTGCTGTTGTTGGGCCTTTTCCGCCGTGGAGATCAAGGTTTGTAGGTTCATCTGGCACGTGTCGATCAACCTTGACGCTGTGCCGATGTTCATCATGTGATCATTGATTTCCTCTTTGAGCGCTTCCACCTCGATAGAATCGAGTTCTTGCAATTTGGGCTCGTTGTATTTTTCGAAAATGTCGTCGAACGACAACGACTCGTTGGCGTTGCAAATGTCTTGCAATGACGACACAACAATGTCCCAATAGCCATCGGTGTCTTCCACAACCATGAGATTGTATGCTTGTATTGATAAGGCTGATGTTCCATAGACATGATGTGTTGGTATATGCACGACTAGCCACCAGGTGGAGAAACGGCCCAAATGTGTTGATTTCACTGAACAAAGAGCTTTTAATGACTATATAAATCTGTTGATGACTGCAAGGATCTTTTGATGACTACATAGAGCTTTTTTGGCCAGCTGGTCTGTGGTGCAATTGTGTCATGGTTGGTCAAATTGTCTTTCGGTCCGGCCGTTACTCATACACGTTGTTAGATCTTTATTCCTGGACTCGTCAGTACTTTGAGTAACTGTACGTATCCTGTAATGTTTTGTCCTTGTTGAATGTGGCATGTCGTGCAGAATCATCACCATGCAAGGTAAACAAGACTCTTGTTACAGTGAAAAGAAGAAGAAAAAAAGAAAGAAGAATTAATTTATAGGCACTTAGACTTGAAAACGACCAATAAAGGGACAAATCCAAATGGAACATTTTGTACTGTGTTGCAAGCATCAATATGACGATTCTTGTGCATACTTCATCAGTTCTCCAATGTTAATAACATTGCCTGTTCATTATCTCAGCACAATGATAGGGCTGGTTAATTATGTCAATCGCCTTTGGAATGCTAAATCATGATTTAATTGGCAGTTTTAATTACTGTGACACAAGCTACTTTTCGAACGGTAAGGCTACCTTCGTAAACCACCAGGCTTGAAATTTGAGCTACTAAATACATGAGATAAGACATGAAAAACCAGACGCCGAACAGTTTTGGTTGCTGAATTCAAAGCCATGAGCTCCGTTATGGCAAGTAAAAGGTATTTATTATGATCCGTCTCATTTGCCTACCCAATGAGTATAGTCGTGAAGAATAATTACCTAAATTCATATTTTTGTAGATGTCCCATAATCTAAGTTGAAACAAGTATTTAGACTCTTAGTGACTTTCTATAACAAAGCATCACCTCACAATTTATTACGAATCTGAGCAATACAGTTGTCTAATTGGCCTGAGTAGTCATACTAATTAATTTGGCCAGAGTCCAAAGCACTCAACCATCACAAACAAAATAACAACATAAAATGCCAATCGGAAATCATTCTTCATGATATTTCTTTGCTTCAAACAACTAGTGATTCGTGTTTAGCGAATATTTGGTGATAATAAACGGTTGGAGATTATTGAGCCTGGTTTAGAAAAAGAAAAAAAAATGTTCACCATAGGAAATGGAAGATGCGTCTAAGACTTCTGATGAACCAACTCTTGAAGTTTCACCTTTACCCGTTGTCTCTTCCGTGTCTGACCAATCCTGGTAAGAGGTGTCCTGGTTAGAGGTGTTCTGTTTGGAGAGGTGCGAGCGCTATCTCCATATGCAATCTACTCCACTATCTTCTCCCGGAACATGTGGAAAGGGCTTTTCCTGATCTCAGAGCTCATCCAACTAGCATCGCTATTGCAGCTTGTGCGTCACAATTCCGTCAAGAAGTCTGTTTTCGGTGTCTCTTGTGACTTTTGCGCCTTCTGCTGGATCTACAATGTTTGTTCGGCGGTTTCTGCTCTAATCTACCTCCTTTCGCCTGCTCTTCGTTCCCAGTATGCGGCAAGGTATCCACTCTACCCTGAATTCAACACTAGCTCCATTATTTTGGTGCTCCATCTTCTTGGCTCCGCAGCAGCCACGTTCTTTGTGTTTCAGGTTTTTGTCCTCCACAGAAGAAGCATAGGCGGCATCGAAACCGTCAGTCTTCTCTGCAAATGTGTTCTAGTGAGCTATTGCGGTTTTCTCTTTTGGATATTGCGCTCTTACGTGCTCCACAGAGCCACAGTCAATGTTCTAGATGTAGCTAATTGTTTCTGGTTTCTTGGCGCTCTGAGCCGGGCGTTCATGTTTGTTCTGCAGATTTCCGTCAACTGGTTTTTTCTGAAGGCGTGCGTGCTCCACCGCAACTTCCTTTTGTTCCAGGGCTTGTCTTTATTCTTTGCTTTTGCTGGCTACGAGTGGGCTCGTTTTGCCGGAAATCAATGGTACGACGTACCAACAAACGCACCCGCTCGTGCGGCTCTTGCACTCAATTCCGTCTGTTTGTTGGCTCTAGCGGCCCAGTCCTACGTCTACCGTTCGAAAAAAAACTACTCCAATGTGTAATTATGGCCATGTCGGTATTAGGGTACTGCAGGCAAGCACCATTATACCCATTGCACCTACATATTCCATTCTGCCAGAACCCATGTCTTTTCTCCGGAGCTTTTCCGTCTCCTGCCGGGCCTTGGCGAAAAAGCCTCTGCCTCAGAAGCAAAAGTTTTTGGGCCGCGTCAGCAACAATCTTTCGCTGGGCGTTGTTGGTTTGGCCAATGTGGGCAAAAGCACGTTTTTCCAGGCCATCACAAAGTCGACGCTTGGAAACCCGGCAAACTACCCGTACGCCACTATAGATCCCGAGCAGTCGCAGGTTGTGGTGGAAAGTCCCAAGTTGGACCATCTTCAGCAGCTCTACGGGTCGGAGAAGAAAGTTCCAACTTCGCTCACCATCTATGATATTGCCGGATTGACCCGAAATGCTGCTAGCGGCGAAGGGCTTGGGAACAAGTTCTTGGCTGACATTCGGCTGGTGGATGGGATTTTCCATGTTGTGAGAGGGTTTCGGGACGACGAAATCACGCATATTGAAACCACTGTTGATCCTGTCAGAGATATGACGATTGTCACCGACGAGTTGATTTTGAAAGACTTGGACTTCATTGAGACGGCGATTGAGAAAGCAGCGAAAACGCTAAAGAAGCCCCAGGTGGACAAGGCAGCGGCCCAGTTTGAAATCGACACCTTGAACAAGCTACTGGATCTCTTATACTCGGGCAAGAAAGTCGTGACGGAGGATTGGTCTGACAGGGAGATTGATGTGATCAACCCGTTGAATTTGTTGACAGCAAAGCCCACGGTGGTGTTGCTTAACGTCAGCCCGAAAGACTATGCCGACAACGGAAACGAGTTCAAACTGGCCGTGGAACAGTGGATCGAGGAAAACAGTCCTGGCGACAAACTCTTGCTCTTTTCTGCTCAATACGAGACCATGCTCAACCAACTCCGCGAATCCGGGTCTGCTCTGGAGTACATGGCACAGTTTAATAATGCTCCAAGTGCCATGGCTTCGATTGTGGATGCGATCCGTGAAGTTCTCCGCCTTATATCCTTCTATACATGTGGGCCAAAGGAGGCGCACCAATGGACAATAAGAGAAGGGTCTACTGCGCCAGAAGCGGCCGGTGCTATCCATACAGACTTGCAAAAGACATTTGTATCTGCTCAAGTTTACAAGTGGGCTGATTTGGAGCAAGAGTCGGCGCCGTTGAACGAAAGCAGCTTGAAAAGCAAGGGAAAGCAGTATCGCCATGGAAAAACCTATGTTGTTGAAGATGGAGATGTGTTGGTGATCAAAGCGGCGGGCGGAAAGTCCCGCTGATGTACATAGAATGATCTTTCTGGATAAGCCGATTACATAGACAATTAGACACGCTTATTCTTTATGTGCTGGGCACTTTTCACTAGCCTTGAAGTCAAAATACTAAACAAACGTCAAATAGCAGGTTAGCATTTTCATCAGTCGGGAATCGGATTACTGCCCACCGGATGTTTCGTCAAATTCACTTCCATGACATTGTTTTCACTTTCAGGACATGATTTTCACTTTCATGGCATGATTTCCCTTCCGTTTTATTCCAACTGTAGCACACTGTTCTGCCCTATTGTCCTCACTAGATAGACATGTGCTCGTGTGAGCGGGGGAAAAACTGCCCGATTAGGAAGTGCCATGACTATGCTCTGGATTGCTGGAAAAGAAAAAAAACCTCAGCACCAATCTGCTACGGTGGCATCTTGTCCATTGACATATCGCCGCTAGAAACCTGTCTTGCAACAAGTACTCGTCTTGTCGAAAGTGGATTTTTCCGTGCCGCATTCTCAGTGGGCTCGTCCATACACCAATTTTTGCGCATACTTCTCAATCTCAGACGCAAATCTACCCGAGCCAAAGTCATTTCCTGTTTGAGTATATTTCGCTTGCCGCCTTTGCACATCTGAAAAGCGCTTTCCTGATCTGACTGCATTCTGACGACGAGACAAGCTCCTCTCCCATACCGCCCAGCTCTTTTTTCGCCCGATCGCTATCTTATCTCGATCACTGTTCTCGCATCCGATATCTGGTATTAGACACAGCACTGACACATCCAGACAGACCTTCCTTTTTTTTTATTGGCACATTCCGACGAGTATAGATTGATGTCCCTTAGAAGCATCCACACTATACTTCCTACTCGTCGCAGAATGTTCGGATCAGTCTACAATTACGTGTTTGGCGCCCGCCACGCCGAACAAAAACAACCTTTCGGCACCTCCAACAAAAGCTTGGATCCCGACGTCGTCAGCTCGTTCCATCCGCGGCTCTCCACGGTTTTCCAGCAGTTGGACTCGCTTGCTCCCCGTTTCACAGTCAAGGGCTCCAGTATCCACGTTCTCACCCTGCCTGCGGAATTCTACGCTACCCTCAAAAGCAAGATCGCCTCGGCCAAGTCGCGCATTTTCTTGAGCTCGCTCTACGTGGGCAAGACCCAAGACGAGTTGGTGGAGTGCTTATCGGAGGCCTTGAGCAAAAGCGAGGACTTGAAGGTGTACTTGCTCACAGACGCACTCAGAGGTACCCGAGAGGCGCCGCAACTGGCATGTCTGGCGCTGTTGCTTGTTGGCTTGGTGGAGAAATACGGCAAACATAGAGTGGACATTCGAATGTACCACACGCCGCATTTGCACGGCTTCAAGAAGAACTTGGCGCCTCGAAGACTCAACGAAGGCTTTGGCTTGCAGCACATGAAGTTGTACGGGTTTGACGACGAAATCATGTTGAGCGGGGCCAACTTATCCGAAGATTACTTCACCGACCGCCAAGATCGCTACTATCTTTTCCATGACAAGAAGTTGACCGACTACTACTTTGACATCCAGAAGGCCATTTCCAGCTTGTCGTACCAACTTCTCCCCACAACGAAGCCTAAGGGCTTCCAGAATTTCCGCTTGTCGTGGCCGTCGTCCAACAAGTCGTGTGAGCCCGACATGAATTTGCACCGCTTCATTAGCGATCTGTCCTATTTATTAGAGCCCTTGTTGAAGCAGCATTCCCTCGGCACTTTTGAGGAGTACACCGACACAGACGACTTTGACACAATCATCTATCCTGTTTCTCAGTTCACGCCTCTCTTCAAGAAAAACGAAGATGCATCAACGGAAAAACCAGCAGTGTTGCGTATTTTGTCGTATCTTGACTCGCCCAAAATCCGCTGGTGGTTTACTGCTGGCTACTTCAATATGCTTCCCCAAATTCAGGAGCGCTTACTAAATGGCCAGGCACAAGGTTCTGTAATCACGGCTTCGGCTAAGGCAAACTCTTTTTACAAATCTTCGGGGGTGTCATACTACCTTCCCGAAGCCTATCTCTTGATTGCGAAGAAGTTTTTGGAAGAAATTGAAAAAAGAGGCAAGGCCCACTTGATAAAGCTATTTGAGTGGCAGAATGGCATTGTGAATACTCCAGGAGGATGGTCATATCATGCAAAGGGAATTTGGGTTACGTCTCCCGATGAAGAAGAGCCCACTATATCGATCATAGGTTCTTCCAACTTTACTAGAAGGGCATACTCTCTAGATTTGGAGAGTAATGCTGTCATCATCACCAAGAACCAAAATTTGAAAAAGCAAATGCGGGCAGAAATAGACAACTTGATGAAGCACGCTCATGAGTTGAAATCGGAAGACTTCAAGCCACGTCTCGTGGAGAATGCTGAGCAGGAAGTTAAACTCGATGCTCAGGGAAAACCTGTTGCTCCGCCTCCAGTTTATGCCGTCCATGAAGATAGGCAAATCAGCTATGGCGTTCATTTGGCTTTGAAATTGTTTGGTGGGAAGCTCTGAATATAATGTATATAAAAATAAATCATTGAGGACATGAACCATTGCGTATAGAGACAAGCCAACGTATATCTAGGTTACAATAACAAAAGCTAAAACAATACTGGGACCACAGATGGCTTGAGCTGATAAAGATTACCATACAAAGTCAGACTTTAAGAGATGCAGGATTTCTGTGTACTGTTACATTCGAGGAAAGACAGTATTTACACTATATGTTCCCCATTGAGATTCTTTCATTCAGAAATCATCCGTGATAGTTTAGTGGCTAGAATTACCGCTTGTCGCGCGGTAGACCGGGGTTCAATTCCCCGTCGCGGAGCTTTTCGGCGCAAGTGGTTTAGTGGTAAAATCCAACGTTGCCATCGTTGGGCCCCCGGTTCGATTCCGGGCTTGCGCATTTTTTGCTTCCTCGAAGTTTAGAAAGATAATCTCCTAGTAAAAGTCACTCAATGTATATTTGAATGGCTGCAGTATGTGAGTAAACATCTATGTTGCGGGATTGTCATCACGGACCTTTTCGCTTTGACTAATCCGATGGTATTTTAATAACGAAACCAATGATTACCGAAGAGGACAAAACGGGATCAGGTACCTGTTGATAAAAATATATGAAAAGGCCTCATATTTTTGGAGCTTGAATTGAGTTTTAAGTGTAGTTTGTTGCTTTCAGATAATAACAGATTCTTTGATTTTATTTTTATTTTGAACAACTTACCGAAGGTTCAAGCCGTACCCCTTCTGATGAAGATACAAGCGAACACTCCGTGCCTGAAAATTAACAGAGAAATTTACTAATTGATTGCAAACGAGAAAAGCAAGAGAGAAAAAAGATGGTCTTTGTCAAGGAAATTCAATCCTTCTATGTATTTCCTTTCGTAGGTCTTATACGGCCGCGTTGACTTCAACAAAATTACGAGAAACTTATAATGACTGGAAATGTGAATAAAGAGGTAAGTCCTACTGAGCATACTTTTCCTATTTTTGTCGAATGTTGAAATGTTTGCACGATTGGCAAATATATACAAAAATGCGAATATATAAATGCATGCGTAATTAATGAGAGAATGTAATAAGAAAGAAACCATCTCAACTAGAATAGTCCTAGTTTGACCTTATGCCTTCAGTAGAGCCAATTACGGCCTAGGTAACACACCTATTTTGATCTAATATAAGTTCCATCATCAATCACAAGTTATAATCACATGGAAACTGAAAACGAAATTGATGAAAGTCCTTTCTACTCAGTAATCCACAATCTTGGCACCTTTCTCATGGACATCAATAAATACCATTCTACTTTTTCTTCATCGACTGCAGTCTCTGTTAACTTTCAAGTACTGTCGCACATCATGGTACGACCTGCACACACGCTTCCACAACCGAAAAAAAATCTCCATTAGACCAGACTCTCACACCCGCCCATTTCTAGCCAAAGTTGCCATGTCTTTCCTCAGGCAAATCAGCCCTCTTGTGCAACTGGGAAACACACTCAGGTCTCCAGCCGGAAGCTTGACGCACATCCGTACCGCCACGAAAAAGGTGTCTGGATCCAGAACCAACAAAAATGATTCTGCCGGTAGAAGATTGGGGCCCAAAGCCTACGAGAACCAGTTCGTGCAGCCTGGAGAAATCATCATGAGACAAAGAGGTACAAAGATCCACCCCGGTGACAACGTTGGAATCGGAAAGGACCACACCATTTTCGCTTTGGAACCGGGCTACGTGCGTTTTTACTTGGACCCATTCCATCCCTTGAGAAAGTTCGTTGGTGTTGCATTGAAAAAAGACTTGACCTTGCCTGCGCCCCACTTTGAGCCCCGCGTGAGAAGATTTGGCTACATTCCTTTGGAAGGCGAAGAAGCCGACAAGGAAGAGGCACACATGTCCAGAAAAGAGTACTTGGCGCAACCGGAGCTTTTGAAAAGAGCCGAAAAGGAGGCCGAGGCCAGCGCTCAGGTTTTGGCTGCGTACACAAAAGTCGTGGCGGCCAAACTTCCCCAGTTGTCGGCAGAAAACGTCAAGCTTGGTGCTGCTCGTTTGCAATTTGTTGCCAACAAGCTTTCAGAGGACGAGAGTCACGAGTTGGCCTACGGCCAGGCCACTTACAACTACATTTACGACTTGGACTTGGCTGTCAGAAGAGGCGAGCTTTCTTCTGACGAGGCTGACTCGAAAAAGACCGAGTACTTGAGTTTTGTGCAAGACTTTGACTCCAAGCTTTCGGTGGACTTTAATGGAGTCATCTACAAGACGCTCAGCGAAGAGGCGAGAAGCGCCAGAAAGGAAGACATTTCCAGCCAGTTGGCCAAGTTTGCCAATAAGAAAATCGGTCCAGAAGACAAGAAGACCATTCTTGGTCTTATTTCTGAAGGCGGAGTGTTTTCGAGAAAAGAGCGCACCGAGTTGAAGAAACAATACCTCCCCAAGGTTTTGCCTGTCACTGTTCCCGGAACTGTTCTTGAAAACCCGGGCAAAAAGCTCCCTAAAGACGCTGTCCCCGTGCGTATCTACAATCCCGAGGACAGGTCTGTCCAGACGATTGTTAGAACGAAGGATGCGTTCCTTGCATAGATCATTTAGTTATTTCTTGTATATACGATTGGAGGAGCTGTTGTAGGGCACTACGACTATGCTAAAATAGCTTGTACGAGGACATCAGCTCATTAATTAATTTGTTGATCCAAATTGAGTCTCATCTTTTTCACTGTGGTCGTAGAGTAAACAAGCCAGATCGGTGTCAAGTCCAGTCTCTGCTACTGAATTAATGCAAAGTAGAGGCCGAAAGAATCCAAAGATCTGTATTTGTCGTTGTGAAATTTCAAGTCAATGTGTCAAATTTGAAGTTTTTTTATTAAAGTTTCAAGTAAAAACGTCAATTCTAGAGCTTCGGTAAAAGTAAGGGCGTTCCAAAGCTTTGGACGACATTCAAAATGCATAAAGTCTAGAACGTCGTTCTGAACATTTATATAAAGTCTAGAACGTCGTTGTGAACATTTAAAGTAAATCTGTCATTCCTTAGCACAAGTTATTTCTTCAAATTTATTCAAAGCTAAGACAGTGTTTTATACGTCTGACAAATTGATAAATATATTTAGCTGAAAAATGAGACTAATCATTTTAGGTCCTCGATAAACCCATAGGTTTATAGGTACCTTTCAGTTTACTCAAGTCTTTCACAAATCATTGATTGTGCTAATTGAGCCCTTATATCTCAAATGAGTTTACAGATCCAATAATCCTCGTATAGCTATTTTTGGGTGCTAAAGGTCTACTGTGATTACCGTTTACGAGGCTTGCGCGTTATCTAAAATTCCGCCGTTGGGCCATGCAGGTACTTACTAATCAACGCCATTGCAAAACAAGAACTGCCGACTTGAAGAAGATAATAACTCCTTCAAAAACTAACCAAGTCCCCCAAAACCGTTATAGTATGGGTAAGAACAAAGACAGATCCAACAGGAGCCGAGTTGCTGGAAGAGACCCTTATCACGTGACACGGAACCCCATCAGCAAAGATCCGCAGCATCTTATCGCTCGGCGCATATAAAGAGACGCCCTTCTCCCTTCAATTGTCCAATAACCATGATTGGCCTTCCCACAGATGACAAGCCACAGCGCAAAAAAGTGGCGGCGCTTACACTCACCGGAATCATATTCCTTATTGTGCTCTTTGGCACCAATTTGTTTGGGTACTTGCGCATCTTGCTGACTCCAACCAATGTCAAGGGCGTTTGCCAGCTTGCGGACATTCGCCGGCCCAAGTCTTTTGAAAAGGACAACAGCACAGTGTTGAAGATTTTGCACAACGAGGACTTCAAGTTGGCATCTGTGGACCGCCTTTCCCGGGCTATCCAAGTGGACACCCAGATTTTCGATTCGCCTCCGCCAGTGGACGAAAACCCCGAGTACTGGGAGAAATTCAAAGCTTTCCATGCGTATTTGAAGGAGACGTTTCCTCTTGTGCACGCCAATTTGGAGCTCGTCAAGGTCAACACCTACGGACTTGTGTACTACTGGAAAGGTTCCGACAAGTCGTTGAAGCCCGTCATGCTTACAGCACATCAAGACGTTGTGCCTGTGCAAAAGGACACGTTGGACAAGTGGACGTATCCACCATTCGAGGGCCACTTCGACGGCACTTTTGTCTATGGCCGTGGAGCTAGCGACTGCAAGAACATTTTGGTGGGGATTATGGAAACGTTGGAGCTTTTGTTGGAGCAGGACTTTTCTCCGAAAAGAGGCATCGTGGCTGCTTTTGGCTTCGACGAGGAGGCTTCGGGCTACAGAGGTGCACTCGAGTTGGGCAAGTACTTGCTTGAAAGATTTGGCGCCGACGGAATCTACGCCATCATTGACGAGGGAAGCACCCTTATGCAAGATGCCATTACGGGCAGAGTAGTGGCGGCCGTGGGCACTGGCGAAAAGGGATACATTGACGTCAATGTTGGGCTCAGCACACCTGGCGGCCATTCGTCTGTTCCACCGGAACACACATCTATCGGCATCATGGGCGAATTGGCGTATATCATTGAAAAAGACCCCTACGAGGCGATTTTCACCGACAGAAACCCAATCTTCGGCTACATGCAATGCTTGGCTGTTCATGCTGGAGACAAGATGCCCACAGCATTCCGCAAGTCGATCTTGCGTGCTGGCTACGACAAATTGGCCAATTCCAAAGTGGTGGAGGCTATTACGAGATCGCCAGTGACAAAGTACTTGATCACCACGTCGCAGGCCGAAGACATTGTCCGTGGTGGAGAAAAGAACAATGCGTTGCCCGAAAGCGTCCACATGATCGTCAACCACCGTGTGTCAATTGAGACTGAGGTCCAGACGGTCATGGATCACTTTGTTGATCGCGTGGTGAAAGTTGCCAAAAAGCACGGTTTGGGTGTCGATGCGTGGGGCCAAGAAGTTGTGCCAGCAGGCGACTTGGGCAAATTTGTTATTGAAAGCGATGGCCACAGTCTTGAGGCTGCGCCCGTGAGCCCAACAAAGGGCGAGTCGTGGGACCTTTTGTCGGGAATCACAAGACACATCTACGAAGACTTGGTTTTCCCTGAAAACAAAGAGCCTGTGATTATTGCTCCTGCCATCATGACAGGAAACACCGATACCCGCCACTACTGGAACTTGACCAAGAACATTTACCGTTACTCGCCTGTTTTTTACAAGGATGTCATGAAAGAAACTCATGTGCACAGTGTGGACGAGAAGCTGGACATTGCCAACCACTTGAGAGTAGTTGCGTACTTCTACGAGTATCTCCAGGCGGCCAGCGAGTAAAGAAGACGTTGGCAAGTGAAGAACTACGCGGAAGACTGAAAAGACCTTGTTGATTTGAATGTACAAACAATAAAAGAGCTGTAGAGCCATATTTATCACGCAATTCTTATTAAGTAAACAGACTTCATGAATAACAATTCGACTTTGCATCCATCGCTTAACCAAGATTTAATTACTTCAACGTGAAGACCATATCACAGAAACGGTCAAAAATTGTATACATGCCGAAAATAATAATGCAATAATATATCCTCCAATGTTATCTTCCGTTTGGTGAATATTTTTTTCTCAAGAGGAACTTAATACTGACCAATCTACCTAATATCGGACGAGACTGAACATTCAGTTTTTGACTCATCTTATGGTCCATCCTGTGATGATTGTCAGCCAACCCAATCATTAGGATCTTTTACATTATAAAAGTAAAATGAACTATTGAAGATAATGAAATGATACATTTTGTTTGATTCAAGTACGATGGCACTTCCTTGCCCTAATATGAGGATTATTATGAGACCCACTAAAGGTATTTTTTGATAATATTATTTGCTGTCAGACAAGTCAGAGAACAAAAGACAACATGATCTTCGCTAATTTGCCCAGAGGCTATCCATTGTTGACTTTGGAGATTGGACAGTATCTGATTTTACACAGAAAACGTCATAGTCTTCTTAGGAAAATACTACTGCCATTGCACATTTGTCTACGTCCTTCCTTCAAGCAACAAAGTGCTTTACTTAGAGCTTTCAGCAGCATTTATTAACCAAAGTAATGTACAAAAAAGTAAGTCCAGGAAAAAAGAGATAAGAACAGTCAGGTGGTCAAAGAAGAGCCAGGTAAGGAAGGAGTTGACTTTAAAGCAGTGGAGGCCAGATATCTTATCTGATAATGTCTCGAGAGGTAGTCATCCAAAGCAACACAAGCACTTTGTTTTGACAAACCATTGAGATGACTTGTATTTGACAAACCATTGAGATGACTTGTTTCTGTCGAAGCTTCCTCAAAACATTAAATCCCAACATGTAGACGCCGACCGAGGTTCAAGCTCTGAAGCTTCGAGCCTAGATGTGCAATGATGACGACATCCACTTCTGGCTGTTTCTGGTTTCCTCTTCCCTTTCCTCTCTTCTCCTTTGCCCTACACAGGCCCATGATGACGTGCATTGTTGCTAAAATACAGGGTGCTAGTTGATGTCCTTCTTCTCCAAAGGATTGTAACGCAAGAACTTTTCGATCAAATCGACGTGGGTCAACACCATTCGGCGGCAGCAGTACCGCTTCAACTTGAGTTGGTCTAAGGCATCTCCTTCGGTGAGGGTCTCGTCCTGCAACAAGGTCAAGTAAGTTTCCCACTTGTCGCCAACGACTTTGCCGCACGAGAAACACCGGATGGGGATGATCATTGTGAAAGTGGAGTTGTAGCAGTTTTTGACTTGAACAGAGTTTTTACTTTTGGTGCGCGGGATGCACGGGTGCGATGGCGGTTTAGGTGATGGGTGCCAGTGGCTTAAGTATGGGAGGCGCCAGAGGCACGGGTGCGCGCTCTTTGTCTGCACTGCGGGCATCGCAGGTTTTTCAACTTCTCTTCGCAACTCAGAAGCGGAAACGCCAAACAACTTCACACACACACACACGATGGCACAGATGCTCGACAAATGGGCCGTGACCATGGCACTGGGCGGGAAGCCCGTGGTTAATACCGGCGGCAGCTCGTTCCCCGCGCTTTCAGCGCCCGACGGCAAGCACACCATTGTCGTTTTGGCACACCAGATCAGGGTTTACTTTCTCCAAACAAGGCAATGCATCCGCACGGTGAACGTGGACTTGTCTCAGGTGATCGGCGTCTACTTAGACCCTAGCAATGACTCGCAGATCGTGGTGTTCACAGACACAGAAGTCAAACACATCAACTGGCGCGAGAAGGTTGAGCAGGTTGTTGTTGCAACACAAACAATTTTGCCGCCAATCCCCGGTTTGTGCGACGTGTTCAGCGTGGGCAAAGACCACTACTTTGCCGCGGCGCGGACCGGCACCGACTTTACCTTGTACGAGATTGAGCGCGAGAGCGCCCGCAGCGAGGCCTTGTTTTCGCGCACAGGGGTAGTGGCACACGCCGTCAGCGACGACTGGTTGGCGCTTGCGCTGGAGACTGCAGTCGAGCTTTATCCGCTTGGCGAAAGCGTCAGAGAAAACACAGAGACAGAGAAGATAGAGACTAAGACAGAGACAAAGAAGACAAAGACAGAGGCAAAGAAGAAGGCAGAGACAAAAGCAGAGACAAAGAAGGCGGAGACAAAAGCAGAGACAAAGAAGAAGGCGGAGACCAAGACAGAAGGCGAAGCCGAATCAAAAAAGAACCAGGCAGACGGGAACAAGAAGGGCAGTGGCTGCAATAATGGCAGTGGCTGCAAAAACATTTACAGCGCCCCGCTGCATGTTCTTCCCCACACCGCGCGCCCTATCACGGCCATGGCTGTGGGAAACGACGCGGCAGTTGCGCTTGGCACCCGCAGCGGAAGCATTCTCCTCGTGCGCCCGGCCGCCGCGCCCCGCACGCTCCGCTGGCACATGGAGGCCGTGCGTGCCGTAGAGTTCTCGCGCGACGGCGCCTACCTCGTTTCGGGCGGTTCCGAGAAGGTGCTTGTGTTCTGGCACTTGGTCCTGGACAACACCCAGTTCCTCCCGCGTCTTGGCGGCGCCATCGACCGTATCCACGTGGACGCGCGCAGACCAGACCTCTATCTGTTGGCTTTGCGCATCGAAGACGGCCACGGCACGCCATTGCATGAGGTTGTTGTTGTTCTGGGCGTGGATTTGGAGTCGCGCCTTGCTGTCAGCCCTGTGCGGCCCGCCTACGCGGTGGCCGTGCGCAAGGTCACGGCGCGTGCTCGCCGGAAGTGGTCAAAGGGCGCCGACGGCCTGGTGGTTGCGCACGATATCACAGCTCCTGCCGTTGTGCACCCTACGACGCGCCACCTCTACTTTGCTCGGGGCAGCGCCATCCAGGCATTCGACCTCGTTCGCGGCGAACAGGCGTTCGTGCAACATGCGGCTCCACAGATTGCCATGGGCCGCGTGCGCAGTGAGCACAAGCTTGTCGACCCCAACGTGCTGCATGTGGCCTTTTCGCCCGATGGCGACTGGATGGCCACGTTCGACAGCATGCCTGCGCTGTCGCACGACAACTTGATGCTGAAGCACGACGAGGCACACGCATTGAAGTTCTGGCGCACCACGCCGCGCGGCTGGGAATTGGCGCTGAAGATTGTTGATCCGCACGGCGCCACGCGCGTGGGTGCGTTGGTGGCCGGGCCGCACGCGGGCGCCGACGCCAGCTTCGTCACCGTGGACGTGCGCGGCGGCATTCGTGTGTGGCGCCCACGCGCAGCCCTGGACGCTCGGGCGGCACAAACGGTGTGGACGCTTCGGCGTGCAACCGCTTCGGGCGCGCCGGCGGCTTCTGTGGCCGCATGCTTCAGCACTGACGCATCTGTGCTCGTGGTGGCCCACGGCGGTGTGTCTACTGCCCGCGATCCGCAGCTGCTTGCGCCGCTTCCGTTGGCGTTGCCTGCTTGTGATCTGCCCGTGGAGCTGCTTGCGCTGGTGGGAGTGTACTTGGTGATTGCTTCGGCAACGCGGCTTGTGCTGTTTGACATGGTCCGCGGCCGTGTGACGGCTCTTGCTGCTCGTGTGTCTTCGCCAGGCGCAGGGAACTTGATGGCGGTGGACGCAACGCGCAATCTCGTTGCAATGGCATGTAACACGCTTGTGGCTACGCCCGAGCCCGAGATCCGCGGCAAGATCCTCGTGTTCCATCCAGACTCCTTGGAGCCCGTGCACGTGGCTCAACATTCTACTGGTGTGGCCTCTGTGGTGGCCACGCCGCTGGGATTTGTTTTCGTTGACACCGAGGCTCGTGCGGGCGTTCTTGCGCCTGTTGCCAAGGCTCTCGAGGCACCAGAGACAGATCTTGCTGCACAGATGGAGGCAATGTTGGTGGGTGCAAGAGCTGCGGCCAACATGATGTACACGAGGAAAGCCGAGACCCGCACGCTCGATGCCGCTGCGGAGAAGGGTCCGTGGACAGGCCATGCTCTCGTGGACGTTGCATCGTTACAGCCTGTGTTTGCCAACACGGACGGCATGGGCATGGACACATTGTTCGAGCGTGTCGTGCGTGCGCTCCATTGATTCCGGTCCACAACAAGCCTGGGACTGACGGATGGGCGGCGGACATCCCACGCTTGGAATGTGCCTTCATTCCACAAGCACAGATGCATAGGTTGTCATTCACTTGTGTCTTGGGTTCGTGTAACCAAGACATTTTGCACATAATTCAGTCATGTATTTCATTAATATAATAGAGTATTTGCCCAGTGTAGAGTATATTCTATGCGTTGAGAAAGATAATTCCACTTGTTGGATAATTATCTTGCAAAGAAATTGATTTAACTTCAAATCGCCCGACAAGTCAGAATTACAGTAACTTCCATCACTGTTTCATCTTTTCTTCTGTATCTAAACAACATTCTGTTTTTTACAGTTTGAATAGGTTTATTTTTTTTTTTTTTTTTTTCGATTTATCATGTTTCAGTCTTTATTGTCGACTGGAAAACTTCTGCTACACTATTCTTCACTGGATATATCATTATGGTGGTCTATCATTATTTAATCACAGCCAGGTATCCTTCAATTTATTTACACAGCAAGTTGACCGTTTGACACTTGTGATTTCATGTGATCCACACTCACCACCACCGGCTTTCCTGGCCAGTTTTCTGTCTCTGGAGAACAAGGACACCTTCGATTTTGCTCAAGGCCATTTCAAGAAGGTCCTTGCGCTCTTGCAACTCGATGTGTTTCTTCACCTTCGGGTCTTCCTTTGCAAAGCTTTCCAACTGCTCCGGAGTCAAAGTGCCGAAAAACTCGTCGTCCAACTTCCGCGGGAAATTGTAGTAGAAATCACTGAGCAACTCGACATTTAAAAACAAAATGGCCGTCGAGGTCAATTTTGTCGACACCGCATCCAAAAACACCTCGGGACATTGGTACTTGTTGTCCTTGCTCTTGCACTTTTTCGAGTTTTTCACAAACAGATGGCGCATCTTGAGCAACTTCATTCGCTCGTCCATGAACATGGCCTGTTTTCCTTTTTCAATCAAAGCTTTCGAAAATCCAAGCGCCTCGTTTGAGTCCACATCCACGTCCAGCTTCAGGCTGCGGAGTTTCTCCAAGTACTTGACGACTTGCTGCAACTTGCGTCCACCAACCAGTTTCTTCAAATTGGCTAGTGCTGCGTCACACTGGCTCATCTCCTCCTTTAAAAGCCGTGCTGCATTCTCCCGACTCACGTCCCACTCGCGATCTTCAATCTCCACTTCGTACTTGTACGGCTTGATACAGTTCTCCACTTGATCGGCTGTAGAGTAGTATTTTGACTTCAATACGGCCTTGGCTGCTTCTTCCACGGCGCTCCGGGCCATGGGGTGGTTTGAAAGTTGTGTCCGATCAACCAAGTTGTTGACTTCGGTGACAACAACATTTGTCACTAGAGAAGTGGACATGCGGCCCACGCCCAGTTTAGTCAACGATGACGTGGCCAAGTCTAACTTTTTGTGCCAGTAGCTGTCTTCATCAACCGAAACAAGCTGGCTCAACTCACGCAAGTTGGGTTCTGTCGATGCGAGCTTGTCGTATGTGAGCGTTTCAAAAGGGCGGTTCCAGTATCTTTCCGCCAACAAATCCAACACACGTTGATCAAGCTCGCTTTTGAGAAGCGCTTTCAACTCGTTGCGGGAAAATCGTTGACTCAATTCCTTTGTCGCCACTTTCAACAAATCAATGTTGTTGGCCAAATACATTTGTGGCGTAAGCGGCCTGTCATTGAATTCCACTTTAAATTGGTATGCTGTTTCTTCCAACTCCCGCTGGATAGCAAGATGTGTAGGCCGGAGAGACGCAGACATGGATTTTTCCAACACCTTCATAAGTTTCTTCTTCAAGTTGCGCGAGCCAGTCACAGTGCCGGCAAATTCGCTGCGATGCTCCTTGAAATACCCAAACTCAAAGTTCTGTTGAGCTACGTAAGATTGGTATCCCGTAACCTGACGACGGCCAAATAAGCCTCCCGACAGTGCGGCCAGTGGCGGAGGAGCACGGGTAATGACGCCCACATAGCCCATTCGCAATGGGTACTTCCGATTGAGCAAAATCGCTCTGGCCTTTTCCGGTTCGACCAAGTCCAATTTAGTGACAACACCGACGGTTCTTTCACCGCGAGGATCGGCCAATTTGGCAGCACGCAAGGCTGACGAGTTGGCCAAGTCAACATCGGCTGCAGAGATCGCCAAAATGATGTTTGGCTCTTCCAAGTACCGATTGCAGAGCGCACGAATTTTCTGCTTCAACTCGAGCGGTTGGTCCGCGGCTTCAACCTGGATGTATCCGGGCAAGTCTACCAAAGTCAAGTCAGGCACTTTGGGAGAGCGGATGGTAATTTGAATGGGGTCGTTGGAGATGCATTCTGCCGCAGGAACGGCCATATTCAAGTCGAAGAGCGTCTTCTGCACCTGCAGAAAGTCTGTCACATTGAACATCTTCAAAGCCGGGAACTCGGCCACCTCGCTGGCGCTCTCAGGCGCATTGACAAGCGTCAATTCGATGGGTCTACGCGTGACCATGTTATTTCCCTTTGGAAGAAACTCCTGGCCCACGATGGCCTCCAAAACAGACGACTTGCCGCTCAGCTGCGATCCCACAACCACAATCGATGGGAGCTTCAACGTTTCGGACTGGCTGTCGACGGCAGTTAAGATGTTTCTGATCTCGATCATTTGCCGGGTCAAATTGAGCATCTGGTCCGCCGTGTCGTCGTTATCCAAGTCTAGCTGCTCGTCTTCGTCTTGGTCAATCAACGTCTCGTCGTCTTCTTCATCGTCTTCGGTCCCGCTTTCAACGTCTGTCTCATCTTCAGAAGATAAACCCATGGCAGCGGCTGTTGCGCCCAAGGCAGTGGTGTTGTCCCCACCAGGCCCGCCGTCGCCGCCACTGCTTCCCGCCTCGGACCCATCGCCCTTCATCTGCTTGAAAAAATCGCCTGTGCGGTCGAAAAAGTCCGCCGTGTAATCCTTGATGGAATTTAGCCGGTCTGAGGTGTAACTGGACGCCTGTTCCATCTTGTATGCCACATAAGACCCGCCTGCGGCCATGGTTCCCCCGATATACGCCGGGATCTTTGCTGCCCGAGCCAAAACCTTTACAAAGCCGATGTTGCGGCGGAAAGTCAAAGTAGGCGGGATGTGATGTGAAAGGTGGCGATTGTACTTTCTCGCCGAGAGGAGAGAAAACGTTCGGCCGGCGTACAGCGGACGCGGATATTGCCGCATTAGGCCTGCCCGAAACATGATATATTCAGAAAAGAAAGGAGGCGTGAAGAATGGGCTAAATCAGAAATCGCATGTTAGTCTGAGGAGCAAAGAGTGGAGTGTACTGCACGTGATACTAGTCATGTGCGCGGCTATTCCAAAGGCAATAAAAAAAATGAGAAAGAAAAAAGAATCCGAGTGCCCCCTGCCAGAATTGAACTAGCGACCTTTGCATTACAAGTGCAACGCTCTACCACTAAGCTAAGGAGGCTCCGGCATACGACTGTGAAGGCAGCCTACTCATAATCGTGGAGATTGGTTGGGACTTTCTCTGTTCGTCATTGCCTCTTTGCCGTAATCGAAGAAGGTCTAGCGTAGAAAGCAAAAGCCATCGACAAGTCCGCGACAAACTAGCCTGTGAATCTAATCGAAACCACAACAAGTTGTGAAACTTGAAGTTGTGAAAACTTGCCAGCGCAACGGAATGCATCGCCTGAATTTTGTATTTTTTCCATTTTGTATTCTTTCCCTTCTGTTCGCCCGAATCCTTTGTCTTTTCCTCCTCTCGCCTGAATGACCAACTTGTATTTTGCATCTTTCGCCTGGATTGACGCCTTGTATTTGCACTCTCGCCTGAATTTTGCATTTTTTTCATCACTTTCCGAGCGAGCCACCCCTACTTCGCCCTACTTTTCACTCGCCTGCCTTGCTTCTCCTGCCCTGATTCTCCCCGACTACTCCCACTGAATTCCTACTCTCCATCAACTCGAACTTCCCCTTTATGATCTCAGCACGACCCGCCGGTCTGCAATAAATTGCAAGAGGAACATTGTTCGTACAATATTCGTACAAACATTCAGTCACTCGGCGACCGACCTTCGGTCAGTCGACGTGTCAGCACAACCGGAAGAGCTCGAAACACAGCCTTGAATTGAAGTGGACTTTCCGAGCACACGGAACGGAATGTTCATTATCTCCGGAGTGCATCGCCATGGCCCGGGAGTGCATACACAACCAGGCTCATCACTGTGGGAATTTCCTAAACTCCTAAACCCACAAATGTGGGGAAGCGTGCGGATCGGGCTGAGTCATGAACGATGGCCGACCCCAGTAATCTCCGTTTTTCCATGTGGCGCAACCACCAAGACGAAAGAAGCTTGTTCTTCGTAATTCGCACTTTCCATCGCCCGCGGCCACTTTTGCCGCCCACGTAGATAAGACAAGAAACCAAGAAAAGAACAAGAGCAAGAGCAAGAGTGTGGGCGAAGCAATGGAAAACATCAAGCGAAACCGGTACGACAGCAAATTCCTCCTTCTTGGACCTGGCGCCTACCATCCCGAAACGGCAAAACAATGTAGCCGTCAAAAGCACCAGATCATGTTTTTTCCCCCACCGTCAGCCTCTCCATGCAAATGTGTCGCACCATTCTTCATATGCTGGGGTATTGCACATAGCCTCCTAAAGCTTCGCACGTACATTAGGCGCAAGAACACCATATACGCGCCACGCAGGGCTTTATCGGGTCCTGGACGCCAATACGCAGTGCGATCATCAACAATCAAGGTGCGCCACGACAAATGTGACTCGATCGATCTTGGGCCGGTTTTTTTTTCCCTAACCAGATTGTCTTTTTGCGCCCTTTTCCGACCGCTATCCGCCTAAATTCTAGCTTCAGCAGGACTGATTTTTTGAAGGTGTCAAGCGTTCCATCTATTCGTCCCGTTCTTCGACTCTAGCCTTCCTCCATTCGTCCCGTTTTCCCCGTTTCCCCTTCTCCCCATGAAGATTTTCTTCACCCACAACCCCTGGCCTCGTGGGCTCAGGAGGAGACTTTTCCGCCGAAAAGAAAAACACAAAGTGGAGCCTGCTCCACCCCGCAAATCCATCGAAAAGGCCTTTTATCAGCCGTTGTCGTCGGAACCCCCGTCGTATCAAGAATGTGTGAGTTTGCCGCCTTTGCCCCATGTTGTTTTTGCCGCCAAATCAGCGCAAGCGACCGAGGTCCCTGGCGGCGCTAAAGGGGCTGCAAAAAGTCTAAGCAGATATAGGGGCGACAGCACGGGTGCAAAGAGCGGCACGGCGCGGGTGCCCGAAAAGAGCAGCACGGCGAGCAGCTGGGGCCACGAGACAAGTGTGGCAGACGCAAACGCAAACGCTTATGGAGCGAAAGGAGCCCCTATTGTTAGTGGGGTGGCGTCCAATGCGACAGACGCTCCGAGGGCATGTGTAACCAGCGCGACATGTGCGACATTAGCCCCAAGTGCCACTATGGGCGCTACAAGTGCTGTATCACGCGCGACATGTGATACAACCAGAGATGCATCTAGCGCGACGTTTGCAACCGGCACTTCCCCAATGACAATGGCCAATGTCGCTGCTCTCAAACCAAACGCTAGCCTATCGGCATTGCTGGAAACTGCCGTTGCACAAAAATGGCTTCCGCAAGCGCCGCATCGCGGCAGGCCGCGTGCGATGCGGTTCCGTTCCCAACTCACAGAAGCCATGGCTCGTCAGGCCCGCCGCCAGCTGTCGCCGCCGCGTCCTTCTCCGTTGCGCAAGTTGTCTGTTGGATGCATCGATCTTGCTGCAGTGGTTACTTGTGAACAAAAGAGCCGTCTCTGGACACACTACTTTGTTTGTCTAGAGTGTGCCATTGTCTACATTGTGCTTTTCACGTTTGTGGTTGCGCTAGCCGTGTAGCCATTTCCATAACCACACAGGGTCCACACGGCTAAGCGCATACACACATGTACAGAAAGTATTACCGCGGGTCTTGCCCTTTATGGCATGGCTCAAATTTGATGGTGCCGACACAACCGCTTCCGCGGACAGGCTGCTTTGCGCGCAAAAAAAAAAAGAATTGTGGAAAAGGACGCATCTTTGTGCAAGCTAATGGCTGGTCCAGATTGCTGCATAAACTTATCAGACTCCTTTCGCATCACCAGCAAACAAACCCGGCGGTTAGACTGACCAAGCAACCAAGGTGAGTCATGAAATAATGATTCAGCAGCGGCGCATCAACAAAGCATGCATCAGCAAAGAACGCATCTGAATTTAGCTTCCTATTACTGTTTTGGGCACATCTCCGTTCCGGGCCGCGCCCTTGACAGCAGAAATATGCTCAACGGTTCTTTGGCGTTGCCGTGCGTCATAATGAGTAAGTCTCGCAAAATTTGTGCAGGTGCTCGGGGCCGAGATGAGCAATTAGGAAAAGAGCTTGACATCTGTTCGATGTACGCAACCCACAAGCTGGAGCAAGTGTGTCAGAGATTTGCTCTGCCTAGATTGCGACGTATTTTATCTTCAGCATTTCGCAATGTTTACGTTTTTTAGCGTAAGCAGAAGTTACGAGCACGGCATGGTCTAAGTGAAGTATAATGAAAGCATGAAAGAATTGCCCGAAACAGACAGTAGACAAAGTAAGGTAGATGGCAAACAAGCATAGAAGTGGGGAAAGTGATGGAACATGGTGAAACAAGGTGGAAAGAAGCGTGCACGTGACACGGCTCGGCAAGTTCGGTCTTCGGCAAGAAATCTCGGTTCTCGGCCCTTAAGCTACAACTACACCACACTATCGTGAAAAGTCTCTATTAAAATCGTCGTGAAAAAAGGAAATAAAATCGTTACGAGTCCCGTCGTGAAGCGTGCGCCGCCCTTCGGCGCACAGAAAGAATAAAAATAAATAGCTTGTGCTCCTAGTACAAGAGCTTCATCAGATAGATGGCATCGTGTCTGTGATGACTTGCAGGATGGCCACGTGAATGGCCGTGGCCGTGGCCGTGCAATAAGTCTTCGCTAGATAGCTTGTGTGATGCAGGAGCATGTGCAAGGGCGTAGTGGACATCAGCCACTTCTTCATCGGGCTCGGAGTCCGAGTTGGACGACGATCGGGACAACTCGGGCAACGCGTCGGCCTCTTCGCCCTCTTCCTCTGGAATCAGCAGTAGGTCGTGTTCGGGCAACGAGAGGTCCATTGTGGGAAGGCGTCTGTAAGACTGTGGGCGGTGGATCAAGAGGGTGTCTTCTTCTTCTTCGTCTTCTTCTTCTTCGGACGAGTAGTAGTAGTCGGCGTCATCGGAGTCCGAGTCGGAGTCCAGGTCGACCTCGTACTCGGTGACAGAGGAGCCCGACGAGAGCGGCGAGCGCGATGGAAGCGAGAACGAGACCTTGTTGGCCGAGAGTTTCTTCTCGGTCTCAACAGAAATGTGGTCCATCAAGTTATCCAACATGTTGGCCTGGAGAACAAGCGAGCGCAAGGGCGTCTTGGGGTTGGCAGCCTCTCTCGTGAGTTTGGACCGCACCTTGGATGCCAAAAGATAGGATTCGGCAAAGGACATGGCTATGAAGAGGCAACGGCAAAAGTATAGGGGAAGTGAGACAAGAATCGGAGCAGGAGTCTAGGGATATAGTCGAGCGCAGGCAATGGGGCAGTCGAAGCAGGAGCTTGTTTGTGTGAAAATAATTTTCTGACATGCCAGGACAGCGACGTGGTGGACTATATATATGGATGCGCTAGGGTTCAAAGGTTAGTCAGACCGGTACTGACAAATCACTCGGATATACGTGGGGCCGCATTTCCCTGCGCGGCGGCTATGCCGCTCCGGCTTTTATTCTTTTCTCCGTCGGAAACCTATTCCGCCACCGCCGGCGTATGCGAATAATACGGCGCAAGCATCTGGGCGCCGTGTGCAGTGCTCCACGGATCTAAGCTGGCGCCGAGGCGGAGACTTTGGCCCGAAGAGCGAAAAACCGCTGCCAACCTACTTTGCGCCAGCTCAAAGACCCGGGCCCGTTTGTGGCTAAGTTGTCATATCAGGCCGCACAAGCATGCAAACGGTAGTGGCGTCGTATGTTTTGTGCGTTCGGATGCGGATGGATAATGCGCGAATTGCATCGGTCCAGCAACGGGGTTCGTGCCTTATCCATGTCTCAGACCATTTCCCATTTGGGGCCACTGCTCCATCGTTTTCCACACCGCCGTTTCTGCACCTTAGGCGTTGGCACGACTTGCATTGTCCATTGGTGTGACCGAGTTGGCGCTGTTCTTGTCTCCATATTGTCTACGGCAGGGTCTGCTATATTATCTACGGATGGTGTCCAGGCCTTGACTTCAAGCTCACGCCAGTTTCTCCATCCCCTAAGACCATGGGGTACTCATTTCGATCGTACCATCAAGGTACCACTTGGGATGGAGGTGGTGTAATTTCTTGCATATGGCCCGTTTCTGGTGTGTTCTTGGGGTCTATGGCCTGCGTGCAAGCTCGAGGCCTGTGTGTGGAGCAGTTTCGAAAGTCTGGGGGGCTCCATGCCGTCGCAAGACGCAGCGCCGCCTATCTCCACAGTTTGCTCTCCTCTGCCAGAGCCTGGAACCGTCTGGAAAAGCCTGTCTCCCGGAGCTTCTTTCGCTACTGTTTCCACCACGTCAAGACACGGCAATGTGGGCCGATTGCAGGACGGATCAGGTTGGGCCAGTTTGTTTCCTTGGCCCCCCGGATTTGTCTCAGGGCTACTTGGCTACATCCACATCTCCGCCACATTCACAGCGGCACGACTGGCGGCCGTACAAACGCTTTTTCGTGTGCTACAAGATTGCTGATTAATGTCTGATTACAAATGAGCGATGGTGTAAGCAGGACTTTATGCACGCTTCCCCGTTTTGCGTTCGCACCGTGCATAAATGCGCTTGACATATTTTCGAGCCCTGCCTGCTTTTCCCTGTCACTCCATTAGCCATGCATGTCCTATATAACCAAGAAGCATTGTGGCTGGGAAATCGGCCAACTTTTCGTTCGCTTGGGTACGGATTTGTCTCGCACTAGTGCACCATATCTTTGTTTTTATTTTTTCTTGTGCCTCTAGTGTCCGTCATGGGTATTTATTTGTGCCTGGAACGGCAATTATTTCAATAGGTCCCTGGAACGGCAATTATTATCTGCTCGGCCCGAGGCCTTGCTGCTTGACCTCTTGTTAGTAGCCTTGTCGTATGGACCCTGATTGCTCTTGAATCTTCTCTTTATCCAGACCACGCTTTGCGTTCGAAAGGAGATATGCACTAAAGGCGCCATGTTCTAGCACCGCTGTGTGCATGAAGAAGAGAGTTGCTGCTCGATTCAGGAACCCTTGCATGTTGGCCAGGCAGCTAGCAGTGCTGACTTCTATCCGGTCATGGAGACTGCAATATTATGTCACAAAATATGGTCGGTATTGCAATATTATGTCACAAAATATGGTCGATTGCAATATTATGTCACTGCAAATTATGGTCGATTGCAAAAGTATGTCACTGCAAATTATCGAACTATCAATTATGGTCGAACTATCACATATGGTACTGTTGTGATGGTAATTCTACTCACTAGTTAAATTTTCGAGATCATGACGCACCCATTCTTTATATTCTTCATCTCCTATTAACCTTATCCCCTTGCCATCTTCTGTGCACACACCTCTTTTGAACCAGACGTGGTCCGTCACTCGATCGGCTCCCAAAGATCATGGACCACGCCGAAATTGCTCTAAAAAGGCTTGCATACGTTGCTCTAAAAGGCTTGCATACGTTTGGGATGGTAATTATTGAGCTAAGTGTATCGAACTACCTTCTTAAACTCATTCTCGTCCAACTAGTACCATTGAACATCGTGAATGAAGTATACTTTCCCTTAGCGTTTTCAGAAACCTACCGATTTGCTAACCTTAAGTTACACCTTATCCTTATGTTAATGCAACAATGCATACGGCTTCGGAACTTTAGATCTTCTGTACAAGGCATAATACCCGAAGAATACGATCGCTCCTCTACGGTGGCACGCGACAGCGCAGCTTACAGGAGCACATTGTCTTCATCTCATGCGAATGTATTAAGCTATTAGCGAACCGTTTAGTCGAACAAACCGAAACCCATGTCGTCGTCGGATTCTTCAGCGGCTTCTTCCTCCTTCTCTTCGGCAGCAGCTTCTGGAGCAGCACCAGTGGCAGCGGCACCGGAGGCAGCAGCAGCTGGGGCAGCAGAGGCGGCAAAGGAGAACAACAACTCCTTCAAGTTCTTGCCTTCCAAAGCCTTGGCGAAAACATCGGCCCAGACATTGTCAACAGAGGCACCGGCGGCCTTAGTGATGGCCAACAAGTTGTCGGCGGAGATCTCAAGATCAGCGTCAGCCAAGATCAAGGCAGCGTAGGAAACAGAAGCTTCGGACATTATTTATGTGATAAAGCAGAAAACGGCTCAGAAGCGGGTGGATTTTTTTTCACGACGGTGCAAGTTTTTTCGGCGCACGTGATGGAGTGTCACGTGAATGGACCTGTCTGGTGCAATGAAAAAAGCAGTCACGGTTGAGTGTGGTACTGTATGCAGTGTACTGTATGCGCTGTCGTGGTGCACGGGTGTGCTCCCGTTCAGCCCACTTCGCCGTCTTGCAAACCAATTTTCGCCCGTTCTGCCCGGTTTTGTCCCTTCCGTCCTGGCATTCGGATGTCTGCTTCAATCTCCAGTTAAAGTGTGGAAGAAGATGCGCGCTCAAATCTGGGGTGTGCATACAGCGCGCCTCTACTACGCCAGCGGCTCCATTTGATACTCCAATCGCCATGTTTCTGTTAACCCGAAGCGTCCTCCGAATTGGGCACGGCCATGCCTTCACATCGAACTTGAATGTCACCAGACCGCTCCAATCGTCGTTTTTCCCGCGTTTCCCCTCTTTGTTCCGCAACTCAAAGGCCGTTTCTCAAGTGAGAAGTTATCGCCACTCCGACACATGGGCCCGCTACAATAAACACTATGGCCGCAACAAAATCAACTGGCGGACCTTGCGGAACCCGGCCATCTTCACTGTTTCGTTCTGCGCCGGCACCACCTTGGCTGTGCCGTACTTGTTCCAGATTCCGCCGTTTTCCGTGTTCAAGCGCAACCCGAATGCGCTCGTTTTCACCTTGATCGGGCTCAATGTGGCCGGATTCCTCGCATGGAAGTCGCCTGTGGGCAGCCGCTACATGGCACGCTACGGGCTTTTGGTCAAGGACAATGTTGCGTCGGTGTTTTCGCTTTTGGGATCGGCCTTTTCGCATCAGGAAGGAATGCATCTTTTGTTCAACATGCTCATGTTGTACTCGTTCGGGTCGACTCTATGCGGCTATGTCGGCGCCAGCAACTTCTTGACCATGTACTTGAACTCTGCCGTGCTTTCTTCGTTTGTGTCGCTTGCTCTCCCCATTGTCACGAGATCTTCGATGCTGATTGCCTCCTTGGGAGCCTCCGGCGCCATTTTCAGTGTTTTTGGCGCCTTCAGCTACTTGTTCCCTAGATCGGCCATTGCGTTCTTTTTCCTTCCTATCCCTGGCGGAGCTTGGTTTGCTTTTCTTGGAACCATGGCGTTCAACGTGGCTGGTCTCTTCATGAAGTGGGGCCGCTATGACTACGCGGCGCATTTGGGCGGCTGTCTTGCCGGAATCGGCTACGGATGGTGGTTTGACAAGAAGAGATCCCAGCGGAGAAAAGTCTACATGAGATAGAAGTACTCGAGAGTTTACATGAGATAGAAGATAACTCGAGAGTCTACATGAGATAGAAGATAACTCGAGAGTCTCACAAGATAACTCGAGAGTCTACATGAGATCGTGGGTTCTCCATGACATAGATTAAGTTCAGGCTAGAGTCTAACGGAAAAGATTCGTCATCTTGTGACTACATGTGCCGTGAATGCTTGTAAATAGATAATGTACAGTGTGGGGTAACGAGACCTCATGCAAACGAAACAGACTTCTTCTTCTTTGGTTCCTCTGGCTGGGCATCTCCCTTTTTCGAAAGACGCGAGTTCTTTCTTCTGGCAGCTCTGGCAATGTTGGCCTTGCTTCTGATCTCATTCTTTTTGTTCTCCAACTTATTCGTCTTCTCCTGTTCCTTCTGCTCCATTTCCTTCCGCTTCAACTCACGGATCTCCTCCAAGCGCCGCGATTTCTCCAACTTGGACTCGTTTGTCTGGTCGTACTTGTCATTGATGCTCTTGATGAGAAGATTGAGCTTCAAACTGTCGTGGTCATCGACAAATTTCTTGCCCTTTTTGCCTCTCTTGGCCTTGACACCAGGAACAATCGCACGGTTCAAGTTTGGAATCTCCAACTGGTCTTCACGGTACTCCTTGCCGTTTTTCGCTCCGTACAACCGGATTCTGGCCTGCTCCTTTTTCACATTCTTCTTGCTAGGCTTTTTGACTTTGGCCTTGGCTGTGAGCTTCGGCTGGTTGGCCAAAAGATTTCTTGCTTGCGAGTCCGAGGTGACCTCGCTCTCGATCGTTCGGGTTTTATTCTGGCTTTGCCTTCTTTTGGCTGTTTGCGATTGTCTGACGGCCATCTTGATTTGGTAGAGAGATGAGATGAAAAGATTTGGAATGATAATGCGCATCGGGGTCACGTGCGCCAGCCTCCAGTGGTATGAAGCCAAAAAAAATGGCAATGATTAATTCGGACGGGACGGGAAAGCGTGTGAATGTAATTGCTTTGTTTTGAATGTTGGAATGTTGGAATGTTGGAATGTTGGAATGTTGGAATGTTGTGGTCTGTCTTTGAAGAATGGTCAAAGCGTGCTTCGAAAATGTTCAAGCCTTGTTCGCAAAAAATGGTCAAGCATTCGCAAAGTAGTCTGCGAGATCTATTAGGCCCAAAATTATGGGATGATAGCAAAGTCACTCCAAGCATGAGTCATTTCTTTCCGCAAACAACTAGTCGAGTTTGCGGCGTGATTCAGTTTAGTCATATGCATTAGAGTAATTGAAGGATATCACTGCTATTTAATGGTCGAATGTTCACGGTTGAGTTACATATACTTGTGACTAAGCTCAGTGGAATTTCAAATCTGATCAGGATAAATGAAGAAACGACTCTCTATCAAAGCATTGGCCATGTTTACTTCGAAAGAGACGTCAGTTTCATTCGTAAGCAGACAGACCCATTGCTATTTTATTCTCATTGAGTAGGCGGAAACTCCTAGTAAAGTTACTCATATCAACAGTAGGATAGCAGGAACATGAACGTATTCGTCAACATCGACGGATCAAACATTTATGTCTTACACTTGCGACTGAGGTATCCGACCGAATCATATTAAGAGAATTCAAAAACCAGGTTGCGTTCAAATATTCAATTCTTGTCCAGATGTGAAGTTTTGTCCTTTGAATATAGCCGTTGGTACAATCCCAGGAAATACATTTCTATCAAGCACAATATTATCTCCGTCGCCGTACAGGACGATTCGGCGAGATCCGCTGATAAGACAATGTCGTGCATACTGTCAGTCCATCCCACCTCTTCTTCTCCATGGAACCCATAGTTCAGTTCAACTGGGACATTTTTCCGTCGACGAAACTCGAGGCCAGTGAAATGCTGGCCCCGTTAGGCTGCATGATCACTCCCGCATCCGCTTCGGGCGTTTTGTCTGCCCAAGGAAGTCCGCTCCGATGCCTGAGCTGTGACAATGTCGTGAATCCATATATTAGGATCGATAGAGCCAACAACTTCTGGTGGTGCCCCTTTTGCCATAAGACGACCTTCTTCCCCGATTCGTTTGTCTTGGCCCCTGTCGGTGCTCCCAACTCGGAAATCCCGGCCGAAATCAGACCTTCGCCCAATAATACCATCGACTATACCCTTCCCCGCGACATTTCCCAAGTTTCTCCAGGCACACAAAAATGTCCCTTTGTTTCTGTGTATATTATCGATAGGTATCAGCATGTGGATTCGCTAGAGCAGCGGGAGTTTGAAAGCTTGAAACGTGGCATTTGCAAGAGCATTGAGCGGCTTCCACACAACACAAGAGTGCTTCTTGTGACATTTTCCGATATTGTCGAGATCTTCTCCAAAAAGGAAAGCGTGGCCTTTCTGCCTCTGGCTATTTTCAACGACAACTACGACTACTCTAAACTTTTGACCGACCTGCTGGTTATCGGTACAATTCTCCAGAAATTGGCGGTGGAGCGCCTCGTGACTTCTACGGCAGAAAAGTCACCGCTTGCAAGAAAGGGCCTTTTGCTTGAAAAAAGCGAGGCTTCAGCAACAGTGGCAGGCCTAAAGCCAAAACTCACGTCGTCATACAAGCCTCCTCGGGCCACTGGTTTGGCTCTTTTCATTTCGACGCTCTTGCTTTCGCTGTGTTCGTTCACCAATTTGATTGGAAACGTTAGTCTTTTCGTCTCGGGCCCACCAACGTTGAGTCCGGGAAAAGTGGTAGGAGAGACAGAGGCTTTGCGTTCGCATCATGACGTGGCCAATTTCCAGGCCCAGCACTTTGCATCTGCGTCGAAGTTCTATCGTGCGTTGGCGTATGTTTCGAGTGGATATCTGTTGGAAAACTCTGCCGTGGCCGCATACTCCACATCGGGTAAACTCACCCATTTTGGTGTCATTGACAAGACACCGTTTTTTTCTGTCGATATATATTCCGGCTCGTTGGATCAGACAGGCGTTTACGAGATGGGCTCTTTGGCCTCGAGCGGATCGGGCTCCATTTTTTTGTTGGACAGTTTTCTGAGTGTGGACTTCGAAAACACATTACTAACTAACACGGACAGATTACCGAGCAGAAAATGGAAAACCACATTCACGGTGACTAGTTCCAGTGGCATCAGAGTGTGGAAAGCAGTGTGTCATGGTACTCCGCTTCGATCTTCTTACCAGTCGGAAAAACACTCGGCTCTGCATCACGAAAAGATCTCCGACACCATGTCTCGATTCGACTCGTCTCTCAAAAAACGTGATTTCACCAACCGCTGGAACTTGGGCAGCATCCAGGAGACTGACGCTTTGGCTGTCTATTTTGAAATGGATCTAGCCTCTTCTTCTTCTTCGTTGGATGTACACGGCACTAAAGAGGTCTTTATCCAGTTCCAGTCTCAGTGGTGGGATATGGGTTCGGAAAAAGAAATTTTACGGGTAACCACAATCAAAAGACCCACTACTCTATCGATCTTAGCCGCTAACCAAGTCAAATTGTCTTCAGGAAGATACAAATTGGTGAACCAAAACAGCATGATTTTGAAAGAGAAGGCATTGATTGAGAGCTTCGAATACAAAACGTGGATGGCCCTCTTCACCCGGCTTTTGGTTGACAAGATCGATACCACAATTGGATTTGAATCTTTCGAAGAGGTGGTGGATGAGGTCGATCAAGCGCTTATCCGCTTGACCAAATACTATGGTGGATTGCACATTGAGCAGTCCAATAGCACCAATCCATACGAGAAATTGCGATTGATTCAAACCATCAACAACAAGTTTAAAGACCTTCCCTCTTATTCGTATGCTCTAAGGAGGAATCCTCAGCTTGTGCGTATTTTCAATAGCTCGCCCGATGAAACGGCTTTCTACCACCATTTATTCAAGAGAAGTGGAGTGGAGGATTCATGCACCATGATCAAACCGCATTTGTACAAAGTGCAAAGTGACTCGCTTGAAGAAATTCTGTTGGATATTACCAGTGTCGATCCAGATGCAAATGCACCGCAATATTACGTCTTGGATGCCGTAGTCACAGTGATTATTTATTTGCTGTTCAAAGACCCTCAGGACGCACTTCCGCTCCATCCTTCGAACAACGATGATATTATAAACGGCAGCCGAGAAATTGATAACCCACATTTGAAAAATATTTTGGACCTTGTGGATGCCAAGTTCGTTCAGCCCAGGCCAAACAAGCCCAAAGTTGTTCTTACACAATCAGGGCATTCCCAGGCGAGATATCTAAAGGCCAGACTCAATCCAGTCAGGGACAAGATTGTTGTTGAGGAAAAAAAGAAAACCCGCTGGTGGGATTTTTTCTTTTCAGAGTCTCCAGGGAATACTTTGGCCATGGCAGATGAGGTGAGTGTAAAAACGTACTATTCAGAGTTGTTGAAACGGGTACAGAACTTTCAGCTAGATTAATTCAACTTGTTAATGTAAATCACATCCCCTTTCTCCTCAAAACCCTGCCATCAATGCAAAAAATTAGAACTGAGAAACGTCAGACTTAGTAACACCCCCAGTACTCTCATTTAGGCCAACTTCGGGAATCATGCTTGTGCTCATGCTCATAGAGTGAATGGTTGTGAACATCACCAAGCAATGAAGGAAAACGCAGTACACCAAGAACAACATACGGGTCAAACGCGTTGCAAGAATAGACCGAGTGACAAAAATGAACATCCTTTCGAACGGTGAAAGCCTCGAACTGACTCTTTCCTGCTCCTGTTTCCTGAACTGCTCTATAGGGTGCAATTTGGACTCGTATGACGCACGGTACGGATTGCTTTCCAAATCGGAACTATTGGCCTTTGGAATTAAAGTTCGGCGGTTTGAATTAGAAGGTGCTGTGGTCCCTTTATCTTTGATCAGAGCCATATATCTTGTTTTCTCATAAAGCTCCTCGTTGTCTGTTTGCAACATCTTGTTTTTCCTCTTGAGTTCATTCACAAGATTAGCTTGTTTACGAACCTCGTCTTCCAACTCCTTGTTCCTGTCACGGAATCTGTCTCTTTGACCAGTGATGATAGGCAAAATGGAATTTTCGTCAACGGTGTTGAGAGACGTCGTAGATCCTCGCCCCGGAACTGGTCTTGTCATCCTGGTCATCCCTGACATCATGCTGGCACTATCATTGAAGTTGGAGCCATATGCGTCCTGGAAGTTCGCAAGGTCGTTTTCCATCTTCGCATTGAGTTCTTTCATTTTGTTGTACTCCAGCGAAGCTCTGGTCAATTCTGCCTCTAGACTTGAAATTTTTGAGGTCAAACTCTCGTGCTGCGATCTTAGCTCGGCAAGTTCTTTTGTCAAGGACTTATTATGCTGAATTAAAAGAGCGTCAAAGTTTCCTGCTTCATGTTCAGAACCTGCGTCTTCTTCTTGCTCGCCGAATTCAATCTGTCTCAATAAGTGCAATTCATGTTTCAATTCGTCGTAGTCGCTCGTTCTTGAGAGTTTCTCTTTGAGGTGCTTGATTTCCTGGGTGGATTGGTGAAGCTCTCTAGTTAGAGATTGGATCTGGGTATCGTGCTCTTTATTGGTGGAGTCAAGCTTGCCTCTCAACTGGTTTAAGTTTGCAACTAACACGGCATTTTCGCCTTCGATTTCAGCAATCTTTTTCGCATGTTCCTGTTGCATGGATGTCTTTTCAGAATCAGCCTGTGATACAGACAATTCACGACGCAAGTCCTCGTTCCTTTTCTCAAGCTCGTACACCCGTTTTTTCCAAGATTCCACTTCTCGTGTGACCAAATCCAACTCGGCCAAAATGGAAACCAGAGAGTTCGAGGAGGGGCCAAGCTGTTTGTTTTGAGAACTCAACTGCAACTCTGTGACTTCCATTGAGGTACGCAACTCTTCGATTGTAGCTTTATAACCAGCAATTTGGCTCTCGTGTTGCTTCTGGACGCTTTGCCAATTGGACTCTTTCTCTTCTATCAACGCCTGGAACTCTTCCTCTTTGGCTTTCAATTTACTGCCAAGAAGCTCGGCCGATTTCTGCTCGCCATCCAAGAGCCTCTGTTTTAGAATGTCGTAATCGGCTTTTCTAGACAATTCGTCGGACAACCGGGCCACTTCTTTCTTCAATTCCGCTGTTTCATTCATTTCCATGATCGCGTCCAAGGATAGCTCCAACAACGGCTTTGGGTCAGGCGCTTCGGCAATAAGGCGGTAGAAGCCAAAGAAGAAGCTCTCGGCCTTTTTCTGTTTGGAGGTCAAGTTGTCGATTTCATTTTGGTACTGCTTCAAGAGCGGATTAAACTCAGCGAGTTTCTTTTCGTTGTCCAATTTTTTGAACTCCTTTGTCTTCGATGCTAGCTCCTTTCTACTTGCAAGCAGCAGCTTTTGTTCGCTTTTAAGTTCGATCCCCTGCTCGTCGAGTTTCCTCTGCAACGACGACAAATCGATCTCGGCCCATGTTTGTAGGGCATTTTCGAATGCATTCTTCAGTTTTCCGCTCTGCAGTGGAACAGGTTCGGACATGTTGGTCTTATCCCTAAGTTTGCAAGAGGTGTTGACTCGCGATAAAGCCATTTCATTCTGCAGTCGGAAATTCGCCTACGAAGAAAAGCATGAAACTGAAATAAATGATGAAACAGAAGAGGAAATATGATGAATTAGGTATAGGAGAGTGAACAATGTATACGTTGGCCTTATGTTCGTTTCTAGTGATTTTTTTCAAGTGCATTAATTTTATTTGGTTTTTGGTACGTTTGTATGATTATTGTAAATGCAATCGCGGGACTCAAAATGGGCTAAAAATAAGTGAGCAAGACAATCAAAGAAACCAAAGAAATGCAAAAACATAAATCTCGGCAGTTTCAATAAATATAAACACGATTCGTGCTGAAAAAGCCAAGATTATAATTAGGAACAGAAGTTTTCAGCAAAGGCTAAGATCGAAAGTGTCATTTCGTCTGGTGTAATTCTACTCAAATATCTTGGTAGGACGCTAGACTCAAATTATTTTCAACCAACAAAAGAAGTAAGTAAGGACGAGAGCTCAAGGCAACATTCAATCGCACATAGGAAATTAAAATGATTGAAAGCGTTTTCTATATACTTGGGGAGATCCACGATATTAACATCTTGGTAAATTCAGTGTAAGATACTACAACAGAGGGGATAATTCCCAACATTCCAAATCGACCAGCTGTCAAAGATATCATCGAAGGAATAGAAGAAATATAATACCCAAATAAGTTGGTAGGATATGTGGGATTTTGTATGACAGTCCATCATTTATATATAAGAATCGTATGGTTGAGCCAAGTTCCGAATCTAAGCAACTACATGAAGAAAAAGATAAACGAAAAGGCAACGAAAAGTCTAAGGCAGACTATCTCTAAACATACAGTTTAGGATACAGAAATAGGTGCTAGATACCGATTGTGGAACTGGATTCCATCTAAATTTCAAGCTGAAAAAATAAATGGTAAATCCCGAATCCAGATACCCTTTAGGTGCCACTTTTATATGAGATTAGAGAGTGAGTCTAGATATGAACTGGGCCCAGATATAAGCTCGAGTCTTTTATCTGGCAATTGACACTGGTTCAAATATCTGTAGTGAACTTACAATATTGCAAACGACAGTGTTCTTCAGTGTGCAAACGACAGTGTTCTTCAGTGTAAACGACTTCAGAGTGTGTCATTGCCAATGTGTCTCAGTGTCAATACAACTACGTCACCTCCCGAGGCTTATTTACGATGTCTGCTTCAACCAAAAGTTCATTAGGGTCGGCAATTCTTGAAAACCCGAACAAAAAGAACATTTTAACGTCTACGTTGACGCTGCAGTAGACGATAAATCCCGAGCTACATTCGTTCCCCATGACATGCATTAATCCTATGGCACATTTAAATGAAAGTTTCGTAAGCAACAGGAGCCAAAGTTTGTGGAACATTGCCCTCGGTGGAGATAAGCTTAGCTGGTCTTGGCTGAGCTGGTTGTCTCTTCAAAGAGATTTGTTCACCCTTGGCCTTGGCTTCCTTCTTCAAGGCAGCGTTGGTCTTGACTCTGTTCAAGAACTCTTGACGACAAGCAGAGTGCTTGACGTGCTCGACTCTCAAGTTGACCTTCTTCTCGATGTATCTGTTACCAACAACCTTGTTGATGATGACACCGACAGCAGACTTAGTGACGTTGAAAACGATACCGGTCTTACCTTGGTAGTACTTGTGAGGCATACCCTTTTGGATCGAACCGTTGGCCTTGATGTCGACAATGTCCCCAACTTTGTAGACCTTCAAGTACGTAGACAATGGAATTGCCCCGTGCTTCTTGAAGTCACGTTGGAACATGTAACGAGTACCAGATCTGTAACCACGCCTTCATGTTAGTGCTGACTCGAGTTTCCGGGCCCAATGTATACATACGATTTACCCATTTTGTGTGTAGTTGGGAAGAGAAGAGAGAGAAAATGTTTTATGTGCGAAATGCGCGAGGGCGCGAGCCCTACAGTGTGGAGTTCCTAGTACAGTCGAGATTGGACCAAACAAGAAGAACAAAAATTTGGGAACAAGACCTTTACCGGGAAGCAAACTTGATTAAATGGAAATCGGTTTTTAGCAAGAGAGATTTTATGGTGTGGTTTAGTTGTGCGCAAGTGAAGGTTCAAGATCTGAAAAAGTCATTTAATGGCGTAGAAAAAAAACTCATGAGCGTAGAAAAAACCCATGAGCGTAGATACTGATGATCCGGGTCTGTTTGATCTGAATGATGTAAAGCTTGCTGCAGTGAGTTATTTTTTTACGGGTTAATTGTTGCTGCAGTGAAGTTTTTTTTTACGGGTTAATTCGTTTTGTTCTCGAGTAGTTGGAAATTTCACCTACAGTTAGGCGACAGACAGTATGAGGAGACCACCTAGGTAGACGTATAGACACATTACGAGAAATACAGGCTAGACTAGCACTGTCCGATCTACCGGTAACTCACGGATACCTGCCATTATTACATAAAGAGTGGAAAATTAACCAAATGCCATTAGAGAAGAATTAGTATACAAGTTAGCACATTTACTCTTCGTCCTCCTCAGCACCCTCGGAAGCCTTACCTTGGTTTCTTCTCTTGACTCTACCGGCTCTGCCACCACCGTATGGGGAGTTTGGAGCAAAGTCAATGTGCTTTTGAGAGTCCAATCTGACCATGAAAGATGGGATGTTGACGATTTGCTTACCAACAGCAATGTGTCTTTGGGTGATCAAAACTCTTGCGTGGTGGATAGATCTGGCCAAACCCAACTTGAAAACTTGGGTTTGCAATCTTCTCTCCAAGAAGTCCTCGATTCTCAAGGCCAAAACGTAATCCAACTTCATTCTGTCCTCGGACAAGACACCGATTCTCACCAATCTTCTGATCAAAGCGTTACCTTCGAACAATCTCTTCTCATCCTTGTCGTCTCTGGTCAACAAGTCACGAGCAGCTCTTCTGATCTTGGACAATTGGAATCCAATTCTGTAAATCTCTCTCTTGTTCTTCAAACCGTACTCACCGGCCAACTTCAATTCAGCGTCCAAACGAGCAGACTCGTATGGTTGCTTTGGCACGGAGTAAGTCTTGGAGTAAGTTCTTGGGGCACCTGGTTGTTAGAAATAGTCCAAACAAAGGACCGGGCTACGAAAACAAAACAAAAAAAGAGCCAAATGAGAATATGTCTGGCTCTGATGCACAATGATAGGCGTAACTGAAGTGTCGGGGTTCAGTTACTAGCTATAAGCATCAAAGAATTGCAAGAATGCGTTTCTCTTTTTGTTTGAGGGCCCGAAACCTCGAAAGCATGAGCTTTCATAAAATAAACATACGAGGCATGTTGACTTGATGAGATGAAGAGAAGAAAAAATCTGTAGAGGAAACTTTGGCTCTTTATATGTGCGCGCGGCATGAAAAATTTTTCACGCTCCTTCGCATAAGCTAGTAATATATGCAGGACATCACCATACTTCAGAAACCAGTTTTTTTGTCAGTCACGGATGTACGGGTGCACCCTTCCCTCTTCTCCACCATCCATGAAGTTTGTGGCGCTTATTTCGGGCGGCAAGGACTCGTTTTTTAACATCTTGCACTGTGTGCAGAACGGCCACGAGCTTGTGGCGCTTGCCAACTTGCATCCGGCCGATGCCAGCGTCAACGAAACCGACTCGTTCATGTTCCAGACCGTGGGCCACGACATCATCGACTTCTACCGCGACTGTGTGCCCGAGATCCCGCTCTACCGGAAGGCTTTGAATGGCGGCTCCACCAATGTCAGCTTGGAGTATGTTCCGACGCCGCACGATGAGATAGAAGACCTCTTGGAGCTTTTGCAAGAAGTGAAGCGGAAACAGCCGGACGTGGAGGGCGTCAGCTGCGGCGCAATTCTCTCCCACTACCAGCGCACGCGGGTCGAAAACGTCTGCGACCGCTTGGGGCTCACGTCTTTGGCGTACTTATGGCAACGAGACCAGGCAGAACTCATGAGGGAGATCTGCGGCCTGGGGCTTGACGCCCGCTTGATCAAGGTGGCGGCGATCGGGCTCAATGAAAAGCACTTGGGCAAGCCGCTCGCAGAAATGTATCCGATTCTCACCAAGCTCAACCAGATGTACGATGTGCATGTATGTGGAGAAGGCGGCGAGTTTGAGAGCTTGGTGTTTGATGCGCCGTTTTTCCAGAGGAAATTGGCCCTTGCGGCGCTGGAGCCCGTGCGCCACTCGTCCGATGCTCTGTATCTCCGGATGAAGATTACCGTGGAGGAGAAAAATCAACAAGTCAACCAGGAAAACATCCCCACGCCTCCGCTTTTGCTGGAGAACTTTGCGGAGATTGCAGAGATACAGCTGCCTCCCATCACAGCAGACACAGCTGTTCCCAGTGCCAGTTTCCGGGTGTCTCCTCGCGTTTCCAAGCTGGGCGGCCGTCTTTTCATTTCCAACCTCGTCAGCACAAAAGATTCCATCGAGGACCAGACGTCTGATGCGCTCGAACAGCTCCGGCTGGAAATCTGCGCCAGAGGGTACACAATGGCCAATGTCCAGCACGTTTGCCTTCTAGTAAGTGACATGGCCCACTTTAGCCGGGTCAATTCTGTCTACGGCAAGTTCTTCGAAGAGATCCACTTGCCCCCATCTCGTGTATGTGTTGAGACGGTATTGCCGCAGCCGTACAGAATCCAAATGTCTTGTGTGGTGATGCCACTCGAGCACGAAAAAATGGGTATCCACATCCGTTCTCGGTCCTACTGGGCGCCGCAAAATATCGGGCCCTACTCGCAGGCTATAGTTGACCACAGAGGGAAATTCAAAAACGCCACGCTCTCGGGCCAAATCCCGCTAGTGCCAGCATCAATGCAGTTGGATACATCCATGTCCAATACGGAGTCTGCTGTTCTTGCTCTTCAGCATCTTTACCGAGCAAAGACTTTGGTGGATGTCAAGCAGTTTTCTGAGGCCATCTGTTTCGTCACGAACCCTGCTTTGGCCCCGCTACTGGCTCAGATCTGGCAACTGTATGTGGACGACGTGGAATATGGCCAGGATTTCTACAATCGCTTGTTGATTGTTCAGGTGACCAACTTGCCCCGCAATGCCAATGTGGAGTGGGGAGGATCTACGTTTGAAAAAATCAGAGACATGTACGAGGACGAAGAGGAAACCGGCACGTCTTTGTCGTACGACGACATAACCGAAAAGTTCAAGACGTCGGTTGTTGCAGGCGGCGACACGAACCTCGTGAAACTAGTTACAGATGACATTTCGGCTGTGATTGAGTTTTTGAGAAACCCTCGCATCCAAGACTCTTATGTTCGAGTCATTGCAGGACTCGATGATATCCACAGATTGACCAACATGGGCCTTTCTGCCGAATGGATACCTGTTTTGAAAGTTTGGGATAGTGACGCCACGCCATGCTCTTTTGCACTTCTATGGGTTGAATAATCACTTTATATTAGACTGTAGAATATAATTTCGAGCTAAACCGACATGATTCGACTCGGCATATCAAAGCCGCAACAATGGCATGTATCAAAGCCTGTGTGGCGTAATGGTTAGCGCATTTGACTTCTAATCAAAAGATTCCGGGTTCGAGTCCCGGCATGGGTTCTACGCGGTTTTAGCTCAGTTGGGAGAGCGTCAGACTGAAGATCTGAAGGTCCTGTGTTCGATCCACAGAAATCGCATTTCTTTTTGCGGATTGCCTGGATTGCCTCTGTTTTTATCTGTTTTTACCGCATCAGCTAGTTGTGTCGATCGTACTTAGTATAAGCCGTTGTTTATACGGAACCTGAAATTGTCTGGCCAGCTTCGCACTTATAGATCTCGCATCAAATCATGAGCCATGAGATTCACCAATCAAGTAAATCAAGGAGGCTCCTGTTCGTAGGCTTTGATCAGCTCACCCAATATCTATCCATTGATTATCTTTTATCTATATCTATCCATTGATCATTTATCTATCCTGATATCCATTATCCGTATATAACCTATCCCATTATTTTTCGTCCCAGTAGTCGTCGATCGAGTAGCCCGGATGCGGGCGAAACGACGGCAAGTCGTCATGATCATGGCCGGCAAGATCATGCGAGGTTCCTTCTTGTGGCGCGTCGTCCCAGTCGTCGACGTATTCGACCTCGTATTCGAAATCCAGCTCCGAGTGGGGGTGACTGCCACTTTGAAGATGGCCAATGCTGTGGTTGCTGTGAACGTGTGCCGCTGTCTCCGCCAGGTTAGCATTCTGGCCGGCGCCGGTGTTCTGAGTGTGAGTGTGAGTGTGAGTGTTTTCAGCGTTTTCAGTGTTTTCAGTGTTCTGATTTACGCCTTGGTTGACGCTTTCGCTGTTTCCCTCTGGGTTCTGCGCGTCCAGGCTCGACCCAGAAGAGCTCAAGTCCTTGTCCAGCACAAACTGCGACGCCTCGGAGCCGAAAAGCATCTTTTTCCACGCGGAAAAGCGCCGCTGGATCGGCCGGTTGTGTTTCGACGCATCAAAGCCGCCAATGTCGTCCATGCTGATGGGCCGGCCCAACATGCCCACGCGCTCGAGCTTCAGCTCCAAGTCGCGGATCGAGTGCACCCACTCCCAGCAGCAGGTCAACACGTAGATGCTGAGCACGTAGGGGAAGAAGGTGATCCAGGCACGCACAAGCCAGTCGTTGCGCCAAAGCGTGGCGGTGAGGAGAACCATGACAAACTGGAGCGCCACAAGAAACCACGTCAACAGGGCAAGCGGCACGAGCTTGCGCGAGTAGGCCACCTGGCGGGGCGCGGACGCCGTGCCAAAGAGCGTGTGGTAGGCCAAGAGCATGGCGAGCCAGAGGATGATGAGAAGCTGGCACACGTGCTGGGCGAACATGGCGGGCGACGGGTTTTTCACGCTGAGCTTGGCAAAGTCGTCCAACTGGGCCTGGCGCACGGCCATCGCGACCAAGTTGGCCACGGTAAGAAGAAGCCCCACGGCGCCGTTGATGCGTTTCCACGTTTGGCGCGTCATGGCCACGCCGAGGTGCACGAGCGCCAAGTTGGTCAAGAGCTGCAGAATGGTGATGGCCGTCGGGTACTTGCGCTTGTCGTTGACGATGTTGAGGATCTTGATCATGTCAAGCGTGTCCGAGTAGTACTCGTCGCGTGACACGGCGGTGATCTGCGCCAAGATGATGGTGAGCACAACCAGGTACATGACCGTGGCCAAGTGCGTGAGGAGCGGCTTGCGCTTGTACTTGGGCAGCAACACAAACATGAGCTCCAACATCCAGCACGACACACACAGCCCCAGAATCATGTAGAGCAATGCGACAAACGAGTCGCCGTTGTCGGAGATGTTGTAGGGGTTGTTTTTGAAGTCGCGCATCCACCGGAGCACGTCGGCGTCCGACACGCTCTGGTTCAGGATGTGGGCCACCAAGTCGGGCACGGAGCAGTTGGTGGCGTAGTAGGCGGGCACAAAGTCCGTCAAGTTGGCCAGCCACTGGTGCGAGAAGTAGTCCTGGAGCACAAGCAGCCCCAGCGTGAGCGAGTACACGGAGCAGTTGAGGTTGACGGTGTTTTGCTCCATGAGAAAGTAGACGCTGTAGTTGCTCATGGTGAACATGGTGGAGTTGACAGACGGCATGGGTGGTTTTCTGGGCAAGGTGGTTTTTCTTAGCGTGCATGGTGCGACCTGTCTTATGTGGATGAAGGCAGACAGGCGAAGCCTGTCTGGCATAAGAAAACTGCCGAATTATCAAATTTGATCAAATTGTCGGACAGACACCGGGCGAAGCCTGGATCTGATTGACGATAACGATAACGATACGATTGACAATTGACGATAACGATTGATGCCTGAACTTATACTTGTTTTCTGAAGTTGTACTTGTTTTCTGAAGTTGTACTTGTTTTCTGAAGTTGTACCTGTTTTCTGAAGTTGTACTTGTTTTCTGAAGTTGTACCTGTTTTCTGAAGTTGCACCTGTTTTCTGAAGTTGTACCTGTTTTCTGAAGTTGTACCTGTTTTCTGAAGTTGTACCTGTTTTCTGAAGTTGTGTTTGTCTCGATCGCTTCGCTGTATTTGCCCGTTCCGGAGTGTCATCACTGTCTTGCGTTTCTTATTTACTCTTTCCCAAATCTTCTATTCGTAATCTCGATCTGAATCTTCTATTCTTGTAATCTATCTAAATCTGCCTGGTCCTGGTTTCGGCAAAGCCTGTGAAACTACCGAAGCATCAAATTGCGAACCATATCGCCGAATCTTTGGCCATGCCTCATACCTTCCAGATCCACCCGGCCGATTCTGATACCTAGACATGACCGACTGACTTGTGTAGGCTACAGGATGACATGGTGTATGGTTACTGCGGTGTGACTCGTATCTCATATACTTGTCTTGTAATTTTGTCTTGTATAGTTTTGTACTGTTGTAGTCTTGTCTTGTAATCTTGTCTTGTAGTCTTAGTTTTGTACTGTTGCAGTCTTAGTTTTGTACTGTTGCAGTCGTAGTTTTGTACTGTTGGGTCATATACTCTTGTACTCTTCTCTTGATACCCATGTACTCCTCTTCTTGATACACACATACTCTTATACTTTTATACTCTTACTCTTATACTCATCCACTCTTACTCATCTACTCTTACTCATCTACTCTTACTCATCTACTCTTACTCATCTACTCTTACTCATCTACTCTTACTCATTATTCATATACTCATATACTCATATACTCATATACTCATATACTCATACACTCCTCTACGCTATACCCAACTCTTATACTCATGTACTCTCTTATACTCTTGTTCTCTTGATAGTATTCCTCTCTTGATATTCTTCTTCTCTTGATATCTCTTCTCTCGACTCTTGAATAGTCTTATACTCTTATACTCTCTTAATACTGTTATACCCTTCTCTTGCTCATGTACGCTTACTCTTGTACTTGTTCTCTTGAAAGTCTTCTCTTGCACTCTACTCTGAATACTCTTATACTTTGCCCTCTCGGCTCATCAATTTGGCCAACTTCACCGGAACTATCCACTTGCCAATAAAATAGACGTTTCTTCTATGGAAGCCAACTACAGTGTAGAGAGAACTGCCAACTAAATTGCAGATGAAATCTTGAGCTCAGGTCTAGTGTCTGTCAATAAAACCACTTTTTGCCAATCATCGGCTCAAATCCGCCCAAAGACGTCTATGACTGAAAGCCTCGGATATTAGTATCTTCAATTTTCACTTCAATCTTCAGTAGTCAATAAACATTCAAAATCAGTGTCCTCATCTACCGATGCATGCATGATAAATCCACTTAAGAGAGGTGAACCTGCATTGGGCCATGCAGTATGGACCTGACTCAATGTCGTTTAGGGTTACCTTTTTAAATAGCCTTTTGAGTTGCCTAGAAAAATCTCATCCTTTGCTGTGTCGTTTTCTTCTTCTCTGGGCTATTTTGACCATCTCTCCCTTTGAAAAATTTCTTGGTCCAGCTCCATATGCGAGATACATATACTGTAGATAATGATGAATACGGACATGCATGAACACTCATACTCTGAACGGCTAATTCTGCCTGTAAGAATGCTTAATTTGGTTTGTCACCCAATTACCGTTTGCTCCAAAGTCTAAAAATGTGTGTAAAATCTCAGCAACCATGAACCAATTTAAACTTTATGGAGCCAGACTAGGCTGGAAGCCTACACCAACCAATCGTGTGTGTTCTACTTTTTTGTATTGCAATCATGAAGATACGTAAGTTGGAGATGCGTAGATTTGCATTGAATGGTTCATTGTAAGATTGATTGTTTGGTTAAAGTTTGTCGAGCTTGTGAATGCGTCATTTCATCAATCAAACGGTAACTGCATAACTACTTTTAAGCTAGTTTGATGAACAAAAACAGCAATGAGAATTCAAGTGAAAGTAAAGGTAGTTGCCAAATCATAAGAAGTACAGACTAGCGAGATCTTTTGAAAACCATACATTCAAATTCTGGTGATCCGACCCGAATAAAAATGATTATCTGAACGATAATCACACCGTTGGATCTTCCATCAAGCGACGGACAACTTTAGATAGAGCCAAATTTCCATAGTTATCTTTGTTTGCCATGTATTATCTTTGAATTATTCTTTTATCGTTTGTTGACTAGAAAGATGAACAGCCAGACTGAAATTCTGGAAGTAAATTTGAGAAAAGTCAATCTCGTTGTATCTGTCGGTCACCTCTCTTCATCTTGATCTCGTTTCTTCATCTCCTCATCTCTTCATCTTCTCTCTTTATTTCTTGATCTCATTTCTTCATCGATCTCATCTATATATCTACGATCGCACTGATCTGTGTCGGCTGTTTCGACCGTCACTCCATTTGTCTACTTTTTTGTCCTTTCTATTCTCCTTTCCCTTTCTCTTTCCCTTCTAGTCACTTTCGTTCTCATCTCTTCTGCCACTTTCGTTCTCATCTCTTCTGCCACTTTCGTTCTCATCTTCCGTCTTCGCTTTCTTCTCTGCCGTCCTGATCTGACATCGCGATCAACAACTACTCATGGACCCAGTAGCACAATTGACTGCCGGGGTGGCTGCGTTGCCCAGCCGAAAGCGGCGGGCCCACCACGTGCTTGCCAACGTCCAGTCGCCGCCGCTCCAGCCGCCGGCGTTCTACCAGGGAAACCACACGGGCTCTGTTCCGACCTTGGCGCTTCCGTCGATGAGCATGCCCAACGGGTCGATGCCCGACGTGTCGAGGCCGGCGTTCCAAAGCAGGAACATCAACAACTTCAACACAACCAAACAACCAACCAAGCAACCAGCTTCAGCCAACCAAACAATACAAACTACACAAACTACCCCAACACAAACAACATAAACTACACCAACACAAACAACATAAACTACCCCAACACAAACCCCAACACAAACCCCAACAACAACTTCCAGCCAACCTCCACCGGCTACGCCAGTGGAGGTTTGGCAGCCAGTGGTGGTTCCGTTTCCCTCAACGTGGCCACGCCCGCCGACACCCGCGGCCTCTCGCTCTCGGCCACGCGGCTCGCCCACCACGCCGAGTACGCCACGCGCCCGTTCCTCTCGTTCCAGAACGTGGTGCCGCCCGCCGCAGGCACCCAGTACCAGGCCGTGGACCAGGGCACCGCCACGCCGCGCCACATGCGCAGCACCTTGTACACGATGCCCGAGACCGAAGCGCTCCGCCGCGCCACACACTTGCCTGTGGCGGTCACGGTGCGCCCGTTTGCGCCGCTCCAGCCGGGCGAGGACCCGGTGCCCACAGTCGACATGACACAGGGCCTGGGCCCGCCGCGCTGCAACCGCTGCCGCACCTACATCAACCCGGCCATGGCCCACACCGCCGCAGGCAGCTTCACGTGTAACGTGTGCCAGTTCGGCAACAACCACGTTCCGCTCGAGTACGTGGCGCCGCTCGACGCCTCGGGCCAGCGTGTGGACAGGGCGCAGCGGCCCGAGTTGCACCGCGGCGTCTACGACATTGCTGTGCCCGAGTACTACGAGGCCGGCGGCAAAGCCATGCACCATGTGTTTTTGGTCGACGTCAGCATGGCCAGTGTGCAGCGGCAGTTGCCAGTGGTGGCGGCCGACGCGATCCGCTTGGCCATTTTCGGCGACGGCGACGGCGACAGCGACAGCGACGACGGCAACGACACCACCGATCCCACGTCCTACTCCATCATGCTCTTCGACAGCAGCGTGCACGTCTTCAACCTCGCGCCCGAGCTCGACACGGCGCAGCTTGTGCTGTCGGGCGACTTGGACGACCCGTTCGTGCCGTTCCACCACGGTCTTTTCGCTAACCCCGCCGACAGCAGAAGCATCATCGAGGACGCCTTGAACACCATGGAGCAGCTTGCGCCCGGCTCGCCCGAGCCGTGTTTGGCCGTGGCCGTCCGCACCGCGGCGTTGGCCTTGCAGAGCGCCGGCGGAGGCAAAATCACCGCTCTTTTGGGCACGCTTCCCTCGTGGGGCCCCGGCGGCTCGCGCATCAAGGAAAACAGAAACGTGGGCCGCAGCCCGCTGGCAGAGGCCGAGCGTGCCTTGTACGCGGCCGACAACGAGTACATCCGTCTTTTGGGCAAGGACTTGGTGGCGCAGAACGTCGGCTTGGACATTCTTGCCGTGGCCGACACCCCCACAGACGTGTCGAACCTTGGCTGGCTCTGCTCCGTCACGGGCGGAATCATGCGCAAGTGGACGTCCTTTGTGTTTGAGCGCGACGGCAGAGCCTTGACGGACCAGCTCGTGTCGTCGGTGAAGAAGTGCGTGGGCTACCAGGGCCAGCTCAAGTTGCGCTGCTCCAACGGCTTGCAGGTGACCCAGTACTACGGTTTCCCTTCGGGCGAAGCGTCCTTGGTCGGCCTCTCGCTGGACCCGGCTGTACCTGTCCTCTCGGAAGACCTGACCTTCACCATCTTGCTCGAGTACGACGGCTCGCTCAACACAAAGTACGACTGCCACTTCCAGGCCGCCGTGCTCTACACAGACCGCCAGGGCACCCGCAAAGTGCGTGTTGTCAACTTGGTTTTGGCTGTGAGCGAACGTCTCCAGGACGTCTTCAGTTTTGTCGACCAGGACGCGGTGGTGGCCACCGTTCTTCGCGATACGCTTTCGTTTGTGGGCAAAGAGCTGCTTGTCGAGTTGCGCAAGTCTGTGAGCGAGAAGCTCGTGCAGATCTTCACGCTGTATCGGGCTATGAGCGAACAGAACCACAACATGAACAGCACGCGTACCAACCAGTTGATTTTCCCCGACTCGCTCAAACACCTTCCGTTGTACTTTTTGGCATTGCTCAAGTCTCGGGCGATGCGGGACTCGTCTTCCATTTCCATCGACTCTCGCCTTTGCGATGTTTATGACATGATGTCCATGCCGCTCGAACGTTTGGCCTACCACTTGTATCCGGCACTTGTGGAGCTCCATTCGTTGGCCGATACCGACTGCTATGCGAACGGAGTAAGTGCTGATGCAGAAGAGAATCCAGAAGAGTTTGTGGGCGAAGCTTTCCTTCGTCTCCCTGAGTTCAAGCCGTTGACTGCCCAGAGCTTGGAACCCGGAGTCTACATCTTGTGCAATGGCACTACAGTCTATGTCTGGGTGCATCCAGACGCCAACAAGCTTCTTCTCCGCGACTTGTTCGGCGAACACATCCGCTCCGTTGACGACATCGACCCTTACCTTGATCTGTTGCCTGAACTTCCTACGAACATCTCGCAGCAGGCTCGCAACTTGGTCCAGTACTTCCAGAAGGAGATCATCGGGTCCGGCTCCATCAGCAGTTCAGCTATCCGCATAGTGCGCCAAGGCATTGACAGCTGGGCTCATGAATTCAGAGAGTGTTTGGTGGAAGACCATCTTCCTTCGAAAACTGTCAATACATCGCCAACTTTGCCTGAGTTTTTGGCGTCCTTGCACCGCGCTATCCAGGGCAAGGTTGACGTGGAAAAGAAACATATACAAGAGAGTACAAAGCACGATGAGACGTTTGTGCAGCGCATGCTTCATTTTTAGTCAGAATAGTGTGTCCAGAGCTTGTGAAGAGGTATGTCCTAGCTCTGTGTATACTAGTTACAAAAGTTGCCCAATGCTAATAGAGGGCGTCCGGACTAGATGATGCTTTACATTCATGCCTCAAATCTTCGCCAGTCTGTATAAGGTATTTACTTCAAAGTGGTGAATACATTTTGCTGATCGCTTTCTGTAGATTCCAAGAAGCTTAGTTCACTATACAGTGGCTTAAGAAGGATAAGAAGCAAAAACGAAAAGGTCTTATTTGTGTATACTTGGGCTTAGTAATTCCATAACCTGAGCACTAAATGAATAAAGAAATTTTCATTTTCCAAATAAAAATCTTAAGTCAATCTTGTGCAAGTGTCCAATTCTTCTCCGAAACTTTCATTTCGGTCGACCGTGCTCCTTTAGATCAGCCCTAAGAAGACTTTCTCCATTAGAACTTAAGTTGAGCTGCCTCAACTATTCCTCGGATAGTATACATAATGTCTGAGTTTTTTGTGCTTATCACCACATTTTTGAGCCCCTGTTTCAAAGGCTTATCATTTTGAATCTTGTCTAAAGCGTCAAGCTTGTGACCCACCGCCACCTCCACCAAATTAAGAAGGAAAGTCAACACTCTTAGAAGAAGATCGTCGTTGTCCGCTTGTTTCTGTAATATATTTGCAATGATTTCCATAATTTGCTCAAACACTTGCTGGTTTTCCATCAAGACCTGGGCCACCAACTCAAATTCCATTGTTGCATTGGCTAGTAGTCCGGCTATCACAACCTGCAAGCTTTCGTTTTTCGAATGCAACATCTTCACCAAAATGTTCAAATTACGAATGCTTTCTGGGTTTTCTGAATTGAAGAATTTGGCAAGCATCATCGGCGTGGAAATCAAATTATTGATGAGTTCCCATGCTGCCCTTTGTATGTCCGGCTGAGAAGTTTCCAACATTAAGTCTTTGAGATGCTGCTCGAACAATCTCGTAATTATTGATTCATGGAGCGCCTTGTTTGGCATGGAAGAAAGGTTGGTTAGAGCTAACAAAGAGCATAATTTGTCTAGCACTGTAATGGACGAAGCGAAAACCGCACGAGGATTATCCTTTTGGGTCTGGAAAGACTGTTCTTCTGTTTCTAATCCTAAAAGCTCCTCTAGGAAAGGCACAGTTGTTTTGATGTCAAATTCCGAAAACGCAAGTTTAGGGTCCACAGACCGGCAGATTGTAGCCAAAGCCCGGATGGCGCAAAGTCTCACCTCGAGAGTCTCTTCTTCCATCGAAGATGCGTGTGTCTTGTGGGTCTTCTTATCCACCAGACTATATTGTGTGAGATACTTCAATACAATATTCAAGCCTCCCTGTGCCACGATTTCTCGCTGAATTTCACGCTTATGGTTCAGAGAGAGGTTGTAGATGATCCTTATAATTTGTGAAAGCGAGTTCCCTTGTGTAACCTTTAAAGCACGTAGAGAGCCCACAAGCTTATGGGAAATGACCAAGTTTTCATTAAATAATGCGTCATCTTCAGGGTTATTGGCGGCTCTGTCATTTCCTGGTACGGCGATGTTTTTCAAGTAGTTTATTGTGTTTGTGTCTTTGTCGGCGGTCGGGTCTCTGGACTTTGATAAGTTCAGGTAAACAAGCAAAACCCCATATATGTTCGAAGGGTCTTTCGTTGTTTCCAACACAAAGAGGAGACGTTCCAAAAAGTCCTCATCGTCTCTCATTGCTTTCTTCGCTGCATTTCCTAGAGATAAGTATGCGAGAGATTCCAAGAAATACTCGATGCTTTTATCTTGGAGATCACAGGACTTGAAACCATTGCAGATGCTCTGGACTAAGGTCTCAAAGGAGATCTGCTTTTCTGTCTGGCTGAAATTCCACAACTTGACAAGACACAAGAGCGAAAGAGACAGTATCACGTGTGAGTCCATTTCTGTCCCAGCCACTAGGAAACGTAGATACGTATCCGTGTTGAACTTGCGGGCTCCCTCATCGACACAGGAAGCCGATAAGACTCGTAAAAGCCATTCAATCTTTGAATTGGAACTGCCCTTTCCGTTTTCGAGCATTTGTGCCTGATGAAGAAAGATTTCCTTACACCGGGCCCGAACGTAAAGAGCTTTCATGGACTGGGGAAAAATCGGAAAGAAAAGCTCTATTGTTGAGCAGAGTGATCGGAACTCCAGCGCAGAAATGTGGTCAGGGTCTGTGTTCAATATTCTTTGCACAAGCGTCTTGGCCTGACTTTCAGCCTTCAGGGCGTACTTTCTGGCGTATAATACCAACGCCAACGTAACAGCCCGGTCGTACTGTGTCTTCAAGAACGGACATAGGAGAAGAACGGGTTCCAGTGTGTCATTTTGGAGACACAAGTTCAGATAGAGAGAGAGATACAAGTCTAGCGACGGCCCAGGCTCCGAAGAAGACGTTTCCAACTTTTTTTCACATTCTTTTATGAGCGCAGAGCAGTCTCCGGGCAAAGACGACACAAGGAACGCCGCAGCGGCAGATCCGAAGCCTTCTAGACTGTGCAAGACCAGCAGTGGAGAGTTTTGCAAAGCCTGGCGACATTTTTCCCGAACATCGTCACTGGCACATTTAAGCACGCCAAATTGGGTTTCGGAAAGCGGCTTGCCCTCACATAAAAGAGGAATAAGATCCATGGCTAGTGGAATTCAACCAAAGAGACGCTGATAGAGACGTGGCGCTGTATGCAGACGAACATCACAAGTGCAAACTAAACACATTGTGGCAACTCCAACACCGGGCAAAATGGACACCACAGCGGTTTTGGACAAGTACACGCAAAACCTCCTGAACCTACCGCTCGAGGTGAAGCATTTGTTCGAAGAGCTCAAGGCGAAAGACGCACAGCTCGCCGAGGCCAGGAAACGGTATCAAACAAAAGATTCCCAGCTCCACAAGTTCATCCGGGCCAATGGAACGCTCACGAAGCATCCGAAGGAGCAGCAGCTCTACCAGAAAATTGAGGAGGACATGAAGCTTGTGCAGCAGATCCAGAAGGAGAAGATTTTGATTGCCAACACGGCGCTCTTTTTGGTGTCCAAACACATGTACAACTTCAGCGTGGACATCCAGAAGTTGGAGAGGGAGGACCTCTTGCCGCCGCTCGATGCGGATGCTCTAGATGGCTCAGACAGTGAATCCAGTGCCACGCCCAAGCCCATGCCGGAGGCTATCCGAAAGAAACGGACATACTCTGTGATGAAGCGGCAAAAGCGGCCCAAATCGGAGGATTATGACTATGGAGATGAGCCTGCGGCGATCTCGCTGCGGCTGGCGAACCCGGCCAGACCAAACGGCGACGATGCTGACAACAACTTGTACTGTTTCTGTCAGCGTGTGTCTTTTGGCGAGATGATTGGCTGCGACAACGACGATTGTAAGTTTGAATGGTTCCACTGGTCATGTGTGGGTATCACGTCTCCACCGAAGGACGACGAGGTGTGGTATTGTCCTGATTGTGCGCCGAAAATGGAAAAGCGAAAGAAGAGGAAGAAGTAAGCGGAAGGACAGAAATGAAACAGAAGAAAGAGGTAAGAGAGAGATACACTATACATTTGAAGAGCATTAAGAGGAAAACACACACGAGAACTACGTCGGATGGTCCATAAACTTTTGATTGGCTGCGACATCTCAAGCCAGTCAGCTATCAATGCCATGGCCCTCCGGCAGAAGCAGAAATGTATCCGTGAAGTTTGCTTACGCAAAAAGAAGGTTGAGGATGAAACCTCTCTCCTCCACGGAGTCAAGTTCCCAATTTCAATAATTATGAGCGTAATAGTGACGCCATTGATGATCTATTGTGCTGTCAGCGTGATTTGCATTCAACATTTCATCCGGTGTCCTTGTTTCTTCGGTTTAGCCGCTATTCTTAGCACATTGATCAGAATTTCTGGATCTGATTCGTTGAGATTGACCAAGAGCAGAAGTAAGACATATCAAGGTCATCCTGCATGTTCTTGGAAATCAGATCTCCCAAAAGGACTAGAGATGGTCCCAATATTCTTTTGACTTTCCATCTGCAGTACCGATATTCCCAAAACTTTCTTTTGCCATTTGTTCATCCCTACATTTTAGCTCTGATTGTGTTTCTTTGTCATGCTGTCATGTTTAACTTTCACTCGCATCGCATGATTCGGTCCTGCATATAGAACATACATCTTGAAAACGCTCCTAATGGCCACATCTGCCGCGACCGCGGTGGTTTGAAGGTGACAACAGATCAAATCGAAGCAAACGAAAACAATCCCAAGCTCCTCGAACAACCCATCAACCGCAACCCTTTTCGCCCCGCCTCTTCCCTAGCTCTGACCCAAGCACGACATTGTCTCACCGCGAATACCCTGATGCAAAAAAAACGCGACATTTCGAGCCCGCACCACGTGACCCTGCACAAACAACACGGGTCGCGATCATCGGTTCTAACCCTGTTTATCTTCACCGTTTTCACAGTTTTCATCCATGAAGCTTCTCTCGCTTTTTTTACTTGCAGCTGTTCTTGCCGCCGATGCTCCGGCCGCGGCTCCGGCTGCGGCTCCGGCTGCGGCGGCTCCAGCAGCTGGTCAGGCGGCTGACACAACTCCAGCAGCGGCTGCGGCAGCGACTACGCCAACCACTCCAGCTGCCGCTGCAACTACCCCGGCTGCCGCTGCCACGACTCCAGCTGCTGCAAATCCTGCGGCCACAACTGGAACGGGAACAAACACCGGAACCACTGCCGCAACAGGAACAGGAACTACACCTGCAGCTGGAGCTGCTACGACCAAGCCAACGACGGCGACTCCTGCGACTCCTGCGACGGCTACTACAAAGGCACCGGCTGCCGTCGATTCGGCCGTGGCCGACACGGCAGACCCAGCTGCTACAACAAACGACACCGATGCGGCAGACGCCACAGACGCTACGGATGCTGCTGCTGCCACTGCTGCTCTGAACGACGTGGACACGAAAACCATGAAGGCGTCGCAGTTGTCTGTTTTCCTCGAGACTCAGACCATGAACGCCGACCAGCTTATTGCCTGGTCAGCCACACATACCCAAACGGTCGCAGCAGGTGTTACTGCCGCCACAACTCCGTTGGCTGCAACTGTTACCCCAGCCGCTGGTGCCAACGACACTATTGCCGGCTCTCCGGCAGCTCCAAATCCTGCGACCGAGGACATGACGTTTGTCACGACATATGTGAAACCATCTACGTCTGCAGCACCCAAGGGTACCAGTGGATCCGGGGCTTCGTCATCTGTGGCAGGAGCAGCGGTTTTGCAGGCCAGTTTTGCCGCCCTTGGCTTGGCTGTGGGTGCCATGGGTCTTCTCTAGACAGGTCTCTGGAATAAACTTCATTAGTTTCAAGGAATTTAGTTTTTGACATGCGGACGGTATTTTTAGACACTTTGTTCGTGTATAGTGTATTTCAAGACAATGGAAATACTGTAATCGGATCAGTTGGTTCATCGCCATTGTTGGGAATGCATAAGATTTTTAAGTTTGAGCCTCAATTAGGAAAGCTACAGTAGAGCATCTACGCAAAATGGAAGTATTTCATCAGCCATAAGATATGAGGGGGATATAACCTGATACATTAATGTTTATACGCTAAGAATTCAAATGACGTTGCTATACCAATTTAACTCTTAGGTGAACAATAAGATGAGCTTATTATTTACCTATTCCATACCCATTAGTTATGAGAACATTCAAAAGTACCGCTCACGGTTATGCATACTTATAAGCAAAATGGCAAAAACAGTTTCTCTGCCGACTTACTTCTCCCACTTAGATACAATCTGTCTTTACTCATTTCAAACTTTTGGACATACTCCTACATTTGCTTAACTATTATAGAAAATAAAATGGACTATTGACAAAGCAACCTTGAAGTTGAGCTCCCACTCAATCCTCTAGCTCATACTTTAGTGAAGACATCATGTAGTACTAGAATTGGTAACGAAAGTGTCTAATTCCAAGCAAGGGATTCAAAGTTGAGCTGTTCCTAATAATATAAAGTTAAATTTACTAAATAGAATGATAATTTTGGAGCAAGGAAACAGAGGAGTTTCGAAAGTGAATTACTCTCCACTTTGGCAGAATAGAAGACTAAAATTGAGTTCATATAGAGTTATTAATAATGAGATGTAATGATATCCGCCCTGTCTTTAGAAAAACTAAAACGATAAGCGTTTCCTCTTCGACAAACGCACGTTCACATCAGCTATAAGAAAGAAATGGAATAATAATCATGTCTAATTTTTTCGTACGAAGTCGAAATTGCTCGACTGAAGATACGTATTATGCCCGTATCCAGTTTTAGTCTTCTCTATCGAGTCATAAATTAAACGTCGAGTCAGAAATCAAACATCACGTCATTAAGCAATTATCAAGTCTTTAAGCAATATCAAGTCTTTAAGCAATATCAATTCATCAAACTCTTATCCTTTCATAAACTTTATCACCATGTACTTTCGCAACTCTTGCATATGTGCACCCGTGCCTCCCCACACTACACCCACAGCCACCCGTGCCTCCCCAACATCATCACCAACCACCACCACCTTCTTTCCCATGTTCCGGACTTTGCGCCGCCCCGTGTTTGTAAGATTCACCTCTTCCAGCACGTTTGCATACGTGACCAGCGCCGCCGACTTGGCCCGCGGCATCAAGGACCACATTTTGCTGGGCCCAAATGTAAGCGCCGACACCGTTCTAGCCGCTTTGAAAGCGTGCCGCCAGCTCCAGGCAGAAGGCCGCGAGCCCCTGAAAACAGTCCAGCGGCACGTGGAGTCCATCTTGGCCTGCGAGCACGTGCCCTTTGACGCTCTGCTCTTGAAGCGGGCGCTTCTACTTCGGTTCTCTCCTTCGACCGCCGTGCGTGTTCTCCAGTTGTACCAGCGCCGCAACCCAAAGGCGGCTGTGGAGTTGGAAACGGCGCTTATCCCGTTCCGCGGCGCGCTTTTTGACGCCGACCTTCAAAACGCTCTCCGCATCACAGACTTGACCACAGGCCACCCCAACTACATAGCCCGCAAGCAGCAGACGTTGCGGCGCGGCGTCTACCAGTTTGCAGCCACGGCCATCGGAATCACGTTGTTCTCGAAAGTCGGCGTGCAGCAGGTCATCGACATGGGCTGGCTTCTGCCCGTGTGGAAACACTTGAGTGCCGTCAACGCCATGTTGCTCACGTACTTGGCCAACTCGAGTTTTTTCGTCACCATCGTTCGCTTTGGCCGCCAGCTCAGTACCGCAGGCGGCGATTTCTTGACCTGGCAAAAGGGTACGTTCTACACCCATTGGTACAGACACGCGGATGAAATGTCCATGTGTGCCCGTATAATGGAGACGGATCTCCGGTTGAACGGCGGTCTTGAAAACTCGCCAGACTTGGTTGCAGAGCTCTGTAGGAAAGACGACAATGTGTCTGCGCATCACACGTTGCGCCCAGGCTTGACGCGGGATGGCCATAAGGTCCGGTTGTTGGAGCCCCGGGACAATTTGGAACAGCTCAAAATGCAGGCGTATTGGATGAGTGGCGGCGATGGCTTTGAGTGGGTCGAGCCAGACCAGGATCCAGCTGAAATTGTTTGGCGCAACCACTTGGCCAGTCTCCAGAAACCGGTGCTCCAAGCACTGGACACCCGCAGTTTGAAGTGGGCCGAGGACTTGATTACGTCCCGCGACACAAAGGACATCTAGGGAAGGCAAGAAAGTGACTAGAGGGTGGAGGAGCACATTGCCTGATTTTTTGGCAATCTGAGTGAAACCACTGAATGTAATGAAGCATCGGAGGGCCTGCTGGCAAATTGTGACGGTGATGAGATGTACTCTGTATATAGCTACTTACATCTTTCGCTTGGGATTAGAAGTTGGTTCCATTGTACATATTCTTAAAGATTAATTTATTGCTGCCAATGCTTCAGTCTTCATAAAAGATATTATTCCATGAGTTCGGGCTTCAGAAGAGAGAGAAACGTGGAAAAGAATGAATCGAAGTTAGTAAATTATAATTGCTTGTCGTACTGGAGCATTTACGTATGAAGTGACATGCATACTATACTCAATTATACAAATTTAGAGGGACGGAAGTTATGATCAGTAGTCCCATACGATTTCTGGAGCTGTGTGCTTTTTAGGAGCAGAAAACGTATATTAGTCTGCTTTCAATTGAACAATAATTATATCTGCCATCTTTATTACAAAAATTATCTATAGAGATAAACAACTGCATTTATGCATTCCGATTTTATCCCCATTGAAAGAAATCAACCTACAACTATGCGCTAATTTGTGTAGTCTCTTACTTTTCAATAGATCATCAGGATTCCCAAGCCCATTAATGGCATGTCCACTAAGAAAAGAGTTGACCCCACTACTGCTTCTATCCGTTTCAGCAATCTAGAAGATAATATGAATGTATTAGTTTATATAGCTCTCGCTGATAGAGAGGCATCTAAGTTTTCTCTCTCTCTCTCTCTCTCTCTCTCTCTCTCTCTCTCTCTCTCTCTCTCTCTCTCTCTCTCTAGGCCTCTCCGTCACGCCACCGTGGAATGAGCCGGATGTCAAAGTCTGTCTCCTGGCCCATCTCCTCCCAGGGCTCAAAGTTGGCCCACACCATGTCGAACTCGTCGTCTGTATCCAAAAGATGGTTTCCCAACAGAATATTTGGCTTCACGTAGTCAGCGTTGAGCAGCACGCCGCGGCCCTCGAGAGCCGCGTCAAGCCTTTCAGCCTTGTTGAGCTCGCTCACGTCCGCCAACTCGCCCTCGAGGAGCTCGCGCGTCCGCTTGCTGTTGATCTGACGCAAATGCGTGTAAATGTCCAAGTACGTATTGGACTGGCCCACCTTGAGTGTGCTGTGGGGTCCAATCGATATGCTCGAGAGAACATCATCGGCAGGCTGCACGTGGGCCTTCGCCTCCATGGCGTTGGCGGTGTTGGCGATCCACGTGGTTGTCTTTGCTCTCCACTCGTCCATGGACATGGGTGTGTACCACCAGACGGCGCCGTACCACCACGACGGCTTGTGGCCATTGCGCACGGCCCAGTGTCGCCAGCGCCGTGCCTCCTCGCGCCAGGGGTCGTACGGAAGCAGCATGCGGGCGTACTCGAGCCCCGACAGAAGCACAAAGATCGAGCCTAGGAGAAACCGGGCGGCGCCGGCCACACGGGCACGCCAGACCACCTCGCCGATGCGCACCGGGCGCCGCGCCATCAAGCCAATGCCGAAAAGGAGCTGTGCTGTGGTCAAGGCGGCTAATGCTGGCGTGTTATCGGACGCCGGCACCAACGGCGTTAGAAGACGAAGCCCGACGCTAGGGTTGCGCGGGAAAAGAGCAAACGGGCGTGGTTCTGACGCTGCCGCCGTCGGGCTGGACTGGCTAGCGCCCGCAGACGAAGACGAAGACGTGGGCGCCAGAAGAAAGTTGGAGAATCCGCGCAAGACCATGGACAATGCAGAAGGGGGGAAGCGGATGAATGGATGCTGGATGAACGGATGCTGGAGGTACGGATGTCGTCGTTTCGGTTGTAGTGGTTCCAGTCGGTGGTGGGGCGGCCACGGCAGATGCGTAGAAATGTGGATTAGAAAGTGGAGTATGCTAAGTGGTGAGAAGTAGAGTGGTGAGAAGGGGCAGTGTGCAGGAATTTGCACCCACCAGTCTAGACTGGGATGGAAATTGTAGAAGGCGACTGGTTCGTATTGGGGCTTGTTGTAGGTGTTTGTAGTTTAGGCGTGGTGGGCTTGCTGGATTTGAAACGTATTTATTTGGTGCACGCAATTGTGTGCTTTTTGCATCTGTGCGGTCATGCGAGGTAAAAGTAGGAAAGCGTTGCTAGTACTACAAATTGATTTTCCGAATATAGGTTTACGTAACAGTCGATTATTTGCGAAAGATGAAACATTCTCCATTGGTATGAGGTCGTAGAATTGAGGCTTGAGCTTTCAATGACTCCCGGTTACTGGAAAGCCAACTACATGGTTCAATGTAGAGGAGAGGCATGGAATACCATATAAGAAAGAAAAGAGAGGCCAAAAGGTGGTGGTTTGATCTCACGGGCGTAGGTTTTATAAGCTTGGCTGACCACTCATCAACTCAAAAAGGCAAACCCACCCTGGTCAGTTTACCAGAACGTGACAATCATGTCCATTGCTCTGATACGAAAGTATCATCTATTGCCACTAGTCTTCAGCCGACATATCGGAATGGCTGTTAGAGATCCATGTGGGCCACCTTCGTGTAACCATTTCTGTGCCATTAGACGTCAAGGAAGATGAAGTTACTGATACTGCGTTATCTGCCATGTGGAGGGCTTTCCTACAGAATCCTCGAATAGATGTGTATTCTATCGCATGCGGTGCTACAGAACTAGGCCTCGGAGTACAACTCCTCCTTCAAGTCAATGCCCAACTCGGCTCTGGTGTCCTTCAACTCGTCCAAGTAGGCCTGGTACTGCTGCTGGTTCTCAACCTTGTGCTTCAAAGCCTCAAAGGTTCTCACGGCAGTAGGGTAGTCATTGACTCTTCTGCAAGCCTCCAACGCCTTTTGGATGACGGATGGCGCAGGAACCAAGTCGTACGAGAAACAGTTGTTCAACACTCTCTGGACCTCGAACAAGTCGTAGGCGTCCTCGAACTCCTGTTCGTATCTGGCGTTAGCATATCGGAACTAAGAAAAAAACACTCGTTGCAGCCATTGCAACAAGACAAACTCAAACATACCTGGCAGTAAACTCTTCAAAAGTCTCTTCCTTGTGGTCGTGGGCAGAATACATTCTGATTTGGGGGAAAGAGATTCTGGCCATCGCAGGCACAGCGCGTCTAGGAGCGACAAAGGCTCTGGATCTGGTGGCAGAACGGAAAGTGGCGGCGATCATTGGTGGTGAAGTTGGCTTAAGATTTCACCTAGTCTCATTTGTTCTTGGGAATCGTACGACGGGGCGTGCGCTTACCGAGATGCCTCGTCTCACTAAAGCCTGGCCTGGCCGGGCTAGAACGGCTGCTATTTTCGAGGCGATGATGCCGCTACAGTTGGAAAGGCAGCTCCTGCTTTGGCTGTTCTCCGTGCTTTTTTTTGCTTCAATCCACATGCGCTACGTCTGTCTTCTGGTGTGGAGGACCATAGCCAATAGAAACTGGCCAATTTCTGCGCGGGGGGCACGGGTGTAAGGGCCAGCCTACATATCGAAGACTCACTTCCCATGTTTACATTACTCATGTTGATTAGTGAAGGCTATTTTGGCTGATATTACTCGGGTACCTAATTGTACTATAGGCTACTGTATCACTGTGGTGGGTAATTTGCTGTATTATTGTCATTACTCTATTCTCGTTTTGGTGTCCTCTTTAGTGCGGGTGGGGAGATTTATGGGCTGACGGCTCAAGCCAGCGGTATTGAAGTCAATGTGATTGTGGCGCAACGACTATGATGTTTTTTTTGGAACATTCAAATATAGTGGTTACGGCGGAATGAGCTATGTAGAGCCGCTCTGCCATGTAGTCAAGTTTGCACGGCCAATTGCGCCACGGTTGAACTTCAATCATTCCAGAGTCGAGTAGTTATGGTCTAGTATCTAGCACTTATTGATCTAGTATCTAGCATTATCGTTCCAGTCTCTAGCATTATTGTTCCAGTCTCTAGCATTATTGTTCCAGTCTCTAGCAGTTTTCGTGTTGTTCACTCTCTAGCAGTTTTCGTGTCAAGTTGCCTGAACTTGTCTATACCGCAAGACGATTAATTATGTCGTTACCGAAATCGTGGCCGAATATGCTTGGCTGTTTCTTCGGCGGTCTATTGGCGTGCTTTCTTTCTGGATCGGCCCGCTGGTGGATTCAAGTTTATTGGCTTCCACACCGGCAATCGCCGAACATCCACCTTGACTTTATGAGCCTCACGACCCATGCGTACACGGAGTGTGACCCAAGACTTGGGCCCGTTGCTGTTGACTTTGAGGGCATTTGATGTTTCGCGAATGAACATGTAGCCGTGACGATTGCGGCGGTAGAACGTAGAACAGTAGTTTTCTGGGCGGTCTTTCGTCTGCAAACGTGCAAGCACAACACGACTGCAGTCGGAATGAAGCGGTACGTCTGAAATGGCCGGCCGGCAGCCAGAAAAATTGACGACAATAGGATGCTCCGTTGCCACAGCTTTTGCCAGCGCTTTGCCGGCTGATAATATTTTGCTTGAGGGCGTGGGCGTTAGCGTGGATGTGGATGTGGAAGAAGAAGAGAACGAAGACGAAGAAGAAGAGAAGGACGAAGAGGAGGAAGTAGCACTTGAAGGCGCTTCGGCAGAAGATGCTGATAGCGTTGCAGTAGAAGATGCAGCAGACGATGTTGTAGAAGGAATACAATACGTGGAAGGTGTGGAAGAAACAAACGATGTACAAAACACAGAGCGCGGTGAACAGGTAGAGGAGACAGAAGGCGTGGCCATCCTCGTTGTGGTTGTGGTGGAAATAACGCTCAGTGTCCGTTTGTTTCTTTTGGGTTGCTTGTCGCCTTTCCTAGCATCTCCTTTCTTGCTGTTGGACTCGGCCGGTTCGGATTCTCGCTCCCTCGCCCTCTCCCTCTCTCTTTCCTTTCCCTTCTCTCCTTTCCGTTCTCTTGCTTTGTCCTCTCGTTCTGGAACAAAGATGGGTTTATGCACTCTCTCCGAGTAAATATTCTTTCTTGGGGTATCAATAGCCTTATCGGTTTTTTCCAGACGCGGGGTGCTCCATATGGACCGTAGTGGCAGGCCGTCTAAAGCCTCGAAAGCCAAGTGAAGATGGTCAAGCTGCTGCGATAAATCGACTCGTTCCGCAAGTGGCCCTGGCACAGGAGATTGGAACATGTTCAGCGAAAAGCTATGGGGGGACAAAATCAGCGCCAGAAAGGGAGTCAGTGCCAGGACGGCCAGAAAGGACGACAGAAAAGAGGGCTGGGCCAGATGATTTGAAAGCGTCAGCTCGTTTGCTTTTTTGTGCTCAAACTGCCCTTCCGCCGGTTTGTCAAACTGCTCATCGAGCTGTTCCTCCAACTGCCTCTCAAGTTGCCTATCCAAATTTATTTCTAACTCATCATTTCTTGCTGCGTCGGTTTTCGGGCCAGACAGAAGCGGATCCGCTAGGGTGCTGGAGCGTAAGGGGAATACTTCTGGTTTGAAGGGATTCGTGTCGAGAGAACTCTCAAACTGTTGGCCAAATGGCTCTGTTTCAAAGGACTTCTTGCGCGATGGACCATTAAGAGCTTTGAAAAGACCGTTTGACTTGATTTCGAAGGGAATTTCCGTATCGAGGAGACGTTTTTGCTGGAACGCAAGATCAGAATCGAGCGTTCCTATTGGCTCAAACGGACCTTTTAGCCGGTTCAACTCAAGACCTTTTAGATCTAAGAGATTTTCCCTCTTTGGAAAGGTTTCCCTCGGCGGATGACTCGGATCGTGCGCTCCTGGTGCCTTCTGGTCAAAACCATTTTGGCGGGTGTTTCCTTGAACAAACTGCGCATTGTCGAAAGGGTCAAACGGATCTCTGAGTTGGGCTAGCCCAGCAGGAAAAGCCTTTCTTTGCATGGAGCTCACAGTGTTCTGTGGCCGAGGTTTCGATCCAAGATGCGAAACGAGAGCGTTCGTCTCTAGAGTCTCTGAAGAAGCAGCGGTAGACTCTAATTTCGACGCTAGCGGAGACTGGCGGGGGCCCATTTTCAAGCGGGCCGCACGAGTCTCTGCGTCTCGCAACGGCTCTCCAAAAGTCACATCAAACGGACTGAAAAGGCTCATCCCCTGATCGAGATGCGGCGTCAACGGGGCCGCGGTTTCTATGGACGCAAAACCTTCTTCAACCAGGGGGAAAAAATTCGACATCTGCCTCTTGAGTTCCTCCACCATTGAGGCCTCGGTTAAGCGAAGGTATAGCAAGAAGCAGGGCTGTTCTGCTAAAGAAGAGTGGTTTCGAATACGAAATCCTACGTCTCGCGAATCCTGTGCTCTACAAGAAAATATCACTTATCGCCTGGATGGGGCCACACTTTTGCAGGGCAGAGGCGATATGTCCGTAGAAGACCACAATGGGCTCGGATGGCTAATTTCTACCTTTAATTTTTTTTTCTTCTTTTTTTGGAGAAAGATCAGCCTACAAGCTACTACTGCAAGTCTCAGATCAACCTGCATGTCTGACAGATCCGCAAAGCCGAGACACAATAGCCAGGCTGATTACTAACAAAACAACATGAGAGAAATAAACACAAGCAAGTACTACAAGGCAATTCAAAGAAGCCAGGCAATTCAAAGAAGCCAGGGTTCAAAGAAGCCAGGGCAATTCCAAACAAGGGAAATGCAATACAAAAGAACAAATACACGAGTGAAAAGTACAACAAACCGAGACCCAAGCACAATAACACAATCGACAAAAACGGCATCTTCAACACTCAGCCAACAAAGAATAACACCAGCCTGATTACGTGACTCTACAACTTCCAGCCATACCATGGCCATCTAGATCGAGGGGTGGGTGTGTCACGTGCGCGCTCGCTTTGTCATCATGGCCCGTTTCTTACATAACAAGCAACATACTTGCACCAACCTTTCTTGCCCAGAGATAAAATTTCCATCGTCAGACCGATCCAGCTCCAAAATGGACTCCCAGTACGCGTGGAAGGAGCCTACGCAAATCGACCCGTCGTTTGTGCGGTCGCCCACTTCGGAGTTTTCTCGGGCCCCTGAAAACGACCAGCCTGCTGCCGTTTCGCCCAAAGACGACAAGAGTCCTGCCGAACAGCCCCGGGAGAAACCAGCACGCCGGTCTGTGTCCAACACGAAAAGAGCGGCGCAGAACAGGAACGCCCAAAAGGCGTTTCGCCAACGCAGAGAAAAGTACGTGAAAGAACTTGAGGCCACGGCGGCTGAAGTGGCCGAGTTACACAAAACCATCGAGGAATTACGCCAGGAGAACTTGCAACTACGCGACTACACGCTAGCGTTGCAGTCGCGGCTCATCGAGTTGAGTCCCAACGTGGCCGTGGCTCATCCGCTGGCACAGGAGTTCAACAAGTTGTAGGCACAAAAAGTCCGGTACGGGGCACAACTGCTGAAGAAAAGGGCCACTAAGCATGCTTCCTTCTTCTTCATGGATGATGGATACCCATGCTGATTTAGTTCTTCTGCCAGGTCCTTGTGTCAAAGGGTAATCACATGTTATATGGCCCTTGTTCCCACCGAGAAACCTTTTGGCAAGAAAGTGGACGGTGACTCAATCTGAAGAAAGTGGACGGTAACACATAGAATTTCAATCTGAAAAAAAGTCTTACTTGACTTCTTTCTCATCCATGGGAACATTTTTTTCTCCACTATGGAGCCACACTACCTTCGGAATGAGTTAACTAGAGGAAAGAGCAAATTCTTGGATATATTGCTAAATTTCTCTTTTAGCATTACATGTACACTGCAGCAGGATTCTTACTCGTACAAAAGAGTGAAAATCCTCAAACAGGGAAGCTATCCTCCAAACATGAAGAGTAATTCATCAAAAACAAGAATCGATTGTGTGATTGGTCGCTTCAGAAGGTATTTTGGAACTTAGATGAAATCAAAAACACAAAGTAATGCACGCCACTCATGCTGTGGCGTTTACTCGTAATACGTAGCATAGCGGCTACTAAACAATCGTAGCCCCAATCGTCTAGAGTACTTTCTTTTGCATGAAATAGCTCAATTTGGAAGATTGCAGAGCTCAAGACGCATCTTGCCTTCAAATTTGTTCAGAATGAACAATATAGGGTTTTGATCATTTCGCCTTGCTATGACAGTCCGTCACGCCATCTTAGAGAATATTTTGAAGGACTTTCCATTCGTTAAACGGGGAAGTTCAGCGAAAAGTTAGCGTGACTTAACTAATCCGTCCATTGTCCTAAGAAAAACAGCAATCAACTAAAACGACTTACAATAATTCATCCGCTGGCTCCTCGTTCGGTCTTTCCGGTCTTCTTCTACTCAGTTCCAACCAATGGTGGAAACTGTGACCAGCCAATCAATTGTTTGTAACCATGCAGTCTTATCTTCAGATTCTTAGCGTCCTTTCGTCATCTGGACTTTATCACACTGTAGACTTCTTACGACACTTCTAATCCACTCCAGTTCTTTCCGTTTTGTCTATTTTCGTATCCTGTCTTGGTTTCTTCTTCTTCTTTCCATCCACTGTTCTGAAATAATTCCGCTCACGGGCGATTGCGCATCTTTTTAGCGCCAAGCATAACGCCGTTCCTCATGACTCAGGCTCATTATTGCCCGACATACAAACGGCATTTGCGCCTGTGATTGTTGAAAGAAACGCCGGATGCCCCTTCTTTATTGCCAATCTAAACATTCGCCTTGAATTTTCAGCTCTTTTCTTCCGCTCTTTTGGGCGTATTGATTCTCAGCCATGTACTCGCCAAATAGGTCCAAGTTGAAGAACCCCGTGGCTGAAGGGTTGTTTCCGCATATGGATCTTTCGGATCCGCTACAGTTCGACCGCCGATTGTCGCTTACCCCGTTTATTTGCCATTCTCGAAGAGATACCCCTGTATCAAAACACCACCATTAGCATTTGTTGTCTCTGGAAGATAACATGGCTCTAGTATGTATTCAATTCACACGTTTTCTTTGCCTATGTTTGTAGCTGACTACAGAATGAAACTGTGGAGGTCTGAATAGTGTTTTCCACCGGAACTTGGGCTTTGGTATGTTTCTGCTTTTTGCTGAAGGAAATGGATTCATTTTCCGTTTCGGATAGGTAGTTGAACATCAAAAAACCTGATTCTGCGTTTGTGTAAGAGAGTCAACAAGACAGAATTTCTTACATTCTTAGTCTGATATGGATGAGAGCTTGACTGTCTTGTCCATTAGCGATGATAAGCCTATCACGTTTGACATCTTCACTGTGGATCTTTACTCGAAATCTAAGAAAACCATGTCTGTTCCTCGTTACAACTTGATACTGCGACAACTTCCTCGCACAAATACCTTGTGCAAAAGAGCCCTTTGGCCTACTTTTGAGCTAAAATCAGAAAAAGCTTGTGGTACAGAGTAGAATATTGCAATGGTACAAAATGGAGAAGGAGGTGGCCATTACGTAATAAATTACATAATCCATACATCAGTACCTCCCACAAACATCCAGACATCTCACATACATCAGTACATCCTAACATAAAACATCCATACACCACAAAACCAACACCTGTACATCCTTAAACATCCTTACACCAATGTTCAAAACCTCCATACACCAGATTGAAAACATCCATACACCTTTAAGACTTACACCCGTACCTTCTTCAAAACCCGTACATTTGTCAACATCGCCATACTTCGTGGATTCCCAGAGTCATAACTCATGTCTATTCAACATAGTTCGTTAGAATTGGATATAAAATCGATAGACAGTAGGATTAGTTTGCAAAGGCACTTGTTTGAGCCTTTAGGGCTTCAGAAATGCTGTCGATGACAGTTTCGACATGATCCAACTGAGCGCAATATGGTTCCATACAACATCGCTTTAAGCAAATCAAGCATTTACATTTGTATCAGAGCATTCACACGTCAATAGTTGTTACCAAACTGCCGTTAAGAATCAGGTTAGATACTAAGTGTCGTGTCCTGCACAATAATAATATTGTGCACTGAAAAAAAAAAACGATCACCAAAGCCGAAAGTACTATTCTAGCACCATGAGTCTAAGATTTGTGCGTCTGTTTTCGGCACGGACACGTGTTCTAGGAGTCTGGAGCGACTTTCTGGCCCGGCCGGCATCATTAAAGTTGGCCAATGAAAAGTTGAAAACTGATCTTTTCCAAGGAATCGGTGAATCTGGGCCCCATTCGGTAGTGGACGACAAAGTACGGGCCGGATATCACCTGCCGCTTCATATTGACGATGTTTTCAAGAGCGCATATACGATTTTGGAGAAGGATGCAGAAAAAGTGTACGAAAAAGTCGCTGGGCAAAAGGGAAAGATGAGCTTGGAAGAAGAGGAAGAGTTGCTTGTACAGGCGGAACAAGCCAACCCTGAGGTGCTTCACCAGGTTGAATTTGACCTCAGAAATGTGGACAGAACACAGCCTGTTTTCCGTCGGTTCTTGCAGAAAAAATGGGAAAGCTACGCCTTGATGGTGACGATGCAAAGATTGGAGCAGTTACATGTGATTCCAGACACTTTGCCCACTTTGGAGCCCAAAGTGGACGTTCGGGTCAAGTTCCCTCACAATACCAAGCGCGAGTTTTCCGGCTGGGTCGAGCCGGGAACGGTTTTGCCTGCTTTTGCCGTGGCCAGACCTCCTACAGTTGAGGTGCAAGAGTTTTTCCGTCCTGCGGACGCAAGCGGATTGTACACGGTTGTTCTTGTGAACCCAGACACCCCAGACTTGGCCAGCAACTCGTTCAGCACGACGTTGCAGTACGGTTTATGCAATGTTCCATTGGACTACGCCAACAACACCATTGGTGCTGCCCAGCTCTTGGCCAACCCAGGCTGTGTGTTCCAGCAATACGAACCACTTGTTCCTGAGAAGAACGCACCAGTCCAGAGAGCTTGCTTGTGGGTTTTCCGCCAGCAGGGCCAAATCTCGCCCAGCGCCGAAAAATCCAACTTTGACATTCGTGCATTTGCGGCAGAACACGGCTTGACTGCTGTGGGCGCCCATGTGTGGAGACAGCACTTTGACCGGAGCGTGGCGAAGGTCCGGACCGAGTATGGCCTTCCCCGGGGAAATGTGTACCACCGGGTTCGTGGCACCAAGCCACTCGTGTAAATAGCATCAATTGTACATATAGAGGAGGCTTTGTAGCTGTGAAATGATATGGGAGGATGGGACTGTTCTTCATACCGGTCAACTGCATCGGACATGAGCATCAATTAGGTTTGCTAAAGACTGGACATGCTAGCTGAAAGTGCAAGGACCTTCCTCAATTTTTATTTGGTTGAGCCCCATTTGTTCCAAGACCCTAGGGGACTTAGAAAGAAAGGTGCTTCGCTCAAGTGGCCTAAAGGAACGTAACTCCTTCTACAAATAAACAGAAGTAAGCAAATGTCACGTCCTTTAAGTTACACTAAGACATTCGAAACCAATCTCTCAATATAGCAAAGTTCTAATGGCATCAAGTATGCTCAATAGTGTATAGCACCCATTTCAGCTCTTCGCTTTGAATCCTTTATGAATCCCGATTCCTACTTTAATTTAAGAGACATAAACCTGACAAAAGATTAGAAAATCAGGCCAGCCTTTACTGCTGAGCATAAATTTTTTGTACTATCAGCTAAAATACATCTTTGCATTATCCTACTTCTCTATGTAGTCGCACCTCTTTGTATTCGCATCTCCATCTTTCTTTATGGACCCAACCGAGCAAACGCTCCAGCTCCGAGAAAAAAACGAAAGTTCCTGGCGGGGCGACGTTTTCGTTCCGCCGGGGAAGTTGGACTCGTCTTTGAAGAAAAACACCGGCTTCATCAAGAAAGTCCGAACCTCACTCAATGCGCAAAACTATGTGAGCGTGTTGAAAGATATCGGCTCCTTGAGCTTGGAGAAATACGTCAGTGAGGTTTCTTCTGCTGTGGTGGAAGGCGTGAGCAAAATTTCGAAAACAGAGGACTTTCAGGCGTCTGTGGCGGTGATATCGGCACTTCACCAGCGGTTTCCGGTTTCTTTCACTCCGCAGTTTCTTTCGGCCATTGTCAATGGCGAAATGAACAAAGACACCGAGACGAGTCTTGCCACGCTGCGGCTGCTGCTCCGGCTCTTGATGGAGTTGCTGTTTGTTGGCATTGGAACTCAGTTTTCCCAATGCGATAAGTCTCTTTTGGGCCCACAGGCGAGTAAATTTTGCACCAAGTACGAAACTCAGCCGATTGTTCTTCCTTTGCTAAAGCACTTCATGTCTTACCGCTTTGAAGACGGCTTTGCCTTGCCTGTCGTGGTGTCGCTCTCGAAGAGATATGGCGACATACTCAAAAGTCCAAATGACATGATCTCAGAAGACGCCCGTGCCGAGATCTTGCAAACATTCACAGTCTACACGAAAAGGTCGAAGGAACTCTTTACTTCCTTGCACTCGCAAGTGGCACGGCTCACGCAAAAGGACTTCAAAGCGTCCATCAGAACGGGCAGAATTCTCGACGAAAACCAGGCAGACTTGCGCCAAAAGACAGAGCTCGAAAAGGTTTTCGCATCGAATATGGCTCCCTTGTGTGAGATTTTCAACGTGGAGTATCCATCTTTTGAGCCCGCCGAAAACGAAAAGGCTTCAGAAGTTGTAGTCAAACCCAGCAAAGTCGTAGGTTGGTGGGAAGATGCTCGAGAAAAAAGCTTCTACACGGAATTCTCCTCTTACGAAGAACTTTGCAAGACGTTCGATGCGTCGGCTATTCCTTCAAAGAAATACGCAGCACTCACAGAAGGAGAAAAAGTGGCCTTATTTGTTCAGCACTTGAGCGAAGCTTCGTCGGAAGAAGATGTCGACCGCTTGACTGTGGAGTTCCACAGTATGGTTCCATACAACAAAGCCACGCGTAACCGTCTCCTTCGTTTTTTCCTGGAGATCCGCAAAAGCGACAACTTTAACATTTACGCTCGGTTCCTCAAGATCAATGCCGATGTTTTCCCTGAACTTCTAACAGAATTGGTGGAAATTCTTGATCGCGGATTCAGGACCCAGATCCATCACGGTGCAATAAATTTCAGGAATCTCACGTTTTTCATCGAGTTAGTGAAGTTCAAGCTTGTACCGCTTCATATGGTCTTCCACAAAGTGAGACGTATGACAATGGATATTGGACAAACAGGAAACGTTGATGTTCTTCTGGTATTCTACGAGCGGTGTGGCAAGTTTCTTCTATTCGAACCAGAATACAGCGCTACAGCAACAGAAATGATTGCGTTATTGAAGGAACAATCGAAAAGCGATAAGCTCTCGGTCAACCAAAAGCTAGCGCTTCGAAACATGTCGTTAATCGTCGATTCTTTCACTCTGGTGAAAGAAATTGAGCCCGAAGTGAAAATGGATCTCATGTACGAATTTGTCACCCAAGTGCTACGAAAATTGATTGTGTCGAACGATCTTACGTATGTGTTGGAACTCTTATCCAAAATCAATTTTGCCAAGGATGAAAATGCCCAACATGCATTTTTATCCGTTTATGCGAAACCAGAACTTATGGTTCTGGATAAATTGGAATTGATGGCTGAGCTCTTACGACGTCTCGATAAGAAAAATGCGTTTTTGATTACCATGGTGGTTGACAATTTGACGGAAGGTGTTATTCGATGTATGGAACGCAACGACTATCGCCAGAATGTTACAAGAATAGCACACATGAAACTTGTTGCGGCGCTATTCAATCGCAAAGTATTGTCCTTCAAAAGCGTAATAGACCTTTTATTCAAGATTGTCTGTTTTGACTATCCTAACAACCTCCCACTTCCAGGATCACTGATGGGCAGTGATTTGCCTGACGACTATATCCGAATCAATTTGGTGTGTGCATTGTTGAATTCTATTGAGATACGTAAAGTGGCGAAAGAAAAGCTTCTAGAGAAAGGCGTCAAAACCCTTGAAGGGTTCATGATTTTCTTCAGCTATTACATCTGCTGCAAGCAACACCCATTGCCCATGAATGTGCGCTTCAACATCGATGATTTATTCCGCAAGTTCAATCTTGTCGCATCAAGACCTCTTGACAAGCCAACAGACGTCCGGTCGGCCATGATAGCACTTCAAAAGTACAGCACTGCTGAAACTCAGATTGTTGAACTGAGCTTAGCCGAGACAGAGACCAGCGAAGACGAAAGCAGCGACGAGTCGGACTTTTTGGCCAAGGCCAATGACATTGGAAGCGGCAACAACCAGGGATCAGAAGCAGAAATTAGCGACAAAGAGAGTGACGGCGATGACTTCGATGATGATGATGAAGAAGATGATGATGAAGACGATGAAAGTGATGACGATGAAGACGATGATGATGAAGATAACGATACTGACACGGGCAGTAGCGAGGACAGTGATAGCGAATATCTTCTGGATAGCCAATTAGAAGACGAGCTAGAGGAAGAAAGATCCCGAGCACAACAGCAGTTGGAGCTAGCAGAGCTCGAACGGAAGGAGGCGCAGAACATGGACAACGCAATCAAAGAAATCATCAACAAAACCACACAGAACGTTCGGAGCACAACTACTTTCAAGGTCCCTGCTCCGTCGCTGCTTTTGGGCAACGACACGGCACGCAAGGGCAATTTCACGTTTCTCTCCAAGTCCAACAAGGTTCGTGACTTGGCTATGCCGTCGGACAATCAGTTTGCTGAGCGCATAGCACGCGAACAGCAGGCCCAGCGGGCCAACAGAGAGAAGATCATGAGTTTATTGACGATGCAAGAGTAAACTGATAGGTGAAAATGTGAGTGAATTGGTCAGAATTATTAAAGGGAATAATTGATCATGGGGTAGATGGAAGATAGAGCAAACTTGATGAGTGAAGTCAGGTGTTTAACAATGCATATAGTTCGTAATCATTATGGAACAATACTAAAATGGTCTGGGAAGACAGGCAAGCTTCGAGAACTGCAGGACAATTGAAAATGAGTATTTGCTACTCTTTATGCTAAGCGTCCAGTGCAATCGAAAAAAAGCCGTGTCCTTCATTTTAATATTTTCTGTAAAGCTCTCATCAGGCTAGAGGCGTAACACACATGGATCGTTGCTCCGTTTCTCAAACGACTAAATGGGGATTTCGAAAACCTGGGGCAGAGCATCTTCCTGGCTCACCAACTCTCATTGCAGGAGAAAGAGCAAATTTCAGGTCCAAAACCGTTCTTTGTAAGCTTCCAGTCTCTTGTAGTCCACTTAATGCTATTCGTTCCTCTTGTCTTGAGATTTAGTTTAGAGTACCTTCACCATCACCACAGTCACGTCGTCTTCCTTGCCACCCAAGTACCGCTGACCCGTGAGGCGCAGAAGCTCCTGTGCAAATGCCGACGGAAAGTTTGGGTCCTTCGACACCTTCACCACCTCATGAACCAATTCCGTGGCCACGTCGGCCAAAGATTTCCCGTCCATTCTATCCTTCAAGAAAAGCTCCATGTCCTGGGGCACCACGTTGTCTGTGACGCCGTCAGTGGCAAAAACGACCACGTCGTCCTTCTGGAGCTGCCACACGTACTCGTCGCACATTTCCGGCGTGTCCATGATATACTTTTTCCCCTGAAGCTCGGCCTGGCGTAAAATTTGCGCCGGCACTTTGGCCAACTGGAAGGGCGTATTGAAGTTGTGTGTCTGGAATTGTGTCTCCTTGACAAGAGTGCCTTCTCGGAACACCCCGCACCACGAGTCGCCCAAGTTGGCCACCTGAAGTTTCCGTTCTGGGGTCAATACGCCTACGCATGCAGTGGTGCCGCCAATCTCCACTTGCGGCAGCGAAAGCACGTGGGCAAACGCCTCGGTGAGCATCTGTTTCGGTGTGCTGGGTGTCTTTTCGACCGTTGCTTCAAACAGGCGCCGGAGCTCGCGGCACAACTCGCGCGAGATGGCAGACGAGTCGTAGCCGGCCTCGGCCCAGCCGCCCACGCCGTCGGCAACGCCAAATGCCACGTGCCCGTTTCTGTCGCCCGTGACGAAAAGGTTATCTTCTCCGGAAGGCAGAAGTTGCGCCGGCTTCTTGGAACGGCGGAAAACATTGGAGTCGCCACGTGCCTTGGCGGCAAAGGCCACAGCGACTTCGCAAGTCACTAGGCGGTCGAACGACGCCTTGTCGTAGTTGTAGGCGGCCAGCGGCGGCGCTGCTGGGCCTGCCGCCGAATCGGCGGGAAATTGGCCGTTTTGGCCGCTGCTGGAGTGGTCTTTGGCCGAATTGGCGCGGGAAAAAAACGTGCGGGCAAAAGAAGGCCGTGCGGAGCGAGCGAACGCCGGCGGAGCTGCGCGTTTGGCGAGCATGGACACGAACATGGCGCAGAAAAATACGGAGAAGTAAAAGAAGGTGCGCATGGAGAAATGTGGTGATGTTGTGGGTGCACGGGTGCGACTATTTGGGTGTACATGCAGGTATGGCTGGAGTAGTAGAAACGAAGACAAGATGAACAGCAAAGAAAAATGAAATAGGAAAATTGAAATCAGCCTGAAATGAGAAGAGAAGAGGGAAAAGGTACCAAGATGCTTTTACTTTTTCAAATACTATCAGTGGCTCCTACTTTGACACTTCAATGTGACATCGCAGGCTGATCTCTATGGACAGTGGCATTTTCTCCCTCGAATCTTTTTTCTACTTTTCTGTCGATCCAGTCAATCTTTCATTCATTATGAGACCTTGAGATTTTGATGATTCTTGGTCTATTAATCATCGGCTGCTTCGTTTTCTTTGGTATATAAGCCTTTTGAATAGCAATTACGTTTCATTTGAAAACGTTTCGGGTGAAGAAATTACCATATTGCTTATCTCGTAGCAACATAAATATACTTTCAATCAGACGCCAACCGGCCCTCCACTTGTACTTCTTTTCTTTCCTTTAATGATTCAATATACTAGTAGTTTATCTAGTCTATTCTTTGCCCAATCTGGATTTCTAATCATCGTTCATACGGATGTAATACTATCGTCAAACACGAACTAGTCTGACGTTCTGGAATAAAGCTTTGGAAAGTCGGCTCAAAAATTAATGTCTATTGCTTAATGATTGCCAAAACTGGATAGATTGTACATATCCCGTCTGTCGCTTGGTCATGCAGCGCGTCTTAAAGTGCATGGACCTACATAAAAAGAAAAGTTGTGACAATTAGCTTTCTAATGGACATCGATCAGCATCTTGATAAAAATAATTTCTAGACCTACAGATAGTTCCATTGGAGATTTGTCTATTGGAGAAGTATACTTCTGCAACACTTTTAAATCTGATGTCCTAAGCATCGTCTGAACAAACTCTTGATCTTCTTGCCGAACTTGACAGCTTTTCTTTTGATGCGGATCTGTCTCCGCTTGAAAAGGACGTCTGTCTTTGTAATGAGAAGAGTCATCAGCGGGCTGCTGCGAAAGGAAAAGGCCAGGAATGCTTCCACGTCTCCGTCAGAACAAATGGAGCTGCACGCTTGGTTATAGCGGTAAAAGAGCCATTCCATACGGTGAGTTTCGGCAATATCCATGGAATCGCCGTCTGACAGGAAAAAGCGCCGTCTCAAGCGGCTGATCCGCTCTTGGTGAGACTGGAGCTCCTCCAAGACAAGCCGGTAACCTTCCCAAGTGGCAAGAAACCGCTCGTGATGCAAAGTGCTCTGGCTATAGTCTTGGCTATAGCCGTGGTGGTCGAATATAGAGCTCTCTGGATCATATGTGTTTGTAGGCAGAACAATGGGAAGGGCAAAGAACAATGGGTCCATAGGTGCGGGAAAAGGCGAGTTTTCAAAGGTGTGGAGGTTGATTGAAGTTGCCGGCGTTGTGGAATGGTATGGATTGCAGTTGTCGTACAGCTTTCTGCGCAGCGAAGCGTCCCATCCTTGCGAGAGGGGAAAACCAGCATCAATGACGTACTCTTTCAGAACGGCATCGTAATCCGGAATTGTTCCATGCTGCTTCAGATCAAATTGGGAGAGGCTAGAGCTGGTGGATACGGCAGACATGACAAAAGATGAAAATTACCAATACACTGAATCGGAATCAATCACTGAGCTGTAGATGGGGCAGTAGATAGATGTAGATGGGGCAGTCGATAAATGTAGAATCGTATATAAATGTAGAATCGTAGATAAATGTAGACGGACCGTGGATAAATGTAAATCGATCAGTAGATAAGAGCCAGAAACGAGCCAATCAGTACAAATGGATGAGAAAAAATATCAACAAGCTGACAGTAGCAAATTTGCACCATTATCTTATTTTATATACTTAGTCATTTGGTCGGTCATAGAGCATTTGCACCCATTTATGTTCGGCGCGCAACGCCTACCTTTCCATTCGGCACAAGTCGACACCATTTTTTACTACCGACTCCGTGTTCTTCTATTGGTTCCCTTATTTCTGTTTCGCCTGCTATATGCTTCGCCTTCTATCTGCTTCGCCTTATTCTTACTCTTTTCTATATTTTCTACTTTTATTCAGGTAGCCTAGTTGTGATGTCACGTGCTTTGTCAGACCCACGGAATTTAAGAACGACAAACACATAGCTTCCACAATCGTAGCCCACAATCGTAGCTTCCCACATTCGTAGCTTCCTCCCCTGGACCACATGACAAACACCTGTTTTCCTGCTCTTGGTCCACCACCATATTTGTGGTGTACGGGTGTTGTCGTGTCCAATCACATTCCAACGGTGCGCTTCCGCTGAAAAAAACCAAAACCCAAGTCTACTACCCATCTACGACATGTCTACCTCGTTCAACGTTTTCAGATACTCTCTCCTTGGCGCCGGTGTTCTTTACGGCGCCGTCCACAGATACAACTTGGAGGCCGCCGAAGAGCAGCAACAAAAGCTCGCCCAGTGGAAGAAGGAAGAGAAGTTGATCAAGCAAGCCAAGGCCGAGTACGCCAAGGCACATGCGCCAAAGGAGGCGCCAGCGTCGGCTTCTTCGTTCAACTTGGAGGACCCCAACTTGGACTTTGGCAAGGTTTTGGAGTCGTTGGTGCAGAAGTTGGAATAAATGTGCGGGTTAGAGAGGTAGAAGCCTGGGCCCGAGTCCCGGGTGTTTCATTCCAGGTGAATATTGCATTGTGGAATCCGTTTCCCCAACTATATATATATTCTTCGTTTCAATGAAAATGAGTTTGCTTGCGCGAGTGTAGGATTGGGCAGACTGGTCTGCTTGGTTGAAGGTGTCAGTTGAAGACAATTAAGGCACTCGACTAATATTATGTCTAATACGGAAACCAAAAATGGTTAAGGAGACGCCAGAATGCTGGAGGAATTGGGAGGTCGACTACGGAATTCTTGTGGCACACTTTTGGCCGACTAAAAGCTACCTTTACAAAGTTGGTGGCTCTTATTTTGAATACTTCTGACCTATTTCTGAAAATGTGCAACAGATTCATTGAGGTGCTCATTTCAGCTTCTGTGTGACTTCCCATTGATCGATCCTCCGTATGTTTATTACAATTTGAAAATGGAGAGCGAATCTGGCTTTACTACAAATTAATTGAAGTGTTCATTTAGTTTTGACAATTGAGCTTAGTGGTCCTATGAATAGTCAACAGCCTTGGCTACCGAAGCTATCGACATCCCGAAGCTTTCGACATCAATTGCAATTTGGGGATGGTTGAAGCGCTACATTATTCTCCATGCTTCGAGGTCTTCTCAAAAATAGACAATTGGGGACAGTGAGATCTTGGATCCAGTAGAATGTTTAGGACCATGGGCCATTCTGCAACCGGTTGAGCCAAAGGTCAAATCATTGGCTGAGGTTACAGAAAAATGCTCTTCAAGTTTACATCAAAAGATACACTGATTTTGACTTTAAGTCCGTGACAGAAAGTCAAACCATATCGGAGACTTTCTTTCAGTCGATGAGATTATTAGCCTGCTTGGGGTCACACACGTTCATCTTTTCTGCCAAACTCAACATATTATTCTTTTACACAACGTTTGACATTATTACTTATACACAACGTATTCGTTAGCTTTGCTACACCGTCTTCACTTTAACACACTTGATTAACTTTTAAGCTCGCAAACGAACGCTCGATAATGTAGCATATGACGTTCTTGCTTGCAACATGTCACCTTCTTACGAGTTATTTTGCAACTTAATACTCTTCCTTTCAAGCAACTAGGTTAGTCTTCAACATTCCAGCACCTACTTTTTCTCATTTTCTTCTTCCACCTTATTCGCTCGGTCATTACGTTACCCACTTTTAACACTTGTAGCATTCATGACATTTCGAACTTCACAAACCTATATTCGTCATTACTCAACGTTTCAACATTCGATAAGACTAATGTAGATCCCTCATTTAGATAACTGTTCATACAGAGGACCAATAAAAACTAACCACAATTCAAATGCATGCAACATTATTACAAGAAGGAAGCACCGGTACGTCGTTTTCAACGCCAATCTGTTAAGGCCACACACTCCTCTCCACATGGGATGGAAGCCCACCTAGACCAGAATCCTCTGGGGACAGATTTAAATTCAATTTGCAGAGCCTAACTCAGCATTTCACGCTTCAAACTTCCAGCTGTGGTTACGTTAACATAGTCTAGATGCTGTAGCGAAAAAGAAATATAATAATGTAATTTATTTTATTATCATTTTCTTTTATCGCTAGTATCATCCGTTAGAAACACATAGATACACCACACTATTTGATTCATATCCGACTACCAACACTTGACCATTTCAACAATTTCACACATTAACTACCTCAACCTTTCTTCTGTCTAGTGTCCGCGAGATATCAACCAAGCAAAAACTTCAAACGACACGTCAAAAGAAAAACACGACTTAAAAGGAAGCCTCCTTATAGTCAGCTCTTACGTAAAACCTTATCTAGTCCTTATCTAGTCACTTTCTGAAAACTGAGCATCCTAATCAATTTATTAGGGGAAAACGGGTCTTCAGTCTCGACATCCCTTGTAAATCGTCCTGAAGCTTTTCTATACCAACAATGAGTCAGGATCACGATTCGTCAGTTTACGTGAAGACCCATTTCCAGAAAAGACATTTGATGTTTATACAAGTGGTGGAAGACGAAAGGTGATCTATCGTGCAGTCGCAATGTAGTGCGCAGATACACCTACACCACGCATTCTCTTTCTCTTGATCGTTTGTTCCTCTTGATCTTCTTGATCTTCTAATCCCCATCCTCTATCCCATCCTCTATCCCATCCTCTATCCCCATCTTCTAATCCTCCTGATCTTCCGCCATGGAGCTGCGGTGTCCGATCTGCGAGCAAGAATGCGGGTCTCTCTCAGAACTCAACAGCCACATCGACACGGCACACGCCACGCCCAAAACGCCGCCGAAACGCACCATGAAGGTGGACTTGCACGAGAACAGCGCGTCTTTTGGGCTCCGGCCCGACCTGGACGGCGCAGGCGACGGCGACACCGCCGACGACCGTTTGGGCCGCGCGCACTGGAAGCCGCCCAACAAGGGCGCGCGCTGCGCCCAGTGTGCGCGCGCGCTCAGTGTCAAGAGCGGCATCGTCAACTGCCGGCGGTGCGACGACCTTTTCTGCAACGAGCACCTGCGGCGGCGCGTGCGGCTCGCGCGGGCGACCAACGGGAGCCCGACAAACGGGACCACGACCAACGGGAGCGGGCGGGGCGGGCGCAGCCCGAGCCCAAGAAAGTCCTTCTCTTCATCCTGGCCCGTCTACGACTCGCGCGGCGTGTGGGCGCGGTGCTGCGAGGCGTGCTTCCAAGGGCGGCCCGGCGCCGCGCCACAGGCGTTTGTGCGCGACGTCTCGGGCGACTTTCTCGCGCGCCGCCGCGCGGCCGCCGAAACCCGCGCGCTCGAAAAGTCCGCCCTCCAGCGCCGCTTCATCAAACTCGTCGACACGCTCACAGACAAGAAACCGCCGCCACACCATGCCTTGCCTGACTTGCCCGACTTGCCCGACTGGCAGGCCGACGCCAGCGCGCTGCACTGCCCGCTCTGCCACGTGCGCTTCTCCTTGTTCGTCCGCCGCCACCACTGCCGTCTCTGCGGGCGCGTGGTGAGCGGCGCCGCCTACACGCGCGAGCCGGCGCCCGCGTGCTCGCTCGAAGTGCCCGTCGGGGTGTTTTTGGAGCGCCTTCCGGCGTTGAACTACGCGCCGCATGTGCGCACGCAGTGGCAGGCGCTCCAGTCGCTGCCGCTTGCGTTCCGGTGCTGCCGCGTGTGCAAGGACTTGCTAGTGCCCAAGGCGCCGCCGGCGGACCAGGACGAGGCGCTTGCCGCGGCGTGCGACGAGCTTGTTGCGCTCAAACGCAGCGTCGAGCGCGACTTGGCGGCGCTGGAGGGTCTGGCGAAGCCTGACTTCCCGGCGGCGCTCGGCGCTCGCACTCGCCTCGTGCGCCATGTGAAAGACCTCGAGCTCGCCACGGCCAAGTTCCGCCTGCGGTTTTTCCGTGCGGAGAACGGCCGCTTGGTGGCCACGCAGAGCCCCGTCGTGGTCAACAACATCTACCGCATGGCCGTGGCGTTCTTGCAAGAGGCGTTGGTGCAGTTGAAGGCGACCGAGGAAAGCGGAAGCGGCCGTGAAAGTGGAAGCAAAAGTGGAAGCAAAAGCGGAAGCAAAAGCGGAAGCAAAAGCGGAAGCAAAAGCGAATCCAGCGACCCGCCCCGTCTCACGCTTCGCCAGATCAGAGAGCTTCGTGAGGCGCTCATGGTCACGAGCGAGCAGCGCTTCTTGGTGCAGAAACAGGTCGAGGAGGCCACGCGCCAGCGGCATTTCGACGAGCTTGCGCCGCTAGCGGAAAGCATCCGGGACTTGGACGCACGCATAGAGCAGTTGGAGACGGAGCTAGGCGAGCATGCGTTTGCCTAACGACAGGCGTAATATGTTATTATTTGTGGGTGGGATTTCTGGTGCTATTCTTATTTCTCGGACAATGCTTCCAGCTCTTTTCTCGTGATTTCGTTGAGGCACCACTTCAGATAGCATGGGTACTCCAGAGCCACTGCACTACAATGTGGAAAGCTGTAATGGATTCTTCGAAAGGCCAGAGCCTAAGAGTATCTGTGAGTCGTTGTCGACCAGAAAGGTCCATGAATCTTGAAGCTCCACCATGTTGTAAATGCTGGATTTTTCTGTCGCTACTGAAACGTTCTACAAGTTCGAAAAGATTTTGATACGTTGACGGGAGGTGCTCAGGAATTGAAAACTTTTCCCTCTGAGGAGAACATCGCACATTTATCAGAATCAATTAATAAGCAAACTGAAAGTGAATGCAGTGTTCCAAGACTATATTACGCCTGCATTCTTTGTCATTGCTAATTCACCTGATTCAACACAACTTGGAAAGCATGGTTCTCTGCTGGCTTGATCCAACTTCGTTCCGAACTCACCTTTAGATCTGCTGAAGAATACGTTGCGTATGATCTTCTCGAGATCAAAGAAGATATCAAGCGATTTAATTCAAATCAGTGTGGACAACGATCAGTGGAGACCAACAATTTCTCCTCAAAGATATATTCCTAACCTCAGTCAGGAGAGTATGGAAAACCTCATGTTTTTAGAAAAGATGAAAGTTTGAGCTCATTCGAAGGGTGGAACACTTTCAACCTTCTATTGACGGTGAACCAGTGAAACAATTGTGGCATGCCGAAGAGTGAGAAGAAAGGAACAGCGAGATTGTGGAAATCTGCCAAATAATTCTTCCAACTTTAGTTGCGTCTAGGCTCAAATGCCTTTCTATACGCTGATTTGAATGACACTTGAATGGTTACATGTATCTTTGGGGTGGAGTTGATGTCGATTGAATCAGGAAGCAAAAATTGACTAAGATTAAGCAAGCGCAATCCGAGATGTCGTTCTGTCTGCTTGGTTTCATCGTTCGGTTCCATACTCCTCCCTCAGCTCCATGTTCACTGATCCACATAACCTCAGCCTACGATCATCTCTCATACGAATAGTCTAAAACTGCTGTCCATCTACTTTCACGACAATTGTTCAACGTCTCTGCTTGTTCATGCCAAGTGTCAGCCCATGCTCTTGGCGATCCCCACTTTGTGCTTGCGTTCTTTATATTGGCCGAACTCCGGTCACTAAGCAATACCACCCAACATGTTTCCGCCACACGAACCTCTCCGCCTTCAGATTGTCAATCTTGTCCTGCACCGCTACCAACGGTCTGATTCATTAGTCTACAATATTCAATCCATCGGCCTATTTCAAAACCATCTACATCTTAGTCACCGGTATTCTTAATATCACATGTCTTTTGGATTCTTTTTCACACTTCTTCATCTTTCGTCACCGTCCTTCTTCAATACGATCTACTTTCTCCATCATTCTCTCTCTTCTGGCTCCGCTTTTCCGATCCGTGGGGGAACCATGCCCCCCACATAATGAATCATGGTTCTTGCTGTCGTGATAGGAAAAAAATGTGGGGAAAAAGGTGGGCCGTGGGGGCAGCGTGGGGGCAGCGTGGGGGCACGCAGGCATGCGCGCTACTTACCAAGCAAAAAAGCTTATGCTATCTAGTTTCTTATTCACAGGGGAAAAATCCATATAAGAAGCAGGACGCGCCCTGCTCTCTGATGGTGAAACTAAGATACTATGAGCTCGTCTTCCATGTCTGAAAAATCCCTTACTAAGTCCGACTCGGGCGATGGAATGGTGGAGTACCAAGTTGCTCACGAAACACCATGGCAAAAAACGAAAAACATCTTATTGATGAGAAAAATGTTTGAAAAGATCGAGGACCGGCCCACGCCTCCCGAAGTGTACAACTGGCGCATCTACTCGACGGCGCTCATAGCGTCGGCCGCCGCCATCATCATTGGTTACGACGGAGGCTTCATTGGCGGCACGGTGGCCTTGCCCTCTTTCCGCCACGAGTTTGGCCTCGACAAGATGAGTCTGCACCACGCCGACTTTGTCATTTCCAACGTGATCTCGGTATTCCACGCTGGCTGTTTCTTTGGCGCCTTGATTTCCTATCCGTTCTCGTATTACCTTGGAAGACGGATTTCTCTTATCATTGCTGCAGCGTTGATCACTGTTGGCTCGGCCATCATGCTTGCAGCCTCCTCGAAAAATGGCTTGGGCCCCATTTACGCAGGCCGTGTCTTGGCCGGTCTTGCGGTGGGCTTTTCCACAAACTTGACTCCCGTCTACCTCAGTGAAATCAGCCCTCCAGCCATCCGTGGAAGAGTCATTGCCTTGTACGAAATCGGCTGGCGTATTGGTGACTTGGTTGGCTTTTGGATCAACTACGGTATCGACTCGCACATGGGTCCGTCCAAACAACAATGGCTTATCCCGTTTGCCATCCAGCTTATTCCCAGCGGTATGTTTTTGGCTGGAAGTATTGTCATGCGTGAAAGCCCCCGGTGGCTTTTTTCCGTTGACAAGCACGACAAGGCCATCGAAAACTTGAAGTGGTTCCGTAACTTACCCGAAGACAATGACTACTTGATCTTTGAAGTGAATCAGGTGAAGGAGTCGATCGATGCCCAGAGAGCTAAAGTCGGCTTGGGCCTCATGGACCCATTCAAAGAGGTTTTCGGGGGCGGCAACAACCAGATCTTGTACCGTTTGTGTCTCACATGCGGTTTGTTTCTTTTCCAGAACTTCTTGGGAATCCAGTCCATCAACTACTACTCGCCCAAGATTTTTGCCAGTTTGGGCGTCAAGGGAACAAACTCGACGTTGTTCTCCACCGGCATGTTTGGTGTGGTGAAGTTTGTGTGCACATTCATCTATGTTTTGTTTGTGGTGGACAATTTCGGCCGCCGCAAGGCTTTCATGTGCTCATCCACCGTGTGTTCGCTTGCCTTTTGGTACATCGGTGCCTACTTGAAGGTGAACGACCCAACAAAACCTGGTGTCAAGGCCGGTCCTGGAGGCACGGCAGCAATCGCTATGATGTACATTTGGATTGCGTCCTTCATTTTGGCGTGGTCCGGTGGACCTTTTGTTGTGGGAAGTGAGGTTTTCGACCAGAATATCCGTTCGTTTGTCCAGGCGATAAACGCTGCGGTTTCGTGGGTGCCCATTTTCATCATGTCTCGGTTCACCACGAATATGATCAGCGCCATGCACTATGGCATTTATTTCTTTTTCGCCGCGTTGGCGGTGTTGTCTGTACCATTCGTCTTCTTCTGCATCCCCGAAACCAAAGGTATCGCCTTGGAAGACATGGACAAGTTGTTTGACCGCAACATTTCTGCGCGCAGGGCGCATGCAGTGGTGTTAAGCGGAGCCAGAAGAGAGGCGGATGAGGTGATGCATAAGCGTCTGGGTTTGTTCAAAATCGACACGGCCAAGTCCAATGGCGTCGAACAGGTGGAAAACGTCGAGCTCATGGCTCAAAAGGTATAATGTAATAATGATATTAATGACTTTTGACTACGGATGTAGACTATATTCAGTGGAACCAGAGGTGCAATAGAAACCGGCACAACTTGATCAGCTCAAAACTGCGATTTCAACTCTTATTTTATCCTGTTGGCTCGCTGAAAACTGCACTATACGGCATGCATTCGAATTCAAAATGAATTCAGTTCGGCTTGAAGGTACCTGAAGGTATAAAGTGGCCGAATTGCATTGTAGGCGTTTCGGAATTATCCACATATGCAATTAACTTTAATTTAAAAAGGGCAACGCAGTACTGATTGAGTTGCTTCATGCTTACATTGCAGCTTTGTGGGCTATATTTGATATTCTCTTTCTTTCCATTAATTGATGTAATACTAGAAGCCAATCCGTGTAAACGTGGAAAATATACAATGCCCTCTTTGCATCTTTCTATTCATGATCTTTCGAATTAATCCACTCTTAGCGATAGTGACTTTGAAGATATCTGAGGATACAAATAGTCATGTGTTCTTGAGACTCGGGTGAATCAATTAATTAGTAGTCGCTTGGTCTGTGGAAGTAGAAAGTTCTAGCCCGAGTAGTTGAAGACAATTCCTGTCAAAATGCATTGCCAAAATACTCCTTCAGAGTCAAAACCTAGTGCCTTTTATTGCTCAGCTGAGACCCAAAAAAGAGGAATTGACTTGGCATATATGCCTTGGAAGCTGCTGATCGAGCCGCTTGCCTTGTGAATTTGTCATAAAGCAGTTAAAACTCAACGGAAGTTATTGGAAGATCTGATGGCTGAGAACAAAAACAATTAGAACTCTTCTTCTCAGATCTTTGCCTGTTTCCGTGCAGTCATGATCGCCATGAAATGTCTAGATCGTGCTCAGATGAGCCCGCTCAAAGTGAGCTTTTCCAAAAACGGCAGAAGGTCGTCCCGCCGCACCTCGATCACAGACGAGTCAAAGCTGTTGATGCGGACTTTTGCGCCCGAGGTGGCGGCCACTTTCTGGAACGCCACGCTGAACGTATTAAGGCGAGCCGTAAGTCCGCCATTCTGCGCAAGCTGGAGCTTCGTCGAGTTGTCAAGCCCACGCGGATACCGCGGCGCTAGACCAATGACAAGGTATGTGTCGCTCAGCACGTCCAATGCTGCCACGACAAGCGGCTTGAGTGCGCCTATGCGGTCGGCCGTGTTGGCAAGCTCCAACTCGCAAATATTCTCCAAAAGCCAGTTGCCGAGGCGGGCAAGCACAGTCGGGTTGGTGAAGACAGCGAGGTCGGGGATAGCGCCGTCGTGGAGCACGCAAAGTCTGTAGAGCCGAAGATTCTTCACAAGCTTCCGCTCGAGCACAGACAGCCCTGTTCTGAACACGGTCTGCTGCATTTCCTTCGCCCGCTCGAGCCCATGCACGAGAAGGTCGTAGCCCTTCAACTTGCGGCCCACGGGCGCCAACGTGGACGAAACTGCGCGCGAGCTGGCGCCGTGTGCTGTCATGTTGAGCGCATCCCACGAATGCCAGAAACTGGCGACCCACAGCTTCTCCTTGCGCTCGATCTGCGCGTTGATGTCGTCGTCGGCGTCGTCGTGCGGTACGTCGGCTTCTAGCAACGCTGCCAACGCCTCCACACACTCCATGGCCGAAAGCTGGCCCACATAGCCAAAGGTCCGCACAAAGCCGTCGCGCACCACGTTTTCGAGCCCGTAGAGGGGGAGGTACTTGGCGAAAATCACCGGCAAGTTCTTCTTGACCGCCGTGTCCATGTAGAGCCACTGCTGCTGGGCCACGGCAAGCGAAATACCCATCTTGGCGAAAAGCTTGTGGAGCTTCTTGCGCCCGTCGTCGGTCCACAAGTTGAGCTTGGCGTTGACCACGGGCGAGTAGAAAAACGCATCGTACAACGTCCAGTGGCGCAAGAGGAATAGGTGGTAGTCCTTTTCCACCGTGAGCGAAGTTGTATCGGCCAGCCGTTCGGCGTCCACCGCCAACCGCCGCACCTCCTCTTCGAAAAGCGGCTGGATCTTGTCGTACACGTGCGGGTGGAGCCTGTCCAACGACGCGGCGCCCACAATCGCCAACCAAAGATGGTCTGTGTTTGTTTCTCCGATTGTGGCCAAGAGGGCGTAGATGATGGCCGTCGACGCGGCGAAAACCGCCGTGCCCTGGTTGTAGTACGCCTCCACAATGTCCTGGGACGCGTGGCGGCGGCGGCGGGCGGCTTTGGCGTTGGTGCCGTTGCTGGTTTCTGGATTTTCCATATCCTCTGCGTCCACAATCTCCGGCTCGTCCTCGTTGTCCAGTTCTCCCTCCAGGCTGTCCAGGCCCTCCTCGCTGTCCAGCGCCTCCTCCGTGAGCACGCGGTACGCGTCTCGCTCTGCCGCCAAGTTCTTGTCGATGTAGCCATCGTCAAAACACACAACCATCTCGGAGCCAAACACGTTGTCGAGGTTCCACGGGCGTGCGCCGTCCACCACGTAGATCTTGCGGCGGAAACTGCGGCGCGGCAGCAGCTCCAAGTCGTCCCACGTCCCTCTGGGCTCCAGAACGTACGATTCCGGGTCGATCTCGAAAAACGCCTCGAGGTCGATCATGGCGCCACAACCCACAAGAATCACGTTCGTCACCTCCGGGTCGAGCCGCAGATACTGCTCTTTCAAGTCAAAGTAGCCCGCAACAGGAATGAGCTGGTACTGGACCAAGCTCTTTTTCAACACGAGCGTGAGGATTTTGGCGGTGCAGATGCTGTCGATGCTGAGGCACAGCACAAAGAGAATGAGCTTGCACGTGGCATGCGACGACGACGTTCTTTTGATCTCGCCAAACGCCTGGGCGTACTGGCCAGGGTTTATGTACATGGGCGGTGGAGTTTCTCACGTGCCCTGGTGATGGAGTAGGCGGTCGTGTGCGGACCGGACGCCATACAAGTAATACAATACAGACATTATATATACAGACCATAATAACAGACCTTATGTATAGACCATAATAACAGACCTATGTATACATCTTATGTATACATCTTATGTATAGACCTATGTATAGACCATAGGATCTGGACATTGATTTGACCGGTCATGTATCGAAATTCTTTGTTCTCTCATTTTTAAAGGTACGACCGGCTACCCTTGGTAATATTAGCAGGTAGTACTATAAATGGGACATCATGCAATTAGTGGTAATGAAAAAATACTTTACACGTTTCATATTTACTACTCTTAATCTTCTCATTTTCTATATCTCAAAGTTTAGAGTATATGTGCCCATTACTATTGCTTGATTGAATTTTGAACTGCGGTGTTGATGTTGAAGGCCTTTCAACGTGGTACTGGTTTTGTCCAATGTAGGTCCATTCATCTTCGCCATCTTCCAGACAAACTTAATTTTGTGCCTATGGTTTATTAATTAATTGAACTCGCTGTTTCTAACAGTTCAGATGCGTGACTGATTCAGCCTGAAGGTTTAAAGGCCAAAAATACTCTGACGGCGACAGATATTTTTCGAACTTTCTGAGAAGCTCGTATCTCTTGAGGCTGTATGATCAAACTTTGTTACCTCTTTATCTCTTTATTACCGATCTGGCGACAAAGGTACGTTGAGATAAGTGTCAAACTCACATTGAACCAGGAGTAAGATAAACCAAGATACACTGTCATGGGTAAGAAACTGTTTCCTATGATGTTGGTGCTTTGCTTTACGGTAAAAAGACAAGTTCCTTAAATAATCCGAGTTTTTCAGCCTAAATCTAGGCATGCTTGTAACGTAGCTGTTGCCGTACAATGTACGTTGCATTGATTGTAATGGTGAAGGACTAAAATTTTTAAGGCAGGCTTCGTTAATGCTGAGGTCAATTTGCCAGTTAATATTTGCCAAACATGCTGTGAACTCAGTTAGTGTGGAAACATGCATCAATAGAGAAAAGTAGTCAGTATTGTCTGTGCGCTTCTGCTCATTTCTAGCGAATGCCGATGTTAGTAGTGACCAGATTCTTGAAGCAGTTGCGTATCCTAATCTTCTTCATGGCGTTTTCTCAAGATGACAATTACTTGCTTATCGATCTAGATGTTCCCAGAATATGATGAATTTCTGAGTTGATACTTTTCAAGCAGCACTTTTACTTCCCTCTTGCAACCGAATTTCATCCTTTGACCTTTTTTGGGTCTAGCTTTCTTTTCGAGCCGACCCACTGCAATTCTGACTGTATCCTTGTCTTCTCTGTTGCCTTCACCATATATCACCATCGATTCGAAGGATTGAAAGTCGGGTGCATCAGCGACCTTTATATACTACTTTGAATGAGTGAGAGCAGCCAAAACTCCATTATGTGTCCTTCCTTGTGGGGAGAAACAACTGCAAATCTAGAATGAGTATTTAAAGTAGCGATTTGAATCTCAGAAAGTATAGCCAATAACAAGTTTCGTTATCGTAGATTTTGGGGTCTTTCAGTGGGGTACCTTTTTGTGACTTTTCCGGCAGAGAAATACAAGTATAAACGCTTGAGGTAAAAAAAAAAAAAAAACTGTTTGGTCAAGGCCAGTAGTTATGACAATAATAGATTTCGAGTGGCGATACGAGTATTTGAATTATGGAACATTCGACGCAGGGGTATAGTTCAGCAGACGCATAGAACATTCGCCTGCATGTCCATAATCCCGCTGAAGCAGTCTTTCATTCATTGTGAATACTGGATGATTAATAAATTAAACGCATGCAAACGGTTCTTCCGTTACAAACATGGAGCTTCTACAATTTGTCCAAAGTCCGTATATATAAATGCTAACTGTCATAACACATCATTACCTTAGTCCATCGTAGTGTCATGTCTCATGTTCCCGTTGGGAATCTGCTTATGCAATCAGGTAGCCGCCAAAGCTCCGGCGGGCACGCACGTTGATGTCCCAACAGAGCACGCCACCATCGTCGCAGCCAATGTAGAGCTGGTCCTCGAACCAGTCTAGACCCGCGAGTTCCATTTCGCCATGCGCATGATTCACCGCCTGCTGGTAGGAATCGTGCACAAATCGCAGCACCCGTGGGCTGTCGTCGCCTGCTGGCTCGTACTCAAAATCTTTGAAGAGCTTTGGGTTTGTGTCGGCAAGATACGAGTAGTCGTACACAAGCGGCACGGGGAAAGGGTTTTCTCCGTAAATGTCAAGGCGACGGTGTGTCACGGGGTGATCGTCTTTCAGCGGCTCGGGCACCATGTCGTCATGTGTAGCACCTGTAGGTGTCGCGTCTGCTTCGACATCTTCTCTGATGCCCTTTCTGCTCGTGCCTGCCTGGCAGCGGCCATACTGATCCAAAGCAAAGGGAAACACAAGCACCTGCTGGGAATCGCTGGTCAAGTTGCGCAAGTCCACCAAGTGGACGCGTCCAGCGTGTTCCAGCACCACCAAGAGGTCTTGCACAAACGAGTCAAGGAACTTGCAACAGCGGAAGGCGCCAGCCTGGTGGCCAGGCCGCGTGGAGCGAACCTCGTGCAACGGCACATGCATGTTGCGCATGTCGTAAAGGAGACACACGCCGTCTTCAAAAGACGCGGCCATGGTGACGCCGTTGCTGTGGAAGGAAATGCCAAAGCCGGAGCCGCGGCCGGTTTTCACGCTGCGCACCGCCAGCGGCGCGGCCGGGTCCACGAGGTAGAGTGAGCTAGCGTCGCCCGTCACCGCCACCACCTTGCCGTCGGGCGAGAGGCGCGCGTTGTTGAGCGACACGTTGGCTTCGCAGGTGATTTTGCGATTGGCGCACACGCCGGAGCTGCCAATGTCCACCGTGTACAAGTTTGTGTCGTTGTTGCACACGTACGACGTGTAGCCGCCGCCCAGGTCGCGGTAGACAGCCACTGCGTTGTTGATCATCTCGCCCAACTTATAGGTGAGCGGCTCGGGCATTTCGGGCGTGAACACGGAAAACAAGCCCTTTTGCGGGCGGCGCGCGCTGCGGTCGCCAAATAGACTGGGCACGGCCATGGAAAACGCGCGCGAGCTCAGCGTGAGCACGCTGCCCGCCACAATCATGCCGCCCTCGGCGTGGTTGAAACAGCGCGGGAAAAACGGGAACCGCGCGTAGTCCGCCAGCCGCGCCTGGCGCGCGCGCCGCGAGAGCGGCGAGAGCTCCCGCACCGCATCGTCGCACGTGTGGTACAAGGTGCCGAGGTGCGGATCAATCTGCACCAAGTCGCGAAGCTGCCAGTGGTTGACCGACAGTCGCACGTTGGGGAGGTACAGGGGCGTTGGCTGCAAATACTGGTACGCGTGGTAGTAGTTCTGGAAACACTGGCTGTAAGGCTCGGACAGCGGCCGCCGCCCGGGCGTGAACAGCAGCTTCCGTCTTGGTTGAGGCTCGCTCACGGTCATGGGATCGACAGATCGGGGAGGATCGGCGAGGATCGGGGAAGGAGCGGGAATTTGCCGGGCGCTGCGGGGAAGGAGAGTGGAAAAGTGTGCGCGTACAAGAAGAAAAAGGAGCGGTTTGCGCTTTGAAAGTGTGGTTGCTCATCTCTGGGGATGCGGCAGTATTTATATCGAGAGATGATGTTCCTGCACACGCGCCCCGACGTTTGGTCATGCGATAAGATTTGGAGCTCTGATAAACTGGGGTTGCTGAGGAGACGGGAGGCACGGGTGTGGGACCACGATAAGAGAAGTAAGTCATAAAGCCAAGATAAATGGAATCGGCAGGAGGAAAAATCACCAGATCAGATATTCTGAAAAAGAAGAACTGAGTGGAAAGTAATCAGAAAGTACAAAGTTGAGCCAATTCATCTGAAATCCGCGAGCCATGCAGTCGAGATAGCTGAGCCACCAAATCGAAGGGTGGCTCCTTCACTTTTCGTTGATAAAAAATTCACATCCAACTTACCTGTGCAATTCTTTCCAGCCTTCGAAAGAAATCGGCGATATTTGAGCACAAGTAAACAGGAATGCTATTTCGTCCTGATTCAAGTGTGTATTTGAATTTTAGTCTTGTGGACCCTAGCTTTCTAGTTTGGTGGGATTGTATGCATCAATTCAGACGTGCTGAAAAGCTGTAGCATTTGCACAGGATGAAAACACTTAGGCCCTTGGTACTTATATAATCTGTTGTTGGTTTCAAGTGATGCTTCTTGGCTGGTTAAAATGTAGTATTATACGACAGACCACCATGAATTTCAAGATGATTAAGCCTATTGGCAATGAATTGCAGGAGTATGACATTACATTCAAAATACTTCTTTCAGCACTCCTGTGGCATAAGTATCAATGAGGACTTTATATACTGTCTACAGTGGAGGTAGATCAGTCAAAGATGGACTTTGCTTAATTCTTAAAATATTCTCTTCTCCAGGTGACTGACCTCCCAAAAATTAGAAGGCCAACTGAAATTCTTCAGCACCTCAGGCAGAAGGAATGCTAAAGCCTGCTCACTCGGCATTTTGATATTCTGTACTTATGATCCAATGACTTCCTCTTGACTCCTCCTCACACAACATCGGATCTCAGATGGCAGATGTTTAATCGAAAGTGATAAATATAAATAGCCCTCTTTCAAGTTTATATATAATCTTCAAGTAGATTAGGGTTTACAGCAGCGAGTGCTGAAATAAACCTCGCTTAGTAAAGAGTCATTCTTAAGAAAGCTGTTAAAGCACTTCTTCCGGGAAAAGAAGCCCAGTAATGAAGACAGCTTCATTTTTGGCACTAGAGGCAATCAAACATTGTATTCCATTTTTTACTGCTATCCTCTAGAAACTGTCAACAGCTAAACTAAACAGCATCACTAAAAACTTTCAATTTGGGAAGCATCAAGGAAAAATTATGTGTATTGTGAATTATACCAGCATAAATATAGGACGGTAGCAATGCTGAAAAATGCTCTTGTAACTCATGTGAGCTCTGGCATGCCTGTTGTTCGCCAGAAATTTTCATAGTTAATTGCCTGTTACGTTTGGGAAGTTTCCGAGGAATCTCCATACTAATAATCTCTTCTGATCACTGAAACTTTCTCTGTTGATCACATTCACTTGACACGATATTAGAAAACGAAGACTCTCTAGTACCTTTGAATGGTGTTTCCCAAAGTTCAGCGTGTTTCTGCTCTCGCCGCTTATTCTACTATGGTGCTACCTCCGGCACTTCACACCCGACCCTCCCATGCTCTTTTCACCCATCCACAGTCTCTGACATTGTCGTCTTTCGCATCAACCTTCCAGTTTTTCGCTGGATCATCGTATTTCCCATTGTAGTCTCCGGTAGGCTTGGAAATGCACAAGGGATCTCCGTTAGGAAGGACACACCGCATCTGCGATGATGGATATGGACATGGGCAATCCTGTGGCCGTGCCACACATTCTAGTGTTCCGGGACACAAGTACTTATCGCAATTGGATTCAAGAACCCGCTGTTCAAAAGAGACCTCGTGACGAGGCTCCTGATGCTGATATTGGTCGTGCATGAAGTTAAAGATGCTGGCAGACACTGCTCCGCATAGCACAAACAAGTATAAAATCCTGAACATGTGGCGGTAGGAAGAACAAAATGGAATGAAGCTTTGGTTGATGTGTGTGTGTGCAGGAAGTTGGTGATGTGGAACTCTTTGTGGTTATATGCAGTCCACTTTATAAAGTGCCTGGAGAGTTTTTGGAAAGTGTACAAAATACTCCAAGTTATGCTGGTAGTTTACTACGGGAGTTGTTCTAGGACTCAATTGAGCAATTGAAAGTAAAAAAAATGTGTGTATGATGGTGGGAATAGAAACGACTATAAATGATTGGCACATCTAGCACAGGAAAATGGAGTAATTGAACAGATTATCTTAAAGGAAAAAATTAAAGGGTGATGTAAACGTTTTTACCCATGAAAGCCAATCTAAATCAATTGCCTTGATGCATCATGTTTTTTGAAATTCATCATGTCGGACTGCTGTGTAGGTTATCTGATTGTCCTTCTATTTGGGATGCTTTTGAAACCTTGTACGATGGGCAATATCAAAAAGAGGGGAACTTTTGATTTTGTTTCTCGTGCAATTATAATTGGTAGACTACTTCCACCTGGACAGTGTCACTACACCATAACCTGGATCAGTGCAATCAATGTCATTAGTTTCATTTCACTTTTTGAAATAATATGTTGGAAATTTGGGAAGATAGGATTCCATTCTCGAATGTTTTGGGATTGTTGCTCAAAACTTGAATGTTCAAGGTACATAGTGATAGTACTCGTCCTTCAAACTAGAGAAATTCACTTAGCAAGAACTCAGTGGGCTATGCTTCCATGAAATAGACACAAGGACTTGCATGGTCGGAAGATAGCAAGTATCGCTTTCATGAATTGGAAAACTTTGATGATGAAATTCACTTGAAAATATGTTCCTGTTTTTTCTTTCGGTTTCTCGGGAAACCAAATGGAACAATCGGCTTAGTGAATCTGTTGGGGTAAAAGATTAAAATTACAATAAAATAAAATAGATGAAGGAATGGAATGCTCAAGACTTGATCGTAAATTCTATTTTTCAGAATAGAGAATGACTCAGGAAGTCAGTGCATTATGAGCAAGCAATCCTTGCATGCCAATTGACTCATCAATCGCCTTGTGTCTACGGTCTACGAGAAAAATAATCCCAAATTTGTATATTCGCTAAAGTCAATTCCCTAAATCCGTACAATTATGAACTAGTAGTAAGCCATTTCATTTTATGGCAGAGAATGCGGCTGCAGCCTCGTAGGGAGGTTTTTGTTTCTTCGGCAGAGATGGGGTTTTCTTGATTTTAAGCTTCTGCGATAATCTCGACATTAGAGAAGTGCTTGAAGCGACAGAATATGCGTCGAAATGGCATTCTTCGGATTTCTTATGGTCAGACATGGTCAATTGATTTTGAATGATTCCTTTCGCCGTGTGGAATGCTCGTCCTATTTATATTTTTACATTACTAATCCTATTTCCGAACTATGGAGCCTGTACCAGCACGGCTATGGAGGAAAAAAAAAAAAAGTGAGTATTTACGAGTCTCCTCAGCCTCATATGCCAGATTGGGGGACTGATTTTGCATAGTGATTACCACATGTATGCGTGGCGCCTATGACTCACCATCATTTTGGCCCGAATGAATTCAGTATTGGCATGTTTTCACAGCCCAAGCCGGGCTTCACTAGTTTAGAAAATGTGAATGGATGGACAATTGCCGAATTCCACCGAATTCTCATCTTCTGCACTGTGAGACATTTGGTGACTGGACATGCGCGAGCGAAAATGTTTGAAAGCAAAAATACGCGACACAGGCCTCCACTAGTTTGCCACCAAACCCAAAAGAAGTAACTCAAAGACAAGAATGGCGAGTAATAAAATGAGATTGTGAAACCTGTCCACGAGCTCTAAATTGTTGAGAAGAATTTGGCGCTCAAGGTCTAAAACCACGCCTTTAACGGGTTGGCAATTGATTTGGGGGAAATCGAAAACGGTTGAATCGAGATCAGACCCAGAGGAGCTCATGTTCAATAGAAGAGATCGAATGTTCTCGCAGATCTGGTTTTGCGATTGGTAGAAAGGTGTTCGTAAAAAAATGAGCAGACATTGCAAAAAAAGTGAGAAGAAACATGCAAAAAGAATGGGGCGAGCTGGGAATTGAACCCAGGGCCTCTCGCATGCTTGTGTCAACTTTTCTCAAGTCGTCGCCCAAAGCGAGAATCATACCACTAGACCACACGCCCGTTCTTGAAAGGTTAGTTCTGCGGTTTAGACTGGCCAAGTCATTTATCGAGATATGTAAGCTTCATGTTAAATTCGTGTCTGTAGATCAATCAGAAAGTTCAATAAATATTTGTCGCTGTGCCACTTTCGAAGCCATTGACAATTTCGAATGTAAGATAGACAATGGGAGAAAATTGTAATGTCCATAGCATGAACTCAACTTCTCAAAGATTCTGCCACCTCTATTTTCCAATTCTATTCAGCAGATAGATGAACCCATCGGTTGACTGAGATTTGGTTGTGGCACCTTATTCTGCGCAGTTGTCTTTCCTCAACCTGTTCATATTTGTTCATTCTTTGCTTTTGATTTCTCCTTCTTCAAACCTTTCTGTATTTTTTACTGGGCTGTTCATGCTGAGTTGTATATTCTAATTAGTATAGCTCATTGGCATTTTCGGCGCCTTCGGGTTTTCTCTATTACGCATTAGTCTTCGAAAGGTACACCTGCCGCTTGCCGACCAAGACCCTGGTCCTCTATCTCGATATCCATGTAAGCCAGGCGTTGTTTCAATGCCGCCTGGGCATCTTCCACCTCCATACGCACCTCATTCAACGCACGCAGTTCCGAACGAACTGCGAAAAACCAAATCATCCCATTCACCACCCCGGTGATTCCAATGAGCGTGCTTGCCACCGAGAGCAACACAGACGCCCACGCACGCACATTCGACGCAAACGATATGCCCACATTGATCACCACCACAAGCAACACAGACACGAAAAAGTGCGCACGGCGCCATCCCGCCTGGAAAGGAATGGTGTACGTCAAGTATCTGCGGATCTCTGCGAGAAGCTCGCGGTACGCCTCCAAGCGAGCGGCAACTAAGGCCGGGTCGTCGTCGTCGGCGCCAAAATTTGCCGGCGCCTGTTGGACAAACTCAAAGCTGTAGCCAAAGTGGTCCAGGCAAGAGCACGAGAGTGGAGGAGGCAACGGCTCGGTGAAGCGCACCGCGGCCAGCACAGGGCGGACACGGTGGGCGTCCACCAACGCGTAGTCCAAGCGGCACGCTTCCCACGGCGCCCGCATCGAGCGCCACGTGTTCAAGCGCAGGTCGCAAGTGACGCCGCCACGGACAATCTGCTCTGGCGCAGGCAACGCTGCAAGCTCGTCGGGCGGCACGACGCCATGCACGGCCTCCCACGAGTCCATGAGCCCCGCCTCTGCGGTAAACAACTTGTGCGGCAAGGACCCGGGCTTCAGGTTCAAGTCGCCCACCTGGACCACCGCATAGCCTGCGCGCTTGAGCGTTCGCACCAACTGCGCCAAGTCCCACGCCTGGCATGCGCGGTGCGCAGCGTAGGCAGCGTCGCCGGTCTGGGCGTAGGGCGCGTGCATGTGGCTGTTGAGCACGGCGAGCGGGGCGGCGGCTGGAGTTTTTGCAGCGCCGTCTGCACTGGCCGCGCCGGTTCTCGGATGCAAAAGCGTAATGGCCACGCTTTTGCCCACAAACCAGTCGCCGCGGAAAAAGGCGCTGGGCCGCCCGTTGATGGGGAACCGGTACAAAAACGTGCGTTCCACCGGGAGCTTCAGCAAAAGCGCCAAGCCGGGGCCTGTAAGAATGCCGGACAGAAAGCGCCGCCGGTACGGGTACACAGAGCGGCACGCCTCTTCAAGATACGCCCAGTCTTCCTCGACCCAGATTTCCTGGAGCGCCACCACGTCGTATTCGCCTCGGGAAAGCCGCTCGGCTATGGCCCGGAGCCGCTCTTTCCGGCGTTTGGAAACGTACTTGAGGCCCCATGTGTTGAGCGTGAGGAGAGAAACGCTCTTTTCATACACCATTAGACTAGGAATGGGGAATGAAGATCAGATATGGTTCGATGACGAGATGACGAGATGACAATTCAGATGACAAGAAATCCAACAAAGAATGCGTAGACTAGAACTAGACTGACCTAATTCAGATGACTTGGTGAGATTTTGTGAGGGTGTAAACGCAATTCAACAGAGACCAAAAGAAGCTGAAAGAGTCGGCTCCGATTCTGGAACTGCAAATGTTGTTATATAAGCGCTAGGCGAGATGTGAGAAGATACGTGACTGCAGGAGCATGTAACCGCATACGGGGAGAGAGACATATGTCCCCAATTTCGGGCTGGCGAAAGATTTGAAGGGAGAAAATGAGCCGGGGCCAGAAGGAGGTTTTTGTGCTTGTTTTGGCACAATTTTGTCGACTTTCGAAGCCATGGCGTATTTTTTGCTGGCCTGTGTTGTTTGTGTTTTTTTATGTGGAGACGGTATTTTCGCAATATTGCTCGTCTGGTACTGGCATGTGGATCTGTCAGAATAACTCAAACAGGAAAACGCTGGAAGCAAGAAATATTTATTTACTAATTTAAATTAGTATCGAAATTATGGTTGAAATGGTTCTAAAGTGAGAAACCATTAAATGCAAAATTGGGCGAAGTCTTTGTTCTGGCATTGGCGGCCTTGGGTTCTCGGAAATTAAAGCGAAACAGCAATGGGCAACAAAAGGAGATACGAGCTGAAGTTGCCTCGTTTTCCACACCAAATGTTTTCATCAACATTTTCCAGATCAAATGTTTCCATCAACATTTCCACTAAGGCTGATGCGTCTTCGCATACTTATTATCTAATATGAGTCAAATACTAGGGAATCCGTTCGGAGCCCATACAGATGTTTCTTTGCAATAATGTGCTTACTTGGTAGAAAAAAATTTACTTAGTATTAGTCTGATTCGGCTCTCAGGAATTTAGTAGGGCAGTGCCCATTGATCAAAAATGCGCTTCTTGTCAAGACGTATTGTCTCTCTTATATCCATTGCAATTGAATCAAGAATAATACGCAGCATTTTACCAAGTAGCATTGATCAAAACCTCCTTTGTACTGATCTCTAATTCTTGTCATTTACGTTTTTTCAATTCTTCTGTGTCTCTTAGTTTGGTCTGACTTACTTTTTGACCTCTTCTGCATACATCCGCACAATCAAAACAAACTACTCCATGTTTGCAGTCAGCTCCAACAAACCGCCCCTCGAAGAGTTTGACGATGTCAAAAAAGAAATGGAGCAGTTTTCGCTCCGCTTCAACAACCTTATTCTTGAAAAAAAATCCGCCGTGGTGACCTCCAAGCAGCAGCATACCAGTAAAATCAACGATTTGGAGAGAAGAGCACAAAAGCTCCGCGACGAAATCGAATCGCAGCAGATCAAAAAGCAGAAAACGGTGGATTCCATCAACCTGACTCTAAGCGATCTCCGCATGAAACAGGTCAAGGTGGATGGGTTGACGAAACAGCTCGAGAGTCTCCGCACAACGAAAGAGAACCTACAACGAGAAGTTGAGCTTGTCGAAAAAGAATACAAACGCGAGGAAGAGTTGTTAGTCAACATTAGACAGAACCTAAATGACCAGGTTGCCAAAGACATGGACGAACTCACCAAGTTCGAGATGTACCTTGGATTGAAAATCGAGGCTGTGGACGTTGATCTTCTTCGGTTTCGCTTTGCCAATGTGGACGCCCAGGACATTGATCGTGAAGTCTTGGTTGAGTTGTTTGTGGGGGACGAAACGTATAAAGTTCGGCGGACACAGCCGGCTTTGGACCAAAGTCGGATTTCTCAAATCGAGGCGGATTTCAATCAACACGGCGACTTTGTGGTGTTTTTGAAAACCGTCCGCGTGGCATTACGCGAGGCCATGTGAATGTGGTCGGCAGGAGAGCAGACAGACAGAAAAGAAAAAGACCAGAAGAGCAGAAATTTTACCGTGGACTATATAATGAGCATGCATAGCCTCTTCTAATCGTCTCACCAAAATGAATCTTCTCCGGATTATTTTCGCCTTGCTTTGTTTATGTGGTGCAGTGTCGGCTTCTTCGTCTTTTGCAGAGTACTCTAAACGGAATCCAATGAGGTTTCAGAGCAAACGGCAGCTAGTGGATTCTGCATTTTGGAAGAATGTCATTGGAAATCCAAAGTTTGTTGTGCCAAATGCGACGAGCATCCATATTGCTGATACCGGGACAGTCTTGATGTTTGCGAAAAACTACCGAGAGAAGCGGAAATGGGCCTTTTGGCGCCATCCCAAAATCCACATGATCGAGCTTCATCTAAACGAAACGAACTACAAAACGTACGATGTTCTCTATTACCCTTTAGTTACATTCGCTGCTGAATTGAGCACCAGCGGAGCCGTTATGGAAAGAGAAGTAAGCACTGGCCACGGCGTCAAGTATACGTTGGACAGGTATCTCGACCAAGATATTGTGGCGATGCAAAACGACTACGGCTATGTTAGTGCACGTGGCCGAAGCTCTTTCACTGCCGAAAGTGTGGTTTGCCGAGTCAATGCCGGCGGAAAAGGCCAGTTGCAAGTGAGCAAGAGGCTCAAGCACTTCCCGGAGGCCAAGTTCCGCAAAATCATATTTTCCGACTACCCCGTGTTTGAGGAGGGTCTATGGGAACGTATAAGTACGTTCATGGCGGGCGAGACCCACGAGGGTGTTGTGGTGTATGAAGATTGGTTCCATAATAAGCATCGGTGCGTGACTGATGCAAAGCTCTTGGAGGATCCAAAGTTGCGGCGGTGGATCGAACGTTAAGAAAAATAATTATTCTCTTTTTGTTGTCCCTAGCACGGCAGCCTGCTGTGTCTTCCCCGGCGATGCAGGTGGGCGTTGATGATTTCTCTCACGGCTTTTGCATCCGAGTGGAGATTTGTCCAGTTGAGCTGGATATCCTGAATGATGTCTTGGTTGTGAAGGTAGTCGTTTGTTAACGACGTCATCATCCACAGCACCTCGAGATCTTGTGGAGGATGTTTTCTGAATACGTGGTAATGCACTTTTTCCATGGCATCGAGACTGGTGTAGTACGCTAGCAAGTTGTGGCGGTCAAATGTGAGCGAGCGCTCATACACCAGGAGCTTGAACGGATCCATGATTTGGGCAAAGTGTGTTTTGATTGTCTCTAATAATTCGCAAACGGTGGGAAACAGGGTAGCTGGCTGCATGCCAGCATCCATGGATGCGGTCAATATCGTCATGAGATGCTGGTTCTCTTGATGGTAGGTTGAGCATGCTTGGAGGGCCAGACTGACTTTGCTCAGGTAGCTGTCGTTTTCTTCCAATGGAGGCAAGTCGGGCACAATCAATTGGGCGAGAAGCGGATTGGCCAGTGCCAAGTCCACCACTTCTTGTAGCCAAAAGACATACGAGATCATGGAGTCTGTTAGCGTGTGTTGCAACGCATCTTGTCTTAGGGAATGGACAGGCTCGATTTCTTCACGTAAAAGTGCCTTCTTGCGGGGTGTGAGTAGAATGTTCATTCAGTAAGGCTGTATTGGTAGAGGATGGACAGCTGTGAATAAGTGGGAATGAATAAGTGGAAGGTTGACTTGGATACAATTCGTACTATGGATGATAGCAACTGGGGATTATGAATTGTAAAGACTCTAACACCTGTGGTGGGATGTTTTGATTTCGATTTGATTTAGCGATAGACACAAGACTAAGAAAGCTAAAATACTCTCCATCGCATTTTTATCACACCACCGAAGGTTCTGTTATCGCATGATTGGGCCGGATGCAGTCGGTTCGTTGTATAGGCCGTTAGCCTGCAGACCATCTGGCAACGCAGATTGATAAAAGGAATATGAAGATAAGAGAATAAAAAGTAAGAAAATAAGACAGTAAGAGAGAGTTGAGTCAGAGGCGGAATAATGAAAGAGGTTTAACGATGAATATAATCGGAGATTATATGGCGCCGATTATATGGAGGCAGGATTATAAGAATAGATTAGTTTTATAGTCGGATAAGATTGACCTTTAAGATCGGTTCCAGCTGCGGATATACAGATGGTCGAATCAGCATTACGGATTGTACATGATAACCGTTGAAAGCTGAAGGAACTGCATTATCTCATTCCTCGAGGGTCCTTTCCTTGCATATTAAGGCAATCTACGAAACTTCCCACATAGAACAGAACCAAACCGCAAAACCACTTGAATTGTCCTAGTTAGGACAGCTGGTTATAGTGTGGCTTATCTAAATTATCATTCTATTTATTTATATTTAACTTTATATTATTAGGTAATCTAGGACCCGAGCAAAACAGAAGCACTATTTCGTAGCCACAGAAAACACAGGATTCATCGAATCCGAAGGTTTTTGATTATATTAGTACAGATTGTATAATAACTGCTGTTGACCTTCAGTTTCTTCATATTCATATTCATATTCATATTCATATTCATATTCATATTCATATTCATATTCATATTCATATTCGTATTCATCTTCATGTTCATACTCTCCCAGTTTCTTTCGTCTCCATTCGCATTCGCCATTTTCGGCCATTCTATCCAATGCGATATCTCCTCGTGCGAACTCCGCATTTACTCCACCAACAAACTCAACCAAAATCACCATGAGCGACCCTAAACAGAGAATCATCTCCCACATGAACAAAGACCACCAATTGGCCCTCGTGGACTACGTTGTCATTTACGGCAATGTTCCATTGGCGTCGTTTGTGCCATCCTCGGTCCAAATCTCCGACGTGAACGAATCTCAGTTGGACATTTTGTACCAAAAGATCGACGGCGAGAAGAAAACATTGTCAATTGTGTGGAACCACGCCGTCGAGAGAGAAGGAGTGGCTGTGCATTCGCTTCTGGACGTCAAGGGCAAGTTGGTTGCCATGGCCAAATACGCTGCCGATAAACAGGGCTACTCGCATGTTCAAATCAAAACCGTGGCGTACCCAAGAAAACCGTTGGAGATTGGGTTGTACGTGTTTGGTGCCGCCATCTTGACTACGTTGTACGACAAGCACTTGCTTAGAAGATTGGCCGCCAACGACCGTCTCTTTTCTGCCGTGGCAAGCTATCTTCCATTCCTTGGCAAGGTGCACACTGTGTTTGAAAACCACGTGAAAACCATTGCCATTGCTATGTACGGCATCCACATTGTGGAAATCTTCACTTGGACGTTGCCCTTGGCCCGTAAGTACAGAATCCCATTCCCACAACGCTTGGGCTGGGCCGCCATGAACTTTGTGGAAGGTTTCATGGTTCCACGCCGCTTGAAGTCTTTGGTTGCTTAGACTTGGTCCAAGAGACTACACGATATGAATTTACGTAAGACTGTACTCTGTAGGAAATCCAAGACCAGAGAACATAGTGATAAAAATCAAGACAGATAAGCCTCAGAACATTAGGCGTAATTGTAAAGGCCTACAAACTGTAAACAAGACATAGAAGGTTAACTTCATGCATGGATCTCACGATGACAGATTTATCTTCAGCCATCTAAAGATGGTACAACCACTATGATCGTTCAAATGGACAAGTTACGTTCCATGTAATGCCAAATGTTTGAGAGTCGTAATAGATACAAACTTACAAACCTGAGACCAGTCATCTTGTTACAATAATGGCTTAAAAATCCGATACACCCTATTTATCTTAACTGATACTTTAACTTATGTGATGTTCCTCCGAATTTCTAGCCAACGTGTGGATTTCGCGTCCTCTTACATAATTAATCACTTTTGCCAATGTGTTGATTCCTCTTTCTCTCACATAATTGTTCACTTTTCCCTCCAATTTCTTTTCCCTCCATTTCTTTTACAAGAACGTTCTTGTGGCTCTTTTTTGGGTGCGATTCTGCACCAGCCTGTTTGGACATTTCTCGCCGCCTACACACAGGAAAAGCGTCTGAAAGCTCTACAATTATTCAGAAGCAACAAACACTTCAAACAAAGACATTCCGAAGCAAAACAAAAAACTATCTGTCCACAGAGTCCCAGACGACCAAAAAGAAAGTCATCATAACAAGGCAACTTGTCCGAGTGGTTAAGGAGAAAGATTAGAAATCTTTTGGGCTTTGCCCGCGCAGGTTCGAGTCCTGCAGTTGTCGTTTCTTTTTGCCTTCAGTGAAGAAGTTGGCCATAGTGATAACAATAGGTATGAAGGTTCACGAACGCCTCTACATTTTTCCTACAGCAGTTCATTGTCGTTCTTCAATTTTATCTTACGTAACCCGTCACACTAGTATACATGTACCTTCTCAGCGATAGAAATCAGGGCGGGCCGTGTTCACACCATATTCGCTGAGCGCACTGCTCAAATCCTCCATGGTCAACACAATCTTGCCCTGTTGATTTCCGGCATTCGTCGAATGTGTCAGTGGCTGCTGCTGGTCACTGCCGCCCTCAGTTGCGCCTGCACCTCCACTGTTCTGCTGGTTGGCGTACTGCTGGCCCTGGAGAAGCTGCTTGGCCCGCAACTGTGGGTTGGACGAGTTGTAAACGGCCGAAGAGCTTCGGATCCGGGAGTATTCGTAGGCGTCCTGCGCAATGTCCGAGATGAACTTCTGCGTGGCCAAGGCCAAGAGCCGCTTGATGCGGACATCCGCGGTCTGGAAACCGTTCTTCGCCAAGTAGTAGTCTGTGACGGCGTCGGGGATGATCGGCGCAAACTCTCCGTCCATAAGCTCAAGCATTTCTTGGAGCGTCTTATCTTTGCGTGTCAATTCGGGGAGTTCCAGAAGAGATGCGGAGGTGGGAGGTTCGGGTTCTTTGTTTTCCTGGACTTCTGGCGGCGCCGAGTCGTCGAACTCCTCGTCGAGTTCTTCGTCGAACTCTCTTTCTTTGTCGGACATGGCGGTGGTGGAAGGAAAGAGCTGAGAATGTCTTTGCGCTTGAAATGGAGCCGGGTGTTATCTGCAGGAAACAACAAAAGGGACTTATTCTAGTGACTGATTGACGGGGAGTAGGTTTAGGAAGAATAGTTTGCATTGGTAGAGGTTGTTAGCTGCGTCGTTGGGCAAGATCTACGTCAATAGTATCCAGCGAAACGTGATTCTTGTTGCACTGAACACTCTAATCTCGAAAAATCCAATATTTCCCAGCATTGTTTTTGCACGATTGCAAGCCATGCCTCATGTTCTTGATCATGCCCTTCTTCTGCTGGAAACATGCCCTTGCCCTTCTTCTGCTGGAAACATGCCCTTGCTTTTTTCCTGTTGGAGTATGGGCTTGGCCATTACACCCGTACACCACCGTACCCCAGACGTCAGGGCCCATGCAAAAACACACCAGAACGCCTTCGTTCAGCATGAAAGAAGCTGGACCTCTTCCGGAAGACGCTGTGATAAGTAGCAAGGTCGCCAAATGGCCAAATCCAGTCAGCAAGACGAGAATATGGTGATGTCACGTGACAGCTGCCACCTACCACTAATGCCGCCAGTCAGTGGGGTACGGGTGCACACACCTCCACATCACTAGCGTCTGGCCCCATGTCTGCGGATCCGTACGAGTCGCTCACATTCGGCAACTCGCTCTCGGTCCGAGTGGACGGCGCCATTGGCGCCATGTCGCTCTCGCCCAATGGCCGAGACGCCGTTCTCGCAGGCCGTCGTGGCCTCTTCATCATCGATCTAGACGACCCCTTCAGGACGCCGCGCTGGCTCCACCACATCACGTCGTGGGAGGTGGCAGACGTGCAGTGGTCGCCGCACCACGCGGCGAAACCATCGTGGTGCATTTCCACGTCCAACCAGAAAGCGCTTCTTTGGGACTTGGCACGGCCGTCCAACAATGCCGTTCAGAACGTGCTTCACCGGCACACGCGCGCCATCACCGACATCAACTTCCACCCGCTGGACCCGGAGCTCTTGGCCACGTGCTCCATCGACACGTTTGTGTTGAGCTGGGACATGCGGACGCCGCGGCGGCCCGTGGGCAAATGGGCCGAGTGGCGGGCCGGCGCCACGCAGATCAAGTGGAACCACAGCAACCCGTACCAGATCGCGTCCAGCCACCACCACAGCTTCTACTTGTGGGACTCGCGCCACGGCGCACGGCCGTTGCTCCACTTGGACAATGCGCACGAGGGCAAAATCAACGGCTTGGACTTCAGCGGCTCGCACAACAAGTTGATGACGTGCTCGAACGACAAGAGCGTCAAGTACTGGGACCTCAACACGTCGCTCTCGGACGGCGGCCTACAGCCGACTGTGGTGATCAAAACAGACTATCCGGTGGCCCGCGCACGGTCTCTTCCCTTTGGAAACGACCACTGTTGCGGTATAATGCCTGTCCGAGGCGGCGACAATGCCGTGCACGTGGTCAACTACGAGGCCGTGTACCAGGCGGCGCGGTCTTTGGGCGAAACGGGCGTGTTGGACGTCACTCCCGACTACTCTTTCAAGGGCCACCACGGCCCAATCAAAGACTTTCTCTGGCGCACCAGGCACGAGGCGTACGAGGGCTACGACAGCAAGCACTCGTGGAAAGAGTATCAGCTCGTGACGTGGTCGCTGCATGACTACGACTTGAAGCTCTGGCCCCATGACGATGCCTTGTACCGGACTGTGGACTACCATCCGCTCCATCAGAAGCTCTTGGGTCCGCTCGCAGACGATGGCGCCAACGGTTCCAACGGCGGCTCAGCCGATTGGTCTGGCCAGTCTACGCCTGTGTCGGAGATTGAGGAGCCTCAGGCTGGTGCCATGAAGTACAATACATATTGCATGGAGCCGCCATTGTCGCTAAGTGACGTTTCCAAAGACGCGAGCGGCGATCTTCTCTCGTCTTTGGCGCTTATCAAAATCAAGCAGTCGCAGGAAAATTCGGGAGGCCACTCGCAATTGAACCACTTAACGTGGATATCTGGAGTGCGCATGGGTAGAACGGGTTTGGAAAACCTGGCGTTGGAAAAAGATGACGGGCCATCCAATTTGGGCGAAGAGGTTAGCATTGTTGGCCACAAGTTTCCGAAGATCCGCTTCGAAAAGATTTCCGTGTCTACGGGCCATCTTGTCATGTCTTTGCGTGGGCCACTTCCAACAACTAAAGAGGACTCGGGCCTGCAATCGAGCGGACCCGCCAAATCTGCTGGTGAAAGGAAGGACAGTGTCCAGGAAAGTGTCTCTCCATCTGCAGTGGTGTCTCCGAACACCACGGTCGCTAATGCAGGCAGCGCTCTCCCTTCTGCTGTCCAGACATCTTCTATCCATCAGCCCGTTTCTTCAGGAAACACCTCTTCAATCACACAGAATATTCCTACAGTGCCAGCAAACCTTCCAGCAACTAATATCGCAACAACAAACGTCCCAGCATCCAATATTCCTCTGACGAACATTCCTGTTGTGGCCGCTGGTCCAAGCACGGGCCCCACTCGCAATCCTAGCCTGGCCAACGGGGCAGCTTTGCAAGCAGAAAGTCAATCCAATAATGATGCATCTCCAGAACAGAAACTCGTTTTTATTCGCCTTGACATTCGATTCCCGAAAATGTATCCGTACTTGGAGAATACGGAACTGAAACGCAAGAACAGCAAAAAGCATAAGAAAGGTAACGAGATCAAATTCGACATAGAGGAGACCCACGAACTCACAAAACCCATCAAAGAAGAGATGCTCACCACACTCAACAACATAGCATTTTTTTACTCCAACAAATACAACAAATATTGTTTGGAGCCTTGTTTGCGATATCTCATGGGAGACAAGATCGAGCTTGACGACACTTTGATGCTTGATGCTGGTTCGAGTGGCGAAACTCGAGATATCTCTGATTTGGAGATGGAAGTTGAAGTGGGTGCTGAGGATTGGGTCGACGATTTGATCAACCAGCATGAAGCTGCAAGCACTTTGGTGAGAGAAATGCCCAATTTGGCAGAGGAAGATGATGACGAGGATTACGATTTGATTCCTGCAGTGAACGATCTATCTGCCAGCCACGATCTGTCAAGAATCAGAGACGATAGCAACGTTTCTGCAAACGATAACCTGGTGGGTCCAGATGGGAATATTAAGCATGATACAACTCCGTTGCCGAAGGGATGTGGTGCAATTTGGGCTCCATCTGGTCAACTTGTATGTTTCTTCATTCCCCAAAGGGAAGATAATTTGTTGGAAACAAGACTTGCACGAAAGTTGCACATGACAAGAAACGGAGAGTCTCTGGTAGTGAAGACCTACAGTGAACTTGAACTCTCTGATAGTCAATCATCTGAAAGTGAAGAGTTAGAATCTGAGGACGATAGATCGTCCCTCACATCAAATTCCTCTGATGATAGTCTATCCCACGACTGGAATGAAATGTTGCAGGACGACATACCATCTCGGTCGCGTGTTCCAGGAATGTTTAAAGGAGCAGTGGGGATAGATCGCAAATTTTTGAGGAAGGAAAACATCAAGTCTTCCATTAATAGAACTTTCAGTGGCAAGGAACACGGCTCAAATTATAAGTCATCGGCTTATGGAGATACCAGTCTGAGATCTACTAAAAGAACAAAAAGGGACACTAAGAACGTCCAAAATATTGTCACTGTTCTTGATTTCAGCCATCTTATGCCCGATAAATTTGAGTTGGCATGCGAATATCGCGTACTAGGAGACTCTCCAGAAAATCTAGCCAGATACAACAGCCATGTGGCTTTCTCCAAAGGTTATAAAGAGTTAAGTGACGTTTGGAGGATAGTGGAGATGATATTAGTAAAGGATGTGAGTCCCCATGACGTTCCTGATATAGGCAAGGATGTTTTCTTCAGCGAAGGAGACTTCAAAGGAAGGTACTTCTGGGGGTCTCACCCATTCGGGCATTCATGGCTTATCGTCAAGCTTTTTGACTACTTCGAAAAGGCTGGAAATTTGCAAATGCTTGCAATGTTGTCTTGTATTCTTTTTGAGAACATCAGCAACATTCGGGCCTCGGAAAATGGTGACTACAAGGTTCCTATTCACACACCTTACTCATCGTTACCTCCTGTGCCATCTGTTGTTAACATTAAGGAATACGGAGTTTCTGTCCGGGAGTCTAGAGCCTCATTGGCGATGGGATCCATGTTTTCACATCCTGAGGCCTTTGACGAATTTGCACTTTCAAGAAAACCATCCACCTTAAGTGCCATAGCCGATGCAGATGCACCCACTTCTGTTTCAAATTCCATGGATAACTATTCTAGAAGCTCCTCTCCGCACATTTTGAGCCCTTTCAAAAAACACTATGGCTCATTTGTGCCGCTGCTGGAATCCTCGGTACAGTGGGACCACACTCCTGGAAAGAACAACAAATGGTTGGAAGGTTCCAGGAGACAGTCTCGCCTGACCTTGACCAGAAAAGACAAGAATATTTCCACTAGAAGAACGCACCACAACCTTACTCCTGGTGCAGGCAAGCCAAGGCCTCCTCCAACGTTTATTGTTGAAATGAAGAACATCCATTCTTTGGATTTATACGAGCATGTCTATTCAAAGTCGCTTTTGAGCGAGTTGGATGAGAATAAAATAATGGGCTACAGAGATCAATACGCAGATACCCTTTATTTATGGGGGTTGCCCTTTAATCGCATCAAAATCTTGAAGTTCAACTATCCGGAGAAAGACAATAGGAAATCCGAATCTGCTTTTGACTCTCACTCGTGCGGGTATGGGTTCCGGCCCAGAAAAGCAATGGACCCTAACCAACAATTATTATCGCCACTAACGCCAATACCGACAGCGAAGCATAATAGCTGGAACACGAGAAAAAGAAATAAATTCCAATATTGTGGTCTTTGTGGGCTTGTTGTGTCGAAGAGAGTGGTCCTTTGCATACATTGTGAACACGTTCTTCATTCAGAATGCGCATCATCGTGGTGGTTCACTGAAAAAACGGATGAGAAGGAAGGCAATGAGGACGATTCTCATGACTTACAGGAGTGCCCAACTGGATGTGGATGTAACTGTTTGGATTACGAGATTTGAGCTGGTCCTGTTATTCTACATCCATACATGGAAGCAAAGCTCTTATAACTTATGGAATCCGAGTTTCAACTATCTGGTCCTTTAGCTTTTCATCCCACTCGACAGCAAGCCTTGTCATATAGGCTGCGACATCTTCGGCACCGGTAGTGTCTATTTCTTTCTCCTCCAAAAACTCTTCTCCCCACTTGTTACAGCACGCAGCTATTTTCTTGTTTTGGTCATAATCAGCCAATGCAGCACTCACGGGTGCATTTGCCGCAGTATAACCGGATATGTTGTGGATGGTAGAGCCCATAAATCTCGCGATATAGAATAATAGCATCATTCCGTAATAGGTCACGAAATTCAAGTACTGGAAAAACGAGAAACTGGTAAAGATGCCAGGATGGACAAGATACGAATAGATATCGTCCTCCTTCCACTTTTTGATATTGCCACTGTGAACCAAATCCATCAATCTTTTGGAGCCTTCATATGGTTCAGGAGATTTGAGCAACTGCAAGTCATCGAAGGACAAAAACTTGGGTTCGGCCATAACCGACGAAATCCAGATAATCCTTCCTCCGCCTTTGAGCAAGTGCTTGATTTTATGAATGAAGTAGTATGGTCCAAAAACATTTCCTTGGAAAACAAGCCCCATTCCGTCGCTCGACCTGACGCCAACCCTTTGAAGCTTGTACGTGGGGAACGTAACAGCATCAAGCAAGTTTGTGAAGACGCATTTTGTGGCCAGAATCCAATCGATTCCGCTGTATACTCCTTGGGCAGCATTAATGAAAACATAATCAATATGGGTATACTTCTTGTTCAATTCGTAGTATCCGCTAAGAACAGAAACCATATCAGTGAAATCGACGAGGAGGTAGTCGAATTCGAGCTGTCCTGTTCGTCCAGGAAGTTTTTCAAGTGCATAGTCTTTGATTTTGGTGATGGCTTCTTTCACTCTCGGAAGCGTTCTTGATGTGACGACAATAGTCAAATTTGTGTCGGCGGAGATCGTGGAAAGAAGTCTGTATGCAATATTGAAGCCCAAGTTGGAGTTCGTCCCTGTGATAACTGCAACTTTTTTTTCTCTCATGGCTGTAGGTTTATGTGAACATTTTATAAACGATGTCGTTTAGTATGGTTACAAAATACGAGACACGCGAGGGTTTTATGCAGGTCCATATAAAGACTGGTGTATTTTGGAAAGCTTCATGACAATTGAAAAAAAGAGAGGTAGAAGCTCTCGGCGGTGGTGTGTCGGATGAAGCAGCAGTCAGAAAGAATTGGGGGTGAAATAAAAACAAAAAATTAACGACAACTGCAGGACTCGAACCTGCGCGGGCAAAGCCCAAAAGATTTCTAATCTTTCTCCTTAACCACTCGGACAAGTTGCCTAATCGATGAAGCTTGATAGCTGAAGATCCACCCTGATCAATCTATCATCAATGGCAAAGTTCATATTTGATGCAAATTGATCACGAATATCTGTTAAGACAGTCTCACCCCTGCTTGTTCTTGGCTTTAATATTAGCATCCAACATAAATGCACGTGAGGCAGAGAAGCTCTACTATTGAGGAGTTCTAATCGGAAATCTCGTCTGTCGTATATGCTTCCTTGCGTTTCTGGTTTCAGACTGCAAAATCCGTTTCAGGGAAATTACTGAAACGCTCGTAGTCTGCCGGAATGCGCTTGGAATTGAAGCAAAAGAAAGCACTACGTAAAACAGAATGGAGCAAGTAATGTGTCTGGCAACACGGGTAGTAACAATTGGATCTTAAGAGGAGAGAAACGACCATTAAGAATGGATGACGATAAGGGGACGGAGAAAGGCCCAGAAAAGCATACAAATATATTAATGCAGTGAGAAATTGATAAGTGTTTCAGATGGGTCTCATACACTCTCCAAGACTATCCCTGTACTAAAATGACCACAGGGACATATAAAGGGCCAGAACCACTCTGACAATGACCCATTGTGCTTCATGACAAACCAGCGGCCTGTGGTTTTCCACATTGACAAAACATACCAATTGAGACAGAAATTGGGCGAAGGTGCTTATGGAGTGGTATGTTCCGCTGTGCATCGGCCTACGGGAATCAAGGTTGCAATCAAGAAGATCGAGCCCTTTTCGAAAAACCTAGTTTGTTTGCGGACCATCCGTGAGCTCAAGCTCCTAAACTTCTTCAGCCAGCACGAGAACATTATTGGTTTCTACGATGTTCTCCGGCCTCGAAGTCTCGACACTTTCCATGAAGTGTACTTGGTGCAAGAATTTATGCCCACCGATTTGCATAAGCTCATCTACTCGCAGGTGGTGCTGGACCAGCATATCAAGTATTTTGTCTATCAGATAATCCGAGGGCTTAAGGCCATCCACAGTGCCAATGTGATCCATCGCGATTTGAAACCTTCCAACATCTTGGTCAACTACAACTGCGACGTCAAGATCTGCGACTTCGGCTTGGCCCGCATCCACTCGCCGAACCACAAGTACTCGCTGCTTTTTGAGTCCAAACTCACAGAGTACGTAGCAACCAGATGGTACCGTGCACCCGAAATCATGCTTCTGCAGTCGCTGTATTCTACGGCCATAGATCTCTGGTCCGTCGGATGTATCATGGCGGAGATCTTCCTATGTCTGCCGCTTTTCCCAGGGAAGGACTATAAGCACCAGTTGATGCTCATTTTCGAGTTCCTCGGCACGCCCACCGCCGAAGAATTGGACAGTGTCAAACTGCTGAGAGCAAGAGACTACATCAAGCTGTTGCCGTGTTACGATGCAGTGCACATTGCCGATTACTTTTCCCATCATCCTCGCAGAATCGCAAGGTATGGATACGAGCCAATAAACTCGGCTGGCCTAGACTTGATGGAAAAATTGCTCAGCTTCGATCCGTCCGACAGGCCAGACGCAACCGAGGCATTAACACACGAATACTTGGAGGAATATCATGACGAGAACGACGAGCCGGTCTCTGATACGCTATTGGTTCCGGAATTCTTTGATCTTGAAGAGAAAAATACCTTGTCCATGCCTTTCTTGCGGAAACACTTGTATGACCAAATCATGTACATGACGCGGTGAATGGTTTGTGCTAGAAATATAGCAAGTTGGAAATGACAATGGAGAATCAGTATTTTGCTAAAGGTTACTACATTTGTTCTATCTGACTTATACAGGCGAGGGAAGGATACAGTTTTGATGACCTTATTTTCAACTCATTCTTGTTTTCATATAATCAGAGCGGTTCCCTAAGTACCATCATTTGTCTGTCAGTATACATTTGTAGTATGAGTGATATTGAATATACGCTTTCGTTATTTTCGTAAATATAGAGAGATGCCAGGCTTAAGTCAAAAATCTGAAGTCCAGCTTAATTTGAGAGCTATCCGTTCCTTTACCCAATTCGCTTTCCCAGTCCATTGTTTCGTTTTCGATTCTGACGTTCAACACTGTTAATCTCCATCTCAAGGCAATAGCACACAAAATGGCCAAGCCAATGAAAACACAGTTACAGACGAATGCCACGGTGTAACGAGGGGCGTCAGAACTTGGATACAAGTAAGCATTCCAGATCGAGGCGGAATTGGACATACAGTTCATCAAGGAAATGGCAATGGCTCTCTTCAATGGAGGACGTGGACACGAGTTAGACATCCATGACAAAATCGTTGTAAACGAACAGTAGAGAGATGGAACCATAATAACCATTGCAAAGTATCTTGCTCCAGTGTTCAATGTAGACACAGAAATGATAAACGAGACCAATGCAATGCCCAAAGGAGCAACAACGTGGTAAAATCTTTCTCCTGTTTTGTCAGCGTGACGGGCCCAGAAGAACGTCGAAACGACAGCAACCAAGTATGGCGGAGCAGTCAAACACAAAGTCACAACTCTGCTGAAGTTCAAAGTTTCCACAATGGATGGGAAAAAATTAGTGACACCACAAGCAGCAACCAACCACGAAAGAATACCCACACAGGCCCACACCTTTAATATCTTTCACACACAACAAGAAGGAGCCCCAGTATGATTCTTTGTTAATGCTATCGGTGTCATCTTGGCCGGTTTCACATCTAATCTTGTACAACAAGACCTCTCTCTCCAAATCGTTCAACATTTTGGAGTTGCCAGGCATGTTGGGCAAAATGAAGTATGCAATAGGCGCAATACCAACTGTCACGGCACCTTCAATGATAAACAACCATCTCCAGGATCTCAATCCATGCACATGGTCCATATTGTCAACGATTCCCGCAGCAATAAGACCGGAAAATGCACCCGAAAGTAATGAGCCCGAGTACAAGATGGAGTTTCTTAAAGAAAGTTGTGATCTAGTGTACCAACAGGACAAGATATAAAGAGCTGAGCCGAAGAAACCAGCTTCCACAAAACCCAAAATCAATCTGATGGCTAATAATCCGCCGTAGCTTTGAGTAGCCGCCGTGCAGGTGGAGACAGTACCCCATGACACCATAATGACAGTGATAAAAATAGCTGGCTTTTTAAACTTATTCAACAACATGTTTGCTGGAATTTGCATAAGAATGTAACCAACAAAAAGAATAGAAATACATGTTTGGTATTGGTTTCCCTTCAAGTTCAAGTCTTCCTCAAGGCCACCCAATCTGGCACTGGCAATGTTGTTTCTGTCCAAATAATTTAAAATGTACAAAATCACCAACATCGGAAGCAATCTCATATCGACTTTTCTTGTCACCTTTCTGTGGATCTCGTCGATTTCTTCATCGGTGTATTGTTGCAAAATCTCTGGCTTGTCCACCACATCTTGCTCTTTAACAGAATCAATGTGGGTAACTTCTGCCTTGTCAACTTCCGGTTTGTCCATGGTTTTTTGTTTCTTTTATGTGAGTCCCCAAATTCAAGAATATGCCTTTACGAGAAGAATAATTTCTTCAAAGAAAAGGCGAAACTCGATATTTATACGGCGCGTTCCATTAGTGGGGGGAATTGCGTCTGCAAAGGAACTTACCTGCAATTTTTGTGGAGACCGCGGGGAAATTTTTTTTCTTCTATACAGATATCTGTGGGGGATCTATTCACCCGATGCATAGATATTCTGATAGTATGTGTCTATTGGCCTGGTTGTAGTTGACGCATGAAGGCTTAATCTGTATTGCGGTTACCTTTTGTTGTATGCAGACATGGTATGCCAGCAAAGTTGAGAATTTGCTGTGATTGAAATGATAGTTACCTGATTGAATGTACTGGCTGAATGAAACTTTGCGTATATATTCTCTATATTTGGAAATAGGCTCAGATGTCTGTTTATTCCTACATTGCTTTCTCAATACCCCGATGGCACAAAAAATATTATTGGACGATGTATGCACGTCTTACCGCGATGTAACATCGTTATGTCAAGGGTGTACACGAAAGCATAAAAGCCCCACCTTCATTCCCCTGCCCCCCACGTAAACCTCATGCAACACCTGCATCTCGGGCGATAACGCCGCAGAAAGTTTCACTTTTATGTACAAAGAGAAGTTGTTGGTCCTGTGTTCAAAAAAAAATTTCTACTCCATGGATATTCCCCACATGAATTGTTGAGTTCGTCTAGATCTTTGCTCTATCTCTGCTTTACTGCTGGCAATTCATTTCTTGGCGATTGTTCTCAAAAAAATTGCAGTCCTTTGAAGAATCACAAATGTCATCAATCATAGATGTCACTTCCTGGTAAAAGCCGCGTGTATTTTAATTCCCTCATGTCGTCTCCCCTTTGACGTGGTAAGTGGGAGCCTACACAAAAGAATGGGGTCTCATGTGTTCAGAATGAGAGAGAGCGATCTTACACACTTTTCTTCCACGTTCAGCATATATGTTTTCCCTAAATTTTGAAGGAAAAAAAAAAATAATGAGCGGTCTTGCTAAATCGCACAACGCAAGGGTTTTTATCCGAGGTTATTCCGATTCCGGATCAACGGGAAATGCTACATAAAAAGAGCGTAACACGAAAGTGAAGTAGCAAAAATAAGATACAGGACTCGCGAAACCACAAACTGATCGGCAGGTACAATGTTGCTCACGTGACTTGGCATTTCGTCTGGTTTAAGGAACGCCTCACATGGTTAAACCTTAGCTTATTCATAATCTGGTGAACATGTCCAATATCAACAAAAATAGAGACAGGTACATTAAGAGAAGGAATCTGAAGTCAGATTATGCAAATTTTACAAATGAGGATGGCAATCTCGAGGAGGTGCAATTGGCGGCAAATAGCACCAGACCCATTTCCCGACTGTTGCGTGGGGACAATGGAACAAGCGAAACAACAGACTTAGAAGCCCCTTCTCAATTTCAGGAGGATAACCTGGATACACATCAGAATGTTGCCTTCTTTGGAGACCATGATTTCCATGCTGGTGGCGAACAATATGACGAGTCAGATGAAGGAGGCGAGGGCGGCTACCATGAAAGAGATCTGTACATCAGTGAGGATGTGCATGACGATGAAGATGACGATGGGGATGATGGGGATGATGGAGAAGATGATGAAGTAGATGGTGAAGACGATGAGCTCATTTCCGGCTATTGGTCCGAAGAACTGGAGGATCGAGACGAGAGTCACAGAAGTGCTCATCCCTCCCGGGGATCGACATTGCTTAGGAATCTTATGCAGCAAGAGCGTCTTGAGCTATCTGACTCGAACTTGTTAGATGTAATGCAGCGCATTGTTGGAGGCATGAGCGGAGATACGTCTTTTGCGAGACCCAACTCTGAATACGATCACTTAATCGATAATTTGAACCAAAGGGAAGATTCCTATTTGGTTCTTGAAACCCTCAATGAACTTCTGGAAAGATTGCTTATGATGAATGGGTTTACTGCGGAAAGAGTTGTCCCTGCTGGTAAATTAGCCAAGTCACTAATACTGATTTTGAACGATCCTCGTTTAATCGATGAACTAGAGCTACATCTTGTCGCTTGCAGGTGTCTTTACAACTTCATCGAGGTAAATCAAGATTTCATCCACCATGCTTTGAACAATAATGTAATGGAGGCCCTAGTTCAAAGAGTATCTGAAATCACTTACATTGACCTTACTGAGCAAGCTCTACAGACATTAGAGGCCATATCGAGGGAACCCCGCGCTCATCTGTTAATCGTTGAGAGTAATGGCTTGCAAGCTTGTTTACAAAACCTTGACTTTCTAACCATACATGCTCAAAGAAAGTGTCTCATAATATTTGCAAATGCTTGTACAAACATCTCGACTGAACGCTTTTCTTTAGTCGAGGCAGCCTTTCCACTTTTATTTCAAGTTGTTAAGAATTACAAAGACTCATTAGTTATTGAGTATGCATGGCTCGCCATCTCACGCATAATTTCCAGCTACAAGCATGAGTCTGAATATATTGAGAGGCTCTTTGAGAATGAAGAACTTTTGAAGCAAATGGTACTGATAATTACCAAATCGTGCAATTCCTCAACCACTGAAAATGGATTAAACCAAAGATCAACTCTATCATTGATGAAGTCCTTGAATATCCTTTCGATTGTATCCATTCGGATCTCCAATATTTTATTGAACTTGGACATTGGGTCTGAAATATGCCATTCCTTGAATAGATACAAGAAGACTGATGAATCGAGCCAGAAATTGAAGAATTTGGATTCGACAATTTCTAGCAAATCTTTCGAGAATATGGTCCCAATTGAAGCTGTAATAGCTGCTCCTAAAGATTTCCTTTTCCAGTTTCTTCAATTAATTGACAGTATTTTACCCATTCCACCTTCATTTGACTATACACTGTTCCTTGAAAAGGTTCCAACCGAGAGCGCCTCGCTATCCTATGATGAAAAGATAAGTGTCTTTACATTCGGAAAGTTTTGGGGCTTTGTGAATACAATTTGGCCAGTGCTCATTCATTCTTTTCAAGGATCTATGGACATTGATGTAAGAAGAAAGGTTTTGCTCGCTATGTATAAGATCGTTTATTTTGCTGATGAATCGGTTTTGACTCTGATTGAGGGATTCAATTTGTTATCTGGGATAGTCGTATCTGTCATAGCCTCGGAGAGGAAATTAGTCGATGCTCAGTATCTGTCGAAAGGAAATGATGGTGTCAATGTTTTAAAGCAAAACCTGATGGTCTTCAGTGTCTTTCTTATTTTAAAAACTATGATGGAAAAATCAAGCATTGGATTCTTAAGATTATTAGAAAAGGATGGACTCTTTGAAGATCTTTTTGCGATATTAGATGGTCTTCTGCAATCCTACGAACATGATCAAGAAAAGGATACGTCAAAGAATCCTGATGACCAAATCAGTAGTGAGGATATTCATCCAAGATCACACCGTGTTTCATTTTCTAGCTCTAGCAGTGCACATTATTTCGCTAATAGCACTGTTTCCTCTTTGCAAAAGAGCTACAAGAATATTGTTGATGTCGGCGCCCAGCTAAAAGCACTTTATGATGACTTCAAAGATAAGAATGGTGTACTACAGGAGACAGGAAATGAGATTGCTAATCTTATCCGAAGGCTATCTAGTGTATCAGATTCAAGTCTGAACGCTGAATGGGACGATATCTGGTCTACTTTGAAGAACATGTTGGACTCGAACAAAAATGGCGTATCAAGTTTCGAACTTACGAGTCTGGGAATTTTAGACATCCTAATCAATTTATTAGGGGAAAATGGGTCTTCAGTTTCGACATCCCCTTGTAAATCGTCTTTCGTGAAGATTTTCTATACCAACAATGAGTCAATATCACGATTCGTCAGTTTACTTGAAGACTCGATTTCCAGAAGAGAGACATTTGATGTTTATACAAGTGGTGGAAGCATAGGCGGTGACTCTTGGAATAACACTGCATCTATGGCAAAGCAAATTAAACTTCGTCTTGTTCCCAAAGTAATTGATGATAGTTTGCACAACCAAAGGATGCAGCAAATGAACATTTCCGTTCACTCAGTTGCTACATTCAGGACCATAGAAGAGTTTTTAGAGCAGAGATTTGATCTTGCTAAGAAACTTGATGAACAGGACCTGCCTGTGAAGCCCCCTCTTGGTTCGTCTGATGCGGAGATGGTTGAAAACAATGAGAATCATTCTACTCGTCGTATTCATTTCTTCCTCAACTGCGAAGCAATTCCGTACGAAACTACTGTGTTCGGTGCAGTCTTTAAGGGAATTCAAAACGAGAAGAAAGTGGGAAAGGTGGACCCGTATGATGTTTGGAGTAAGCAGCATACAATCTTTTACGGGTATACGGACTCTGAAACACATAAAGAAGAAAATGAGCCATTTTATGAAGAGCGTGATTCCGAATTTTGTGACAAAGCAACAAATTCTGTGTTTCTACTTTTGAAAGTGTTATTTGAATTAAATAATGAAGTCAAGAGGTTGCATGAATATACCTCTCTTCCACCTGAAAAGTTTAGAAACTGGAAGTTGACGGTGAAGTTGAACCGCCAGTTAGAGGAATTGTTGATTGTTGCAAGTGGAACATTGCCGAATTGGTGTATGCGTCTCACCAAAGACTTTCCATTCATTCTTCCGCTTGAGAGCAAAATTTTATTTCTTCAAAGCACTTCTTTCGGTTACTCGCGTCTTATCCATAATTGGCAACTCAGAAGCGCACGGGAAAGCTCTGATGATTCTTCCCGGCGTTCGGCCGAAGGTATCAGCCTCATTGGAGCACAAGTTGGAAGACCATCAAGGATTAAAGCAAGGATCTCTAGGGAGCAGTTTTTTCCTAGTGCCATGAAAGTTTTGCTGGTTTATGGAACTTCGCCTGAGGTTCTTGAAATTGAATACTTCAACGAGGTTGGTTCTGGCCTAGGGCCCACTTTGGAATTCTATTCTACCACTTCACGTGAGTTTTGCAGGAAAGAGCTTCATATGTGGAGAGATGATCCGTTCATTTCAGATAATGACACTAATGGAAACCCTTATGTGTTTAACTCTAGTGGGTTGTTTCCTGCTCCATTAGATCCTCGGAAAATTGGTACAGAAAACGGGCGAAAAATTCTTTTCTTGTTTTCACAATTGGGAAAATTTGTTGCAAGAGCTTTGCTTGATTCTCGTATTGTGGACTTTGAGTTCAACCCTCTCTTTCTTTGCATGGTTCGGAATTCAGAGATGTTTGAAGGAGACTTGAACGACAGTGAGAGGAAATACCCCGATAAACTTTCATCTGCTTTGGAACTTGTTGATCCCAAACTCGCCAAGTCCTTAGAACAATTGAAATCTCTTCTGTCACGGGTCGAACTGAAAGGAAATCATTATGATCAGATTGAGGAACTATCTCTTTGCTTTGTTTTGCCAGGCTATTCAAATTATGAACTTATTCCTAACGGAGCTAATATTTCCGTGACATCTGAAAACATTGATCAGTACATTGAAAAGGTTATTGATGCTTCTGTTTTTAGTGGTGTCTTTGAGCAAATGAAATCGTTCGTGAAGGGCTTCTCTGAGGTTTTTCCTATCAGTGCCCTCTCTATTTTCACAACCGATGAATTAAATGAAGTCTTCGGTAGCTCCCATGAAGATTGGTCAAGAGACGCGCTCTCTGAAGCAATTAAACCTAACCATGGTTACAACCACGATTCTATTGCGATCGAGAGACTTATAAACGTGTTGGTAAACTTTTCGGGCAAAGAGCGTCGCAAATTCTTGCAATTTTTGACAGGATCTCCCAAGCTCCCAATAGGAGGATTTAAAGCTATGCGTCCTGAATTTACCGTGGTACGCAAGTATGCGGAAGACAATTTTATCAGCGATGATTATTTACCGTCAGTTATGACTTGTGCCAACTATTTAAAACTTCCTGATTATTCACTGGAGGAAATCATGCACCAGAAACTAATTGATGCAATCACAGAGGGCGCAAATGCTTTCCATCTATCATAAAGGTATATACTATGTATAAGATTAAACTTGTGCTGTGAATTATATTTTTGAACTTTGTGTGCAGCTCATTATTGAAAATTTAGTAATTATTGATGCGGGTGTGGTAAATCGCACCAGTGAAAGGTGCTTGTCAGTAAAGTGGACTACCGCATGAAACCAATAGAACAAAAAATAATGATACGAGGAAAACCTTTGCTGTTACTTTCAAGAAATTCATTTCTTTTTTTACACAACATTCGTTTTCATATTTTTTACACTTGTTTGGTAGGTAATTAGTTTTCGCATTTATTGGCGACGTAGCAAAAAATACACGAACTGTTCCAAGTTGAAGCAACAAAATGTCATATGAATACGAAACTTGCTAAAAATTAAAACTCGACATCAAGTCGAAAATCCAAAAACCATCTTAGTTCTACCATATATCTGCTAGTCCCTACAGGGATCCTAGTAAACGTCATATTAATTTGGTGAAGTGCATATGGTGGATATACAGTCTCGGTACTTATGATTGAAGCTGTGTGGAGGAATAACCCAATCGCTTCAGGATTTAACGGAAACAAAAGAACGATGTCAGTGAATTTGAGCGCCATTATTGATAAGTTGGTTGAAAGCGCACCGCCAGGTGAATTGAAAAGCGTAAAGAAGAACTTGGATATTATTGTTGCACACGAAAATACATCCATTATCAACAAATCGCTTGAAAAGTACATTGAGAACAACTTTGTTGTCCTCTCTGGCCAATACATTGCCGGTAAACTCAACAAGGATGCCCATTCGACCAAATTTTGGGACTACATTGGAAAGCAAAAGTTCAATGTAGATTCGAAAAATGAAAGAGCTATTGATTTTGAGTCGGCAGATCCTGAGGTGGAGTACCCTGATTACTTCGATGGTTTAGTGGAAAGATTAGAGCTTTATGGAAACAACCATTATCCTTCGAATTATGCCTTTACTATCATCCCACATGTTGACAAAACTGTGGAGGTGGTCATAATTGGTGAAAAAGTCAACGTGGAAAACTACTTCAGTGGCCGCTGGCAATCAGTATACCGTGTCACGGTCAGTGGTGCAGTTACCGGCCATGTCAATTTAGATATACATTACTATGAAGACGGAAACGTTAGACTCAACTTCGAAGAGCCAATAAAGGACGCTTTGAATGACGTTTCCGCGTCAGGCATAGTGAATTTCATCAATAACTTCGAAAATGATTTGACTATGAAAATCGTCGAGCAATTCAACACTTTGAACCAGAACTCTTTCAAAAATCTTAGAAGATTGCTACCAGTTACCAAATCCAAGATTAATTGGGGAAAAGCTATCGGAACATACAGGTTGGGTTCCGACGTCGTAAACCAGTAGCTCCTATTTTTGAATCAATGAATGTTTCATGATCTTAACTTTGTAATAGTCCATATGACGAAGAAAAAAACCAATATTAAGAAAACGATTTTAGTCAAGCTGGCATTTCTGCTCATCACAGTGCGCAAGTCACCACTTGATCTCTTGACTTTAGTCCATAGCTGAGCAAAGTTATCATTCAAGAGATCTAAGGTCAGCATTTCTTGCTGAATTCCTCCGTGTATGTCATTATCAACTGTAGTTCTAAATTGATGCAAAGTTTGAGCAAGCTGATCGAACCTCTGATTATTCTGTTCTTCTCTATGACCGTACAAATTTGACATTCTGTACGATGCGCCAGATTACGTCTCCTCAATCACTTCTTTTGTAACACTACTTCATGATAACTATATGCAGTCACAACATAAGTCCAATCTTTTGTGCAGTAGAATCAGCTCTATACACACTGTTGATTAAAGCTGATGGATCAGAGACTAACCCAGAGGATTCCTTATAGGAATCCTCCAGTGAGGATCTGGGGACAGGCGCTGTAGTACTCAGTGATTGGAGTGAACATTAATAAGTGACGTTTGATTGAGATTGATATATCAGGAGATAGAGAGATAATCCTTAGAGAAAGGAATCTCAGAGAGAATAAGTGATCTCATATATCCGTGAGAACTACAAGGTGCAACCTTCTTGATACAGAAAAGATACAATATGTATCCCTATAATTTAAAATTCTGTAAGATAATGATGATACTCCACAACAAAACTCCTAGCGGATATTCTTCACAGGCGGAAAGTGAGAGTGATGCAGGAATCCTTGGTTTTCAGTACTCGGACTTTCACCAGTAAACGTGGTTACAGGTGCCTGACTTGGAGAGGATCCCAGAGGTTGAGCGTACTGAAATCGCGCATAATCAGAATTCCCAAATCCAGCACTGGTTGGCTGTTGTTCTAGATAGTTAAACGATGAGCCATTGTTTCTGCCACCAGAAGATTGAGCAGGGTATGAACTGTTTACCACAGCATGAGGAGCTGCTCGTAGATTCACAATTTGATCAACGAAGCTATCGTAAAGCTTGGTTTCTGCATTTACTTGATCATGCAAAGCAGCAAGTTCGTCTTTTCGACTGCTGTACTTATCAATTAACAACGCCAACGTTGTTTTCAAAGGAATGACCTCATTATATAGAGCCGTTACTTCGTCTTCACTAACAGATTCAGGATTCGCAGACAAAAGAGCAAGCAATTTTTCGACCTTCTTGGAGTCTATATTCACGAGCCTCGTTTCTAATGCAAGCTCTCTTGCTTCTTCTTCTGCGGATTTGGGTATCACTGGAGTTACATAGTTCAAAGGAAAAATACCAACTTTACCGTCTGGAAGCATTCCCCTCCACCAGTCCCGATACACAGACTCAATGACAGTAATGATGTCGCCTTTTTTAAAGGAAAGTTCATCAGGCTCATATGAAATCAAATCATACAATGCGCAAACCTTCTTGACATTAGAAATTGTAGAGGTAGGCAGATCTTGATTCACCCCCCTCGCCTGGTCATTAGTTGGCGCGTTTGTAGCATGACCAGTAATATCGTTGTTGCCTTTCAGTACTTCAGTTACAGTGCCTGAATTAGGATCTTCAGTTATTCTTCGTTCAGTCTTCTGTCTTTCATATTCTTGAACTGAAAGCTTGAGTGCTCTTTCCAATTCTAACTCTTCATTCTTTCGGTCTTCGCGGGAAAGGGTCTTCTTTTCGGGTTTGTCAGGTGGTGTACTTAAATACTGGGGATATTTCACCTTTATAGTCTCATAAGCGTTCCTTATAGGCTTTAATGAAGGATCAGAATCAAACGAGTCGTTTAATTGCAGAATAACTTCAGCAATTCGAAACTTGATCAGCCTATGCAATCTCCTGTCCCCTAGTTTCCTGATTAGTGACTCCTGAAGAAAAGATGTCGATGCAATTTCCTGCTTCATCCGAGATCCACAATTTTCAGCCACGGCAATGATCAAGGTCAAAGTACGTAAAATGACATTTGCATCTTTAAGGGTAAGTCTCGTCTTGATAAGCTTTATTGCCTCCTTCGTGTTTGTTTCTGGGTTCGCCGTAATGCAATCGCAAGTATCTAAAATATACTGCCAGTTGTCCCCAGTCAATGTTGGATCAGTAGCTTTCAGAATCTTCTTCTCCAATTCAGTCATTTTAGTAGTAATCGTGGAGTAAGTTCAGTGTATGCCCCGAAAGCATGATCTTAGAAGCTGCGGCGGAAGCTAATGTGCACTCCAATAGTCGGCTATACTTTTTATCAGACGTAATCTGCTACAAAGGTACTCTTTTAGTTAATTTTTGGGTAAGCACCCGATACTCAGTAAATTCAAGCTCCTTGGCTCTTCTTCTTCACTAAGCATTACATGGGTCAGTATATATATCAAAACCAATTTCGACATGGTTATCTAGTTCTTGATCTTCTCGCTCACTCCGCTAGTAGTTTAACAAAATGCCCAGTGTTTCACATTGAGCTGCCCAAATACTAAGATCCATTGCTAAACCTTTCATTAGCGCGTTTGAATGGCCATAAGGACATGAGACGGAACGCAATATTTTGTTCGTGCACCACCCCATTGATGAACCGAGGAAGTCTAGCGTTAATACTTTAAGCTCGGTGGTTCAAAATGGAAACTTACGAGTAAAATTGCTCATTTCAAGATGAATCTTAAATCCATTTTAATGACTTCCTATTTTTCTGCTTTGCTTTTCAAGAGAGCAAAGCTGAGTCGTTTCATTCCCAAGCGCGACTTGAAGCTCGAATCCTTACACCACGCGAATCCGCTCATTTCAGATTCTTCACGTATTCAATAAAGACAATGATGTCTCCTCAGAGATCTACTGGTTCGAGTCGCCGCAGAGGATCCTCAGTCGGTCATATTAATGTTGGAGATACTGCCGCACCAGGTTTCTCAACAATGAAAACTACTCTAGCTCAACGCCGTAAACTGGACCAACGGATTCAGGCATTGAGCAAAGAATCGAAAACAGACATTGCCATTATGAAAAAGGTGTTTGTTGCTATCCGTGAAATGTGTTCTAGACAAACATGGATCGTACCCTTTAGTGCCTTGGTTTTTTTCTATGGTCTTTACTTTCTAAGCGGCCTGGACACTAAAGTCCACAACGTCCTCGAAGGTATGATGTTCCCTTCTTATCCTATTGAGGGCACAGACCAATACGGAAAGGGTGTTAACGATTTCTATTTCGTTGGCTTCTATGCGTTATTTTTTTCCTTCCTAAGAGAGTTTTTAATGTGTGTCGTCATGAGGCCAATGGCAATCCGTTTAGGCGTCAAGAAGCCCGGAAAGATTAAGAGGTTTATGGAACAAACCTACTCAATGTTTTACTATGGTCTATCTGGCCCTTTTGGATTGTGGGTAATGTCTCATACGCCATTGTGGTTTTTTGAAACAAGGCCATTCTATGAGAATTATCCACACAAAACTCATGACTGGTACTTCAAGGTTTACTACCTAGGCCAAGCTGCTTTTTGGGTCCAGCAGTCTGTTGTATTAGTTTTACAGCTTGAAAAACCTAGAAAGGATTTCTATGAGCTCATTTTACATCACATCATCACGATTGCTTTAATCTGGTGCTCTTACAGGTTCCACTTCACATGGATGGGGTTGGAAGTTTACATCACTATGGATGTTTCAGACTTCTTCCTTGCTACATCCAAAACATTGAACTACTTGGACTCACCTTTTACCGGACCATTTTTGGTCCTTTTTGTCTTTGTCTGGGTTTACTTGAGACACTACATTAATTTGCGGATCTTGTGGTCCGTCTTAACTGAATTTAGAAGCGTTGGGGACTTTGAATTGAATTGGGAAACGCAACACTATAAGTGTTGGATTTCCCAACCACTTGTATTTTTGCTAATCTTTTCCTTACAAATTCTTAACGCATATTGGCTTTTCTTGATCATCCGTATTCTCTATAGATACGTGGTCGGTGGAGTCGCGCAAGATGAAAGAAGTGATGAAGAAGATGAAGATGAAGTGTCAGTTTCTAGTGCTGAAAAGAAAGACCAATGATCATCGGTAGTTTCTGGAGATCCATGGCTCCTCATCAACTGCATTAGACACCCCTGCAATGATATAGAAGAGTCAAAGAAATGGTATACCAAATTTTGGAATTTTTAAACTATGTACAGCTAATATGCGTAAGTCTCACTATGACGGTAGAAAATCATTTCTGAGAAGATTTATACTCCGAAAAAGCTTTATATCTTCTCTCCACACCTTGTTCCGCAGCTTTCGACAAAATACCACAGACAACAGAAGAGGCTCTCATGGAATCATCGTTACATGGAATTGGGTACGTCAATAAAGAAGGTTCCATATCAGTATCACATAGCCCGATAGTTGGTATCCGCAGCTTGATACATTCGTTAACACAATTTCTATTCTCCACTGGGTTCAACAACACAACTAAGTCTGGTTTGATCAAAGCATCGTCTTGGGCCGAAATGTTGCGGTTAGTAGGAGTGTCACCAAGATCAACCTCAATTTTTTGATGTCCACCTATTTGCTTAGATACTTCTGTGAAGTTGGTAATAGTACCTGGAATCCATCTATGAGACACATAATATCCCCTACTTCTCTTAGCAGCTTCTTCTAAAGCACGGTGTTGTTCCCAATTTCTCGAAGTGCCAACATACAAAATAACACCACCTTTCGCTGCGATGCTCTCAATGACCTTCGTGGCCCTCCGCAAAGCGGCTAACGTTTCATTCAAATCAATCAAATGAATACCTTGATACTCAGCATAAATAAATGGTTGAGTAGAAGGCCTCCACATCGCCTTCGCATGACCTAAATGACATCCAGCCGCCATCAATGAAGAAATGGTGACATCATCCATAGAAAGAGGCCTCTTCACGTCATTAGCCGGATTGTAGACATCTTCAATGGATGAACCTAATCCACCAGACTGTCTCATATGGGTAAGTTGTCTTAAGAACAACTCTTGAGAGGAATAAGGTTTATAATCAGGAGTGGGTTTCAAATTCGGATACTGATTGGTGTAGGCACTCGACGTGGTGGTCTTAATCTTTTGAGACACAATCTCCTGTTCTTCGCTTGGCTTTACCGTTGTAATCTTCCCTCTTGTTCTTTCAAACCAAGGTCTGTTCCCGATCTCACTTGGTGATAACTTCATATTTTCAAACAAGAACAGTTCCATTTCTTTATCCAACCGCTTGACTTTGTCTTGGTCTTCAAGTTGATTTAATTGCGATTGTAAGGACTGTAGTCTTTCTCTGATCAAATTAGAAGGTGTCGAATTCAAAATAGAAATAGATTCCTTAGTCTTATTTTTGAGTTCTCTCAATGCCTTCTCTCTGGCTATAGCTTCTTCTTCCCTTGCAAGAGCTTCTGCTAGTGCTTTCTCTCTCAACTGCTTTTGAGAGGATAACGATTCCTCCACTGAAGAGACATCAATAGCAGTGGAGGATGAACGAGCAACCACCTTAGTGATGAGAGTACTCTTGGATACTCTTCCGTATAAGCCTAACATCGATGAGCCGCTCGGGTATTGATGTAGTGTTCAGTGATCCAAAGCTCACCAAAAATTTTCCGCATTGATGTACACACTACCAACCAGAGTAACCGTTTGTTTATACATGAGTGATAAAATTAATTGGATTGAGGCAAGTTCAGTTGATGGCTTCATAGAATATGTCATACAGCAAGCCATCAAAGAGGAGTGTTTACCATTGACTATATTTATAGATCATAGGTTATTAAGTTGTTCTCGCATTGAAATAAGGAGAAAGATGAAAATCCATGAAATCAATCAGCTCCGAAAAATTGATATGCTTGGACTAGAGTCACACCAGGATTTCTTAGCAAATCTTGAAGAGCATTTTTTTGAGAGTGTACCGAAACATATTGCTATATGTAATTGGCTCTGTCATGATAGCGACCCTCAGAAATGGTTGTTGAGGGCAAATTTTCTACTATGGAAGGTCCATAATTTTTGTAAGTATTACGGGGTATCAGCATACATCAGGATACCACAACAAGCTCACGAAGAGAGTGATACGACTTGGAATAGGAGCATTGAATTCCCCAATCATGACCAATTAAAAATTATTTTATCTAAATGGACTTATTTAGATTCGGCCACTGGCTCATCATCAGATGAATCTTCGTCTTCTCCTTCGAAGGAACCACCATTCTGACCTAATTGGCTAGCTAAAGAGCTAATATCGAAGTCGCCACCAGGACCGCCAGCGCCTCCACCTTGAGCGAGCAACTTAGAAAAATCGATGTCACCAGGGCCACCTGGACCGCCAGGACCACCGAAATTCATCATATTAGACATGTCTTCTTCAACATGCTCCTCTTGTTCGTCTTCATCAACCCATTTGTCGAAATCTGTCTTTATGTAATGTAACTTCAACTTCTCCTTCAATAAGCGTGGCCAATATTCTGCTTGCGCTTTCTTCTTCCTTAAAACGAATTGAATATGGTTGCCAGCTTCATGTCTATGGGAGTTTTCCGGGTCAATCTCGTCATAGAAATCTAAGCTCAAGCTGTATTTGGTGGCACCATCACTAGATTCTGCGGAAAATGACAAACTAGAAGAAGTTAAGTCAATCTTTGTATTTACTGGATCTTGAACTTCAATGGTTAAGTAAATTAAGTTCTTGGCAGGATCAGACTCATTGGAGCGTTGTGCCCATAAGACAACAGGATGAACAGACATTGTTTTCTGGGTAACAAAGTAAAATTGAGGTGAGAGCTATGTAATTCGACGAACGTTAACTAAATGAACCGCGATTCTTCGAGAAAGTTCGATCACGTGAAAAATATAAGCTGATACTGTTAGTCGCCAATTAATTCTTTCAACTTGCCCCCTTTGTTAGGAACAACTAACAATTAACAACTTAACGTTTTAGCGTGATGACTTTACTTTAGTTAAATTCGTCTTCGATTACTCGTAAGCAAAAAGGACACAAAAGAAAGAAAGTGACTTCAATATTCAAAGAATATGGGACGGGACTGGAGAAGATTACCGCTACGATTGTTATCTTGCATTTTTGTCCTAGTCGACGCTTACTAGTCGGATCGATGTGCCATCTCTCTTTTATCTCAGGTTGATGACGTACCCCGTATTCCGACATATAGTACGGTTGTGGAAAGCAATGTGCAAAGGTATATCCATGTCCACACTACAATCTAGAGAGAAACCTAATTTTCCGCCTGATGATAGATAGATTTCCCGTGGAGATTCAAGTGAGAATACTTAGGTTAGTCCCAGAAAGTGCCTTGAAACAAACCAGCTCTCATTTCTATCTATTGTATAATGACTTGTTCTATGATAAGCTAATACGAACGTTCGGAGATGATGTGGTCCATATTTTGTCCAAAGTATACCCCCAACTCAGAGAATACATAATATCACTAGATTCATTCAGATTAGTTTCACGACAAGCAATTTCCTCACGTTTGAACTTGATTGATCACGGAGACATACGACATCCAAATCCCGAACAGTTAATCGAATCCATGTATGTCAAAGACTCTTGGCGATACATCTTTTCCCTTCTTAAAAATAAGAGGCTTTATGCCGAATATTCAGACTATAAAATCGATGAGCCAACAAACTACATTTACAACCATTATGTGGAAATCAACAGAACATACCTTCTCTCTTATACAAAAGACATCTGGTTGGCACCTGGAATGTACAATCTTAATATAGGCCTAGTCATCAAGCATGGCACGGGGTTAGGCACGACAAAGTTCGAAGTTGAGTACCAGACAACAGGTGGAGCAATTGAGGTTCAAACCTTTTACCCACCGACTAACATTAATGAAATATTGCCGAAGAACCAGTTTTGCTTCTTGAAAATAGGCGAATTCCACTTACCTCAAGTTAGACATAAATTAAACGGACGCAACTGTCCAAGTCATAATAACCGCTTGTTCAAGGTGAAGTTAATTATGGAAGAGATTGGCCTTTATTTGAAGTCAGGATTCAGCATATTCTATATTGATATTTCCCAACCATCAACACTTTTAAATGAATATGATCTCCTATTCTATTCCTGCCAGGAAACAGATTATAAGTATTATATCAATTTTCCCCTCAAGAATTTTTACAAAGTTCTTAACTATGTCCAAAATCCAAGTGAAGAGGATGGCATCAGCGAATATGAATCATATGGCAAAGGAAACCCTGACAATATCTTATCGACGTTAGATAATGACTTTATTGATACTCCGAGAGATGAGTCGGATTCAGACCATCAACTCTTGGACTATTCATCTTTTTTCTATCTAAACAAGTCTAATCACAGAACCTATAGGTTCAACACTGTTTATCAAAAACGCCAATTCATCAATAGATTTGGCAATTTCGATCCGATTGATAGTGAGCCGAACACATGCTCTTATGATAAGGAAGATTTGAAGTGGAGGATTCCGATTTTAGGAGAATTATAGAATTCTTTTCATAGTTCAAAACATAAAAAGGATGAACATATATTTACGTAGTTTTAATGAGTCTCATCGTTTAGCTTTTCCACAAGATGAAGAACGGGTTAACATCCATGACTTGGTATTTCATTTGCAAATCAACCCTAATCGAATAATGATGAATAGGAATGTAATTTTACATGAATATACACCTTATATCCTTGGAAAATCATGACACGGAAGAAAATTAAGTCTTTGCATCATAATAATCGTCATCGCATAGTTTCAGATTAATCTGCCATCCAGGAAATTCCACGGACCATGGCACCATTTAGTCATTTAAAACAAGCAATGAGAACGAGAGATATACATGTGAATTTATACTAATAATGATGTTACTATGACAATGCAATTGTTCTCAATTGTTTTCAAGTCCACTTTCAGAATCATTCAAATCCAATAATAAAGCTACAGATCATCCCACTTTCGAACAATTGAACACTTCGAAATAGGGTCTACATAGGTAACTATATCATTGCTTTTACAGGACACTGAGGTATGCTACAAACAACCGACAAAATTTCACAAAACAAAATTGTAAATTCAAGGGAAGGGAGAGCTGTTTTATCCATGTTTTTTTGAAAATAAACTACTTATTATTATTTTTTTTTTTTTTTCATTCTTTCCTCTTTCCAATTCGTATTATTTTTATTCTAAACAGTGTAGCGAAGGAACACACCAAAGTAAACAATACATTCTATTCGGAGCAAATAGCATTAATTCAACCATCGAATATAGTGTCCACTCACTTGAATCCAAATTATTCAACCCCAATGGTAACATTCACGCTTGTAATAGATCTCAACTAAAAATTTCAGAGTTAAAAATTTTAAAGTCATTGAGATATAACAAAGAGAAAAGTAACCACAAAAGAAACATATTAATTTCCATTCTATAAAAACAGTAGAAGACTGTTTTTCTGAAATAACACTAAACCTCTTCATATGAAAAAGAGCCACTCTTTATTGTCTGTTAACGAAAAATTCTTCTTTACCTTACGAATTATCTTGGTAACCTTTCACGAAACCTTTTCACATATTACTAGGAATAAAATTAATTCATCTATTTAACGCAATTCTAAAAGTTGCTGTGAGACATAATCAGCATAAGGACGCAGTAGGGTGATGATTGCAAATAACCAGAACAATACCAAAAGCGAATTCTCTCCTGATATAACAAAAAGAGTGATATCAGTACCTCTTATACTGGGAAATACATTAATATAATTCTTGACTGTAAAAATGTATTTTTCTAAAATATTTGTGGTTTAGAAATGAAAATAAATGAATATTTTACTCTTATTTCTTTCAGCATGTAGTCTATTTATTTGAATAAAATGGGGGCTTGAAAGTAATTCCCAAGTTGACTTAAGTGTGAAATAACTTATTCATTTCGATTGAATTAATGAATTTTATAGCCATTCGAAGTGGAGAAGGAGGATACTATAATTTGTAAAGAAATAAGAATCAGTCTTCTTTCATCGTCTTAAAACTCATCTTCAAAACGTTTGACGTATGCACATTAAACCCACAGGAATTAGTGCACTCATACTCGCAATCTTGCTACGTATTTCTTTAAAAGGCTGAGAAGTAATCTTTATAATCAGTTTCTTTTATTCTAATAATTTGTAACTAAAAGTCAATATAAATTAAGATACAAAATTTACTTAAGGTTTCATATTTATTTGCTGTATCCACTTTATCAACTCGTTTATTCGTGGTAATTTATTTTGTATTTCGATTACGAATTGTTTCTACGTTAGATTCATTAGAACTAACCTGGTGGGAAGTGTGACAAAATAGTATAAGAGTTGATGATGTGGCGCTCCGTATTATTATTGATTGTCGCATAGATTTTTAATCCATGTAGAAATGAGTCCGGTAAAGTGAATTTTTCAAACGATTTTTCAAAATCTTCATTGCAGTAAATTGCGGATTAATAAGTATTATGAGTCTGAACATAAGGACAAAGTACGAAGGTCAAATATTTGTTACTGAACTGACCTCTATGATACAGATGATCATTTTGTTTGGGAAATCAGAAGGAGTCCATAACATTGCAATCTTAAATTAGTAGGTTGCTGGGTATTAAAAATTTGGTCGAATTGAAAGAGTTTGTAAGAGTATAGATTGTATCGGGATGGGATTTATAAGGGTACACATGTGAAATTGGTGCTTATCTGACTTGTAAATATACTGAAAAGAATCTATTGTGTAATAGTTTTCTTGGTAATGTTTTGAATGTAGTGATCATATTCATTTTTATTAGTGAGTAGTAATATAATTATTAGTTACAGTTAGATTTTTATTATTTTGTTTGTGTTAGGAACAAGTTGTAAATACTTAGAACTAATTTTATTTAGTTTTACCATTGTGAAAAGAATTTTATGTCATAATATAATGCGTATCTAAAAAATCGTTTCTTTCCGGTTATATTTTATGAACTGTAATGTTTTTTTGTTTTACAAGTAGTTCTTTTTGTGAGACAGTTTATATTTTATACATATTTTTTGTTTGAAAAAGGCAATGGGTATAAATGGTATAGTGTATAAATTCATTATTATTATTATTAACTGTAGCATGTCATTGTGATTTTTCCACAAGCAAGAGTGGGTCGCATAATTTCCCTTTTAGAGATGTAGTTACAAATATAATTATGAAACCATAGAGGCAGTAGAGGCATTGAGAATGCAAATTCCTATTGCTCATACTAATGCTCTTTGGTAAATTTGAATATATCTTCACTATTGTAAATTAATCTACTACGCTGAATATTTTTTATGCTCGCGATAATGCTCTGCAATTTTCAGCTTTTAAATGAATAATATGGTTCGAACCTTCTTAGTTCATCTAATATACTTAAGTAGTCGATTAGTATAACATCTCTACCCATTCTGATCTGGATGAGAATTAGCTATGAATTTTCTTGTTTTCAAGGAGAGGTTGAGTCTCATCTCTCATTCACTCTACTTATTTTTTTAATTGTGATGTTAATGTTTTACACTTCATTTGATGAAACTTTCTGGAGTTAGAGACATAATGTACTTTATAGAGTCCTTAAGTTTCAAGAACGAAACATTTTCTTAGGTCAGTTGTTTACCTTTGGGGCCTAGATAAGCAGATACTGATTGTAATATTTTGGCTTATAGAAGTATACGGTTGTTTCGCGAATTATGTTTGCTCCAAACGTGCAAGCTCAGTTGGCTCGTACATATATTACATGAAGTAATTATCTTCTGTTGACAATGTTGAGCTCTCGTTTTTGTAGCCATCGACGTACATCCAATAACATTTAATGTCGGGGGTGGTCAAAAATGAAGGTTCTTGCGACAAGAGTTGGCTTGATGTGAATTTGATAGATGTGGAATATTCATACACTTTATGATTAATGTTATTGACTGAAACATCGCGCCGTGCTTCATTTCCCTCATGAATGTTGGAAACCAATGGAATGAAATCAGGTTTAAAATAGTTTTCGTAAATGAAAACATTGTTCTCGCTAATGCCAAAAGAGATGCTATCACTCTGGAGATAAGATCTCTGCAATATTCCTGATGAGCCATCCAAATTTTTAGTGTATAATGGGATTCGTAGTCCTCCAGAGTTGTCGTGTTTATTGAGTGAAGATACCTCGCGAGTTTTATAGCTCTCTTGTAGACTAATATCATTGAGTGGGTCTTTATTCTCTTCTTGATGGTGTAGTTCGCCTCTACTCTCAATTATGTATTGAGCTCTTGCTCGGCTGCTCTTGCTTTCACTTCCATTGCCGGTAAGTTGATTCTTGCTTTCAAGTGATCTGTTCTTGAAATAAGGCTTTCGAGTTTTAAAAGGACTATAATCAAAGTCCTTTGGTGTTAAGTTAGAATTGGACGGAAAATACCTCAAGTTTGAGTTCATGTTAAATTGAAAGATTTCAGAAAAAGATTGGAATTTTCGGGGAACGTAACACTCATTAAACCAGTTATCGTTGTATTCGGGGAAGGGAGCAAGGTACTGGATTTTTGATAAAGAATATGTATGAGACTCAGGCTCGCAAATTAATTTGTCTCTATCCTTCTTCAATATATGCATGTTGTACCATCGCTGATAACTCGGTTTTGTCCTAAAATTCTGGATCTGATTATTGTTGTGTAAATAATAATCGTTTTGGAGCTCCCATAATTTTGGCTTGTCGGGATCATAAACGTAGTTTCCTAGAAATAAATTAATTGCTTCTTGGCGAATCAGGTCCATGAAAGAATTAGAGTAAATCCGCTTGATGCTGTTAAGGATATCACGGGTGTGAGATGACCACTGATTGATCCTTCTGTATGAATCCATGGTATTAACCAAATTCGACCCACCGTATTGAACTGCTATTGTATCACCGTGATCATGGAAAATTTCCGTCAAAATATTCATGAGGTCAGAATCATAATCTAGCTCTGCAGATGGAGATAAAAAACCAAGGCTTCGAACTTGATGAGAGAGTGCTTCTTTGCAAATAATGAATTGTGCTGCATTTGTTCTATCGAGGCAATCAATACAATTAGTTCTCATGACCCCTCGCTGGATTTTTGTAGAAGCATAGTCTATACCATTGTGAAAAAATCCAGTCTCTTTGATTGATAAGCGTGCAATATTCTGCAAGGGTCCAATAACATCCATATTCTTCTTCGAATGTTTGGACATGTCAAATGAATGGTATCGTAGTTTTGCTTCGGGTGGTAAAAATTGATTCAAATACGTGATACAGTTTTCAAAGTGTTGATTCAATTTCAGCTCACGAGGTTGTTTCTCTTTAGTCTTGATTAAATTTAAGATGAAAATCGGTGTACCATATCGGGACATTAAGTCATTAAAATGCATTGCCGAACTTTGGTAAAAAGGATCGAAAAGATTAATTTCTATTGGAGGTTTTGGTAATCGATTGAGGTCTTGTGTCCAATAAAGAGGGATTGACCCTCTATGTTGCACGAAACTTGTGTACCGGGGGTTCGAGTAGAATCCGAACTTTGGGTGATGGAAAGAAGTGGTTAACATATCTGACACAATCTGCTCCGTTTCCACTTCATTTGCAACATTGCCTCTGTCATTAACCCCCCTCTTGAGAAATCTGGCCCCAGCAAAATGGTGTGATCTTCGTGCAATGATAGTGATGTAGATTTTGCGTCCATAGATAGATATGTTTGCTTGGTCTATAAACCCGTGTATGATTGGTTGGAACCATTCATATGTTGCTATGTCAGATTGAGATAGAACTGGACGTAGAAGTAAGTTGTTCCAAACAAATCTTTCATTATGTTCAAATTTTTCATGCACTGCTTCTTGTTCAAGCTTTGAAGATTCCATTGCGGCCCGCTTATGCCGCATGAAATTTGTTTGCAACGAATTAGTAACATCGTAAGTGTAGCTGAAATAAAAGGTTTTACCCAAATCCAAGTATTTGAAAATTGTGAGGAGCTTCTCTTCATCGGAATACTTATCCGGTCTTTTGTAATTGAGATCAAGAGGAATTAGCTTTGTCTCATCGATATGATATACGAAATGACCTCCGATAATGGCAACCTGGCTGCACTTAGTAATCACTGAGAGATAGTATCCTCTAGTGAACTTTATAAGGCCAATAAGACCGAAAGCTTGTGCAATTTTATGAATTCCTCCTTCAATTGTATCATTAAGGCCGTTTATAAGTTCAACCATGTCCTTTCTTGTATAGAAATAATTCTTGTCCTCAATGATATTTAGGGAAGTAGAGTTGTCAGATGAACTTATTTCGATAATCCGGAAAAGGCTCTCCTTTGCATTGCTACCCACAATGTACATGGTGGAGAGAGAGTTATAAATGGTGAATCTTTGTAAAATAATACGCTTGTTATTTAGCTCCGGGCCATTTTCTTTGGGATCATGGGCTTGTTCGTTTTCGCTGGAATCTGGTGATGTATCGCTATTATTATTATTATTATTATTATCATCATCATGGGCAGTTCCATTATGGCTCCCTACCCCAGACACATCATTCCGTAAGCTTTTCCTGTCATTGTCATAATGGTTTATATCTGCTTTCGAATCACTCATGGAATGTGTTTGACTTAAGCGTGGTAGTGTTTGCAATATGCGTACATACTGCATACCAGTGAACCAAAGCACAGTCCAAGCCAACTCGCTTTACTCATAAAAGTATTTCTTGCATTCTCTCTAGAAGTAGTATTTGTAAGACGAATGTTTATACTAACTAAGATGAACAATGGTATCACGGAAATGGCATGGGTGAGATAAGAAATTTTCAACTAAAGCTGCAATGATTCTACTAGCAATCTTGAAAATGGACTAAAGACTTATTCGGACATCAATTAGCCTTCTTATGCCGTTAATCAAAGATTAAGTCTCATTTGCATTCAAGATCGAAGGTCGAATGCGAACTGTCATTCATATTCTCACGCAATACAACCAATTTGATTACTAAAGAAAGGTACGTATTTCCATAGATTCCGCATTCCTTTATCGCATTTTGAGTAATGATCTTTTCTGTTATTGAGTTGTTATTTTCTTCAAGCCCAAGTAGTTCGTCCATATAAAATGGAAATATACTTTACTTGTTCTCGAATCTATTAAAGAATGATCAGCTAAATCCTCCAGTCAAGCTCTTCTAATCTTCTCCTTGTAGTTGCACGTCGTTTACTACCGCTAAAATCATCAACTTCCCTCCTCATGTTTTCTCTTTTGAGTCGCCTAGAGTTTCTTTCTCTCTCGATCTCCCTCTTTTCGATTTCCCATGGACTCAAAATCTCAATGAATGGCTCCCACACTGCGTTTCCGTTGTGGATACTGCTGTCAGTTCTAATTCTGATATTCCTCTCAAATATTAGTCCTGCAAGCTGTTGATATTTGTGAAGTTCGTGATTGTATGTGCCATCAATTAGTTCCTTTTTCAATCTAAGTGACATTTCATGTAAGCTATGGGCAATGGCGGGTTTGAATTCCAGTGATAAACCTAAATCAGCAACGACAATTTCGGCAAACTTTTCAGGAGTTACGTCAGTTTGTACGAGGTCCCATTCAAACTTGTCTTCATAAAGTTTTTTATCCAAATTCACTGAAATATCAATAATCACATGATACTCATTTCCTGGGGGTAACTGTGCGTTATTGACAAAATTATAGTCCTCAATCTGCTTGTTTATGGAATCTACAATGTCCAGGTGAATCAGATTGGGCAACTCCAATTCTGAACAAAGAAGAGAAGCAAATTGTTCTGGTGTTATCAAGCTTTCGTTCACGTTCCACATGAAAAAGTCAACTAGCTTAGACGCACCAGCATTATATTCGATGTTTAGTTTGATGGGAATCAAAGCTTCGGGCATCATTTTCTGAGAGACGTCAGCAAAAATGTCATCCGTAAATATTTCTGACGACCTAGCCAACCTTGCAGGTTTCAATAAATGCTTCTGAACAGTTGCTGTAATATGCGTATTTGCACTTGGGTAGGTAGTTGCAGATAGGTTCCCATCTTCTTCATATTCAAAGTCATCATTAACATTATCAAACTCTGCGTAGTTAATTTGTTGTGCATTTCTCTTTGCAGAACGTTCTTGGGGGACATTATTCACAATAATGGCACTATCAGGATCCTTTGTGACTCTTGATACGAAACCGGTACTAAGAGCCTGCGGTTGAAATGACTGCGTATTATATGTCAAAGACATGTTTGTGTTGTTGGGGACAAGATTCAAGTGAACAAACATTAATGGCGCGCGCTGAAGATAATGAGATATACACGACATCAAAAGCACATCCACGTTAACATGGACAGTAAGAAAATTCTACAGAATTTCTTCGACAAATCGAAAATTGACGAGTGTCTCAGTACAGAAAATTTCAGGAAAGAGGCTCCCGTCGATATTTCTGATAAAGTTCTTGCGGAACTACTAGATGCAGTTAGATCCCAACACGGAAAACATACAGAACTAATTGTGGAGAACATTACAAACGAGTTTGAGACAGATAAATCGGTATTAGTAAGATCGAAAGACTCTAAACTTGCTGGTATCGATCATTATTCCTTGTCAGAATTAGTGGAGAAACTAAATATCGCCAAAGATGAATGTTGCGTTCATGACAGCGTTCTAACAAAAAAGATTCTGAATCAGATTCAATCCTTAGAATCAAGGATTCAGGACCTTCAAAGTCTATTAGCAGAATCAGTGAAAGGGACCGATCCTCTGTCTATCAGTCCGAAATTTGTGAAATGTGCCAATTTGGTTGATGTCATCAAGGGGAGAAATGACTGATTTCCCGAGGGTTCTGGCAAGGTATTTCTCCAACCCATTTCCAGATATCGTACGTCCAATTCAAATCCCTTCTGTCACCAATGAAATATGAACTTTGAATCCCACCTTTTGGATGGTCGTACACATATATCAATTGGCGAATTCTGGAATGCACTAAGGCCATCGCACACATCGTGCAAGGCTCGTGTGTGGTATAAATCAAGAGATCACGGCATAAGTATCCCAAATCTGGCTCTTTTTCTACACTTCGTTTCCGCCTTTCATCCTCTGCGACCATGGAGATACCTTTCATAACGCTGTGTTCCAAAGGGTGTTTGTCCCGCGAATCATTTGCTGTGAAAAGGATCTGAATTTCTCCTGTTAGATCGTCTTTCCTCGCTATTATAGTAGTTATAGGTACCGTTGCGTTTTCTTTAACTGAGTTCAAGAGTGTAAAGATCATTTGTTTTTCTTGATTGATGTCAAATTTTGCTGTTATTAAATCCTGGTGATTTGGGTTACCTTTCCAGGATATTGGCCAATATTTCAGACTCCATATTTGTGCTCTCTCTTTGGATAGGGGAAGTGCGTGGGGAACGCTGATAGTATGAATACTCTCGTAGTTGATTTCATCGAAGGAATTCTCAGTTAAATATGCTAGAAGTGAATTCTTTGAGGGCAAAAACCTAGTAGAGCATATAACTGCTTCTATTTTAACGGGTCCAGAATTATCCCTTTTCCTCAATCGCTTAATGTGGTTGAGGTCAATAGGGTCCAATGTCCTGATGGTTTCTTCTATAAGTTTGAGAAAGGTTTTAGTTTGTGACGGGCCTATATCACATGCCCATACTTCTATTAGGGGAGGGTTATCTTGATCAGCATTAGTAAAGTTGGATTTTCGAATTTGTTTAAGGGATTTATAGATGGTATAGTTTGGAATGTCCACATCCGAAGAAACTTTCAATTTTACCATTGTGGTGGTATTCAATTTTTCACTGAAAGCGCGCTTTGTATCATTAATCAGAAACTACTTATTGGATGGACCGATACTCCAGCCTACTTGCGTTTGTAACTCAAGAGTTTCCTGACATAAACAAAGACGAGCTATTAGCAGATAATGAGTTTGATGAAAGAACGCAAAAGTTCGAGTGCTTCTTGAACAATACACTCATATGCAAAAAGAATGAAGTAACATCCAGTCGCGTACTATCGAGCATATGTAACAAAGCCGATATAACACATCAAAACTACTATGAATTTGTTGATAATTTGGTGTCCGAGGTACGGTCTCTTGATAGACTGGCTATATGCGGATTGTTTGATGTTTCTCTTTCTGGAAGTTTCACATCCAATCCCTTTTCAAACTTTCAAGTTCATGTGTTGAAAGATGAAAATTGGGCAAGATTATGTGAAAAGCTTGGCCGATTACGCTTTGCTTATCTTCTTATTTGTAGTTCTTGTTTTGTGTACCATGCAAAGACAAATACGTACATAAATCTCTACGGAACTCAAACGCATTTGAGAAAGAAAGCAAAGGAATTCATTTTCAAAACAAAGATGTTCTATAGGTGGAGATGGAACCACGACTCAGTGTGCTTACTACAAGGAACCCCACAACAGATTGGAAGTACAATTTTTGATATTGATTTCGAAAGAAAGAATAACCCCAAGAAATTCAAGCGGTTCTTGGATCTTCTACTAGTTGCTAAGAGGAATGAGGAGAAGATTGATTACCTGTATATTTTTGCTAATATTGTGAAAAAAAGGGTATCCCATGAATCAGTTTTTGACAATTCCTCGTCGTTCAAGGATGTCTTGCGCTTTACGTTTTCCGTCACCGACCTCATTTTTCCTAAAGCCATGTTTGGTTGCAAATATAACATGAATGTAATAAGGGAAAGAGTCCGTAAAACCTTACGAGCACAAAGACTAGAGGCAATTGAGCAGAGATCCCTAATGTTGCATCTAAAATTGAATACTATAACGTGGTTGGGGAAGAAGAGAACTATAGATTCTATCCAAGATAAAAAAAGCAGGGAGGAAATGTTATCTAAGTTCCTAAAATGGTACTTCAATTCATTCCTTGTACTATTAATCAAGAGCTTCTGGTATGTGACTGATGTTATTAGTGACTCGACTCAAAGTGGGTTAGCGTGTGCCTTGTTTCCACACAGAACATGGAACAGACTTAGTGGCGAGTGGTTGAATAGCTACATTTCCAGATATCTACACGAAGTGAGTGGTCAAGACCACTCTAAATATAACCATGGTATCTTGAGGTTGATTCCAAAAAAGAACGATTTTCGCCCTCTTTGTACGCCATGGCAATCAAGAACTAGTCTGGAAAATGAACGCCAAGCATATGATCGCGATATTATACGGCCAGTAAGAGATATATTGAGAGAGCAACAAAAGAAGATTGATGCGAATAAGGCCTTCCGTTGTTTTTCTGTTAGAGATATATGCCGTCATATATCAGAATTTAAGCGTACGCTTTCAGAGTTACATGATGGGCATATTCCACCGTTGTTTGGAATAAAATTTGACATGAAACACTGTTATGACAATTTGAATCAAGCGAAGATCATTGAGTGTATTGAGAACCTCTTCAGTGCTGAAGAAGAACAAGAAATTTACTACGTTCGAACCTACTCGTGTAATTCAGAAGCTTCAACTTACGGAAAATCATTTCGAACCATTTCTAAAAGGAGGGGAATTTCCAATTTCAACCTCTTTGAAAATGCCCCAAATTCTTTTGGAGGTCGGAATCTTTTCAAAGACCAATGCAGAACGACATGCTTCACTAAGAGTGAGATTTTAGATATTGTTAAAGACCAAGTTCTCAATTCTACGATTGAGATACCTCAACGAAGAAATAAAATTTTCACGAGGAAGGAAGGAGTGTTTCAAGGACTCCCTTTACTGGCTACCTTTTGTGAAATAGTTTACAATCACTTAGTGGATCATGTTTTTTTTCCTTCTCCGACGCAAGAATCTGTTCTATTGCGTTTAGCTGACGACTTCTTGTTTTTGTCTACCAAAATCGCGGAATGTGAACATGTTTTATCATTAGCTACCTCGAAAGCTTCATCAGAATACGGCGCGTATGTTAATCAAGAGAAATGTTGCGCAATCGGTGGAGATGCCCACATAGTTAATTTCGTGGGATTAGAAATCGACATTAAATCGTTAAGCTACAGAAGGAAAACATTAGTTGCCCTTAAACTTCCTACGAACACTTCAAGATCACTAAAGGCAATACTCGCGTATCTTGAATGGAGCTTCAACGCAAGACTAAGTGACCATTTGTTAGACACCTACATGGTCCCAAAACATGCCATTATAGACAACGTGAGAGATGTTTTGGAACCTGTCTTAACAGGAGCGCAAAAATATTTGCCACGTAACATTAAAGAATTGAAAGACGAGATCCGAAGGTTTGAAGTTTTCATTACCTCAATTGTGCGAAGAATCATTTTTAAAGTGCGGGAGCAAAATGACGATCATGAACTTGTTACGTTAGTGTGCAGCATGTGTGCTCAAGTCATAGGTGAAAAATTGACTGCTATAAACACAACTTCTATACTCGAAGACTTAATGTCAAGCTTAAATGATACCAAATGAGCTCTTTAAATTCTCTGAATCCTTTTGCTGGCGCAACTTCTCGATTTCTTCGATACCCACTGAATGCTTGAGACGCTTCTCTTCCACAAATTCACCAAGCTCTTCTTGGAATTCTGTCAACGACGCAAGCTCCCTTTCTTTTTGCCTTAGTTTCTCTGCTTTGGCAATCGCCTCCAAACGGCTTTCGTGGTTTGGTACAAGGGTTGCAACTTCATTAAGCACTGCATCCTTTATGTTGTGCATACTTTCACCAGGCTCTATGAGGCATAGTTTTGATGTGAATTTGTTTCTCTTCAAAAGTGGATTCTTATTCTGTTCCACTGAACATTTTTCAATCAACTCGAATGTCTCCTCTATCTTTTTAATATCTTCAATCAAGTCTATCGTTAAGTCATCTTGCAAATTGAAAAATTGTTGCTCCTCGCAAACTTTGTCTAGTTCGGACTCCCAGATTTTTTTCCATGTAGGTTTACCGTCACTGATAAAGTCTGCTAAAACCTTTAAGGATGATTTCGCATCATCGATTTCTTTTCGCGTGCTCTTTAGTTGTTGTGGACCTATCCTCACTCCACGCTGAGCAACATCTTTACGTAACGCTTCCATCATATCTTGCAAATCATCCACTTTGGTGAGCAAATTATCTGACTCATCTGAAAGTTTAGCGTAGCTATGTTGCATGTAAGTTCTATTTGAGTTTGAGCCGCTTTCTGCAAAAGTTAAATCCTTAAGTACAGATAATTCAGCTGTCAAGTCCTCGATAGATTTTGCGACAAAACTTTTTCGATGATGTTGAACACTCTTGATAGCTTTGATCTCATTGAAGACTTCACGAAGGTCATTCGAGAGGGTAAGATATTTGCTTTTGAAATCTGCAGTTTCACTTCCATTGGTCTCCTTTGCAGGAGCATTGTTCATTTGAAACTTGATGGAATCAACTGATTCTTTGATGTCATTAACGAAATTCAGAATGACATTATCAAGATGTGAACCAAAGCTGTCAACTTTCTCCTGAAGACCTTTCAAGGATTCTTTCTCTTTATCGATTGATTTGAGAACCAAGAGTACTCCTTCTTTAACTTCCTGGTCCAAAGCGCTTTCCTCAAGTTCATATGTGATATTATGCTCATTATCCAAGATGTAGATATCCGGAAAAGCTGCCGTACCGGGAGAATAAGCGAATTTCTCGACGAACAATAATCGTATGGATGCCACAGTTACAGGTAAAGGTAAATCAACTTTCTTAGTCCTATCCCCTATCCTCAAAAATACTTTAATGCTCGATGGGGCATCAGTTTGAACCTCTTCAGTGTTGACTTTCTCGCCAGGTATAGTCAGCTTAGGTGGATCGGAAAGGGCAGACTCTGAGGAGAGACGAGGTAATTGGTTGGTGGAATAGTTCGCAAGCTTGGCGAATTGATATGCACTAAAACGTTTTGAGGCCCTTCTCAGAACGGCATTGCCTTTTTGAAGCTGTGCCAATGCCGCACTTGACGCGACAGATGATGTTCTCTCCTCATTTGTCGGCTGATTATCCAGTAAAACTTCTTTTGCACTGTACCTTTGAGAATCTGAGTCTCGCAGAGCATGATGCCCCTTTATATTCAAATTAACGTCAAGTTTTGGTGATGCTTCATTAAGTGATCTTGACAGAATACTCGAGTGCCTTGAACCGTGCTCCGATAGTTCTTTGGCCTTTGCCTGTTTTGCTTTGAGGGTCAGAAGCAAATTAACAATAATGTTTCTTACATTTGGTAAAAACTTGTCTAAGCTTTCTTGGGTTGGAACTTCACTTAAAGCAGATTCAAGAACAATGCGTAATGCCTTTGGGACATCGCCTAAATCTGAAATGTCAACACCGGCATTATTGAATGCTCTGGCAGCTGCTCGAAAGTCATTTCCTAGCTTCACATAAGCATCAGAGACGAATTTGTCGTCTGCTTCCTGCCTTGCCCATTGTGTAAGGCTTTCTAAAAGATGCTTAGTGGACACAAGTAGCCTTGTGACACTACTTTCGATTGTGCTCATGGAAGGACTTTTGGAGCCACTATTTCTCAGAGGCTGATGCCCTGAAGACGAGTGAGAAGACATGATTCAGATTAAGGAAAAAAACTTTTGCCTGCCCGTTCGGAAAAGGCCCAAATTAAGGTACGATGTTTCTCATGGATCAAATCAATATTGTATTATTACATACAGGAAAATCATGCAGTTTGTTGACAAAGCTGTGTATTACACGCGATTTCAATCAGGAAAACCATTTCTTGACAACGCCGACATCTGAGAAATTCTGCAACAACGATACAGCAGTCTGTTGTGGCATGTTAGATAAGAGCGCTCTAGTTGCAGCAACTGTCTTTTCAGCAACAGGGCCAGAGATTGACTTACTTGAGAGAGCTTGTAAAACTGACTCCACAACTTTTGGGGCTTGTTCGGTAACTGCAGCATGATTGCCTTGTATCAAGTCACTAAGGAAGTCGTATGAAGACATCGCAGCTTCACTGTCTTGAACAATAGGTAATAAGTTCACCCACTGGCGAAGAACCGTGTCCAAGTTGGGGCTTGAGGAACCGCAATTTCTGCAAATTTTTGCAATAGCTGCTGTGCAATTTTCTGTAGCACTGATATTTTCTTCTGCTCTGGCATCAGGGAATGTAGCAACTTCAAAAAGTGTAGGCAATGTGTTCATGCACAACTGAGCATACACTGAACCACCATGCTCCGCAGCCATGCCTATCGCGTAAGCCGCAGGTTGGCGAATATTAGCTTGAGGAGCAGTCAAACATTCTGAGATGATGTAATTGAGGTACTCCGTTTGATCAAATGCCGAACCGCAATACTCTAAGACATCACAAATGATGCATAGACCACAGAATTTGACGTTTGTGTTTTCATCAGCCATAAAGGTAGATGCAAGAGGCAAAATTTGTGTCTGAAACTGAGGCAAGAAGTTGCTCTTGACGCTCTTGAAGATAGCGGAAATAACCTTGTTGATCTCGTCGAGAAGCTCTTCGTCTGTGTACTCTTCCTCACTCTCATCGACATCCTCCTTGTACTCATCATCCTCATTATCTCTTTGTTTGATACGTTCATAAATTTCTGTCAAGTTCACATTGATAGAAGCAGCGAGGGCCAGCAATTGCTCAGGAGACAACGCATTTGGTCCCAATGCAGTTAGACACTCAACTATAGAAGTGTAGTAAGCAACTAGAAGCTCCGGCACCGGCTCGTTAGTCAACACTTCAACCAATTTATTACAAATCTGAGACCAAATAGTCAATGTTTCGGCTGAGCTGCTAGACGTGGCATAAATGGTGCTCTTCAACAATGCTGCAAGAGTCAATGCTGCAGAGGCACGAACACCATCATGCAAATAAAAGTCAAGAGCAGGAATGGCAATGTCTTGAACAGTCTCCTTCACCCAAGGAAGGAACAGGCCCTTCAACTGTGTCGCGTAAATTCTCAACAAATCCATCGCCGAGACCTTATCATCCAAAGCTGCAGTGTGCACGGCAATGAGTTTCCCTGACAAGTTAATAACGTCCCACTCATCGTTATTACTATACTCTTCTGCCTCGTCTTCTTCCAACAAAGAAATGTCTTGAGCAGCCTTTGCCGCGGTCAACAATGGAGGTAAAACTGCTGGCAAGAATGGAACAAAGTCATCACCAATGATCTTGCAAATTCTGCCCCAACCTTGCTCCAAATAGGGTTTGACAGGGTCATCAATTTCCACAACAGTTTCTTGAATCTTTCCAAGAATTTGGATCAATTCCTGACTATGAGGAGCAAAGTTGTCTTTTCCGACCGCCAACGCAATCAAAGTAGCACATTCAATGCATTTTGCTGTCAACAACCTGTTTTCAGGACCCATGTCAGTCTTCAAAAATCCAATCAACATAGGAAGTAACGTATTGTGATACTTAATGAACTTTTGTTCGGCGGCATCAGCAATTATTGCAATAGTGGTGAGAACTTGTTCTTGTACGTACCTCTTTGGAGATTGCAATAAGCCCAAAAGGTTATTCAACAAGCTGTCCAAATAAGGTTCCAAAATTTCTTTCGAGGCAGCTTCCGAGAAGTTGACCAATGCAGCAGCTGCATGTGCTTGCACACGAGGAACAGATTTGGAAGTGAGCTTAGAAATCAATGCCGGCAAAATTCTGTCACCAGCAATTTTTTGAATAATATCAGCAAAGTCGGTAGACATTTGACCTAAGGCATTGCAACACGCATATTGAACTCTCGCATGTGGATGATCTAAAGTAGGCAAGATCATGTCCAATAATTTTGGAATTTCTGTGATTAAAACGTCAACACAACCTTCGGCAGCTGATGATAAGGCCATCAATGCTGCAAAACATTCACGCCAATTAGAAGATTGAATCATGCCAGGAAGATACTGGAACAATGGTGCAGCAAGTGCCTGCCCACCTAACTTCAAAGAAACCCTATCCAAAGATTGCCTGGCCGCATCATACTCTGGTTCTGCATCATCATCCTCGGTGCTGTCTTCGTTATTCCATTCAGCCGCATCATCGTCATCTTGACCCACTTCCGTCAACATAGATAAGTTCACTAACACCATAGTGGAAGTATAGTTAGGAGCCTGTTTGCACATAGCTGGAGAAACCTCAGAAAATGTGGTCAAAAGCTCCAATGCACCCAACCTTGTCTCAGATGCCAAATCCGTGTTCTTTGCAACCGTAGAGCAAAATTCGATGATTGTAGGGAACATTTCCTTAAACATTTTAGGAGCCAAATCAACAAGGTCAATCAAAGATTCCAAAACATTCGCAAGGGCTTGATCTTGGCCATTTTGCAAAAACATAGGCAACGAGTTCAACAAATTAGGCAACAAAGGAGTCATAGTTTGCCATATCCGTTTGGGAAGTTCTCTGAAGAAGGAAACAAATGCTGTACAGGCGGCAATCCGAACATCATCATCAGCATCAGCGAAACCACTATTGAAAATAGGTAAGATCTCATTGATATACTCTTTTTCGATAATATCAGGCGAGGCTGAAAGAATACGGAAAGCAGACTCACGGAAGCTAGCATCCGGGTTGTGTGCTGCTTGCAATATAGCAGGAACGAGATCAGGCCATGTTCCTTTAGGGGAGCTGTCTTCCTTAGCAACCTCAGAGATTGCATCCGCAAGTTTTCTTCTCACTTGGCTAGGCTGTTCAGAGGCAAACCCCTGAAGTAAGATTGTCCTGATAGGTTGTCTGAGTGACTCGTCCAAAACACCGATCGTTCTATCAGAGATGCTACTCAACTCCTTTGGAGATCTTATAGCGACTCGTCTGAATAAGACCGCAGAAAAAGACTTTGTCATTTCGTCACCACCGCCAACGGCGGTTTGGGCAAGAAAAAGCAATAATGTACCGACATTATCCTTTGTTCTCCACTCAGAATCAAGCGACTTCTCAGCGGCAGATCTCACAGAATTGTCAGCCGACTTTAATGCTTCAAGCAAATGGTTCAACGTCGTAGCAACGTCCGACGGGATCGACATTTCAGTATAGAAAACTCCCAAAGTCCTTAGGTATGAGCAACCTCAGCAAAATTTGACTCTTGGAGACTGGAACCGCTGACTGAGTCAAAAGTGTTACGAGTATTAAGAGAGATCTAAAACGGTGGTGAGGGTACATCGAAAAAAAAAAAGCCACCTGCACAAAAGCTCATTATTAACTTTGTACTGTTAGATTACATCCCAAAACACATTAGAATTCCTAAATCCGTAGTTCATTAATATACAATATGCTACATAGCCTATACGCGCTACTTCTTGAGAATGGTGATGACGTCTTCGTCCTGCAACACATGACTCAAACCGACAATTTGAGGTTGATGCTTAACCGAAGTACCATACACAACTGCATTTCTGAAATCTTCAACTAAAGATTTGTGGATGGAGTTACAAAAATCCTCCACCGTGCAGCGGTCACTGCGCAAAACAACTGGTTCATTAAAGTCTGGCAATTTTCCCTTAGGTTTTGTGTAAACTCTTACCAATTTCAAGCGCAGCCACATCATGTCCAAAAGGTCATCCAAATTCCAGCCATTACCGGATGAAATTGGAATGGCGTTAGGAATTTTGTACAACAAGTCAAGCTCTTGAATGGAGAATGAGTCGATTTTGTTGAGCACGTAGATGGCAGGAATGTATCTTCTGGACTTCGCTTCAATCGCATCAATCAAGTCATCAACAGTAGCGTCACATCTAAAGGCAATGTTGGCAGAGTTGATCTTGTATTCGGACATGACAGCTCGAATTTCATCGTTGTCCAAGTGAGTCAAGGGAGAGGTAGTAGTGATGTTGATTCCTCCTCTCTCCTTTTTGTTAATGACAATGTTGGGAGGCTCTTTATTAATTCTGATACCAACACCTTCCAACTCCTTTTCGATAATTTGCTTATGTTGCAAAGGTTTGTTGACGTCGAGAACCAAGAACAATAAGTTTACCGATCTTGCAACAGCGATGACCTGCTTACCTCTACCTTTACCATCCTTGGCACCTTCAATAATACCTGGAAGATCCAACATTTGAATCTTAGCACCCTTGTATTTGATAACACCTGGGACTGTGGTTAAGGTGGTAAATTCATATGCAGCAGCCTCGGAGTGGGTTCCAGTTAGCTTAGACAAAAGAGTGGACTTACCCACAGAAGGAAAACCGACGAATCCTATCGTGGCCACACCTGTTCTAGCAACATCGAAACCAGCTCCTCCACCACCTCCACCTGAAGCTCCATCAGTCAAAAGTTCTCTTCTCAATTTAGCCAACTTCGCCTTAAGTTGACCCAAATGAAAAGAGGTAGCCTTGTTTTTCTGTGTCTTGGCCATCTCATCCTCGATGGCCTTAATTTTTTCAACTGTTGTCATCTTGGCAGTATTGAGGAAGTTAATGGATGTACATTTGCTCAGTAAATTTTTCATGCCAGATCGCAATCCGGCACATAGTGGAAATGCAAAATCTTTCTTCTAAACTTTCGATGGCAAAAACGATAAAAGCCGCCTGAATTAAATGGAGTAGTAAAATAGAGGGCGGCAGTATCAAACACTTATCCAATGTCATCTCTTCTGATCAAAATATACCGCTAATGCCTCTACTGTTAACTAAATTTTGTAGTGCGAAACACAACCTTGAAAAAACTTCTTACTACATCACTGCGCTACGCTTACTTCTGAAACAACTTAAACATGGCTAAGAAATCTAAGAAGGGAGCCAAATCTGGCGGAGATTTCTGGGACGAAGAGGAGAACTACGAGCAACCAGCTGCTGAGGAATTCGGTGAGGCTGTTCCAGAATCTACCACAGAGGCTACCTCTGCCGAAGGCGATGAATCTGCGGAGCCGCAAGAAGTTGACTTTTTGAACTCTATTATAAGCTCAAAAAAGAAGAAAGAGGAAAAAGAGAAGGAGGAGAAGGAAAAGAAGGACGGTCCAAAGTTGTTGAGTAAAAAAGAGAAAGAAAAGTTGAAGAAAGAAGCTGAAAAGAAGGCCAAGAAGGAAGCCGCCAACAAGAAGAAAGCTGAACAAGCTGCCAAAAAGGAGCAGATCAAAGAAGCAAACAAGCAGAATGCTGCCTTGAATGCTGAGAAGAAGGCTGCATCCACGTCTGCCACTCCAGAACCAGAGGAAACGAAAAAGACTACCAAGAAAGCCGGTAAGAAGGCCCCAGCCGGTCTTCAAGCTTTGAAACGTCAATTGGAGTTGAAAAAGCAGATGGAAGAGGAGCAGCGTCGTCTTGAAGAAGAGGAAGAGCAACGTCGTCTCGACGAAGAGAAGGCTATTGCTGAACAGGCTGCTCAAGAAGAAGCTGCTAGAGAGGCCAGAAGAGAAAAGGATAAATTGAAAAAGGAAAGATTGAAGGCTGAAGGTAAATTGTTGTCTAAAAAGCAAAGGGAAGAGAAACGGTTGCAGGAACGTCGCCGTGAATTGCTCTTGCAAGCAGACAATGTGCATGTTGTTGGTTTGGAAAAGAAGAAAGACGGCAACACTGGAGATAAGCCTAAGCGAGTTGTGTACGGCAAAAAGAAGTTCGACAAGCCAAAATCTTCCAAGCAGAAGTTCACTCAACAAACGGCTGACACCCCATCCAAAAAGGAAGAGGAGGACGTTGTTGAAGACTGGGAGCAAATGCTTGAAGAAGATGTCGCTGAAGACTGGGAGACCGCTTTGAACGAAGATGCCGAACCAGAAGAGAAGGAGGAGGAAGTTGCCCAAAACGGAGATGACGATGAAGAAGTGGCCGAAGAAGAAGACGAGGAGGATGCGAAGGCCGCAGAAGAGGCTGCTGCTGCCGCCGCCGCCGCTGCCGCTGCTGCCGAAAAGGCCCGCAAGGAAGCTGAGGCCAAGAGATTGGCAGAGGCTCAGGCAAAGGCCTCTGCTGCTGCAGAGGCACAGAAGAAATCGTCTACTCCTAGCGACAAGGACTTGAGATCCCCTATCTGCTGTATTTTGGGTCACGTCGATACTGGTAAAACAAAGTTGTTGGACAAGATTCGTCAAACAAATGTTCAAGGTGGCGAAGCTGGTGGTATTACTCAACAAATTGGTGCTACTTACTTCCCCGTTGATGCTATCAAGAAAAAGACAGAAGTTATGGCTCAGTACGAGAAACAGACTTTCGATGTGCCAGGTCTTTTGATCATCGACACACCAGGTCACGAGTCTTTCACCAACTTGAGATCTCGTGGTTCCTCTTTGTGTAACATTGCCATTTTGGTTATTGATATTATGCATGGTTTGGAACAGCAAACACTTGAGTCTATCAGATTGTTGAGAGACAGAAAGGCGCCTTTCATCGTGGCATTGAACAAGATCGACAGATTGTATGACTGGAAGGAAATCCCTAATAACTCGTTCCGTGACTCGTTTGCCAGACAAGCCAAGTCTGTTCAAAATGAGTTTTTCACCAGGTTCGAACAGATTAAGCTTGCTTTGGCAGAACAAGGTTTGAACTCTGAGTTGTATTTCCAAAACAAGAACATGTCTAAGTACGTCTCCATTGTTCCTACCTCTGCTGTCACAGGTGAAGGTGTTCCAGATTTGTTGTGGTTGTTGCTTGAATTGACCCAAAAGAGAATGTCTAAGCAGTTGATGTACTTGTCCAAGGTCGAGGCCACTATTTTGGAAGTTAAGGTTGTTGAAGGTTTCGGTTACACTATTGATGTCGTTTTGTCCAACGGTATCTTGAGAGAGGGTGACAGGGTTGTACTCTGTGGCTTGAATGGACCTATCGCAACGAATATCAGAGCCCTTCTCACACCACCACCATCTCGTGAATTGAGAATCAAGTCTGAATACATTCACCACAAGGAGGTTAAGGCAGCTTTGGGTGTCAAGATTGCTGCGAACGATTTGGAGAAAGCAGTTGCTGGTTCTCGTTTGCTTGTGGTGGGTGAGGATGATGATGAAGACGAACTTATGGAGGAAGTCATGGACGACTTGACTGGTTTGTTGGACTCGGTTGACACATCTGGTAAGGGTGTGGTTGTTCAAGCATCCACCTTGGGTTCTTTGGAAGCATTGTTGGATTTCTTGAAAGACATGAAGATTCCAGTTATGTCCATTGGCTTGGGTCCTGTCTACAAGAGAGATGTCATGAAAGCCACCACCATGTTAGAGAAGGCGCCGGAGTTGGCAGTTATGTTGTGTTTCGATGTCAAAGTTGACAAAGAAGCTGAACAATATGCTGAAGAACAGAAGATTAAGATTTTCAACGCAGACATCATTTACCACTTGTTCGATGCCTTCACTGCGTACCAGAGCAAATTGCTTGAGGTTCGTCGTAAGGAGTTCATGGAGTACGCTGTTATGCCATGTGTCTTGAAAACTCTTCAGATTATTAACAAGCGTAACCCAATGATTATTGGTGTTGATGTTGTGGAAGGTGCTGTTCGTATCGGTACTCCTATTTGTGCTGTTCGCAGAGACCCAGCCACAAACACTCCAAACATTCTTGTGTTGGGTAAGGTTTCTTCTTTAGAGGTGAACCACAAGTCTGTTGATTCCGTCAAGAAGGGTCAAACCGCTGCTGGTGTTGCCATGAGATTGGAAAACCCATCTGCCGCTCAACCTACATGGGGCCGTCATGTCGACGAGTCGGACAACTTGTACTCTTTGATTTCGAGAAGATCGATCGATACATTGAAAGACCCTGCATTCCGTGACTCTGTTTCCAGGGACGACTGGCTTTTGATCAAGAAGTTGAAGCCTGTCTTCGACATCAAGTGATCACCATAGTAAATACTGCAACGCATAAGGATTCTATAATGAGACAGGCTTTTGTAATGGTTTCTTTCTAGGTGTAGTACGTCAAACTACTTCACGGAAGCATGTTTGTAAATGCATATGTCGCCACCAGTAAATTGTTCAAAAATGACAACTGTGATTTTAAATACTTTGTAAAATACGTCAAAAAAAAAAAAAATTGAAACAAGACTTCCATAAAGATTAGTGTACAAGCTTATGGTACTGGCGTGCGCTATCACAGAATTTCAAAGTGCGCGCAGCCTTCCCAATTGGGAACTCAATGTTGGCCAATGAAAAAAGAAGTAAAAAGATTCATTCTCAAGCAGACAACGCTTGTAATAATCGAAGCTAATTCTAAGAATCCACAGAAATGCAAGATTTGCCACCTATTGGAGGGTACGAACCAGTGCAATGGAAAAGAAATCTTCCATCTAGAGGATTCAGACCATTGATTTACTTCTGGGGAATTTCTGGTATCATCAGTTTTGGTTTTTACAAGTTCTACCAAGGAGTCGATGAACAAAGAGAGCTCTTAAGAGAGAGACAGTGGGCACGCTTCTATCTCGAACCATTGTTGAGAGCCGAGGAAGACAGACATCTCGCCAGAAGATACTTCTCTGAGATGAAGAGACAAGAGATGGTTGCCGAGTCCATGTCTCCAGAAACCAGAAGCAAGTTTGAGGAGCCAATCTACAACGACAAGTCGAAGCTCCGTTTCCCCAAGTACACTGCTGGTGTTGACCCAAGCCAGCAATAGACGAGTATGGGGTGTTTGTGAATTTGCGGAGAAGCTCGAAGTTGCGCATACGCCATTCCTCAGAAGCACATCTAACTGCTAGGCCTTTCCTCTACGCCTAATTGTTGATGACCTTCCACCATCGGGATTCTGTTGAGGCGCTGTTGGCAGAGTACTTTCGCCCGCATAACATCTAGGTGCATAGCACAACCTATTCAGAGCGCTGGGAGTAAATATCTCACATATATAATTGCATTTTCTTAAGTCTGTCTCAAACAACCTTGTTCATATCGCCTGGTTTAGTTTCTTTTCCTCTCCATTTCGTTTCCTTTGGCTACTCACTGAAACTGTATGCTATTCAGCCAAACGCATATCGGAACTGTACACACCCCACCCACAATCCCAATACACTAGAGTTTCTTGCTACCAATAACTTGAACGGGAGACATGTCGAGCAAGATTACAGACAAGACGCAGGCACAAAGTGTCATTGACAACTACGAATATTTTATCTTCGATTGCGACGGAGTGATTTGGTTGGGAGATCACTTATTACCATCTGTCGTGGAGACGCTCAACCTCTTGAAAGAAAAGAAGAAGAAGGTTATTTTTGTCACCAACAACTCGACCAAGTCCAGAAATGATTACCTTTCAAAGTTCAAGAAGCTTGGTATCAACGGTATTGTCAAGGATGAAGTTTTCGGCTCATCTTATGCTTCTGCTGTTTATGTGGACAAGATTTTGAAGCTTCCAAAAGACAAGAAAGTTTGGGTCCTAGGTGAATCGGGCATTGAGCAAGAGCTACACGAACTAGGATACCAAACTGTGGGAGGCTCGGATCCTGCCTTGGTTTCCGAGGGTAATGTGTTTGACCCAGAACACAAGATGTTGAACGAATTAGACGATTCTGTTGGATGTGTGATTGCGGGATTGACCATGAACATCAACTACTTGAAACTCTCTGTGACCATGCAATATTTGCTCAAGGACAACAAGAGCATTCCATTCATTGCAACGAACATCGACTCTACGTTTCCTCTGAAGGGGAAGTTTTTGATCGGCGCAGGATCCATTATCGCCACAGTTGCCACTGCGAGCGGCAGAGAACCGGATGCCATCTGTGGTAAGCCCAACCAGTCAATGATGAACACCATCAAAGTGGACAATCCTGCATTGGCAGAGAATCCAAAGAAGGGGTTGATGATTGGTGATAGACTCAACACCGATATGAAGTTTGGACGCGACGGCGGTTTGGACACCTTGTTAGTGCTCACCGGAGTGGAGACAGAAGATGGTGTTAAGCAATTGAGCGCAGATGAAGCACCTACGTATTACGCCGACAAGCTTGGCGACTTGTTTGAACTTACCCACTGATCCCGCAAAACAACATAAGTGTATAGAACGTCTCTAGTAGACATTTTTATAGAAGGCAATCTAATTACCGAATATGATAATATTCAGCCCTTACGCGAGAATACTTCTGATAAAACACACCACAAATTGATCTATACAAAGTCACTCTTTCGATTTATTCGGACTCCACAGATCACCAGAGAAAAATGGACTGCATGGAACTCCTGCGTTTGTGTCGTTGATGGTATTAAATGTCCTATTAAGCAAGCATTCACTTTCACTTCTGTGGATTTTACGCCTCCAATTCGTTTCCGTAACTTGATAGAACAACGAGAGGTGTAATTTTAGCCCTGTTGCAAAGCCAATTAGGCATACGACGTGATCTTTCCATATGATGTCATTCTTTCCCGCACCTCGCTTCACGTGATGTGTGATGTAAGGTCTGCGTTGTCAACGCAGGAGACTACGCCGATCAATTTGTAAGGAGAATTTACCACATCCTCAATCTGCCTCATTGATTTCCGCTGGTCGCTGCACTGATTGGAAAACGAACAGGCTTGTCTTTAAGAAACTTTCTAGATCATTAATAAGGGAAAGTCTTGGCCATTACAAACGTGTCCGGTCAAACAGTCTAGATTCCGCTCTGAATCCCAAACACCGAGCAATAATCAGCAAGTTCAAATTCTTTACCGACCAATTCATTTGAGGAAACACTCAGTTCCCTCGTATCCCCCCTTTTTCCCCCAACAATAGTGCCTATAAAATGAGCGAAGAAAAGATGCAGAAGTTACAGGAAACAGGGTTGATAGAATGGCCTGTATTTTCCGAATTGGTGGCCATGGACGAAGATGAAGAAGGCTTCTCCAAGGGCTTGTTTCAGACTTTTGTTGACCAATTCCAAGAGACCTTCACCGAGATTGACGAAAACGTCAAGTCCAAAAATCTAGAAAAATTGTCCTCGTTGGGCCATTACTTGAAAGGCTCTGCTGCCGCATTGGGGTTATCGACCATCTCAGAACAATGCGAGAGAATCCAAAACTACGGCCACAAGAATAACTTTGATAACGCAGGTACGTCGAGCGAGAAAGATGATACGAAGCAGCCGGACTCGTTCTGGATTTCGCTAATCGAAGATGCTATGGAGAAGGCAAAGGACGGGTTCCAAAAATCGAAGGAGGCCCTTAGTGACTACTTTGATGACGAATTATGATACTGCGCTGCATAACACCGGTTCATTATTCAAAGTGGCATGTTCTGACAGCTTAAATAGGACTAAGTGTTCGACATCCCACCTGTTCAGTACATTGCGCCTAGATTGTATGAATAAACAGTGTAAATGCTTCGAAATGACAGTAAAAGGAGATTATACAACACAAGATAAATCGTCAACTTTAAAATTATTATATTTCATGAGCCAGTCTATTTAGTAATTATTGTTGGATCATCACTTTTTTCTCCGAAGAACGCAGAAATCCATGTACTCGACAGAGTTTGGTACAACGGTTCTTAACAGCTCAGGAATATACAACAACCTTCCTAATCCGTGGTGGCTACCTGCTGGGTTGATGATTTTTTGACAATCAAGAACATCCCAAGCATTGTCAGCTATGATCTCACCATTCTCCATAGAAACAATTTGCTTTTCTCCTTTCGTGGTGTCAACAGGAGCAGTATTATCAATAAAATAATCACATGTACTGAAATGTACAAGCTTTTCAGGGGAAAAGATATTTTTTGAGTTCATGCCCAGCGGAAAAGCTGAAGCAGCCTCTCGTAAGGTCATATCTTCTGGAAAATCTCCAGGCAATAAGCCATCAAAACCACTAGAGACAAATCGTAACCTATAATTGTCTGGCAAAAAGAACGATGTTGGGAAATGATACCATTCCCGTCCGATACACACATTCTGAATTTCTGTGGTGTCGTTTAAAATCGATTCGTTGAAGAAAACAGCAGACGCTTTGAGCGGAGCACTATAGTTCTCAACCAAATTAACTGTTCTAAGTAAAGAAACAACAGCAATTAAGACCATCAGCGAGAACAGTATGAATCTAACAAGCCATTTGCTCTTGAGAAGCACCTGGGCATTTCCGAATACAGTTGATGCAAATATCGAGCCGGATAAGGATATCAATGGGTAAATTGGGTATAAAAATCTCTCTTCCTTGTGAGGTTGAGAAAAGAAAATGAAACTCCACACAAACAAGGGGAGAGACACACCCAAAGCCGCTTTGAGTTGGTTCTTTGACAATAAGGGGTTCAACGCGGCACCAAGATAACCAGCGACGGAAATGACATTGAAATTCAAAAAGAGATTCTTAGCATAGTAAGAAAATGGTTCTACTCCAAATATCTCGGGGCCCTCGCCCTCGCCTGCAAACACATTGTACAAGACGATATTCATTGGAACAAAAAGCATTTTGCGGGAGTAAAAGAACGAGTCCAATGTCATTAAGACACCACATAATGCAAATGCAAATATGGAGCAATAGATGACGATACGAACAAGTGGAGGCGACTGGAACCTCAACAGAGCAGTGAACATGCCAAAAGGAACGCCCAACGCCAAAGCGAACGGCCAGCCCACAAGACCAGCAATTAGGAAACATGCAATGGCGTAAACGCTGGGCCAAACACACGTGAGAGTATTCTCCAAGGTGACAGCGTCTAAAGCATGAGAAATACCCCATGCAACCCAGTTCATGGCAAATGAAGAGGGCAACAAAGCAACGCCGGCATGGGACATACCGGTAGAAACAGTGGAGAAGAGAAGAAACCAGTTTGCAGTATGTGAGCCAAAGTTTCTTTTGGCGCTTTTAAACAAGCGAAACTCAGTGAAGGACGTGAAACCACACAACAACACGACACGGATATAATAAAAAAATGCACAAGCAGGCAATTGGGCGCCTGTCAAATGGATATAGTCACGTAAAGGGAAAGTTAAAATGTAGTAAGGAATCAAAAAAGCATAAGACCTGATAGCGTAAGCAGGAGAGTACTCCCATGTTTGCTTTCCGAATCCTCTGAAGATGAGATTAAGCGGTTCCCAATAGTTGAATGTTTCATCACAATCCGAGATAATCATGTAGAGCCCACAATATACCCTGACTGCGATATTGAGAGCTAAAAGCAAGGTCCCCAAAAATTGCAGTCCTAGACTTTCTCCTTGCAATGTTGAAGGTTCGGAGTCTTTAGCCGAAGTAGGCTTTTCTCCTTTGGTCACATCTTTGGAAGACATGATACACAAGGAAGAAATGCTGGAGGAGGAAATATTTCTTGGAATTGGAAAATCGTTCCGCGTGCGTAATTTACAAGCCTGTATTCTTGGCTTAATTTATGGAAAAGAGGGAAAACGTTGAACAGAGATTTGAAAAAAAAAGGGGGACATAAATTATATAATCCAAATTAGAATATAAGCAGAATCTGCAAATTTACTGGTCCATAGCCGATCAAGACCACATTTCCTCTAATTTCATGGTGTGCGTATAGCCTATACTTAACCTGTTCACAGGTGTTAGACGTTGTTTGCATGCTTTGCACGAAAATCTACAGTCGGCGAAATACCGCTATTATTGTAACTCGAGCACGTTACCCCGATGATCAATACTCAATATCTACTTTATCATGAATTATCTCTAAAAGGAAGTCGTAACTAAGGAATGTTCCGATTACAATCGGAAGGTTGAAAAAACTATGGCTTGACCAACATGGACTCACGAGCAGGGCCAACGCCGACCCATTTCACTGGAACATTCAAGAAGTTCTCAATGAAGTCCAAGTACTTCTTGGCGTTCTCAGGCAAGTCCTCGTACTTTGTGATTTTGGAAATGTCTTGCTCCCAACCAGGCAAAGTAACGTACTCCACATCGACCTTGCCCAACTTGACCAAGTCATCTGGGAACGAGTCCAATTTTTGGCCCTTGTAGTGGTACGCCACAGCAACCTTAATCTCTTTGAAGGAGTCTAAAACGTCCAACTTGGTGATGTTCAAGTGAGTGTAGCCGTTGATGTTGTTCGAGTATTGCAACACAACCAAGTCCAACCAGCCACAACGTCTCTTTCTACCAGTAGTAACACCGTACTCAGCGCCGACATTCTGCAAGGTTTCGCCCACCTCGTTCAATTGCTCAGTTGGGAAAGGACCTTCGCCGACTCTAGTGGTGTAAGCCTTCACCACACCATAAACGTTGCGGATAGCCTTTGGCGGAACACCCAAACCGGTCAAAACACCACCGATTCCGGTGGCCGAGGAAGTGACGTATGGATAAGTACCAAAGTCCAAATCCAACATCAAGGCGTTGGCACCTTCAACCAAAATCTTCTTCTTCTCAGCAATGGCCTTGTGCATGAAAGGAACAGAGTCCACAACAAAAGGACGAAGCAACTCTCTGTACTTTGCGTATCTGGCCAATTCGGCTTCGGCGTCGTAGTCAAAGTCGCCGTATCTCTTCATTCTGGTGTCCACGAGGCGGTAGTATCTGTTTTTGAATTCTTCCCAAGCCTCTGGCTCTTCAGAAACCAAGTGGTGGACTCTGATTCCAGATCTAGAAGCCTTGGTAGAGTAGGTGGGACCAATACCTTTACCAGTGGTTCCGATGGACTTTTTGTTTTCAGAAAGCTCAGCCTCCTTCAACTTGTCCGTTCTTTGGTGGAAGTCAAAAACCAAGTGGGCTCTTGACGAAATGAACAAGCGGTCTCTGCCTTGCAAGCCCTTCTTCTCCAAGTTCTCCAACTCTTCAAAGAAAGAAGGCACGTGGATAACAACACCGGATCCCACCAAGTTCAAACACTTTGGGTTGACCAATCCGGATGGCAACATGTGGAAATCGTACTTGACACCATCCACCACAATGGTGTGGCCAGCATTATTTCCACCTTGACATCTGGCACAGACGTCGATTTCGTCACACAAGATATCGACCAATTTTCCTTTACCTTTCGTCACCCCATTGGGAGCCCAAAACAACGTCACACATTTTGCTATTTGTTTGTAGTTTTTGCTTTCGTTATAAGACCTTTAGCTTCAGCAAAAGGAATGAACGGAAATCGTTAGAACCAAACCAAAAGTCCCAAAACTGGTGTGCGACTAAAGGACATTTTAAATGGTTCCGGGCCAACTTTTCCTGTGTGCGCGAAAATAATTAAATTGCTGACTCGTTCTGATAATTATATTGGCCAAAATAAACTGTGGGCCCTGAAGTTTTTTTTCTTCTTTTAGTTTAGACGTGTCTTGGCCTGTCCATTTAAGTTTTGTTTGTAGGTTTGGATCTTTTTGGCTAAGCACAACATCCTTGCATTTTGCCCAATCTAAATCCTTCCCTTGCATAATCAGATGATGCTCAATCTTTCTTGACTCTGTTTTCAAGAACCTACACATATTTCCGGCAGACTAGCCTTGACCCAAATCCGAGTGCAATATTTACAGTTCGTGAAATGAGTTTATGTGTCTATAATCATGTTGTTGAAGCTGTTCACTGTAATGAAAATATTGACCGAGTTATCATGACATACGTTCATGATAGTGTCCCAGTGCTTTTTCTCGTTTGTAAATGGTTTCGTGGTCTAGTTGGTCATGGCATCTGCTTAACACGCAGAACGTCCCCAGTTCGATCCTGGGCGAAATCACTTACTTTTTTTAAACCTTTTCCATGTACTTTTTTACAAGCTGCAATGTCAGTTTCTACAGTCTACACTTTCTCAGATGAATATATATTTCTCAAGGAAATATCGACTATACTTGATAATGATACTATCTATTATTGGAGTTGATGAAGCGCGGTGTCACGATACATGGCTTAAGCGTTCAACTTAGCCAAGATAGCATCAGTGAACTCGGTGGTGGTAGCAGTACCACCAATGTCCTTGGTTCTGGTGGAACCTTCAGCAATGACATCGTAAGTGGCTTGGGAGATCTTGTCGGCGTACTCGTTCAAGCCCAAGTGTCTCAACATCATGGTGGCAGACAAAATCATAGCGGTTGGGTTGGCGGTGTTTTGGCCCTTGATGTCCAAACCAACGTGTCTGCAACCTGGCTCGAAAACGGCGTATTCTCTACCGAAGTTGGCACCTGGAACCAAACCTGGACCACCAATCAAGGCAGCACCAATGTTGGAAAGAATAGAACCGTACAAGTTTGGAGTCACCAAAACGTCAAACTGTTGAGGCTTGGCAACGGCTTGCATAGAAGCATTGTCGACAATCAAGTCGTTGACTTCGATGCCTGGGTAGTCCTGGCCGACGTCCTTGACGGTTTGTCTGAACAAACCGTCACCCAACTTCATGATGTTGGCCTTGTGGATGGCAGTAACCAACTTTCTGTTGTTCTTCTTGGCAAAGTCAAAGGCGAACTTGGCAATTCTCTCAGACTTGAATCTGGTCATGATCTTCAAGGACTCAACGACACCTGGAACAGACTGGTGCTCCAAGCCAGAGTATTCACCTTCGGTGTTTTCTCTGACCAAGGCAAAGTCAACGCCGTCCAATCTGGACTTGACACCTGGGATGTTCTTGATCAAAACCAAAGAAGCGTAGATGTCCAACTCCTTTCTCAAGGCAACGTTCAAAGATCTGGCAGTGGTGTTGGTAGGGGTGTACAAGATACCTTTCAAACCAATCTTGTTTCTCTTCAAAGATTGGACGGCCTCGGTGACACCTTGGTTGTCTTCGGTCAAACCGGAAACATCAACAATTTCCCATTCGATTGGGACACGTTGGTCCTTGAAGATGGTTTGCACAGAGTCGGTGATTTCCTTACCAATACCGTCACCTGGAATCAAAGTGACAGTGTAGGTACCGCCATACTTCTTTGGCAACACGGACTCTGGAGATGCAAAGGTGGCAAGAGTACGGACCTGCGAAGGTTAGTATTTGATTGGGACATTTTGGACCGTGTTCCTGGCGTTCCGAACAAGTTGATTAAAAGCCGTCGAAGAGTCTCTTTGAGCCTTTTTGAGTCTCTTAGAGTCTCATTGTGCTGGCGAATGGTATCGCCAACCCTTAGCAAGACAGGACAGTGGCAAAACGAAAAGAATTGCCGAAAACACAGACGGACTTTATTAGGGGCCTTTATAAGTGAATCGTACCGTCAACTTCATTAAACGGGATATAAAGCGACAAGGAACAATGAACGCATTTGTTGGGACTCAAAATTATTACATACGTTTCTAACTGCGGGTCTAAACATGTTGGACAAAAGAAGAATTGGTGGATCAATTCGAAAAGAAAGGAAGGTTATTCCGCGTGGTCTCCCTCACCATAAATGTATGGAGGTGGAAAAAAACGCACTTTTTTTATTCGGCCCCGAGACCGGTTTTCATTGGTCGAGCTCCGAAACAGAAAAAGTCCGAGCGTTTTGGCCCTGCCGTTTCGTGTCAAGGTGTTTTTATTTTTGCCTCTGGTTTGGCACTCCTTTCACACAATCGGCTCCGTCTCTAGCATGTAAATTTTTCTCCGTAGCCTCTACATTTTTTTTTTCCTCTTTTTTGGGAGGAGAAATTGGCATTCAGATTGGTCCGGATTGGGCGGCCTTTTACCGACTCCTGCAGATATCCCGGAAGCTCCATCGCTTCAACAACAGTACTATAGACAGTGAGGGTGAGGGTGCATGGAAAGCGGCTGGGCCGGCTTGGGAATGTGTGTTCATGAGAGGGAAGGAGAATTAATTTCTGAATAAAAATGAAAAAGGAAACCTTTCTTTTGTGTGTCCTTTTGATGAGCTGAAGTCCGATCTCGTCACGTGCGCGCCTTTCTTCCCAACGCGACAGGCTTAGGAATTGAGGGCCGTTTCTTACACAGACAAGAATGATCAAGAAACTTGTAAAAGACCTTCAGAAAGAACTCACAGTGGCTCACCGCAAAGCCTTTACCGCTCGTTGGCAAAAGGATTTGGACAAGAACAAGGCCAGGCTAACATACGAAAAGTTGCAGCTTATCCGAAACAGAAAGCCAACCGCCGAAGTGGAAGCCAAACTCAAAGCTCTCGAGTCGGGCAAAATCGAGTTTCCTCCGTTGAAGAAACATCATCTTCGCGAGCTTCTTGAAGCCGAAGAAGACATCAACAACTTGAATAATGTCGTCACCTACTTGAAAAACCAAAGAGTGTACAACGAGCTTCTTGAGAGATATAACCCGGGCTTGACCATGTCACAGCTGGACAATGTTCGGAAAACCGCCAACATGGTTGGTTTGTCTGTTCCTGAGAACTGAGCGCTGCAAGTTGGAAAGTCCCAGGTCGGACTACAGAAGGAGATTTAGCCAGTTGTGAAGTTTCGAGATCTGCGGTCAGTGTGCCTCTTGCATGCTGATCTAGACAAAGCTTACATACACTTGCCTACGGATATTGTTCCACGTGAAAACCTTAATCCTAGTCATTTTAATATCGTAAATAGTTGCTTCAAGCGAAGCGTTTGACTGCATGAGGTGCAGCCGCCGTGTCAATACAATCTATAGATCGTTTTAGCTTGATGTTTTTCGTCATGACCCCACCTTCGTTCTGCTTGATTTTTCTGTTCTCCGAATAGAATTTCTTCAAGCTATCGATGAGAAGCACGTCTTCGTAATGGTTAAAGTTGAAAAGCTCTGGCGCAGCACCTAGCGTATCCATAAAATTGTTTGCCATGCCATGCAGCTGCGGGTACGAAGAAGCCAAGTATCGGTAACTTGCTTCGAAATTGTAGTTGTAGTGGTCCATGAGATACAGGATAGCCAAAGAATGCAAAACGCCATTGGAGTAATGGTTCTGGCCGCAGTAACGCGAAACGAATAAGACACCAACTGAGGAATTGACATTCCTAATGAGCTTTAGTAGTCTGTTTATGTTGAAGAGCAGTTTTATTATGGGCATGCCATTCATGGTGGGGGAATCAAATGCAAGTTTCGCATCTTCATAGTTGGAGTTTATGTAATACTTGACATTGTCGTTGTAACTGTAAAAAAACGCCAAGTAGTTCTGCAAGATGCGGTTGAAGCGGGAATGGAAATCCTTGAATGCAGCGTCTTCTTTAGAAACATTGGGATCCAAATTCAATACAATAACGTCTGAAGAGATCACTGGCTGCAGGACATCGACAAACTGGAGAAACTGGTCTGTGAGTCCGCAATTAACAATCACTTTTGCGTTGGCCGAATCCAAAAATGCTTGGTCGAGCAACGTGTCATAATTCCCCACGAACACGCCTGGAGCCAACTGGAATTGGTGGGGGTATGTGTTGGCCACCATTTTTGCAAGTTATTATTTTTGGTGTACGGGTTTGCTGGCCGGTGGTTGTATCTGCAGGCACAGCTTTAGGAAGATGCTCTAGAAAAAAAAAACCGTCGCTTTACAGTTTCAAATGCGAGGAAGCCACTGCGCTCACCAGCGAGAAAAATCCAGAAAGCCTCAACTCGAAAATACCAAAGCCAAGAAATTCAATGGAAAAAAAAACTCCCTCTGTGCTATGGAGAAATATCAACTTCTACAGGCACTGGGTTGGCGGGGGCCTCTTTGTTATATATTCCTCGCTTATGTAAGAAGCCCGTATACAGGGTCGCTTCCTCAATGCCGTGTGACATTACCCAAAAGGACATGGAACTGGCCGTTTCCAATACGCAGGTGCAGATCTTCCCAGAAGAATATGCAGTTACGGGGCAGGCGGCTGTCGTGCGCGCACCAAAAGGGTATTCTGCGCATATGCAGTATAATGTCCCCGCTCCCAGTTTGTGGTCGTGCGCCAATCACGACAACCGCGAAGCCTGGAACCTGTACTCTGTGTGCAGTACGGCAATTGATTGCGAAATCGTTGCTTGGCTTACCGCAACAGCAGTATAGCGAGTTTTTTACATTAGCTCTACTAATCTAATTTTCGAGGCTTCGAAGAAGCCCCAGATGGCCATTCCAGCATGGATTCGATTGCGGTACTGGTGTTTTTCGGTTGTGTCACGTGCGCGGGGCCCACTGTAGCAACAGACGTTATTGCCCAAATTTATCGCATAACCCAAAATAGCCTTCGGGTGGAGTTAGCTCACCCGACCGTCCATTTTTCCTCTTTACCATGTTTACGCTGTTTGTGAGACCTGCTGCTTTTAGACAATCCCTTAAAGCCGTTCCCTTTTTGCTTGGGGCCAGTGTTCTTTTAAGGCCCAGACCAATTGTCTTCAATGACGCAGTTACTCTTTCTCAGCCAGGAACATTGAATGCACCTCGTTTGGACACGAAGCCAGCACCTCTCAGCAAAAAACTCGATTACAACGAATTGTGTCTTGGCTCGGTCACGGGACTCTTTTTGGGCATTGTGATTGGCAAATTGTCGTCGGCCATTGTGTTTTTGAGTGTTTCGGCGTATTTGCTCTTGCAGTTTTTGGAAAACAAAGGTGTCATCACGATTCCATGGAGAAGAATCGTCACCATTGGGGATAGACTGTGGGACTTGAAGTCGCTTTTCTTTGACAAGCCAAGCTTCAAGATTTCTTTTGTGTCGTCCTTTTTGATCGCCGCTTTCAATGTCTAATTGGTATAGATTGCGAATCGTGATATATCAAAATGAACAGATCACCGTAATTGAAGGTGTTACAGGATAAGAAATGTAATTGAAGGTGTTGCAGGATAAGAAACGTAATTCTGCTACAGGTTTGTATTTGAGCAAACTGCTTTGCGCCTGTTAATTAATTTAGTTCTGGCAATGTGGCTCGGTCTTTCGAGATGGAGCCATTAATTGATGGTACGACAATTAATGAAACGATGACATTAGCATTGTCACACTAAGGATTAACCAACCGATTAATCAACAATTAATCAACCAACAACAAACCAATGCATTTATGGAAACATTTTCTCTCCACTTATTGGTACTGGCCATTGGGGTGACAAGTAGTATTCACTCACAAATTAATATATTTCATAGTGGTACTATTGGTAACAAGCTAACTTTTCGACTATTAAGCAGAACCTAATCACGCTTCCTTGTGTTTATTCCGTGCAAAAATATTGCAGAGTCATAGTGCCCACCAATCTCTGTTCCAACTGTATTTTTGTAAAGATCATCGTGCAAATCGAAACTTGGCATTCAAAATCTCAAAAGAAAGCTTCGGATGTTACTGTATTAGATAGTACTCTATCAATATCCTGACCGGCAACCTAACTATTAACTCATTCAATTGGTGACATGCGAATACTTGAAGTAACTCACTATGTTGATGCCAAGTAGTCTGCACCAATCTATTTAAGATGACTCTTCTCCATGGCCTCAGTATGACAACTTGCTGTTTCTACGTTCCAACTGTTAACATCGTTTATAGTCTAAGTACAAAAATTTGAATCAAATATGCAATCATGCCACAGTGGGCATCTGGGCCATCACATCGAACGAGCCCGTACCCACATTGGACAACTTGCCCATGACAATACGAGCCGAGGGCGATTCCAAGTCCTCTCTGTCGCCGTCCAAAACCGCCTTGGTCAAGAACTGGCATGTGGTTTCGTACGACATCTTCTTGAATGCTGAAGTGGACGAGTCAATGCCCTGTCTGTTGAACGCAAGATACGAACCTTCACGAGTCATCATGTCGGCGATCAAGTCCAAATGACGTGACGACACCGAAATGGCGTATGTCGAAAACACGTTGTTGATTTCATTGACAATGGTGTTTCTGGCCGCCTCCACACCGTACGTTCTCAACACAGCACTGATGTCGTTGGAACGGACACCGTTGACGTCAATAAAGTCGTCCTGCTCCCACATGGCCTTGAAGTTGACACCTTCGGTGGTCAAAACGCGGCGACCATTCTCTGGTTGTGGGCGAAGACATCTGCCGATGTTCTTGATCTCACGAACAACAACCTGGCGACACAAGTCTTCGATGATGTTGACCATCAACAACTTTTGCACATCACCAAGAAGCTCGATCTCAAACTCACACCATTCACCGTTTTCGTCGTCAAAGTCGTACTTCTTGACAAAGTGGTGCAGCGACACAACGTCGGCCTGGCGATCCTTGGCACTCTTGGTCAATGTCTTTGGCTTGGTGTCCTTGGGCTTGCTTTCCTTGGCCTCATCCACAACCATGTTGTCGTCATCGGAGTCCGACTCAGATTCCGACTCCGAGCCAGATTCCGTCTCGGACTCTTCCATCTCCTCATCCGACGTCTGCTCGGCACGGCGCATCTTCTCCTCATCTTCATCTGGTGCGTCGTATGATACAGCCTGTTTGGTGTTGGCACGGAGCTTATCGTCGGATGCATCTCCGTCTTCGCCTTCTTCGCCGATGGTCTTTGGTGCCAAAGCCGCATCAGTCTGGGCCTTAGGAACGGCCTTGCCCACAGTAGGCAAGCTGTCCGAGCGGGTTTGTTTCTTCATTTCTTTAGAAATAGCCAACTCCAACTTGGCCAAAAACTTGGTGGCCACGGTGTTCTGCAACTGCTCCTGGGCAATGTCGTACTCCTCCTCGTACTCCTTTTTGGTGAAGAACACAATCTTGACCTTGTACGAACGGTAGCTTGTGCCATCGTCAGTACCGGTTGTTTCTGTCACCACCACCTTGTCGATAAACTCACTCAAGCACACCTTACCGATGGACTTGCAGAAGGAGTCAGCCATGTCATCGCTGACATCGTCCAAAAGAGGCAAGGTCATCTGGGGCGTCTTGATCGACGCCGAGGCGGTCATGATGATTTCTCTCATTCTCGGAATACCCAACGTCACGTTGGCGGCACCGTGACCGGCAAAGTGGAAAGTGTTCAACGTCATCTGCGTCGATGGCTCACCAATGGACTGTGCGGCAATGATTCCCACAGACTCTCCTGGGTGGATCAACGAACGCATGTACTTCAACTGCATCAATGCCCGGAACTTCTTCTCGCTCACGCCATCGCTCAGGTGCTTGGCGAACAAGTCACTGTGCTGGTTCACAAAGTCGTCGAGCTTCTCCTGGAATTTTTCCGAAACTGCACCCAAATACTTGGCCGGGTTGAACACGGACAAGACTGGGTCGTACTTGGTTGACTGGTTGTAGTGAGGAAGATCCTTTTGCTTCTTGAGGTTCTTGCGGACCTTCTTGCTGTAGGACAATGCCGTGTCGGTGTCCAAATGCTCCGTCAATTCGCCTGGGTTGTACTTGGCCAACAAGGCGTCGTAGTTGTCCAAGCAGAACTTGTACTGGTTCATGTGCGACTGCTTGGTGGTGTCGACAGCGTCTCCTCCGTACAAGAACTGGAGCAACGAGCCGTCTCCGTCACGCACAGAGTTGTCGTACGAAACGTGGATACCTTCCAACTGCTTGGTCAAACAACGCTGCAAGTATCCCGATCTGGAAGTCTTGACGGCAGTATCAATCAAACCTTCACGGCCCGCCATACAATGGAAGTAGTACTCCTGCGGACGGATTCCCGAGTAGAAACGGCCCTTGATATAACCACCGGCCCGCGCATCGGTCTCGTATGGCTTGAACGAGGGCAAAGTCTTTCCACTCACCATCACCGGCACTCTTCTGCCTTCCAACGCCTGCTGGCCCAAAAGACACATGATCTGCGACACATTGACACCCGAACCTTTGGCTCCGGACAAGGCCATCGCCTGCATGGAGTTGTATGGGAATCTCTTCATGGTGCCGTCGGGGACACACTTGCTCACCACCTGCGACGTGATGGCATTGACCTTGGACTGGGTGATGGCATCCAAGATGCCTGACTTGTTGTCGTCACGCAAAATCTCCTCCAAACGCTTCAACAACTCGCTGTCGCTGCTGGTCGTCGAGCTGTCCAAGTTGGTCACTTCACACGCCGCCGCACGGCCAATGTCGACCGACTGCTTCAAGATGTCTTTTCTCCAGGCGTTTCCTTCGTCGGTCAAACGCAAGTCGTCCATACCACAAGTGAAGGCCGTCATCATGATGTAGTTGGTGAAAAGACGGCCCAACACCGATAAGGCTTTGCTGGCGGTGTCCGGGCCGTAAACCTCGTGCAACGAATGCACAATACCATAGGCAGAGGCACCGTACTGCGACTTGTCCAAGATACCGCTCAACAACTCACCGTTGCGGAACAAAACCTCGTTCTCGCGCGAGCCCTTGCCCCAGTAGTCGTCTTTGATTTTGTTCTTCGACACCAAGTTGATGCCAGGAACACCCTTTGGCTTGATGTTCAACAAAATCGTGGTGATCACCTGCTTTCCTGTCCACAAAGGCTCCGGCTTGAACACAGCAGGTGGCACAGTCACGATTCTCGTGGCGCCATTGGTGTGTCCGTCTTCGGGCCGGATGCACCCGTAGATCAATTGCTGGTACTTTTCTCTCGTGAAGAAACTGTCTTTGTTGGTCAACCACACACCGGCAGAAATGTGATCCTGAATCAAACCTCTCAATGGAGATCCAGATGTAGGAGTCAAGTACTGCGAGTCTGTGTTGGCCAAGTTGAGTGCCTCGGCTTTGGCATTCTCGTTCTGAGGGAAATGCATATTCATCTCGTCTCCGTCGAAATCGGCATTGTACGCTCCGGTGTTGGCGTAGTGCAATCTCAACGTCTTTTCTCCTGGCAACACACGCACCTTGTGACCCATCATGGAGGCCTTGTGCAATGTAGGCTGACGGTTCATGATCACCACGTCCTTGTTCTTGATGTGTCTGTGCACCTTCTTGTTGATGACGGTGGCTCCGTTCGAAGGGGTCAACAATTGGTTGGCAATGGCCTTTCTTTGCTCAAGAGTCATGCCAATCAAAGACACCATCGAGCCGTCTTCGTTTTGCACTTGTATAGCGCCCGGCCACTTGTCTGGACCGTTGATGACCGCCTGTCTCAACTCAGCAACGTTGTAGGCCGTGACAGGTTCGGGGTAGGTCAACTTGACGGCAAACACTGGCGGAACACCAATCTCGTTGGTTTCCAAATTAGGGTCGGGCGAAATCACAGAACGGGCAGCGTAGTTGACTCTCTTACCCATCATGTGTTTACGGAACAAACCTTCTTTCTTCTCCAAGGCTTGTTTGATGCCCGGAACAGGCATTTTGCCGGCCTGGGCGTTTTGGTTTTTGGTGGAGTCAATGAATGCATTGACGTCGTTTTGGATGGTGACAAATGCATTCATCAATCTGTTGAACAAGATCTTGCGCTCTTCCACACCCGGCGGTTTTCTCCTTGGAAAACATTCCTGAGATTTGGTCGTTCAAGTCACGGATGAGAAGCGATGTTTTCAAGATGTTGGACAAGAGCTCGTTTTGCGAGTTTTCGTGGATCTCATCGCCCAACTTGGAAGGCAATCTGAACCTTGTGGCTGGAACAATCAACGCCTGGATGAAAAACATGTCTGAGCTGACTGGGGCCTTGTTCTGTGGTCTGGAGTGGAAAAGTTTCTGCATGATGGCTTGTTCGTTGTCAAACACACCTTTCAAGATGTTTTTCACCTCTGTCGACAAGACGTACTTGGAGCCCGACTTCAGCTTGATGGAAGGAATTTTCTCGGACGAAGCAGATGACAGCGAAGAAGGGTTTTTCTTGAGCACGTCGGGACGCACCAAGCCTTTCACTCTGTTGCTGGAAATCTGTTTTTCTCTCAAGGCATTTTCGAAAATCTTGGTGAAGCCGTCCTTTCTGTAGGTAGGGGAGAACATGCCACAGTTCTCGCACTTGGATCTGGAGAGCAATCTTCTGTAAAAGTCTTGGATGATGTGCTTTCTCTCCTCTCCGACGGTTTCGGTGATCAAACCGGTGTGCGAAGTTCTGCCTTCGCTGATGGCAGTGGCAATGGCGGTCTCAACAAACTCCTCTCTTTTCTGCTTGACAATGCTCTTGAACTGCGGGTCGCTGGCGTTGGCGCTGGCAGAGCTTCCGTCCTCGTCGTCATCTTTAGAAGAGCCGTCTTGCGCAGACATGACCTCCAATTCGTGGCACTCCAAAAGCAAGCCGTACTGGATCAAACGCAACTTGCAGATGTACTTGTGGACCTCCAACTCGTTCAACTTGAAGTGGTGGCAGTAGAGACACGACGATCTCAAGAAGATGTACATCTGGTTGAAGAACAACGGGTTGTACACGGGGACGGGCAACTCAATGTGGCCCTGGTGGCCGGGACAGAATTTTTCGTCGAGGCCACATGTGGTACACAAGTTTCTGAGGAAAGCGCCCAACGCCAAGTCGTACAAACCGTTGCTGACGGTATGGCCCAAATTGTCAAAAACAATGGGGTTGGTGATTTGCTTAGCAGACAACTTTCTGATTTCGTCGCTGGATAGAACGCCGAAATCCACCGAAGTAATCTCCGACCCAACAGGCTTGGAAATGTCCATTGTGAATTGTGTTTGCAAACCTTGCCTGGAGGTGAGTGATTCGATGAAGTTGGATTATATTTTTCAATCCAGATGAGCTTCGCAGCAGAAAAAAATCATTGGGCGATCACGTGTGGAGATGGCGTTCTATGCAGGCGGGTGCAATGGGTGATAACGAAAGGATGAAGGGAAATTAAGAGTTGAAAAATCAAGAATGGGCAAGGAATTAGAATGGTGAATGAAGGACAAGGAGTGGAAACGGAAGGAGGGACATAGAAAGTAATGTACTGAAAAAGGATGTATAGTACACCCAATGTACAAGCGAGCAATATCGTAGTCTAGGAATGCTTAAGCATACTATGGTCTGTTTCTTTGCCTAAATGCTTTCTGACTTTCAGAGCTGAAGGCTCAGGAAATAGCAGCATACTCAATCGAGTCTCGGTGCAAAGAAGAGCAAGATCGGCCAATTTACCAAGAATGTAACAAAGGTGCAAATTCGAGAATACAGATGCTTTGCTAAGTACAAGATGAGTACGTCAAAAAGCATATCAGGAAAATTCATTGTTGTTTGAGCTCAAAGGATAAGTTTCCTAGACGCATAAGGTCTTGGGCTCTTGAATCTTTGGGCTCCGGTATCATTGTGAAAATGTTCCCTACCGTTTAAGAATTGTGCAGTTGTTGAGATGTGTCCATTGATCTTTTCTATCCATTGATTTTATAAAATGACCATAGATCTTTTCTATCCATTGATTTTTTCAAATGACCATTGACCTTTTCTATCCATTGATCTGATGCTATTCATGAACTATGACAGTGCTCATATCCTGTATCTGTAGTGTGGGTTACTTTTCTATCGGACGAGAATGAAAAGATATTGGTGATGACGTAGTAACTCATACTTGCAATACTAGTCATGACTCAGCTCCCAGTAGAAGGAAATACTAATTCGATCATGTTTTTGATTTTTTTTCATCATGTTTCGTTTTTTGCTTCTGTATTTTCCGTACACACATTATAATAATTTCGCATTTGCACCCATTCTCGACGAAATATTGAATCGACATGCAAATGGCTGAAACTATACCCATGTTCGACGAGGTTGCATTCCAAATGGAAATCGAAGTGCTCATCGAAAAGGCAAATAACCTACATCCGTCGTTTTTCACAACAACCACCGCCGTGTCTAGACTATTCACGCAAATGTACAGAAACGAAATCATGATGGGTCGCTGGCCCGACTGCGAGTTTATGGCCCGGGTATTCAACTTGGGCAAAAAGATACGGAGAGAATTGGAAAAAGAAGAAAGTGCTAAAAGTAAAAAGGTGAAACCGCAAGCGCCACTTTTGCTTACTGATAGCGAGTGGGATCTTCTAGTGCAGATGAAACTCAAAGAATTCCACAGACGAGAGGTGCTCGAAACACACTTGTGGCAAAGCCACAAAGAGCAACGAAAGAGGAGAAGAGGGCTGTAACGGGCTAGTGTTTATGCGTTTTGCAAACTGTTAGAGAAGTGGATCTACTGTACAGTCAGGATAAATGTATTTGGTCTATAAATGAAAGGAGAGCTCACTTGACGCCCCAAGACAAGTTGTCGTAGCCAAACAACCATGGTCCCACCGTATGGCGCACCACAATCATCAGCAAGCCCACGACTAGCTGAAAGGCGAGAATGACAAGGCACAAGCGGTCTTCACGCATGGGTCCAAGCCAGACGAGAGCCAAGTTGATGATGGTCATGTTGGAGAAGTGGGTGATTTGGTTGTCACTGTTGCGTTTGACCTGGATAAGGCCACACTTGGCCAAAACAGAAACAAGAGCTGTGCCCACGGCAGTTGCCTGTTTGAGTTCCCCGAAACTGGGGTACATCAAGCCGTCATCGACATTGAATTTGGGCATGCGGTGGCGCGGACACGGCACAATGTGGAAGAGTTGCGGCACCGAGTAGAGAAAGTTGATGATTTGGGGCAACAAGAAAATGAGCAAAGTTTTGGAAAAATGGCCCAAGATGCCGACCACGGCGAAAACCATGCCGCTGAAATAGCAGTAGGTGTCGCCCACGAACACCTGCGCCGGGTACCAGTTGTACTGCCACAAGCCAGCGGACACGCCCAAGAAGGGAATGACGAAGATGGCCGAAAGCAAGTGCGAGTCGTGGGCTGCCGGAGACAGCGCCGAAAGCAAGTAGCACAAGTCGTTGAGCAAGAAGATCACACCCAACACGATGGACTGGCCCACCTCGAGCCCGTTGATGCCGGCCAAGATGTTGATGGAGTTTGGCGCAAAGATCGACAACGCAGACATGTAGGCGTAGTAGCACACGCCCAAGTCGAGCAACTGCGGAGGCTGCTCGGACGAAACATAGTCGGTGGCCAACGTGGTGAAGCGGAGGCCCGTGACGGCCGACACGGCCCGGTTGATGGCGTTGATCAAGATACGCAACATGTCCACGGCCGCGTCGCCGCCAGGCACACGCGACACAAACGGCGGCACGACGATGGACGTGACGCTGAAGTCGACGTAGTAGACTATGAGCAACGGCAACGACGCCACTGCCGGCAAGAAAAACTTGTGGCGCCAGCGGATGTCAAACAAGTCGTCAAAGAAGCCCAAAAGCACGGTGCTGAGCAAACACAAGGCGCCGCTCAAGAACTCGGCCAACTTGTTGTGCGGGAACATGTTGTTGTTGTGCTGCACCGCATGGTACTGGTTCTCGTACACGGCCAGGATGTCGCTGTCGTCGGAAAGCGCCTGGAACGAGACAAGGTACTTGAAAAACACAAACGGGATGATCGTCACGAGCAACACCATGTACGTGACCGCGGGCACAACGCCCATGGACTCGGGAATGGGCGCCACGGGCGGTTTTTTCGACAAGTCCCGGCCCAGAAGACCCACGCGGAGAAAACTGGCGCCGAGACGCGGAACCAAGTGAGAAGTGGCAGAAAAGCCAATGAGACCAAACGCCACGGCCGTCTGGAGCGGGCTGTTGGCGCGAGCAAGCGCCAATGCGGCTACTAGCGCCGAAACCTCGAGCAAACGCATGGTTGTTTGTTATCGGTGGTGAAACCGTTGATGCAGTAGCGCCAGCTCCATGCACACCTTGGCTTGGTGCTGGTAAATCAGAGATCGACCATGTGGGTCAGTGAAGGTCTCAGACAGACTGAGGTTCAAGAAGCCGATGGGTTGGACCTTTCAAAGAGCTGACGTTTGATTAGGATAGATGTATCGGGAAGAATTGGTCCTTTGAGAAAATCATAGAGAAATGTAGGTGAGCTTATATACTTCTGGAAAGGTGCACAAGAACTTTCCCAGAACCAATTGAGGAGAATATATTCTTGCTATACTCGTCAGGACTCCGCATTACTCTCAATACCAAATAGGTATTGGCATCATTCTAATTGATGGGATAGAATAACCAATGAGCAATATGCAGTGCATAGTAGTGAATCTCGAGTAAGTGATTCAAGTAAGTGATTCTTAAATTAGTGCCTGCGTACAGGTAGTAGAATGGAGATGGGAAATGAATGAATGGAAATGTGAAAATGAATGGAGATGAGAAAATGAATGAAAATGAATGTAAATGGAAATAGAGTGAAGATAGAGTGAAGACGAAAATGAAGGTGAACGTTGAAATTGGATGCGAAAGAAGTTACGGGAACGTTGGATGGTATATTAGATTGACAGGCGCATTAGCCGCACGAACACGGTGTCTAGACTGAGTCTCAGAATTGGACTGAATTTGTATAAAGCTAAATTTAGTATTTAGGACAATTGGACTGGCATTTGTTTAGAGCTAGAATTGAGATTTCAAATTTTCAGAGACGATTGACTGAAGTTGTAAGCTGAACTAGATGTAGTATTTAGAGACATTGGACTGACTTTTGTATAAAACTAAATTTCAATTTTAGAGACGATTGGACTGACGCTTGAGAGCTAAATATGATTCAATTATGAATCTAATAGACCATATTTAGGCTGGTGCTGAAGCAGATTTGATTAGCTGAGTCGGTTGGACATTTAGTGTTTCCTACACAAGTTAATGTTCGGATTCTTTTTGATGATTGTAGAAGACTGTCACATAGATGAACTGAGTTAGTTATTACTCCTATTGCCGAGCAATAACATTACCATCGAAAAACACCACTAAGTCCTAGCAACTGTCCTTGAATTGCCATCCATTGCGCTATATAGGTAATGGTACCTTCAACGGCATGCTCTTTTGCCCTGAGACCACCCACTGTCCCACTTTCGTCTGTAGTTTCTGCTGACAAAGCATAGAACCGGAGCACGTCGCCTAAAAGTGGACGAACAAGCCGAAAAAGTAAAAAAAACAGTGATGGGCTAAGCGAACGAGGGAAGCACAATTCCAGCATCACCGAAGTCAAAGAGTTTCGTCATTTGCTCAACACGTATGGCTCTAAGTGAACTTGCAACAAGACGGCTACCATGGTTCGGAATTACAATCAGCGCAATGCAGAGAAGAATGGTTGGATTTACGGCGACTACTTGAGGCAACAGAATTCCATGAGCAAATATGTGCGTAGACTATGTTGATATCTGAAATCTGTGAACTCTGTGAATCTGTTGATATCAGAAATCTGTGAACTCTGTGAATCTGTTGATATCAGAAATCTGTGAAATTTATTGATATCTGAAATCTGTTGATCTCTGAAATCTGAAATCTGTCGATACTTCTCTTTCACCTACATCTCACTCTTTCATCGATCTGTCATACCGACAGTTAGTATGCTGGTCCTAAGTTGCTCAAACGCTGATTTACTGATTCGCCTTAGCTATTGTATGTAGTAGGTTCATGCACACAGGGCATATCTGCGCACCCACATCGGCCTTCACCACCACGATGCGTCTTTTCGAAACGGGCCACGACGAGCTCGTGCACGACATCAAGTACGATTTCTATGGGCGGCACGTGGCCACGGCGTCGTCCGACCAGCACGTCAAGGTGTTTGACTTGGACCCAGACTCGGCCGCGTGGGTGCTCAACGACTCGTGGAAAGCGCACGACTCGCTGGTGTTGAAGGTGTCGTGGGCCCACCCCGAGTTCGCCTGTGCGCAGCTCTTAGCGCTGTGTCTGTACGACCGCAGCGTCAAGGTGTGGCAGGAGCTGCCCGAGGAGTTGCACGGCTCGGGCCGCCGCTGGGCGCGCTTGGCCACTTTGGCGGTCGAGTCGTACGGCCCCATCTACGACGTGCAGTTTGCGCCGCCGCATCTCGGGCTCAAGCTTGCGTGCGTCGGCGCCGACGGCATCGTCCGCGTGTACGAGTCGCCCGAGCCGGCCGACTTGAGTGTGTGGTCGTTGACGGCCGAGATCCCCATCTTGACGCTGCAGCTTCCGACAAAGAGTCTCCAGAGCAGCTTCTGCATCGAGTGGTGCCCGGCCAAGTTCTGTGCCCGCGAGATGTTTGCCGTGGTGGCGTTGGACCAGGGCTTCGTGTACTGTGCCCGCGAGCAGGACGCGCCCGAGGACACGCCGCGTTTTGCCAAGTTGTGTGACTTGCCCGAGCACAACGGGCTCATCCGCTCGGTCAGCTGGGCGCCGTCCATGGGCCGCAGCTACCATCTCATTGCCACAGGCTGCAAGGACGGCTACATCCGCATCTTCAAGGCCGTGGAGCACGACAATCTGTTGAAGATGGACGTGGTGGCCGAGCTCAACGACCACGGCCTGGAGGTCTGGCGCGTGCAGTGGAACCCAACAGGCACTATTCTCAGCTCGGCTGGCGACGACGGGAAGGTCCGCTTGTGGAAATGCAACTACATGAACGAGTGGCAGTGCATGAGTGAAATCAACACCAGCAACGGCGTCGAACAGCCGGGCACCGACGATCCAGAGTCGGCGCAGTTCCGCCTGCCGGCGCCATAGCTAGAGAAAAAACTTTACCGTCCGCGAGGTCACCGACTTCTATTCGTACCAGGTCACCGACTTCTATTCGTACCACACAACTCTATAACTCCAATACCATGCATATCCAGTACAGTCTGGCCACCGGGCGAAGCCTGGTGTCTGTAATCGCCAGAACTTTTTGTATTTTGAATCTTTCGCCAGAACTTTGTATTTTGAATCTTTCGCCTGAATCTAATCTGTTCGTACCTCTTGAGTCTTTGTACTTTCCATAATCTTAGATCCTTCTCTTCTTCTTCTGGATCGCTGGTGCATCGCCAAGCTCCTTCCAGAACTCTTCCTCGTCGCGCTCTTCAACCATCCGCTTCTTGTCTTCATCGTCTCCGTCTTGGCTGTCAAGGATGCAGAGCGTGCTCACTTGCGTCCCCAAATACACCTTCAGCAACAACGCCCGAGTCTTGATGTCAAACACACGCAAGTACCGGTCGAGCCCGCCAAACGCAACAATACCATCCTCGTACGACACATCAACACCATGGATTGCGCCCGTGTTGCCTCCTTCCGAGTATTTCCCGAGCAACTTTAAGCTGGGCTTGAAAAACGTGCCTGCTGACGCAGATATGATCTTGTGAGCTTTACTATCAATCTTCACCAAAGATAACCGTGCCACGAATGTGTGGATGTCGGAAATGATGACCTCGTCTTGCTCTTCGGTGGCAAAGTTGAGCGTAAGGATCGCCTTATCACAGACCTTGTACGAATGTGTGGGTTCCTCGTCCTCGGCTGTATTGTATATGCGAATGTGGCCGTACCTGGTGGCGGTCACCAAACGGTATCCCTTCTTTGGAGCATCTTTCAAGAACAAAATGCGCGAGATCCAGATTGGAACCGTCAAGTCAAGGTGGTCAGGCTCTACATTTTCGGCCTGGAACAAAACTTTGGGTTTCCACATGTCTGCCTTCTGGAAGTCTTGCTTCTTGAAAACCTTCTTCTTCTCGTAGAGCCTGATCACCTGGAGGTCGTTGTCCTTACCTCCGCATGCAAAGACACCGGCCTCGTAAGGATTGGCGACAAAAGCGCTGAGCGAAAGTTGCTTGTTCTCAATTCTGGAAGGAATGGACACAGCCAACGGCTCAAAATCAAAGTTTCCCTTGTTCAAGAATATTATATAAGCCGTGCTAGACTCAAATGCCACAATGATAAAGTCAGACTTTTCGTCTTTGATCAACGCAATCGCCTTATCGCCTTGGGCAACAGGCAACTTATAAGTGTGCAACAACTTGTAGTTTTCCTCTGGAACTTCCGATGACCCGAAGAGCTCGTAAACTGACACAAGCCCACCTAGACGAGATGCAATTAAAAACTTTTCTTGGTAAACAATCATATCGATGATTCTGTTCTTGACGTTCGTAGTTTCATCTTTTTGGAGAATGCTCTGCACCAATTCCGGCTTTTGGCCATCCTTGACAGAGGTGTCGGTTCCTCGGGAACAAACAACCTCTTTAACGTTTCCAGTCTCGTCTGCAGATACGAAGAATCTCATTGTTCTGTCAAGTGGAGTGGTCGCGATGACTTGGAGATGAGTTTGAAAAAAGATGCGCACACATTATTTAGGCCATCAGTAATAGTCAATCTCCAATTTTTCAGAAAACACATTTGGTAGCTTTTCCCAGCTTCTGTTCGATTTTTTTCTATCCAGCTTCTGCTCTCTTCTTTATCCAGTTATTTTTTTTTCGGTCATTTCTCTTTGCAGTCTAATCAATAGTATAATGCGTCTCCCAAATGGCCCAGTCTCTAATTCTACCAAGATTCAGAATAACTTAACCAACCTTTGTAGCTCTAGTTTTTCTTCTTTGATTTTTGCATCCAAGAGAACCTTAATCGGCAACAAGACCTCTGCATAGTCTGTAATCAAAATATGCTGTGCATGTGCTACCCCATTTACCATTATTTGCAAACATGCGACTAGATTCCGAAAGTCTTCTAAAAGAAATACAGGAGACGGTGAATATAAATGGGCCTGGACCACCGCTCGGAGTGCTTTCTGAATAGGCGACTGCGCTTGATGCATACATCTGTAATTTGTTGAGCCATTGAGCTTTTGGTGATAACATTCCGAGCAAGCCTCATAAGAGATTTGACAGAGGTACTCATAATTCAAATCTAAGAGACCGTCCAAGCGTCTGGCATAGTCGAAATGAGCATACAAAGATTCTGTCTGCATCAAAAACACCCTGAAGCGGTCTTGTAATTTTTTTGCTTCGCCCAAGATCTCGCCTCGGCTGTCGATTACTTTCTGGAGCTTAAAAGGGGAACGATAAAAGGAATCTTCAGCAATACTGCCATCATATTTGATGTCATCAAAGAGAGCCCAATGGGCCGCAGCCACTTTTGTACGAAAAACTCTGTACTTTTTGAATTCTTCCCCAAACTGTTTTTCCCATGTCCGTAGACAGAGACCCACCCACTTATAGGAAGAAGCGCTTTCTTTGATGAGCTTGTGGGTTTGACGTAAGACATCCAACACTTGCGTAAGACAAAACGGATTTCTTATGTCTCCCGTATTAGAATTAGCAGCACATTGTTTAGGAGGAGGATACTCAATCACCAAATGGGCAAACTTCTTCTTTATGAGAGCCAAACGATACTCAAGAGCTGAAGCATGGCAAAAGACGTCTTCTCTTTCACAGATTTCAACTCTTTTGGAGAAGAAAACTTGTCCTACTTCATTGTGGTGTGTTATTGAAGAGAAAATCCCATTCTTGTCAAAAGACGTTTCCAGGTCCAGATATTCGGATGAGGTACTCATGAGATAGAAGGCAGGAAGGACTGGTACTGGAATGAAAGATTATCAGACAAAAGAAAGAGGAGGTAGAAAAGAAAAGAGTTAAAGAGAAGAGTTAGAGAAGAGTTAAAGAGAAAGAGAAAAAGTGAAAGTGGAGGTGAAAATGTGAACAAAAACGAGAAGTCAGAGAATTATTTGGTCCTTTTGTGCTGGCTGCGAAAAGAAATCGTGAACATTATACTCTAAACCAAATCTTCTCATTTCCACTTATCTGAAAAAGTCATCGGTTCATGTAGATTTCTTCATCTCTATAAAGTTGGTACAAATACGGACCCTAGAATTAATTGAATGACAACTGCTGACAAGAAAGATGTTGAGTTAAAAAGTACTTCTGTCAACTGTTTGGCAGAAAGTGATTACTTCCACTTGTTGAATCTGGACAAAATAACGAGGAAAGTATACTTACCGCAAATTCTTCGAGGCTCTAAGCTTTGAAAACTTTAATCAATGCTTCAGTCTATAAATCGGATCCAGTACGTCACGTGGAAAATTATATTCATAACATGGGCGTGTGGCGTAGTTGGTAGCGCGTTCCCTTAGCATGGGAAAGGTCTCCGGTTCGACTCCGGACTCGTCCATTCTTTTTGCAATTTTTGGCCTAATATCTGAGTCGTCTTCATGAGACTTCCATACGGCCAGAATATGGCCCTGCCGAATAGAATCTAGATTCCTTCAGCGGCTTATGTATGCAGAGGTACTGGTGTACTAAGGATGTGCGGATGTTTAATCTCGTATGTATGGGTTTTTCGAGATTTTGATGTACGGATGTTTCATTTTCGGATGTACGGGTTTCACTTTCGGATGTACGGCTGCAACTGCGTTTGTGGCTGCAACTCCATCAACACAAAGATGGCAGGCTGGTTATGGAAGCAGCAGCATGTAAAGTTCCATCCGCTCCATTTCTGATTTGATGTCTTCCAGAATAGAAACCCAAGCGGGAATTTTCCGAGGAATCTCGTCAGTGAACCTTCACTCTTCCATTTTTTTATAGAGTTCATCAACCTTCACTATTGCATCTAATTCAGTGATTGGATGAGTAAAGCTAAGTTAGCCTGGAGATGAGCATAATTAGGCTTACTGTCTTCAATTTTTTGCGCATTTCACCCAAAACATAAGTGTCTCTATCACATCGTCAAGTGTCAACTTCTTATCTTTCATCGAGCCATGTCTCAAGGTGGGGGAGTTTTTCTGACTCATACGCTTGTGTCTTGTTAATATGAGGCGGAATGGACATCATATTCAAGAATTCTGCGCGGTCATATAAATCAGGTCCTGGAAAGTTCTGTACCTTCAGTTTGAAAGCGTTAAGTGTTGCAACATGACTTCTGGAACAGTATTCTGATGAATAAAGTGGATAATCATGGCTTCAAGTATCTCATATCAGCTTTGTAGCCTTGAGAATTGAAGTAAAACCGATAAACGATAGGATCCCATTACAGAAGTTCGTTTAGAAATATGGGAATCCAACTTTGGAAATTGGCATTGCCAAGCAATTGCATTGGGAACTTGGGAACCACCGTGATTCTGACAGAGCTCAAACTCATTTTATCTCAAAGCAATCAGTGTCATAATCTGTAGAAATAGGTATGCAATCAGCCTGTTAAACTTCACAATTAATTATGGGCTTAGGTCTTTCTTTCAAGACCTTTAGATAAGTACCAAGATATATTTCCCAGATCAAATGTTATCACGTTGATATTAAAAAAGAATGGACCAATCTACTCTTTTATATTAGACTGGGAAAGTCTTTACCAGAATCAAACATGGATAGCTGAAACACATAGGTTGTTCAGACATTCCTTAGGTCTAATTAATAATTCTAAATCAGAATGAAAGATGAATGGGAAATAGTCTTTGAGGCATTCTGCGAGTCGTCTTCGGGTTTAAAGCCATATCAACAAGTTTGAGAAAACTATCAACCATGAAGATTACGGTACAAGTAAATTTTCTCAAGAAAATGAGTTTACTAATATTCAGAGCAAAGTTCAAAACAGGAAAGGAATTTTTAAGTAGTAAAATTGAGAGTTGCTTTGATTCCGCCTAGTAGTTTCAGACTTCAAACTGACGTTACTATGCTCATCGAATTAGTTTGAGTCTCTATGTTTATTGGTTCCTTGTGGCTCGGACCGACAGAACGAGGAAGTATTTACAACAAACATTTTTAGCAGTGTGAAGCAGAACTACTGACAAATTCTTAGACACATGCTACTCAAGAAATTATTCAGCGTTGTAGTGTTCGACCAAAAGGCCAAATGTGTAATTGAAAATGCGCATACCTCAGTAATAGGCTTCCGGATATCTGAAGATCCAGAATGGAAATTATTGCAAGCTAACTTTAAACTTTCCCACTAGAGATTATTTGATATGAATAGTCCCTCTGCTGCAATAAATTGAATCCATAGACTCATTGATATTTTAGGAACCTACTGATCAACACATAATTGCATCAATCAACACATAATAGAACCAATCGACACAATAATTGCATTAATTGACACAATAATTGAACCAATAGACAATCACTCAATAGATCTCCCCAATTAGGCTAGAGGAAAACTCTACTTTCTACTGATGGACTTATTCATTCGAATAATGGGCTTTTGATCCAATTGTCTTGCTTAATTACTGCGCACGGTCGATAAACTCAGCCGTCAGCCACAATAAAAAAAAAAAAAAAAACAACAGACAAGCAACAAAGCCAAAAAGTGCTGATCCGTCAATCCGTCCGTCAATATGTCCGTCAATCCGTCGATCAATCTGTCCGTCAATCTTTCAGCTCTAGCATCACCTCTTCGCCTCACACCCGTGCCCCCCCACACACACCAAAAAAAATTCTCCCATCGCTTGTACAAAAACCAACCATGTCCAGCGTCATTGGAATCTCGTTCGGAAACACTTCCTCTTCCATCGCCGTCGCCACCGCCGACGGCAAAGTTGACGTCATCGCCAACCCGGACGGCGACCGCTCCATCCCGTCCGTCTTGTCGTATGTTGGAGTTGACGAATACCACGGCGCCCAGGGCCCGCGCCCAGTTGGTCATGAAACGCCGCCAACACCATCATCAACTTCAGAGACTTCATCGGAAAGAAGTACGACGAGGTGGATCTTTCTGTCGCTGCCGCCGGCGCTCCACCTGTCAAGAGAGAAGATGGCGGAATCGCCTACAAGATCTTGCGGGAAGAAGACAAGACCGAGCTCGTTTCGGTGGAGGAGGCTGCCACAAGACACTTTGTGCAGATGAAGTTGGCTGCCGAGGACTACTTGGGCAAGAGCGTCGACCACGTGGTGCTCACGGTGCCAACGGACTTCTCCGAGCACCAGAAGGAGCTTTTGGCCCAGATCGCCAAGGATGCGGGCCTCAATGTGTTGCAGACCATCAACGAGCCCTCGGCCGCGTTGTTGGCGCACTTGTCCGCCGAAGACCGTCTCTTGGAGGACCGTCTTTATGTGGTTGCTGATTTTGGTGGAATCCGTTCCGACGCCGCTGTCATTGCTGTCCGTGGCGGCATTTTGACCATCTTGGCCACAGCACACGCTCCAGGCTTGGGCGGTGACCAGTTGGACGCGGCGCTCTCCGAGCACTTTGCCAAAGAGTTCGAGAAGAAGTTCCTGACCGACCCAAGAAAGAACGCCCGTGCCGTGGCCAAGTTGAAGGCCGAGTCCATTGTGGCCAAGAAAACCTTGTCCAACGTCACGTCGTCGTCGTTCTCCATCGAGTCGTTGGCCGACGGCTTCGATTTCCTCTCCAACATCAACCGTTTGCGTTTTGAGTTGGCCGCAAGAAAGCCCTTGAGCGACATGACGGCGTTTGTCGATCTGGTGTTGGCCAAGGCTGGCATCGACGCTTTGGACGTCGACGAGGTTTTGTTGACCGGTGGATGCGCCAACGTGGTCAAGTTGGCCCAGAACGTGCAGTTCCTTTTCCCCGAGTCCACCACCGTGGTGGCTCCTTCTTTGGACTCGCGTGCCTCCAACCCAGAGGAGTTGTCGACCAAAGGTGCTGCTTTGCAAGCTGCGTTGGTCGAAGGCTTTGACGCCGAGGAGATCCACGAGTCCTTGCAGCCTGTTGTTGTCAACACCCAGCATTTGAGCAAGCCTATCGGAATCAAGGACGCCGACGGAAAGTTCCACGCTCTTTTGGTCCAGGAGACTGCCTACCCTATCCGCAAGTCTTTCACCGTGACCAACGGCGACGCGGCAGATGTGGTTGTGGAGTTGTACGAGGGCCAGCGTACCGTGAAAGAGACGGAGATTGCTGCTGAGCCAACCTCGGACTCGGAGTCGGACGACGAGCCAGAAGTCCGCCGTGAGGTTGTGTACGAGGCCGGCGACTTGCTTGCTCGTTTGGTGTTGTCGGACTTGAAGCCAAATGCCAAGTTGGAGGTGCTTGTGAACATTACCCACAACGGCGTGTTGCACTTGACTGGCCGTGAGTTGCGCCAAGGCGCTGCTGCTGTGACTGGTGAGGTGGCTTCCGCATAGATAGAGAATAAACGTTGAGACCGAAAGAATAGGCATTGAGGTTGAATGAATTTGCATAGGAGGAGTGATTAAGCGTTGTAGTTTTGGCCGGTGTTCCAAGTAGATGTATCAATCAAGATCAGGCGACTGGAGGGGTATATTGAGAGAGGAGTAAAATAGGAGGAGGATTAAAAAGAGGAGAATTAAAATTTAAGAGGAGATTTAAAAGAGAGGGACTATGAATGAAGAAGAGGATTAAAATGGGAGGATTGGGAGGATTAAAATGGGAGGATAAGAGAGGAGGATTAAAACAGGAGGATTAAAATGGGAGGATTAAAATGGGAAGATTAAAGTGGGAGGATTAAAATGGGATTAAAATGGGATTAAATGGGAGGATATATGAAGAGCTACAAATGACAGGTGGATCAACAAGTAGACCAGGAAATCAAACAGCTGCTTCAATGATCCAGGTTCTGGGCATACATTGCCGATATTGTGCATCAGCCAAACCAGCTCTATTCTAGCATTAGCTAATTGGAGCAACGAATTCAATGCTCGAATGGAAAAGACTTGATAGTATGGACTTCAAGCACTAATCAGTCAGTGTTTCGGGATACATTTGGCATATCTTAGGATTATGAATCCCCATTGCCTTACACAGAGAAAACGATTTAGAATGGAAAAATACTACTTTAGGCATTAGAATCGTACAGTGGACGGTTACAGGAAGAGCCAAAGGACAATATGAGACCAAAAAGACAGTACAATAAAGGTGGTTGGATAAAATTGGCATTCCAATCAAAGAAGACATTCAAGTACGACACGGTAATTGATATCAAATCAATTCCAAACGACTCGAACCTCGACAATCATATCCCAACAGGCTTATCCATCTCTAAAGAAAGAAAGCTACCTAGTTGCAAATGGACACAAAAACGCCCAGATCCAAAATACAACGGCATTCTTCTTGTCTTTAAATACAAAAAAGGCCACGCAGATCCAAATACAACGGCATTCTTCCTTGTCTTTAAATACAAAAATTGCCGCCCAGATCCAAATACAACGGCATTCTTCTTGTTAAAATATAAAATGGCCAAGGAGAAACTGTTCAAGAAGATCTTTGTTTTTCCCGATCTCAATTTGGCACTCCGCAATGTGTATACGAGCGACTTCTGCAGGATAATTACCCAAAGCAATTTACCGCTACCACTATTCTTTACACCTGCCCAAGCTAGGTCTCCCGATACGTATCCGTTCCAGCTCGAATCAGTGGGAACCGTCCAAAAAAGAAAAAAAGAGGCACTGGAGTAAAAAAAAAATTGCAAAACTCCTCGAACAGACAAGTTTACCCAAGGCAGACAGAAAGAGGCAGCGAGACAGGAACAGGCAGACGAAACCCACAGTCTAAAAGATACAGCCCAGCTAAATGCCCAAGAAGAAGCCAGAAATGTCGCAGGTCTACGGCCAGACCAACAACGAGTTTATTTTCGGCGAAAACGGCGGCAGAGGGAAACACCTCTTATCTTTCTCCAAGAACCTTTTCCTCACCGGACGGAAAACAGACATCCGCGAGGCCAACAGCAATATCTACGGGAACCTCTCCTACGGCTCAGACCGTCTGGCGCTGGCGGAGCGGCCGGAAAAGCCCCATTTTCTGCGGTCGCCGCTGGTGAGCGGGCTTTTTTCGAAGACATCGTCGCCCAAGCCCGAGCCCCGGCCTGCCACGCCCGAGGGCCGCGTTCGCCGGGCCACATACACCGATCTAGATGCGGACTGGGACGCAGATGTTGGCGCTGCTGTCGAAAAACCCCAGGAGAAAGCCGCCCCTGTCCCAACCGAACCTCTCCAAACAGGAAACGAAACGGCATCGGTGTCCAGCCTAGTGTCCGAGCCCGGCCAGGCCCGCCGCAGCAAGTTCCGCCGCGTCCTAGCAGCGCCAGCCATCAGCATTGCCGACTTGCGCCTGCTAGCCTGGAACGGCGTGCCGCTGGAACTTCGGCCCGTCACGTGGCAGCTTCTCTTGGGATATCTCCCCACCAACAAAAGCCGCCAGGGGCTGACGCTTCGGAGGAAGCGCCAGGAGTATGCAGACGGCCTTGCACAGCTTCCACCCGACGACACGCCGCTCCGGCACCAGATCGACATTGACGTGCGCCGGACCCACCAGCAGCTTTCTCTCTATGCCAACGAGGCCACGCAGGCGTCGCTTCGGCGGATCTTGCATTTGTGGGCCGTCCGCCACCCTGCCAGCGGCTATGTCCAAGGCATCAACGACTTGTGCACGCCGTTCTACCAGATCTTTGTGGGCCACTACTTGTGGCAAGTCCAGCAGCGGGCTCGCGGCACGTGGGACCCTGAAGTGTGCGTTCCGGGGCTTATAGATGATGCTGACGTGGAAGAGCAGGCACTCATGGAGGACCCGCTTCTTGCGCTGTACACGTGCGCCAACTTCGACACAGGGCGGCTTCTGGCCCGAGCCACCACGGCAATCGAGGCAGACACGTACTGGTGTCTTTCACGGTTGTTGGACAACATCACGGACAACTACATCCACGAGCAGCCGGGTATTATTCGACAGGTGGGCGAGTTGCGCAATTTGATTGCCAAAATCGATTATCCGCTTCTCCAGCACTTGGAGACGCAAGGCGTGGAGTTCATCCAGTTTCTGTTCCGCTGGATGAACTGTTTGCTTATGCGGGAGCTCCTGATGGATTTAATCATCCGCATGTGGGATACGTATTTGAGCGAGAGCCCGCTTGGTTTCAGCACGTTCCACGTATACGTGTGTGCAGCGTTCTTGATCAAGTTCTCTGCAGAGCTCCGGGAAATGGACTTTCAGGAAATCTTGCTTTTCCTCCAGAACACGCCAACATCCTCATGGCAGGAGAAGGATATCGAGATGATGCTCAGTGAGGCATTTATTTGGCAGAGTCTCTACAAGAACGCAGCGGCGCATCTTCGCTAAAACTGTATTAATGTGAGGGAGCCATAATGAATTGATAAAAAGGGCTATATCACAGAAAATCTTTATATATAACTCCAAAGGGAAGCTATTACTACTGTCTTATCTTTAAAAGGATAGAGAGCTCATTCATGCACTTGAAATTCTATGTATGGCAACAATAGTAGATTTCAACTTTTGAGCTAAATGATAGATCAAATAAACTAGGACGGAAAAATTGAACAAAAATCTTGGTTAGCCACCTTTAATAACATAAATAGAGGGAACAATGAAATTGCTTCCTTTTCTGATCCATGATCAAGCTAAAGGAGTGGCAAGAGAAGATTGCATGATTAACGATTAACCGTCTTTGGCATTAATACTGGTTGGTTTATTTTCTTCGTTCAGTTTAACAATTTTTCCTTTATCTTCCTATTTGTTTTATGTAATTTGATCCAGTGACAGTGTAGCAATATGATTGACTGAGTAATCCAGTAGAAATTCTTTCATTGGAGTATCTAAACATGCCACGCAGAAGATGAATTCTGTTTGTCAATGAGCAAGTCTATGTGAATTTTCCTTTTGATTGAGTCTCACAACAGTTTGTGTTAAGAATCAGTCAATAATCAAATTCCGAGCCATCCTGGAGAAATAATTGTTGAAGCTCTGTTGTTTGATACTATTGCATTGGCATCCAAAATAAGGATTGGTTTTGAAGTTAATCGGACCCGAAGAAACATGTTAATTATTTACAATTCGATGAAGAAAGTTGGTAAACATGATATATCAAGTCATTTACTAATGTATATTTGAAGCAGCTAAACCGGACAAACTCGATTAAGCATATTAACAGAACATAAAGTGTTTTTGCAACAAACCCTTCGCTAAAGAGTTATGGACTTCATTCTAAAAAGTGTATCTTTCTCAATCACCATTGCAAGAAGAAATGACTTTAATATCTACGACTTCTTTGATCTTACAGTTGTTCTGTTCACTTTTGTTTCATCTTCACAGCAATGAATCCAGCATTGAAGTTAATATATCCCCGATTTAAAGATCTCTGACGTTTTCGTTATCCTTCAATCTGTTGAGATTAAGTGCCTATGCATAATCTCCGTTTTGTGCGCATTTTGGAATACGCGAGATTTAACTATGAGAGCATACTACAAAACATAGTAGACTAGAAATCTGGCATTACATACCAAAAATCTCAGAATCAAAAGTCTCCCGAAAAGGTATGGAAAGGGCCCTTTTCGCTCTTGAATCTTATTTTCTTTCTTCTTCACTTCTTTTTTCACAGTTGCATCTCCTTTTCAAAAAGTTAGATCCAACCACATATTGATGTATTCAAATCCCTTTCCTTCAAGCTTTCAAGTTAACCTACTTTTTATTCTCAGAAAGACAACTCTGAGAACTATTCTGATTTCTTAACCTTCTCAGTAATCTTAAAGCTACTCTTGAATCCTAGCAATGACTTCCAACTCCCAAGTTGATACTGCTGGATTTATCACAGTTGGTAGAGAGCAAAAAAACGTCACTGCTGAAAACAAAGAAGAGGCTCCAGTTAAGCCCTTTGACTTTCAGCAAAGTTTTGCTAGAATTGTCCCTAACACCAATGTTTTTACTGTAATTGGATTTGGCGAGGAATCATCCGAAGAGGATGAAAAATATGAACATCTGGTAGTTGAAGAAGTCGAAGAAGATTCCTCTGCTTCAGGACAGCCAGAAACTGAAAGTTCTGAGGATGACAAAACCTTGGAACAAAATTTGGACCAAATGGAACGGGAAATCGGAAGAGACATTGAAAGAGTAACTACAAAGTCTTCTGAAATTCCAGTAGAGATTGAAAATTGGGCCATCATTCTTTTGAAGCCAACTTATATTCCAACTACTATACGAGCACCATGCAAGAAACCAAAAATAGTTAGATTTGCAGAGGTGGAGATAATTGAGATTAACGGAAAGGAGGTAGATCTCAACACAAAGGATCCTAAGAAGGACAATGGAAACATAGACTCCACACAAATAATTGTAAAATCTCATGAATCTGAGAACAGGAGAGAAGGTTCTTGCCAAAAAAGAATGGCATATGAAGCAAAGAAATTGGAGCTCGAGACGAAGAAAATGGACCTTAAGAAGAAAAAAATGGACTTGACATGGATATGATGGATAAATCTATGGAAATGAGGATGAAAACTCAGGTTAAAAGCAGACCTTCTTCTTTCAACCCAGTCAATTCTCGTCCTTCTTTAAGAGATTGCAAACTGGAAAATATGTCTCTTCCAACCTCCAAAGAGATGAAAGAACTTATTTCTTCGGCTCAGAGACTCATCTTTTAGTTCTGTCTCGTTAACACTCCTTTGACTGGATATAAAAAAGGAAAAAAAAAAAATAGAATCACTTAGCCTAATACCCTGAAAACAAATGAACATGAGCAATAGGGGAATACAATGATATTGGATATTGCCGTAAGATTCCAATTTAAAGATAACATGGATTAATTACTTGGATGAATGTGATATCCAAAGATTCTAACAAAAGTTGAATGCAGTTATAAGTGTAGATCCCCATCTTGCAAAGATAGAGTAGATGAAAAATTCCCCAGATTTGGATCGAAGTATATGAATTCCAAAGAAGACTAAGCAACTAGTTCAAGACTTACACGATGAGAGATACTCCAGATTATATTTATTGACATGATGTTTTTGAAATTTCTTCTTTTGTCACAGTGTTTTCTTATTGACTGGAAATTGGTATATCATAAACACAAGGTCCTAAAAGATACTACTTTTGAGTAACTAAATCTCTTTAAGCAACTTATTCCGGCCTCTAGCTGCATTGTTTTTTATTGTTAATTTTATCAGATTTTGAACTAAAAATTACTTTCAGTTCAGCTATCAGAATATAAGAAAGACGCATAATCCAATAGTCATAGAGGTTATCTGATTCTTCTTCTGAAATGATCATCGAATGATGGACTAGGAATATTCGGATGTTGTAACTACTGGAATAACCATCAGAACCAAAAATAGAAGATAAACACATGTAAGAATTTTGTGTGTAATTGATTGAATGGTTAGCGACCTGTAATTTAAGAAAGTAAGAATACGTACTTAAATGTAAGTAGTAAATGTATACTAGAAGTTACCTATTATAACATCATCACCGGTTGTAATGATAAGTTTGAATGGAAATTGGTAGACCATAAAAGCCTATCAAACACATGACAGATATTTAGGGCATGAATGAATAATTCATGAGCTTTGTTCGTTCAGCAGATTCATGATTTGGAATACTATGGTAATATGGTTCAAGTGCCACACTAGGAGCTACATAATAGTAATGTAGATCTATAATGGGATTACAGTCGATGTGTTATAGTGTAATACAGGAGATCTGATTCGCCGAAGACCAATGCGGATTATATCCACGCACAAAATTAGCCAAAGCATCCTGGTGGTCCAAAACAATATTATAGAGAAAGTCAATAACCGCTTTATTCCCATTTATGACCGAATTTCAGCTGTCTCCACATAGACGATAAAGGCTACATGTAACAGGCGATCTTGCATATACACGCATTTGTTCGTATATGTTGGGTATGGGTTTTCACTCGCATACATCGAATATACTAACTACTTCTAAGACTTCAGAATACCCACCTAGATCATTTGAATTACCTGTCCTTCTCAATTGCTGTATTTTTCACAACATCATGTCTTCGGCTTCAGCGAATGAACTTGACACAATTCAAATTTTTCTTGGCATATGCGAAGAGATGGCACCCAAATAGGCGGACATGCAGAACAGAAGAAGATAAATCGGCACCATAATCCATGCAATTTCGATCTTTTTTTTTTTTCTTTTTTTTTTTTCTTTTTTCTATCTTCCTCATGCGCACGGCATTTTGGTTCATTGTGGCCGTTGTCACTGCTAATTTAAATGTGGCCCACAACAGGCACCATGTATTGAATGAAAGAAATTCTTTGGAAACCTCAAAGGACAAAACAGAAACCAACCAGCAAGACCACAAAGGTTTTGCTTTTGGTTCTCCTCAAAACTCAATCATTACTTACTACACTTGGGATTCGCCTGTTTTAGGTATTCCTTTGTTCATGCAGACAACGAACAATGAAACTGTCCTTAGACCCAAAGATATTCCAACTAACGCTCTGTATGTTCACATTAACGGTTCACAATTTGGAAACGAAACTGCTTGGCTCAACGGATTGGAGCTACTGAACTATACTTACATGCCATATGGGATACAGCGCAACGACAGTATATTCAAGCTACTGAACTATACTCTCGAATCATATGGTTATATCTATGATTATGTGCAAGTTGGTCTTTGCCTTGTTGGTACACACTTGATGTTTGAAGACACGCCATCTTCAGATCTCATGGAAATGTCCGTTTTAGATTCATTGCTTGCATCCGGGGACATTGTAACTAGATCCTTTTCTGTTACCGTGGATACCCTTTTCGATGTTCTTTTCGGCGAAATTGACCATGGCAAATACGAGGGACCTTTGGTGAAGTTCAAACACTACTATGATGAATCTCAGGATGATTATTCCAATGTACACCCAACATTGCTCATGGATGGAATGGCAGGCACAAATTTCCTGGTTTACAATCCAGTTCAAGTACAGATTTCCAGTTACTGGTCTCTTCCACATGAGTACTATTACACTTTGTTTGACCACTTCAAGCAAAATTATGGCATGGATGATGACGGCTACATGCCATGTCTGGTATTTAATCTGACAGAGTACGTTTCGTTTTATTTTAGTGGAGAAGAGTTTCAGATTCCAGTGAACTCTTTCGTGGACTTCACGTATGATAATACCCTGATGTATCCATATGATGCGTACGGCAAATATTATACCGAATCTGCTGCTTGTAAATTAGATCTTGGCCAAGAGGACGGATTTGTCGGAATCTCTGAGGCGTTATTCCATAACCAGTACCTTGTGGTGGATTACGACAATGAGGAGATTGCTATTGCTCGTGCTGCCACCGAATCAAAACCACAAACTATCGAGAAAATCTCAACTGGAATTCCTCGGGCCACTCCAGCAAAGTACTTTTCAGTTCTGGTCAGTACAACTACTGATAGCGACGGATATGAAGACTATTCAACATCGTATTACCCATCTTACTCGATGTACACAGGGGGTCATTTCGGTTTCAACGGCACAGAGACTTCATATACAACTAAATCAGACTCTTCCATTCTTTCTAAGTCTGTTGCATCCACAACTGGGGGAAGCACAAAATCTGATCATAGTACAAAAAACAGTTCTTCCTCTAAGGCTACAGGACACACTCAAAAAGCTGGTGGTGTGATGGCTTTTGTCACTTTCTTTCTTGGTGCGTTAATGATAATTTAATCTCAGAGCTAAGGCTTGCTTCATAATTCTGTCCATCGTTGAGAAACTCATCTGTCTACATTTCATTGCATTTTTAACTACGCGAGAATCATATATTGATCGAATTTTATCACAATGAATATACATCTTTTGGTGTTGAACAAGTATCATGATAGATCAGTCCACCATTTTAGTCCACAATTATTAACTGGACTACTATATGGATTATATTTGAGCATAAAGGAGTTTCTGGTTCTGGGTAAGAGCAAATGCCAGATTTCATGTTAATACCGGAAGTAGGATGTTAACCGTTTTACGTCTAGTGAGAAATAATACATCAATTTGTCGACTGAAACGACTGGACTACAGCTTTTTGTCTTTATTGGAAAAATGACAACCTACAATACTCCAACAACAACTATAAGGAAAGCAGGAATCTGTTGAGGTGCAATTCCATGCGTTGAATTGACACACCCAAAGAGGTAATATATCCTGTGCCAATCAGATATGCCAACTCAACACTTTCACGCAAGATGTGAAGCTTGAAGACAGCTACTATTTATCATAAAATACAACATTAACAATATCAACGAGAAATAATTGCATTTCTAGCTCTGACAAGAAACATTATAATCTATCCAAATCATGATATATAGGTAGTCAGTGTAGTATAGTTGCTTGTGGCATATCAATAGCTTCAATGTATCATTTTTTTAACGAATCGTAAAGAATGCATATTGGTCGCTAATGAAGTGTAATAAACGTAAACGTATCCCATGGAGTGAATGTAATGGAAGGAAGTTTATGTCATTCATAAGGTACCATAACCTTCATGTATTGAGGGAAGAAGCTATGAATAATCTATCTCATACATATAACGTAGTATAAAGGAAGTAATACGAAGTAACAATCGAGTAATAATCGTAGTTGATAATCAAAGAAATAAGAAAGTAATAACGCAGCAATAATTCCGAAGTACTAATAAAATAGATATCAAAGTAATAAATCGAAGTTATCAAATGCTAGTTCGCAGATAATCGGAGTAATGTCGAAGTAATAATGGAAAATCGACGTATTCAAGCACTAACAAGGAATAATGAGTGCCACCAAAGTAATAATCAAGTATAATCAATATAATCAAGTATAATCAATATAATCAATATAATCAATATAATCAATATAATCAATATAATCTAAATAATCAAGTATAATCAAATATAATCAAGTATAATCAAGTATAATCAAGTATAATCAAGTATAATCAAGTATAATCAATATAATCAATATAAGTATAATCAAGTATAATCAAGTATAATCAGGTATAATCAAGTATAATCAATATAATCAATATAATCAAGTAATAATCAAAGCAATCGAATTTATTAAAATCATAATCAAAATAATCATATTGATAATTGCAGTAATTGCAATCGCGTAATTAATCACTATCTGCACTAATCCAGAATCATTCACAGTATCAATTCAACCCATCAATCTAACCCGAACCTACCACATCATAAACCTAACTACCCTCCAAAAAATAGAAAAAAGATCCAATCAATAAAAACAATAAATAAAACAATCATTCAAATTACCCAATCAAATCGCCAAATAACCCATCCCTCCCACATGTCATCGCAATCTTTCATGGAGAAGTCAGACTTGACTGCGAAATTACTGCGTGCACACCACATCACCACAAATTATTTAAATTACCATCTCTGCCACGCCACAAAAAACAAGCGTGCATCTTCTCTTTTAACCATGTCTCAGCCCGCAGGAAGAACCATCTTGGCGTCTACAGTGGCCAAACCTTTTGTGGAGGAAATCACCGCCGAAGTGGCCCAATTGGGCTTCCGCCCCAAACTCGTGGGCTTTTTGGCCAACGACGACCCGGCGGCGCAGATGTACGCCAACTGGACAGGCAAGACGTGCGAGCTGCTCGGGTTCACGTACGAGCTCGTGTCGGTCGACAAAAACGAGTTGGAGAGCGCGTTGATCAGCGCCAACAACAACGACGACGTCAACGGGATCATGGTGTACTTCCCCGTGTTTGGCGACAACCAGGACCAGTACCTCCAGCAGCTTATTCTGCCGGAGAAGGACGTGGAGGGCTTGAACTTCCGCTACTACCACAACTTGTACCACAACGTGCGGTTTTTGGATCCGCCCACCAACGAGCAAAAATCCATCTTGCCATGCACGCCGTTGGCCATGGTCAAGATCTTGGAGTACTTGGGCGTGTACAACAAGCACCTCCACTACGGCAACCGGCTTTACGGCAAGAAAATCTTGGTGGTGAACCGGTCGGAAATCGTCGGCAGACCGTTGGCGGCGTTGCTTGCCAACGACGGCGCCACCGTCTACTCCGCCGACGTCAACAACATGCAGCAGTACACACGTGGCGACGACTTGCTGATGCAGCGGCACAAGGTGGTGGAGTTGGACGAGTCGTATACTGTGGAAAAAGTGGCACCCACGTGCGACGTGATTATCACTGGAGTGCCGCTGGAAAAGTACAAGTTCCCTACTGAGTGTGTGGCCAACGGCGCCGTGGTGATCAACTTTGCCAGTGCCAAGAACTTCAGCGACGACATCAAGCAGAAGGCGGGGTTGTACGTGCCGCTGATTGGGAAAGTCACCATTGCCATGTTGTTGCGCAACTTGCTCCGGTTGATTGCCAACAAGAAGATCCGCGAGCAGAAGTAGAAATTGAGAAGAATAGCAGACTGACAGACAGACAGACGGACGGACGGACAGACGGACGGACGGACAGACGGACGGACAGACTTTCGGACTGTCGACTAGGTCGACTAGGTTCGCTAGGTCGATCAGGCTCGCTAGGTCGACTAGGTCAGATTAAAGTCGGACTAGGTCAGACGGCCAAGACTACAGGTTAGACAGTTTGGACTTGACAAGAACCGATATATTACTGTTGTGATGGCCATTCACATGGGCAGATCGTTTGATGAATGGATATCTGGTCTACACCGGAACATCAGACGACGACACCAAAGGGATTTCTACAGTCTTGTCCGTCTTTCATCTTTCAGTGTGTCCGTCTTTCGTCTTGAGTCTAGTTGGCCCGGAGCTCACGTGACCCGCGCACGTGCTGACTCCACTGCGATGGGCGGACGGTGTATAGGTGCAGAACTTGACTAGCGACTCGGATACTGCTGCAAGATAGACAATAGACGTTAGCGAAGACGCCCATTGGAAAGATCCGTACATCAGAGTCCAGCAGATCTGACTCGAAGCCAGAACAGATAAGCTGTCAATCGAAGGAAGAAGACCAGAAGAAGACAGAACGAAGATAGAAAAGACAGAACGAAGAGAACGAGATAGAAGAAAAGACAGAACGAAGAGAACGAAGATAGAAGAAAGACTGAAGAAAGACAAAAGAAAAACAGACCAAAGACAGAAGCGAAGACTAGTCATTCGTTAGAGCGTCAATTGTCGATACAGAAACAAGACAGAAACACAGAACCAAGACAAAGGACCATTAGAGCCAGACACATGGACCGCAAGAAGATCGAGCCCATCGACACGCTCGCGCTCTCCGAGTCGCTCGGCGTGCAGACGTTCCGCCGCGGCCTGCGGCGGCCCTGGACCAAGGACGAGGACGCCCGGTTGCTCGCGCAGCTCCACACGCTCTACCCGCAGCTCCCGCCGGCCAAAGACATCAACTGGGACGCGGTGGCGCGGCCGCTCGCGCCCACACGCAAGCCCAAGGACTGCCGCAAGCGGTGGCTGAGCCTGTTGGACCCGCGGCTCCGGCGCGGCAAGTGGCTGGCCGAGGAGGACCAGAAACTCGTGGAGCTGTATGCGCGGCACGGAACGCAGTGGCAGCTTGTGCTGGCGGAGATTCCTGGGCGGACCGAGCACCAGTGCTCGAAACGGTACTTGGAGGTGTTGGACCCGGCGCTGCGCGAACGGCTCCGGGCGTGGACGGAGGCGGAGGACTTGGAGCTAGTGGCGCAGGTGCGGGCGCACGGCACCAAATGGCGCACGGTGGCGCGCGCGCTCGAGGGCCGGCCGCCGCTAACGTGTCGAAACCGGTGGCGGAATTTGCTCACGGCGGTGGCGCGCGGGCGCGCGCTGGCGACGGTGGCCGCGCGCATTCGGGCGGGCGACGGCCTTGCAGAAAATGAGAACACGCTGAAGGAGAATGGGAAGGAGAATGGGAATGGGAATGAGAATGGGAATGAAAATGAGAATGAAAACGAGAATGAAAACGAGAATGAAAATCAAAATGAAAATCAAAACGAGAATCAAAACCAGAACCAAAACCAGAACCAAACCTCCTTTGGCCAGAACCAAAACCCTTTCGGCCAGAACTCTCTCGGCCACAATCTTCTCAACCTGAACCAAAACCCTCTTGACATCCAAAGCGGCCTCACGCCCCGGCCCGACTCCGCCCGTCCCGACTCCGACGACCGCTTCCCCTACGACTTCAAAGACGCCAAAGACGCCGTGCCCAAAGAACCCTACCCCATTGGCTACCCGCGCTACAGCGCCACGCCAACCTACACCAACACGCCGTCGCACACGCCGTCGTTCGACGACTTTGCCGGCCTGAACGGCCCCACATTTGCCCCGCTCGCCACACCCATCCCGCCCAACTCGCACGTCGAGTGGCGCTACGAGCTTTCGCTGGGCGGCGCCGGCACCATCGCGTCGCACGAGCTTGCCCAGTACCTCGTCCACTACGCCGCGGACCATGGCGTGGCCATCTCGGTCCACCAGCACGTGCACCACCGGCCCGCCCGCTTTGAGCCCGAGCTCACGCGCTTCCAGCACTTCAACTACTTGCCGCCGCTCACCGAGGTGCCCAAACTCACGCTGTCGGCGTCTTCGCCGGCCAGCTCGGGCAGCAGGGACCGGCGGGACGCCCGAAGAGGCGACAGACCCGAAGACCACGAGCGGAAAAGACTTCGGCACGACGACCTGCGCGATCACAGACAGGGCGCCGATCACAGACAGGGCGCCGATCACAGACAGGGCGCCATGGACGGCCGGCGCGACCACAAGGAGCGGCAGAACGGCTACTACCCCCGCCCCGAGAACACGCCCGACTTCCAGGAAAAGCCCTACGACGCTTACGAGAAAAACTATGCCAGACCATACGGGGCCGGGATGGACAAGAACGACCGCTTCCGCTCCGACATGGACAAGAACGACCGCTTCCGCTCCGACATGGACAAGAACGACCGCTTCCGCTCCGACATGGACAAGAACGACCGCTATCGCCCCGACTTGGCCGACGACGCTGCGGCCAAAGAGTCGGATCTTCTCCGTTTGCTCAACGAGGCCGACCGCCCTTCCAACCCGCTTACTCCGCTCACCAAAGCGGTGCAGATGGTTGCGGCGGCCGAACAAAACTACCTCAAACGCTCGCCCGAGGACGAACAGGAAGACGAGGAGGGCCCGGATTTTTTCGAAACCATGCGCCACTTGAACGCTCCAAAGGCCGAGAGACCCGGTCCGCCGGTTTCCCAACACCACCCTTTGCATTATGGCGACCTCGACGAAGACTTGATGGAGTACGGCGTGTACGCCTACCAGCGTGAACTGCCCGAGACTCCATACGGCGGAATTCCATTCAATCCGTCGTAGACGGAGAAGATGAAGAATGGTCTGGCCCATGTGATGGTCTGGCCCATGTGATAATGAACCAATGATGTATTGATGTAATATAAGCTAATGTGAAAGCGGAGGTGCCTTGACTTGCATCGATGTCAGGTCTACAACGATTGGATTGTCTCTGCATTCGTAGACGGTAATTTTCTTAAAAACTTTTCTTTTTCCAATTAGAGGCGAAACGCAATGGAAAAATTGAATTGCACCGAAGATCATCGTTTTATTTTGCACTTAGACTATTGAAAGTTAATTGATGGTTGAGCTGGAATTATCGCCTCAATATTTATTAACCGAGTAAGTTATTATCCGCATTTTCTGCACATCCAAATGGACGTTTCAGCGTTTAATTTTTAATTTTTATGGATTTTTCTCTCTATGTTTGACTTTCTATGCTACTTTGCTGTTTGATCTACTTTCTCTTTTAGATCTACTTTCCGTCTTATGGCTGAAACAATTGCTGCGACTCATAAAAATCCTTCTACGTCGTGTCTGTAGACAAAATTGCCCGGAAATGCTTACCTAAGTCTGTCTTCTTTAATTTCGTCATATCATCTTGATTATTCTAGAGGTATGGTTGTCTATTGGGTGTTTGACTATATTCACGTGACACTACACGTGCAAAAGGTACGGATGTTTATTTTGAGGTGTATGGGTCTTTTGCGTTTTGGTGTACGGATGTTCGAAGATGTACTGATGTTATATACTCAGAGGTACGGGTGTAATATCATATTTGTGTACAATCATCACTTGTTTTGTGTTCACCTTTTTTTGCATCCAAAACAAACCACTCTCTTTTTTCCCATAACGTAAAACCTCTAATGTCTTTATGCCTAAAGTGATTCGTCTAAACCACAACTCTTTCATTGGTCCTTTGCCTTCCTTGGGGACACAATAATTGACTTTAGCAATAAATTTCAGGATTTACACAAAAGCTTCAAGAATGAAGGCTTTAGGATCGTGTGGCTGCCCTTTCAAAAATGTGCGGCTTTTTCAAGTCTCCATTTCCTTAAGGAACTCTTGAGTCCACGCTAGTTGCTAAATCCAAGATTCCGGCACATTCTACCAGATCGGCCCCAAGTCCCAAGCTACTATATGCAGCACGCACAGATCACAAATGATCCAGGTGATAACTCAGCCGAGATTTCTTGTCTTCTTTGAATATTATCTCCGGCGTCATTCTGTGGCTCTCCATCCGTGTGTCGTGTGTCGTGTCCCTCTGCTTCTTCCATTCTACAATTTGTTACACACCGCCCTTTAACTGACGTTTTTCCTAATTCCGGTGACCACGCTCCGCATTTCTCGCACTTGATCGGACCGTGATCCTAGGAGCTGAATTATTGTGTTTCTGAATCCCTATGCTTCAAGAGGTGCGTTCGAATGGCATGGAGGGCGTTCTGGATTGCTCCTTATCTCGCGTCATCGACAACGAGTACCATGCGCTCTCGGACGATGCGGCATTGGCCAAGATGGGTGTCTTTGATCTTATTCAGCATTGTGCCGACTTGTTCGAGCAAGTAGTCAAGCTGCGGGACTCCAAAGAAGGCTTGCGTCTCTACGTGAGGGCCTATTTGGTCTTCACCTACTTCATCACCACCTATATCATGGTGCATTTCCAAGGCTTTGCGCGTTTCATGGAAAGGAACCATACGGACTTTGTCATTTACTTGAATCTCTACGATTTTTTCCACTCCACGAACGTGCTAGGCCCTGAAGAGTTTGGAGCCGACTTGCATGTTGTACGTTGCAGTGTTCTTGGTTACTTATCACTGCGGGATTTACTTTCCTTCGACACGGGCGATCTTTTTGGCTGGTTGAACGATTATGTCGCCTATTACCGCGAAAAAAGCGATCAAGAAGAAGAACTGACTCACCTGCAAGAGACTTCTGACTACGAAGCATACTACAGAGCATTGGAAGATTCTGATGACGAAAGTCTGCTACATGGACAGGACCAGAGTAGTACTAATGAGTCAGTGCCCGAGTATGCGTCTGTGCATTCACTATCTACTCATAGTGTACACACAGCTCTCCCTTTGAAGTCAGACAAGTCGGATGCTGCCTCCAATTGTGCATCTGGTGCCGAGTCTGATGTGGAATCAGACTTTTCCGCGCCTATTTCCAACAGTTACTCGTCTCATCATAGCTTGCTGTCATTGAACCCGAAGTTCCATATACCCTCGATCCACGTGTACTGGGTGCTTCAAAAACTTCGACAAAGAGTCGGGTTTCTACAACTAAAGTTCCCCCTCCTCCTCCGAGTATACTGCCTCCCGCACTTCCGGCGGATCTGCAGACATCTCTTCACACACAATCACAAGAACAGCAGAAGCATGTAACTCCACTGCAGGCACCCCTACAACCAGCTAAGGCGTATCGGAAACCGCCACTGAGCGCCTTCCCCACATCATATTCCGTGTCCTCTCCAGTGCCTTCTCACCAACCGCCTCCAGTTCCGCAACACACAGTGGCTCATCATTATTCGAATGCAAACTCTACTGGAACAAACTCTACTGGAACAAACTCTACTGGAACAAACTCTACTGGAGCAAATGCTGTTTCGCATCTGTATCGGGACCAATCTTCAACTACAGATAATCATATTGTACATCAAGATGGCTCCTATGGGCACCGCATTACAAATTCGCATATTTCACATCCGCATATTTCGCATCCACAAAACGTTCGGCCACAATACACCCAGAAACATCCTCCACAAAATCCTCAGAAACATAATCTACAGCAGTCAATGTCACATGTCCATATACTGCAGCCTCATATTTCTGTCCCTAGAAGCAGTCCACAAGTACAAGTAAGTGAAGCATACGGAGCACCTCTGTCGAGCAGAGGAGTACCATATCAGCTGTCTCCATACCCCAATTATGGCCTGCCCCTGAACGGTATGAGCCAATTGAAGGGCCCCGAGAGAGTGGGTCCACCCTCGAATAGAGCATTGCAACCCAATGGTACATTGCAATCAAATGGGACATTGCAACCCAATGGGACATTGCAACCAAATGGGACATTGCATCAATATGGCGCATCGCAAGGACCGTATGGAGTACCATATGGTGCTCCTCATGGGAATCAGCAAACGGGAAATTATTACAGCGGACCTCAAAATTATGGAACAAATCAGCAATATGTCACGGGCCTGTCACACTTGCAGCCTCATGGCCACACAAATAGTCATCATTATGGTCATTCTTCACATGGAAATGGCCATCACAGTCATCACAGTCAGACTACACATGGCAATGGCCATATTTCCAAGACACAGTGGATGAGGGACAATGGAGTCTGCGGTCTCAAGAATTTGGGCTCATCCTGTTATATCAACCTGACGATTCAAGTGTTGGTAGGCGTGGATCGTTTCAATAGTCTCTTTTACCGTCATGCTAACGAGTGGCTAACGTCACGAATGCGCTCGCTGTTAGCAGAAGCAATGGTAAACTTGGTGGCGACATTCAACATTAACGGGGGTTCTAATATCGCGCCAACGAAGTTCTTGAAGGTGTTGGCGCGGCTCAAACCCGACTTCAACATTCCCAACGAGCAGCAAGATGCACAGGAGTTGTTATTGTTTCTCTTGGACAGGCTCCATGAGGATTTGGCCACAAAACCTGTTCTGTCTGACGTGGACTATATTGCGCTTTGGGATATAGACGTGGAGCCCAGAGACCGAGAAGAATACTTGACATGGTACCGTGGACTTATCAAGTATCAAGGGGAATCGCCAGTCAACGATATGTGCCAGGGCCACGTGCAGAGCAGGCTTATCTGTAATCGATGTGGCCACCGTTCGGTCAGCTACAGTCCATTCACGATTTTGTCACTTCCTATTCCGCACACAAACAACAACGGAGTCGATCTCACGGATTGCTTGCGTTATTATACCCAGGACGAGGTCCTTAGTGGAGAAAACGCTTGGAAGTGTCCCAAGTGTGACAAATCGCTGGATGCCACTAAGGAAAGCCCAATGGACGCTGTTTTCCAGCAGAAGAAGGGTATGTTCCGCTTCAGCAAGCGCAGCAAGTCGCCGTCTAAAAAGACATCTACATCGCCACAGCCGCCGGCCACCAGCATTACCATCAAGCAGTTGAGTTTCATCAAATTGCCGCCTGTTTTGTTTATTCATTTATCCCGTTTTTCGTTCAACTTGACAGATAAAGTTGACACGGACATTGCATACCCAATGCGGCTCCAGTTCAACCACCATGAACATGAAATTACGTACAATCTCCGTGGGTTCATCAACCACTATGGTACGCTCAAGAGCGGCCACTATACGAGTCTCGTGAAGAAAAACACGGGAGTCGGCGCAGATGGTCATTCTCGCTCGGTATGGTGCTCTTTTGACGACGACCATGTGGGCATCAATGTGACGCACGGCGATGGCCACAACAAGGTCCACTCGAGGGACGTCTATGTGCTTTGCTACGAGCGTGTGTAAGAGGAGAGATTCAGTTTGGACAGTTCATCTCTTCGGGGTATCCTCATGAATTGGTGTCGCTATCGCTGTCGTTAGAAAAAGCCAGTGCAACGGGCCGTTTTTTCGTCACAAGGCCCTTGAGCGAGAGCTTGATCGGCGCACCAGGTGACAGTGATGCTTTCGCTGCTTGTGTGTTCCCTGCCAGTGCTTCCTGCTTCAGAGCCTCTTCCTCTTGCTTATCCTTATGCATGTCACTATTATTTGCAGATGTAGTTTTCTCCTGTCTCTGCTCTAACTGTTTGCCGTGCTCTACTTGCTGCTGAAGGAACTTTAGTGTTCGTTCCTCGTCGGCTTCGGCAGCTTTCTTCTTCGCTGGCGCCGTCGTTTCGGGCAATCGGATCACAAGATTGAACTCGTCCTCTGCATCAGGCATTTCGACCCTGACTTTTCCCTGGCGGCCCAAGTATCGTATGAAAGAAGTCAAGGAAGACCACTTGGTGGCATTCATGTGCACGTGATCCCGGTCGTTCAAGATGTACTCTTGATAGAACTTGTTGGCGTCGATCTTTTTGGTGCCATGGTTGATGCGCAAGAGCCGCATGAAGTCTCGTTCGAACTGTGCCAGAAACTCCTCCACAACCGAGCCGGCCTTCCCGTCCAGGCTCAAGTTGGAGATTCGGCCCATGTGCGACGGCGACAGAAGATGGTTTTTGAAACCATTGGCATCGCGACATTGCTTGCGGCAAAGCTGGCAGTAATATCGGAGTTTCTGAAGACCCGACGCCTTGAGTTGCTTGGCCTGGTACTTGGCCGAGCCGAATTCAGCTTTCCCCATTGAGATGAGACGATGAGCAGATGTGGGAAACGGTTTGCGGTGTGCAGGAAGTGGTTTTCAGAAGAGGGCAATCAATCGAAGTCTGTCTCTTTTGGCCTTGTATTGACGTGGCGACGATGATTCTCTTTCGGTTCTTCTTTACGATCTCCGAAATACGACACTTGCTCAAGGCTCCACGTCAAGATGCATCACCAGTCCTTTATGCAGAACTTCAACTCTTCTACACCAGTGGAGAACTAGGTCGTTACCAATGAGAAGCCATCTAAAGGTGCCACGTGTGGGGCAGCACATACATCATGTCCGATTTGCGTCCACCGCCCCCGTGAAGAGCTACTGGGGCCTCCGAAACCCCGCATCGCTATTTTGGCACCAGAAACTTTCGCCCACTGCCAAGTACTTCTCTGGCATTTTGGCGGCGGCCACAGCGGTGAGCCACGTGCATCCGAACGTTTTGGTCACTGTGGGACCTCCCGTGGCAGTTGCAGGCTACTTTATTGCACGGCGTCTCAATTACCTTCACTACAAGGCGCTGTTGGCGCTAGTGCGACCAGCAGATGCCTCGGCCTGGGCCGATGAGGATGCGATTGTCAGGGTTTGGAGCTACAAGGAGGAGGATTTGGCCACGGCGATGCGAGGCATCGAAAACCGCTTTGGGCATTTCCAGGCCCAAGTTGTGGAGCTCGTGGAAAAAAGAGTGGTGGACTATGTGGCGGCGCAAGAACAGCTGGGCGTTCTGACAGGCATCGCACGTTCTCTCGTGGATGAAAATAGCCAGGTTGTGGTGCATATGGGCTCGTCGTTCGAGACGTTTGTGACGCTGCAGGCCAAAGTTATAGACCAGGGAGGAAATGATGCGGTCGTGGAGTATATCAAGTGCTCGGTGCCATACTACTCTTCCAAGAATGCGGCCCTACGGCGGAGACTAGGTGTGGCAGAAGTCTCGATGCTTGCTGTCCCAGACGGCTCCGAGTCCGAAGACTACACCGATTACCGAATTCACATTGATCTCTGTCCATATCGGTTTTTCGGCAAGCCAGAGGGATTTAGCAGCTTGAGTAGCTGTGGAATCATGTCGAGTAGCACACATAAACCAGCGGCTCAGAAAACATCCGAACCGAACTAACATTGAGAATCCAGACGCCGGGCGAAGATTGGCGCCTGTAATTGACGCCTGAACTTGTATTTGAGCCGAGTCTGTTTGAAACGATAGCGTCTTTTCTCAGACTTTATTGTGGTTTAAAAGGGAGCCAATTTCAAAGCAGTCTTTTGATCGCTATCAGTCAAGAGGATCCAGCTATTCATTTGTATATAGAACGATTGACAATAGTCAATTGGCGTTTGTATCTGAGAAGATAACAATCACGTACTACGCTTTCGCATAAGATTCATGTAGTCTTCACTAAGACAAAGTATCATATTGCCCAAACTATCGAATCGAAATTTACGGAGAAAGAATATCGAATCAAACCATTACCAAAAACAGTAAGACTGGAAGGATGGAGCGCCATGTCTCGCTAGCGAATGAAAGTCGCTTCTATCGATTGATAGCATAAATGTACTACCTTACTAGATCTGAATCAGCCACACACAAATTATGATTGTATCACGGCCCATAGTTCTGCAATAGCGTTTACCTTAGTTCGGGAAAATCAACAGAGTCGAGCCTGAAAATTCACTCACAGTGAATGTGTAAGAGATAATCGTCATTTGGCCATGCATGATAACATCCAAGTCTGTTTCAGAGACTTCAATGCTTCAAATGTAATCAAACTATCTTGCCTCGATTATTGTATTTTCTTATCGTTTCAAGCCCCACCTGTTGGAGCTTAAACTTGTTTTCAAGACCAGCTTTCTTCCTCCGTAGGCGTTCAAGTTCTTTCTCTAATTTGCCCATCAAGGTAGAGACATGCATGTTTGTTTGCTTTGACCATTTTGCCGACTTTCAACTGAATAATGTCCAGCTTGGACTGCTCCCCATGAAGTTGTCCGGCAAATGTCATCTCGGCGCAGGTGCCAAGTTCCATCTTTTTGTTCTTCAACAATTGCGTTCACCATGCACTTTACTTCAGTATTGCATACCGCTTCCTTCGATTTATACTGCTTCCTTCGATTTTATACCGCTTCCTTCGATTTATACTGCTTCCATTATACTGCTTCCTTCGGCTTTCCTCTCTAGCGCTTGCCAAAGAAGTTGCGGTGGAAATCCAGGAACGATTTCCAGTGGTAGCAGTCTGACGACTCGCGGATCTGCTCCAAAGCAGGCATCCACGACCGGATGTCGGCCATGCGCTTCTGGGTGTTGGGGTGTGTCGATAGAAACTCCAACATGGGCGTCGCCTTCTGCGACTTCTGCTCCCATGCGCCCATGCGGGCCCAGAAATCCACTGCCCGTGTCACATCAAAGCACAGATGCGCCATCAACTCGCAGCCGATCCGGTCGGCCTCGGACTCCATCTCCCGCAGCGCCGGCATCTGGAGCAAGCCTGCAATCAAAAGGTCGTTGAACCACGAGATTCCCGTGGCCATGTACAAGAGGGTGGAAAGCGCAAGGTAGATGGGCTGTTTGCTCAACTGCTCCAGCGAATGGTGGGCCAACTGGTGGGCCAACTCGTGGGAAAGCACCGTGGCCAAGCCGTCCTCGTCTCGGCAGATGGGCAAGATCAGCAGGAAAATGAAGATCTTGCCGTTGGGCAAGATAAACGCATTGGGCGGCTCTTCGGCGCCGTGCGGGCGGATGATGTGGATGCTCCAGTCCAACAGACGCACGTGGGCGGCCTGCTGCGGGTCTGGGGTGTTGTCCACGGCGCTGGCCAAGAGACGGTTCATGACCCGCAGAATGAGAAGGTAATTGGGGTCGCCCGACGGCGAAATCTGGTTTTTGTACTGCGCCATGATCTGCGCATAGCTGTAATCGCCCACTTTCCGCTCGAGCCAGTAGGGGACCCAGAGTAAGCGGCGTCTTTTGGTGAAGGGCGCCTCGTCCAAGTTGTAAAGATAAAAGGCGATACAGGAGCCGGCAAAATAGAGCGTGTAGCGGGACTGGAAGAGGCGGGTAAAGGAGACGGTGGGCTGGCTGCCAAAACGGCGATAGGAGGCGTTCCGCTTGAATACCAATGGATGAAAGAGACGTGGAAAGGACCGGAACATGGAGATAGATGGAATCAACAGAGCGATTAACAGAGCAGATCAAAATGGCAGATGAAATGACAGATCAAAATGGCAGATCAAAATGGCAGATCAAAATGACAGATAAACAAGATCACGGAATCACTAAGTCGGATAATTGGAGAAGGCGTGGAATATTAAAAGTGAACGGAAAGGAAAAGATAATTGGCGCGATCTAGATCTGTAGGTGGATGCGAAGATAGGAAGACCAGCAATAGAAATTGAAGTGGAAGAGAATAGAAGAATGGTTAGACGATTGATTGTGGAGGAGAATTAGAAGAATAGCTAGAAGATTGATTGTGGAGAATTGAGAAGTTATTAATGATGGAGATTGAGAACTATGAGATTCGGAGAACCGAAATAAATAGATAAGCAGGTCCCAATGAAGTGAAATGCGTAGATTAAAGGCACGGACAAAAATCACTGTTTCCATATCCATAGAAAGTAAGACACTACTTCAAACTAGCACAATTAGACTCCAAGCGTTTAGGTATTTATCCAAATAACCTATCACCTTGTTTCGATAATCGCCTCTTTGGGACAGTCAGTTCCAATTTGGTAATTGATTGATTGTGTCTAATGGATACGATGCAATGTAGTTATTATATTTCCGATTCGACATACAATGCGCTAATGTAGGCTTTACCGATCTGAAGGCGTAACTTCAGACTTCTTCATGTCACTGTTTATTGAAAGCTTTTATTGCCACTTTACATTGGACTCACTAAATGAAGAGTCCAGTAAACTAAGATTTTGAACGTATCCATGTTGGACCGCAATGGATGCCACCTATGACACTGATATTGAGGGCAGTTCATTGTTCAAGCACGTCGAAACACGATGAAATCGCATGGATACTCAACCCACCAACAATGATGGCGTACTATTGTCCTATACTTGCCCAGCAAGTACGACGCCCGTATCCAGCATACGCTGGCATCATTATCGGATCACCGACACGGAAATGAGATCTGATGGAAGCTCGGCATTGCTCGATTCCTTTTCTTGGATTTGATTTTATACTCGTGAGAAGTGTTTTGAAACTGACTGAAATGACACGGCCATGAATAGTAAAGATGACAACGGCCATCAGAGATGACAACGGCCATCAGAGATGACAACGGCCATCAGAGATGACAACGGCGTAAATAGACGATGGATTGTCGGAGATGTGAATTGATAAGACTCTGCACGAGTCACTTTGATTGGAAGGAAGAAGCCCTCGTTAGAAACGTATGAGCTGTCCATGTAGGCACCCTAACCGAAGCGGCCATATTCATGATGACTGAAAGATAGGCTCGTATTATTGTTCGGCCGTGGTCAGTCGTTTGATAAGTCGTTTGATAAGTCGTTTGATCAGTGAGGCCGTTGATCAGTGAGGCCGTTTGATCTTGTTGATCTTGTTGCTCTTGTTTCTTGTGATCATGTTTCTTGCTGCTCTTGTTTCTTGATCTTGTTTCTTGATCTTGTTACCTTCTTGACTGCGCCACGGGCGGAAGCTTGTCGAAAAAAGGCGCCTGGAGCTGCTTGGCCCAACGTGTCAAGCAGTCGGGAAGGGTCCGAGCTGGGCGTGCTGCGCCCGCTGCGCCCGCTGTGAACACTGTGGCCGTCCAGCACCGGCGGCGGCTGCGCCAAGTTGACGTCGTCCACTATGGGAATGAACTGGTCGTAGAAGGCGTATGCGGACCGCGTATGGACCGGCGGCTTGGGTTTGTCGGACAAGGTCGAGGCCAGGTGGTCGGGCAGGTCGGGCAACAGGCCGCAGGGCGGGTCGGAGCTGGGCGCCGACGCTGGGTCCGAGCGGGCGTCGGGCGGTATGTCCACCACTTCCACCGTGGCCGAAACGGTCTTGGCGGCTGTTTTCGGGCGCTGCGACAGATGGGGCAGCTCCGACAGCAGCGCGTTGGGTTTTTCCGGGAGCGGTGTCTTGGCCTCGAACGGCGTGTGGAGCGCCTCGTGGAACGCCGTGTACGAGTTGTTATCTCGCAACTCAAAGTCGAGCGCCGTCTGGGCGTCCTCGCGCTGGTCGTGGCGCCGGCGGCGCAAAAAGAGAACGGTGCCGCCGACGAGAACAACGAAGCAGGGGATTCCCACGGCCAAGCCGACGGCCAAGCCCTGGTCGTAGCCCATGATTATGAGAATAGGAGAGGTAGCGAACAAAAACGACTGAAAGACGACCGATGATCGACTGATGTTCTGATGTTCTGATCGACTGATGTCCTGATCTTCTGATGTTCTGATTGACTAATGTTCTGATCTTCTGACGTTCTGATCTTCTGATCTTCTGACGACTGAAGACGAAAATGAACTCGGCACTGGCAGATGGAAACGGAAACGAAACTGGACTGGAATGCCAGAGGTTGTGGCAGGATCGGATGGGACACCGGATCTCACGTGAACGAGAAGGCCGAAAAGGAGACTGCGGTTGGGCGATGGATGGATGGACTTGCCGGCTAAAGTCCGTTGGCGTTTGTTCGGTGAGAAGAGGCCGAGTGAAAAGCCAGCTTGCGGTGGAGATCCGGGGCGGCGAGTCGGGTCGCGGCCGGAACTCGCACTTCCGGGCGCACCGGCCGAACATTGAATAATACATTGTATACAATTGATATTGATAGTGGATAAATAAGAGGATAATGGAAGATAATTGGATAATGGAAGATTATTGAAATATAGTGGATAATGAAGATTATTGATATATAGTGGATAATGAAGATTATTGATATATAGTGGATAATGGAAGACAACTGGATAAATAAGAGGATACTGGAAGATTATTGATATATAGTGGATAATGGAAGATTATTGGATATAGTGGATAATGGATAGATAATTGGATACATAGGACAGTGGATAGATAATTGGATAATTGGATAAATAACTGAATATGGTAAGATGATTGGATATAACTGATAGTAGATACATTGGTTACTAGATAATTAGTGAAGAAAGAAATACAGACGTTTGAATGGTTATCTATGGAACGAATGCGAAGAAAAATCAATAAAGTTGACCAGAGGTGGGTGAGAACATGAAATTAAGTACGGATTCAGACGAGGAAATATGGAATGGAGAGTGATTTCTACAAATGATAACCAACAGGCACAAACATATGTGCTAGTCTACTGTAAGTATTACATTATTTAATTCCGGAGACTCAACCCGGGAAATGACAAAACATTCCATGTTCTTGTCTACTTCATTCTTAAAATGCCTATTTGACTGAGTTTGGATGGAGGAACGAAAACCAGTCTCCGTAAAGATAGCTAAACTGCCGTGGCTTAATATAGCTTGTCACTGATTGATTTTCGTGTTTTTGACTGCATTCGAATCACAGATACCCTTAATGTGAAAACAAGGAAAAGATAACTAGTTGGCTTAGAAGAGACTTATTGCTTTTTATCAAATATACTGAGTTGGGAGAATTTTCACTAGCTACCAGTCTGTTTTAAGGAACACCGGCTGCAAGACCAAAAAGATCTAGAATAGTCATAACTCGACAGATATTGCGTAATTTAATTTCTTGGGAGAACGTTAACAATTACCACGTCGTCGTACAAACTCATCGGGATGAAAAAGAACTACCCGAGGCAGATGAGATGTATTAACTTAGGGCAATAAACTAGCACTACGACTCACATACTATACTGTCTTTTAGTAATACTAGATACGTATCTCAGTGTCGAGTCATATCCTATTCTCCTTCTGAGGGTACGTTGGACTAGAAGAATATATAGGTTAAAGGCTGTGAGGATTGTACGAATCCGAAGAGACAATTCACTTTTTCTTGATAAAGACGCTGACTTGACTGCTAAGGACTGAATCACAACTCACTGTTTCTTGTAAGTCGACTCTAATACTGTCTTATGTGAGTACATGTGCAAAGCAATTGGTTATTGCCTTATACATTTCAATCAATAGGGGAAATTCGATAAATGTCTTGAAATAGGTTATACTCGTGCTCACCTTGAATAGTTCTTTTAAGTTCCGTTCAAGCTTTCCAGGATCCACATTTATTTTAAGAAGATACATCAATGTTGAAGGTTCAGCTTGTCTGGATGTGTATGATTTATCAGCTTTGAAAATATTCGAACAATTTCATCTCGAAAGACCACGGATCTTCTAGCACTGTGATCGACACATGTCATACTCTATGATTCATAGTGAGATTTCATGTTGCTCAAGCGTACAAATAATAAGGCAATACTACTTGTCCATTAAACGTTATGCCGACGAAATCGACAGTCGTTTCTTTTATCGACTTACTTTGCATTTCAAAAGCTTATTTTCGTTTAAGTTGGAGCTAAATTACGCAGACTTCCGAGGGCAGGGTCCTTCCTCATTGGTTTCCGAGGGCCACACATCCTGCACCCAGCTACGTCGGATGTGTTCGAGGCGGGAATCCGCATATACAGGACGAAGCTACTCAAAGTTTCTCCGTCCCTTGTGGCGCTGAACTTTCATTCCGAGATTCAAAGGAATATGCTGGATTCATATGCGTCTGCGGATCATATGTTCGCCTTTTTTTTGCGTCAAAAAAAAACCGTCGTACGTTTTTCCTGTCTATGTATGCGCATAACAACAGACAGGCACTTGCCTAATACGGAAGTATTATGAATAGCATAGCCATCAATGGCCATAAGTGAAAGAAAGTTGGTTGAAGTGGATTTGAATTTATGTATCAGGTGAAATGTGTCTGAAAATATGCTTTGAATTTTGTGAAAATGAGGATTCCGAATCAGGATACTTAGGCAGACCTTAGGAGTAATACATTAAAGTGTTGATTTTTTACTACTGCCGAACTATCTTTAAGTGATCCAGTTCAGATGCTGTCAAATGTGTCAATTCTTGGCGCCTTGGCATGCTAGAGAGTTATAATCCACCCAAGTGTAGTATAATAAGATGAATAAAAAGTTGAAAGCTTCATTATTCGAATTGGAATTGCATGCAAAGCATGTGGCATAGCCATAGAATCAAACTTCTTTAATCTGTTTCCATTACTTCAGGTTCAGGTTCGCAATGGTGAAGAAATTCTACTGAATTGCCGATCAAGCCAAATCGAGTATGACGTCCATGACAGATTCTGGCACCACGTTTTATTACAGTAGCTAGATATTAGACTTTTGGAGAGATGGTGACTTAACTTTAAATGATAAAGCTATTCACATAACCCTACCACCTGTAGTAAATTTATGGTTGATTAGATGTTAAGTATTCCTGATGTTTCAAGCATTATAAGAGAGAATAACTACACCGTCAAGATTCTCGATAACCTGTTTGCTTTAACATAGAGACATTGCTTTAATCTTCAAAGTCTTCAACCGAGCTGAAAGATCAGGATGTTACAGTACACTTACTAACGAGTGATTATAATTTCCATTAATCATGCTCGTGTATTATTGAAGTCTCCAACCAATCGGCCGATCAACAATATCCAGGTATGAGCTTGACCGGGTACTTGACATTTTGGATCTGTGCCAGTGACACCAGTACATAGTATGCAATGCTTTCCATTTCTTCTTTTCCGTACCTCTATTAGAACGCCATTTCTGACACATGTAGAGTTCAAGCCTATATTTATATTCTTTCCAGACCCTGGGATGCTCTGATCCCGTCCAGACATGATGGCCCAAGTTCTATTTTCCTCCTCCATTTTTGATTTCTGTCTTTCCGTCTGTTCTCCATGCTCATGTCAATTCACGCCAAATACCGTCTTTCCTCTTACAATCTGTTCTGGCTCTACTATTCCTTGCTCTGCTTTCCTTGCTCTTGCTGTTCCTTGCTCTGCTGTTCCTTGATCTTACTATTCTCTGTGTTCCTATCTGTTCCTCTTACGCCTGTAACTGCATTCCTATGTACATCACAACTCAAAGTCCAACGTTGGGTCCTTCATCAAGTCCAACACAGTGCCGTCGGCCGTTTCCAACGTGAAATGGTGCACGTCGAACGGAACCAACTTCAGCGTCCTCGAAGCTTTCAAACGCAACTTTCCGGCGCCGCTGTCGCCCCGGACACCAAACACAACGTCAATGTCGCCCCGGACAGTGTTCAAGGGGCCCCAGATCCAGGGCCACGACGACTGGAAGCCGATGTTGGGGCCCAATTCCGCCTTGGCCACATCGGATCTCCGCAAACAGTAGAGAACAGAGTTGATGATGGGCGATCTCGTCTTCTCGTAGTTGAAAATCAACGCACACAGCAAGGTCACGCCCACAGCATAGACCCAGAAGTATCTTTTGTTTAGTTTTTTGTCTGCAAACGGATCAGGTAGTTCTCGGTCGACATTGACGACTTTCCTCTCGACTGCCGGATCTGGAACGGCGGCAAACGTTCTGATGGCAGAATTGAAGAGAGGAGCATGAAGACTTTTCGGAGTAAATCCGGCCACGTTGGCCCGAAACGCTCTAATTCCGACTCTTTGCATTGGAAAGAAGAGTGGTGAGGTTTTTCCAGTGTGGTGTATGGATTTCGGGAAGTAAGGTGGAGACAGAAGAGAAAAAAAAAAGACGTCGAATTTGCTCAATGTTTAGAAGTTGAAGTGATTTCTGGTCCTTGGGCTGTCCTTGTTTCTGTAAGTTGGTCTACTTTTGTACTTTGCTTGGAAAATAGCACATTGCGGTTTCGCAAGAAGATTCTTACTGGCATAGAATAGCCCATCAAACGACAGGCAACAGGCAAGGATGTACTATTTGCAAGAAATCTACTTCTGATTCAGCTTCTTTTTTGGTTTGGCCAATGTGTTCGGCTCGTTGCTCGAATGTGTGATGAATTCTCATTACAGAACATAATAAACGGACTGGATTCCAACAGGCAAGGTTTGGGAGAGTATTCAAAATGTTGAGCTTTTTTATATCTCTTGTCATTGACAATTGACAACGGTATAAAGCTGTCACTTAAGTTTCAGTTAGCTGTAGCTTCTGCTATCACAACTTGATTGTTGAATATCAGTAGAATAATTGCTAGTGTGACTTTCAATTCGAGTGTCGAAGAGAATGATCGGAGTAATAAACTTAAAGTTTCAAGTAGTGACCGGAATGAAAAAGCAAGGCAAGAACTTCCAGAAGTGGGTTATGGCACTTAGTCTATTATAAGAGCATCCGCGAGTCTTTTCTGTAACAACTTGATCACTGAGATATTGCAAGAGAATGAATTGATAGTCCGAATGATCTACTTATCTGCCAGAAGTAATGCTTAAACTTTTGGTCTTGATTCCAGTTAACTTGGAATCTGCTCATGGCATTGTTGGATTGTTGAAACAGAAACTCGTACATGTTTAAATACTCTGTTTAGACCAGCATGGCAAGCGAATAGTCCTTGATTAGTGGCCAATGCTTGATTTTTTCTCGTCGGCTATCCTGATTCTGATCTTGCTTTAACATGACTGATGAAGCTTTTGGGCAGAAGTTGATGCTACAAGAGTAAACACGTCACATTCGAGTAGTAACTCAAGTGATTGAAAAATACCGATGCACTCTGTTTTCATTTTCTGTTCGACATCCTTTGGTGTTCATTAAAAAGTATCTTGCACAATCTTGGAAGGAAAGATATAGTGACTTTTCATCCGCTTGCGATATCCACTAACATTACATATCAGACAGATATTGTACCTTTTAGAACTCAAAAGAGCTTATCGTAATACAAAACCTCCGCCTACGTTCCTAAACCTGTCGGTCCATTAACTACATAGACTAAATTGTCAACTGTTTAAAAGGTGCTAAAGGTCACACTGGCACACCATCCAGTCCATAAAATCGTACTTCGGCGCCTGGATTCCCCGGGCCCCAAGCGTATCCCGTAGAAACTTGGCCAAAGCTAGCGCCTTGGCTGCTCTTTTCGGAAACACAAAGCAAACAGTCTCTACGCCAAACCGTTCGGAGCACATATCTAGAAGATCTATACTCAATCGTGGAGACTGTTTTTGGGCTAGCAAGACGTCTAGCGACACGGCCAGAAGCTCAAGCCACACGACTGCGCCCTTTTCTGTCGTTTCGAGCGCCCCCTGGACAAGAACATCCAGGTTTCGCTTGATGGTAAGCGCCAGTTTGGAAAAGTGAATTGCGAAGTCAAAGATACTGCTCGGTTGCCGGATCGAGCCAGGAAGTGTTCGATTGCGAGTGCATGGAATTTTTGGTATAGATATTCATGGCTAAAGTTTGTTGTTGAAGAAGATGGGGAAACTTGACAAAGATGGGGAAACTTTGACTTTGACGTTATCAGGGCGGAAACGCTCGGCGATAGTGGTGATATCACGTGACAAAAGTAAGTCATGAAAGAATAGACAAGCAGATGGGAGTCGAAAGTAGCCAAGAAAGGAACGTTATAAGAATACGATGGCTACTATGTGAATGTAACTATGACGGAGCTTTATGGACAACGGACCTTAATGGAATCGAGCCATATGGAATCGAGCCTTATGGGACGAGCCTTATGGGACGAGCCTTATGGGACGAGCCTTATGAAACAAACCTTTTGGAAACGAGCCTTATGGAGATGGCGTACATTAAGAACGATAATGTCTCGGATAACGTATTTTCAGAAAAGATAATCGTTTCTGTTTGTTTAGGTTGGTCCATGTCACGTGCGCAGGGCATCTCAAAAAGTCTACAATGAGAGGCATCGCTATTACCTTTCGGCAATGGCCAAAAAAAGTATGTAAGAATTTCTAGCCATTTCGGCCCTGGAAGCTGATTTCAGAAATCACAAACAGAATCTTAGTCTTGAGTCTATTCGGATCAACAATAGTTTGATCAGAATAGTTTGATCAGAATAGTTTGATCAGAATAGTTGATCGGATTAATAGTTGATCGGATTAATAGTTGATCAGAACCTACAAGCTGGTTAACCATTGAAGTCGGTAACAGATCCTAGATTCGAATGCCAGAGATGCTTTGTTACTCTTCCAACTTATGCTAACTTCTAGTCTCAAAACATAGCAGAGCGGCCCGAAGAGGCGAAATCTCCACCGACGGAGATAGACTGTTGGAAAACATCCCCAAGGCGGAAAACGACGATGTCAAAAAGTCCATCATCCGAACAACCATCAAAAACGAAAACTTGCTCGCGAAGAAAATGGAAATGGACAAGATCAGGAAGAAGGGAGCCAAGCGGAAAACCAGCGCATTGAAGAGCAAAACCGATCGGGGCCTGAGAGTGGAAGGTATTCTTGCCACGAAGATCCAGCAAAGTATTGAACGGTCGAAATACGTCCAAAGCGCCCGCAAGGCTGGCTGGGACAAGATCAACAAGACCATTGAAATCAAAAACGACTTGTTGGAAGAAAAGAAGACACCTGTTCCAACGGAGGACGACGTGGCCCAAATGGAGGAGGACGAGTATGTGGACGAGTTTTTCGGCAAAGAGAAGGAGAAAAGCCCCGAGGGCCCAAAAAACGCTTTTGCGTTGTTGGAGGAGACAGAGGCGTGATGTACACTAGTGTAAGATAGGATATAGAAACAACATAAGGAGCCTGAAAAGAGGAGGATTAAGCAAGTAGTAGACTAGCAGATGTGCAAGTGTTTTTGGTGGTCATATTGAGTTATAAATATGAGGATCTGTAGCTCAGTTAAACTCAACGAATACTTCACTGAAGGTCTGCCTTGATTTACTGTCTGAACAAACTGTTGAATAAAGGGAAAGGCCAATCAGTTCTGCGTTGTCTTAGCTAGAACTAAAATTAATGTTCTGCGTTCTCTTAGCTAGACCTAAAATTAATGTTTTGCTTTCTCTTAGCTCTTAAAATTAATGTTTTGCTTCTCCTAGATAGACCTAAAATAATGTTCTGCGTCCTCCAGTCTTAGACCAATCAAAGAGGAATCTTTAATCTCGGAATAATCGAGAAAAATGCATAATCCAAGAGACAGACTTGGTGAATTGGCCGGAACCGAGCGTGATTGAACATCTTCGCTTACAAGTCCAACCAGAATGATGCCGAATTATCAACCGTTTGGTCACATAATTGTTGAGAAGCATCTAGGAAATAAGTTAATTGTTGTGTCTGACGCCATGTTCATGTCGGTAATTGGTTTGTCATTTGGTCACTATCAATTCATTCTGTCACTTCTTTCGTTCTATATTATTGTCATATTTTAAATTGTCATCTGTCATATTCTCATATGTCATACTGTCATTTTGTCGTTTGTCATTTTGTCGTTTGTCGTTTTGTCGTTTGTCCTTTTTGTCGTTTGTCATTTGTCATTTGTCATTTGTCATTTGTCATTCTATTTATCATTCTTTCATTCATTCATTCATTCTTTCATTCATTCATTCATTCATTTGTCATTTGTCATTTGTCATTCTCACACTCTCATCCCATTCTCTGATTACCTTCACCATTCCATCTCCTACTTTTCCATTCCGAAATTTTTTCATCATTTATTCATCATTTATTCATCATTTATTCATCATTTATTCATCATTTATTCATCATTTGTTCATCATTATTCCACCATTATTCCACCATTTTCCCACCATTTTCCCACCATAATTCCTCTTCACCTTTGCAATCTTATCACTCGCCTGCACAAACCATACCGTATCAACACCATCATCAAACCGTCTTTCCAGCCATGAAACTTTCTGCTCTCGCCAAAATCGCCGTGTTTCTCCACGGCGTGTATGGAATTGCCTTTGAGCCCTACAACGTGCTGCTGTTGAGCAAAAGCTCTTTTTTCGAGCAGTTTGACTATGATTCCGTGCAAAGTTCCCACTGGGTTCCGTCACGCGGCGAAAAATCCGACGGCTCGAAGTATTTGGGCGAGTGGGCGGTCGAAGAGCCCACGATGTATCCCGGATTTGCCGGAGACCGGGCGTTGGTGATGAAAAGCGAGGCGGCTTACTATGCCATTTCTCGGCGGTTGGACACTCCGTTGAAAACGGCCAAAAGCGACGTGGTGTTGCAGTTTGAGGTGAAGTTCCAGGACGGAATCACATGCGGTGGCGCCTACGTCAAGTTGTTGACTGATGCCAGCGACCAGGACCACTTTTCTGACCGCACGCCTTTTGAAATCATGTTTGGGCCCGATCTCTGCGGCTCCAGCAACAGAGTGCTCTTCATTGTCAAGACGCAAGTCGGCTCTGAAGTGGTGGAGTCCCGGATCCGGACGCCGCCCATGGCCCGCGAGAACCGCTTGTCCAACTTGTATACGCTTGTTCTCCGGAAAAACTACGATGTGGAAATCCGCATCAACGGCGACGTGGCCAAGGCCAGCAATCTCTTCACGCCGCATTTCATGGTGCCTCCGTTGTCCGAGCCCGAGTACATCGAGGACGCCGAGGCCACAAAGCCGGACGACTGGGACGACCGCCGTTTTGTCGAAGACGAAACCGCACACAAGCCAGACAATTGGGACTCGGACCACGGAGCAATGTGGATTCCAAACCCGGACATCGAAAAGCCTGCGGGCTGGAACGACGACGAAACTCAGCCGGAGTACATCAGAGACCCCGAGGCCGAAAAACCGCAAGACTGGGACGAAACAGAAGATGGCGAGTGGAAAGCGCCTTTGATCAGAAATCCTCTCTGTCTTTACGGCTGTGGCCACTGGGAGGCGCCCAAAATCGTCAATCCAAACTATAAAGGCGCGTGGGTGCCACCGCAAATCCCCAATCCAAATTATCAGGGCGAGTGGACACCACCAAAGATGAAAAACCCAGCGTACACGGGCAAGAACGAAATCGACTTTAGCCCAGTGGAAGCTCTTGGGATCGAAGTCTGGAGCATGCAAGCCGGTGTTCTGTTTGATAACATCTACTTGGGCCATTCTGTCAAGGAAGCTCAAAAGATCGGAAATGCCACATTTGTCCCTAAAAGCGAAGCAGAATACGCTGATTACGAGAAGAACAAACCTAAACCAAAGCATGAACCAGCTAAGCCACCCAGATCTTTTGAAGACATGCTTGAAGACGAGTCTGTTTCTCAGTTTTCCCAGTTTGTGGAATTTTTGCGTTTGCTTGTATGGACTCGGTACATGAGCGTAAAAGATTTCTGGGCCATGTTCGAAGCTGACCCCGTTTACACGATTAGCTCGCATCCATTCAAATTCGCCTTCTACTGTGCCGTTTTCCTTATAGTATTTACATTTGTCTTTGGAGCAATCAACATTGTGGCTTTCATGGTGTTGAAAAAGGACACGCCGGCGGCGCCGGAAAAGAAAGAGAAGGAAGCTGAAAAGGAGAAAATAAAGGAGCTTTCTGAGGAGGAGGTTCTTGAAATAATCAGGGGAACTGGGGCTCTGAGAGGACAAACGGCGCCTAGAAGAAGGAACTAAAAACCATGAGACTGAAGAGGTTCAACAAACTGTTTGGAAGCGCTGTCATTTCGGATTCAGTTACAACATTCATGACAAGTAGAGACGGGTCTGCTTATATGATGAAGCCTAGCATCTCTAAGCTGACGATGTATGATGGTTTTTTCATTAACAGACGATCTGTACTCAGAATTATCAGCGTAGAGAACATATTGCTCGTGGTGTAAATACGTTTCTGATGGATTCTGAACGCATATAGTAGACATAGGTGAGCAAATCACACAGATTTAATCAGTAAATGAAAATCACTGATGATGTGGTAGTGAGGAGGATATTAACCCAAGAGGAAAAGTACATCAGATTCATCAAATTCAATAGATTCATCAAATTCATTAGATTCATCAAATTCATCAGATTTATCAAATTCAATAGATTCATCAAATTCATCGGATTCATCAAATTCATCGGATTCATCAAATTCATCGGATTCATCAAATTCATCGGATTCAATGCATTTGTATTAGTTCGATGGAGATGAAAGCTGCGGCACATTTGTTGAGATGTGGATTGTCTCCATGTCAATTTTCCACTTATACCATGAAACTGGACATGCCCAAGAGACAACTGGAGCCTATAAGTCGGAAGAATTACAATAAAAGCGAATCAACCAGTACCCCACCATAATCGAAGCGGTAGCCTTTTCTGAAGATCAATCAAATGCAATGACAGTGACATGAACAAGCTAATATTGTCTTGCCAGTGTCTTAAAGTCGGCCGCTTTGGATATGTTGATGATATGTCGTAGTGACGAGTCCCGTGATATTGTAACTTAATGATATGTCTGGTTCTCGTTAAATTGACCAATATATGTTTCCCTGGGTATTTCATGCACTTACGTTGTCATTTTATGTTTGCATTTCTTGAACCTAAATTCTTTCGAAGTTTTGTCTTGACTTATTTTTTTCTATCTTGTCTTTACGTGGAGCAGCAATTCTGTTCTTTCACCTTACCATATGTATGCTTCAGCCAAACATAAATTAACCATAAGAAGATTAGAATTGAAGGCTATAGTGACAGAATCATCATAATGTCTTTCCTTTTTTTCGACTAGACTACTTTACTTGTTCTCCATCAGCAATAATGTCTTATCGTGGAATTCAATTCATTTAGATGGCAGTTGGTCTTGGATAGGAGTTTATTCTACTGGCACATGCATTTGCCTACTGTTCTCCTACTTCGCTTGTCGTTCTACTTATTGGTCACTATTACTGCAGTCTTGTAATTTGTCATTCTTGGTTTTGTCATTCTTGTAATTTTATAATTCCCGTAATTCTTGTTTTGTCATTCTTGTTTTGTCATTCTTGTTTTTTGTCATTCTTGTAATTTTATAATTCTCGTAATTCTTGTAATTTTGTCATTCATGCCATTTTTGTAATTTTTGTAATTTTGTAATTTTTCAATTCTTTTATTCTTGTAATTCTGTAATTTGTCATTCTTATAACTTTTTGTAAGTTTGTAATTTATTAATTTGTAACTCTTAATTCATTTTCTTGCCAGTCTTGTCTTTCGGTCTTCTTCGCATTCTTCCTACTCCTAACTTTCTTTCCACTTTCTACTCCACTTTCTACTCTTCTCTTTCCCCATGCCGAAAAGCCGCTTCTACGTATCGCCGCTTCTCGTTCTCCTTCTGCTTTCGCTCTTGGCCTACTATTACCACGCCTCCCCGGCGCCCCCAATGAAAATCCGCCTTTACACCCACAACATCCGCTACGACAACAGAAATCCGGGCGCCGGCGAACCGTACTGGGAAAAAAGAGGCCCCGCAGTCGCCCAAAGCATCCGCTTCCACACACAGCCGGGCCTGTCTGTTGTTTGTCTTCAGGAAGTGCTCCACCACCAGCTTTTTGGCCTTTTGGACACGCTCAACCGCCACGACGACTGGAGCTACTACGGCGTGGGCCGGACGGACGGGAAAACACAGGGGGAGTATGCGCCCATCTTGTTCAAAACCAATGACTGGGAAGTGGTGCGTTCCCACACGTACTGGTTGAGTCCCACGCCAGAAAAACCGTCCAAGGGCTGGGATGCGGCTTTGGAAAGAATCGTGACGGAGGTTGTTTTGCGGTCAAAGGCGTCTAAAAAGCACGTCAAGGTCATGAACACGCACTTTGACCACGTGGGCGTCGAGGCCAGACGGGAACTGGCACGGTTGATAGCGGCCAAGATGGAGCAGGGCTCCGAGCCGGTGTTTTTGTGCGGCGACTTCAACACCGAGCCCACGGACGAGCCGTACCACGTGCTCCAGAGCACGGGCTTCAAGGACAGCCGTGTCCAGGGCAAGGGCTACGGCTACGGCTCGACATTCAGCGGTTTCAACCGGAAAAATGAGGACAACACCATCATCGACTACATTTGGGCGGGCAACGACACGCAGTGGCAGGACTACGGCGTGGTGCCCAACTTCTACGACTTTTACATGAGCGACCACCGCCCGGTGATTGCGGACTATGTGATTTAGACATTTGATTCAAACAGCAAAGAATGCAGTGATTGAACTTGCATGAGTGCTATGGTTTAAATATTTTTGATGACTTCCAATGGAAAAACTGCAAAGCAGTGATTGATCTAGACTTTCAGCGAAGTGGGAGACTTGCACTGATTTATACTGATGCTATGATGCAGTGACTGGTTAGTGATGAACTATGGTCTCGTGGCCACTTTACTTCGAGTGGATCGCAAATAGTTATGAACAGCTTGTTTTGGTGAATGTAGATGTCTAGTTATTAACGGTAGTCGATCCATAATCCATAACTGATACGTATTGCAAACTACAATCTAATTCACAGCTTGATAGCATGATACTGCTCCAGCCGAATGAAAGTGTTGAACAACAGACGAAGTTGCTCCTGCAATGATGGCTTTTTCTATTCTGAGGCAAGTGTCAATATTCATAATCTTGGACCAAGAGATTTGGTCTTGAAGCCCATTGAAACGGATATTCTGCTTGCCCAGTATTGAGCTAGAGTTGGCGAAAACCTACCATAGGGACTATCAGTGCCGGTGGACATTCTCAAACCAGTGCTTAGACTGAATATTGCTTGATTAGACTGAATCTCAACAAACCAGTGCTTAACCGAATCTCAACCTGCTTAGACTGAATCTCTATTTCGGTAATAAGGTTAGGTTTATTATTTGACGAAAGTATAAGTTGCAGAGTTCTAAAAATAACGGAAGTGGAGTCTTGGGCTAGCTTCAATATCTATAGTAACGTTTGCCAACTTTTGGTCAGAGAATGCAGTTTATGCGTTGGCCAGGAGCCCAGTTCTTCAAAATATGGTCAAAGTATGCTGCAGACAATTCGACAATAGAAACTTACGTCTGAATCGGATGGAACTGAGTTCAAGCACAATTGCCAGAAATATTCTATTGCTACGCTATTGAAAGAACCAAAGATGGACATAGAAGAGGAGGAAAAGATATCATGAAGGTTCAAGCAAGGATCCAAAGAGAGCCGTCTATCATGATGCCAAGGTTCATTGAATGGCTTGACCTGGCATAATAAGCTGGATCTTGTATGTCTAAACATTTGGTGACCTATTGCTACTTTAAATTATCGCTCTAAGATAAGAGTGTGGGGATAAACATTTCGGATGGAAGCTTGTCTGGCTTGTCAAATTCCTCGATCTTCTGTTATGGGATCAGACTTGGCATTCGATTTGATGTCTGATCTTCTGATCTTCTGATGATGTCTGATGATGTCTGATGATGTCTTCTAATTCTTCTGATCTTCTGATTCTTCTCTTCTGATTTCTGATTTCTGATTTCTGATCTTCTACTGTCGCAATTTCTGCGTGCCATATCTCCGACTTTCTCTGCATTTCCCCCTGACCCCAGTTTTCTCTCCTTACCATATCATCCGAATTTTACCATTGCTCTGTCAGACGTGGGAAAAAGAAAAAACAACTTCTCCGCTTCTCCGCTCGCCATGGCCCAAAACAGCGGCAAAAACGGCCCCGTCTGCAGTACGGCCTTATCGTCCCAGCCAAAATACGAACGAAACGCACCATTTAAGGAAAAAGCCGGATTCGCCCATCGAGAACCCGGAGTTGAAATGTGGGGTCGATGCGGATTCCCCACTATGATAGGTGAAAACTGGCACACGGCCTTGCTTTTTCTTTTCTTGGCACCACGTCAAGGTGGTAATGGCAGGGCGACATTTGGAACATCGTTGCTTCTATACACGAGGCTGGCGACTTTTCCGGAATCCACGCGGCGACTTTTCCGGGAATCCACGCGGCAACTTTTCCCCTGCTTATCAAAAGTGTTTACTCTGCAGTTTTTGAGTGGCCCTTGTCTGCACGCCCGCATCATGTAGGGAACTCCTGAATTCGGAGATGCTCCGATCACGACATTTGGACATCCACCATCGAAAGAAAAAGGACTCCACAAAGTATGTCTCCACAATACTGCCAGATTCTTCCTTGCCAAACAATCAATGTGTCTATTTTTTTTGAAGGCATTTTTTCTGGGCACGCAGAGCACCTACGATAACTAGACGCTGCTGCATATACGCGCCCGTGCGTCGCGGGGTACGTATGTCGCGCATACCACATAGACACCTTCACCACAAGGCAGATTTGCTCTGGGTATAAATATGGCCCGGATTTCGTTTCCGTAGACAAATCAGAAACCAGAGAGTATCCGAAAACATGCATTCTGTCGTTTCCTCGGTTCACTCCGAGTATGTGAAGGAGCACAACCAACATGTGATGAAACCGCCCAAGTTTACCTCTCGGGCCATCAAAAAGTACTTTGCCACGAGAATCCTGTCGCTTTTCGTGCCCAAGGAGGAGTTGCAGAGATACACGAAGAAGGAGATCTTCAACCCGTTTGCCGATCTCAACCAAATGACCTTGAAAAACTGGAACTATTTTTTCATGGGTTTCGTGGGCTGGACCTGGGACGCCTTTGACTTTTTCGCTGTTTCCTTGAACACAAAGGCCATGGCCAAGACGTTCGACAAGTCGGTGAAGGACGTCACGTGGGGCATCACCTTGGTGCTTATGTTGCGTTCTGTGGGCGCCATTGTTTTCGGCTACTGGGGTGACCGCTACGGCAGAAAATGGCCCTACATCATCAACTTGTCGCTTTTGGTTGTGTTGCAGATCGGAACGGGTTTTGTCAAGACCTACGAGCAGTTTTTGGGCGTGCGGGCGCTCTTTGGAATCGCCATGGGCGGTGTGTTTGGTTTTTCGTTGGCCACGGCCATGGACGATGCGCCAGCCGCATGTCGAGGCATTTTGTCGGGCATTTTCCAGGAAGGTTACGCCTTTGGGTATCTTTTGGTTGTTATTTTCAACAGAGCCATCACAGACAACTCGCTGCATGGCTGGAGAGCCATTTTCTGGTTTGCTGCGGGGCCTCCAGTGCTTTTCATTATCTGGAGAATGATGTATCCCGAGACAGATGCGTTTATTGCGCAGAAGGCCAAGATGGAAGAGAACCGCAAGACAGAAAAGTCCACTTTCGGCCTCTCCAAAAACGCCAAAGAGGCCGTCCGCAGATACTGGCTTGTGATGATCTACTGTGTGCTCATGATGGCCGGTTTCAACTTCATGTCCCACGGCTCGCAAGATTTGTACCCTACGCTTTTGAGCTCGCAATTGCAATATGGAACTGACCGCTCGACCGTGACCAATTCCGTGGCCAACTTGGGCGCCATTTTCGGCGGAATGGTGTGCGGCCACTTTTCCACTTTTGTGGGCAGAAGATTGACCATTATCTTGGCCTGTCTTCTTGGAGGCGCCATGATTTACCCATGGGCATACACAAAGGGCCCAGGCATCAACGCCGGCGCTTTCTTTTTGCAAGCAGGTGTCCAAGGCGCCTGGGGTGTTGTTCCTATCCACTTGTCCGAGTTGTCTCCTCCAGCATACAGATCCTTGGTTGTTGGACTTGCGTACCAGTTGGGTAACTTGGCGTCTTCGGCATCTTCTACCATTGAAACCACCATTGGTGAACAGTTTCCCATCACGCTTCCAAACGGAGAGCCGGGCTTTGACTACTCCAAAGTGATGAGTATTTTTATTGGCGCTGTTTTTGCCTACATGATTATCATTATTCTTTTGGGTCCCGAAAACAGAGGCGCTGACTTTGACATGGAGAGAGACAATGTGCTTACCGAGGAAGAAGATGGCTTGCCGGACGACGACGACAGTTTGAAGGACGGAAAGCCAAAGGTTATTCATAAGGAAATGGCTGAGGAAGCTTAGGTATTTAGTGTATTGACGTTACTTAATCATGGGTTGTAGTCAAGCTGCTAGCAGCGTTTTCAAAGAAAATGCCATGGAAGGCTACGTTCTACTAAATTAGTCGTCCCATTTTGGTCTTTCGTGTCTATGAGAAATATTTGATCAGAGTGATCAGTCATCAGACAATTTAGAAGAATTAATGTGCATTCTTGCTTTTGGCTATGAACTTTTCAAATGTATGACTATATTTGATTATTTCTGAGAAAGATGATTAGCTGACCGCCCTCGTATTTAAAGCTATTCAAACTTCTTGGTGAACTTTATTTCCTCTCATCTCGTATGTCCTTTTAGACCTAATCTAGCTTTAGTATGTGTTCACTCAATTCTGAGATTGGAATTCTTTTGTCCTTATCCTTTTCCAACTACCACATTTTCCAACTACCATAGTATTTTTAGTAAGCTTTGACTTTTGTGAATAAAGATTAGCCGTAGCTATGTGTGGAACAAAGACGCACGCCAAGCCAAGTGGTGCGGTTATTTTTTGACAAGTGGGGCTGACATAAATTGTGCAGCCTGGCACTTGCAGACGTGCATGCATGACAGTGGTGTACGTCGTTTCGTGGGCCGACCGGACGGCCGGAAACACTAAAGCGACTCGGACCACCGCATATATTGAACGAATATAGAAGGGAGATATAAAATGACTAGAATTTGTGTTTACGTGACTTTTCTCCACACTAAAGATTTATTGTTCTGGCATATTGCTCTTGAAAAGTTTGCCTTCAACAAGTCCGTGATAGTTTAGTGGCTAGAATTACCGCTTGTCGCGCGGTAGACCGGGGTTCAATTCCCCGTCGCGGAGCTTTCTTTTTGGATTTTTTGCCGGTAGCAAGAGGATAATTTTCTGATTTTTTGATTCGGTAAAAGTGATTCTTGATTTCTCGATCGGATCAGCCTGTTAATATGTCGCATATAATCTCACATTAGTCATGCAATTAGCATTCTGTCATTATCTGATATGGGATGGATTCGTTATGTTAATTCTATGAAAAACCTGCAATGTGAAACCTATCCGAATTTGTTTGATAGCGGAAGAATCAAGAACGCGGTGTAGAATAGCTGATAGTTTCATCCTTCATTTCTATGATGAATCTTAGTGATCGCCCCATTAATAATGATGGACTCATGTGGCTTGACAATAGATATATTGACATGAACAATCAAATCAGCAGTACTTCATTTAGTCTACCATTTACAATCTTCCATCTGGCAGTCTACCATTTACTGACAGTTTTGCCATCTGGCAGTCTTATCTTTTGATAAAGTATCTGCAGACCGTTTAGGTGTCTTTCGTAAATTAGTATATGTTTCTGACAGAAACAGTTAAATAGCTGAGCTCCCAGAATCTCATACGCCTACCAATATAAGTAGTAGTGAAACAGTTTCAGCTCTAAATAATTTTTAAAACGATAGCAGACCGCCAAAGTGTTGAACTATATCGATCTAAAGTGTAAAGCAGAACATATCGAAAATCGGGAAAGGTTACTCGACAGGTAAAAAAAATTACTATTCTGTAACCCAAACTTGAAATGACTAGGCAAATTCCCAGTAGGCAATTCTGCTGAAAGCTATGAATAATTTATCCAACGGCACCTGGATTTAGTCATGGCTCGAAAAATGCGAGACAAACCACGTATAACAGAACAATCAAGATCCGAACATCCATCAACCCTCAAATCAAGTTAATCTTGAATCAAGTCATCGAATAATTGAATCAATAATTGAATCAATATTAATCAATATTAATCAATTAATCAATCAATAATTTGATGATCAATAACCTCAGCCTGCACACATACACAGATCCACATCACCGTTAACACCACCATGCGCTTGGAAAAGCTCAATCTCCGCAATCCCATCAGCATCGGCTACTATGACCCGTTTTCGGTGTTTCCGGCGGTCGAGCCCGAGTTCGTGTCGAAGTTCCCGCTCTCAAATCTTCACTGGAAGTACCATCCGCTCAAACCAGTGAAATCGATTCCTCTTCTCCCCGTGGCGCTTAAAGAAGAGGTGCCGTCGAAGCAGCACAAGAGCCAGGGGCTCCAGGCCCGGGGTTTTGACAATGTCTACCTCCGGCTCATTTTTGTCCAGGCGGAAAGTATGGACATTTACAAAAGCCAGGTTCGGCCGCTTATCATAGCGTGGCTTACGGAGCTTGTGGTTCCCGAGAGCATGGGCTGGGCCATAGTGTTGGTGGTGCCCAGCGCAAAGCTGGACAAGCCGTCGACCTTGATGAAAACGTCTGTTTTCGACAAGATCAACATGGATTTTGGCCCTGGCGGAAAATACATAGCCAAGGTGCAGACGGAGCTAGGAGTGGCGTCCGGCGCCGACGAAGACGGCCACGACCACATCTTCAAGCTCAGACAGACGTATTCGGACGACATGGCCAAGCTCTCGGAGTACAACCTGATTATTGCCCGATTCAAGATTCTCCTACTACAGACGTTTGACGCGAGGTACAACGCGTTCACGAGCGAGATCGAGCGGCTCGAAACCGAGCGGCTCCAGGCCCTGCCAGAAGGCGACAAGTTGGCCTCGCTTCGCTTGCTCTACAACAAGTTGAAGCTCATGCACATTTTGGGCGATATGCGCTTTTTGAGCGAGTCCTACGACCTTTACCTCGAAATAACAGAGCTTTTGAAGATTGTCGTGAAGGATTGCAGAGACGCCTTTGACGAGGCTGCGTGCTCGTTGCCCGAGAAAATCGACTTGGAAATGTTCTATTTGGAATCGGAACACGAGTCCAACGTTCCGTCATTGCAGTTGTCCCGCTATCTTTCCGAGAAAACGCCCATCAACTTGTTCGCCACGAAGGTAGGGCTTTTCGTCAACGCGTCGCTTCTTTTGCAGAGCTTGGCCCAACTTTGCTACGTCTGTATCTGTTTCTTCTATCCACATTCTGAGTTTGCTCCAGAAATTGATCCTTTTCGTCAACGACATCGCCCACAACTACGCCAACACTCCGAAAATGAACGAGTGGTTCTGTGCGCTCATCGACTTCTACTTGAACTTGCCGCTTTCTCAGAAATTGATCGAAATCAACGACCAGAACTCCGATGGAAACGGTCCCACGCATGTCGCGGAGATTTTGGAATATACTGCAGAGCTTAGGCTTTTGAGACGGACAGTTCTCGGGAAATTGGCTGTGGCTTTGGGTTACGAGTTGCCTGAAGCAGGATTTTTCCTCGAAGACGTTTCTTTGGATGATTCGGAAAAGACCAGCAAAGGCGAACAAATTCTGTTCACGTATCTGCCATTGAGCAACGAACTCAGCAGCCAAGAGTCGTACGAGAAAAGCTTTGAGACTTTAACCGTCTCGGCCATTCAGGACTTTGCTTCCTGCGACAGAATCAAAACCATCGATCTCTTGAGTGTTGATTTGGCCATTTTGCATTACAGAAGAAAAGAGTACAGCGAAGCCTTTGACGTACTCCTGTCGCTGTACGATTATTTCATCCAGCATGGATGGAGTTTTATGGGCGGCGTTTTGCTAGAGGTGTATGTCGAGTGTCTCGAAAAGTTGGATATGGCCAACTATACAGAGCTTTTACGAACCAACTTGAAACTCTTCGCCACGTTGAAGTCTGGCGGAGCCTCTGTCCCGGGCATCAACAATTACAATTTGGTGAAGAACGAGAACCAGCGTCGCCGATTGTTTGACAAGATTTGCGACATTTCGTCTAAACTCGATAAGCCTTTCGTGTTTCCCATGGAGGAGCTTTTGGGGTTGCATGTCAGTCCTTATATCGAAGCAGATCCGGACGAAAAAGACTCGTATTCTGTGGTTATCAAGGTTGAAAATGATTTTGCCGTGGAAATGAAGATTGGAGAAATCGAGCTTCAGTTAGAAGAAATGGAAACCGGGAAGACGCTCGCATTCTATGCTGAAAATGTTACACTAAAAAGTGTCCAGCAACATGAGATTTTAGTCACGTCTAAAGTTTTCCGTCAAGGCGTGTTTAAACTAGTGGGTGTGGTTTTCAAAGTGACGGAAACGCTTCATTTTGTCCATGGTGCGATAGATAAAAGTGAATCAGAGGCCAATGAGACAGTTGTTCGTCATGGAATAGAAGAACCGCAACTCGAAAACACATCGCAGCTCCAAAAACACAATCAACCATTTATCATGTTCTCCGACCCGCGGAAGTTTAGAGTGGTGATATCTAAGCCTTCTCGGATCGAAATGGGCAACTCGTCGTTTGTTCTCTCATTGGAAAATGGAAGAGCAGAAATCGAAAATATCCATGTGGCCATTTCCAACATTACCCCAGGACTCAATATTGAGCCAGCTTCTCAGAGTCTCAGTATTGAGAAATTGTCCCCACAAGAATCTTGGTCACAACAGGTTCCTTTCACATATTACGGAGACACCAAACTTCTTACGTTGAATGTGGATGTCGAGTACGTTTCTGGCGAAGAAAAATTCGAGTTCCACACCACACTCAGCCACGATATAAACTTGGATTTGGCCATTTCTGTCCAAGATATTTTCCGTCTCCATTCGCTCTATTCGAAGTTTCAAATTGCAAGGGCCAATGGAGGGAACTTGGTTCGAGTACTTGACTGTTCTTTCGAAAGCCCCGATGGAAAGTACGAGATTTCCTCTCCTGAGCAGAAATTCGAGCCTTTACTCGTTTTTGGTGAGCAGCCAGCATATATGTTTTACCGTGTTCGGCCCAAGGGAGACATGGCACCTTCAGACACACTAGACTTGACAATCACGTATTCTGATTTGCACCAAGAGTGTGAGAGGGCGCTTTTCGAGAAATTGAGAATGGAACTTTGCGAGGCAAAACTCGAGCAGTATTTGCACGTTATCCAAAGCGAGCTTGGGCCCTTGGACTTTGACTTAAACCACTACGCCTTCCACGATACGGTGATTTTGAAGAACGCGAGTTCCTGTTCGAAAAAGGCAGACGCTGGCCTTTCTGCCGTTGTGAGAGAAAGTTCAAACAGAGAAGTTTTGCAAGAAATCTTAGCAAAATTGGCCACAAACATCCCGGGCAGCCCAGAGCGGTTTTCCCGCAAACACCAGCTTTACATTTCTGTGGCTGTTCCTTTTCTCAGCATGCTCCACCAGGTGGAATTTCAGTTTGAGCGGAAACTGCAATATTTTGTGGGAGAGCCCATTGAAGCCCGACTTTGCATTGACTCGTCGCCCAAATGGAAGAGCACCGATGTGCCGTCTCCGATATTGGCGTCGTCGTCGCCCGTGGCCAAGAAAACCCCAGCCTCGAGAAACTTCCATTTTTCTGTTGTGCAAGAGGAAAATTGGATCATCTCGGGATTCAAAAAACAAAGCTTCGAGATTGACGAATCTGGAGGCCACCGCGAGTTTTCCATCACGTTGATACCTTTGAATGTTGGCCATCTTCAGCTTCCGAAAGTATTTATCAGGCCGAATTCGGCGCAAGAGCAAAGCATGGATGTGGTGAACGAAAACGCGCTTGAGACAGTTTTGGTTGTTCCAGAACTAGATAGCATAACTTTTTCCTTTTAGATAAAAATACAAATAGCATTTTCGCCCGGCCCTAGATTGTAAAAAGCAAAAAAATGGCGTTTTGCGCAAACCAGGAATCGAACCAGGGACTCAACAATGGGAATGTTGGATTTTACCACTAAACTATTTGCGCAGTATGATAAAAAATGGCAGAGTTGAGATATAAGAAATAGAGTACGAATTGAAGATTAGAAAAAACCTAGTTTAATCCAGTGGTAGACGTTGTTTCCTGTCTTTCAAACCTAATACCTTATTTTCCTTATTTTCATCTTGGAATTCTTGAGTCGTCTAGTAAAGAACAAATGTAACTACTAATATTTTCATCAAATTGGGAGACATTGGGCTATATCCATCTCTCTGGAATTCAAGGATGTTCCGTTTCTTGTTTGTCCATTGCCTCTCATAGCAAAGTGGTCTAGCAATGGATAGAACCGAATTCTAGTCAATTCGAGATTTCAATTTAGGCCCGTGAATTTAAACATGTTCGTCCGTCTCCAAAAGCTCTCTCAATATTCTTCCTTCCTTCATTCCATGTCAACATTCTGATTCTTATTCATTCTCATCATTCTTATCATTCTCATCATTCTCACTCATTTATTCTCACTCATTCTCACTCATTTATTCTCACTCATTTATTCTCACTCATTTATTCTCATCATACTTCTCCTCTTGCATACAGAAGAAGAACACCTTCAATGGAAGACACGTACATCCCGATCCCCCATTATCCGCCGTTCAAGCTCAGATCGTCTCTTATCGACAAGGATCCCGTGATCTGGGTGCATCTTTTGGAAGGCTACATCCAGCTCTGCCAGGTTCTCTTGAGTGGCAAAATCAAGCTCAATGTCAAGAGCCAGCAACAGTTCCAACTTTTCCTCAAGGTGTATCTTGCCGAAACGTCGGAGGAAACGACCCGGATCTTCTCTCTTGGCGCCATCAACCCGGAGATCCGCAAAAACACCGCCTTGCTTCGGGCCTATGTTTTGCAAGTCATAAAGCTGTACAGCGTGGTGAAACTCGGCCTAGGACCAGAGTCCTTGTGGCATTTTGTGTTGGTGTACGTGGAAAAAAACACAAGCCTTGTCCGCCGGCTCATCGACGGGTCGTTCAAGTCGCCAATGAACGACAACAAGAAACTGGGCAAGATCTCGCTGGTGCCAGTGCTCCGAAAACACTTGGCCGAGCAGATTGGCGCAGGCAAATTCTCTCTCCACCACTTGAAGTACCTTGCCATGCTTTTGGGCCAGCAAACGACGGGCCCGGTGCAGAAATTTCTGCTCAGCGGCGCAAAAACAAGCAAAAAAATCGTCTCCAAGGACAAGAACAAGACCGCAGGCGTTTCTTTCGCCGAAACGTTTGTGAACGAAGACTGGATCGAGGCATTGGAGAGACTCTATGCGGGCGGAAAAAGTGTCCACGCCCACATAGTCAAGCTGGCGATGGTTATTAGTGTTTTGTCGCTTTCGCCGGCCAAGTTGGCCAAAGTCATGTCTGTGTTGGGCATTTCCAGCTCCGGCACCTTGGCGATGTCGCCGTTGCTCAGTGCCATAATCCTATCCGAGCCGTACAAGGAAATGAACCCGGGCTTGGAAGAACGGTTGCCCTTTTTAAGAAGCATTTCCATCAAAACTGCGCCATCCGTCAACATGAAAGACGTTGAGTTTTTGGTGGACATGTTTCCTGCCCTCACCGAGCTGAAGGCCAAGACCGTGCTTTTGGAGAACGACGGGAACGTCGAGAAAGTGACCAATGTGCTTCTCGAAAATCCTCTGCTCGTAGACTCGATTGCTGACTTCGAGGAAACCCAAAAGAAGGAAATCACAGTGTCCCAGGCGGAATTGGAACGCGGCCTTGCAAGGTTCAGCCTTCAGGAAAACGAAACCACCGAGGTTCTTGGCAAGCAGTCGAAAGAACCGGAAAAGGCGTCTGCCGAAGAAATGAAAAAGCGAACCTTATCCGCCGCTTTGAAGCTTCTCTATGAAAGCGACGAGGACGAAAGAGACGACACGTATGACGACCAAGAACACACTTCCGGAGCTGCATTCTACGAGTACGAGAAGAAGCCGAAAAACAAGGATAAGGCCCGTTTGGCAGTGTTTGAAGATGAAAACGAACCCGTTCCAGAAACTCAAGGATCGCCTGCTCCGGCGCCGCCCGTGGTGGATAAGAATGAACTTAATTTGTTTGGGTACTTCAAGACCGAGGGAGAAGCTGCGTTCGACAAGAGCTCTCGCAAGTCCAAGATCAGAGGCGAAATGAAAAACGCCACGAAATGGACAGACGAGCAGATCGAGGGCTGGTTCCGCATGCTCCACAAGTCGCCAAAGAGATTCCGTCTTTTGGAAGAACAGTATGTTTTCCATTTTTCCAATAAGAGGAGAACACAGAGGGACGCCGAGGTAAAAGAGACAAGAAAACCTTCAACGCCAACACCAACAGACAGACGCACGCAGGCGAGAAAAGAAAAGAATAAAGCTGTGGTGGGGAATCATAATAGGAAAGGACGTCACAACAGGAAAGCGCAGGCTGAGCTTGCTGGCATGCAATGAGGAAGACATAGAGACAGGCACAGAGATAGAGTAAACAGAGAGAGCGAACTGGATTCATTCGGCGCTTATGGAACTGCATTTTCACCTTCAAATGTCTAATGTACATTGAGAAACGCCAACAGCGGCCAACTATGTAAGAATGCAGAGAAAACAACTTGGACAGCTTTCTACCATCCTTGGTCGAAGAGCATGGAAACAGACTCACCGTTGTGGATTCTTCTGATGGCCTCAGCAAAAATCCGCGACACATCCAACACCTCAAATCTCTTCTCACCCAAAAAGGCAACATTGTCAGCTTGTGGGATACTGTTGGTGGTGACGAGCTTGTCGATATCCGAAACGAGAACCTTCTCAATTGCGTCCCCGCTGAAAACACCATGTGTAACCAAACAGTAAACAAACGAAGCGCCGGTGTCTTTCAAAAGCTTGGCTGCCCTCGTTATCGTGGTACAAGTGTCTGCAAGATCATCAATCAATACACATACGCGACCCTTGACGTCACCAACAAGCATCGATGGATTGGTCATTTGTGTAGTAGAGTTCGTGCTGGCCATGGAGACGGACGCTGAAAGAAGTGGTGATCCGACAGTTTCCTGGGTAACCTTAATTTTACGCTCCTTGTGGATCAACGCAAATGAGCAGCCAATAGCATCAGCGATAGCAGTGGCTCTTTTGGCTCCACCGCTGTCTGGGGACACAATAACACAGTCTCTATAATTTGGAACATAGTCCATGATGTATCTTTTGAACAACGGCCTCAGATACAAGTTATCCACCTGGATATCAAAGAATCCTTGGAACTGAGGATCATGTAAATCCATTGTTATGCATCTATCCGCGCCAGCAGTAGTCAATAAGCTAGCCACAAGCGTTCCGCTAGGACTGACCCATTGCTTGTATCCACTACTGCCTCTACCATTCTCGTCAACTGCACCCAACAAGTTGATAGCAGAGGCGTTAGTTACAATCTCTTTCGGTTTCGATAGGAAATGAGAAAAGACGTTATTGTTTGCGTTCTTGCTCTGGCCATCCATAGCGACTTTTGGGTTTTCCGGTTGTCTTGAGTATGGGAAGAAAGGTAAAACGACAGTGACTCTTTTGGCACTGGCAGTTTTGCATGCGGAGATTAAGATGAGGAGTTCCATGAAATTGTCATTTACGTTGCCTGAGCCACTTTGTACAATGAACACATCCTTTTCACGCACAGAGCCCTTGATTTCGATAGATGTTTCACCATTGGAAAATTTGCGCAGTTCAACCTGCCCTTGCTCAAGGGTCAAGTTTCGACATATAGACCGTGTGAGACCTTCAATAGATGTCCCGCAAAGAACAACAATATCCTTCATGATGGAGAACGTGGGGGAGAAAATTTTAGTGTACCAATTTGTTAAAAATGCGCAGGCCCAAGATTTGAGCACGTGACACTATCACCACATATTCGGCAGAATCATGATGAACAAAACCCAAAGAGATGGCCTAGAAAAGAAAGAAAAGTCTAGAAACGAACCTCGTAAGAACCTGCGTGTGTAGTATAGCGGACCCATTTGACAGTTCTGTAATTGGCCTTTTCCACTACTTTCAAATACCGAACTGCAAGACGACTGGCACTGTATGTATCCATCTTGAAATCCATGGATATAGGTGGTCGAGACCATCCACTAAAGCCTTCTCCATATGGCATTTCGACAGACAACTGGCCATGAGTCTCGCCATGCACTTTGTTGAGTCGCCAGACGACGGCAGAGGTTTCTGGGTCAAATTGCGCTTTCCCCACAGAAGCGTGCGCAGTTACACGGCCGACATTTTTGAAAACAGGAACACGTATTTGAACTCCAGTTGCCAATGTTTTCGGCGGGTAATTCGAACGAATATGCAACGTGAGACAAAGCTTATCCGGAAGCTCGTCAACGCGTGGAATCAACGAAAATGGCAAGCTACCACGGCGAGCCAAATGGTATGACATGAGCTGGAAAGTGCCATCTGGAGGAACAAAACGAATGACATGCTCAGAGTCGTACATGGCCAAATCAACACATTGGTGGAACTTGAAGTCGTCCAAAGAGACAGAGCCCAATGCGTCGTCACGTTCATCAGCAAGCCCAAAACGGCACACGGGCATTCCAGACAACCGGGTCTTCATGGTTATGGTGCCGTCAATGTACAGCCGAAGAGCCTGACCACGGGCGTCGATGAGTACATGAACTTTTTCGTCGACATTCAAATGGATTTCGTTTCGGCGGTACTTGAGACCCTGCTCACGCCAAGGCACTTTACTGATGTCATAGGCTGGGTCGTTCATCGATTTTTCCGAAGGTTTGGAGCTCCCATGGTTATTGGAATCAGCCACGGAGCGCGAGCGGGGTGCGCCGATCCGGAGACCAGGCACCACAGATGCCACATGGGCCGCTTCTGTATTTGTTGGGAATCCGAAATCTGCCACCTCATCAAGAACCTCATAAATGTCGGCAAAGTTTGCAGTGATGTCGTCTTCAGTCAATGCACGCGACGAGTTGGAAGCGAAAAGTTGTTCAAACAACGCGACAAGCGACTCCAAGAATTCCATCACCACCAGAGCATCCTGGTTCGAGCGCGTTACAGCCACAAACCAAAGGTGGGCCGTGTGGACATAGAGAAAAGATGTAGAGCCCAAGGTTAACACCGGCAGTACCGTTTCGCGAGAAGACGTACGGGTCGAAGGAGTGATGACCTGGAGCCGGAAAATATCCAGGACATTTCGCTTGACCGAATCCTTGTAGAACTTGACCATTAGCACGTCGCCAATGGCATTGTAGATGAAAACGGCGCTGATCATTGACGTTTTAGATCCGGAGTGGGCGGACTCAGCCTTTAGCGCGCGAGTCGAAAGCGGGCTCACGTGACCGTGGGCACATGCCAAAGGACCTCGATGTTTTGACTTTTCAGGCTGCCAAAATAGCTGCCAAAATAGCTGCCAGGTATAAAGACCAACAGGAAAATCAAGAACGAAAATGAAAGAAAAACTGAAAGAAAAAAAAAAACTGAAAGAGAAAGAAAATAAAAGAAAAAACTGAACGCAGAAGGAAGGTTGAAGAACAAATCAGGAAAGAAGTAAATCAGGAAAAGTTCACAGTGAATCTGAAGTTCAAAGTAAGCAAGTGAAATTGAAAGGTCTAGAAGAGCAAAAAGAAAAGAAGCCAAGAAGAAAAAAAAACCAAGAGCTAAAAGCAACCAAGTAACTAAAAAAAAGTTATAGACAACATCAGGGGAAAATACGACAATGTCAAATGTCTAGAGCAGGAAAATCTCTATATTTGTTCCGAAAAGCGAAAGTGTTGGCGATGGAAACAACTCTTTTATCCGGATAAAACTGGCTATTCGCGGACGGAAGCAAATCCTGGTACTGGAGGTGCGCATGAAGCCTTACATTGGGGCGGGGCCCTGAGATGTATAGAGACATTTAGGCGACATGCATTATACCTGTCTTAGCAGGATATTTGCAGCCGCCGAACATTTGAGCCCGCGAAGCGAATACCTTTCTTACCAGGATATTCTCTAAACTGTGGGGCGCAATTTGGGATGCGCGGCGTTTTGGACCGACAGGCGTGACAAAAAATCCGGGGAAACACCCGTACATCTCCAACCACAATCTTGTTTGGTTTGGAAAAATTGTGGTGGCTTCGATGGGAAAAGCCTTGCCGGACTTTTACCGGAGGGTAGAGACATGTACACGAAGCTCAGAGTCACCATTTGACGGATGTTAGAGCCACGGAAGTAAAAGCCCGCGCGACATTTCTTCAGAGGCGGTGCGACATTGGTCACCGGCGCCTGGCATTCTTGACCCCGCGACATGTAATAGTTGGGCGCTGACCACGACATCGCCGTACACCCCACTTTGATGCCGAATGTCAAAATCCCGGGAACCGACTTGTGACATAAGTAAAAGAAACAAAAACCCCAACCGCCCATTTACAAGTCCAAGTATAAATACGAGTCAACGAGACCCAAAAATTTTTTTTCACGCAACAATTCCCGAAGCTGGCCCACCTGTCTTAACCGGATCAGCATCCACACTATATATAACTGAGAGATTATCTGGCACCTTCTTGTCCAGTGTCGTTTGGTTTTAAATTTTACAAAAAGCAAAACCGCCTTTCCAAAAGAAACGCAAACTTCTTTTCGCCATGAGTGTTGACGTGTCTAGCTTGACTATCCAGGCCGATTCGGATTCGTCCTCGGTCCACCTGTTCAGAAACGACTACATTACTACACCCTTCTCGGGAAAACAGCGCCAGTTCGACGAGGTGCTCGACTTGTTGGAGTCGACAGGCCTCATTCCAGACACTTTGATTGAGCTGGAGGCCCGCTGGTTCTACGATTGCTTGGGAATTGACGATGTCTTTTTCGCCCGTGAATCGCCGCAAGGAATTGCCTCTCACATCCACTCGTTATACTCGTGCAAAGTCCAGGCGTTTGCGTCCGACACCCGTGTGCAAGAGCAGCCATTGATCCGCTACAAGCGCGAGGCCGAGGACCATGCTGTCTTTTTCGACACGCAGATCCAAGGGGCGCCTCAGGGGCTCCGTTTTGATGAATACATTGACGACAAGTACATTGATCCGTCACACGGCGCTGGCGCGTACAGGCTCGAGTACTTTTCCGCTCCGCTCAATGTCTCCTCAGACCCGATTTTGGCTGGTGTTGCCGAGAAATACTCTTCGCCAGAGAGCGCAGCCGTGTTTGCCCGCCAACAGGTACGGTGCCACTTCATCTACAAGACAAAGTACGTGGATGAGGCAGCAGACGCCAACGAAACGGATATCAACCGTATTGGTGACGAGACGTTTTTGAAGATCGTTTCCGCCAACACCAAGGCCGTCTATTCCGACATCATCCGCCGCGTGGTGGCCTCGACAGGTCCGGTGATTCAGCACTTTGCTGTGGACGACTCGGATGAGTACCGTGTGGTTATCGGGTTCCGCCAGAAAACCTCTCCACACTACAACTCGGCCTTGTCAGACTTGGCAGACTACTACAAGCTCCGCACCACTAGAAAATACGTTGAGCAATTTTCAAACGGTGTCACTGTGATCTCCATGTACATTCGTGGAACAGAGCTCAGTAAAAAAAACCCTCTCGACTTGCTGATCTACCAGGTTATCAAGGAAGCTTCGTTGCTTTACTGTATCCCACACAACTACTTCCACGACTTGTTCGCACAACGTGAATTGTCCTTGCAAGAGGCTATTTACTCGCAGTGTGGTGTCATTTTCGTGACACACTTCTTGAACAGATTGGGTCCTGAATACACCAAATTGTCGCAGTTGCTCGATCCTTCGAAGCTGATCCAGCATGCTGAGGTGTTGAACTCGTTGAAGAAGCGTTTGCGGGCCGAAACTTACACCCAGGATTACATCAAGGATGTCTTTTCTGTGAAAAAAGATATTGTCCGCAAGTTGTACCGCCTGTTCGCCGATGTTCACTACATCCGCCTGTCTATGGAGAAGACTTTGTCTTACCAGAGACTTTCACAAATCACTCCAGTGGGTTCAGAAGAGGAGTTTGAACATTTGCTCAGCAGAGAATGTTCTCAGAATGAGCATCACGCCGTGGTTTTGCGTGCGCTCTACATGTTCAACAAGGCTGTGCTCAAGACGAACTTCTACACCTCTACAAAGGTTGCCATCTCTTTCAGATTGAACCCTTCGTTCTTGCCTGTTTCGGAATACCCAGAAACACCTTTCGGTATGTTTTTCGTTGTGGGTTCGGATTTCAGAGGTTTCCACATTCGTTTCAGAGACATTGCTCGTGGTGGTATCCGTATTGTCCGCTCGCGCTCCGTTGATGCCTATAATGTGAATGTGCGCAACTTGTTTGATGAGAACTACAACTTGGCTGCAACGCAACAAAAGAAAAACAAAGACATTCCCGAGGGTGGCTCTAAAGGTGTTATCTTGCTTGATCCAGGTATGGCTCAAGAGACCCCTAAAGCCTCGTTTGAGAAGTACATTGACTCCTTGATCGACTTGTTGCTTAAGCAGCACATCCCAGGAGCCAAGGAACCATACGTGGACCTCTACCAGCAACAAGAAATTCTCTTTTTGGGCCCAGATGAAGGTACTGCCGGTTACGTTGATTGGGCTGCTCTTCATGCTCGCAGTAGAGGTGCTCCATGGTGGAAGTCCTTCTTTACTGGTAAGAGCCAGCAAATCGGAGGTATTCCTCACGACGAGTATGGTATGACCACGTTATCTGTCAGAGCATATGTCAACAAGATTTACGAAAAACTTGGAGTCGACAACGCCACTGTCAGGAAAGTCCAGACTGGTGGTCCTGACGGAGACTTGGGGTCCAACGAAATCAAGCTCTCTAGAAATGAGAACTACGTTGGTATCGTCGACGGTTCTGGTGTCATTGCCGATCCTAATGGCTTGGACAAGCAAGAACTTTTGCGCTTAGCTCATGAGCGTAAGATGATTGACCACTATGATCGCAGCAAGCTCTCAAAGGATGGATTTGTTGTCTTGGTTGACGATGTTGAGGTGACGTTGCCAAACGGAATGGTGGTGACATCTGGCGTTTCGTTCCGTAACTCTTTCCACGTGAAGCTTAGAGAGATCTATGGACCTCAAGGTGTGGACTTGTTTGTTCCTTGCGGAGGTAGACCAGCTGCCATTGACACCAACAATGTTCACGAATTGATTGACCAAAAGACAGGCAAGAGCATCATTCCGTACTTTGTGGAAGGTGCCAATCTTTTCATCACGCAATCGGCCAAGATTATTTTGGAGCAAGCGGGATGCATTGTGTTCAAAGATGCGTCTACGAACAAGGGTGGTGTGACCTCGTCTTCTCTTGAAGTGCTTGCTGCTCTTTCGTTTGACGACAAGGGCTTCTTGGAGAACATGTGTGTCGGCAAGAACGGTGTCAAGCCACAGTTCTACGAGGACTACGTCAAGGATGTGCAAGCGAAGATTGTGTCCAATGCCGAGGCCGAATTTGAAGGATTGTGGCTGTTGAGACAATCTACAGGGCAACCTATCACCGAGTTGTCCGATAAACTTTCGCAGGCGATCAACAAGTTAGCCGACGAGTTGGCCAACTCGAAGGAATTGTGGAACGACGATGTTGATTTCCGGAACGCTGTCTTGGTGGACGCTCTCCCACCATTGTTGTTACAGAAGATCGGCATCAAGGACATCTTGGCGCGTGTTCCGGAAACATACTTGAAGGCGTTGTTCGCCACGCGGTTGGCGGCCCGGTTTGTCTACTCACGCGGTATCGACTCCAACCCGGCCAAGTTCTTGGAGTTCATTTCGCTGATCAGAAAGGAGTTTGTCGCCCGCAAGCTTTTGTAGGCGCAGGTAATAGAAAAAACATTGGGTTTACTATGATGTAGTGAGAAAAAAACATTGGGTTTACTATGATAGTGACTTTCATCCTAGATTGTTATGTACAAGTGGTTGGACTATTTAAATTGTGGAATGGCCATTCAAAGTGATTGTGGCACCTAGTCGATCTTGATGAGACGTAGAAAGAAAAGCAGAAGACAAACGGCCAGAGGAAAAGTCAAAGCAAGCAAGATCAAGACGGCTCGACCAATCACCCTTCAAGAAAACACGTCACTTGTCTGATTCCTTTTCCAATTCGGTGAGGATTTTCTTCCGAGAAACAACTTCGTCGTTGACACGAGAGGTGACGTAATCGCCGACAAGCGCAAAAACAAACGTCGAGGCGCCGATGTAGTAGCGGGCCTTGACAGGAAGACTGTTCCACTTCTGCCACAAGTTCATTGGAGTTGAAGAAGAAGATCCGAGAGAGATATAGGGCGGCGTGCGAAGCACATGTCGGCAAGCATAGTCTCTTATTTGTCTTATTTGACTTATTTGTCTGTCTATTTGTCTCATCTGTCTTATTTGTCTCATTTGTCTTATTTGCTTGTCTGTCTTATTTGTCTTATTTGACTTATTTGTCTGTCTATTTGTCTCATCTGTCTTATTTGTCTCATTTGTCTTATTTGCTTGTCTGTCTTATTTGTCTTATTTGACTTATTTGTCTGTCTATTTGTCTCATCTGTCTTATTTGTCTCATTTGTCTTATTTGCTTGTCTGTCTTATTTGTCTTATTTGACTTATTTGTCTGTCTATTTGTCTCATCTGTCTTATTTGTCTCATTTGTCTTATTTGCTTGTCTGTCTTATTTGTCTTATTTGTCTTAGTCTTATTTGTCTTATCCATCTGTCTCATTTGTCTGTCTCATTTGTCTGTCTCATTTGTCTGTCTCATTTGTCTTTATCTTATTTGTCTTATTTGTCTTATTTGTATTATTTGTATTATTTGTCTGTCCTATTCGTCTTATTTTTACTATGTGTCTTTGCATTATTTGTCTTGGTTACCTTTATTGCCTAATTTGTCTTAGTCTTATTTGTCTTAGTCTGATTTGTCTTAGTCTAATTCGTCTGTCTTTTTCCGAACTATTGGTCAAAGTTTCATGTGATGGAGGGGTAGATGGATCAGCCACTTTTTCGCTTCAATAAGCTGGATGTTCGAAGATTGAAACAGCAGAGCAATGAAGTTGTCTTACTTAGTCAGAAGTAAAGCCATGTGGTTCACCGAAGAGTCTACGGATTATTTATGGATCACATGAATGATTCGATGTCAGACTGCATTTTTGGCTATTAATTGGAAACCATTAAGGAGAAAAGGAATCAGTAGAAATGGCCTAAGAGCATAAATACAACTTTGAGGTTTTCAACTTTGTTCCAGCTTCCATGAAAGCGCAGTATCTATATATTACTGCTGATCACAAGACTCGAATCTAAGATAACATGAAATTAGCTTCCGTTTAACATGACACTTGACACTTTCCAGCCTCTGTACTTTCAAGCATCCGGTCTTGTTCTCATTTATCATCCAGTCTGTTCTTATTTATCATCTTATTGTCATCTTATTATCATCTTATTTATCATCTTGAAGTCGATTCTAGTATTCGCACAAATACCACGAAAATGGGCAATGTGACAAAAATCCAATTCTGATCCAAAACTTCTTCTACCTTTTTCATTCTAACAGTACAATGTCCATTACCGTAAATTCAATACTGTGACTTGAAGTCACCATTGTCATCCCATTATCATCCCATTGTCATCCCATTGCATCCCCTTCTCATTTCCTTCTCATCTCCCATTGTGACTGTATCTCATCTCGCGTATTTCTTGAGCCATTCTAGCTTCTTGCTTCCTCTTCAATGAGAACTGCACAACGCATTGCCGTGACGAAAACAGAGCTTCCGCCGTGCTGTCTTCGGATCCACCCCGAAGACCCCTCTGTTGTTCTTTTGGGAACATACAAGTTGGAGGAGTCGGGCGCCAGACACGGCCTGGTTGACGTTTACAGGACGGAAAACGGCCAATTCCGCCCCTTGGGCTCGACGCCCACGCTGCTGGCCATTCTCGACTTGAAGTTCTGCCCCGGCAACCTGCTGCTTTTCGTGCTGGCGCATCTGACGGGAGAAATCCGTGTTTGGGCGTTTGAAGACGCGGCGGCTTCGGAAAAACGCACAGTCCAGGTGTTTGAGCCCGACGTGCTTGTGACGCTGGTGTTTTTCGATCCCCGCAGCGCCAAAACGGTCTTGGCCACGGCCACAAGCGGCGAGGCGGCGCTTGTGGATTTGGAAACGGGCGAATGCGTTTACTGGACGTCCCATTCCCTCGAGTGCTGGACCGGCGCGTTTGGCGAGCTGGCCGGAGCAGAAAATGTCGTTTTCACCGGCGGCGACGACGCCAAACTTGCCGCCCACGATAGAAGGATGGAATGCCCCATTTGGGCCACGGGGCCTCGGTTCCACGACGCCGGGGTCGTCTCGATTCTCTGCTCGGGCGAAAAGTGGCTTCCGCTGAAGCCCAACACGCTTTGGACAGGCTCGTACGACGACTGTTTGCGGACGTTTGATTTGCGCATGTTGGATTCGCCGGACGGGCCTGTTTTGCACCTGGCGTTGCTCCCGAAGGAAAACTCTCGCCAGAACTTGAACGGCGGCGTGTGGAGATTGATCCCGGCGCCTGATGCCACCAGGGTTTTGGCCTGTTGCATGTACGACGGAGCTCGAATCATAGAGCCTGGCGACGGTGTGCCGAATATCTCAACATACTTCAAGGGCGACCACGAAAGCATGTGCTATGGAGGCGACTGGGTGGGGGAAAACATCGTGACATGTTCGTTTTACGATAATGTGGTGCAGCAGTGGGCATAGGAAAACAGGGCAAGGACAGGACAAGAGGACAGGATAAGAAGACAGAAGACAGAAGACAGAAGACAAGAAGAAATACATATAGAGCACGGTTACTCAAATGTTTACGGCAGGATAGAACTAATGAATGTGAAGAACCACACATATCTCCACATCTCGTAGGCTTTGAAGCACAAACTGAAATCGCAGATCCTTTCCTTTGTCCTTTGATTTCAATCTCTTCACTTTTTTCCCTGGCTTAGTCTATGATCAAGTTTGTTCAGGTCTGATTCAAGACAGTTTACGATGCCGTTAATTCCGAAATAAAGGAGATTACAGACATCCCTACTATGATGCACCAAGAAGGGTGTTCTACTGGACACGTACATGTAAATTCTACGTTTGTAAATCTATAAATGAAGAAACATCGATAAAAGTGGGTTGAAAGAAAATTGTGGTCTTTGGCCGCTGGATTCAGATGCGGTGCCTTGTACTATTTAAATTCCATCTCTACAAAAAACTGATTTCTGATTTGCTCAGCTCAGCCATATTAAAAGTTGAAATATCTCGTTTTGCTGTATTCAAGGAGATTTTATGGACTCATCACGATTAAGCTACCTTACTGGTCTATCTTGGAGACTTTAGATCTTTCCACGATTCGAAGAGACCACCCGTCCAGTCAGTCGAAAAATCTGCATCTTCCATGAGAAAATGAGCATTTATCCTTATCGCTACTTGAATATGTCACCGTAGTCTACACTTTGAGGATGCGTACTTTTATCTGTGTATTGTTCGTGGCAACATTCGTAATTGTATACTTAGAGCACTTGCTCAGCCCGGCTGCACATTTCCACTCAGTCTCTCCGTATCGCTCATGTGTACAACGAAAGATCCAACGGAACAGACGATCCACGCCCACTAGGATACAACTTGAGCTTTCCCTCGAAGCGCCGAGGATGTGGAAGCGAGTCGCTGTTGATGAATTTGAAGCGCAGCTCATCAATGGACGGCCGCTGCGGTTTGCTGTCGCTGCTGCGGTTGGCAGTGATGGTGTAAGCCAGGGCCGAGATCTTGCGTAGAGAAGAGCCAGCAGACTGTTGCTGGTCCAACGCAGATGGCGGCGGTGGCGGCGCAGTGTGCTTCTTGCGAGACACCAGAGCCAGCGAAACCGGAGGAGGAACAGCTGGTGGAGGTGGTGCTGGCGACGACGGAACCTGAGAGGGCGGAGACGGAGAAGGCGGCGCGAAAGATGGCGGGGCCGGCGGAGGCGGAGCTGGAGGAGATGGCGCCGAAAATGTTGGCGGAGATGGAGCGCGTGGAGGAGAAGCAGCCGGTTGAGGTGGGGCCGGAGCAGTATGCGGCACAGGAGGGGCCGGAGCAGCTTCTGGCGCAGAAGATTGGGTCAGCCCCAGATCCAGTCTATGGGCGTTGATTTGGTCCAAAAACGGCAACGATGGCGCCTGCGATTTCTGGCCCGGGACAGGAGGTGCAGCGCCATTCAGAGCGTTGGAAGAGAAGTTAGGAACAGGCGGAGCCGGTGCTGTTTTCGGCGGAGCAGGCGCCGATGGAGGTGCAGCAGAGTTTTTCGGTTCGTCCACGTCACGTCTCCTGGCGTTGATGGACTCCAAGAACGGCAAACTTAGTGCTGGCGCATTGGGAGAAGGCGCCAGAGGTGCAGAATCCGACGCAGAAGCTCTTGATGCGCTGGATGCTGGAGGTACAGGCGCCGAGGGCGGAGGCGGCGCCATAGAAGGCGCCTTTGGCGGCGGAGGGGCCATCGACGGCACTTTTGGTGGAGGAGGGGCCATAGAGGGCATTTTCGGTGGAGGAGGCGCCAGAACTGGAACCTTTGGTGGCGGAGGCGCCAGAGATGGAACCGTAGGCGCCAGAGATTGTGTCTTTGGCCCAGACGCCGCAGCACGCGACACAGCCGTCTCATCTACTACGTAAGCATCGTTTCTGCGGGCATTGATCTGGTCAATGAACGGCAACGCACCTGCAACAGCAGGCTTGGACGGTGTGGATGCTTTGGGCGCCAGAGGAAGCAGCAGCGGCGGAGGAGGCGCCGAGGGAGCCTTGCTGCCCAGAAATAATGCTGTCGGAGGTGGAGGCGGAGGAGCAGGCGCAGGCGCCGGTGGAGCAGGTGGAGCAGGCGCCGGTGGGGCTGGTGGCGGCGCAGCAGGCACATGTGATGGAGGCGGCGGAGCTGCAGCAGGGGGTGGAGAGGAGCGTCTCTTGTTGATTTCAGCCAAGAAAGGAAGCCCACCCGGAGGCGGCGCAGGTGCTGATGGCGGTGGTGGCGCAGCAGCCGGCGTTGGTGGTGCTGGCGCTGGAGGTGCTGGCACGGGAGGTGCTGACAGCGGCGACGATCTGGCGTTGATCTCTGCCAAAAACGGAAGTCCTGACGGAGGAGGCGGCGGGTTCGACGGTTTCTCCGCATGCAGAAGGCCTCCCGGCGGCGGCGGAGGCACTGGCGGCGGTCCAGCACTGGGGACCGGCGGCGGCACGTCCTCGGCGGAAATGGCGGAGCTGACGGAGCTGACAGACGCTGACTTCAAGTGGCCACGCTTGGCGGGGCGTGCAGGGGGCACACGGAGGCTCAGAGCGGGCGGGTTGGGCAGTTTTGTGCGCGGGACTGGTGGAGCTGCCAGGGGGATTGGTGGAGCCGCCAGGGGGACCGGTGGAGCTGCCAGGGGGACCGGTGGAGCCGCCAGAGGAATCGGTGGAGGCGCCAGAGGAATTGGCGGAGCCAGCAGCGGCGGCCGCGCCAGGGGGTGTTGTGGGCGCGCCAGGGGCACCGACGGAGCCGCCAGGGGGTGCTGTGGGCGTCCCAGGGGAAGCAGCGGCGGCACAGGCGCCAGGGGCACGGGCGGCACAGGCGACTTGCGCTGGTCCGGCGGCGGCGCCGACCTGGGGGCGTTATTTGCAGCCATTGCGTCTCCGCCTCTTGCTGGCGCCGTCGGCACCCGCGGAGCGCCAGCAGGGACAAGGCCGCTGCGGTTATCGACAGATCGAAGCTTGGGCATGCCGCCAGCAAAAATGTCGCCCAATTGCGGCGGGCCCGGCGGCATGGGCGCCAGCGCCAGCAGCGGCGCCAGCAGCGTCCGGGGCCCGGCAGACGGCGCCGCCGCAACGCTGGTTTTCCCGTCAATGAGCGGCTTGGACTTATCAACCGTGACGGTTTTCTTGAGTTTCATGCCCTTCTGGATATCGCCGAGAAGAGCGTCGCGGCCGGCTGGCATGCCACGCGGCGCCGAATTGGCCACGGAGAGATTGGGCGGAGCCAAGTTGGGCGGCGGGGGCGGTGGCGGGGCGGGCATGGGAAAAGAAGAAGTAGTTGGCGGAGGTGAGAAGGTGTGGGCGTGCGCGCACCGCTACATCAAGAGGCTGTGGGGGTGTATGAAGGAAGAAGTCTGGGTAAGACAAAATAGAGAAGCCACGATAGTTTCGGTTTGTATTACACACGCATTGTCACTTCAACATTCTACTGTTTCCAAGTGACTACTTTTACCTTACTTTACATACTTTACCTTACTTACCTTACTTACCTTACTTACCTTACTTACCTTACTTACCTTACTTACCTTACTTACCTTACTTACCTTACTTACCTTACTTACCTTACTTACCTTACTTACCTTACTTACCTTACTTACCTTACTTACCTTACTTACCTTACTTACCTTACTTACCTTACTTACCTTACTTACCTTACTTACCTTACTTACCTTACTTCCACGCTCTCAATACCTTTTTAACTTGATAGAGCTGAAAGGGATTGAGTTTCAACGAGTAAGAATCTGATGACGACTTGTCCGACAGAAAGAGAAACCCGTTGTTTAGTAGCAATCAACTAAAAGGTTTTGATGTAATCTCCTCAGGTACAACCTGCCGTTCGAAACGCTCATACTTGCTCGATAAACGGTTAGTAAGAGTGTCATCGGAAAGAAAAATCTGAGCTTGAATGTTCAGCTATAGCGTCTGTTGAATATGGTTGCTAACCTTTTGAAATCCATTGGTCATTCTGGACCACCTCGTCTGTCTCCCACAACAGTCTGAAGCTCATGTAATGTATATTCGAGCAAATGGTCGAGCAATTCGGATGCTTTATTGGAAAAACTGTCATTGGACGGTTGTGGTGACAGCAGATTGGCTAGATCACCTGACTGACCAGAATCGTTTAATTTATTCTGGGATAGAATCATGTGGTGATATTTTGAAGTGTGTTCGGAATAATATTGGTCACAATTGGTCAATCGTACTGACTTGACTATTCGCAATTCAGGCGACGGAACAAAATCATTTAGGTGTCAGCAAAGCAGACAACGTATGTTTTACTCAATAATTGCACCTAAAGCTCCGTCAGAAAATCCATCGTTCTGGAATCGTCATCTCAACGAGTTCTTAAATTAGCTTTTCATATGTATTTCAGTTTTTAATAACGAAGTAACTGGGGGATTGATGTATTTCCTCGAACCTGGGTGCATAGGTGATTTACTTCCAAATCGATGCCTTGATCCTCCCATGTTTATTTCATTACTGGTAGTTTAGTTCCGCTCATAAACATTACAGAACAGCATCTAGTCACTGATTCTCTGATGGAGTTCTATCTTGGATGACCTTTGCATTTCGTTAGTTACGACTGAATAAATTCTTAGCACGTCTGATGGCCCGCTTGCCTTTTAAGCGTAGTTTTAGCTATCAAGTTGCCTTGGGTCAAAAGGTTTAATACCGTCAATTCTCTCTAAACGTATTAAAATGTAATATCCGAAAGGTGAAGGCTTGAGAAGAATAGTGAGTAAGGACCCACCTAGATTATAAATATGTATGTATACAAAATGTGTCGCTGTATTGCCAATTTCTATTATTCATCAGCAGTCTAAAGACCAATGCCAACAGGTTGGAAGATTGGGGATTTAAGGTGAGCCCAAAAATGCAATCTGTGGTAAAAATGTATTTTTAAAACTTATTTACCGTGGACACTTCAGCTATTTGGAATAGTTTCAAAACTAATTACAAGGTTGATTCTTGGAATTTGAGACAACCGCTTCTTGAAGAAAATGCATTATAGAGCTCTGGTAATACAGTTTACCATAATATTAGCGGCTGTTAGTAGATGTAAGCTCGCCTTATTTTCAAGCAGTTCTTCTGTCGTCGAATGAGATTCAACAGAAGCGGAGATCAAGTTGACCAGCTTCATTTTGTTGATTCATTCAGACATTCGATCCAGTTCTTGATATGAAAGCACAATTCTAGTTCTGATATCCTACAGACACTCGCCTGTTCAGTTTGTTCATTCTACGGATCTCTATTCAATACACCTGCCTCTCATCGATTTCTCCACTGGTCTATCTATTGTCTATTCTCAGGCGATGACGGGTCTTCTAAGACAGCTCTTTACGTATCTGCTTGGCAATTTCCAGAATCGCCCACTTTATGAGGTCCGTCAACCGGGCCGAATTGTCGTTGACTATATCAGCCAAGCCCAAAGCTCGAGCCTCCTTGGTGAGGTTTTTCTCCACATCCTCGTCTTCGAACAACCATTTGTGAGACTTGACAAACTCGGGCCACACAATGTCGTCAAAGTAGTTGGGCGGATCCACCCAGAAAACCTTCTACTGTGTTGTAGCCCAGTCGAGCCTCTCTTCTGGCCTTTAGAACGGCGTACGGCGCCCGGAAAAAAAGCTTCACGTCAAACAAGCGGGCAATGGCTTCGCTGTGGAACAACATAAACCCGTCCACAAACACAAAGTGGTAGTCGGGCGACGCCAAGTTGTCCTTGGCCAAAGAAGAAAGCTGTTGCTTTTCCTGCTCGGACAACTTCAACTGCGGATCCAACTCCAACGACTCGATGGGCAAAGTGGCGCCGTTGGACTTCCGAACGGCTTCAATGTACTGCTCGAACTTTGTCCAGTCGATGGCGTCGGCACAGTCCCAGTTTTCCACGCCTTTGTCTGCGTCTTTGGGGATCTGGTCGTCGGGGAAATAAAAGTCGTCCAAGTGCACCAAGGTGGAAGCAGGATAGAGCGAATGAAGCGCCTTGGCGACGGTGGTTTTGCCCGAGGAAGAGGGGCCGCCGATCCCGACAAGAACCAACTTCATGAAGATAAGATACAAAGAGCAAAATGTGCAGTCCGACGATAAAGTTGGCGAGAGCCTTTTTGCTGGAAAGACTAATTTCTGAAGTTACCGCGTTACTTGCTTTGAAGACCAGTGGCCAGGCTAGAAGTCATGTGTTGCCTTTTCAGACCGCCTTTCAGACCGGATCAAACCTTCGGACACAAGAAAGTTCGAGAGTGGACTAAAAGTGCGGGGACTAAAGGTGAGAGTGGACTAGGTGAGAGTGGGCTAAGACGTTGGACTAAGAAGGTGAGAGTGGACTAAGAAGTTCGTGGACTAGAACCGTCTGTCTTTTCGACCTGTCTTTTCGTCGTCTTTCTATGGATACTGTTCGACTTCCCGAAACGGCAATCGTGATCTCAACATTCCAACAGCGTCCTAACTCCTGAGCAACAATGCGGCAGTACTTTCAATCTACCCCTGCTCAGTGGCACATACGTTTCTCGGTCCAGCCATCAAAGTCTAAAGTCATAGTCTAAAGTCATAGTCTAAAAGTCATAGTCTAAAAGTCATAGTCTAAAAGTCATCAAAGTCAAAAAGTCATCAAAGTCGAAAAGTCAACCAGGTCTTGTCGGCTACTAAAGGCACCACAGACCAGTGGACGACAGGCATTTGGCCATATGTCTCCTATGTACTCCAGTCTTCTCTTTGGTTCTTTTTGCGGAGCTTCTTCGATACGGCGTTGAAGGTTATTACCCAATTAGGCACCATGCGAGCGCATCTATTACCGCATCGGGCAACTTTTGCACCCAATGGTGCCGTCGGACTTTAAGCGGGCCGCCAAGTGGAAATGCACAGAAGAATGGAAAATACCAGAGGCCAAAGGAGAAAATTCCCAAATGGGGGTTTGCGTGGGTGGCCACTACTGCTTTGGGCAATGCCCCTGCTACTGCCGCATGTGCTCCTACAATTGGGCAAATGCCCGAAAAGCATAAGAGTCTTGCTTCTTGCTCTTGCCGGCAGGGCAAGCAAGTTTGGAACCCGAACGTGGACTGGAGACTTTCAGATTCAATCAGAGGCCAGTACCAACAATCAAGAGACAAATCCCATTCTCTGAAATCCCACTCTCTCATTCTCTGAAATCCCATTCTCTCGGCTTTGTTCGTGCAAAGTCTCTTGATTGCATGCCTGCGCCAAAATAGCCACTCTTTACCTTATGAAGCCGCTGCCGCCCGAGGCAGATGCCCAGGCCAACGGACATCTGGACAAGGCGTTTGGGCTTTTGCCGCAACGGCTCGATCTTCCCAATCCCAATCCTCACAATCATCCCAATCTTCCCAATCCCAATCCTCACAATCATCCCAATCCCAATCCCAATCCCAATCCTCACATTCATCATCCTCCCATCCCGCCGCTGGACGTGCGGGCGGCGGCCATTCGGCTCGAGACCGAACAGGAAAAGACCAAGCAGGTCCAGCACAAAGTCGAGTTGGCCCGGGTGGTTCTCGACATACTCAAGGAGGCAAAGGCCCACTCGATAGGTGACGACGTGCTCCGGCGATTGTTTGCCGAGCTTGAAGATGCGCCCCGGCTCCAGAGCCCCACGGCCCAGTCCAAACAGGTGCAGACGCCGCCGTCGGCCCGCGACAAGACCAAGCCCGAGAACCTAGGCGAAATGCTGAAGACGAAGGACAATGCCCATAGTCGGGCAAACCTGCCTCGCCTGGAAAACCTGCCTCGCCTGGAAAACGTTCCCCGCCTGGAAAACCTGCCTCCGCCCCGCCAGCAGCCTCTGCCCGTGTCCCATTCTCAACCGAAGTTGTGCTATCTGCCTCTCGCCCAGACATCCCACGCAAGCTCCGAAAGCCACACTGTCGCCGGCTCTCCGAAGGACAACCTGCCTCCATTGATGAAAACGCTGCCTGTGCCCGTGTACCAGCACATGTATCCCGTGTACTACCAAGTGCCCGAAAAGACGTCGTTTCGGCCTGAAGAAAAAGAGGCGTTGGGCCTGCCGTACTCAGGCAGAAACTACTCCACTCTCATGTATCAGCCCCGTTTTCTCCAGGGCTCTCTGCAACAGCAGCAGCCCGCCTACTACTATATGAAGTCGTCACAGCTGGGCCAGATGATGCCTGCGCCGTATTTTGTGCCGCCTCCTCCGCCCGGAAAAGTGGTGCCGTGGCCGGCTTTGGCCGAGCCTTTGAATCCGCTGAAGGAAGAGGAGCAGCAGCCGAAAAGAAAAAAGACAAAGACCAACCTCAACTTTATGATTTCTACGCCCAAGAATCCGCCTGCTAAGAAGTACAACAAGTAGGCATCCATAGATGTAGGCATAGAGCAATACATGCATTGAATATTGAGCTTGTGGGTAAGTGACCAAAGAGCCCATCACCAATCAAGGAAGTAAGTCAGAGCACTTCAAACAGGTAAATTATTTAACATAATTGACCCGAGTAAGTAGTAGCTGAACGTTAATCCATACTTAAATTATTTCTGTCTCTATTGTTTGATTTTGTGGGCAAACCGCTATTTCTGTTTGCATGCTAAGTTCTAATGCATCATCTTGGGTGATTGGCTTTCTCATTTGGTTCCAGAGATGTGGCCAACATTTCTCTTTTCTTGAACGTCGAAGTTCATCATGGGTTCCATACTGAAGTTTCGGAATCAAAACTTGTGCATAATAAAGTCAAATGGCCATTTATGCTAGAACAGCTTCATTGCAATTTCCTAAACATTTTGCTTTTTCGAAAGGTTGAATGCATTGGCAGAAATTGCATCGGGTGGAAAGTGTTCAGTCCTCATGTTAACACTGAATTCCAGTACATAAATGAAGGTTTGAGTTTCTTGCTACTGTTTGTTGTTCGCTTCGATTAATACTAACACTCTATGAATTAGTCTCCAAAACTACAAAGAGGGTTAGCTTATTAAGGCAAGTTTGAATGGTATATATACCCAGCCAAAGGTCGTGAATGCCGTACAGAGAATTAAATATATCCATTCTTTGTATATCCTGACAATCGCCAGACCTGTGTCTTGAATCATAAGGATGATCATTCTACCTCCTCATTATCAGGATTTATAGCGTTTCTCTCCAACTCTAGTACTTGTTCAAAGTAGTTGGTAGAAGCCTCTCGATTCCCATGCGAGGATCTATTAAAGTTCAACATAATAAGAACGGATTTGGACTTTGCTTCGTTTAAATTGAACTGTAAACAGGGACAAATATTCATCTGATGCAAATATGACTTATGTATTGTGGCATGAACAAACAGGCCGTTGGTATTATAGATGAAAGGTCTTTCCAGAGTGTGACCTAATCCGTTCAATGATGCAAAAGGAAGAAAATACCTATGACCAGTTTGATAGCATATAACCACATGCAAATGCCATTTCGTTGATCTAACGTGTCCGTGTGTACTTGTAAAGGCTGTATAGATAGAAAAAGAAGATAAAGTGGCACACTTATCCTAATCCCTTTATGAATGGCCAAACAGGCAAACCATAAGAGACACTTTTTCACAAACCATAGCGGGACTGGGAGAAATACCAAGAGCATGCGCTTGTAAAGTTCAACAGTTTAGTTCAGAAAGTACGTAAAGTCTTTCTCTTGAAGGTTTATTCTTCATGGTTTGAATATAGCTTCTAGATCAACAACTCGAGGGCAGAAAATAGAAAAACCAGTAGATTCATGAGAGCATCAGTGCATGCAAACACCACTGGAAAGAGAGAGCACCTGATAACCCTAGACTTGAAAATCCTTGAAAGGTCTTCTAGAGAGCTTTCCCGTCTTGGTAATATCTGAATGTCTTTAAAGACATCAAAGATCAATTGATTTCATCAAGTTTCAAATGAACACCTGCAAAGGAAACCAATGCAAGAAAACTACTGATGAAATCATCTATCTTACTCTCGAATGACCTTCGAAGGCTTCAATAAGATCAAAGCTATCAGAGAGTTCAACTCGAAAAGTTTGTAGCAAAACCTATCGAGGACTGAATAATCTGTAGACCTGGCCAGTCTATGGCAGACCATCTACAACACCTTTGAAGCAGGCAGAGCAGGAAAGGTGGCAATGGCGTTCATGGTTTGACAAATCTTTACATCACCAAAATACAACCCAGATTTTCACTTCAGACATACCGATGCACAGTCGAAGAAACTGAAGCTATCCGGCACTAATACATTCCATATTGTTTAATGTTAACCAAATCTTACCTCAAGATTCACATCTCAGACGCACCTCCGATGCATTGTTCGCGGGCTCCAAACCATACGGCCCGACTTGCCGAACCACGATTTCTGACAAGAAAAAAGGGCCTCTGACCTCTGAACATCAAAGGCCGGTACAGCCAGGAACAGCAGCAGACGGAAAAACGACTGAATCGCTGCCACAGTCGGCCCGAGTCGCCAGAGTCGCCAGAGTCGCCAGACCCGGCCATGCAGGTCCACAGCCGTTACTGTCAAGCGTGCATAGTGCATGTTTTCAAATGCCGAAGAGAAAAGATCACCGCCAACTTCATGGCCCACAACATGGCCGACGCGGCGAAAACGGAGCCGCCGTATACTATCTTCACGCACGGCCGCCGCTTGCTCTTGCTTGTTCTTTTGTCCTTGGTCGGTTTCTGGAGCGCCATCTCCAACTCCATCTACTACCCTGCGCTCCCAGTGATTTCGCAAGAGTTCCACGAGACACTGGAGATGGTCAATCTCTCCTTGGTGGCGTACCTTCTCTGCCAGGGCATTGCGCCCACGTTCACGTCGAACTTTGCCGATTCTTTCGGCCGCCGCCCGACCATCGTCGCCTGTTTTCTCGTGTACATTGGCGCCTGCGTCGGCCTCTCGCAAGCGCGGGCGTACTGGGTGTTCCTTTTGCTCCGGTGCGTCCAGGCGGGCGGCATAGCGCCGGTGATCGCCATCAACGCCGGCATTTCGGGCGACGTGTGCACGCCCGCCGACCGAGGCGGCTTTGTGGGCATCGTCACCGGAACCCTTTTGGTCGGACAAGCGTTCGGGTCGCTTTTGGGCTCGGCCATCCTCAGCCGCTGGTCGTGGCCCGCCATCTTCGCCTTTCTTGCCATCGGCCTGGGCGCCACGCTCGTGCTTCTTCTCTTTCTGCTCACAGAAACGTGCCGCGCCATCGTGGGCAACGGGTCCGTGTGGCCGGGCTTTTTGCACCGGGCGCCCGTGCTCTACCTCCCCTCCTTCCGCCGCCACATGAACCACGCCACACATACAAAGACGGCGCACCGCCCGGTCGAGCTCGCGGCGCCGTTTCTTGTGTTCTCGTCCTTCCGGCTGTCGGCGGCGCTTGTGACCGCGGGCGTGCAGTTTTCCGCCTGGACCATGTCGCTCACGACGCTTCTGACGGAGCTCGAAACCCGCTTCGGCTACTCCAAGCTCCACACGGGGCTCATGTATCTTCCGCAAGGCTTGTGCTGCTTGGTGGCGTCGTTTGGCACGGGCCAGGCGCTCAATGTCTACTACAAGTTCCGCAAGCTGCGGGCGGGCGACGGCGGCTTCGACCGGGTCCGTGCCCGGCTCGACTGCTCGGTGTTGCCGCTTGTGTTTTCTGTGGTGGGGCTTTTGCTTTTCGGCTGGGCGTTGCAGAGCGCCCGCAACGTGGCGTCTGCGGTGGTCGGAACGTGTTTCTTGTCGCTCGGCAGCGCCTGTATCATCGCCATTGTCACCACGATGATGGTGGATTTGCGCCCGGAAAACGGGTCTGCGGCCACCAGCGCGGTCAACTTGGTCCGGTGTTCCATGGCCGCTGTTGGCGTGGCGGTTTTGGACTACATGGTGCGGCGCATGGGCGTCGGAGGATGCTACTCGTTTATGGCGGGGCTCTGTGTGGCTTCGGCGATGCTTTTGGTGTTTGCGGTTTACCGGCACAACCGGGAGGAACGAGTCAAAGATAGATTGGATAATGAAAGTATGGCGATGGAATAGGGGTATGGGAATGTATTAATAGAGTTTCGGCAGACTTCGTAGAGATAATGGATGGGGATAGGCATAGCGAATAGAATATCTGAAGTGAACTATCAGAAGGGAAATATTAACATCAGAAGGGAAATATACTATCAGAAGTGAAATATACTATCAGAAGTGGAATATACTATCAGAAGTGAAATATAAGATACATCAGAAGGGAAACATTAGGTACTATCAGAAGTGAAATGTAAGATATATCGTAAGTGAAATATAAGATACATCGTAAGTGAAATATAAACATCAGAAGGGAAATATATACTATCAGAAGGGAAATGTATACTACCAGAAGTGAAATATAAAATACTATCGGAAGTGAAATGTATACTACCAGAAGTGAACTACTACCAAAAGTGAAATATATAATACATCAGAAGTAAAATATAAAATACATCAGAAGTGAAATATAAGAACATCAGGAGGGAAACATTGGGTACTATCAGAAGTGAACTATACTATCAGAAGTGGAATATATACTATCAGAAGAAATATAAGAACATCGAAGGGAAACATTAGGTACAGAAGTAAACTATATTATCAGAAGTGGAATATATACTATCAGAAGAAATATAAGAACATCAGAATGGAAACATTAGGTACAGAAGTGAACTATATACTACCAGAAGTTCCCCATAAAACTAAGTCTAAGAGGTCTCCAGAAAACATGACAAGATCTATAATCGTAAGTTTGGGCTAGCTGACATTTTTGATTATAATACTTCTTGACGTTATTTTGGTTACGCCCATTTATATGTGTTTGTTGCTCTTCGGTTGAATTCACCCCATTGCATTGTATTCTATTTAGAGATCGACGACATCCATTATTGCATCTCACCTGGAGTAGACATAAAAATGGTCATTGTAATTGCATGAATGAACTTCGATTTTTAATTCATGTAGAAATTTGTAATAGATTAGCTCGACATTACCTATGTATCTTTCCATATAAATACTGTTTAGTTATTACAAGCAGCTACATTCATGCACAATAGCCATTACACGGCTAATTTACTATGTTCAAGAGTCTTCCAGACTTAATTGTATGTGCGGAAATTACTATCAAGATTTGGGATTGTCACCATTGAAACTTTTGTTCTCCCTTTGTCTATATACGTGGACCAATCTACTCAGCAAATGAAATCACGCATAAGAGAGATGTTTCGATTATGCGAAGAAGTTCAACAAATATTCAAGGTACGAGGAATCTAAAGGATCGAATAGGCTTTGGAATAAGGCTCATATGCAAGAGAAGATAACCTAAAAGTAACCCAAGACAAGATACGGTGTAATATGTATTTGGCCGCTTGAAAACATTGCCTAAGTTCCTCAGAAACGCATTCAAAAAAGGCAAAATGGCATCTTGAAGGCCAATACCAACGGAATATAGGCACACATTGCCAAGTAGTAGCCATTTTTAGTACTTTCCAAAGACAGTATTCTTCGAGTCATTTAAGGCTGATAATTCGATATTTATGAAAGTAAGACTAATAATTGTTTGGCAATATAAAATACAGACTCTCGTTTTAACACTGGAAGGTAGATCGCTTTAATAATGCCAGAATAAATAATTGACAAGCTGACTCACTAGTTTAAAAAAACCAATATTGTTGCATTTCGATGAAAGGCTTTTCATATCGCTTATCCTACTAGTAGTGACAAAGGGATGTAATTATCACGTTCACAGATTATTTTTTCTAGTTAGTGTGAAGATTAAAATGTACAGTTCGTTTTCATGCTTTTAACCCATACTTGATAACTAATCCTTCATCACATATGCTCATATTTTTTAGAGCAGAATCCAATACAAAGCACCAACTTAAAAATGCTCTAATAGACCATTGCAAGTAATGAACCGTCATAACGACAATTCCGCAATCTGTAGGCAATATTCGAACCAGCCTCAATGGCAGAACAAGAAGCATGCGAAGACAGTACAAAACGGGCCGAATTTGTCTTTATATCTGTTCCATCCCTGTACTTTATCTGCCACCGTCTTACCCCGGTGTTTATTCTAGTTGGCCACCTTTTCGCCCTCTTCCGGCTCATCAATAAACGCAGGCAATTTTTCCGCCGGCTCGTCCGCAAGATAGCTGGGCACGCCCAACCCCGACTCGTTCATTTCCAGCTCAAAGTCCATTTCCTCGCCCAAAGCATCCAACTCGGCGTCCAACTCCAGCTCCGAAATGTCATCTGGCGCATCGTACGACATCAGAAGGGACTCTTGGAGCTCGTTCAGTTTATCGATCAAGTCAAGCATCTCGTCCTGGAGCTGCTCCATCTTGTCGATGTCGATTTTCCCATACTGCGCCTTCAACGCCTTGTTGCTTGTCTTCATGGCGTCCATGGTGATCATGGTATTCTTCAAATTGTCTGTAGTCATTGATGCCTGGGTCATATTCCACAGCTGGTTTTCAAGCTGGTCCTTTTGCGCCTCGATCTGCTTCCGCTGCCTCAATAGCTTCAACGCTTTCTGCTTGAGCGCCGATTTGCCCGGGCCATCTCGCATTCTGCTGATTTTCTGTTGATATGTCGAAAGCTCCGAGTTGATTTTGGAAAGCTTCACGTCAAGCGACCCGACACGCTCGTCTATGCTCAGAATTGCGTCATTGAGCGTAGGTTTGGGCACGTTGCTTTTTGTTCCGAAAAGCCGGTTCATGATTGTTGGTGGAGTTAGTTTGGAGGCGGTTGGCGATAAGGGCACCCACACCCGTACACCACGATAATCGCTTTAGTAGAAATGTCTGGTCAGACAACTTTTCTGGACAGGCTGGTATATTTACGAATACTATTTCTGGGGCAAAGCATATTTTGTATTGCTGGAGTCGAATATCAAAAAGTTAAAAAGCTAAATAACCATCGAAACAGATGGAGGATGAAAATGTGAGGTAAAGTGGAAGTATTTATTCTACAGTCTGTTGGCATTGATGGCGTTGATCTGTTATTTGGTTTTTCGGAGTTCACTTTGTGAGTTTCTGGCAAGATGCATCTTCTGAACTTTTACTTCTGTTCATTCTGCTCGTATTTTTCTTTTCCAGATTCATTCTCCTTTAGTATCTTGTTTTTGTTATTGTTTCTTTCATTTTCTACTATTTTTTGTATATTCTGCCTCTTTATGTGCTTTTTCACTGTTTCTACAATTGAAACTCGGCCGTGCCTTATTTTTTCTAATTTGTTAGTATCGCTTATAGTTCATTTTGATGGATCAGCGCGGAATTCACAATATAGCGTTTTTCAGATTGGTTAATTTCTGTGTGGTCTTTGTGGTTCACAATTCGTTTGTACATGTAATTGTGCTGATCCACCAGAGGTCAAGCCATGGGAATGGGTGCGCGCTTAACTATGTGGTGCACGGGTGTATACATCTGGGTGTTCGGGTTTTTATCACTCGAATGTACGGATGTTTACATGGTGTACGGGTGTTTGATTACTAGATGTACGGGTGTTTATGGAGGTACTGATGTAACAATCGGGGATGCACGGGTCTATATCTTTTTTGTGTCAACCACCAATCCCATTTTTTTTGGTACAAAAAGAACTTGCCGTTTGCAACTACTTGTTCTTTCTTAAGTGTAATCCAAAGCAAGTTCCTGTGGACTGAAATTTGGCAGAAGAAATAACTACGGGCACGATCGACTTTTTCACACTTTTATGTACCACAACCCGACAGAAAAAATCAGGAAATCAAGAATGTTCCACTGATACACTCATATTATTATCCCAAGAATCTTCCCTTTCAGAAAGTGCTTCACTAGCTCAGTTGGCAGAGCGTCAGTCTCATAAGTACGCTTGTGACATCTGAAGGTCGACAGTTCGAACCTGCCGTGGAGCACATTTTTTTCTTATGCCTGAGGTAGCAGAAGTACGTTTTGCCCCCAATTTTTTCCCTTTTTTTTATCGTTTCTAACGCCAGGTTGCACATGTGTGTGCTTTACTCAAACGAAATATTGTCGGCAAGACCGTAAAACGGGCTCATCTCCGTTTGGATACGCTTTTATTCCCTGCGCTCAAAAGTGCGTCGGACCCTGAAACAGTTTTGACAGATTTCCAAAAACGGCTTGAAGGATCCAGAGTGGAAGCTGTGAGGCGCCATGGGAAGTATTTCTGGCTCTGGCTAGAGAAGGAGAAAGAAAAAATGGCCGTGTTGATGCACTTTGGCATGACTGGCATGATCCACCTTCGAGATGTGAAATCGCATTTGGTGTTCATGGAGAACGGCGGAGACAAGAAAATCAAGCTGGAAAAGGAGAATGGCGATGAAACGCCCGAATTGGAGCTGGAGCCGGAGCCGCAAGAGTGGCCTCCGCGGTTTTCGAAGTTCGAGCTCGAGTTGGAGAATGGGCAGAAAACAGAACTTGCGTTTGTTGATCCTAGGCGGTTGGCTCGGGTCCGGCTTTTGTGGGGGCCCGAGTGTTCGTCAGACGAGCTCCTAATGCAGCAGGAGCCGTTGAAGCGGCAGGGACCAGACTACTCGAAAGGAGGAGAAAGAGAAGTGAAGAAAGAAGAGGGAGAAGTGAAGAGAGAAGTGAAGAAAGAGGAGGGAGAAGTGAAGGAAGAGGTGAACAAAATCAAAGAAGAGGCAGAGGGGGAAGAAGGTCTAGCCAAGGCTGAACAGGATGTGATTTCGCTCTTTTCTCCCTCTCATGAGCCTTCTGTGTCCGATTTCCCTCGGCCTACCGTTTTCCATCCAGACCCAGATCCAGACCCTCATGGACGGGCTCGGTTAGCGTTTCCCGACTTTGCCAAGTTGGTTTTGTCGCGCCGCAAACCCATCAAGGCTCTTCTTCTCGACCAGGCGTTTTTTGCCGGCGTGGGAAACTGGGTCAGCGACGAGATTCTTTACCATGCCCAGATCCATCCAAGCGAGAATTTGGCCGAGCACATTTCCGACCCTGAAGATCCCCGTCTTGCAAGGCTCTACTACAGCTTGATCTACGTGATGGAGGTAAGTGTGGCGGTCGAGGGGAATGTGCGGGAATTTCCCGAGAACTGGCTCATGCTCCATCGGTGGGGAAAACGGAGAAAGGAAAAGGCGAAAACAAAAATGGGCTATTCTGTTGCGTTTGAAACTGTCGGGGGAAGAACGAGCTGTTTTGTCCCGGAGTTGCAGAAGCGTATGGGACCTGCTGTCAAGAGACGGAAAACGTCCAAGGAAAAGCAAAGCGATGATGAATAGTCTCTATATGGCGTTCAGCATTACTGTTCTATTGCTATGTGTACGCAATACTAGATTGGCTTTGTGGATACTAAGCCCAGAAGCTTGCAACTCTTCACATTCCTGAAATTTGAATTGGTTACACGGAAAGCTTGCATTGAAAGCTTGCATTGAACATTCGTGCTCTAGAAACGATTGATTTGGAATCAGTTGGCAGAGTAACGGATCGGAGTTTAGCAATATTCTCCGAATGTCGCATTGCGCTCTTCATCTTATAGTTCTGCTTGTACCAAATATATTAGATCACCACCTGAACATCAATCCCATCAGGTAAATACTGCCCTCGGAGATTAAAAGACATGGCTACAGAATACACTCGCCAAAATTCAGGATGATGTCAGACAGTTACTACAAAGCTTTGTGGATATACCAAGCGGAAAATTTCTCAATCCATATGAATTATAGCTCATTAATATTTTTTGAAAAATAACATAACTAACTTGTTGTCTGCCAAAATTAATTTCATCACGGAAGAGGCTGCAACAACAGAACTGGTCGAACGAAAGATCTAGTTTTGATAAGTTTCTCCCCAATATGAGATGATTACAATGATTATCGGTAAGTTTGTTTCCCGCCAAACATAAACTGTGCAAACCATCAAAATCCAAGGTGTCCAACTGTTCCTCTTTTAGATGCATTGCTGCTAAAGATAAGTCACGAAGAGAATGGGGGATTCTTACCTGAACCCCTAAATTCTTGCAAGCAACAAAGCGAAATAGACACGATAGGGGCTACAATGTATTATGTAAGTAGAACTTGTAATCAGTACAGCCTATATATTTCCGTCGTCACGCTTTTCGTGAAATTGTAGTGAGTTATTCTCACCGAAAGGTTACTACAACAATTGACGCAAAATACAAATTTGCTCTTCTAAGGCTATTTTGATGGTTTAGGCTCGCATGACTGCCTAATTATCCATTTATATACCATGTCTTTGTGTAATTGAGCCTAGAATATTTCGACCAAGTCTAGTTACTTGAATAGGCCATCTATGTGTCAGACCTAGCACGGCTGAAGCTCGCCGATATCGGGTTACCCGCCGGAAAAACTTTTGACATCTTCGGACAAAGCCGGGTGGATACGGAAAATTTCCTATGCGCATACCCCTCACCTGAACGAAACCCCGCTACAAACACCGCAACGTGGCTGGCATTTGAGAAATTTCACTGGCATACCCCTCCCACGGACAAACGAGGAAGAAAAATAAAACCAATTGAACACGTAGAAGAGGCATTGGTCCTGCACAAAGACCCTGGGCTAGCGTAAAAAGCAATTCACCGTTTGACAGGTGATGGATGCAATTGCGATGAGAGGTTGAGGAAAGAGCCGCGCGAGGCGCAAGGGAAGCATCCGGGTTCAACCGAAACACCCCCGGATCTCGATGCCTTCGGAACTCTGGGCCCTCGGAACGCGCGCATCGCGCAAGTGCGCAAATCAAGGCAAGGCTACCCAAAGGAGACAGAACAAGGAGACGCAGGTGTAGATTGTCCATTGACTGGAAAAAAACAAAAAAACCCGAACAACGACATTGCAAAAGGAATTGCATGCATTGCATGCGACACGTGAAACGGCCTTCCAAAGACACTTCAAACGACCGGTATCCACATGTCTGTTGCGCGACATTCCGGTCCGGCCTGGCCCCCACGACATCCGGCCCTCCCCATATATATAGCCACCACTCCCGTTCTTTTCTCCGCCAGTATGTTGCTTGTCAGAAATCGGCCCCAGGCCAAGTTTGGCGTGCGTTTCACGTCGGGAAAATCCGTCCACACCCACACCATCAAAACACCTGTTGGCGTCAAGGCGGCCATTGCTTCGCTCAAACCGAAAACCACCCGTTTGTCGATCGAAGGCCCCATCGAATGTGACTTGACGGGCTTCCAGTTGCTCAACTCGCCCATTTTCAACAAGGGCTCGGCGTTCACGCAAGAAGAGCGCCGTGCGTTTGGGCTTCTGGGGCTTCTTCCTTGCAAAGTCAACACGTTGCAGGAACAGGTGGAAAGGGCGTACGCCCAGTTCCAGTACTTGAAGACGCCGCTCGCCAAGAACGATTTCCTCACGTCCATGCGGATCCAGAACAAGGTCTTGTACTACGAGTTGGTGCGCAACCACATCCGCGAGATGTTGCCCATCATCTATACTCCAACCGAGGGAGACGCCATTGCCGCCTACTCGCACCGGTTCCGCAAGCCCGAGGGCTGTTTCTTGGACATTACGGACCCGGACTCCATCGACGAGCGCTTGTCGGCCTATGGCGAGGACAAGGACATCGACTACATTGTGTTGAGTGACGGAGAGGGCATTTTGGGCATTGGAGACCAGGGCGTGGGCGGCATCCGTATTGCCATCGCCAAGTTGGGTCTCATGACGCTCTGTGCCGGTATCCACCCGGGCCGTGTTTTGCCTGTGGTGTTGGACGTCGGCACCAACAACGTCGACCTCCAGAACGACGACTTGTACATGGGCAACAAGTTTGAGCGTGTGCGCGGACAACAGTACTGGGACTTTGTGGACCGCTTCATCCAGACGGTCAAGAAGCGGTTCCCGCTGGCCGTGTTGCACTACGAGGACTTTGGCGTCACCACCGGCCGCACCATGTTGCATCGCTACAGATCGGAGTTGCCCTCGTTCAACGACGACATCCAGGGCACTGGCGCTGTTGTCATGGCGTCCATCACGGCCGCGCTCAAGTTCTCCAACCGTGACTTGCTCGACACGCGTGTTTTGATCTACGGCGCCGGTTCGGCCGGCTTGGGTGTGGCGGACCAGATCGTCAACCACATGGTGTCGCACGGCCTGACCGTGGAGGACGCCTGCAAGCAGATCACCATCATGGACCGCCGCGGTGTGGTGCTCCAGCTGTACAAGGACTCGAGCGAGGGCCAGTTGCGGTACGCGGACCCAGACTCGAAGTGGGACGGCATCAACACCAAGAGCTTGGTGGACGTGGTGTCCAAGGTCAAGCCCACGGTGCTTGTGGGCTGCCTGACACAGGCGGGCGCCTTCACCGAGCAGGTGATCAAGGAGATGTACAAGCACAACCCACAGCCGATTGTTTTCCCTCTTTCGAACCCAACACGCTTGCACGAGGCGTTCCCAGTGGACATCATGCGGTGGACCGACAACCGTGCGTTGATCGCCACGGGCTCGCCCTTCCAGCCCGTCGACGGCTACTACATCTCGGAAAACAACAACTGCTTCACGTTCCCCGGCATTGGTTTGGGCGCCGTTCTCTCGCGGTGCACCACCATCACCGACACGATGATCTCGGCGGCCGTGGACCAGTTGGCGCTGATGTCGCCCAAGATGGACAACCCCAAGAACGGCTTGCTTCCGCCCTTGGAGCAGATTGACGAGGTTTCGGCATACGTGGCCACTGCGGTCATTTTGCAGAGTTTGAAGGAAGGCACTGCTCGTGTTGAGAGCGAGGAAAAGCCCGACGGCGGCTTTGTGGAGGTGCCTCGTGACTTCAAGCAGTGCTTGAAGTGGGTCCAGTCGCAAATGTGGCGTCCTGTTTACCGTCCGTTGGTGAAGGTGAGCCACGAGCCGGAGATCCACACTTTCCAGTACTAGTACTACAATATATGGGGCTGCCTGGCCACGGGAAGTGGCAAGACAGCGGAGAATTTCGGTTCTGCGACGACAGGCTGTCGCTAAATATTCTAATAGAAGATCGTATAGACAGAAAGCTGTAGACGTGAAAATCTTCCGATGATACCAATCAACGGTTAGATGATTCGTGGATGGTGTTGTTATCCGATAAGCTAATGTACGATAGAATTATGAATAGAGAATGATTAGAATATGAATGGATAATGATTAGAATATGAATGGATAATGATTAGAATATGAATGGATTGTGATTAGAATATGAATGGATAATGATTAGAATATGAATGAATAATGATTAGAATATGAATGGATAATTATGTGGTCTATATAATATACATAATACGACAGTAGTCAAAACTAACTCATAACTAATTAATCAAGCAGTAGAGCGTATGAACCTAATAAAGAGTATTTACTACTAGCTGATCAACCAGTTAATAAAGCACCAAATCGTCCTATACTACTTATAGTTAAAGTTAATATAAAACCATAATTATGATCAGTTATTGTTATACCGGGACCAAAAAGTATAGCTGATAAACACAATAATGCTGATACTAATGTTCTGTCTCCATTGGAATCCTGAACCCAGATTAATGTACACCGAGTTGAACTAGAATGAATCGAATGTCAATGTCAATTACTTGGACAAAAATGTTAGTCGGATGAGCGAAGCCTGTCTGAACCATTACGACTGGCATCTTGTATCGTTCCATTGCATTTCTGGCATGCCTTTGTACCTGTTCTCTTTGTCTAATTTTCGCCTGCTACTCCTCTGTATCCTGTACTTCTCAGCCCATAATTATTAATTCGGAAAGATTTGTCATTGGAAGTATGAAAAATAAGATTTGGTGACATTTTGTAAGCAAATTCAAACTTGTTGAACACAACCAGTCTTGGTGTGTTCTCTGATTCTAAATCTACAAGCCATCCAAGAGGTTCTAACAAATACGAAAAATGTAGGTCTATAAATTCAACAACGTTCAAAGTTCTCTTTCATTGGTTACTACAAAATTCCTCAACTAGGTCTTCAATTGCTACACTATCTTCATCTTCGAACTTGTATCACGATAATTCACCTAAAGCAGATTCATTTAAGCTCGTTTACGTTTTCGACAGCAAATTCACAAGAGCCCAAGTTACTTCCCACATGGGTCTCACAGATCCGGTCTCTTGTTACTATGTGAATCAATATCTAAGAAAAGGGTTCTGATATTGAGCCAACGAAAGATAAAATGGCGTCACCAGCCGTTCAAACCTACTTCCTCATAAAGTCTCGTTCAAAAACCGCACAAGACGTGAAATACCAAAGTACTTTTTGCTGTCGATTTCTTCCACCAGAATCGATTTGACTTGTCTTAAGCGGCCGCAGATCTGGCTTGCCACAACATCTTCAAAAAAGAGCATCGAGTCGTGGACTCCAAGAGGCTCCACAAAAACGCTGAGGTTGCATTTCCCCAGCTCGTTTCTTCGCTCGTACTCATAGTGGTTACGTTCCAAATATTTGTGCAGATCCCCATACTTGACCTTTTCGTACCAGGGAAGATCGAGAGCATACTTTGCAAACTCCAAGATATCGTCTCTGAAACTCTCGTCCTCGCCGAAAATCAAAAACACGTCGTTGTCTGGGCTCGAGTAGTTGGGAATGTCCTTCCAGTCGCTTTCCTGTTTCGGAACTTTAGCCATAAGCCCGAATACCAACGAAAATGGATCCTGCTCTCCAAATATCGGAGGAATGTCGTCGCTGTTGGTGAAGCGGGTGTAGTGGATCATGTCGTAGTGTTGGTTCTGCAACCACGACCTTCCTTCCACCAATTCTGTAGGAAGAGGAGTTATTTTGACCCACGGGCTGATCAAGAGAAGTTTCTTGGGAAAAATCTTTTCTGTTTGCAACGTTTTTAAGTACTGGGTATACGAGATGGAAAGATGGGCACCTGCAGAATCTCCCATAAGAATGATGTTGGTGTGTCCCTCGGAAACAAGATTGGAGTAAGTCGAATGAAGCTGCATCAACTGCGTTGGAAAAGGTTTGCCTCGGCCCACAAGGGTGTAGTCCAAAAACAAAATAGATGTTTTGCTTTTCTTCTTTGGCTCAAGCAAGTGATAGACAGACATGAGAGATCTGACTTGAGTGACTTGGGTCTGGATAAAATATCCTCCTCCATGCGAATAAATAATGACTGGATCTGCCTTGGAAGTTCCGCTTTTGGCCATCCAAATCGAGTTTTTGTCGTACCGCAGACCGTATCCGGGAACATTCTTGACGAGATCCTTGCCAACAAAAGGAAGAATACGTCTAAGCAAGAAAGAATTGGAGTAAGGTGCAAGCAAGTAGGCATGCTTGATGTCTATAGTTAGCGAAGCTCTAAAAATCGTCAATTTGATGCAATTGAGCAAGCTTTTCGAGTATTTCCGGTAGTGGATTCCGCCAAAAATGTAGAAGCGGAGCACCACAATGAAAATGTCCAAGGGCATTTTGGCCAAAACCAAAAGTGACCGAAGAAACTGTTGGTAGTGTCTGATGGTGTCGCAAGATGGGACTAGCATGTCGTGCAGTGTCGTTTTGAAAGACCACTGGCGTTTTATATATCCTTGCACCCCGCATTGTGACATTTTGCAACCGCGGTGGACTAATGCACGTGACAGTTTGCGACAGACATACGACATGTCAAATGTCGGTATTTGATAACGGTGAAAATGTTCAAGGTTCGAATTAATGACTTCTGTTTTTGGTCGTTGAAAATGAGTATTGAATAGAAGAAAAATGCCACACGGCTTTTAAAATACGACTTTTATGCAAAAGACGGTAAATGGATGCAACGTCAAAAAGAATTAGAAAGTAGTGATACAATTACTTCCCGTCGGAACTTGAAAGGCTGATTATTAGCCTTCTTCGTTTTTGAAAAGAAAGAAAAGTTGTGAACTGCTGTATCTTGATCTGAATTTACGTATTTACCGGGCTTATTGATTTCGCCGAATAGATGTTCCGTGGAAACGAATAATATTCAATTTTAAACTATATTCTCTAATGAACATGAACAGACTTTTTGAACGTGCTTTGCCAGTCCATTGTTCGAAATATCTTGAACAGAATAGTCACTCTAACAGATTTTCATTGCATTAACTTAGATAGTCGGAGGGCTAAGTACAAGATTGGGAGAAATGATTCCAATGGCGAACAGAATAAATATACACAATATCTTTCCTTCAAAAATAATTATCAATCAACACAGGCCAGCCAAGCTGGCATGGGCTGAACCTAATACACCAATGGACTATTATATCATACATTAGCCAATCGGTACATAAACCATATACACGGCAAGTCCAATTCATCTGAACTTAGTCTGATGTTTAAACATTTACAAATATAAATATGTTGTGGATAGTCTGACAATCTTCTGGTCGTCTGATATCACAACGTTTCGTTCAAGAAGTTTGCAAGACGAACAACACCAAAGTACCGCACAGGATCAACGTCGTCCGCCAGATTTGGCCGGCCGCTTCTAATATTGTCGGCAATCTGATCCGCCACTCCATCTTCAAAAAAAAGCATAGAGTCATGCACCCCAAGCGGCTCAACGTAAGCGGTGAGACTGGCATTCCCATCTTTGTTGCGTCTTTTGAACTCGTAGTGCTGGCGAGAGAAAAGCTTGTGCAGATTGCCATATGTAACAGCCTCGTACCACGGAAGATCAAAGGCATACTTGGCCCACTCCAAAATGTCGTCTCTAAAGCTCTCGTGTTCGCCAAAAATCAAAAACGTGTGGTAGTCCTTGTTGGAGTAGTTGGGAATGTCGTCCCAGTCGCTTCTCTGTTTCGGAACTTTGGCCATAATCCCGTGAACCAACGAAAAAGGATCCACGTCCCCAAAGATCGTCGCAAGGTTTTCAATATGGGCGTAGCGAGAGTAGTGGATCAAGTCGTAGTCTTTGTTGTCGATCCAAGAGCGGCCCTTCACTAGTTCGTTGGGCTGAGGGGCCACATTGAGCCACGGACTGATCAAAATGAGGTTTTTCGGATACTCCACTGGCCGGTTTAAGCTTTTCAAATACTGAGTGTACGATACCGAAAGATGGCCGCCGGCAGAATCGCCCATAAGCAGAATGTTGGAGTATCCGTCGTCCAAAAGTCTGCAGTACGTGGCATGAAGCTGCTCCAACTGTGTTGGAAAGGGATGGCCACCTCCCACAAGCTTGTAGTCCAAAAACAAAATGGATGTCTTGCTTTTAATTTCCGGCTCGAGCAAATGGAAGACAGCAAGAATGGACTTGAGCTGTGTGATGATTGTCTGGATGAAATAGCCTCCGCCGTGGGCATAGATGATCACCGGATCTGTCTTAGTGCTTTGGCTCTGCTTGACCAACCACAATGAATTCTCGTCGTACTGGTACCCCAAGCCTGGAAGATCTTTCACAAGAGTGGAGCAAAACATAGGAAGCATCCACCGGATCAAAAAGCCGTTGCTATAAGGAGCAAGTAGATAGGAGTACTCCATGTCAATTGCCAAAGAAGCTTTAAGCACTCTCATCTTGATGCAATTGAGCAAGCTGGACTCATATTTTCTGTAGTTGAGGCCACCGAAAATGTAGTAGCGAAGAGTCACAACGAGAATGTCCCACGGAATACTGAGAACAATGAAAAGAGAGTGAAGGAACTTGTTTTGAAACATGAGACAACAAGGACGACAAGAAAGACGGCAAGAAAAACGACACTTATATATTTGGGAGCATGCACATGCCGTTGATTTGATGCAGGGAGACATTGCAGACATGTCTGATGTGACGTATGCATCATCGTGAGTTCGTTAGCCGTTGTGCATTCAAAAGAATGATCTCTCCATCACATTTCTTAATATACGTGATATCTAAGATTCCTAATGTACATTAATGTCGATCTACAAGAGTTCACTTCTACCATCTACTCAATTACTACGTTCTTGACTTTTAGTACCAATGTAGTTCCGTTGGCACAAGTCTTGGCATCGCTAGTTTTTGCCAGCTTAACCAATTTAATAAAACCACCACATAATGCCAATCGGATGTTTGGAGCCAAGCATGCCGGAAAGATCCGATCGGAGATTCCCCAACATTTCCGCAGGATTAATCTCCAAACAAGGCATGACTGAACACCATGAGAATTATGCTACCATGTCAATTCTATGTCAGTGGCTAATTCATTCAAATATCAGACATGTCAAATTGTCAGTACAAAACTTCCTTTTCTTACGCTTCGGGATTCATTTTTCCCGAGTTACATGCACGAAAGTAAGGGGAAATAACCTAGCTTCGCTTGTGGTTGCCAGTCGCCGAGAAATCTTCAAAACAAAAAAATAATACAAGACGAACATAAACCATACTACCTTGAATACTATAGTCCATCAAAGACACTCGTTTAACCTTTTTGAAGAAAAAAAAGGGAAATCTTGACTAAATAATTGAGAGACTTTGAAATTAATGTTTAAAGATAACGGTCGAGGCTATCGTGCGTTTAAGCAGAAATGAAATGGCGCGACACGCATGGATCTCGCATGCGGCATGGAGGCGGCGCATGTAGGACATGCATACAAAAGCACCTTCTAGCTGCCATAGGAAGCCGCAGAAAACAAAAGTGGCAGACCCAATATCACATTTCCGAGCTGTTTATCACTTTAGGACATAAACCAATTCCATGTTGGTTCATTCTCTGTAATTTTTCTGACGTTTTACGAGTTTTGACTCCGAATAAAATTGTGGTTCTTGGTAACTATACTAGTGTAATTGTGCTGGCAGTCTACTTTACAATATAGTCACTTAGTGGCAACTGAAGCGATCTAAGGAAGTGTTTCTATTCTGTAACAATGTCGGGTTTACTGGAGGCTTAAAGAATTCGGGACTTCTGAAGCCCCACTAATACACGAAAGTATAAAAGGCACTATCAGTTGAAAAAATTTTATCTTCTCACTGTCAGAATATCGCATTTTCAGCTCGGCGAAAATTTATAAGTATAATAATAGACAGTATGGTGAAATAAGGACTACTTAAAGATTAATCTTGGGGTAAGATGTATGGATGTTCACTAGTGTATAGTAGTAGTCAATTCTGGTGTTTGGGTGTTTGTAGTTGCAAGCTGCTCATACAAGAAGTTCGTGTGAAGTATTTCCATACTGAAACCTCTATTATTTCAAATCACCCACAAAAGGGTTTGAGGGAATCATACGAACTGAGATCAAACATAAACGTTTCTCTGTCCATCTTGAAACAACTTTCATACAAGTTGATGCGTCTATATGCTACATAAAGTACAGAAAAGTATCAAAATATGCGACTACTACTTTTGTGTACTTGCACAATTCATCTATATCATTTTGAACGAGTGTGACGTTAAGAGAAAATCGAAACATGACCTTAACGGATCTAGAAGAAGAAACCATCAATGAGCTTGCTGCGTCTTTTGAAAAAATCCAAGTGACTACTCTGTTTGAGCCTGGGGTTTACAAAGACGACAATGATATCGTGTTCCAAAACACAAATTCTCAATTGAAAACCCATTCCTTGACTCTAGACAAAGGAAAAGCTCGAGAACTCAGCCCTTTTGTCCTCGAGTCGATGTCGCTTTTCCCCGAGTGGTACTACTACTTTAAACGGAACTTCATGAAACTATCCACCTTAGCCAATCTTTATTGTGTACTTGATTTTGGCGAGTTTAAAAGTCGATCAGGACTTGCAAGCCTTCTGAATTCCTACTTCAATTTGTACCAAGATGCATTCTCGGCAGTAGTTCACTTTCATATCGACAAGTTTTTAAGTGAGGAAGAGACAAAGATGGAGCTCTCACGGTATGCGATTGAAAACGAAATGTGGGACAAGCTCCGAGGTCTTCCAGATGACTTGAGGTTGCAATACCGTCGGGAATATCTTTGCTTCCTCATGGCCAGAGGTGATTGCATTCCTCTATGTCACCATCTTATTGCCTATGGCTACACCACTCAAAAGTTATGGGATTACATCTTTGGTTACCTCGAACTTCTTCTTGAAAAGAGCGAGATGCGACAGGTGCTTAAATTGCAGCTGGAATACATTTCCACTGATCCTCTCGCAAAGGCACCGGAGCTCTTTCTGTTTTTGAAAGAAAAGGGATACATCATGGAAGTTCCTGGAAAATCCTCTCTCAAAAGACCACCACCACGTGGATCTTTCGTCCTAACCAGAGGACCCATAGGCTTAGAGCCTTTGAAAAGTGATTTTGTCACTGTACACAGAAACCGGGCAAAAATGGGGCCTCCGGAAGGATATACTGATCGTGGTCCAACTCCTTCTCTTGGAATGGATTCTTTACGTCTTATGCTTGCATATGCTGCCAGTAATAAGATGCTTTTGCGCCAGTTACAAATCGACGCTGCTTATTTAAGTGGAGATGGAATGGAGGGCACTATTGATTCGAAGAAACGACTCATTTTCCGCCTCGATAAGACTTTTTATGGCACGAAGATGGCATTTTACATTTGGTACGACACAATCTCATCCGGTCTAAAGCTCCATGGTTTTGAGCAGAAATATCGTGACCAATGTCTCTTCACCCGAGGAGAAGGGTCGAATATGGTGATTGTTGGTTTGCACTTTCAAAACTTGATTGTTATTGTGAAAGACATGGCCTCATTTGAAAGTCTCATGCTCTCTCTCTTTAACAGTTTTGAGGTTAAGGATTTGGGAAGGCCGTCCACGTTACTCCGTATGAACTTGGAGTTTGAAAACGACCAGGTCAAGATAACCATGAAAGACCGCATCCAACAGCTAGCGAAAGAGGTGATTCGACCAGAGGAAGAACCTTACAAAAGTTTATTCGAACCAGAGAAGAAGGAAAGCCTTGAAAAATCGTGTCCTACAACGCCATATGTTTCTCTAGTACGCAAGTTGCACCATATTTCGAAAATGGTTCGTTTTGATGTGTCATTTATTATAGCCGCATTGTGGAGACATGTGTCTTTTCCTAAATTCAAGCATCTTCATGCGGCCTTCCAGGTGGTGCGATACCTCGAGAAAACAGCAGATTTCGGTCTCGTGTATGGCCCGGACCGGCTGTCTAACCTCTATGCTTATAGCAACTCTCGTGTCGCAAGCACAAACTCGGATAATCGCTACTTGACTTCCTCTATATTGCAATATGGCGGTTCTCCGATAAGCTGGAAGACCAATCTCCAGAGCTCGCGGACATTTACCGACACAGAAGCAGAAATTATGGCCTTATCTCTCGTATACGAAGAGGTAGAAGGGATTGCTGAAGCCATTCAAAAATGGCCAATCGATGTTGCGTACCATATTTTCACGAGTAACGCAGAAGCAAATAGCGCAGTCAAAAGCAGTACAGCCTTTGAAGGACGGAAACGTTTTGCAGAGAAGGTGGATTACATTCGCAAAGTGGCCAGTCTGCCAGACTTCAGTCAGGAGCTCATTGATGATACGGATAATTTGGCTCGAGTTCTTACCCAGACACTTGAGGAGGACGAGTCTACTCGACTCTGCGAAAAGATTACTGGCAAAGAACCCATGGAATGGTATGGTTCCGTTGACGTGAGTTTTCATGAATGTAAATTGGAACCGAAGTCGGAAGTGGATTCCACACCTAAAGCAACACCAGAGGCCAAAGAGTTTGATGCAGCGGATGAGATTCTAGTGCCAGAATTCAAGCTTCCAGGCTCCTTCCCAGACTGGGATGTAGAGTCGTATCCAGACACACCAATGGCCACTGATGATTCTGACGCCAATCTTTTGGAGTGAGTCCTATGACCAGACCGTTCTAGATTGCAGGGATAAAACCTTGGGTAATTTTCATGGTTCCGGTTGTTGTGATGTCTTTTTTTTTTTTTGCTGTTATCATTTCTATTATGTTTGTGGTTTATGAGTTTTCATTGGGGCTCAAGAATATGACAAAGATTTAGTACATAGCGAAGCGGTGATGACTGTAATGCTGATGATTGAATACTCTAACATGTTTACGAAACTTCAATAGGCGTTCTCTAATCGAGGTGATGACTTCAATCCTAAGCTACTTTAGCCGTGAAGGTGTCTTTGCATACTCGCTCGTATATCTCGTATGTTTCCTTCCCATGCATACATAGACGCTCTACACAAAATACGCTCTCGTAAACAGGCTCCACATAGCTAAATTCTGCAAAGTAATGCATAGGTCAAAAAACGACTTTCAACTTGCATTTAATAAAAGAGAATAATTCCAAGAATTTTGGTCATGAGACTTCGCAGTTTTGGCCAATTCGGCGCATTTCAAGCATATGAGTCTCATAGCTTGTAGTAGCTTTATTATTAGTTTCATCTTAAACTTTAATCTCTTTCATCTTTACGTTTATCCTTTCATCTTTACTTTTCATCCTTCTTTACTCTTCTTTACCTTTCTTCTTTCCTTCTCTTTCACCTTTCTCTCGGCCTAATGGCTGCGTGCATAGAGCCGCGGCGTCGACATATAAAGTGGAAAAATCTCAACCAATAATTCCCCACAAAACCACCCAAAAGTTCACGTACAAAATGTCGGTCGAAGACTTGAAGTCAGTCGTTGAAAAGTTGCAGGACAGAATCCAGACCCTCGAGAAGAAGGCCGGGCTCGTTCCAAACGTGCCAAAGTCCATCAGAATGGTGTTGATTGGTCCTCCAGGCGCCGGAAAGGGCACCCAGGCGCCAAACTTGAAGGAAAAGTTCTGCGCCTGCCACTTGGCCACAGGTGACATGTTGAGAGCTCAGGTTGCCGCCAAAACCGAATTGGGTGTTGAGGCCAAGAAGATCATGGACAAAGGTGGTTTGGTTTCGGACGAAATCATGGTCAACATGATCAAGAGCGAGTTGGAAAACAACAAGGAGTGCAAGAACGGCTTCATCTTGGACGGTTTCCCCAGAACCATCCCGCAGGCCGAGAAGTTGGACGGCATGTTGAGTGAGAGGAAAACGCCGTTGCAAAGCGCCGTGGAGTTGAAGATCGACGACGAGTTGTTGGTGTCGAGAATCACCGGCAGATTGGTCCACCCAGCCAGTGGCAGATCCTACCACAAGTTGTTCAACCCTCCTAAGAAGGACATGACCGACGACATCACCGGCGAGCCTTTGGTTCAAAGATCTGACGACAACGAAGACGCCTTGAAGAAGAGATTGGTCACCTACCACAAGCAGACCGAGCCTATTGTCGAGTACTACAAGAAGGCTGGCATCTGGAGCGGAATCGACGCCTCGCAAAAGCCAGCCAAGGTCTGGGACGACATCTTGAAGTGCTTGGGCCAGAAATAGGTCCGCAGTTTGTAGAAACAAGATGCCTCTTTACGGACTGTAGATGACTGGTTTTGATTGACCAGTGAACGATTGACTATGTCTGTCAATTGCTATTTATGACCATTTGAGTTCTGTAAAATGGAAGACAAGTACTGTTAAATCTATTAACTCGTGATTCTGATACTTCTGCTGCCTCAAGTGTAGCCACCTCTTGCATTTTCCATACGACTACAATTATTTTTGTCTAAAGGACTGTTAATCTAAGAGTCAATTTTTCGGTAAATAGAGGGAATGATATCGAGCGATATTCGACTAATGGACCAGCGGTGACTTAAACCAGGTATTCCTGTGCCCATCAAACCAAAAATATTAGTCTAATACTTTTTCTAGTACGGTTCTTTGTTGTATGGGTTCGTGTAAGATGTGTTTGAGTCCATAGTTAATTTTGTCTATGTATTCTGCACCATTTCTAATAATCTTCTGCCCAAGATTTCACGAAAAATATTAAAAAATGTCTATAAAGCTTGACCCATGTTTCATCTTTGATGTCTGTTTGATTGTTGACCATTCCATTCTTCAGCAGAAAAAGGAACCAAAGAACTCTGTACGTTCTTCGGCACAGGTAAAGAAATGCTTATCCAAAAAGGCTTTCACCGTTGTAGAATTTTCTCCGAAGTCCAAGTTAGCCTTCTTAATGTCTACTTTTGCTTGACAAACCAACGAATCATGTTGCTCCTTATTTGAAAGTTCATAAACCAGCGGTTTCAAAGTTTACTCAACTTCATTGACCATGTTTGGATATCAATAAGATTATTTTCTGCATTAATTTTTAAAGAAATCAACAGTTAAAAAATACATTCGATACTTAATGTCAATAAGAACGGCATTAAAGTAGGTAGTTTTATTGTTTAATAAGAACATCGCCTATACAATTTGCTAAGTTGCGCATAACATTTAAACTTAGTTCTGACTAGAAGATTCCTTTATTCATCCCGCGAGTCTACATGTCATCGAACATGATTCATGAGAAGATCGCAATCTGATTTTGCGTATTGCATGCTATTTAGGTTTCCAGCCTCTTGACATTCAAACCATTCTTCATGTCCATTATCTTTCAAGCTCATTATTCTTCGAAAAATGTTCATCACTTAGGCTATCGATTGAGCAAGCTGCCCATATCGAAGACCGTAGTTATATGTCATTTAATTGCACACAAGTGTTATTCAGCACCACAGCGACAACGGTGAGAATAAAAAAGGAAGGCAAGTCAGTTGGATGGTGTATTCCTCTTTTCACGAGCCAATGCCACCATCTCCAACAAGACAATTGTTTAGTAAACCAGCAAAAATGTCTCACACCCGCACCCTCTTAGCTTCTGGTAGACCGTCAGGGCCACGCTTCCTGCTCGTCTCCTCCAAACATGCTGCGTGGGCAATCTTCCGACCCGTCTTCGTTCCCGGAGCGTATACACACGCGTCCCATACCCACTCGCCTAGTGCATCATTGTATGTTGCCTTGACCTGCTCACGACACACAATACACGTGTTGTTCATGTTTGTCTCGCTCGGAGGCACAACAACGTACTGAGCACGGGTTGGAGCAGCAGCAGCAGTCTCAGCACGAGCCACAGGCGCAGCCGCCTGTTCCGAAAGTGAGGACTCGTCAAAATGCACCCACTCGTCTTGTGAAATATACCACGTGCGCGATTGAATGTTGGCCTTGTGGTTGGTCAGGCGCTTGTTAATACGGAAGTGCCAGTCCAAATGCACGCGTTTGCGAGCGGCACCATCGTCATCGCCAGTAAAGCGCTTGCCGCACTGGGCGCACTTGGACAGTTTTGTCTCGTATAAGACCTGGAGGGTCAGCATGTCAAGGTCGCCCGAAGCAACAAACCGCTGGAGCGGAGCCGCAGCCTTTTGCACTTTAGAAAGCTCTTTGACCTTGATCTGGACATACTGAGACTGGCCACTGGCATCTAGCAAGAGCTGCTCAAGAGCATTGGTGGCCGGTGCGCCCAGGTACTTGTGGCGGGGAAAAACAAGCGAGTACACTGGCCGAGAGCCTGGCTTGAGTGACTGGTCCACAGCCACTAAGCCCGAAGCAAGTAATTCGCCGAAAAGCACACGGGCCTTCAGCTCGGTCGGAACCGGCGTTTGTGTAAGCGAAGGTGCAAGAGATTGTGCTGGAAGCGTCTGTGGCGTTGGCGGCAATGTTGACGGCGTTTGCGGCAAGGGTGTCTGTGGCTGCGTGATTGGCGTTTGTGGCTGGAACAGCAGGCCCTGGTTTTGCAGCATCAGCTGCTGGTGGGCCTGAGTCTCGAGGTTCTGTTGGTTCTGCTCCTGCTGCTTCATCAGCGCCAATTTCTGCAGCACCCCAGCCAAGTCTGCTGGCCCAAGAGCCTGGCTCTGTAAGAGGGCGCGCAAGTCGGCAAGCGCCGCACACCGTTCCGCAAGCGCCTGGTCGCCCCCCGCGCGCAGACGGCGCTCCATGGCGGGCAAAAGCGCGTCGATGTCCGCCACCAACAGCGCAGCCGTAGGCCCTGCGGGGGCGCGCCGAAAGCCAGCCTGCTGCAAAAACGCTTCGATGCGCTCCATTTCCGCCAGGGGGAAAAGGGGCAACGCGCCGCCCTTGACTCGGAATACCCGCCACAGATCAAACATCTTAACTAGACGGGCCCTGGTCGGCGTGTCCACCAACAAATACACATGCGAGAAAAGCTTGAAGATGTCGTCGCCAATAAGCACATTGTAGGGGGCGCCGACGGTTTTGCAGATCAGATCAAGCAAGTAAAGAGCGAAAAGCTTGTGTTCGGGAATGCAATGGTAGATGCGATGGGTAATGGCTGCGAGAATTCCGTCGGCCTCATCGGTATTTTCCTTGGCGATGGTGGTGAGATTGACAATTATGGGACGCGAGTTGAACGTGAGCTCTTTGAGCGACGTTGCGTAGTCCTCGACAAGTGGAGAAAAGACCATGGTTGGAAGGAAGTGTGAGAAGGGCGATGGTGTAGTGGCACACACGTGATATATATCACGTGGACAGATAACCATGTATTGCACGGACGGGAATCTGGCGGTGAAGATGAAGGATTATTCAATGATGGCTATTCAGTAAGAGGCAGTCAGTAAGGTTGCCTATTCAGTCAGTCTAGGGGTATAGGGGATCTGACAACAGCAATTCCGTTGACACTAGTGATAATCTGTGCAGGACAACATCCATCATGTCTATTGACAATCAATGTAGTTTGCAGAAACTAGCCTAGTGAGAAGCTAGTGGCCAAGATAAGTCCCAGAATATGCCAGTCACGTTACTGGTGTTGTGGTACGGCTGGTGGTTCAGTGGAACTATCGTACTTTGCTTCAAGCCGATAGGTTTACGAATTCATATACCAATCCGGTGCTTACCATTGGAACAGAGCCATTTTCACCATAAAATCGTTCCTTATAAAACCTGTCAAGCCATTTTAACCTTAGCTTCTATGACCTAGACCAGAGATTGGAAAGTACACGACTTCGGCGATAGTGGTCTCATTGTAGGGGGCCCTTCTTCAGCCCAACCGGCCTCCACGGACATGTAGGAAATACGGGCTTCCCGTAACGATAATGTCCCACTGATGTTTCCTCTTTGGAAAACTGATGGGCGCATTAACGTAGAAAATAACCTCACCTTCCCTTTTGGGCAATCGCCCTCAGCCGCGGTTAGTCATCTGGAAATTTTTCATCTTCCTCTTTATCTTTTTCCTTAGCCCATGTCCCCACCAACCGACAAAAAACAAAGCGGAGCCGCCCGTGTTCTCGGCTCTGCCACCGCCGGAATCTGTGAGATCGCCGTTTTCCACCCTGTGGACACCATCTCCAAGCGTCTCATGTCCAACCAGACCAGAATCACTTCTGCCGCACAATTGAACTCGGTTATCTTTAGAGAGCACGCCCAGAAGGCGCTCGGATCGAGACTTTTCACCTTGTTCCCTGGTTTGGGATATGCCGCTTGCTACAAGATCTTGCAGCGTGTGTACAAGTACGGTGGCCAGCCTTTTGCCAACGAGTTCTTGACGGCAAACTTCAAAGACCTGTACGAGTCCTTGTTCGGCAAGAAGACAGGCAAGGCGCTTTTGTCCGCCACCGCAGGCTCGTTGATCGGTATTGGTGAGGTGGTGTTGTTGCCATTGGACGTGTTGAAGATCAAGAGACAAACCAACCCTGAGTCTTTCAAGGGCCGTGGTTTCATCAAGATCTTGGCCGACGAAGGTTTCGGCTTGTACCGTGGTTGGGGCTGGACTGCGGCCAGAAATGCTCCGGGCTCTTTTGCTTTGTTCGGAGGTAACTCGTTTGCCAAGGAGTACATTTTCGGATTGTCCGATTACTCTTCTGCCACCTGGACGCAGAACTTCGTCACTTCCATTTTCGGTGCTTCGGCCTCTTTGGTTGTCTCTGCGCCTTTGGATGTGATCAAGACCCGTATCCAGAACAGAAACTTCGACAACCCAGAGTCTGGCTTCACCATTTTGAAGAACATGGCTAAGAACGAGGGAATCACGTCGTTTTTCAAGGGTTTGACACCAAAGTTGTTGACCACTGGTCCTAAGTTGGTTTTCTCTTTTGCCTTGGCACAGTCGTTGATTCCTGCTTTCGACAAGCTCATGAAGTAGGTTTGTACATAGTTAAGTTTGGCTTGGTCCATTTTTGTGTAGAGCACTTTAAAGAGAAGGGCATTAGATATTTTACCAGAGAATGCTTGAACGGTACATTTATTGTACTTTTCATGATATTTGTCACCTAACAATGCGTTGATTATTCCCAGTTTTAAAGTTTTATGATTTCTGTACCAGACTTTTCTTCAGATAATGATTCGGTCAAACCCTTCATCTACTTCTTCTTTTTCTACTTTCCAAATTCTACGTTCCTTCGTCTCTGTAGAATCTTCTCTTCTTATGTTCCCCACAACTGCGTTATATGTCACCTGCATCCAATAGCATACAAATCAAAAACCAGGGTGTACGGGTGTATTGGCATGTGTCATTTCGCGGCAAAATTATTTGCCCCACGTTCTGCCTCATCTTGTTAGGCAATGAGGTTCGTGACGTTTCTCATGTACTCATTGAAGGTGAACGTGCTCAACGTTCTAGTTCAGAACGCACGGTCACACCTGACAGAGATTCCGTTGATCCACAGTTCGGCGGTTTTTTCTGCCTCCGTGTCAACGCCGCATCCAGATGAGTTTCCCGACAATTGTTTTGTCAACAACTTGACAGGAATTGTTTATGCTTCGTGAGGGTTTGGTAAATAGGTATAGGAATGGATATGGATAATAGAATGTTTGTTGTAGACAGAAAGCCGAACAGAAAAATGTTTGTCTCAATCTCTGTTCGTAGACTCAGAATTAATATTTCATAACAGGAGATGATAATAGAAAGAGATTCTCCCAGTTGGCAAGTTACCTCTGAACTATCTTTATTAGTGCTACCTCGCTGTTATTGCGACTGCAGTGGATCCTTTAACCATCGAAGCAGTCTAAAGCTTCTGTTTGGTGTTTTGATTGTGAACTTGACGCTCGCATCCACGAAGATCCGAAAAATACCCATGTGGACACAGCAACTCCAGGAATTGCTGAATCAATTCATATTCGAATTAAAGTGAGAAGAGGCAAGTGTTTCGTATCTTTTATAGTAGAAGTCGCCGACCACATTGTGAAGTTGCGATCATAGGGGGCGCCCGCGTCAGGTAGACCCATTTGGCACCTATCGTTACAGTTGTTCCTCACTCAAGCCATTTCCGGAAATACCATTGGGCTGCACAATCTGCAAATACTGCCTCACACCCAGGCCCAATTCCGCGCCAATCTCGCTGCTCCAAGATTGCCAAGCGCACTTGTGCTTCACACCAACGTCTCTGACGTTGCGTGCGCTCTAGCACAGTCTCCCGAAGCCCGCCGGTTGCTCGGGCCACAGCACTAGCGTTTGTCAAAAAGGCCTTCACGTTTTTCTCAAGAATCGCCGCATGTGTACGAGCAGAATCAAGTGGAAGTTGACTTCGCTGGAGATCGATGTCTGCACGAGCAATGTATACCATTGCTAGTTGCGCAGAGCGGCCACCTGCACCAACATCACTCTTGTTATTGTTACGTTGCGCCAGAAGCATCTGTTGAGCAAGTTTAAGATGCGTATCCATTGCGGACAAAGCATCCCAATATGATTGAGCGTCCGTCTCTGGATTGTCAATGCCAAATCTCAGTATCACTGCTTCAATGCAATCAGCAGCCAGCATGTGACCTTCAGGAGTGCTGAGGGGTTCAAGCACTGAACACGTTGCCGCAACAGAGTCACTAGCAAGTGCCTCCACACAAGTGCGGGCCACAAGCAACAGAGCCCTAATGTTGGCGTATTCTATGCTGTCAATGCCTTCTCCTTCAGGGGTGGGGGTACTGTCGACCTCTTTTACTAATTCAGCCACGAGCAGACGTGCGGCATCAAGCTCAGTTGCAGGCGTGTTCTCAAGCACTGCGCGAGCTACGGCTAGCCCCGCCTCAGCTGTCTCCAACAACACTTCAGGAGGCGCATGATCACTAATCTGGATCTGCCACACAGCCCGAACTAATTCCACCGCTCTGTGGGCACCCCGCATGAAGTCTGCGGGCGACTCAGCCTCCTCAAGCCACTGGCTATATGCGGTAGCTGTATTGAACATGAGGTCGATTGGCGAGTCAGAACCACAAGCGTTCAAGGCAGCTTCATGAGCAGCAACCACATTCCCGATGTCCTGACACACGCTTCGCTCATCGCCTGTAAGCACCTCCCCCACATTGTCTAGACGAGTTACATCGATGTCACCAGCGATGTACTGTGTGTGCACTGCAAGCAAGAGCCTTGCAGCATTATACCGAGCATCTGGAGCTGCTGTGCCCAGAGCAGCGTCCTGGTAGTGTGTGTATGCACGTTGGTAGAAGCGGAGTGCTTTGGCGAGATCCAGAGAAAACCAGCGATCACCCGACTCCTCAGCGTCAGCACCTTCTTCTAGGTGGTCCGCATCAATAACACGTTTGTTTTTGACGGTTTCTGTGGTTAGTAAGATCCGCAAAACTGTTAGCAGTCAACGTACTCTTCATGATTGTCTTGTTCAGATTGACCTTGCGCAAGTTAATGGAATGTTTCATTGTGCAGGTCACACCATCTCCGACAGTTTTATGGATGGGAATTCACCCGTCCTACTTCATTCACGAATCCAATTGCCTTCTAACCAAAAAAATCTTTTCCGTTTTCTTTATTCACGGATATAAATCAAAAGCAAGCAATATTAAGGTTTTTTTTTTTTTTTTTTTTTTTTTTTTTTTTTTTTTTACCTTGAGAGATCAAGGCAAACAAGAGTTACAGCAATGACTGGTCATGCGGCTGAAGAAGAGAATACATTCCTTAGATACTTATTAATTATATATTACTACTGGAGTTATTTTGATTAGCATTGGGAAACTGAAGCACTTAAATAATTTTTGAATCATCGTACTACATATAAGGTTTTTGCAGCCACCAGAGATCCTAGTATATAAGGGATGGAAAAGTCGAATCAAATGAGACATTTAGAATTTCATTAGGAATAGATATTCACAAATCCCATCATAGATGATCCTTTTTGTGCTCTCTCTGATTCTGGTTTTCATTCTCCATCTCTGCTAGATATGTTACTTCTTTTTCTTTGTCTGTTGATGAAATCTTCATTCTGGTATCATAATCGAAGTGGTTTGTCTTAATGCTCGATCTTAATGTACACCAGAAGCAAAAGTTTCAACGTTTGTGATTTTCAATACCAAGTTTGCTGATGGTGGGAAATCATCCAGTTGTATAGTGGTGTACGAGTGAGATGGATACAAATATTTATCCATCCAGCTACTGACCATATTAGATGGTATGGATACATGAAAAGAATTAGAAAAGCATTGATACTATATATTTGTGCTTGCAAATTTCGGATGGCATAGAAACCTACTTCTGTTGGTCGAGTTGTTGGACACTCAGTGTTCACGTGCATATCACGTTCATCACCATCTCACCTACTGCTTTCTTCATGGCTGGATGCACGTCGTTATCTACGCTTGATCTCGCGCTCGAGGGCGCAAGCCCCGGGCTTGTCACATTACCTGTCATGGTCCTCGCCATGGTTAAGCAACCCAATTGGGGATTCGGCTTTCTTTTGGTCACCGACTTCACCGACTTTGAAAACAGCACATACAACCGCAAAATCGCCGTTCCTTCGAGTCTACCCGACACTTTCACTGTTGGAGGCCGTGTGCTCCGACGGAGCCAAATCTTTTCTATTCTGTTGAAGGCTGCACTACTAGACGGGTACTGGCAGGCGCTTCTGCGATTTTCACCACGAATGCGCGCATACAATTACATGGACGAGAGGCTCGGAGTGATAGCGCAGGAAGGCGTGGTGGCAATGGTGAGTTTCCGAGTGAAGAGCTATCGGGGCACGATAGAGGGATTTATGTCACATCTTCATGTGGCGACACGTGCAGTTCTTGGTTCAAGATCTCTTGCAGCCGAGTTTTCAGGCCAAGGTCTTGATACGTTTATGCGACGGTATATGGACTATATTGACGCAGACTTGTACGACCGCTTAGTGGCAGTCTTCCCTATAGAAAAGTATATGCGGCGGCCGATGAAGAGAGAGAGACAGATTGGTACAGAGCAAGACAATGGCAGCAAGGATGGCAATCAGAATGGGAGGGAGGAAGAGAATCAGAATGGAAATTTCACCGACCACGCGACGGCAAATAATGCGGCCGGGATTGAGCAGGGCGAAGCCCAGGTGAAGGAAAAGTCGACCGACCGTGAGAACTCGCCCCACCTTTCAGGCGTACGCCCGGTTTTTGCTCACCCTTCTCACGGAAGCATGCCCTTTCTCCACTGGCGCGCCCTACTGCCCGCAGACATTGCGCTCGGCACATCGATTCAAACATCAGGGTTTCTTCAAAGTCTCGATCCACATGTTTTTGTCAAACCTTTCCGCCGCACTTTGAAACTCGCGCCTCTCCGCTTCACTCTCACAGCGAATTCTACTCTGCGGGCTTGTGCCTACGTGGAAATACTCTCGGATGCCGAATGGTGTGCCTTTCTAGGAATCTCCGAAATTGAAGAAACGATAGAGAATGTACTGAAGCTCACGAGCCGCTTGGAGAGTATGAAGGGTCGCATATTGCTGCTTGTTGTGGAAAGACGGCTGGTGTCTCTATCGCATGGATATAGTCGACCATATTGGGGCTTGGCATCATCTTTGGACGATTTGGCGGAGCAATAAAGAAGACACTGACGATGCAATGACGAAAAAAGGCTACTTATGAGGCACGAAGAAGAGTTACCAATACATATGTTCGGTCTTTCAAGGCATGAGTTTTTCAACAAATGGGATAATAGAGAAAGACCCAACATAATATGCATGGAATATCTTTGTTCGTTGGTATGTCTTACCTCTCTGTGATTTGGAACACAACTCAAGATAGTTCATTGATGTTCAACTCAACTGGCTATAAGAAGAACAAGAATTTAAATTTAGTTTCAGAGCATGTCATACTTCAGTCTAGATAAAACAACCATTTACAGCGCTGAGAAACGATGGTTCAGCATTTTGGTTCTCTGGTCTCGGCATGGCCTTTCTTGTCCGCGAGGCTGTGATCATGTGCTCCTGCACAATCTGGAGGCGCGACTCACTCTCGTCTCCTTTTAGAGGCGCATATGAACTCCGCCTCTTAAAAATATAGCTCTGCTCCTGTTTCGATGGGGTGACTTTCATGCAACCGAAGGGGCGCGGGTCCGGCTAAGTAGAGGATTCACACGGCGCAGTTGTGGAGGTCAAAGGAAAAGAAAAAGGAATAAAAAAAGAATCAAAAATAGAATCGTGGTCTGCGCCGTGCGCTTATCGCTACACATAGCGCTGCGGTTCGATGCGCGCTATATAAAGACGTGGATGCGCCAGCGGATTTTTTTTTTTGCAAACCATCACTTCCAGTCTTTAGATTTCAGATTACGGATTCCTTATCAGCCATCCAGACTTTGCGTTTCATCACTGTTTAACTTTTACTGTTGAACTTCTTTCACCTTTGCTCGTTCACCGTTTCAAAAAAAAATGTATATCAACCGTGCTGTGGCTCTCATCGCCCGTGATTGGGAAGACGACGCCAAAAGCACTGGCAAATCATTCAAGAGCTGGAAATCATGTCAGAACAACCGAACATGTCACATTATCGCTATAGTGGGATTTGTTCTTGCGGCGCTATGCATTTTCTGGGTCCTTTCTACGTTGATCCGCTGTCTCTGCATGGGATATTCCTGTTTAGAGGCGCTCTGTTGCTGCTGTTGCAGAAATGCCCACTCCAACAGATATGTCGAGCAGCCACAACAGGTTTTCCCCCAGAATTACTCGCAGCACTACACGCACCAGCGCGAGCCACCAATGACGCGCGCAGAGCCAGCGTACCAGCCCATGAACCAGTATTATCCTGCAGAAAAGGCCACCACGCCAGCCGATTTCACAAAGTACCCCCATGAAGAATCATATAGATACGACACGGGGTACAAACCGCTGCAGTTTTAAGTTGATGACAGGACTAGGGATATATTTAGTATACGACAATAGGGAAAAAGCGTAGACTTGGTGCGGAGATACACGGAGATAGAAGGACAAGACTTACATTGCGACATAAGATCCAGACATTATTATTCAGAAATAACATTGAGACATAAGGACATTATTCCGACATTATTCAGACATTTCAGACATTTAGATTCCGACATTATATTCAGCGACATTTCCTTCACAGAACTCCAGACATATCTACTCGGACTTTGGAGCCTGTAAACCTGGCGCTTACTTTTCTTCTCAATTCTTCATTTTCTTCACTTTCTTCTTTTCTTCTCGATTCTTCACTTTCTTCACTTTCTTCCTCTCTTCTCGATTCTTCACTTTCTTCACTTTCTTCAATTTCTTCACTTTCTTCTCCCCGATTCTCTGAAATCTCGATCGGGCCTTTTCTCTTCAACAGATAATCGAACAGAAAGTCAAATAAATCGCTCTATAAGCGCCTGATAGCCATTATTAACACCATACAAATCAAGGATAATTCTAAATCAAGGATAATTCTAAATCAAGGATAATTCTAAATCAAGGATAATTCTCAAGGATAATTCTCAAGGATAAATTGTTTCGTTAACCAAATTCACTTGGCGCCTTTTTCGCAGCATCAACTTGAATTGCAACATCTCCCACCTCTCATCTGGGCTATTGCTGCAAATCCGCGAATTCCCGCCCTTGCATGAAGCACATTGTCATTTGCCTCGACGGCACCGCCACCAGTTTCGGCTCGGGCCCCGCCACTAACGTGCTTCTTCTTTTCCGCCTCCTCGACCGCTCCAACATCTGCTACTACCAGCCGGGCGTCGGCACGCTGTTTATTGGCCGCCCCGACATTGCGCCCCACACGCGCTTTTACACAAACTGGCAGGCGGCACACGCCCGCCTTGACGCCGCGTCGGGATACCTGCTTCTGACGCATGTCCAGGCGGCATATCTTTTCCTTGTGCGATTCTACGAGCAGGGCGACAGGATCGAGGTGTTTGGCTTTTCGCGCGGCTGCTTCACTGCGAGGGTGTTGGCCGGCATGCTTGAGCATGTGGGTTTGCTCCGGCGCGGCCTGGAGGAAATGGTGCGGGCCGCCTGGGAATTGTACGCGGGCTGGGAGGCGGCCGGGCAGCCCTACGAGGGAGCGAGCGCGCCCGCGCGCGCCGGCCGCGCCGATCTTCTGCGCGAGTTTGGCCGCACCTTCTGCCGCCCGGCGCGCATCCACTTCATGGGCCTCTGGGACACCGTGGCGCTGGTGGGCCTTTTGCGCGAGCGCGTGTTTCCCTACACCAGCCGGAGCACGTTTGTGAGCCACGTGCGCCACGCCATCAGCATCGACGAACGCCGCTGTAAGTACCGGCAGGTGCCCTTCGAGGAGCCTGACCCATGCGGCGCGCCATGGTCCTGGATGTCGTGGTGGCGCCGCATTGTCGGCGAGCGCGAGCCCGCCGGTTGCTCCGACGACCTTGTGGAGCTTTGGTTTCCCGGCAACCACGGCGATGTTGGCGGCGGCTGGCCCCAGGACGCCGAGGGGTACAAGATGTCGGCGCTCCCGTTGAGGTGGATTGTGGCCGAAGCCATCAAACATGGTGTCCGCTTTGCGCCGGGGACTGTGGCTGCGCTCAACACAGTGTGCCCGGTGGAGAAATCTTTGAAGCTGTTGCACCACGACATGCTTTCGTGGCGCGCGCCGAAGTACGTGGCGCCGCCGGCTTTGGGCGACTACGGCCTTCCCTTCCTGGCGGAGCGCGCTGAAATTTCTGCCGGGCGCTCCGAATCCAACTCGGCCCTGCCCGTTTCGCGCCTCGCGCGGCTTTTCCGTCGGGCGCCTGGGGCCGAGCTGGAAGAAACACTTCCTGGGAAGATGCCCAGCGATAGAACAGCCCTTCGTGCCGTTCCTACCTCATACGGCGCCGCCGCCCATGCTTCAAGCAGACGAAGGCTTCGCTCGCAGTCTGTCAGCTTGCCCATTGCAAAAAGAGCCGTCGTGAAGCGACCAAATTCCACAGGCAGCAGCACGTTGCGGCGCCTCGTAGAAGCACGCAAGGGCGTCTACACATGGCCCAACGCCAAAATCACCCGCCTCCCGTCGGCGCTGTATGCATTTGTGCGGCGCCAACCTGATAAGCCACCCGAGAGTAATGTCCAACCAGCCCTCCGCTTCAACGCCCGCGGCTCAAGTTCCATATTGGACACAATTTTCTGGTGGCTCGTAGAACTTCTTCCTTGTACTACAGAGGTGGAGTGTCCAGATGGCATCTGGCGACGGCAGATCAGGCCCAACTTTGGAGCCCTGCGCGCTATCCCCGCCCAAGCCAAGTTCCATTGGAGCCTCTTCTACCGTCTCCGCTATGTCAGCGACTACACGCCCACCAATCTTCCTACTGATCTCGGCGCGAGGTTTGTAGAACTGATCGAGCGCACCATGATGCTCCCCCAGGAACTCCGAGAGGACCTTTTGAAACTTGACGCGAGCACCATCCGCACCAGCAATAGTGCCATCTGGAACATCTTCCCGGACGACTTTGCGCAAAGATGAAGTATACAGAGCTATACATGCCAAACATGTATCCGTCTACACCGAGAAAAAGCATGCACACGACTATATTGTTATGAAAGTTCCGGCACCAGATGCATAAGAGATGCCGGAGGAGAGATGGCCCGAGCGGACCAGTGTGAAATTATGGGGCGAAGGGCAGCTTAACCGATAAGCAAGGTTTCCTCGTCGGAGAACTCGTACTGAGGAATTTCCAAGTTCAAAGGAGCTGGGCCTCTTCTGATTCTACCAGAGATATCGTAGTGGGAACCGTGACATGGGCAGAACCATCCACCAAAGTCACCAGCCTCTCCGATAGGGACACATCCCAAGTGGGTGCAGATACCCAACATCACCAACCACTCTGGCTTCTTGACACGGTCATCGTCGGTTTGTGGGTCTCTCAAAGCCTTGATGTCCACCTGGTTAGCCTCATCGATCTCATCTTGTGTTCTGTGTCTGATGAAAACTGGCTTACCTTGCCACTTGACAATGACGTTGTTACCTTCTGGAATGGCGCCCAACTTGACCTCAACCTTGGCCATGGCCAAAACATCGGCAGAGGCAGACATGGACGAGAGGAAAGCCTCCACAGTGGACTTGGCGCCCGCAGCAGACAACAAACCCATCGAGCCAACCATGAAGTAGGTGAAGTTCTTGGTCTTTTGGTCGCCTCTGTTGCTGAGGTAAGACGAAAAGTCTGGCTGCTGGTAGGAAGAGAGAGCCGAAGAGGAAGTGGTCAAGGCTCTGGCAGAGTTCTTCAACGCCAAACCGCTTCTCAATGATCTGAATGCAAGCGACATGTCTGAATAGATGGGTGTTGTGGAAGAAAGCGAAAGTGCAAGCAGGCTTGTAGTTTTTCGCGGTGTGTATTTGGGCCGCGCTCATTGGCTGGGGACGGGGCGGGTAACCCTGCATACAGGTGCCATATTTGCTAACACAGCGGCGCCAGCGGAGGCCAGGGCCAAAGTTGGGGACGTAGCATTCTGAATCAGCAGAGATTCGTCCTCTAGGCTCGAGCATGGTCTCAACCGGAAAGCATTGGGGAGTGCGTCTGGTCATGTACACAAATCACGTGAGTACAGTCACGTGCCAATATCCACCAGGAGCCATCAAAGTGCGAAATCACGTGCATCGCCTCCCTCCAATGGGTGCAAAATTACCACTTGATATATTGACGTGCGATATCTCTACTTAATTCCAAATCCCGCCAGCATGTTCACCGCCTTCGTGAGCTTATCAACCATCTTCTCACGTGAGCTGTACTGGTAAATGGAGAGCTCGTTGAAACACGTGTGTGCCACCGGCAACCGGTCGCTATCCTCTCCGCTTCGCAAGCGCGAGATCTTGAGCGTGAGGTTTTGCGCACCTGTCGCTGGCACACGGTCCGATCCCGTGATGAAGAGAAGGAGCCGTTTCTGCTGGTCGAACGTCAAGTCAGTCACATACTGCCAAAACCATTGAACGATCGGCGATGCCAAAGCCTCCTCCTTCGACGGCCAGCCTGTGTAATGAGTGATGGACTTGAGCACATCAATGTCAAAACGGGTCTCTTCGCTGCCGCAGAGAAGAAACTGAATTTCCTCGGGCAGAAACAAAGAAAACGAGTTCCCGTCGACAACGCTGCGGAACCCGGCCGTGAACAGCTGGAGCTGGCGTTTCATGCCATCCGTAAGGAAGAAACGTGCGTACTTGTCAATGTACATCTCCCTGTTTTCCGAATTCACTGCAATCTCGCGACCTCCAGGAACTAGCTCGCGATGATGGAGACGGCCAAACGCATCGTGAAACGTCACTTCAAACGTTAGTTCTAGCATCTCCAAGTCTTCTGGCGAGAAGTCACGGAGCTTGAACAAATTTTCTGCGGCAACAGGGAAAATGTCTTTGTAGTCGGCCAAGCCCAACGGCATGCCCAACAAAAGCTTGTACAAGGCCACGGGGAACTTCAAATCAAGAATGGTCAGGTTGTAGATGGCCAAACCTAGCACAGCGCCGAAAAGATAGTACATCTCTGCGTTTTCCACTGGAATGACATTGAACCATAGAAAGTTCGAGTCATCTACATTCCCCAACATGCCCGCCAGCGGGCTGAATAATGCACGGGTCAAAAGCAAAAACCATTCCTTTTTTAGCCCTCCGGCATCCACACCAGGTTCGTTGACAAATTGCACTTTGAGCGATTTTTTGAGGTTTCCTGGGTTCAACTGGATACACCGGAGCAGGTCTTGAACAATGTACTCGCGGCGAATCCGCACCCGAAAGTACACATCAAGAGCCACACGCCGATCTAAGGAGGTGATGAACGCTTCCTCGGCCTTTCTTTCCATTTGTCGCCGTGCCTCATACTCTAGAATGGAGATTTTCCCGCCTAGAGTGAGAAGAAACGGATACTGGCAAAGATAGAAGCCGTATGCCGATCCCTGCTGCATGGTATCTGTGCCGTTGATGTAATCAAGAACGGTCTGAAGAGCGGGTTCTGCCGTTGCCGGCCGCAGCTGGGATTTTTTTCGACTCAGCCACAGATCAAAGTCGGCACGAACATTCACATAGTCAGCCATGGAGTTGTAAAATGCGTGGGCGGGCAACTTGATGTCTCTGATATAGTTTGCCTTCACAAAGACGCCCAACGCACCTGCGGCCGTGCGCAAATGGTAGTTTCCCAGGTACTGGTGAACGCGGATCTTGGCATCTGTGCGGCGTGAGAGTCCAGCCCAAGGCAGAGAGTGCATCTCCTCCACCTCGTCCTTGAGATACGAGTACAGAAAGTACTCTGCCTGGTCCGGGCGGCAGTCGGAATTGCGCCGTGCCAATTCCGGGTTGTTGGCGTAATAAAAGTGTTTGCGCAAGTGGAAGGTGATGTATAAGTTGATGAGATCCACTTTGGCAGCGAAATCGGCCAATTCGAGCTTGGAAAACCACGAGGCAAAATAATTGCCTGCGGGTGAAGCTTCAGCGGCACTGAGAAGAGCCAACACCCGCTTTAAAATGTCGTAACAAAGCGCCTGGATTTCGGGGACTTCGCCTGCGGACTGTGGCTGTGACTGTGGGCGCGAGTGTGCTCGAGAATGGGAACGCTTGTCGCTGTTGGTCAAGGCTCGCCGCAAGAATGGGATCTCCAAGAGAACCAATACCCAGTACAAGTTGCGGGGGTTGTCTGCGATGGACATGGGGAGTCTTCGGATCGCATTGCTTGCGCCGGTAAGAGCACAGAAAAGCGGTCTTTTCGAAGGAAGCAGTGCCAATAAATGAAACACGCGGCGAACCTCATCCAAGTTCACGTCGCACAGCGAATAGTGTGCCCGGCGCGAGCGGCGGATCCGGAACAGCAGGTTCAAACAGGCAATCGAGCCAAATGCCGCGAGAAGATGGTCCAGAAGTGGCTGTAGCCGCTGATGGAGAGCGTGGGAAGCCGAAGGGCGGTCGCAGTTAGTTGAAACAGGGGGGATGCCATTTGAACCAACGACGTTTCCGCTGCTTCCCGGTAAGTGGCTCGCTTGTGCATCTGCCGAAGCTTTTTCTAAGAGGATATCATTCATGACGGGTATTGGGCTGCCTTCGGAGAGAGAGCGGCCCTTTTTCGGAGAAATAGGACACAAATTGTTGGTGTTACCCGTGGCCGGTGGTTTTGAGGTAGCATTGGTGACTTTACTCGTACTGCTTTTCGGTCTGGACATGGACGATTCCCGACTGACCTTTGGTATGGGGGGGACATTTTCCACAATGGCTTTCGAGCTTAGGATTTCTGTTGGGGGGATTGCTGGAACATCTTTGGAGGTGGAAGCAGAATGTGCAAATTGCTTTGGATCCTCAGAGCGAGGACTTTCTTTGTGCTTCGGCTCTTGGATGTGAGCCTTGTTGTCCCGGATCTGATTGCCTTCCGAATGAGACTTTCTGCTATCATCTGGCTGATTTGCATTATTCTTCAAACCGCCATACAAGCATTTTTCTATGCGGCTTTTGATGTCATCGTATGAGAGAAGAGGCACGGGCAGTTGGGCATCGGGATCAAAGTCCTCCATCAACGTTGTAGTATGGCACACAGAGCAATGGAACTTGGTATTCTCCCCAATGAGAAGGGCTGCGCCACAACAGACACATTTGGCAACATTATTTGCGGGGCGAATGTTAGTTGAGCTTGGACTTCGGGACGGTTTGGGTGACGCTTGCACTTTTAGAAGATCAAGGATACGCCACTGCTTTTGTGACATGGTCCGGCTGAATGGGGAAAACGCAACCTCAGATGAGATTTCGGATGGTCACAATAAGATTCAGCAGTGCCAATTGACGGCAATTGGTTGGCAACACAAACCCTTTAGACCTGAGTTAACCAGCTTAAGTAATCGAAGCCACACTCAAACACTGTCTGCAACCAAAAGCTATCTGCAATCAAGGACTGTCTGCTATCGTATAATTGGAATTGGCTAGCGTGGAAATCGGAAGGCCTGGGCGATACTGCTTTCTGGCTCGGTCAAGATCAATACGACAATGCCGATATCGGTATAAATAGGAGAACCCGCTCCCAATGGTGCTAAAGTTACCGGGACCAGTACGAGGGAAGTCGAACACCAGCGTACAGAAAAAAAACTGATAAACAAGAAAAAGAAACGAAAAAAGGAAAAGAACCAGAATTAGCCTACAGCCTGGACTTTCCAGTTATGAGACCTAAAGTCTTGCTCCACAAATCTGTCGGGACTGCACACAGGGCGCGCCTGTGCCAGACTTGGCCCTGCCATCGCTAGACTTCCAAACTTACTACTCTGGCGAAGAGCCAGGTATAAGAAAGGAAAAGAAAATAATCCGAGAGAAAAAAATGCATGTTTTGCGATCTGTCTGCTTACCCAGCTCGCCGCAGGCGGTTGTTGCCGCACAATTGGCTCCGGCAGAAACTCATCTTGCCGTGGCACGACAGGCTGTTGTTGAAGTGTACAAGTTTGATCCGAAGAAGCCGGCGTACTTGGTTTCCCGGCGTCTGTTACAATTCCCGCTGCCCGTGGATGCGTTAGCAGTCATCCCTGCGAAACTCTGGCCTGGTGCTGGAGATTCTGTCCAAACAGACACTTTGGCGGTTTTAGCCGCCAACACACTCCATCTCGTTCGTCTAGTGGCCGATACGCTCCAAGTAATACACCGCGTCACTTTGGCGAATGTGGAAGGCCAAGGACGCTGCACAGAGACACCACCGTTGATGGTAGTGCTATCCGGTGGAAAGTACTTGTACTTGGTGATGCATGTGTTCCAAGGGTTTGTGACGGCTGTGGATTTGCAGCAAATCTTCTCCACCAACGATGACGCACCAAGGAAAGCGAAGCGTGCTCGCAGAAACACCGGGGGATCGTCGCATGCTCGATCGTGGACGGGATCCATGACAGCAACGCCCGGAGAAGCCCGCGTGGCACGCACCTACAACATCGGGCAAGTGGCTGTGCAACAGATTGTGGCAGTTCCCGGAATAGAACCCACATTTGCGCTTCTCTACCGCGACATCGAGTTCAATTACTCGCTTCGGCATTACTCATTCGCCAGCTTACTGCATGCGCTTGTGGTGAGCAGACAAATGCTGGAGTTCTCTGACGCGCCTCTGCTTGCGTTTGCGGCATTGGATGGTGTTGTTGTGGCTAGTGACTTGCACATGTACTATTTCCCCAATTCCGGCGAGGTGGAAGAATATCCGGTAGCAACGACTCACGACGTGACAAGAAACAGCGAAAACACAGTGATGACGCTCGGCTTATACAGCGATTACCTTGGCGCCTCCTTTTCTGCCCATGTGGCGCTTGATCTGGACCGCCATCTTCTCGTCTCAGACATGGGCCACACGCTTCTTCTCACCTTGAGCGGGAGTGTGAGGGCATCAACTACACGAGTGACTTGGTTCAAAGTGGAAGATGTTGGCTTGTCCACTGTCGCATCTTCGTTGGCTTATCTCGGGCCAAACGTGGTTTTTGCCGCTTCTCGCCTCTCGCGCTCATTGTTATTTCAGCTTAGGAAGGGTAAGGGAAATTTAGGGACAACTACGGTGCGAGTGTTGGCGTTCCTCCCATCTTCGCCACCTGTATTGGATATGCATGCCATTAAGGGACAGGATGGGCTTGTAGTGGCTCAGGGTGGTCTTCATAGTGGCGAATTGGTTGTGCGGACACTGCAGCAGTTTGCTGCGGTAAACTCCACGGGGCAAACGAGATCAGCAGATGCAAAAGCGTTCCAAATCACCTATGCGGGCCGAGACAAGGTGTGCTATACTTTGACCCGAGAAGGCAAAAAGGGCTGCAACGGGGAGATGTATTTCTGGAAGCTGAAAGATATACTAGCGTTCGAAAGAGAAGACAATTGGAAAGAGCACGATTGGTACAAGGACAAGGATCACGATAATGAACTGCTGGAGAACACACAAAGACTTAACGATACAGATGATCTGGACGAAGCCTCTGGTGACCTGGACAGGCTAAACCCGAGCGACGAGCGTAATATCGGCAAAACCTATTTCTCCGACGGCTTTGTATATCTTGAGGGAACGTTTTTTGTGCTCGAAACCAATATCTTGCGCAAAATTCCCTTGCCGTTCGAACAACCAGCGTCGTTGAGTGTGTTTGAAGAGGAAGACGCTGTGCATTTCATTGTGCTGCTGTGGTGTGGACGGTTGTGCTGGATCATTTCGTCAGATGAAGGATTACATATTTATTTGAACACAGAAACTAGTCTCAAGGGCCACGTCAGCGCTGCAATTTATCCTCTTACGAATGAAGAGAATCTTCTTGTTGCTGTGGATGGAACAGGAAACTTTGAACAGCAATTGTTTGTCGGTAAAACATTGAAGAACAAGATCTCAACTAAAATCGAGGTTGACTTGGACACTTTGTTCCGTTATCGAAACGAAAAGAAGTTGTTCTTGCGAAGTTCAAGAAAAATTTACTTGTTGCATCCATCAGATTCGCCATTCCTATCACTATCATTTGTCACGTCTACACAATCGCCAATGCTAGACTGTCAGCTGATTCCTCATCCAGATGGCAAAAATCGTTTCCTCATTGTTTACGCCCAAGGCAGACTTGAAAGCCTCGTATACCAGAAGTTACCTTTGAACCACAATACTTTCTTCTCAGATAAGTTGGTGCTCCAGGCAATAAGTTTAGAGAGACGAAATGTCATCGTGGCTATTCTTTTGGAGCTCAAGCCTAATAAGTCGACAGGGAAGATGGACAAGCTCACATCGATCGTTCTTTACGACCGAAAAACGTTGCAAGTTTACGATACTGTTGCAGAAGATCCAGGCAGTAACTTTGTGGGACTTTGTGCACTTGGAAGTGGAAGTGGATTAAAGGATGGGCATTTTGTGGCAGTTTGTAAATCTGATTATCCCAGCAAACTTTTTCCGATATTCAAAGTCCAAGGAACTCGGATTGTCAAGTTTGCGCTGCCGCAATTGGAAGGTTCTTATCCCAAACCTCTTACCGCTGTGAAAGTGAAATGTTACGATGGAGTATTGCATGTGATTGGCAATCGGTACATTACTTTGGAGCTCGATATGGAAGACGACCAGTTTATTTGGAAGAGCAGATTTCGGGCTCCTCTCTGTACTTCGCTTACTTTTGGTGTTGATGTGGTGCAAGTGGGGGGACAAGTTTTCATTGCCGATGTTAGTCGTGGATTGTTGACATTCAATGCTGCTAAAGATGAAATGGAAAGTTTGAAGACAGTGTTTTCCCCGTACTTCATTACTGTTCTCGCTTCATTCCAGGACAAGCTTTTAATTTACGGTGATAGTGCAGGCAACATTGGTGCTCTCTCTGTCCGAAAAGGCAATGATCAAGTGACATATGAACAGAAGTTTGGTTTCAATGTGGGGGACCAGGTCAATACCATCTGCGTGAAAAACGACACTTTATACATAGGCACTAGTGGAGGAGGCATTTTCCGGGTGGATGACGTTGAGATTAGTCCCACGTTGGCGTCTGTCTACGAAAAGAAGTCGACAGAAGCAAGATTACTAGTCAAGCCATGGAAGACGTTTGATGATGATGTGCACGAGATCGAAGGCATCTATGATGGGGACTTTTTGTGTAAGGAAATGATGGAGGGAAGCGAGGAAGAGATACGGAATGAAATTGATAGAATTTCTTATATGACGACCAGGAATTGATGCTATTTAATCAGAGGTACTGAATAAACTAATAGATTGAGTCACCGAGCTGAAATTATGTAGCTTTTGGATACAAGAAAAAAAAAAGAAACTGAACATGTTTGACGTAGTATAGAAGAACGAAGTCCGAGAGTTGTCATTTCGCATTCTTTCAGAGAATAGCCAAAAAGGTAAAAAATACCACAACAAAAATTACAGTATATACAGATGAAAGAAAGAAAGAACAGAGCAAACTAAGAAAGAAAGAGAAGACAAGATAAAAGCAGAAGGTCTCAATCGAACAACTGAGAGAAAACAAGAACATCAAAAACAGCAAAGACATCAAAAAAACGAACAACAAAAAAACAAGAACAACAAAAAAAAAACAACAAAAAAAAAAAACAAAAAAACAAGAACAATAAAAACAGAAAAAAACAACAAAACAAAAGTAGACCCACCACAAGTGAAAATCCACCGACCAAAGCCTGCCTTGTCCGTTCCTGGGCCTGGGCCTGCATACGCCAGCACACCCTGCAGGCGCGCATCAACAACCAAAAACTCCACTGCTCCATCTCCCATCTCCCATCTTCCATCTTCTCCATCCGACATGTTTGACGACATCGACATGCTCGAGATCCCCACCTCCGACACGCTGACGTCGCAAACGGAGTCTGCGCTGCCCGAGCCCGAGCGCCCGAAAACTTACCCGCTGCTCCAAGAATGGCTTCTGCTGCCGACGGAATTGCCGTTTCAATTCGACCCCGACGCGCACCGCCGCAGCGCAAAACACGTGGACGACTTTGCCCACGCGCAGAATGAGTACATCACCAAGCTCTACAAAGTGGTGGAGGACCTAGGGCCCAAGCCGGCGCCAGCAGACCAGGTGACACCAGAGCCGCTAGGGGTTGTGGCCCGCGACATGGGACAAAACCGGGCCGCCGTGGCCAACACCAAGCGCGCACATGTCGCGTTTGCGCGCCTCTTGGACCACTACGCCGCCTTTGTCGACACCGTGTCGCAGTACGTCGACGCCAGCGTGGCCCGCGACTACGACTTGCTCCAGTCGCTCTTGGAGGCGCTCCACGCCAGCTCGTTTGCGCCGGAACAGACGCGGCCCGAGCTTGTCGTGCGCTGGATCAACCGCTACGACCCGAAACCAGACAATGCGCTTGTCGACGCCGTCATGTACAACACGCCCTTGCCCTACACGCACGCCAGTTTCTGGCTGTATGTGACGGCGCTCGTGACGCGCGGCTTGTTTGCCCAGGCGGCGCTGTCGCTCCGCGCGCTGAAGTTCGACGAGCTCGAGCACACATGCCCCGTTTTGCATGCGCAGTTTGGCGACTTGGCCGCTCTTGTCGCCAGCTACGAGCCCATGGCGCAGAAGGGCCAGTTTGCCGCGTGGAAACGCGCCGCCAGCGACTTCCGCGCCGCGCTCGCCACCGCAGACGTCGGCGCAGAACATGCTGCGGCCGCAGCCAGCATCCGGGACGTGGCAGGCGTCCTCTGCGGCCTTGTGCGCACCATCGCCGCCCACACAAGCACTTGGTACGACATGTACGGGGCGTTGGCGTTGTTCCACGTGCGCGAGGGCGCCGACGCAGACCACGCCGAGCTTGCTGTGGCGGAAAAGGGCGTTCCGCCCGCCGAAGCGGCCCTTTGCGACGCCGTGCGCCACCGCCACATGCGCTTGCTTCTTGCCATCGACCGCCTCGACCCGGCCACGGCGGCGTACGTGTCGCGGCTCATGGAGTGGCACGGCTGCTTGGCGGTCGACGCCGACGGCATCCACGACGGCGACTTGGCCAAAGACCTGTCCAGCATCACTGTCCATGGCGGCAGCGTCTCGGACTACCTCTTGACGCGCCACGCCTACGAGTGCCTCGAGGTGCACGCCTTGGCCCCCGTTGGCGTTGGGCTTCTTGCCTCCGTCGTGCCACTGAGCTCTGCGCACGTGCGGGCCGTGCTTCAACAGTTTCTTCCCCACTACGAGTGTTTCACCAACGACGACATGGAGTGGGCCTTGACGCTCTGCGCCAAGTTCGCCCTTGCCGACACCGCCCTGCGCTTGTACTTGCGCCAGGGCGAAAAGTCGTTGCGCCTGGGCCATGTGTTCGAGGCGCTATCCATGTGGGCCCGATGCTTCGGCGGCCCGGCCGAGGAGTCTGCCGCGGCCATGGCCCGCATCCACGCCGTCTGCTGGGGCTTGTTCCAGGACAGTCTTCTCCGCGGCGCGCCGGTGGCAGACGAGTTGCTAGCCAACATTGTCCGCGGCGACGTCGGGTTTGCCGTTCCGCCGGTGCTCCGCCAGTGCTTGGCGCCGTACGCTGTGCTTGCCGAGTACTGGCTCGGCCGCGCCGACACAGCACGCAGCATCTCGCGGGTGTTCCATTTGCTCCGCATGCGCCACATGCCAAGACGGTTTGCGCCGTTGTTGCTTGCGCAGTTGTTGCCCATGTTCCGCGAGCATCTCACATTGCCGGACTTGGTGGTGACCATCGAGTTGATTGATGGCTTTGAGAAGGGCTCAGACACGGTGGAGGTGTCTCCAGACGACGAGTTGGACTTTGCGGACGCCGACTCCGACTCCGAAGCCGACAACGAGATGCGTGGCATCTTCACACGCTACGACATGGACGAGTTGTATCAGTACGCGGTGGAAAACCCGCCGCTGGCCGACGAAGACTGGCGTGTGGTGTTGAAGGCGAGAGGCGACACTGTGCCTGCTACGGTGGCCGAGTTGGTGCACGAGTTGCGTGAACAGATTGTGGCCAAGATCGGCCGCGTGTACGTGGGACAGGTCTAGGTCTTTCGTACATTGGGAGACGAGAGCTCCTGACTTGCATTTGGCACAAGAAAGCGATTGTGCTTCCAGTTGAGATGATACATGGCGCCGGGCGAAGCCGCCTCACCGGGCGAAGCCGCCTCACCGCTCGAAGCCTGGTGTTGTAATCGCCTGTAAAAACCACAGGCGTAGGTGGAACTACTGACCATGCCACTTCCCTTGGTCATAGATACAGACAAACAGTTACTCAGGACTAATAGAGCTTGTCTACACACGCTAATAGTGTTCTTTTTTCTATACTCAAGTAGTCAAGAAATAGACATCATCTCATCTGACTTTCAGCCGTCGGCTAAGAAATGAAGAAGCGATGCACTGGCCTGGAGCGCACCTCTAGAGCAGCGGCCGCTTAACAAACCACGTCTTGGGCGGCTCTGGAGTTCAACAACAAGGCAACAATCAAGCCGTACAAACCCAAGACTTCGGCGAAAATCAAAATCAAAAGCATACCAACGAACAATCTTGGCTGTTGAGCGGTACCTCTAACACCAGCATCACCAACAATACCAATGGCAAAGCCAGCGGCCAAACCGGACAAACCAACAGACAAACCAGCACCCAACTGGATGAAACCAGTGTAAAGGGCTTGTTGCTGCTTCAAGCCGTCGGAAACCAACACGGCAACAACCAAACCGTAAATGGCAATAATACCGGCCAAAACAACAGGGACAATGTTCTTGAACAACAAGTCTGGTCTCAAAACACAGGTGGCACACACACCAACACCAGACTTAGCAGTACCGTACGAGGCACCGAAACAGGTGAAGACAATGGCTGCAGTACAACCAATGGCACCAAAGAAGGGAGCGTAGACTGGGCTGCGACGTTAGTACGGATTCAGGATTGCGGCATTTGTTGACGCTGCAAAGAATCGATCACCGCTGTAAAAGATTGGCGGGAGGGATCCATTGGCGGGTGGAATTGAGCAAACATTGTCGAAACAAATAGGGCCACATTAAATAGGCTCCATTGCCAATCTCTAGCGGCAGCGATGGGCTAGAACAATCAAACATACCATAAGTCAGACATTGTGGAAATTGAAGAGATTGATTGGTTGGAATACAAACTCAGCAAAGAGGATAGATAAAGATAAAGACCAACGTTGGTGTAATTTTTTCTCGGTGAATCCCTGGGCGGCGTGTGCAGGATTATTAGGGGCCTGCGATTACGCACGCTCAGTATATTTGAGTATGCTCTGTCGATCCAGTCACCAACGGGACAAGAGGCAATCTGTTTCTGTGAATAGTAAGGTGGGAAGCTTTGTGGATGGTATGGCCAAAGGTGTTGGAGAATATCGGTCACGTGGGCACTTTCATTTCTGGACCTTTATTTGCTGGACCTTCATTTTCTCGAGCCGCACTATTGGATAAGCCTAGTGATAGGAAGTAGGAAAGAAACAAGAGCGGCGACTTTGGTCTTACCAATTGGTCACGTTGGAAGTCTGATTTAGATGTATTGTTTTTAATTTTCACGACTAGGATAAATAGAATGCATATTCGGTCAACCTTACTATCAGTATATGCATAACTATGATAGATACTAAGTAATCACTCAACGTTCCAAAACATAAATGTTTGCACGATAATTTGCGTGTGGGCAATCTGTTATACAGATTCATCTAAGTCTTCCACTGCAGAGAAGACGAGAAAGAGTCAGTTGAACAGCTCTGAAGAATGAGAGTATATGTAGCTGATTGTAATTATAGTCGAGGCTCAGAGAATACAGAAAATTGAAGTACATTGAGAGATTTTGATACTGAAACCTTAACTATATTCACCTATGAAGGCAAACAGTACGATTTAGGGTAAGAGACATAGCCAATATGTCTATTGATTTGTGAATGTGCTTGAGAAGATGGCTTGTTAGTTCGATAATCCAAAAAATCAATACATTGTCTTATCCGTCGTTCTCCACTTCTACGACGGTGTGACAATCTTGGAATTAACAACTGGATATCTGCTGTGTTGCAATGAAGAACATGGCATGATCTTTCCAATAGTGACGTTCGGTATATTTAAGTATGATTGAGCCGAATGTACGGTTAGGGCCAAAACCCAAACTTAAGTAAGACTGAACTAATTCCAAATTGCGCAGACTTGACCGCTTCATGTCTGATACCATCTGATACCAACAGGTTATTCAGTTGACCACCTGACTAATTTGTCAAATGCTTGTAAAACCTACAGTAGACAACCTAACTAGTGAAAATAGCTCATTCCAAATCACAGCATAGATTTGGATTGCGAAAAGGTCTTACAAACCAAGCACTTTGAGTAGTACCTCTGAAAACAGACAGTAAGACAATATAAGTTCGCATTCATGTGTATTACCTCTATCCATTGAACCCACGATTTCCCTCCAAATTTACAATCAGATTCTTTTTCAACTCAACTTTCTTTCAGCTCAACTTTCTTTCAGCTCTACTTCTCCTTTTTTTTATAATTTTTTTTATATTCCTTATCCGTTGTCTCCATCTTCTATCCATCCTGTATTCTGCTCTGGCATCTTCCTGTACTTGTCGTGCGCGCGACATTTTCCTACTAGAAGCCCATCGCGCTTTGAATCTTTTTTTTTCTCCACCTACTGGTGAGCTAAAAGCAAGGAACCCCAATAATGTCTGCTAACCCTAAAGCCTTCCCTTTGGCCGACTCGGCCTTGACCCAACAGATCTTGGATGTCATCCAGCAATCGCAAAACTTGAGACAGTTGAAGAAGGGTGCCAACGAAGCCACCAAAACTTTGAACAGAGGTATTTCTGAGTTCATTGTCATGGCCGCCGACACCGAGCCAATTGAGATTTTGTTGCACTTGCCTTTGTTGTGCGAGGACAAGAACGTGCCTTACGTGTTTGTTCCTTCCAAGGCTGCTTTGGGCAGAGCCTGTGGTGTTTCCAGACCAGTGATTGCCGCTTCTGTCACCACCAACGACGCTTCTTCCATGAAGAACCAGATCTACGCCATCAAGGACAAGATCGAGACTTTGTTGATTTAGAGTAATGCATGATCTATAGCGTTTTGTGTAGGCGGGAATTTTTCATAGTAGAGAGGATGTTGAGGATCCTAGAAACCAGTCCAAATACTACGTCTTCACTTGATTCACTTAGGAGTTGGTAGTGCCATGTGTACAGGCTACTGATTTAATTGCCAATGCATAGTCTAGAAGTTTCAACATCTCAGTAGGGTCATCAAGTCTTCACCTCGACTTCCTATTATCGTACAATAATTAATGTTCCCATAGCTACATACATATATAGAGAGGGAAAAGGTTTCGTTTATTTAATAACTATAATGCCTCACGGCATGAACTGACAACACCAATGTAATGGTTAATAGATGGTCAGGATTATCCAATTAAATGACATGTTCCTCTGCCATTAAGGTAGAAGAGCAAAGGAGCGTGGTTTTCGTAACAATGTCTTTCAGGCCACCCTTCTCCGTGATTCATTTGACCTACCCTGACAAACGTCAGCGCAACTGTAATCATACAGATGCAAAGATTCAAGAGAGTAAAACCTGCGTGCTCAACCTATTATCTCCAATGCTGGTTGACTACGCTGCAGCTACACCAGGGTTAAGCCTAAAAATTTAAACCAAAACTCCGAAGAGATCCAAGGCCTGAACATATAATAAATACTGTCATGGCTTATTTATTTCGTGTGCCTGGAGCCAAGTGGTTAAGTGCACATCCATGGGCATCGCGAAATGAGCATCGCGAAATCAAACCCATTTCCATTTTACACACCATTTCCATGGACACGCTCACGACCGCCGAAAGCGTGACCCGATTCCTTCGAGGCAAGGATACGCCTGTGGCGCAAGCGTGTGAGGTGGCCAGCGCCCTTTTGGCGCACAAGCTAGCGGTGTTTCTTCCCAACGCCTCGCATTTTGTGTTTGACTTGGTGTGCGACCGCATTGGCGACATGAGCGGCAAGTTCCGGACGTGGAAACTAGACGCGGGGCTCTGGGAGCTCTGGAAGCAGCTCTGGGCGGACATGGGGCGTCTGGCTGTGGACAGAGAGTGCCGAGCAGCGTCTTTCCGGCGGGTCAAGTTGATCCCGGTGATGCTGGCGGTGTTGGAGCAGGGCCACGACGAGCTTGTGGACGCCATGTTCGAGTGCGTGGAGGAGTTGCGCACGGGCTTTATCGATGTGGACGAGTATGCGGCCGTGGGGCTTCTTGCGAGCCACGTCCAGATGCTTGCAGAGAGAAGGAGCACAAAGAAAGACAAAACCAAAGGCAAAGACAACGACAAAACCAGAGGCAAAGACAACGACAACAAAGACAAAACCAAAGACACCAAAGACAAAACCAGCAAACAAATACAACTAAATGGTGAAAATGAAGACTCCCTTACCAAAAGCCAGGACGCCACATCGGACGAGCGTCTCTGCCGATGGACTTCTGCAGTGGCACAGATTGTGTGGCTTGCTCGCGCCGCCCACCGCCCCACGAAAAAGAGCCAGGCGCGCCTTTTCGACGACGTGGTGCCGCGGGCCGCGCATCTTCTCGCCTGCCGCGCGTTGCCGCCGCCCGCCGCCGCCGAATTGCTCGCGCTTCTAGTGCCCTGTGCTTTCGCCCCAGACACCGCGCCGCAGCTCGCGCAGCATTTGCAGCGCCTTGCCCAAGACGACAAACTCTCGCCCGCCGCGGCAGAATATCTTTTCGAGCAAACCATAGCGCACGTTGCCGCACGAGACATGGCGGTGTGTGAAGCGGTGTTTGGCGCGCTCACCTGCGGCGCGCTTGCGGCGCTCGCCGAACAGTTGCTTGCCCAACTTGCCCGCGTCAACCGCACGCTTCTGCCGCAGTTTTTCGCCAACCTCTACGCCAGCGAGCGCGAACGCGAAAGCGAGGGCGAAAGTGAGGGCGAGAGCACAAGCGGCCGGCCCAACTGGCGCCTCTTGGGTCTTCTCGTGCGCCTTGATCCGGCGCTCGCGCTTGCCCAGTGGGAAGATGTTTTGGGCGGCGCCGCCACACTTGCGCCCGAAGAGAGCGCGCAGCTCGCCGAGGACTTGGCGCGTGGTTTTGTGGCCGCACGCGATGCGCCACGCTTTTTGGCTGACGTTTTGCCCCAGGCGCTCGCCAAAGTGGCCGCGTGGGCCGACCCGCAGGTGTTGGGCCGGTTGGCGCCCGTTGTGCGCGAGTTGACGCCCGTGCAAGCGCGCGCGCTCGCGCAAAAGTACACGGACGCGCGCGCGACCGTGCCGTTGGCGCTTCTTTTGGAGGGCCTTCTCCAGGGCGGCGGCGCCGCGCGCGCCGCGTGCCGCTCCACCATCTGTGCGGCCGACCTTTCCGAGCCGCGCGTGGCATACCTCGCCATGTGTTTGTACGGCGACGCCATGACGGAAGAAGAGCGAGAGAACATTAAAAGGGATGAAAACAACGAAGGAAAGGACGAAAAAGAGAAAAAGAAAAAGGAAAAGGGAAAAGACAACGAAAAAGAAAGCAGATCTCTCAATTTCCTCCACCTTCGCATGGCCGAGCTCTCTGCCAATCTCTCAGAGTCTCTCTCAGCGGGCGCGGCCCAGTACATTTCGGCGCTTCTGCCCACCGAAGTTGTTCCGTTTGCCCAGCGGTGGCTTGTGCTAGTGGACAATATGCCGCAGGCGCGCGAGGCGCTCGTGCAGCGGTTGTTGGCGCTTCCGCCGGCGGCGTTTTTGTCGTTTGTCGAAGCCCACGGCGCGGTGCTCTTTGAGCGCCGCCTGTTGATGGCGGCGTTTCTGGCGCGCGCAGCCTCGTACGGCGCCAAACACGCCTTTTTCGCGCGCGTGCCGCCCGTCGTGTTCCGGCGCTTTTTCGCCGCGCACATGCCGGCGCTTTGGGCGGCCGCACAGGCGGAACGCACGCCTCTGGCGCCAGACTCGGCCATGCGCGCGTTGGCGCATGTGGTTCGCCCCGCGACGCTTGCGTCCAAAGCCGAGTGGGACTTTGCTTCGCTCCGCCGCCTCGTCCGCCCCGACTCGCCCGAGTCTTTGCAAGTGGCCCGCGCAGTGTGGGAGGCGCAGGTGCGCAACTTCAACGATAAGCCGTCGGCCGAGTATGTGACCGAAGCGTTGCGGCTGTTGACGCAGGCGCTCGACGCCAAAGACAGCAACGACAAGAACAAGAGCAAGAACAAAAACACCAAAGACAAGAACAAGAACAAGAACAAAGACAAGAACGATGAGAATGCGGACTTCTCGGGCCACGCCGACCGCGCTCTTGCGGGCGTTGTTTTGGCGGCGCCGCCGCCGGCCGCAGCGGAAGCGCAGGCTCTCTTGGCGGGGCTCTGCGGGCAGTTTGTGGCGCGCGTGGTTTCGGCGGCGCGGTCGACCGCAGACCCGGCCGCGGCTGTGCGCGAACTCACGCAGCTCTCGCACATTCCGGCGGGCGCGCGCGCCGAAGTTCGCGCGGCAGTGCGCGATTTGGGCGCCCGCGCCACGGACGCCGCCCTGCGCGCTCTTCTCTTCGCTTTGGTCACAAAGATAGCCCTGGACCCGCTCTATGTCACGGGATTGTACGTGGCGCTTGCGTCGGAGTGGTCGGAAATCGAGCAGCCAGAACAGCAAAAGGAGCAACAGGAGCAACAGCCTGAGCAACAAAAGGAGCAACAGCCAGAAGTGCCTGCGCCGCTCGAGGCATTGGGCGTGTTCTACTCGCGCCTCAGCGCCGCCGACTTTTCCGCCGTCTTCTCGCATGTGCTCGCGTCGCTCGCCTTGCCCGACCTCGACCGCGCGTTCGTGGCGCCGTTGGTGGACGCGGCGGCGTGCCTCTTGCCGCTCCTCTCGAAGGACCGCGCGCGCGAACACACGCGCCTTTTCGTGGCGTCGCTCCTGGCCTTCCGGGCGCACGCCGTGCCGCGCGCGCTGGCGCTCCGTTTTGTGCGCGCCCTCATTGCCATGTTTTCCTCCCACGTTTGGGCGTGCTCGCAGTACATGGTGGAATGCGTGCTTTCGTGGGCGGCGCATCCGACAAACACACCAAACAAAGGTGCATCCACAAACACGGACAAAAAAACCACAAGTATGGACAAAAAAACCACAAGTACTGACGGCAGTGTAAATACAGGCGTGGCGGCCTCCGACGCCTCGCTCTACATTGCGACCGTCAACCTCGTGTCGTATGTGGTTTTGTTCCACCGCTTCCGTCTCTCGCGCCGGTACCATTTGGTTGTGGGCGCCGTCTCGCGGTTGATGGCGCGCATGCCGCGCGAAAAGGCCGCCGCGTCTGCGCTCGCGCGCCTTTTGGTGGCCCTCTGCGACCCGCAGACCCAGGCGCTGGCCCGCGACTCCGCCCTGCTCACGTCCGAGGCCAACATCTACAAAAAGGCCGTGCGCCGCCATGCCCACGTCTTGCTCGTCAACTACATCCACCAGCAGTTGGCGGACCCAATGGCCAACGCAGTGACCGAGGCGCTCCGCCCGGGTATATTCAGCGTGTTTTCGCTTCTTTCGGGCGCCGAATTGAACTTGGTCAACCAGTGCTTGGATTCGCTGGGCAGAGCCTACTACCGGACATTGTATTCGGCGTACAAGGACCAAGGCAAGTGGCACGACATATAGACTATAATTGAGGCATTCGGGGAAAGAGGCTATCATGACAGTGTACTGGCGATCAAAGTAGTTCCAGGTAGCTCCGTCTCGCTGTGATCAAAGGCCGCCTCGCGTGATGCTCTCAGTCTTTATTCCAGCATACGCCGTTTACATAGACAAATATATATCGAAGAACCAGAGTTCTGCTGTGAACGATGCATATAGAATAGACATCTGATCATGCATGAAGCCTGAACGACAACTTTTCTATTCAACTCAACCAAAAAAGTACGTCTCTCTTCTATTTTCGGTGTTAGAAAGAATTCCACTATCATGTAGGCACTTGATATATACACCAATTCTTACTCATAGGAGTGTTTCCTATGGTACGTTACCAACTCAAACAGTTTCGGAGCCACCCTCAATTGGACGCATGATGGGGACATTCAAGAATGTGCAGTGTTTGGCTTTCAAAAGTGGCTTTTTGTTGCTTCGAGAAGACTTGGGGTTCCCAAAGATATACCCTTGAATTGTTCATTTATTCGCAGAACACAGCTGTCGATATAGATTTGCCTGTCACAGCTTGTGATTTGCAAACAAAGTGACGTTTTCGGATAGCTTCTTACTCCACAAGCCACCTCTCAATTAGTCCATCCAATAATATGCTTGGAAACATAAACGAGAGTCTGGTTTTCACGGAATTTTAAATCCACTTGGCAACTGCATTAAGACCGATTCGGCTAAAACCCAGTCGCAAAACTCCTCCAACAGCTTCAAACCAGTTCCAGACACGCTGGTCCCATCCATCGTCAACAGTGGGATGCGCAAGTGCATGCAGAATATGCTCGTACCGCAACACATCCTTTCGGGTGACAATGCCCACAAGACGGGCATCCTTCTCCACAAGAACATGCCGCGGCCCAACTCGGATGAAAATGTCCCGTATGTACTCGAGCAGAGTTGAGACGTTCACCACTATTGGCGCATGGTTGACCAACCCAGCAAGATCGGATCCAACACCTTTGCCAAAGTGAATCGGTTCAGCATCATCTTCTCGACCTCGAAGGAAATCTTCCAAATCTGCCCGTGCTACGTAGCCCACAATGGATGGGTTTTCTTGGGATTTCACCACAGGAAAGCCACGGAATGGCGCTGCCGACAAAATGCGGCGAAGCTCATGTAGTGGATACGACTTCTCTGTTTCGAATACAACCGTTTCAGGTGCCATAGCCGCTGCTACAGTCACATCAAAAAGAGGCTCCTCTTTTGGATCAATGTAAGGTAACCCATTAAACAAAATCATTTGGTCTGCGATGCCTCCATGGCCCCATGTGTCGTTGACCCACTTCGTCACTGCAACGGCTACCATAGTTGGCATAATGTATCGCACGGCACCTGTAAGCTCAAACATGATAATGACCACCGTGACTGTCATGTGCGTGATTCCCAGAAGTGCAGCTCCGGCGCCAAGAAAGGCGTAAGTTCCTGGAATCACGCAGGGCCCATCAGAAGGACATGCTGAAAATAAGATCAGTTGCGGGTACTTTTCGTGAAGACGCTCGACAAGAATGCCTACTGCACGGCCGAATGTAGCACCCGCCGCCATAGATGGCACGAAGATACCAGCCGGCACCTTGCAGCCGTAGGTGATAATTGTAAGAGCTGTTCGCAAAACTGTGGCGACTAAAAGAGCGAGAACAAGACGCAGAGAGTTGTTTGGCTCACACAACGCATCGTCAGCACTGCATTCTGCAAACAATGTTTGCATGGTTTCTGTCATGTCGTAGCGGAGGAAACGATTGTGGTAGCAGAGCAAGGCCAGCACCACAGCCAAGCATACGGCTTCTCTCATCGGATATTGAGCCAAATAACGTTTACGGAAACCCGCCACTCGCTTATTGAAACGGCAAACCACAATGCCGTAGATACCACCGAAGGCGCCGAGTAAAGCATATAGTGGAAGTTCGAAGTAATGCCAGCGCGTATCGTATGTGACTTCAAACAGCACAAGTTGGCCGGAACGGAGGGGGTTGAATGCAGCAAGCGTCGCCACGCCCACAAGTGCGCACACATATGCTTTCCAGAGAGTGGGCAAGTGGTGGCGCAGCAGGATCTCTTCCATGGAAAATAGCACACCCCCCATCGGCGAGCCAAAAGCCACCGCCACGCCAGCTGCTGAGGCAGCAGTAAGGAAGTCGCGCCCGCGCACTGGCACGCGGAACCGCGGCACAAGGCGGGCCACACAATTGCCCGCTGCCACGGCATAGTGTACAGATGGGCCTTCTTTCCCAACCAGTAGGCCCAGCCCAATAGCCAATGGGAGACATATACTTTTGAGAGCCAAGGTGGATGCGCCCAAAAATCCGCGCACCACAAACCCAGACACAATGCATTTGATTTCCGAAATTCCTGATCCGGCAGCGGCTGGGGAGTAGCGTTTGACAAGAAACGCTGCAGTAGCTGCAAACACAGCCAGCCACGCCACATATGCAAAATAGCCCCCAGCAGGGGTGTGCAGCCACGGCCGCCACGCGGCGCACGATTCTTCGTTCCAGCAGCAAAACTCACGGTTCAAGTAAAAGTGGCCGCTGCAGTGGCCCACACGGAGCGAGGCAAGCCATGCGGTGATGATGTTGAGCAGCGCAGCAATAGCACCTATGAGCACGCCGCAAGCGGTGAGGAGCACCCATGTCTGGGACGAGCGGAGGAGGCGCGCCCGCGCAGTAAGCTTGGGTGGACGCACCACGTGGTGGTCGGTCCAGTCGACGGTGGCAAAGTCGCGGAAGCGCTGCACCTCTCGGACGTTTTTGTCGCGCCAATGGCCCTGCTCGTCGCGGAGCTCGCGGAACAGCATAGAAAGAGTAGTTGTTGAAGTGGTGAAGTGGTGGGCGCGCACGACCTGTGTGGTTGCAAAATGCGAAAGCGGGTGATAATGGACCAAGCAAAAAGAAAGAAGAAAAGAAAAAAGAAGAAGAATAATAAGAATAGAGAAGGTGAAGAAACGAAGAACAAAAGAGAGGAAGCAAAGATAATAAACAGATAAAGAACTGAAGAATGAGTAAAGAGAGGGTTAGTTCAAACAATGTCTATCATGAGATAGGTCATAATAAAAGTGTCTCGGAATAATTGAATCAAAAAAAAAAGACAGCAAGCAGAATTGTAGGTAGTGGACGTCCTTGGGAAAGCTAAGAAGGGTTGAAAAGTAAAGGGAAGAGGGGAAGTAGTTGAAAGTGAGAAAAAGAGTAGTTAAAAGAGTGAGAAAAAGTTGAGCGGAAGTAGTCGCATTTAAAACTTGATAGACACTCGTAACTTATAACTGATTCTTTGATGATGAATTCAATTTTTGGTTGTTGCCAATAAGTAGAAATCCACGTTATATTTTGCAACTAGGCAAAATTCGAATGTCTTTTCCAATGGAAACATGGAGAAGAGAAGAACGAAGATTTTCGGTAACTGGGAACTTAAGCGAGGCACATTGACACAATCTAAATTCATATGTTTCAACAGCGAAAAGAAGAACCCAAATCACTGACAGAAAAGTAGATAATGCTTGACAATTTTAGAAGATTTTTAGTTTTTTTAAATTGGAAAAGATAGATACTTACTGAAATGCCCATGTTTCTTTTCCGAAGGAGCAGAAAGATCTCAGACGCTCAAAAGGATTTTTATAATTTTCAATCGGATATCTTATTTCTATCTTTGGTGTTGGATATGATACTGCCCAGAAGCAAGTAGTCAATAACGAAAAGTTGATAAAAGACAACATCGAGAATGATAACAAGCTGATTGTTATGCGTTCTCAATGATACAAAACGCCAATATGATGGAAAAGATTTCTCACCACGGCGCCTTCATTTTGCTTGCTTGTAATCATTTGGTTTAATTCGCTACTTTATTTCACTCCTCTATTACGTTTTTAGCGAACAAGTTGTACTAAAAATGTCCCCACACAATCACGAATGATAAATTAAATTAATAAATAGAAGAAAAGCGCTCGATAGAGCTACAACTGAGACTCTGAATCTAAAAATCAAGCACAGTTCACCATCAACTGCTGCCGGAAATCCTCGACGTACTTGCTCAAATCGTGGCCAAGCTCATAGAACGAAAGAACGATGTTGAGTCCTCCGACAGGACTAGAGATCATATTGATCACAAATTCAGACGCTGCTGGTGCCAAATGTTGGGCGAAAACAACATCTTTGATGGACCACGCTTCCTTCCCCTCTATCTTGTGGATAGGGAAATCAGCATAGCCCAAGTTGGAGAGCTTAACTGAATCTCCTTTGCGTTTGTTCAATTGCAGAGTAAAGAAAGATTCGTTATCTTCCAACGCGTGGGCATTATCAAAGAAATTCTTCTGAAGGCTGAGCACCTTATCGTTCTTTATTGATTGTTGCAAGTTGGCGTGGATGGATCTCGTCTTATCCCAAGAAAAAGCGTACACAGGCTCCATAAGTTCCGGAACGCCCATGTGAGCGAAGTTTCCCAACATTCTGTACAGCTTCTTGCCTATAATAGGCCGATACGGCTTTTCCACCTTCTGCTCAGTCAAAAACCACCGTAGCGTCAACGAAATGGACATCAGCGTATAATAGTCGCCAAACACAGGCTGAAGAGCCAAAGCTTGAACATGGGAAACGTAGCTTGTGAGACTTACCTTTTCTTCTCTGCATCTAGCAAGGATCCTACTCAACTCCAGAGATGGTATGTTTACAAGCTTGTAGGCCACTTTGTACTCGCGAGTCGAAGGAGCAAAGCCAGGCCATTTCGAGAAACCTGGTGGGATTTTCTTGGAATAGTGTTCTGGGTCGTTGTCACAATAAGGGAAAACAGGATCTTGCATTATCATTTCAGCTGGCGGCGGAAGCGAGTTGCGCAAACGGCCCGAGTCGGCTTCTAAGTTGAAAACAACTGTATCAGCGTCCACGGCAGAAGGAGCTGTGCCGTACAAACGAGAGTACTCCAGATCGTTCGAAGGCGAGTCGCAATAAGCTAAAGCGTCCAACAATATCTCATGGAATAGACGAGCAACCACACCATCGGCAAGCGTATGCTCAAAAACGGCAGCCAAGTCATAGTTTCCAGTAACGATGAGTTTGATAAGCGGTTTCTGCACATACAACTCAAAATATTTTGTTTCGCCCAATTCTGCCATCAACTTCTCTGACACACCGGACGGCTGCGACAGATGAACATGAAAGTCGACCAAGTCGCCGAATGTCACATTGTGCAATGGCAAAACCTCACAGTAGCCAGCAGTACTGTTTTTGAAGACATTGCACACTAGTATGTGGTAATCAAGCACACATTTGCGCAAAGCCCGAAACAACAAAGGCTTATCATCAATTAAAGGTCTGGTGTAGGTCGCGACAGTAAAGAAATTGCGGTAAAAGTCCACGGAAGTACGAGAACGGAAAAAGTTTTCGCTGATGCCTAGTTTTCGGGAGATAACAGGCGCGGTTTCAGACAATGTCATTGGATTGGGACGAAAAATGTCCCCAGGCCATATCTTAAGTAGCCGATTGTGACTCAGGTCGCAGATGCCGGACGACTCCTATCTTATCTGGTGGGCATTCTGCAGGAATGTGATCATTTTGACTCACCAAGTTTCGACAGAAGATCGAATGAATATTCACTTACTGAGTAAAATTTGTCATTAGATTGAGGATTGTCGATTGATTAGCGTTGTCGATTGATTGGGGTTCGCCAATTCGGTAACGCGTTAGTAGAAGGACAGTATAATGTACCAAAATCACATGTTCAATATACTAGCATGAGTAGTCCACATAAATTAGCAATTCCAACAGGCTGCAATGTCGTCACAGTCCATGAGCGTGCCATGATCAATACCAAACGGCGACAGACACGAGGATCCTGAAGTCCGAAATCCATCAGACAGAAGGATCCTGAAGTCCGAGATCCATCAGACATCATAAGACACTAGTATATCTTTCCTCTCCGATATCTTTATCGCCCTTCCGTCTCTAAGACAACACCGCAAGAACAACCACCAACACAAACACACAGAGGAAAATCAAAAGAATGCAGCTCCACTTGCCACGGCGTTTTTGATACTCGTGTGCCTTCTGAAGCTCGCGAGATGCCTGCTGCGTGTTTCCATGCATTTGCAAGATATTGTCTTCGATGGTGTCAAGCTGCTCACCCTGAACACTGACCAACTGGCCCAAATCCTTGAAGATGGAATTTACTTCACGGATTCCTTCGCTGACTCGCGAGATTTCCCGCTGCCTCTCTTCGCTGAGAAGCATATGGTACTGGAGTTCGGTGGCATCGATGGTGTCCTGGTCGACCTGGGTTTGCACCAACGGAGTCGTTTCTGTGGCGTTGGATGCCTTTCTACTTACGCCAGAGGGCTCTATATCGGCCCGAACTGGGACGTTTCTCTTGGCATCAGCGTACTGTCTTTGGCTCGCGGTAAAAGCATTGGCAAGCTCTCTGAACTCGTTGGAAAGGCGCTCTTTTGCAACAAGCTGCCTGTTCGAAACCTCGAGCTTCCCACTCATGGCAGCATTGACATTCATTAACAATGTTTTGATTGCGGCAGAAAGAGCAGAGATTTTGCTTTCAAGCGCGTCCACGCTGTCCCGAAACGCCATGTTGTCCCTTCTGCTGCCCACGTGCTTACGTTGGGCATTGAATTGTGACATGAGAGTGCCGAAAGTCTGTATTTGTTCTGAGGTGTTGGAAATGATAACATCGAGCTCTGATTGAGGAGAAGACGGCGCATCCTGCGCCTCTAGGTCAACGGCAAAGGACATGAGTGTGACAAGTAAAGAGGAAACTGGATGTATGAAATAGGGAATAAATAACTTGACGAAAACGTTGACAGGAATGCCAGAATGTGGCAGATCCAAAAATGTGGCAGATCCAAAAGATGAGACGAGAACCAAATTCAAGGACGAGCCAAAAATGGATTTGATGAGCAAAGAAAGAGTAGCAAGTATCAGACTTTTGACCGGTTTCAAGAGAAGTCAAAAGCTAGCTTAAGCAATCTGGGGTATATCAAATATTCGTTTCGCGTATAGCCGTGCACAGAAGTAATGACAATGAATAGGCAAGACATAGACACTAGATGCAAGAAAAAAAATGAAGAAAGCATCAGAAGAAAGAATCAGAAGAAAGAATCAGAAGAAAAGAATCGGGGGTAAACAAATCAACTAGAAGCTCTAATGACTCAAAATTGGTTAGGGTTCAATCTTCGACCATTCATCAGCTTAGATCCGTTTTCGCAGTTTACGTTTTGGCGCAAGCGGATTATCTCATCTTTGCTCATCAAACAGACTAGCAAGTTTCAAGTTTCTTGTCTTTATATTTGAAGGATATGGCCAGAATAAGCAAAGTAGGTCATTAGATACATAGGCTTGGCTCTCAGCTTACTTTCGTATGCTAGTATCGGAAAAAGCATAAATCCACATAATTAGATAATTCCACCGTCGAATGTAAAAATCATATTCCAGGTGAACTAATTTTTAACACAGATCTTTTCAATCCGGCTGGCACTAAGAGCGTGTGGACTTACTTATGTATAAAGACAAAAATATATTCATAAACTAAAATGAAGAGCATTTATGGTTAGCTCATTTGAATACTAATAATCGGCGGAAAGCAAAACTTCCGATCTCTGCCGATCACGACCATATACAGAAGTGAAAGTTACCACAGAAAGGAATCACAGGAGTCCAAACGGCCAACAACGTGATTAATACTCTTTCTTTGTGTTTAGATGAGAGAAATAGAGCTGCAATCTTGCTCTATCGCTAACTTTGAGTTTTTGCCGTGTTAATTAACTTTTCAGTTGATCAAGTGTCTCAGCATTTTTCAAGACTAAGGAATTTGATGCAATTCTGCTCATAATTGGCTTTTAACATTGAAATACGCTGGTTTTATCGAGTTCTTCACCTTAAATATTCAATGAGTATTCCAGTTCTTTTTTTTTTTTATTGCACTACTACAATCATTATTGACGATGTAGATAGTATATTACTTTGAACATGTTCTTGGAATGCTCATGAGATACTGTATATCGAATCTTACGTCTGTATCATCGTATTCTTTTCGAATACTTTAACCTGAGTATGATACCACTCTCACATTTATTTTTAATTTTCTCCAACACTTGACTCTGTAAATATTTATCATCTTTTTATCATTTCTGTATGGCCCTTCTCCAGTCTATTTAGTCGCACCAATTGTCCGAGACTGTACATGTCAAAGTATTTCGCGACAACAAGAAGCATCCGCGTTTTTCTTTTACGCGTACGCGTTTCTTCTACTTTCAATGCTGGCCAGAAAAGCGAAACTAGACAAGTTCAAAAAACTACGTGAAGCTCGGCGGACGGGCCGTATCGACGCGTCGGACGACGAAGACGCGTCAATCTATGACGAGGTGGACGAAGACACCTTCAGACAACACAAGCGCGATCAGCTTATGAATGATGATTTCATTGTGGACGATAACGGAGAAGGTTATGTGGACAACGGAGTGGACGAATGGGACGACGCCACGCGACCAAACTACTACTCGGACGAAGAAGCCGAGGCCGGGCCGCTGCGGAAGCGCTCGAAAACCCACAAAGTCGCCAAAGTGACGCGGACGGCAGAAATCGACAACTTTTTCGCTCCAGCACAAACAGTTCTGGCGCCTGCGGCACCCAAGGCTCCACAGGCTTCTGTGGATGACATTCTTGACGACTTTGTGGCGCCCAAGAGCCGCGTTTCAAAAAACAGAGCATTTACATCTTTCGGACGCAACCAGGTGAAAACAGAGCGTTCCGCCGGCCCTTTTGGGCGGCTGCGCACTTCAGCACCTCGAAAAGAGACCAAATTCGCCTCTTCTTCTCCATCTAACACCTTGGATATGCAAGACTTCGATGACTTCAATACCGCTGAAGATAATGGTACCAACCCTCAAGACGAAACTACCGACACACCCAGCACCGCTGCCACTGCTTCTCTGACGCAGAATGAATCTGCCAAACAAGCTAGCCTTGCCTCGTCGCCTGAGCCACAAGCAGCGGAAAGTGACAGTGATGAAGAAGTCGTGGTGCGTCGTCGAGCTGCCGCTCCTGCCAGAGCACACACGGCGTCTGTTACTGCTGTCAAGACCGAGGCAGTTGTCTCTCCGTCTCGAAATTCCTTAGCTTTCACTTCCTCGGTACCATCGTCTCAGCCAAAAGTGGAACTAGACGCGGTTTCCTCTGACGACAAATTGCGCATGTTCTGGCTCGATTACGCTGAGGCAGACGGCTCCTTGCTTCTCTTTGGCAAAGTTTTAACCCCCGAAGGCTCCCTTGTATCTGCAATGGTGCAAGTTCATGACATGTGCCGAGAATTGTATGTCTTGCCTCGTGACAACGTTTCACCAATGGATGTTCATGCAGAGCTCGTGCCAATACTTATGGAGCAGTTTGGTCTTGAACGTCTTCGTGCCAAACCGGAGACCCGCAAGTATGCATTTGAACTTCCTGATGTTCCCAAGGAGGCCGAGTACTTGAAGGTGCTCTTGCCATTCAAAACAAAAAAGAACCAGCACGTGGTGATGCCTTCCGAGCTTGAAGGTGAGACATTCCGCCGCATTTTCGGCACAAACACCAATGTTTTTGAGTCCTTTGTAACGCAGCGGAATATAATGGGTCCATGCTGGTTGGATATCCGCACTTCAGGCTGTTCACCACTTCAGAATGCTTCCCACTGTCAATTTGAAGCTGCAATTTCTTCTCCTGAATGTATTTCTCCTGTGACAAATGGTTCCCCGGCCCCCAATTTAACCACGACTTCTATCTCTGTTCAAACAGTGATGAACGTGAAGGCTAATCGCCAAGAAGTCGTTTGCGTATCACTTGCTACATACCGTGATCTTCCGCAAGACCTGCCAATTGCAGAAAATACTCAGCCGAATGAATTGGTCACGTTGGTCCGTCCTGTCGGCTTGAACTACCCACCTGGTCTTCAAAAGGCTGCTGACGCTCAAAACTTGAACGTCCGGTTACTTCCTAATGAAAAATCGCTTTTGAGTTGTTTGACAGCTCTTATCAAGAACGCGGATCCAGATATCCTTGTGGGCCATCGTTTGGAGAACATTTCTTTGGACGTCCTTGTTCATCGTATGCATGATTTGAAAGTGCCCACATGGTCAACCATGGGCCGTCGCCACAGAAAAAGTTGGCCGGACAAGTTTGGGAAAAGCTCTGCTTTTAGCAACAACTTGCTTATTCGTGAAATTTTTCAAGGTCGTCTTTTGTGTGATATCGCTAACGAGTTGGGTCAATCTTTGACTCCAAAATGTCAATCTTGGGACTTGCTGGAGATGTACAATGTAGTGTGTCACCAAAATCATCCAGCTCTTGAAATAAACTTCCAGAATCCACGTTATATGGAAGATGCTTCCTTCTGGTTGATGCCACTCAAGGAAAATGTAAGCCAAGTGCTTATTTCTGCGCAAATATCTTTTGCGCTCCAGATCCTCTCACTTTCGAAGCAGCTCACAAACTTAGCTGGAAATGCATGGTCTCATACGTTGAGCGGAACACGGGCAGGTCGAAATGAGTTTATTTTGTTGCATGAGTTCAGAAGAAACAATTACATTGTTCCCGATAAAGAGGGTAAATTCCACAAGAATACCAGCCACCAACAAGATGCTCGTATTGAAGCAACCGAAGATGATGCTACAACTGTGACTTCGAACAAGAAGCCAAAGTACCAGGGTGGTTTGGTTTTCGAGCCAGAAAAAGGTTTGCACAAAAATTATATCTTAGTGATGGACTTTAATTCCTTGTACCCTAGTATTATTCAAGAGTTCAACATTTGTTTCACTACAGTGGAAAGAGATGCTTATAATACTACCCACGATGAAGAAAGAGATCTCCCAGAAATTCCGGAGCGCGATTCAGATCAAGGTGTCTTGCCGCGTTTGTTGAACACTTTGGTGTCGAGAAGACGTGAAGTGAAGAAATTGCTCAAGGACCCTAAAATCTCTGCTGCCGAACGTGCCCAATACGATATTAAACAACAAGCATTGAAGTTGACGGCAAACTCCATGTACGGTTGTTTGGGTTACGTCAACTCGCGTTTCTATGCGAAACCATTGGCCATGTTGGTTACCAACAAGGGTAGAGAGATTTTGATGGACACAAGACAATTGGCAGAGCTGATCGGTTTGCGTGTTGTCTACGGTGATACTGATTCCGTTATGATAGACACCGGTGCCACAAGCATGGCAGAAGCTTTGAAAATAGGAGAAGAATTCAAGGTTCAAGTTAATGAGCGGTACAAGTTGTTGGAAATTGATACTGATAACGTTTTCAAGCGGTTGCTTTTGCATGCAAAGAAAAAGTACGCCGCTATGAATGTCACCTTAGACAGAAAAACTGGGAAGGAAATCACATCTTTGGAAGTTAAAGGTCTCGATATGCGTCGTCGTGAATACTGTTCTTTATCAAAAGAGATTTCCACTTTTGTATTGGAAAAATTACTCTCCGATATCGATCCAGAAGAAGCTCTTTCCCAAGTGTACGGCTATTTGGAGACAACAAGTGCTAAGATAAGAGCCAACGAGTTTCCTGTCGATAAGTACCTGATCAATACCCGTTTGTCTAAAGACCCAACAAGTTATCCTAACGGGAAGACAATGCCGCCCGTTCAGGTCGCTCTCCGTCTTCGAAAACAGGGAAAGGTTGTGAAAGCTGGAAGTGTGATCACATTCATCATCACGGCTCCTAAGGAAGGTGAAGAAAGTGCCAGTCCAGCTGAAAGAGCACGCGCTATCCAGGAGGTTTTAGGTGACAGAACAAACTTCAAGCCTGATAGCGAATACTACTTGGAGAAACAAATCTACGCACCGGTAGAACGTCTTGTCAACAAGATTGAAGGTGTGGACATGCTCCGGATTGCATCTTCTTTGGGCATTGATACTAAGAAGTACGCAATGAGACTCAGAAACACAGAGGGTGCAGAGCACGAGATTCTCCCGTTGGAGTCCAATATATCTGATGTGGAAAGATTCCGTCAAGCCAGTTACTTCGTCTTGACATGTAAATGTGGTGCAAAATTCAGATTTGGTGGAATCATGGCATCAAAAGATTATAAAGTGACCTTCAATGGAGTTTGCTGCGCTAAATGCGACTACGTCTTCCCGGTATTGAGATTAACTTCACAACTAGAAGCGGCCATCAGAAAACACTTATCGCTTTATTATGCTGGTTGGCTTGTTTGTGATGATTCAGCCTGTGGCATCAAAACAAGACAGATTTCCGTTTACGGAAAACGATGCATCGGAGCTAGTGGAAAAGCACATGGTTGCAAAGGAGTCATGAGTTACAAGTATTCAGACAAGGCACTCTACAACCAGTTGCTCTACTTTGATGCCATTTTTGACGTTTCTAAAGCTCAAAAGAACCAATTGCGGCCGATTGTCTACGACGTTCCGGTGAACCCAATGAGTGAGGGCCAACTTAATGCGTTGGCCGAGCAAAACAAGGTCAACTTTGGGTACTGCCGCGAGGTGGTGGATCAATACTTGAAAGTATGTGGTCGTAGGTATGTGAATATGGGAAACATCTTCGACTTCATGGTATAGGAAGCAAAAGAGGGTATCCCTTGAAAAGGGCGGTTTCAATCGAGTTAAGTTGGTATAGGGTATATGGTATACATTGCGGACTATATAGTTCTCCTGTTGGAGGGCACAAGTGTTCCCCGTAGTTGTTGCTGGCGTTCGATTGTTTCGAACAAGCCTTTGAATGTGCCCTTGCCGAAGCCATTGTGATGATGTCTCTGGATGATCTCAAAGAAAAAAGTAGGTCTGTCGTGCAACGGTTTGGTGAAAATCTGCAAAATGTAATTGCACCCAAAAGTGCCATTCTTTCTTGCAAATCGCGTGGCCGGGTCAAAGTCGACCAAAATATGATTTGCTCGAAGTTTATCCATGTCTTCAGTCAACACAATATTGTGTTCTGCAAGCCTCGCCATGAGACCTTCGTAGTAGTCAGAGGACATTTCGTTGAAATCAACACCACGGGTCCGCATAGAGCAAACACATTGAAGTATATCTCTGGTACGTAAGGCAATGTGTTGTACTCCGGGACCGTTGAAATATTGGTAGAACTCTTCAATCTGGCCCACCAACTTGGATTCTGCCGGTTCATTAATGGGCATTTTGACTTTCCCATTGGCACTGGCCATGACTAGAGATCGGAGTGCTGTGTTAGTGGTGGAAACATCCGACTCATCCACTGACCAGTACTTGTGGAGCCCCAAAGCTGAAGCGTAGAACCTGGCGTATTTGAACATTTCGTTCCACGAGTAGTTTTGGACGCAGTGGTCGATTTCACATATTGACACGGGAGCAAATGGCAATTGGGGCTGATTGTTGCACAGACTGGTTTTATAGCCTGGTAAATAAACTCCGTCATAGTCGACTTTCTGCACTAGAGTATGGTGCATGTCTGTTCCTGGAACGCCAATTTTAGCCACTCTCACAACGCCATGACAATCTGACAAGATATGGGGAACTTCAAGCGAAAGAGCACCATTGCACATGGCCCGGGAGTAAGTAGAATCCACGTCGGTAACTTCAAGCAAAATGTCTATAACGCCCATACCATGACGGCCGACAAATGTATCGGACAAGTAGGCCAAGAGTGCATCGTAAGCCACATCCGGTTTCTTTTGCTGGCGTACTTCTTCATATTGAGACACAATTCGAGCCATAGAAACCGAATTGGTGTCATTTCCAAACAAAGCAGCTAAAGTTTCGCCATCGTCGGCCTCTTCTGATGCTACTTTGATGGAAGTGACAATCTCCACCACGGCTTTCCCATTTTTCAAAACATGAGAAGCAATGAGACTGGAGCCTGTTTCCAAGCTCTTTTGGGCCACAAGCTCAAACCCCATGGCGAACTGGAAGTACGATGCCATTTCTTTGGCGTTGGACGTGGCAAACCGGACAGAGAAAAATCCCACTATTCCATCTAGAGGAAACTTACAATTCACGTAGCCGTCTCGAAATAATTCGCTAATGTCAACTTCTTCTACAGGAGAGGAGGCGGAGAAAGGCAATGGGAAGTCCATGCCGTTTAGCAAAGAGAAGAAGCAAGTGTGAGAAAGCACAAAAGTGGGTGTATGAATCACAAAAACTAGAATGAGGGAAAAGATATGCACCTTTTCACACGATAGACTTGATAGTCAGATAAACAGATTCAGTTTTTTTTTTTTTGCTTTTATCTTGAGGCTGTCTATGAATTTGTGACGGAATCGGTAGGCAGCTATTGACAGTGAAGAACATTTTTTAATTTATACTTAGGTATAAACGACACTCATTGCGAGATTGGATGATTTAGTTACCATGATGCAGAATGGGAGAGACTAACAAGAAGGCCTGGCAGCGTTGATTCAACCATGCTGTTTGGCACAATGCTTAAAATGGTAATTTCGAAGGCAGATAAAAACCCTAGAAAACTTGTACTGACAATCAAGAAAAATGCCAAGGATACCAGATAAATTGAAGCTTCGTGGATGACGATAGAAACAAACCAATTCGAAATAAAACGAAATTAGGGACATACCAATTCGAAGAAGTGACTACCATTATTGAGACAGTATTATTCTCGATATGGACGATTCGAATCAACATACATCTATATAATGAATATTCACGATACCACAAGCACTCCTCAGTACCTCTGGCCACTCATATTTACAATGATGTTCAATGCTTTCGTAAATAAATTCTGAGATTTGAGGATTTCCACCAGAGAACAGATTAAGGACCCTACATTCTCGCACTGTACTTACCTACTTTATATTTTCTGGGAAAAACTGCGATTTCGAGCAAAATGGAAAGCACCGAATAAGGAACCAAAGGAGCAAAACATGGTATCTAAACATGGCATCTAGCAAAAACAGTCGAAAACATCACAGCATTGAATAATATAAATTTCGTGAAAGAGACAAAAAACAAAAACCGATCAAAGTGCCCACAGCTTGACACCATCCACGTAACCATCACCACCTTTTTCTAACACACCACAATTTCTAACACACCACAATGAACGTCGATATAACTTTCCCCCCAGATGTTTTTAAGAATTTTCCATCACTGTCATAGTATCCTAGAAATGTACCCCACTACAACACGTCGGGGCCTACACCAGTACTACATACAGAACGCGAAATTCACCTACCAACAAAACACTTATCTCAAGGGTATTCCGCCAGGCGCCATGAATTTCAATCGAAGTGGACAATCACAGAGCCCGCCGGCAGCGCAGCAGCAGCAGTACGACCAGCGGCAGAAAATGTCGATGCTCCCGCCGCAGTTCCAGAACCTCACACCGCAGCAGCTCCAGGAATTGAAAAAACAGCCCCAGTTCCAGAACATGCTCCGCCAGTACTTCCAGCGGCAGCAGCTCATGCAGCAGCAGGCCATGCAAGGCATGAACCTTGCCCGCGAGGGGACCCAGGGCGGCACCGGCACCATGAACGCAAATATGGCCACAAACATCAACACGCAGAACGCCAGTGCTAATGCCATGAACCCAGGCATGGCGGCAGCAGGAATGCCCATGGGCGCGGCGGGGATGAATTCAGCGATGAATCCGGCAATCAACCCGGGAATGGGCGCCTCGTTGGGGCTGGCTATGAACCCAGCCATGGGCTCTGGTGTAAACCCAAACGTCAACATGGCGCAGGCCGTGCAGCCGCCCATGAGCCAGAACTTGGGCCAGGCCAACCAAATGAGCCACCCGCAGACCGCGCCGAACATGGGCTCCTCCATCAACCAGAACATTCTGATGAACATGGCTCTGACCGCCAATCGAAACTTGGGGCTGCGGGTGCCCATGCAGCAGAACAACATGGGCCAGCCCATGTACAGCCGTGCAGCGCAGAACGCGTACTTGCAGCAGCAGCAGAAGCTTCTGCGGCCCATGCAGCAGCCGGCCGGTTACGCTCCATATGTGGCACGTCAAGACATGGACAAGGCCCTGGCCATGGGAATGCCTGGCGTCTCGGGTGCCAGCCTTGTAGGCGCAGGAGTGGCAGGACCAGGGGCAGCTGGTGCAGGTGCCGTCAGTGGAGCTTTGGCTGGCGTAGGCGGACCTTTGGCCGGAGCCGTCAATGCAACAGCAGCAGGCGCGGCTGTGCCAGCTCAATCAAGCGCATTGACTGGCCCAATCAACGGAATCAACGGAGCCATGGGCGGACAAATCCATGGGCCTGCCAACGGTGCCGCGAGCGCGACAAATGGCGCCGCTTCTGGTACATCGGGTGGAAACAGGCTCATCAAGGAGAAGCCGCAGATTGCTCCCGGGTTCACGCCCGAGGCCGTTGCACGTGTGCCCATGAAAACACTCCGGTCTGCCTCAGAATGGTCTGACCGCTTGCGTGAAGCAGGCAAAGACGTACCCTTGGATGTGCGTGTTTACGAAGACATCATCAGGAAGGACGAGCTGTTTCTCCGTCTCTCAGCGTACGAGGCCCAGAAACACAAGGCCATGTTGGAGAAAATGGCACTTGACATCAAAACGTACGGGATGATCAAACAGCTGCGTATGAACGCCATAAGTGCCCTGGCGAAAAACCAGTACAATAACAGCATCTGGGGAGAAGGGTATCAGGGCTACGGTAACGGCGCCAGCAACACAGCCACGCAGGTGATTTTACCTCGCCAAAACAAAACATTCACCAAGGTCCCTGATCTTCCGTCTACAGACCGCGAGATGAACGCTCGGCTTTTGCAGAACGCTTCCAAGCCCGCCCAAGTTGTGCCTGTTCGCTTGGATTTTGACCAGGAAAGAGACCGGTTCAAGCTTCGTGACACCTTTTTGTGGAATCTTAACGACGACACGTATCCACTTGAGCACTTTGTACGAACACTTCTAGAGGACTACAAATTCATCTCGGAACAGCACATGCACACGGTGCTAGCGTCTGTCTCCGAACAGATCAAGGACTTCCGTAAGATCCCAGAGAAAACTATGGGAGAAATCCGTGTGCCTATCAAGATCGACCTTATTATCAACAACACTCAGTATGTGGACCAGTTTGAATGGGACATTTTGAACTCAAGGGACGGCGATCCGGAAGAATTTGCGACGATCTTATGCGACGAAATGAGTTTGCCAGGTGAATTCGCCACGGCGATTGCCTTCAGTATCCGCGAACAGTCCCAACTCTACCACAAGGCGTTGTTTTTAGTTGGGTACAGTTTTGATGGTTCTGCTATTCGAGAGGAGGAAATTCGCTCGCATATCCTCCCAGCATTGCGAGTGCTCAACTCTGATGACGCAAGCGGTCCTGTCGAGGACTTCATTAGCACTTTGCGGAACCCGGGAATCGTGGCCGATTACTCGCCATCTCTCAACAAACTCACCCAGCTGGAAGTGGAGAAAGTCGACAAGGAAATGGAGCGCGAGTCGCGGCGTAGAAGACGCCATTTCAATACAGAAAACACCTTCAGCTATAACGAAAACGGACCCAACCTGTTCTCGTCTGGCAGTGGACGTGGCACTACTTCTAGAAGAAATGCTCTTCACTCAGGAAGGGGTGTTAAAACGACATTGCCTGACCTTGGAGATATTCCCAAAACATTCCGTACCCCAATGCCATCCAGTGTTCTCCCTGGCGGAATTGATTTGGGTGTGCCCGACATTTATGGCTATAACGAGCTAATAGTCAACCGAACACAGGTGAAAAACCCAGATTACAAGCAGCCTGCGCCTCCAGGTATGGTGACATCATACCGTGACAGTACAGGCTCTTTCTACGTGAAGATTCTTCTCCGCCGAGGCAGGAACTAACAGAGATATTGGGACACTGTCAAGGAAAAGATATAGATAACGGCTTTCTTCGAGAGGGAAGTTTCCTCTCAAACCTATGTACTTTAATCAATTTATCTAATTGTAACTTATTTGGTAGTGAATGCATGGGCCATATCTTCGATCAAATCATCTGCATCCTCTAGACCCACACTGATACGCAACAATGTAGGAGCAGCATGGATGTCAGTCAAGCACCTCCATTCAATCAACGACTCAGCGCCACCCAAAGACGTGGCATGACAGAAGTATTTCAAGCGATAAGGCAAATGCTTTGCAAATTCCTCAGAGCTAACTTCAATGGAAAAGGTAGGTGAGTGGACACCTCTAAGCTGTTTTTCAACATACTCATCCTTTTGCAAGGAAGAATGATGCACTTTCACCAATTCCGGATACTCGCCAATTTTGCTATTCAAGAATGTCGCCAACTTGGTAGCACTCGAACTTTGTTGCTTAACACGCAACTCAAAAGTTTTCAAACTGCGCAACAATAAGGCGCTCTCCAAGTTACCCACATTTGTACCCAAATGAAGCCTGTCAGCGTACAACTTATATGCCACTTCTTCGCTTTTGGTCAATAAAAGACCAGACAACAAATCGGAGTGGCCACCAAAGTATTTTGTAGCCGAGTGCATCACCAAATCTGCGCCAAACTCGAAGGGATCTTGCAATGGAGCAAACGTAGAATCCACAATGAGGTAGGCCCCTTTAGCATGTGCTTTGTCGGCAAAGTATTTGATGTCGTAACACCGGGACTCTGGGTTCACTGGAGTTTCCAAATGCACGACATCTCCCTTGCCCAATTTGTCCAAATCCTCATCGGACATTGAAAGCTGCTTCAAGCCGTAGTTACGAGTGAGAATATCCGCGATTCCGAGACATCCGTGATAGGCCTTGTCGATGCAGAGCTGTTTAGGGTTGAAATGGACCATAGCCGCATGGAAGGCGCCCAATCCCGAAGAATACACCGTAGCATAAGAATTGGTCAATTTTCCGACGATGGCCTCGACTCGGTCGCCATTGGGATGGGCCCAGCGCGAGTAAATGAGATCTCTGGTGAACAATTCTTCGCCGTCTTCGTTTTTGGCCAGCTTTACAAGTTTGGATGGGTCGGACGAGTATTTGAAAGTAGATGAGATGCTGATGGGAGGAATGACATCGCTTGTTTCGTGGATGTCATCTGCGCCGTGGATTCCAGTGGTGGCTAATTTAGGCATGGCGAAAAAGAAAGAAAGTGGATTGTGGAAGATGGAAAGTGGAATTCTCAACGGAATAGATTGTGCGAGATTAAGCGAGATATGCAGATATTAGGATAGTGCGCGTGCCCTTGCATAATGGTCGAATAGCAGTGACGCTAGGCAAACAACATGAACAGATATTACAAGACGCAAGACCCAATTGAAGAGACAATTGATCGGAAATCAGATCGTAGGTATACTGAGATCGTAGGTATACTGGACATGAGATCGGAATCATTGTGAAAAGTGTGGACTCCAGGCCCACCAAAGCCACCACATTCGCGCTCCTATCGCGCCACTTTCCACATGGCGTAGACTGGAACAGTGCGGCCGCCCAAGGAATAATTTTTTGCGCGGCCAAAAAGGAGCCGGTCGCCCGGCGACACGGTTTCTCCAGAGTCCATGAGCACTGTCGGGCCGCAGTCGGGGGTAGCAAAGCTCACTGCGGTGAGAAAAGCTCCGAGGCGCGAAACGCGCGCGACGGGCAAACTTGGGCCCTCCATTGTTAGGTCGCGCTTGGCCATTTGGGCGAGGCGAAGGCGGTCCACAAACGTTCGCACCGCGCGATTGCTCGCGGCCAGGGTCGGATTGTAGTCCGCCACGGAAAATTGGGGCGGGCGCGGGCGCGGCACAAACGAGGGCGTGGCGCCTAGATACCGCTTGGCCACCTTGTGGCTTTGTTGGTTTTGCTGGTTTCGTGGGTTTTGCTGGTCTTGTTGGTTTTGTTGGTTTTCCTTGTCATCGTTGCAGATTCTGTGCTTCTTGTTGCTGCTTAGCGCCAGTGTGTGTTTGTTTTTGGTGTCCTGGCCGTTTCTGTAGTCTTTGGGGGACTGGCTTTCTATTAGTCTCGTCAAGCTGCGGTTGCCAGTTTTTTTGGAAAAATTGGAATTTCGGCTTCGGTTGCTCACGTCCTTTAGAGGACGCCGTGTTCTCCGTTGGTGGAAGAGCTCAAAGTCGTCGGGCATAGGTTATGATGAACGGTCTGAAGTGTTTTTTGTGGAGACGCGCGCTTCGACCGCGCAGGCAAGACCGAATGAATTCTGAACGAAAATAAATACCTGTTAGTAGAAAAAGCAGTTGTACATCGGAAGTCAATTTATTAGACCCCACTCCCTTCTTTTCTAGGTTCTAGAATGGCCGAAGGAAGGTGAGATAGCAAACGGGAACAAGAGATTGTTTAATCATGACATTTCATGACCGAAATAAACATCCATTGTATGAAAGTAAATCTTAGATACACTATAGAAGAAAACACAAGGGTTCTATAAGAGTACTCACTAGGTCTTCAGGTATGACATCACACGATTTTAATAAATCTTAAGCAAGTAGGATATGAAAGCCTGTTAAGAGGGGACATCAATTAGACCAACTGGAGCTCCTATGGAATACCTATTGTCACAAGCATGTTTGTAGTCAGTAGTGAAAAATTTCTTTGGGCCTATACTTGGACGGGCCCATTTGCATTGCTACAGTCAGTGGTAAACATCTATATTTATTCCAAATCAAACGGCAGGCCTGCTGCCTACAACTTGGCAGTCTTTCTGCCCACTGTGCACTTGATCAAGCCATTTGGATCAGGCGAAGGATAGAACAACTCGGTATTGTCCTTGATGCCCTTCCACTCCAAGTTGTACAAGATGTAGTGCTTGTTAGGCAAAACGTATGTCACCAGCTCCACAGCAGGGGCCTTTGACAAAATCAAAGACGCCATGTTGTACATGGTAGCTTGCACGGAGGGAGAGTTTTCCAATGCAAACAAGTCCAAAGTGACTTTACGAGCGGTGTCGTAAGTCTGGTCGAAAACGCCCTTGTCGGCAAGAGTGATGACGTTGTCAAGCGACTTCAAAGCCGAGGCACTGTATTTCCACAGCGCATCCACGTCGGTCGACAAGATCCGGTCCTTGGTGGGCTTCAAAGTGGTGTAGTCACATTGGTGGTAGCCATAGAACATGGAGCCTGTGGACTTCAAGACGGTCAAATCCTTGATGGAGGAAGTGATGCTCAATTGGCCAGATGCTTTTGAGTAGACCAAGAACGTTCTGCGGGTTTCTGGGCCCTCATTGCGGAAAGAGTGGGCGTGCAAGCTTCCGTTGACCTCATACTTTGTCCAGCGCGATTGGACAATGGTGATTTCGACACCAGACACGTGGGAGTACTTCCCCGTGAAGTGTTTGGCCAAGTGGGCTGCAAATCTTTCGATTGGCCACACGTTTGTCTTCTTGGCCTCCACCAAAATGGTGTTTTTGACAGTGTCTGTAGGCACGACAGGGGAGTTGTCGGCTTCGGTGTAGGAAACGTCAAAGTTGCCTCTCAACAAAACTTGGCAGTTGGCCTCCAAAACATCTTGGACAGCTGGGTTTGCGGCGTCTTTTCTGACTTTCAAAAACTTGACGTTGGCTTTGCCGTAGGAAGTATCTAATAACTGGGACATGGATCAGAAGTGTAGAATGTGAATCAAAACCGAAATAGAAAACGAGAGTTCACTGAAGATGAAAAGAAGAGAAAAAAATGAATAGCACCAAGGCAAACGGCCGACTTTATATCTTTTTGGGGGCTATCGTAGGCCCTAGGGTCTTCTGCAGGAGAATCGGCAATCACCGAAATTGCCTGTTTGGCGCGAAAACATGCAGGCCCATCACGGTTGGCCGTTCATGTCACGCCAGATAACGCTCGGATTAGCCCGAAAAACGGCATTCCGATAGTTTGTTTACATGGCTTGTTTGCTATTTTGGTCAATGACGCTTTTCATTGGGCTGGGTTACTTTCAGTTTTGAAAGGTTATTTGGTGGAAGTCTGGTGTTGCGATCTTGTGACAGATTGTACTGCAGACATATAATGCCAAAGGGTCCACAATACAAGAGAATAGTAGATGTCTGAAGAAGGAATTGAAGATCAGACAAAGAAACAAAGAGAAGAAGTGAATGTAGCTGGAAATGAAAATTAATGTTCGTTTTTGATACATCATCTCATTCAAACGGGACCTAAAACGAATTATGTCTCAGAAAGTCTCATAAAAATATTATGAATCTCCAGCTTTCAGAAAAAGAACAGTACTTCCCACGACTTCACCAGACTCGTCATGGAGAGTATTAATTTGGTTTTCCGTAGTACAAAAGTGTATGACAAAGTAAAATGACCAAGGGTAGTCAAGAGAAGTTAGTTCTAGAACAGCCATGAAGTAGGCAGAGAGCTCGATCACTCTTTCAATTGATGGAAAAATGGAACCAATTTCGAGTCCCTGATGAATACTCTTTTGCAGAATAATGTCTCTAAGAATATTTAGAGGACCTTTGTGCAAGAGATCGGGCTCTTTTGTATGTTCGGCTGTTGCTAGTGTTATATGGACCCTTAGCTCATCACTCAAGTGATGTACGAGCGATGTAAGCTGTATTTTTCCTTGAAGTCTTGGAACTTGGAGGTATTCTTTGTTTCTTGCTCGAATACGTGTTCCACTACTTCATATGGGAGTTACACTAGTACCCCATTTCGACGTTTACGCTATTCGTCTACATAGTCACTCATTATTTGCACAACTTTTTCTCGATATGTTATACGGCAGTATCGGCAGTATCGGCAGTAACATTGTTGGTGGATTCGACTAATGTGACATTTTTCGCATAATTACCGTTGATGGTCAGTTTCGTAGAACAGTTCAATCATATCTACTCCATTGCTCCATACTCAACCAACTTCTGTGATTTCCGATTTCTTGCACCAGTAATTAAAAAAAACAACTGGCAACAATCAACTCTTTCCATTGCAATTCTAAAAATTGCATCATGAAGATAGAGTTGGATGTCTGAATTTATCTCCTCCACATTTGATCGCGATGCGAATACTACATACATCTGCCATCGCTTCTTTCACCTATATGCTTTCTTCCGCGGCTGTTCGGGCAACCAAAAATGTCCGACGGACCCGGTTCCGGTCCTTCCATACATCGTTGGTCTGCAAGAATGCCGAAAACGTCAAGCGTTTGCCGTTCCTCTCCGATGCTCGAGAGTTGGTGACACCTCTAGATTTCAGCGTATCCCGCACGCTGAACGCGGTGAAGGAGACGAGAAAAATAGTCCAGAAGACAAAGAAGACGTACTTCGACCCGTCCAACATGACGCTTGACTTTTCCCAGTCCAACAAAGCGCTCTTCAACAAGATACAGACCGACAGCAAGATGCGGACGAACATGCGGATTCGGGAGCCCGCAGATGCGTGGCTGAAGTTGCACGGCGAAAAAATGGCCCAGATATATCGAAAGATGCAGCGGTACCTCATGTACGGGCGGATTTCACTCAACGACAATCTCAGCCCGCTTCGAGTGGGAGACTTGGTTCTTCTCAACACCCATAGCACGCTTCTCCATATTGTGGTTGCTGCACCTCTGAGTTTGAGCTCAAGTACCTATACGTTCATCAATAACGAAGGAGAAATCACGTACGGAACCAAGAACAGTGTGCGCTTTCGAATTCCTCAAGTGATTCCCAAGCTGTTTCTAACGTCTCTAGGACTTGTGGTTTTGGAAAAGAAACATCAGGGTATTGCGCCCATGGGAATGCCTGACAGCCATTTTTCTCGCTCAGAAGCTTCTTTGCCCAAGACGTCCGTATCCAATAGCCAAGATCAACCAAACGGAACCCTTAATAAGACAGCGCAGATTGCTTCCGACACAGATGAAAAGGAAGCTTCTGAACCACGGTCCGAGCCAGCTTTCTCAAACTCTGGAGACGATTTTATCGTGGCCCAGGCTGCATCTCAGTTACTTACAGACACAGACGTTAAAACATATGTGGTGCCCAGCAGTGCCAGAAGAGTTTTCTCCGATTTCTTGACCAGTGTCTCCATTGTGTCTTTTGAGAAAATCACCGCCTTCAGCAACAAGTTGGAGTATTTCCACAAAGTCTTACAGTACGATGAGAACAACAACTTGATTGACGCTGCCCGGACAATTCCGCTCTTCGAGTTACTCGGGCTTGTGTCCAACTTTACGCAAACCCTAGCCCAAATTGACAAGGTGAAAGGATCACCGGAAGAGTTGCGTCTCATGAACTCATATGTGCGCAAAATACGTCATGAAAGCGTCACATCATTTGGAAAAAAGCTTCCGGTCAATACAAAAACCGATTTCGCCGAGTCCAGCCACTCCATCAGTTCCTATATTGCATTTATCATCGCATTGAGTCGAAGCAGCCGGATGTGGAAAATAAACACTCAAAAATCAACAAAGACCCCTATAAGTGTCGATATCTTACCTGTGCTTAAGTCTTCACAAATGCAAAGTGCTTTGGAGTACTTGAGAAGAAACGGAACCGATGAATTCGTTCAGTTTTACGTCAAGCGGTACGTTGGCGAAGAGAATTACCAAAAACCTCCTCATTATGATTCCATCGTACAAATGTTGAAAGACTTTGTCATCTCGAACATTACAAATGACCATACTATGGAAAGTGTGCTAGGTAACCTCATACGAAACATCGATATAACCTTGGAAACTAAGGGCCTCTATCAGAAACAGCTGATTCCGTACTCTTACGAGTATTCCAAAAGCAGGGCATTTGACATAGTGATGACTTTAGAGAAAACAGGATGGATCAACCCCATGCAATGGTCAGATGCATTGAAGCTTCCAAACACGGGGACTAGTGTCGAGTCTGACAGATTTGAGGAATATTATAGGTTTGTAGACTCCATGTTCGAGTCCAAAGAAAAGTTTGTCGAGAAGATTGCAAACGCTTCCATTGACCAATCTCATACCTTCCTTGGCTCTGATAAGCCTATTGACATGATTGCGGATGATCTCTCTGTCGAGAAAACTAATGAACTTGCTGTGAAAAATTGGATTGAAAAAGATTTCTACAAAAACGATCCGCTTGAACCTGTTCGTGAGGATTTCGGCTCAATCCCTGTTTACTGTATCGATTCCGAAACCGCTCATGAAATTGACGATGGCATATCCATTCATGAACAAGGTCTGTCTTACGTGATTACTGTGCATGTTGCAAACCCAACGTCTTTCATCAAGCCAACATCTTCTTTAAGTGAAATAGCCTTTAGAAGAGGAACCACTGTTTATTTGCCAGAAGGCCCCACTATGATGTTACCGTCGCTTGTTTCGCAAATGTGTGGATTAAATGCAGAAGGAGAGACTCGGACTTTCGCTATTCAATTTCTCTTAGGAAAAGAAGATATCGACGCTTACTTGGATAATATGCGACAAGACCCTATAAGAAGGCCATTATCTTCCCTAGCGAAGAAAGTGTTGAAACAGCTCGTCTCGACAGCAAACATCAAGTTTTTCAAAGTCAGCAATTTCCCGAAAGGATTCACATACGAAAAGGTGAACACTGTGTTGGAAGACGCAGAAAACATCCAGAAGTTTTCGGACAATACTCTCGAGAATGGATCGCACGAGTCCAACCTTTTCAAGCTCTTCCACATCTCCTCTATTCTCAGACATATAAGAGTGGGATTAGGGAAAGGGTTGGAAATGGACTCTAATGGGTGCAAAATCGATGTGAAATTCACTGAGGAAGACCCTTCGCCGAAGGAACGATTTCAGCATGTCAAGGATGGATACAGACTTTCCGTTCCCAAAGGTGATCAAAAGACCACGCCTGTGATAACAATCACCAAAGTGATTGACCAAGATAGCAAGTCCAAATCACAGCAGTTGGTGTCAAATTTCATGATCGCCGCAAACTATGCTGGGCTGGTTTATGCCCATAAACACAAAGTTCCTATCATCCATCGGACTCAGGAACTCAGTCTTGAGCCCACCTTGGAGAACCAACTTCAAAGGTTGAGCCGAAGTGTTTATGAAGGCGGGAAAAGCCTTACCGTGGAACAAAAATCGCAGATCTTGTCTGTTATAACGGCAGCCAACTATGAAGTTTCTCGGAAAAGACACGAGAGTTTAGGCTTGGACAGCTATCTGAACTTCACATCTCCATTGAGAAGATATGTGGACATGATCAACCACTGGAAACTCGAAGAACATGTTTTGCAGAGGAAAGGAGAAGAAGTGGATGATACAGTCAAACCATCTACAGGCGATCTAGACTACATTGCCAGCCATCTTCAAAGTTGTGAGTTCACCAATAAAGGCGCACAACGGTTTTCCGACTGGTTCTGGCAAGCTACGTTTCTCCGGCATTACTTCGAGGCAGAAGCAGAGGGCCATGTCTCGCAAAAAATGGATTTCCATTTCCTTCTTCGGAGCGACGCCAAGTTTGGAGACGTTTCGGCTGAGCTTACCGGGTTTAACAATCTCCATACCACCATCGTTCAAACCCCTTTCTTGACAGAGAAGTTTGCTAGCGGCGAGTTCCGCATTGGGCAGGTTCTTGAAAACCCACGCTTCAAAGTGATAAAGCTCGATTTCATCGAGCAGGAGTTTGCAATTGAGCTCTGTCCCTAGCCTGTAAATAGCATGTACATAGAAACAAAGGAAATGAAATGAAATGGGGAATATAAGTAAATGGGGAACACAAGTAGTCCTTTCGTGCGATATTTTCTACTCAAGCCGAGTTCTATCACTAATTGCCAACTTCAATGTCAGCTTTGCTGGGTCTATGCGAATCGAACATCATTTTCAATATTAGAGTCTCAAAGTCACCACGATTTGTCGTCTTTTCCCTCCCGGGTAAACATGCCTATTGTACTTACAGGAGATGTTCGTGTATATAGGAAGATGAACAAATATTTTATGTACAATACAGAAGGAATGTGTAGAAAAAGCCAAGAGCAATCGTGGCCTATATAGACATGACGAGCGTACCTGCACCGAATATGTGACGTAGACCAAAAAAATATAATGAAACGTCTGCGTTCCGGTATACAAACGGCCGATGACAAGGAGCATGGCTTTTTTTAACATTCCCATAGGGGCCACATGGTGGGCGGAAACGGTTTTGCTTGAAAAAAACATTGTTTTCATCGAGTTATAGGGGACAAAAGTGTCGGCCAAGTGGCCAGGCGGAATCTCATTTTTCCGCCCTTCGGTGCGAATCTTCTTTCGCACGGCTTGATCTTCGCCGCATTACGTATCATAACAAATTATTTTCCCGCAGGTGTCTTTTTTTCTGGTGCATCCAGGAATATTTTTTGATCTCTATTTTTTTATTTTTTTATTTTTGTCGCTTCTTCTGTTGTTGTTTTGCTCAGCCTTTTCTTTCACCTACGAATCTATCGATTTGCTGATCTTAGCCACACATGAGTTCTGCCCAGGGCACTTCCACCTCTGCAGTTCTATCTTCATTGGTGGCCAACTTGATTCTTTGTGGAATCTTTGTTGGCTGCTTCCTTGTGCTTAGATTGAAGTTCAAGAGAATCTATGCACCAAAATCTTCCTTCGATCTTGTCGACGAAGAAAAGAAACCAGAACCTTTGCCCAAAGACCCCGTCAGATGGATCTTTATTCTTTTGACCAAGCCGCACTCCTTCATTATCCAGCAATGTGGTCTTGACGGTTACTTCTTTTTGCGTTACCTTTTCATTTTCTGTCTCACCTTCACCGGTGGTATCCTCATTTGGACTGTGTTGCTTCCCATCAATGCCGTCCACGGTAAAGGCAACAATGGGTTGGACCAGTTATCCATCTCCAATGTGAAACACCGCAAAAGATACTACGCTCATGCATTCATCTCGTGGTTTTTCTATGGCACTGTCATCTACATCATCTACCGTGAGTTGTTCTTCTTCAACTCTTTCAGAGCTGCCGTATTGTCTTCGCCTAGGTACGCCAAGAAATTGTCCTCTAGAACAGTGTTGTTTCAGTCTGTACCAGATGCTTGGTTGGACGAGAAACAATTCTTCAAGTTGTTCAACGGTGTCAAGAGAATTTACATTCTGAGAAACATCCGTCTCTTGAACCACAAAGTGCGTCAAAGAGAGGATATGGCCATCAAGTTGGAAGCGGCAACCTCAAAGTTGTTGAAGACAGCAATGAAGGCGAAAATAAAGGCGGACAAGAAGAACATTACTGTCGAAAACCCCGAAAACATCGACCTGTGGGTGCCGGAGAAAAAGAGACCCAGACACAAGGTGAATGGTTTTTTCTCTAAGAAAGTCGACTCCATCAACTACTATCGTCAACAGCTCCCATTACTCGACAACGATATCTACAGATTGCAGAAAAACTACAGAAAGTACCGGCCCAAGAACTCCATCTTTGTGGAGTTTGAAAACCAGTACATGGCCCAATTGGCATATCAGTCCGTTGTGCACCACAACCCATTGAGAATGTCTCCTGTTCACACCGGAGTAGAACCTGGTGATGTTGACTGGGACAATATGCGTCTTTTCTGGTGGGAAAGGATCACCAGAAAGGCTATTGCTGTCGCTAGTATTACTGCTGTTGTTATTTTCTGGGCTTTTCCTGTGGCCTTTGTCGGTGTTATCTCGAACATTAACTACTTGACGAACAAGATTCACTGGTTGAGATGGATCAACGATATTCCTGGCTGGATTCTTGGTGTGATTACTGGTTTGTTGCCTACTGTGATGTTGTCTCTTTTGATGTCTATCTTGCCAATGTTCATCAGAGGCATGGCAAAAGTTGCTGGTGCAATTTCCGCTCAAGAAGTAGAGATGTTCACTCAATCGGCATACTTTGCGTTTTTACTTGTCAACGGTTTCCTTGTTACTGCCTTAGCATCCTCGGCTACAGCTACTGTCACGAGAATTATTGATAACCCATCATCTGCCTTGTCCATTTTAGCATCCAGTTTGCCCAAGGCTTGCAACTTCTACATCTCGTACCTTATTTTGCAAGGTTTGACCGTGGCTGGAGGTGCCTTGTTCCAAGTTGTGGGTCTTTTCTTGTACTACATTTTAGGCAAGCTTTTCGACAAGACTCTCCGGAAAAAGTGGGCCAGATTTTCTGGTTTGGGAACTGTGGCCTATGGTACAGCTTTCCCCCAATTCACCATCTTGGCCATCATCACGCTCGCCTTTTCCATCATCGCCCCAATGATATTGCTCTTTGCCGCAGTGGCTTTCGCCTTAATTTACATCGCCTATTGTCACAACTTGACCTACGTGTTTGTTGAGGGCCCTGATTCTAGAGGTGCACACTATCCTGTGGCATTGATGCAAACTTTTACTGGTATTTACATTGGCCAGATTTGTTTGTTGGGTCTTTTCGTTGTGGGTAAAGGTTGGGGACCAATTGTCGTTGAGGCAATTGGTCTCGGTTTCACCATTTTTGCCCACATCCAAATCAAAGCTGCATTCAACCGTTTATTGACTGTTGTTCCAATCGATGCCATGAAGTCTTTGGATGGCTACTCTCATACGCCATCTTACGATGGCGAAAGTGATTACAAGACAAAAGTTTTGGCCAAACATCATAAGTCTTATGAAGAAAAGAAGGAGGAGAATGAAGTGGAGCATAACTTGGAGGAAAACGTTGAAAACGGCCAAAGCCTTGTACCTTTAATGGCGGATCGTGAATCAAAATCCGTCAAGGCTGACAACTTCCTCATCAGATGGATTAGACCAGATATCTTTTTGAACTATAGCCATGCCAAACAGTTGATCCCAGCTACATATAACATTGAGCCGGAAATCCAAGATAACAAGCATGCGTATGAACAACCATTTATTTCGGCGAAGATGCCCACTTTGTGGATTCCAAAAGACCCTATGGGCTGGTCTACACAAGAAATCAAGGAAAACTCGTCTTTTGTTACCATGTCAGATGAAAACTCTGGCTTTACTGAGAAGGGCAACATTGTTTACCTTGGCAAGCCGCCATACTAGTTCATATTGCTCATTTACATTATTGTATATTATTTGTAGTCATCAGAGGTTAGTGTTCTTTGAATTATTTATCGCGTTTTATATAAGAACGGCTCGGCATATCAATACTATGTCGTTTTCAAGAAGATCATTGTAATTATCCCAAGCAGGTTTTGATAAAGACTCAATTGGCAGCTGAGGGATGACAATTCTGCACTCCCATATTTAGCTGAGTTATTAATATCACGATAATAAAAGATACTGAATGTACACTGCTTTTGGAACAAAGCAAAAAAGTGCTCTATGTGCTATATTTATAAACGGTCCTTTGTTCTCTTAAATAAACATGACACTATATGTCAATCCAATGGGTAAAAAGGCGACAATACTCTTTCAGACGGATTGTTCAGTCTCTTCTACTTTTTAGTCTTACACATAGTTTTCACCAAACCAGTCTTGTATGGGATCAATCCAACCAACTTCCTCGGTGCGAAATCAAGTTCAAGAAATGTCAAATTACTAGACGCACCAAAAAGTCCAATACATAAGTGAGGACAAAAAGCGAAGCTGGATTAGACAGCAATCCCGTTCCGAAAGCACATATATGCTCTAAAACTGCATTTCCCATTGCAAACTTTCCTTTAACACACGGTCTTCCCCGCTTAAAATCACGTGACAGATTCAACCTCTACATTCATTGTAGCGAGCCAAGTATATAAACGCCATGATGCGCCGTTTTTTGTCGGCTATGGGCCAAAACCGCTCCTTCGCTGAAAACAGGCTTCTTCTTACCGCCAAACACCTTCGACCTGAACAGTGGTCTAGACTGCTTTCACAATACGCCTCGGCACAAGTTGGTCTGCGGTTCTCATCGTCATACAAGAACTATGCCGTGCAATCGGACGAGAACAAGATTGTGTCGTATTTCCACGATATTCCACTCTCTTTGGATGTGGAGAAGCGCACTGTGAACATGGTGGTGGAAGTTCCACGCTGGTCGAACGCCAAGTTTGAGATCAGCACCTCTTTGGAAGGAAACCCGATAGTTCAAGATACAAAGAACGGGAAAGTTCGGTTTGTGCGCAACTTGTTCCCGTACCATGGGTATATCCACAATTATGGCGCATTGCTGCAAACGTGGGAAGATCCAACGGTGAAAAGCAACGTGGATGGTCTTGTAGGAGACGGTGATCCGTTGGACGTTTGTGAAATTGGATCTCGTGTATGGCCCACAGGCAGTGTACGCCAGGTGCGTGTTTTGGGATCGTTGGCGCTTGTGGACGATGGTGAATTGGACTGGAAAGTAATTGCTATTGACACAGAAGACCCATTGGCAGACGAGCTTTTTGACGTCCACGATGTTTTCGTCAAATGCCCTGGACTTCTAGAGGCAACAAGACAATGGTTCAAGGACTACAAGATTCCGGACGGAAAACCTCAGAATCGTTTTGCTTTGGGCGGGAAATACCGCACTCTGCAAGAAACCATCGAGACTATCGTGGAGTGTCAGGAAGCTTGGAAACGCTTAGTTAATGGCGAAACAAAACCTTCGGGCGATTTTTCTACAGCAAATGTCGGTGTTCCAGACTCTGAGGGACATGTTCTGCGCTTCTCGTTCAACGATTCAGTCTTGGGTGCGGTGTGTGAACCAGATACACCAATTCCAGCCGAAGTGGATCAACCTTTCTACGTGGTGACATAGGATTAGAGAGAGAAAATTGATGCTCATTATTTCAATAGAATGCAATAGACGAATAAAGTGGAAAGACGTCAGATTTAGTCATATTCAGTCCTTTTAATGCAACGGGCACAGTTCTGTTTATGCGATCAAGTATAGACTCGTTCTTGCCTTTCTTATGCTCAGCAAATGCAAATGATAGTTTTTGTTTCTCTTCTGGTCATTTTTGTTTCTTCTCTGGTGATGTTACTTCTTTTCTAGTGATATTGTTTCTCCTCTGCATCACAGGTTCTTCACTGTGGAGATGATTCCGTTGAGATACTCTACACCCGAGAAATGAATTCTCCATATGAACACGGTTCTCCGATTTCGCGTCATCTTAATAAGACAAAAATACGCTGTCCATGAGTCAAAGGAATAATGAAATACTTATTCTTCAAGAATTAGTTAAATGCTCTAATTGCTTTAGCTTATACCTGCTTTAATACATTCAATAGATGCCCAATTACTATACTTATACGCATCATCAGCTGAATAATTCTTTTACCAAACAACAATTGACTGTCCATGAGCTCAACTACAGAAATAACCAAGAAGATAATGTGCGCAATAGCTGAGAATACTGAATCAGGTCCTTATAATAAGCTCTTCTGTTTAGTTCAACTTTTCCTTTTCTGATTACATACAAAAGCAATTTCAACCAATCTGAAAGCCTTTAAAAACAAACCAATGCTCGACAATTTGTTTTTCAACTTCCTACATTTCTTCTCTGATTCCATCTACTCCAGGTGGTCGCACCTGCACATCGCTCTCATAAGAAAACATCTCACCAACATCTTTTCTTCAGGCCATGGACAAATCTTCGTCTCTTGTAAGTAAGGCATTGCGGCCCATGGAGATGACGTCTCTGTGGACGTTTGCATCTGCCTTGGCCTTGTTGAAAACGGCGCCCGAAGACTACATCAGCGATGCGCTAGACGACTTTTTGATCCACAACAACGATGTTTTGCTTTCCCCATTGCCGTTTGAGCGCACGGACAAGTCCAAGCCGCTTGATAAATCTACAAAAGACTTCACACTACGTGGCGTCTTGTACACGGGCGTGACACCGAGTCTAGTGGCCACAGCCACGTCGGTGGCCGAGTTGTGCCATACAGACTTTAAAGAAACGCTCCGGGTGATTTTGCAGACCATTGCAAGAGTTCCAGAGCTTCTGCAGCCTGAAAAGAGCGCCGGGTCTATTCTGTCGCGTTTGCCCAACGAGGAAGATGCTGCCGTTGAAAGAGACCGCGTTTCCTTCTATGCCTCTGTTTTGCTCAAGGAGAGAAGAACCGTGCTCCGCGTGACAGCTGAATGCTTCAATAATAGGTTCAACGAGTACTACTCGTCCACCGTTCGAAATCTCGGAAAGTCGCTCGCCGGAGAATCAAGCTACACCGTCAGGTTGGTGGGTACCGCCCAAGCTGTGATGCGGCGCACTTTGCTGACAGAAACCTCGTCTGACTTGGAATCTCTGGTCATTACAGAGAACGTTCTTGCTTGCGTGGACATTTTGAAGCTCATTTGCGAGATACTAGTTTCAAGCCCAGCCATTGACAAGTCTGTGGTCCAGGCGTGGTTCCTGTTTATGGAAAGCTCAAACTTTGCTCATTCTTTGGGCTCGGTCATAGCAGACAAGGAGCTTTTCACGTTGATCCAAGCCCTCTGCACCATCGTCTCCTTGCAAGTGTTTGACTTGTCCTACTCGCATGGCAACACAGCCCCAAATCTGTATCTTGAAGACGGATCGGTCTTTTTGCACATCGACAATGTTATCCGAGATCAGGATCCCAATGACATCATCAAGTACGCGTGGCTCATTATGCTCTACAAAAAGTCCATCATTCTTGAAGAGTTCCCGCAAGAACAAACGCAATTTCTTTCAGCCATGCGTCTTTCGCAAGTTCAAAAGAGTATGGCTGTGCTTCAGCAATCTTTGGATGGATCCAAGGTGTTTGAAGAAGTAAGATCACTCAACGAATTTCTCAAGTTTGATAATGTTTTCGCTGTTGTTTTGTCCAATTTGATAATGACTGCGTTGCCTTTGGTTTCCATGTCTTCAAACTTTGCTTCCTGTGTTGCTGAAGTTTTGCGTGCTGCCCCAAACAGCTCTGTGGAAAAGTTTTTCGAAAACCAACAAGCTGTCAATGCATTGATTTTGGCTCGCGCAAAGTTTCCCATTTCTTTAGAGCCTTACCTCAAATTGGCATCCATCAACGGAAATTTTGCATTGCACGAGTTCGAAGAGCTCAAGTCTTACATGGCTGTCTTTGATAAGACCGAGTTCGGCCGCATGTACGATATTGACTCGGAAAACACAGATCTTGTGAAGACTTCTCAAATCATCAACCTATATCCTCCCTTTGAAGTGAATCACAAGTTGTCCTTTTTAATGAATTACGACACAAAGGCTAAAATCGTCCCAACTGCGGATGAATCTAAAATCTTGGTGACTTTCCTTCATAAATACAATGGGTGGGCATTCCTAGGAAGAGTCCTCCAAAACATATCGAAAGTGTTTGATATTGCCGACCAGGAAAAAACCTCCATTTTACATGATATGCTCGATGTTCTTATTGCCACAACGGAGCAGAATCCTCCAGAAAGTATACACGTGGTCTTGGAGTATATGTCAGCATACATTGATGATTCAGATATTGTTGATGTTCTTTTCAGGCTTTTTGAGCAAGGATTACACAACAGAAGTATCGAATTACTGGAAAAACTTCTTCGTCTTTTCACCAGTATGATGCCAGTAATCTCGCATAGAATTTGGCCATACTTGTCCGCATCCTCACTTTTGCCAAGCAAGGGAAAAGAAGGGTTCCACTCGATATTGTTCGGATCTGTCGAGATGACGAAAGGTGATTACCAATTCACTACAGCGTTGGTGAAATTTGTGTTTTCTCTTTCTCAAAATTGTCTATCTTTACAAACAGATTATCCTCTAGAGTCTAAGAGTGAGTTGTTCTCCTGCTTCATTGAGCATCTTCTCTTTGTGTTTGAGAGCTACACTGGATGCAAATTCAATGACGGCTTCCAGAAACTTGAACTAGGTGTTTTGATTTTGGACGTCCTTAGGCAGACTTTAGAATCCATTCATTTGATCGATCCTGGTGTTGACTCGCATAAGAAGGCTACACATGTTTTTGCAAATGCGTCAGAACGTATTGTGGATGTCTTCCTTTCGACTGAAACCAAATTCATCCGTTCGGCAACGCCAATTTTAATGATGATTGATTCGGTGGCAAAGTCTGTCAACTACTATGAGGCGAAAGACTTTTCAGGTTTCTTTGCGGACGTTTGGATCCATTCCGCATTGTCCTTCTCTCGTCTTCTTGTCACCATCAGAAGCACTATCAATGGTGTTCCTTCTGCATTTGAAAAAGAACTTTTTGCGAGATTGCCCCAACTCGTTACTGTCTATTCCCGTGGAGGACATTTCAGAAAGTTGACTTTGGACTTAATCACCGCTCTCACCAATGGAGTCTGGCAACATGAACCCATGCCTTCAATGTTATCCCACCTCGGCAGAGAACACTCTCGCATTTTCTTAAATTCTTTGGCGGTTGATTTGGACAATGCTTTTGACGATTACACCATCAAAATTTCCATTTATGACTTCCTCTGTGCCATAATGGAAGCCAATCAGCAAGGTCTTGCCATTTTATTTATTAGCGGAAGAGACGTATTTGGCGAATTCACTAGTGAGACTAAAACAGATGCGCAACTGGTTGTATCTTTGCTTTCTATCTTGAGAAGAAACGTGAAGAACATAAAATATTATCCTCATTCCGTTACTGTGCATCTTCTTGACGCCATTTCTTTGGCATTCAATTCCTGGACTACCGAAAGAGATGAAGAAAGCGATGTTTCTTTCGTCGAAGAATTAGTGACAATGTTGGGTAATTTTGAGAAGGACGCAAACCCTTCCGACAGCTATGATTTCATCGTTGCTTCTTATCAGAGCAAACTTTACTCCAAGGTTGCTGAAATTTTGTCGTTGGTATTGTTCACAAGCAAGAACGATAAGTTTAAACAGTCCATCGGCAATCTCCTTTCCCGTGAAGACTTCTTGAGTAAATTGCCGGAGATGTTTACTATCAAAAATTTTCAAATGACCCTTTACGACCAAGTGGCATTACAGTTTAGTAATGTTTTTCCTGACCATAAGCTTACGCAGTTTGCAGTGGCAATACAGAAAAGAAACCGGTTTGGCATTGGTGCTGTTTATGACCTCATTCTAATGGATACGCTTTTCCAAAGACATCCGAAGTGGAAAGATCTCAGAGACCAAATCATATACTCCAGTGCCAATATCCAATACTTCAATGCTCAATTGGCTTTAGCCAAATCTCTTGGTGCGCTTATCACGGCGTTTTGTCGCAAGGTCCCTACTAAAATCCCAAGAGAGTATTTGGGACTTGTCCCTAAACTATTGAACATTCGCGATCCAAGAGATAGTTATACGGAACCTTTCCTCGTCCAGCTGACTGCAGAGCGAGTTGAACTTGGCTTCTTGATTTCATACACTATGAACAACATGGAAACCGTGAAAAAGTCGCCGGAAACAGCTTTAGACATTATTGAAGCATGCGGAGATTTGATGAGAACCACTGAGTTTTCCGACACCAATGGTCAAGGCGTACCACAACGTTCGTTACTCCGTCTCATATATGTGGCTCTTTCTGAGCTCAAAGATGAGTACGAGCTTTTGATTGCCAGGTTTAGCGTGCTCAACGATGTTTTCGACACCGTGATTGCTCGACGCACAAAGAGCATTGTGAGTGAACTTCAAAACGAGGTTTATTTATCTCGGACACAGAAGAAGCGGGCTCAGGGCAACCTCGAACTTCGGTTCGACGACATGAAGCTAATTTTGTCCATAATGAAATGCTTCCTTCTGTTGAACCTTTCTCTGTCGCTTCTTGACGATCTAGCTGAATGTCTAGCTAATGCGGGCACAGTGGATTCCTTGCTCAGTTTCTATCTGTTCTCGCATTTGATCTTAGTGAACGAAGAGCCGGTTTGTGCGCAGCTCAGCTTGATGTTTATCCAGCAACTATTGGCTGTGGACACCTTTGCGGAGCGCTTTGTTGGCCGGAATATTTTTATGGTCATCCGTGAAAGTGTGATCTCACAGGCTTTACGTGGAGGTGGCATCACGATCTCGAACGCTCCGGCCATCTACAAAACATGGACTAGTGGTATTTTGCCCATTTTGGTCGGCGCCCTAGTGAAAACGGCCCAACTTTCGGAGGTTGTGGCTACAATCCGCTGTTTTAGTAAGCAGATCGAGTCGTGTATTGAAAGTTGGGCTCGCGAGCTGGCGTCTCTTCAAATTTCGACTGCTGGAACATGGGAAACAACGCAAGTGTTGCTTCTTTATCATATGCTTCGAGCAGTGGCAACAAAATATTTGGACAACGATGCAGAGGCCAACGTTCCCATGCCTGGGCTTGAAAGCCAGCAAAAACGTGATGATTTTGTGGACTACATCAACAACTTACTCAAGCATCCCAAGTTTCTCTCGTCTAGAGTTGTTCCTAGCAATGCAGAGGAAGCTGCAGTGATAAAAGCTGGCGGAGCACCTATGCAGAATCTTGTGTCTGGGTTGGTGGAGGACATTGGCGAGTTGAAGCAGTATTTGTTGTGAGTGCTTAAACTAGAGATGGCTGGAACCTGCTGGCCTGTGGAAAGTGGATTAATGTTTACGATTAGAATAGAATAAAAGTTGTACCATAGCCATTAAGTTTCTCGATGCTATTGTGTATTTGCAGAAGTGATTCGACAATAAGCGGAATACCGTCTTCAAAATACCGAAATGACTCGAAATATCGAAAGAATTGAAATATCAACGACTTCGAGTTTCTATTATAACTCCTGCTCTTACTGCCCACCATGAAAACGCCAATAGAGATGTAGAAGTATACGAAAACAAAACAGCATCTTAACATGTTTCAGCACTTTAGTATTCTTGTAATTAGAAGCTCAAACGCTCTAGTCCAGTATTCTTTGAAATATTCATTCAAGATTTATCATTTGAATATTAGAGTATATAGACAGTAGTTTCACAATGCATCTTGCCTCAATTCGCATTAATCCCGTTTATTCGCAATGCCTGACTTTTTTTACTTTCTACTCTTTCTTCTTTCTGCAATATAATTCCTCTACTGTCTTGTATTTCCGTTTTCGCTTGCCGCATCGCAATCTGTTTTTCTGTCCAGACAACAACAAATTAGGTCTGACCATGACACCTCATAGATCCCATTTACTTCCTTTGTCATTAATCCTCCTTTTCCTTTTCTAAATGGTTATATCCTCACATCTGGTGATCGCGTTTTTGCAGCCGCTCAAAAGAAAAAAAAAAAATAGAACGCTCGTACCGCGCTCGCATCTCCAACTACATGTCTTTCTTTGTTTCAGCGCCAGGCAAAGTCATTCTTTTTGGTGAACACTCGGCTGTATACGGTAAGCCGGCTATTGCCGCTGCGCTAAGCCTCCGATGCTATCTTTTGGTGACTCCGAACCCCAATTCTGATGATATCATTCTTGAGTTTCCTGACATTGGCCTAGTGCACAAATGGAGCGCGGCTAGTCTTCCTTGGGATGAGATAGAGGCGGTGACAAAGAACGAAGGGCGGCCAAAAGCAACAGACGAGCTTATCCCAGAGCTTTTAGACGCCTTGGCCGACTCGCTTGACATTGCTGATCCGCTCCACTATACGGCATGTCGCTGTTTCTTGTATTTGTACGCCAGCTTGTGCAGCCGACAAACAGCCGGTTGTCATTTCTGCATTCGTTCTACGTTACCTATCGGCGCAGGTCTTGGCTCCCTGGCAGCCACTGCTGTTTGTTTGCTGGCTGCCTTGTCCATATTGGGTGGCCATGTGTCTGCACCTCTGCTTGCAGTCAACGATCGCCACGCTCACAAAGATTCCAGCGATGCCACTTTCATTGATGCTTGGTCTCTCATGGGTGAGAAATGTTTCCATGGAAATCCTTCAGGTATTGACAATGCTGTGGCTACGCATGGCGGGGCTGTCATGTATCAGCGCATGACTGGCCCTGGCAATCCGTCTGTTCGCACAAGCGTGAGGAATTTTGCTGCTTTACCGTTGTTGCTAACAAACACGCGTGTGCCCCGCAGAACAGCAGAGTTGGTCGGAGGTGTGGCTCAATTGGGCGCCAAGTACGCGCCAGTGACAGAGGCCGTGTTGCAGGCCATGGACCACGTCGCACGCCATGCGTACGATCTTATGGTTCGTCCTGAGTGTGATCGTGCTGCTCTCTCCGATCTAGTGAAGATCAATCACGGCCTTCTCGTGTCGTTGGGTGTATCGCACCCAAGTTTGGAGCAGGTGCGCATTATTGCAGACCGTCACTCGCTTGGTGCCACAAAGTTGACTGGTGCTGGCGGTGGTGGCTGCGCCATCACTTTGCTAGCCGATGGGTTAGATCCATCGAATCTAGTTCTGGCCCAGCGTGATTTCGCAGACGCCGGTTTCGAAACATTTGACGCCACTTTGGGCGGCAAGGGTGTTGGAATGTTGAAATTGAGTGATGTGGATACACTGGCACAAGAAGTGGTATTCTCTTCGGAAAAACTTGCATCCTATGCATCGCGTGAGGAAATCGAACAGAACATTGGTGCTTCGGAGTTGCCTGGATGGCGCTTCTGGTGAGTCAGGACGAAAATGAATGCGAATTGAACAATGCCTGAAGACGTCTTAAGGTGACCACGATCTTCGGCGTGCCACATCAGTGGTTCCAAATGTACTATAAAAAGCAGACTTCTTGAATCTGTCGAACGGAAACTAATAGAACTCACAAAACTAGAGCACGATAACTATTCGTATAAAGAAATGCAATCGTGTAGTTTAGTCACCAAGAACACATTATCTATGATATACCTCACAAGAACATGACGGCTTTTGAGATAAGTCACGAAGTAAATGGTACTAATTTTTCGTTAATCTTGCTTCTTGTTCCTCAAGCAGGACCATGTCAACATTTTCATCGTCGAGTACCATCCATTTCCTACTTGTGGAACATTTAATGAGCAGTGCCTATTTCTTACAGAATAAAAATGGTAGCGTTGACTTTGAATACTTACAAATCATGAAATCATGTCCCAGGCGCAATGCATTCTTATGCCAGACTAACCTGGAAGAAACAGTCCCATTATATGCTGCCGTAAGACTTTGATCTTGCATCACCCTTCTTCGTTAGATTCCCCTGTTGAAGGAAAGTTTCGCCTCGTGTCCTTCTTTGTCTTTCAAATTATGGAATTGTGGTTCGAGGGCCAGTGCAGGTAAAACTCTGGTTTGCGGGAAAACCGCCAACGCAAAAGGCAAGGCCACAAGGGACGTGGCAAAAATCAACCCTACATTGACTGCCGTTTCCACCAACTTGGACTTTCCCCGGAGAAATCTCGACTTCTGCAAGCGCACCAAAAGAAGAGGAGGAACCACCATGATGGGAGTAGCGTTGATGACTCTGCTGGCCGCAGTCTCGCCCACGGCATAGAACGCCGCCTTCTTGGAAGTTCCAACGTCTTTCCCCTCTTCGTCATAGACACTGATTCCATGGCGAAGCTCAGCACTGCGCATCAAAAAGACATTGGCGATTCCGGCCGACACCACCGCAGCAAACGGCACCAAGCGGCCCAAGATGGTTCTTGTGGCAGGGTTCAAGCGGCGCATTCGAGGCACAAGCAGATTGAGGCCGAGAGCCACAGAGCACAGCGCCGATACCGCCAAAACGTAGTTTGTGGCAATCTCCTTGGTGCTGAGCGGATGGCTCTTGTTGGCGTTGGAAATGTTGATGGCCACGTTCAACAGCTGGTTGGCAATCTGCCAGAACAACGTTCCTGCCGTGCCCAAGCCGGGCGTGAGCATGCCTGCCGTGACCACCAAGTTGGACAAAACACAAGAGCTCATGCGGAAGGGCAAGAAAACGGTCTCGCCCGTGTCCGGGTGCAACGCCGAGTCCAACACTTTCTTTGCTCGCCAGAGATCGGGCGTCATGGGCGAAACGCCGTTCTTGTAGTCCCAAACGGTGCGTTTTGCGGCGGCTATGTCTGATGTCGAGTTGAGAAGCATGGTGGGGTCAGAGATGTCGGCGCAGTGGCGCACACGGCCCCAGTAGGTGGAAAGGTCGTAGCGTGAGGGCGGGAGGGGCACAGGGCCAGGGACAGAAGAGGCCATTTGATTTCTGAACGGAATAAGTTTTTTGATGGGGCAGTTTTGGATCGAGCGTCGATGATTGTGAGTCAGCGGTGCGGCTGCAGGAAGATGAAGAAAGATGAAGATGAAAAGATGAAGACAGAGGAAGATGAAGACAGAGAAAAAGATGAAAGAAAGAAAAAAAGAAAGAAGGAGGAAATCGTGGAAGCAGTGACAAGAGATGTTTGCGATCAGCAAATGTTGTGGGAATCAAAATTGAGGTAGACGTGAAGATAGCGGTCGGCCTGGTTTGCGCCCGAAAAGTCAGGCGGCGCGCAGGTCGAATGAAAGGAAAACTGGGGCGCTATTCAGTACATAGAGGTGGATTACACGGTAGGTTTACCTAAAAGATTATTTAGTGTTGATGAGTGTGGTTAGGTGGCTGGTCAAAGAAATGGTATACTATGTAATCATGACAAACTACTGGTAACCTATCGATTTAGTATTAGAATATTGGAATATTGGAATGTTGGAATATTGGTAATATTGGCGTGCTCGGTCTTCGAGCCATATTCGAGCGCGTTTTCGCGGTTTCTCGCCCGTTTTCGCGGTTTCTCGCCCGTTTTCGCGGTTTCTCGCCCGTTTTCGCGGTTTCGCATCACCGCTTGGTACATCATTGTTCATGAAATTCCCCGTGGTGGTTGGTCTTGGCGTGGACATCACTCGGATTCTGCGCTTTTCCCGTCTCCTCTCCCGTCCTGACTCCGCCCGCTTTCTTCAGCGTGTGCTTCACCCGACCGAAAACGACAAGTTCAATCGTCTCGAGCTATCTTCAAGGCCGCAGTTTGTGGCCGGATGCTGGGCTGCCAAGGAGGCTGTGTTCAAGACTTTGGACGCCGAGGACCAGAAGGTTTTCCTGTTCAATCTGTGGAGCCGCCGCACGGTGGGACAGAAACCGGAAATCGTGAACGACGCCCATCTCGATAAGTTTTTGTTGTCGATTTCCCACGACGATGATATTCTTGTGGCAACTGTGCTCCGGCAGAGACTCATTGAAACATAGTCATCTTGAACTATAGTGAGAGTTCATCTCTTATCAAAGACAGCCAGGCCGTTGATCGATCGTTCCGTTGTCATAAAGACAAAACTTACGTAGGTACTTGACATTGGATAGCTGCAATGATAGCTGTGCGGTATCTTTACGGGTGTGTCTTATGGATTTCAAAAACCTGACAATGCTTAAATAGGCTGGCGAATAGTTCATGGTGCTAATATGGAATTGCGCCCAGAAACATTGTTTCGCCTCATGCTCGAAGTTGGATGTTGCCTTACATTTGTCTTTCAGATTTCGTGAATTCAAAGCTCTGAAAATGTCTTGACATGTTTGGTAAGAGGACGAAATTGAAATCTTATCGACCTACGGATTCTTGATGCAGACTAAATGGATTCTTGAAGCAGAATAATTGACATGTGTGTTTATGGTTAGTGCTAGTTAATGAAAATTAATTGATTCAACATCTCCATTGGCACGAACAGACCGTACTAGCGGATCTGGAAATTGTATCGCATCCAAAAACGATTAATCTCAAACAAAACATATGAACGTGAATGCGTTATACTCTTTGCTGTGCTTAGTATACTTGCATTGGACATGAACTAAGTTAACAGAATAACTTTGTTGTATGACATGGTTTGCTCTTATGCTACGATGACTACGGTACCCTCTCAGTATATTTCCAATCGAATTCGGTGTTCGTATTGTATATTTGAGTCATTGCATTTCCTCTTCTATACGTCTTTAAGTACATGCTCTCATATCCATAATTGTGCATTATTTTACAAATCTATTCCCACTCAACAGTGGCTGGAGGCTTAGATGTAATGTCGTAGGTGACACGTGCAACACCATCCACCTCATTAACAATTCTCGAAGCAACTCTCTTCAAGAAAGAAGCCTCGAAAACATACCAGTCTGCAGTCATGAAGTCCACAGTTTCAATGGCACGCAAAGCAATCACTTGCTCGTAAGTTCTTTGGTCACCCATAACACCGACAGACTTAACAGGCAACAAAGCAGCGAAAGCCTGGGAGATTTCCTTGTACAAACCGGCCTTCTTGATTTCCTCAATGAAAATGGCGTCGGCCTCTCTGGCAATCTTAACTTGCTCCTTGGTCACTTCACCCAAAACTCTGATGGCCAAACCTGGACCTGGGAATGGGTGTCTCCAGACCAAGTCGTGAGGAACACCCAAAAGCTCACCCAAGTGACGAACCTCGTCCTTGAACAACTCTCTCAAAGGCTCAATCAACTTCAACTTCATGTTGTCCAACAATCCACCAACGTTGTGGTGAGTCTTGATGGTCTGCGATGGGCCCTTGAAAGAGATGGACTCGATCACGTCAGGGTACAAAGTACCTTGCAACAAGTACTCGATTTCTTGGCCAGAAGCAGGCTTGATCTTGGCAGCCTCGTCTTCGAAAACGTGGATAAAAGTGTTACCAATGATCTTTCTCTTCTTCTCTGGGTCGGTGACACCTTTCAATCTACCCAAAAACAAGTCGGAGGCATCGACAACAGTCAAGTTGATGCCCAAACCTTCAGTCAAAGTCTTGTACACTTGCTCGGTCTCGTTCAATCTCATGACACCGTTGTCGACGTAGATGGCGTGGAAACGGTTTCCAATGGCCTCTTGCATGATCTTGGCTCCGACAGTAGAGTCGACACCGCCAGAAACGGCACCAATAACTTCAGCGGTAGGACCAACCAACTTTCTGATACGCGCAATCTCGGTGTCGATGAAGTTCTCCATCGACCAGTTGGTGTTGGCCTGACAAATGTCCACAGCAAAGTTTTTCAACAAAACCTTTCCGTTCACAGAGTGGGTCACCTCTGGGTGGAACTGGATACCGTAGATGTGCTCCTTCTCGTGGGCAATAGCACAGAATGGAGAGTTGTCCGAAGTGGCAACGGTCTTGAAGCCGGTAGGCAAAGCGTGCAACTTGTCTCCGTGAGACATCCAAACCTGAGAGTGGTCGACACCCTTGAAAAGAGGACAGTCCTTGTCCTCGACGTTCAAAGTGGCCGGGCCGTACTCTCTCTTGTCACCACGGCCAACACCCTTTCCGTTGATCCAAGCCAACTCTTGCATTCCGTAACAAATGCCCAAAATAGGAACGTTCAACTTGAAAATGTCGTGGTCGACGTGAGGAGCATCGTCGGCGTAGACAGAGTATGGACCGCCAGACAAAATAATACCCTTAGGCGTCCAAGACAATTCGGAGATTTTCTGGGTGCAAGGCAACATTTCAGCGTAAACGTTGAACTCTCTCAATCTTCTGGTGATCAAGTGGGAGTACTGAGAGCCAAAGTCGAGCACCAAAATGGTGTCGAAAACTTTGGACACTTCAATGGGGACGTCTTCGGTGGACATTATGGGTATTTTTTGTTGCGCAATTAAAACTTGGGTGAAGAGCTAGCGATGCCCAGACAAGATCTCAATTTGTTTTCTGGCACAGGGAATCGATGGTTTTATATGCTTTTTTTTTCTCCTGTGCGCGATGCGGTGTGCAGATAAACCAGACCACAGGACAAGACAAGGATTGGACAGAAGAGAGAATAAAAAGGACAAGACAAATAGGATAGGAAAAAAGGAAAATACGTCAGCTCTTGTGAATGTAGAGAAGACTATGGCTTGGACGGATTTTGAATGCGGTGGATTTTTCATTGAGTGTCTTTTCGAAAAGTTACCGAATGTGGTATCTTTTTGCACCCATCCGTGTCAGCGCGCGATTGAGTAATAAACACAAACGTATTTAATTAGTTTCTGTTGTCTTGGTGAAGTTCGAAAGCCATTCTGAATCTCCAAGTCCAATTGGCTGACCATTCTACTTCTGGCATACGATCACAGAGTTCAACGGCCATACGAGGTTCCCTTTAATTACTGATTTGAACCAACCTTTCTGAGTACATTTCTCTTCTGCTCTGTCTTATCGTCCTCTTAGCTCTTTGTTCTACATGAGATCACTCCCCCCTCCAAGAATCACCAAAAAAAGGAGATGGCGCCGGTTCAAACGGTATGTGAAAAACGCCTTTTCCCAGCAGTATTGGAGGCCTAGTGTGGATGCCAAGAGTAATCGGGCCCGGCGTGTCAAAAGAACAGCTTCTCGTTTCAAAACTGCTAGCATCTTGGGGAAAATTGCCTCATCCATGGTTCCGGGCCGCCGAGTCCACGTTTCTCTAAACATGTAACGAGACATGCATGTAGATAAGCTCGGCATCTTATTTGGAATCAACGGATTCTAACTTCGCGAATGAAAAGTTTTGGAGCATTTCTCGTACAATAGCATTTCTCGTATCGTATTGCCTTCAAATATCAAGTATCTTTAAAGAATATCCATCTGATTACAATCGGATTTTACTGGTTTGGCTTTGAAAGGCCTCAACTTCGAGTCTGCAAATAATTGCCTATCTCGAGACACCGCGGCCTTGCCGCGGCCCGACCGCGGCCCTTAGAAGATAACACTTCAAGTAGAAATGGCTTATGTAATGGATTCCAGACTGTTCCAGGCTTAGAGCTTGGGATAAGAAGATAAGCCAACCGACAATAGAAGAAAAATGTCCAAGTATAGCAGTTAACATGCTGCTTTCGTGCCACTCATCAAGATGACGCAGATTGCGACATTTATGTGACTTGCATTACAACAGGATGGCCCTAGCTCCAAATATATTTCAACCACCGAAATCCAAACATTGTAAACATTGTATATCCTGTGTTTTGAATCTAGTCAACTAAGTCCAAGTGCGAACATGTAGAATTTCAATACAATCACGAGTATGACGAACAATCTAAGACACAACTCAACAAACAAACAAAATTCGACAAACAAACACAAAGGACACAACAAACAAGACACAAACAAGACACAAACAAGACACAAACAAGACATAAGCTAGACACAAATAAATCCAGCCGATTGAATAACGTCACTATATTTCCCTCTTCGCTGTCTTCTCTCCATGCAGACTGTACCTACCCCATCATCATCGCGCTTTCTGCAGAATCCATCGCAAACTTTTCTTTATCAGCCATGTCCGACGCCCAGGTCAAAGTCCGTTTTTTCACGAAAGAAGAGGACGAAAGTCTCCATGCGGCCGACGCGCCGTTGTTTGTGCCCGTTTCGTTGAAGCGCTACGGTTTGTCCGAAGTGGTCAACCACCTTTTGCCTCGAGAAGACCCAGTGCCGTTTGACTTTTTGATTGACGGCGTGTTGTTGCGTCTGTCCATCGACGAATACTTGACCCGCCACGGCTTGTCTGCCGAAACGTTTTTGCACATTGAGTACACGCGTGCTGTTCTTCCGCCTTCGTTTTTGGCTTCCTTCAACAACGAAGACTGGATCTCGTCTGTCGACACTGTGGGCGCGGAATTGCCGCCACAGATCCTTGCCGGCTCCTACGACGGTGTTGTGCGGACTTACGACATGTCGGGCCAAGTGGTGGCGCAGTACGTGGGCCATCTGGCGCCGGTCAAGGCGGTCAAGTGGATTTCTGCCCAGAGAATGGTTTCGGGCGGCAACGACCACCAGGTGCGTTTGTGGAAGAGCAAAGAGGGCGCAGGGGCCGCGGATTTGCAGCACGAGGCGCCTGAACCTGAACAGGCCGCAGGCCACACGCTCGCCATTTTGGACGCCCACCGCGCGCCCGTCACCTCGCTCGCAGTTCAGGCGCGCGCCCAGCGCATCTTGTCGGGCGGCAGCGACAATGTGATTGCCCTCTGGTCCACTGTGGCCAAGGACATGAAGGCCACGGACCCTTACGCCGGCGGCAGCGGCGCTTCGTCCGCCACGAAAAAGAGAAGAAAGTTGGCGCAGCGTGACGCGGCCGTCCAGCACAGAGCACCGCTTTCCTTGTTAGAGGGCCATGCCCAGCCGGTCGAAGGTGTTTTGTTCGATGCCCACGACGCTACTGTCGCCTACTCTGTTTCGCAGGACCACACCGTCAAAACGTGGGACTTGGTCACTGCGCGCTGTGTCGATACCAGAAGCACGGGCTACGCTCTTCTCTCGGTGGCACAGTTGCCAGAGGTCAATCTTATTGCGTCCGGCTCGTCGGCCCGCCACATCAACTTGCACGATCCCCGCACGCAGGTGGGCGCCACAGAAAACTCGGTGTCGAAGCTTGTGGGCCACACCAACTTCGTGGTGGATTTGGCCACATGCCCCACTAACGGCAACATGTTTGCTTCTGCGTCGCATGACGGCACCGTGAAAGTGTGGGACGTGCGTGCCGAGACGCCGTTGTACACTATAACACGCGAGTCTGGCAAGAGCAAAGTGTTTGGCGTGGCGTGGAATCCGCAGATTGGCATTGTCAGTGGTGGTGAGGACAAGAAGCTCCAGATCAACAAGGGCAACGACATTGCGAAGTAGAGAAGGTATGAAAAGGAGAAAATATGGATTTCGTCATGGGGACACACTGACCTCTTAGACAGTCCTATAGTAGCAGAAGCCCATTCGGGACTGGGCTGTGCTCTGTTATAGACATAATAAATTGCATTGCGTATTTTTGGTAGGTCATTAATGCTGATAGTCTGCATTCCAAGGCTTGTGAAGAGAGGATTTCAAGCTATTGTGCTTGTGGTGCATTCAGGATTATAGAGTCAACGATTTTAAATTGAAAGTGTTCATTGAATCAAATTGATTCAATTTTTTTCAACCAGACAGTAACACCAGCATCAATTGTTTATGGAAATGTGGAATCCCCCTCTTACAGAGTCGAAAGAGGGCTTATGAATACTGAATAGAGAATCTTCTCAAATGTTGGATCTGAAGATCAAATCGTTTGCTACAATCCCTTTCGCCAATTGCTTGTAAATCTGCTTATAAGTGTTCAGACATTCTAATATAGCTACGCAACTTTTGCTGATCATATATACATGGTTGTTATTAGGCTTTAATTTTCCTCTTGTTTTTAGTCTGTGCACTTGTCCACATTGACAAGCCGTAAAAGCCCTGCCACAAGCTTTGAAGGTCGGTGATGTAGCCCACAAGGCCATTATTGGGGAATTTTGAAGGTTCCTCTATGGAATTTGTGACATCCAAATCTTTCCAGGAGAAGGAGCGGCGCACATGGGCTATTTCTGTTGCGTTGAGCTCGGCCTGGGCCGCAGAGCCGTACTTGAGAGGTCCCACATTAATCCAGTATCCATTTTGCACAGATCCCAGTGGGTGCGTAAGCAGCTGGATGGCATCAAAGTAGTCGATCAAGTTTTCAGCCGTGTCCAAGAAAAACACCGAAACCACAACCACATTTTTGATGGAGCTCTGCTTTGGAATGGAAAAGTAGCGGAAGTCAGCAAGCGACAAGTGGAGATTTTCGGGGCGAGCTGCGAACGTAAGGTCGACCGGACGGAGCTGGGCTTCTGTCGAGAGAAAGTTGGAGCACGAATGGACGTAGGGGTATATTGAGCTGGGTGCACTGGCGTTGGAAGTTTTCTTTCCGTTTTCACTCTCGCTCGTACTTTCTCTCTTTCTCTTTTCACTGTCGCTAGTACTTTCTCTCTTTCTGTTTTCACTGTCGCTCGTAGTTTCTCTCTTTTTGTTTTCACTGTCGCTTGCACTTTCTTTCTCTTCAGTGTCTGCATTCTCTTCCGTGGCCTGCTTGTCTCGGTACATGTATAGGTGGCATGCGTGCATCAAGCCACTGTACTCCACTGCATGGACTGCGGCAAACGGACGATGGCAGGCCACCTCGTGGGCAACGCGGCCCAAGCCTGCGCCCGGAATCACCACGACGGTGTCCTTTTCCTCGCCTGGCGGCACGATCTTGTCCAACTGGGCCCTGACGTAGTCGAGAATGGGGCCGATCTCGCGGGCGTCGGTCCAGTCGCGCACAAAGTGGCCCAAGCTTTCCACCACGCGGTAGTTCGACAGCGAGGTATTTTGGCCCTTGCCGGACTGCAAGGCGCCATAGTCGCGGTACGAAATGCCGTAGTGCTGGGCCACAGCAACGCCCAAGGCATCGAAAAACTTTTGGTTGAGCGCAATGTGCGAGTCGATGGCACGGAGCTTTTCCGAGTAGCCGGCGTCGTTGCAGATTTTCTGTTGCCGCCACAGCATCATGCTGAACAAGCGGCGGCGGCGATCGTTGGAGGCGCGCGAGTGGTCGGCGTACTGGCGCAACGAGCGGAGCGCCGTGAGAAGCTCGCGCTGCAACGGGGCGTCGAGCGCGCAAAACGCCTCGTTGCCGGCCGCCGCGGGCACGGGCGCGAGTTTTTTCTGGGCGAGCCGCTGCAAAAACAGCTGGAAAAGGCCCGTGCGCGAAAACATGTTGGTCGCCACAAACACGCCGGCAAGGAGCGGTACCTGCGACGAACGCGGCAACACGAGCCGTAAAAGAACGTAGACGGCGACGAAAGACGCTCCGCAGAGATACAAGAGCTCGCGGTCTCGGGCGAGCATGGAAAGGAAGGTCTGCTCCGTCAGTCCAGTCTTCTGCCAAGTCTAGCTGTCAAGTCTAGTCTGTAAGTCTAGCGGTCTAGTCTGTAAGTCTAGCGGTCAAGTCTCAAAACTATTGTCAAGCTGTCGACTTAGTTGTGTCAATCTTGTTTGACTCTTTGGTTCGTCCGGAAGTATGTGGCTCTTTATCTGTCGACCAGACCTTTGGTCAAGTGGTTCGAAGATCGCAGACTTTAGATCCTGGGGTCGGTACAGGATTGGCAGATGCGCATGCTGACATTCATGCCACTTTAGCCGGACATGAGTGTTCGGCCTAATGGAGTGCCATAATTTTTCGAGTCTGTTTCTGTCAAGACGAAAAGTTTTCGAGATGAAAATCAAGCATCGTAAAGTCGAATAATTATTTGTCGACTGTCTATATATTTATGCTGCGTGAGGCTAACGAGAAATTGGCGTAAGGCTAACGATAGGTGACGTTGGACCACGAGAATTCCAGCTGTTACATTACCAGCTACGAAAACTTATTTGATTTTTTTCTGTGGAAACATTAATACCTCTGCTTGAATTTTTCTGTCGAATTTTCTGTCGAAACATTAGATAATACCGTTGTAGCTATTCAGCTCTGTTAACACTGGTTCCAAGAGGTTTCCACTGGTTCCAAGAGGTTTGTACTGGATACAGAAATTTCCATTGCAACCAACATTTGATAACATGAGCCATTGATTTTTGTCCCGGTCGGTCGAGACTTGCTGAAATTTGTCAGAAATTCCACCCTCATTCTTTACCTTTTGGTGAAAAGTTGTGAGTCTGTTTAGTAAGACTCCAATGCATTAATATGAGATTGTGGCATTTGTTCATGATTCTCCAAGTTCCCAAGTACTATCGCTAATTAATTTACAAAATTATTTGGCTGTTTCCGTTTACTAGGCCATTGGGAACCAACTTGCTTCTTTGGTGAAGCGCCGCGCTGCCTTTAAATTTGAGCACTTTAACACTCTACTGTTTCATTGCGCAAGATGATCTATAAAGTAACAATCGACATTTTTATATGTTTGTTCATTGCAGTTTACGACAGCACATCGAAGCTAGGACATATTAGAAGTAGCTTCCACATCTTAGCGGATCCGGTTCGTCCTGTACGCGGTATTGTGTTCCCCCAAATGGGTAATCGCATCGAACATCAGAGTCCATTATAAGCTTGTGTGTTCATTATAAGCTTGTGTGTTCATTATAAGCTTGTGTTCTTCTCCCTTTATATCTGAACTCTATCGTTGCTTCATTGCGGTTTTCTATTGGCCTTCAACTATTGACGCTGCTTTCGCTCTCAATTCCTCCTTCTTCCATTTGTCCATTCCATGTCGCTTTGTGAGATTCTCTACTCGCCCGAGTACGCCGAAACTATGGCAGAGCTTCGGGATTCGCTCGAGCGAAAAGAATACTCCCTCAAAGCGCTCGATCTCACGGCAAAAGCGTTGGGTCTCCTTGCGTCGCATTACACGACGTGGCACTATCGTTTCTCCATCGTACAGCATCTAGGGCTTGATTTATTTGGCGAGCTCGACTGGTGCGAAGAGGTTGCGCTTGACAACGAGAAAAACTACCAGATCTGGAACTACCGCCAGCTAGTGGTGCAGGCGATTGTGGATCTGGCCGACGCCAGCAGGTTCGATCCGCACCGCGAATATCCCATCATGGCGGCGATGTTGGACCTGGACCCTAAAAACCACCACGTGTGGTCTTACCGGAAATGGCTTGTGGAGACGTTCGAGCTTTATGACGATGCGCAGGAGCTCCGTTTTGTCGAGTCGCTCATTGACCAGGATGTGCGCAACAATAGTGCCTGGACGCACCGGTTTTTCTTGAAGTTCGGGCGCAACAAGAGTCAGGGCGACAAGGCACAGGTTGGGGCGGAGTACGAGCGCGAAATGGCGTTTGCGCGCGACAAAATCGACCTCTGCCCGCAAAACCCGTCGGCGTGGAACTATTTGCGCGGTGTCCTTGCGCGCTCGGGCGACGACTTGGCGCTGCTCAAACCTTGGGCGGAACAATACGCCGATTTCGCCACACAAGTGCAGTCATCATATGCGATCGAGTTGTTGGCGGAAATTGCCGAACACGAGGATGTTGAAGCTGCCCAGCGCTACTATAGGCTTTTGGCGGAGAAGTACGATCCCATCAGAGCCAATTACTGGAGCTACCGCGCGAAGAAACTTACGAAATAGACTAATGAGATGAACAAATGAACGAACAACAAATCTACAAATCTAACAAATCTAACAAATTCTTGGACAATCCAGTGAACAGCTCCAATGAACCAATGCCTATAGAATAGATGCTACAACAAATAGATTCTAGTCTCTAGATTCTAGTCACTAGTAGCGCACACGAGCAACCATTGATAAAGACGAACTAATAAAAAATAGAGTGAACTATTGCCATACACTAGTACTTCACCACCAATCCTCCAAAAAGCAAAAAGAATGGACGAGTCCGGAGTCGAACCGGAGACCTTTCCCATGCTAAGGGAACGCGCTACCAACTACGCCACACGCCCGGAGAAGTGGTCCCTAGCAGGATCGAACTGCTGATCTTGGCGTTATTAGCACCACGCCTTAACCAACTGGGCCAAGGGACATTCTTCGTGGTGTTGTTTTTGCTCGTCGCATGTACACTTTTGTTTTTATAGAGTTGCTTTGTTTGTGGCAAGAGACAATGAACAGCTTTTTGGTAGACAAGAGAGCAATTTTTGTCGTTCAAATGCTTGACAGTGGCTTTGCGAGCAATCACGAAGACCTGGCCGACATGATTGTAGTTTCTTCGCACTTTATCATTTGCGCGACTTAAAGCTAATTCTTCGCAATGTTGAAGAATACTAAAGTCGAATGATTTGATATAACTAACTGTAACAGTCATTTTTCGTCTTTCTCCCATGAGAAAAGCTTCCCAAATAGAAGCACGAAGAAAGTAGTATAGCATTAATGAAAACGGTCAAACACAGTAAACAATGGTTCTACGAACATAGAAAAGTCTACATTCATTGAATGTATCCGCTATTTTCAAGGACACTCTACCAATTTAAGCTCCGCTATCAAGAATATGCACAATCCATAGTCTATCCCACTGAATAGCCTTTACAATCACGAGGCTATGTGGCAGAGGTACGGGTGCGCACCAGAGTACAACAGTGTATTTTTCGTCTAAACACGAGCCCAAAACTCTCCGAGCACCAAACTTTTCTCTGCCAGCAGAAGAAAAAAAAGGAAAACAGCACTCCTGCCCCGACTCCCCGATATCCTTCTGTTGAAAAACACTAGAGCGAATCGCGAGGACACCCTAACACCACACCCCATGGAAAGCCCAGCCAGAAACAAACCCACGTCGTCTCGTGTGATTGACTCGCTCCACTCGCAGATCGATGAGTTGAAAGCAGAACTCGAGCACCTCCGGCTTTCGCAGAGCGAGCACAAGAAAAACCATGCTGTTTTGGCCTCGAAGCACGAGTCGCTAGTGGACCAGTTGGCCAATGCCAAACACGAAAACGATATGGTGAACGCGCTTCTCAAGCGGAAGGAGCGGCGGATTGCGGACTTGGAAGAAGACACAGACAAGTTGAGTGCTGCCAACGACTCCTTGCGCCACGGCAACGCGAACTTGAAGATCCGCTGCGAGCAATTGCAAGATTCCTCGGCGCTGTCGACAGCCGAGTATGAGCGGTTGAAGATCGCCTACGACGCCTTGCTTGCTGCGCAAAATGAGTACAAGCGCCACTACCAGAGCGAGTTGGCGCAAGTGGCGCAGCAGTTTGAGGAGTACAAGCAGGAGAGCCGCAAACAGATGGCCGAGCTTTCCAGCAAGCTCGACAGCAACGACAAGGACATTGACACGTTGCTCGACGGCCTCGTGCACAAGCGGAAGGTCATGGACAACTTGTACGTGAACCGCAACCGCACGGTGTTGGAGCTTTTGGCGGCCTTGTCCCGCGCGGCCAAAGCCCACGGCGAAGAGTCGAGAGAGCTTTTGGCAGAGAACATCTGTGCCATCAACCTGATCCGCGAGAAGTTTCCCGACTTGCAGGAGAAGATCTCCGAGCACAACGGGCGGCAGATTGACATTGACGACTTGCTCAGCCAAACCAGCGCCTCTTTTGATACGAGCGTGGACGAGTTGGAGCAGGGCCAAAACACGGGCCACGACAAGGCCGACGAGCTGCGCAACATGAGAACACCATCTGTGCGGCGCAGAAAACACAAGCGCAGCTCCATGCGCGTATCGCCTGAGGCTGAACCGTCTGATGCGCTTCCTCGGGCACGGCCGCACCAAGAACCGGCCAGAACACCCGAACCGGGGCGTAGACCCATGTCCCAGCAAGACCTACTTGCGCGCAATTCCTTGTCACGCAGCACGCTGGGCGGCAGAAACAGCCCACGGCCGCAGTCGAGCGGCCACTCCAGTTATTCGGGCCACACGAGCCAATCCAACACGTCTCACCGCCCGTCGCACAATGCCAAAAACGGCCGCGTTGCTTCGACCGGCTCGGGCTCGCGAACACCTTCGGGTGGGGCCAAACGCCGTCTGTTTTACGGCGGCAGCAACAACTACAACAACGGATCCAACCGCCGCAGTCTGAGCAAGGCTGACACCTCAATATAGAAGGCAGAGGCAGCCGGGGAAATCGCTTGAATGGAACTTTGCGACAAATGTGCAAATTGGCGGAGAACAACTGATACCCGTGGAAGTTATTGATAACTGCTTGGGCCGAGAATCTCTGACTTGGAAGTCGATATATTCTGGCCCAGATTAGTTGTCTATATATTTCTGATATAGAGTATCTAATAGAGTATCTAATAGATATCGGATAAGGTATTTGAGTAAGTGAGAGGACTATTACGGTTTTAGATGTATCTGCGGTGTCTACAAATATACAAAGTATGGGATAATACAGTCTACCACAACCAACCATGCTCTCAGTGCCTTCTTGTTTACAGTCATCTTCTGGAGAAGTTATAAACGGGGGTAATGAAGAATTGTAATAGTCCAGTTCAGGCTCGTTAGCATTTCGTCCACTCATTAATGACTCCGTTGCAGTATCAGTAACTATCTTCGAGCAAGAAATAGCCAATTGAGAGCATTTCAGGTAGCGTCCAACTTATGGTGCCAGCAAAAAAAAAAAAAAAAAAAAAAAAAAGCGAAAACAATAAAAAAACAAAGCAGCAGTAGAACATAAATCATTAACATTAATTGATCAGCCAGCAAGGACTCTTCCGCCAATATAAGGCAATATAATTATCATCAGTGTTCACCACTGCAGCTTACAGATGCACTAATAACCCATTGTTCGACGCCGGCAAAGTTTGGTTTCTGTAATTGACCGCCTGAACTTGTATTTTGCATTTTTTCGCTTGGATTGACGGAACATTGCTTTCTCTTTTCCCGGCGAAGTGCCATCAACTGTCACGTTTCCCGAGTTTTCTTATTTTTTACTCTGCCAATCTCTTTACATCTACACAATGGTGCTTAAATTTACTGTTTTCCGATTCTTTGTAGAGGCGTTTTCTGTTCCATGTTCTATAAGCCTGTTATTCTGATTCGAGAAGCATTTTCTATCATTCTAGAGCTCGTCTTTTTATGATTCTAGAAGCCCATTTTCCAGCAGTTCGTCGATAGCGTATGCCACGATTAGTCCGTCGGCGTGGCCTACAAAAAGCAAGCGCCCCGCCGCGCGGCGCAGTCGAAGGCGGTCGCGGCGCGACTGTTCGGGCGCAGCCGGCGCGCTCCACACAAACAAACAGAGCGATTTGCGCAGCGGCGACTCGGGCGCCTCGATCTGCTCGTGCGGCCGCTCGAGACTGAAAAGCTGCTGCCAGTCGCGCGAGAACCCGGCCACCAGACCGTCCCAAAAGCCTGCCAAGTAAAGATGCGGCAAGATCTCAAAACACTGGACGCCATAGTGGCCCAAGTTGTGTTTTGCGACCGCCTCCTCATGCGGCGGCTCGTGGACCAAAAGTGTTTTCGCTGCCGAGCCAGAATATACCCGCGCGCCTTCAAGCGCAAGCGACAAGACGGGATGCGGCGAGTGGGCGCGCGCAAGCCAAAGCATGCGGCAGCCTTCAGGCGAGAGGGAAAACGACGCAAGGGCGCCGGATTCATAGCCCACATAGAGCAAGTCGGGCGCCGCCCAGGCCAAGCGCATGATGATGCCTTCGCCGCGGCCGGGCGGGGCGCCGATTTCCTCGATTTGGTCCGCTCCTCTTTGTTCTTGTTTGGGCGCCTGGTTTTCCACCGCGCGCGCGAGCGAAAAATCGGGCGAGAGCCGGTACACATCGAAACAGTCCGAGTCCACCGAGGCAGGCGTGGCGAGTAGCGCAGTGCCGTCGGCGCCGTCGATGTACGCCACATTGCAGAAATTGAGGGCATTGACGGGCATTTCAAAGATGGGATGGGGATCGCCGCCCTTGCTGTTTTCCGCCGCGCCGGGCGGCCATATTCGCACTGCCGAGTCGCGGCCATGGGTCAAAAGGCCGAAGCGCGTGGGCTGCATCGACAAAACCTGGCCCTCGTGGGCGCGGAAACGGGCCGCGGGCCGCCGCGTGGAGAGATTCCACACTATCAATGTGCCCAGGCGGTCTGCGGAAACAAGCTGGTTTTCCCAGGGGCAGAAACCAGACACTGGCGCCGCGTGGGCCCGGAGGGAAAACATCTTTTCCATATTTTGAGATCTAGGCGATGGATGTTGTGACCGTCTTGTATGTTCTGACCCTCTTGTATGTCTTATGACAGTGCCTGTAAGATGGGCGTCCTTAGACCTTGGTTCTGAGAAATGACAGATAGATGGCGAACAGTAACAATGGACAGGACGAAAATGGCAGAGTCAGAAGTTCCACGGTCTGCTTTTGTCCTGTGTATTCAGCGATGGAGTCTAGAAAGTTTGGCGACCGGGCGCGCAGATTCTGGTACAGTCTCAGACAGCCATATCAGTAGATTACTGTTCATCAGTAGATTACTGATTTTCGAATGAGAAATAGAATAATAAACCAGGTATTTAGTTACTAACCAACGTGTTTATTATGATCAATTATATAATTTAATATAGACTTGTATTAGAATTTGGTGGTTTATTAAATGTTTATGCTGATAATGTTACTTAAAGTATTAGGTAGACTGATTAATTCAACTTATATACCTGTAGCTACATTCATTAATTTAGTAATACCTTTCTTATAATTTTGATTAGTTCAATCATTATATATATTGTAAATATTCAGGGAAAATGACGGTAGATGGCACTTCTCTGGGCGAAAAGAAGGCAATTAAGTTCAGGCGGTCAATTCAGGCAGAAGATGGTGGATGTTTGAAAATCCAGGCGAAAAAGATGCAAAAATACAAGTTCTAGTAGTCAATGACAGACACCAGCCTTCGCCGGGTCTGAGGTAAGCCCAGAGTCGGCAAGCAAAGAAAAATGTATTGTGGATTTATCTACAATTTCAGCAAGTCTGGCTTATCTGTCACTGAGATGGACTTTACTGAAGACTTGAATTTCCTTCTTGCAAAAGTCGACACCTGTTAACTTAAGCCGACAATGAAATCCATTAGGCCATGACGTACTGAGCCAGTGCATTTTACTGGATGAGAACCAATTCGGCTTATTCTCTTTAAGTCCAGATAATTATCGATCAATGGCAGATCTTGCTTTTGTAGCGGTGGCTAATGCACCATCATCTCTTTGACCCATCTTGTCCCACATTTTGGTCAGAATGCAGAAAATCAACAAAACCGGAATCTAACGGAAAAAATACGAGCTATATAATTTCTCCGTTTGAATGCTAAAATTTATTGCTTGTGCTACACCATTTGCTCAATTGTTTGAAAGCGTGCCATTCTTTTCCACCATCGTAGTCAAACCAACAATACTCTTCGTTTTCCTTTCAGAAGATGATTATACAATAGTCATAACTATACACGTTTACCGATTCTGTAGATCGAAGCTTATTTGAAAAAGAAAGAAAATAAATCCTTCCATAGTCACATTCGGTGACAGATCACCATTTTGACACTTGTACAGACTGTATGATACAATAGTGCGCTTGATTGCGCTAAGTTTTGCCCAAGTAGGAAAAACGGTGCGATACCGTCAGAATGTTGTTTTGTCATTCATGTAAACAGTATCTGGTTGAGATATTCCGTTTCTCTCCGCATGAAATAGAAGTGTTCTTAAAACAAAAACCTTCACCGCCATAAAGCCCGCTTTCGCCAACCGTTCATATTAAGACATTCCGCCCGCAATCTCGGAAAGTTCCGTGCGCCCGGATTCTCCTACATGCAGAATCTGGGGTAGAGTATATAAACCCCACCAGGTCCGACGTCAAAAAAAACTGCCGCTTCTTATAAATTTCACAGGTGAAACCACGGCTGCAAACATCGAGAATCACTAAAAATGTACGCCCCATCTAAGCAACCGGAGCACAAGCTCACCATGATCCCGGGTCCAATTGAGTTTTCCGATCTGGTACTTCAGGCCATGTCTACTCCGTCTCAGGCCCATACTTCACCTGAGTTTGTGAAAACATTCCAAGAGGTGTTGCAAAACTTGCGGAAATTGTTCAAATCGGCAGACCCACATGCGCAGCCATACGTCATTGCCGGTTCGGGCACTTTGGGCTGGGACTTTGTTGGTGCCAACTTGGTCAACCCTGGAGACAGCGTGCTTGTTTTGCTGACGGGTTTCTTTTCCGACTCTTTTGCCGAATGCTTGCGTGTTTATGGCGCAGATGTCGACGTCATCACGGCGCCAGTGGGTGATGTTGTTCCTTTTGACCAGATTGAGAAGCAGTTGGCAAAGAAGAAGTATACTGCAGTGACAATCACTCAAGTGGACACTTCGACCGCAGTGGTGTCTGATGTTGCCAAAATCTCCGAGATTGTGCGCTTGCTGAATCCAGAAACTTTGCTTATTGTGGACGGCGTCTGCTCCGTGGCCGTAGAAGACTTGGAATTCGACAAGTGGCACGTGGACTTTGCATTGACGGCGTCTCAGAAAGCCATTGGCGTGCCAGCAGGCTTATCCATTATGTTTGCGTCTTCTCGTGCCGTCGCCAAGGCTGAGGCTCGTGAGAAAGACTCGACTTTTTTTGCGTCCATGAAAAGATGGACTCCTATCATGCGTGCGTACGAGTCTGGAAGTGGCGCTTACTTTGCCACGCCTGCAGTGCAAACGATCACAGCCTTGAAGGTGTCATTAAGCGAGATCTTGGCAGAGCCTTTGGAGAAGCGTTTTGCCAAGCACGCCGAAACTGCGGCCAAGTTCAGAAAGGAATTGGCTGACGCCGGCATCAAAATCGTCCCCGTGTCAGAGAACGTTGCAGCCCATGGGCTTACCGCAGCTTACTTTCCTGAAGGAGTTGAAGGGCCTAAACTTTTGTCGACTTTGGCTTCCAAAGGCTTCACTGTAGCCGGTGGAATCCACAAAGCACTCGTCGGTAAGTACTTCCGGGTTGGCCACATGGGATACTCGGTGTACCAGGGACACGTGGATGCGGTAAGCAAGGCTATCGTCTCTTCTGTGGAAGAGCTCAAAAAGTAGTAGGATAAAATAAAATATTCAAGTATTGGAGTTACTGTGTGGTATAATCGATAAAAATATAGTTTTGAAGTACAGTTTCAGCTGTCAGGATTAGAAAGATACCTTGACGATGGAAGAAATTGCACATAATATAGAAAAGCGACTTGCGTAGACTTATTGAATGCGGCGTACTCAAGGCGAAAGAAATTTATTCTGAGAATACGTGAAGATTAGATTGGAGCTAGAATAAAAAGCGGCAAGAGAGGAGCCAATGAAACTCTAGATGAGATTTAAACAATCTTGTCTTTGCCCAAATGACCAGACTGAACCCGAACCGTAAACCAGAACAGTAAGATATGAAAATCAAAGAATGCACAGATATGGGGATAAACAAATCTTTTCACCCACTATTCAGATTTTTTTAAGTGAATCGAGGTAGCCACAGCCAGAGTGAGATGTCCGAAACTGAAAAATGTGCCCACAAGCATTAAAGTGAGTGCAAAATAGGACATATAATATATCCCCAAAGGGAATACATTTCCACACTGTATCAAGACGTGGATCAGATCCGGTATTGTAGCAGCCATGATCTAGATTTACACACTGCTCAAACGATTTGTCGTTCTTTCATACTTTTCATTTCTTTCGTACTGTCATTTCTCATTCATACTCTAAAAGGAAACGTATATTACTCATAGATCCACTTTGATGGCATTGCGTCTTCATCTCTACTCATATATTAATTCACTGAGAAAGCACCCGTCTGCTTCGTTTCAACAACAAAGCTTACTATCGTAATGATTTTTTGTTGGTACTCTCATTGTACTTTCTACACTTCCATGCCAGAAGGTTAATGCGATGCGCGACACGGTTAACCAAAAATTGCCTTGCATCATCTTGACCATGGATATTGATCCGTACAAAGTGCTCCAAGTGGAGGTTTCCGCTTCGCCTTTGGAAATCAAAAGAGCATATAAAAAGCTCAGTCTACAGTACCATCCAGATAAAATCCAGCAACTCAAGTCAGAAGTGGCCAAGGATCGTTTCCCTCAGATCCAATTCGCCTATAGCATTTTATCCGACCCACAGAAAAGACACCGCTATGATACAACAGGACTGGTGGATGGTGTGAGCGAAGAAGCGTTTGACTGGAAACAGTACTTTGACGAAACCACCGAGAAAATCACTCTTGACATGATTGTTGAGGACAGGGCCAAGTACCAAGGTTCCGAGGAAGAAAGGGAAGACATCTTGCACAACTTTGTCTATTACGAAGGCGACTTTCTACGCCTTTTCGAGGTGATTCCGCATTTGGAATTCGACGAGGTGCTGGAAAGCCGGGTCTTTGATTTGGTGGAAGAGGCTCTTGACAAGGGCGATATCACGGTGGATAAAGCTGTTACCAAGTCGTGGGATAAGTACAAGCGGTCCCGGAAAACGAAAGTCAAACAGATGCTTAATAAGTTGGCCAAGGAGGCTAAACAGGCGGAAAAGGCGCTCAAAAGCATGAAACAGAAGAAAATCAACGGCGAAGGCGATTTGAAAGCGCTCATCCAAAAGAGACAATCGGAGAGAATGGACGATTTGGTGTCAAAGTTGGAGGCCAAGTACACCAAGGGAAAGAAGAGATCTTTGCCCGATGACGAAGAGTTTGCACGCATCCAGGAGAAAATGAGACGCAACCGGTGATATAAATACGACGATTCGAGAGTGTTTTCGCCATGAATCTCCTTGTTTATGATGAATTCACTCTTGAAAGAGCGGAAAGTACTTTGGACGTTTGAAGGTTGCATAAAGTCTACGGTTTGGCTTATGGCTTTGGTCCGTACTCAGAACCGCCTAATGATTTTTAATCGCGTACATAGACGTTAAAATAATGAATCGACTTTAACATGTTTGATTTCTCAATTCGCAAGTCTGCGATTGAAAAATGGAGTATTCCATCTTAAAGCTTTGAATTTTGGTCGTGACCTCATTAAGATTATTTCCATAGCGAGTTTAGAATAGTATATTCAAAAAGACTGGCAAGAAGATTATATGTTGCGCGTAGAGTTATCAAATCCCTCTCTATGATGCTGTCTGAAACCATAGACGTATGAAACTATTACTGAAATCACAAAATTCTGCAACGTCGAGTGGTCTGGTTCGGACATTCGATCAAAAATTGTTGAAATTTTGAAAGGCCGAATGAATACCTTTTGAATTATTCAAGCATACTGAAAGTCCCATTCCAGATAGACACACCGTAACTGAAAACTCACTTTCTCTCATGTCTTACAAATATCTCTCCATTTTCCTATTCTCTCATTCAGAATTGTTTCACTCATATTCATATATAAAGCAGATTCTGCCGCATCTGCGCAGGATGCATGTAAAGAACAGAAACAAATAAACATGCGCGTTCGCGTTACAGTCTTTGATCTCCATCTTCTCTTTCTCTCCCAATGTCAGAGTCAGACGGCGATTATTTTTCCGACTCAGATGTCGAGCCTGTGCCACGCAAGAAAAGCAAAACCAGTGAATCTACACCACCTTCGTCCAATGGAACCCCAGGCCCAAGATCCAATGCATCAGAGCAGTACCAAAAGTTATCGCAGTTGGAGCATATCTTGAAAAGACCCGATACGTACATTGGGTCTGTGGAAAAGAACAAAGTGGAAATGTGGTGTTTTGACAGCGAGAGCGAGTCCATGGTCTTCAAAGAAGTCACGATCGTGCCCGGTCTTTACAAAATCTTCGATGAGATCTTGGTCAATGCTGCCGACAACAAGATTCGTGATCCGAGCATGAAAAACATCAAGGTCAACGTGGACGCACCCAACAACACCATCCTGGTGATGAACGATGGTCGCGGAATCCCTGTGGAAATCCACACCAAGGAGCAGATGTACATTCCGGAGATGATTTTTGGAAATTTGCTCACGTCTTCAAACTACGACGACGACCAGAAGAAAGTCACTGGTGGACGTAACGGTTTTGGTGCCAAGCTCTGTAACATTTTCTCCACGGAATTTACTGTCGAAACAGCCGACCAAAACACAGGCAAACTCTATATCCAGACTTGGACAGACAACATGTCCAAAGTCGGTAAGCCAAAAATCACAAAGGTAAAAAACAAAAAGGAATACACAAAAGTCACATTCAAGCCAGACTTGACGAAGTTCAACATGGACGCGTTGGACGAAGATATCCTTGCCGTTCTTAATAGAAGAGTTTATGACTTGTGCGGAACGGTGAAAGACTGCAATATCTACTTGAACGAGAAAAAATTGGCTATTCGAAACTTCAAAGGCTACGTTGAGATGTACGTTAAAGCAATTCAAGCCAGAAGCCCGCAAATCGCAGGCGATGTCACCGCTCCATCAATTGTATATGAACAAGTGAATGAGAGATGGGAGCTAGCCTTTGCCGTCAGCGACGGAAACTTCAATCAAGTGAGTTTTGTCAACTCCATCGCTACAACGGCCGGAGGAACGCATGTGAAGTACGTGACAGATCAAATTATCGACAAGTTATTGGCCGAATTAAACAAGCAAGAAAAAGGGAAGAAAAAACTTATGATCAAAGCCAATCAAATTAAAAATCACATTTTCATCTTCGTCAACTGTTTAATCGAGAACCCTGCTTTTACCTCTCAAACAAAAGAGCAGCTCACAACCAGAGCAAGTCAGTTTGCGTCCAAGCAAAAAGATAAAGTGACAATCACTGACCAGTTCATCAAGAAAATCCTCAAAACAAATATCCGTGAAACCATTCAGAGCATTGTCGATGCTAATGAGGGAAAGGCATTGCTGAAGGATGATGGAAAAAGAAGAACTCGAATCAAAGATCAAGCGAAGTTAGTGGATGCAAACAAAGCTGGAACAAAGGAGGGTCACAAGTGTACATTGATCTTAACTGAGGGTGACTCCGCAAAGTCCTTGGCTGTGGCAGGTATGGCCGTTATTGGACGCGATTACTATGGATGTTTTCCGCTTAGAGGTAAGTTGCTCAATGTGAGAGACGCATCGACAGAACAGATTGCCAAAAATGCAGAAATCACAGCGTTGAAACAGATCATCGGCTTGCAGCATCGCAAACACTACACCCTTGAGAATATCAAGGATTTACGATATGGCCATGTGATGATCATGACGGATCAGGACCACGATGGCTCTCATATTAAAGGTTTACTTATCAATTTCTTTGAGTCAAGTTTCCCGGGCTTGCTTAACATCCCAGGCTTTTTACTTGAGTTCATCACACCTATCGTCAAAGTCACGATCAAGGGAAGAGGAAGACAAGCAGCAAATGTGATTTCCTTTTATTCTATGCCAGAATTTGAAGAGTGGAGAGATACAGAGGGTACAAACTGCAGATGGACCCACAAGTACTACAAGGGTTTGGGTACTTCTACGTCTGTTGATGCAGTAGAGTATTTCTCCAAGCTCGATAAGCACTTGAAAGAGTTTCATGCCTTGGAGCTGGATGAACCTCCATTGATCGAATTGGCCTTTTCGAAAAAGAAGGCTGATGATAGAAAAGAGTGGTTACAAGGATTTCAACCGGGCACTTTCCTTGATTCGGACATGAAGGTGATTCCCATCAAGAATTTCATTAACGAAGAGTTGATTTTGGTTTTCCATGGCTGGATAATATCAGATCCATTCCTTCATGTTTGGAATGGTTTCCAACCTGGGCCAAAGAAAAGTCATGTTTGGTTGTTTCAGAAGAATTTGGTCAATTGAAATCAAAGTTGGCCCAGTTGAGTGGTTATATTGGA